CTCACAGTATAGACCGCAGACAAAGGGTGCAAGACCTTGCAGAGCGGATCAGATATGCAAATCCGGCGGCCATCCATCGTCAAATCTTGAGAGGACGGCGGACCTGGAAGGGCGTGAATTAGGTTCCGGAATTGACCCCCTTATCCCCGGCCTTTGTCCCACATATGTGGTGCTCTGAGAGGCGTCGTACTTTGTTGTGAACAATATTTTTTATTTACATTCGACAATAACGAAGAGTTGAATCATATCGTTCGTGTGATCTTTTCCAAAGGATTACCTGCGGACGGATTGTAGGATCTTCTGCAGCGGTCACAAGTGAGCCTCCGAGTCGCTTGGTAACTGTGGCTCATCCTTCCAAGTATTACGCAAGTCAGTGCCACACATTCATCACCATGAGGGTAATCCAATCCCGTTGAATAGGATCCGATGATCTATGGCTCTAAGCGAACAATGGGTATGTTGCACTGTGATGTCCTGCAAATATCCAATTTTGTTTATTTTTTCCTGTGAACTCCTATCATTCCGGTTGAACCGAGAATATCTTTTGGAGGTCCCTATCATGTCTTTAACATTGTTCACGTTTCTCACCTCTGTAGCAGTGTACATCATTAGTATGGACTATGGAGTATGGAGTATGGCTATGGATTATGGAGCCCATCTGATGAACGAAATCCCGCCCGACTGATTACCCTAACCGGCTAGCCACCTTCTCGACGACCCACCGAGTCACCAGAATCTCCTCTCGAGAAATAGTGGAAAATCCTGGTAAAGGCCCAAACAGGCAAAGGACGCAGAATGCGATCGAAGCGGTCTGGGGCCACGGCCTTTGGGCTGGACCTGATAACCACGTACAGGCGGTGGCGGGCAGACCTCAAACCGCCGGAACCACAGTCTCGGGTTCCATGAGAATCAATAGACGAATGAAAGTCCAATGAAAAATATCAAAAGAAAAAAAAAAAGGAAAAGAAAAGCAAATACACCGAACTGCTCCCAGTTTCAATTTTAGGCTGTCTATCTTGCCCAAGGCCCAGAAAAAAGATGAAAAAAGGTCAGTCCCGCCTAGGCAGGTGATTATCGGAGGGGGAATCTCGGTTGGCGTAATGCGCGTCATTTCGCTACTGGATATGGCTATGGACGCTAGTGGTGCCCTAGTGTCTTCCCTGTCGGGTTTGTATTTCTGTTCCCTTTCTGTTGGATTTGCAAACTGTGAGGCCATAGTTGACGCGATGGTGGGATTGTTCCTAGCTAACCAGCTTAGGTGGACGACGTCGTTCCTTGGGGCTATGGATGAGTGCGCGCAATGTTCAATGTTTATGAATGAATGCTTGGATACTATACCGAAAATTATATTTACGAAGCCGGGCTTTCAACCTCCGTGACTACAACGTGGGTCATGGACCACCTCGGAACCCCGAACAGGACTGCGGGTTCCGTTGTGAGCTTAAACAAAGGCTGTGAGTGTGATAGAATGGTCCCAAGTAAGCGGTACCCGGGTGAGGTGATCTTTTAACTTTCATGGCCAAGTGAGTACCGGTTAGTTGCCTTTGCACAACTAGCTTGGAATCCTGCGAGATCCTTCAACCATTGCAGGGTTAAAAGGATCTATCATTCTGTATATTGTGTAGTTGGAAGTTCGGAGAGGAGGTGAACACTACAATCATGAGAGATAAGTCGGGAGGAGAGACAAACATTACAAGTACCGACCTAGGCTCATCTTTCTACTACAGCATAAGGAACCACTTTCCACCCGTTGAAAATCAACCACCTAAGCTATAGCCAAAGACTGTGCATGGAATAATCACAATTAATAAGACTCTGAGTACCGAGGCGAGACGATATATCGGGTGAACCCTTGAATTCCCTCAAAGTTGAATCACCTTTCCGACAGTCCATCCTGACAACTTAAACTATCTAAGCTTTTCCATCCTTTTCAAGTGTACTCCTCAATCTGGCCCGTTCTTCCTTTTGGGGGCCAATCCTCTGTAAGTAGTAAACCTACTAGCGCTGTTCGTCCAAAGTCCACAACTCAAAACTTCAAATCCGCAGTAACCGCCAGTGGTGAGATAAGCAAGAAAAGCAAATGAGAATCACATCAATTTACCCGCATATAACAAAGTATGAACGTGTATGTCATGTGCGCGCAGCGCAGGCCGTAGTGCGTACTGTAAATGGATGGCGAGCTTCCTGCCTACGTGGACTACTATAAGTATATGAGGACAGGAAGTGCCTGTAAAGAGCCCCTTAATTGAGGAAACCTTCTGCAAATCATGTGTGAGAGGTACTACGAGTCATGATAAGTAGGAAGAGCAAGTCGATGAGTTAGATCAATTACTGTGCAGACTGCAGACTCTGTAGTCTGTAGTCTGTAGTCTGTAGTCTGTAGTCTGTAGTCTGTAGTCTGTAGTCTGTAGTCTGTAGTCTGTCTGTAGTCTGTAGTCTGACGCTGTACAGTCGAGTGCGGTGCCCAGCATTGAGTGCTCATTGTACTTATTGGCACGCTTTGCAGAAAACTACCGATAGCCAGACAAATCCGTCCGGCATGGATAAGATCATCATGTCTCATCGGGCTATGCGTCAGTTTTTGCTGCTTACATTGTATGCCAGTGTGATATAGGCCCTCGTCAAGAACATAGTCTCATAGACTACGGCGGACGGAATGACTATGGTATCAATGAGAGACATGCACCTTCTGGTGGTAATTCCTACATGGCATAAGCTGCAAATGTGTGTGTAGACTGAACTCTCGTTTTTCTAAGGGTGTATTGACGCCTGACCTTTAAGTATGTATTTACCGCGAAGTATGTAGTGTGAAGGTATTACATACTATGATACTACATAACACTATATACTATATAGTATGTACTACTACCTGTCAGCCCGCGAGGAGGTATTTGCCTCATTCGATTGTGACCTTGGGTTATCGAGGCGTATAGGTATGCACTGTCAACCCCCCAAATTGCCAAACAGAATACCCAATAATCAATCACCACCCAAAGGGTGTTGGTATCACGACCAAGGTCTTAAGTGGTATTGTGACCCCGACGCGCTGAACCAGGAAAACCACTTGCAACCTACGAAGAAATCTGACCGGAAAGCTGACTATCTCAATTCCCGTCTTGCTCTCGCTTGACCAAAGTGAAAGAACCTTTTGACGATCCAACATTAAGAATAAATCACAGCAACACTCCTTCCCTCCAGCTTCACCAGGAACCACTCCTGACAGAAGAGACCTGACGATCTGTCGAGAACTCAAAGATCAGATCCCGACCAGCACCCAAGATATAGCAGTTCACCGCATCGGGGTGATCGGGAGTCCGAAATCACACGAAGAATACCCGACCTTGTCACCTCGCTATGAATACATGTATGCCCATTGTGCCTGCATATGACCACTCGCACCCTGCATGATGATATGGACCACCCTTGTCAAGACCTCACAGACACGCATCAACCCCCTCTTGCCCTTTTTTCATGCTCGGTTCGATTCCAGCCAAGTGGCACCCGAATATGCATGCCAGCCCGCCTCACCCACCTGCACAGACCGCCTTATTGCAGGCGATCAGCCACAATGCGTTACGAACGGAACTGCCTAAGCTGCAAAGCACGTTTTACCCTGGGAGTAGAGCGCGAAACAGAAAAGGTAAGAAAAAGAAGAAAAAAAAAAGAAACAAAAAAAAAACCCCAGACAAGGTATATGCTTATGGAAAGATGGACTGACGCCAGGACTGCTGGATCCCCACTATCTCTGCATGATGTCTGCTTCCCCGTCCCGTCCCCATCCGACGGGGAGGATTGTTCCAGTCTTGTTTTTTTGGGGACAATTCCTTCTTCCGAGTCCCTAATCCCTTGTGCTCAACAGTGTGGAAGTATGTATGTATTTTGGATCTGCACGGTTCCATCTTGTCTGTTGTGATGTACAGTCTACATCACGGAAATACTGCATCAGTGCATTAATCTAGCCACCCCGATAGTTCTTGGGCTTCTGGATATGATGCTCTGAGGCCAGCCTTAGGAGTCCTTGACAATGCTAGGAATGACGACATTGACGCCCAAGGGTGTTTCACGAAGAAAGTATTGTACTTGTGGCTATGTTGCCTCTCGATATGTAAGACTAAGCACACCATTGAGTATTGAGTACTCGATGTATTCCACTGAATATCCAATCCTGACCATTCCTCGTGTCTAGCTGTCAACACGCCGGCTAAAACAATACACTTCTGTGGTCGTGGAGTTGAAGACATACCTAGGTATTGCATCAAGACCATCCAGTCACCACTTTCGTTACCAAAAAAAAAAGCAAAAAAAAAGGCAACGAGAAGAAGAGAATACAAAAGAACAATAGGAATGAGAGACGTCCCGTCACAATGTCCTTTTTCCATCCTACCCCCGTCGCTTGACATCCGGATCTACCAATCCCACAAAACTTTGTTTCGAAGAAAAAAAAAGAATGAGCAATGATGGTCTAGAGCTGGTGCTGACTCCTCTCAACAAGCCGATCTGTCAGAAAAGTCCAGTCGGGCTTGTCTTGTTCAATCAGGGGAGATGAGGAGACGGGAAAGGGGATTGAGTCTCCAGCCGTTATTGATGATCGACAATGCTCTACCCGTTCCCCTTTGCTGCAAGTGATGACACGCGCCGGAACCTGATCATAGCGCAAATGAGGAATCTACTCTCCGGCTCCGGAGAGTTGTTCCCAAATGTAGCTTTTATACCTGTTGAGGTGTATATCAACGGAAACGCATCATTCAGGTTTGAAGATCATGATACATAGTTGTCGTTCTGACCAGAGAGTTTGGCGAGACTTAGGTTGAGGCGACGAAATGCAAGGTCGATCTTATGCAGTCAATCCTCTGGAGTCAACTGCCAAATTGAGAGTATCCCTTCTCAAAAGTCTAGCGAACTGAACTAAAGTATGGAGACCAGTGAATTCTGCATCAAGCTCCGCGGTTTTCCTATTTCTCTTGGCCGCATCTGCGCCCTCTATACCAAGCTAGACACTCTCACTGTGCCAGTCGGAACTCGTGTTTCACCTTACCCTCCACACCAACGTCCACCTTGAACACTCGGCCGCCGTACCGGACCGAATTGGGGAACTTGTCATCGTCACGATCGTCCTTGGCTGAGGTGATGAACAGCTCCGTCCCCACAAAGACAGGACAAGTAGGGTTGCGGGTGGGGAGATCAATCTGCCCGATGAGTTTCCCCTCCGGTGAGATGCGTAGCACCTTTCCTCCTCCGTAAATAGCGCTCCAGAGACACCCCTCGGCATCAATGGCGAACCCGTCGGGCTCCAGCGAGTCTCCCACGTCAAAAAAGACGCGACGGTTGCTGATCGCACCGGTGGCCGCGTCGAAGTCAAAAGCAAAGACCTTGGAGGTGGGTGAATCGGTGAAGTACATGGTGTCGTCCGCGGCGTTCCAGCCCATGCCGTTCGGGATGGTCACCGGGCTCAGCATTGCGTGGACACTGAGGTCCGGGTCCAGACGGTACAGAGTGCCCTCAGCCTGTGGGGACTTGACCTTGGGGTCATTCATGCTACCAGCCCAGAGACGACCGCGGCTATCGACATTGCCGTCGTTGAAACGCATCCTATAGCAGAGGATGTTAAGAGTGGACTCTTATATGCCCCAAGGAGCTGCGACTCACTCCTTGATCTTAGTCTCGTCGTCTCCCCAAGGCTTCGCAACATAAGATAGCTTCCCCGTGGTTTGACTCAGCCGGGCAAAGCCATGCTTGGCACCAGCAATAAGTTCATCTTTCGCGCCGGCGATATTGGCGGTCACACTAGATGTCCGAGGATGAGTGTCAATTGGCGGCACAAAGTCACGACTTCAGACTAGTTCATTGGCCACAATCGACGACACCGCTCAGTGGAGGCGCAACGACTGCTCAATGAAGTAGGAGTAGACCAATGTGAAACTTACCCAACGGAGTCCTCGGTGTCAATCACCTTCAAGGACTCTGGGCCTTGAGCCAAGTCTACCGTGTAAAGTTTGTGGTCCCAAATGTCCACAAATCGGAACTCATTCTTGCCAACGTCGTGAAGAGGATTCTCGAGTAGAGTTCCCGTAATGTCAAGATACGGCTAAGGTGGGAACGTTAGCACGAGCAAACCAGTCAGTGTTGTAGGCCATGGAGACGTTTGATGATTTGATGCGAGGTGCGCGCTGGTGTCTGTGCTGAAGCTTGCCGGACTCCCTTGACTTTTTTTTGTCTTCCTCGTCCATTTGATTGGTCATGTTTGTTTGGCGAAAGCCCAAAGTTGGTCCTCAAAATGAAGATGTCATGATCCAACGGTTGGGGGGGGGGAAGGTCCCTTTGGTACAACCTCCCGACCGCGCATCAATGCGAGAACGACCCATGCTCGTCGGGAGGTTAGGCTCACGGCGATCATAAGGTTTCCATTCCGAGATCAACCCAAACAACAACTGGGATGTTCCTGATACCCCCACAGATATTGTGGTCAAGAGTGTATTCCGAGAATCGTGCAGAGCCATGTATAGGAGAACCGAATATTGCGCACATGAGCGAGAACCGGGAAACATGGGAGAGCGTTCGCAATAAGCTGCAGACCAGAAGAACAACAGCACAAGAGATTCATCCACTGACCTCATGGACCGTCCATCTGGCGATTTGTGACATGTCGATCCCTGCAGGGCCTTTGACCTGAAAATTGCAAGTGACCGACAGCAATGAGACGGGTCTAGAGCAACCGTTGGAGCCGGACGTGCGCGTCAAACCCCGAGGCAACGAACACGACGATTCAAATCGGAGTGTTCACGGGGAAGCGGGCGGAAGAAACAGGTACGGAGTCAAGAGATGTGCTGGACACCGCTCTTTGAGAATTCAGAATGGAAAAGCCGGGGGTTCTGCTTTAAGAGACCAGACGTGGAGAAAGCAGTAAGCCACCCGGTGGATACAGCTCCATGTCCATCTCGGGTATGGTGGGGGAGGATGGCATTTCTGAGGAGCCCCTAACAACTCCAGTCGCGCCCACTCTCTCTTCCTTTTGGGGAACGGAGGAAGTATGGAAGACTGGGACCGATGAGATGGAACACGGGCAGGTCATCAAGGTGCGATTTGGGGACCAACGACGGAGAAGCCAGCGAGCCACACTACTGGAGCAGATCTGGCGTAGATGGGCGAGCGAGATCGGAGTGGGCTCTACTGAAGTCCTGAACTACCTTGGTACCTCGTAGGCTCGTACTGGGCGTCGAAAACTGCAGTCCCTGTGCGCACTCAACACTAAGATGTGAGAAGCCACATCGATGTGAGCTCGAAGTAGTCGAACTGCAAGGGGAGAGAACGAGTGGAAGCCGGATGGAACGACAGATGACAGATGACCAGTTGTTGGGGCGGTCTCGTGGGTAAGTTTGGCCCAACGCGGCGCTGGACGAGTCATGGAGTTGCCTACGGTGACCTACCAAGTAGTAAGACTAAGTACTGTATAACTTACCAGGTACAAATTTGGGTAGTCAATGAATATCTACTAACTTGGTGTATACTACTACTACTACTACTACTAAGCATGTGAGCAAATCAAAGGCTACCTTTACGAATTCCTGATATGGTCGTCATCATATATCCCAGGTACACATGATGCATTACCGTCACTCGCTTTGGTGCACTGACAGTACGAAAATAGTTGACCAAAGGCTTCAATGCCCAACCTTGAAAGGGGAAGACGATTCGAGAACAGCCCAGTTCACATCCGTCGAAAGTTGAACAGTCCCCCATGGTTGAACCTAACCACGCTCCAGGAAAAGGATTGAACCTCTATTATCTCTTGGACAGACATCTATCCAAATTCGTCCGTTCATGTTCCATGGAATATGTCCTGCTCCATGCACACTGGCCCGGTCAAAAAGCCGATCCATCTCCGGGACGGGGAGTGCCATCACGACAACCGAGATCCGCTGGCTCGAACCAGATAGACAAACGTTTATTCAGCATCTTATTCGGACAAACTATCATTTGTGTGCCATGAGATACCAGATTCGATCAAGCGGGAGTCATCACATTTGTTGGAAGAGTATCCCACTCTCACACACCTTGGCTGATGTGAGAAGTGACCTTGATACCTCTGACTAGGCCCGACTAGGCGCCCACATGACCGCATCTGCATGCAAGCTGCAAGAGATATCTGTCAATCCCCTGCCGGTGCTGAGTCCGGCGCTAAAATGCCGATATCTTACCCCTCCTGGGCACCCTGCAGCCTGATTCCCGAGAGACACCAAAACGGACGAAAGGCACGACTTCATGCCTAACCGGAACACCCCAGGTATCCCGGATGCACCCATGCACGACCGCCAAGGGCACTGCCGATTACTACATTCGAACAATCTTGGGCAGGCACTGCGCAACAACAACTCAAGCGGGCAAGAACACAGAGGTGGAGGCATCAAAGCGCATCGAGACACGATGGAATGCATGACATGGCGGGTTTGAAACCTGCAGCAACTTCGTCATCAAAGACCGGGGTACCAAACTCAAAAGACAGGACTTGAGTTCTTGAAACACATTGTTATTCTCCCTGAGTTGGGACCCGGGTCTCTCAACGAGTGGTTGGGTAGCGGGTTATCGTTGAATTGCTCAAAGTGAGGCAGTGCCTGGTTGTTACATTCCATGTTTGCTTGTACACGCTGTTCTGCCAGCAAACAAACTAACGAGATTCGTGTCTGATGTGCATTCGAACTCGGTCGACCAGTGTTTGCGAATCCTATCACCTGGTTCATACCAGGTAGCCAAGCCAGCGTTGGACTTGATTGGAATCAGAGGACATCCACCAGGCTCGTCAGTCCTTTTGGGAAAGCTGTACGTCAAATCACTGCCTGAAGAAAAGCGCTACCCCGGGCGTGAGAACTCATTATAGAGCATCCATGCAGAAAATTGAAAGAAAGCAATCGTGATTACGCAAGAGAATCCAATAGAATATATGTAGTATGGCACGGGCCACCCAGTCCAGCGACCTCACTCCATTTCCAAAGTTTTAAAATGGCAAGAAGCCCATGTATCCGCCAATGAAGACCTGCCAGGCCCTACATGATGTATACACATATTTTCTTAACGCACAAGAACTTAAAAGATGGGCTTATATGACTCCACTCGCATCTAGAGGGGCCACAGCTCATGAAGAGACCGTCAACAGCATCGCGCCCAGAGTTACATGCACAACGCAATCCCCCAAAGAAGCCTTCATTGAGTTGTTGCATCTCGAACAAGTTCCAGTTTCGATGTCAGGTAAATCAACAATACTTTGCTATATAGTAAGTGTTCCCAAGACCGTTGACACGTCATCCCCCCCATCCACGTCACCATACTGCCTCATCCCAATATAATACTGTCCAAAGCTGGAGGACGGCACGGTGCTTCGCTGTCCATGCCTACGAGATCGGTACCTGGGTACTCGAGTTCTCGATCGATCTTCTCCCCTCCGCGTTTTCACCTACCTGATCTAGTTGCCTTGCATCATCCTATGCATGTCATCGGACTAATATGTATGTAAGAGAAGGCATCCGTTGTACTTTGGTTCCTAGACACTACCCAAAAGGACTAACCATCTTCGAACGACCTCAGTAAACGAGTAGGTGGGAGAATATTAAAGCAGCAGACAACGACTGCAACATCCAATCGAACAATTTGATAAAATTGTCTGTCCGAAAAACTAATTCTCCAGATCCGCGAGACACACTTTTGCTCAGACACCTGACGATCATGCCCATTTTAGGTACTCCAATTGATAGTGTCGAGGACGCTTGTAGGTCTTCTCCAGTGGGTATCAATGGCGTACCTGCCCCCTGCATAGTCTAAGAAAACCATTGAATGGCCATCTCCATTGATGCAGGCGGCTTGGCAGGCTCCAGACACGATTTCTCTATTCATCCCGACCATAACAATGTGGACTTCTTCGTCGACGGACATGAGCTGATGACAATGGACCAAGGCAGCTACGCTGTACTCACATACAACGTGTGCGCGGGGAATTCAGATTGAAGTCCATGACAAGACTGCTGGACACTTGATTCATGGTCCTTCTCAGTATGCAATTCATATGATGATCCTTTCGCTTCTTGAATTTACAATCGGCTTCCCATGTTCACATGGACAGCCTTGACCTGTGAGTAAGCATCGAGGCCAGCCTCGCCGAGCTCACGGCCAATGCCACTTTGCTTGACACCACCGAAAGGTACACGGAAATCGCTGTCGTTGCTGCTGTTGATCCACACCATACCAGCCTCGATATCCGCGGCCACCCGGTGTGCACGCTCAATATCACGAGTGAAGACAGCGGCGCCGAGACCGTAGGTGGTGTCATTTGCACGGGTGACGGCCTCATCCTCGGTGGTAAAGCTGGCGATCACGACGAAGGGACCAAACACCTCTTCGCGGTAGATACGCATGTGATCCTTGACATTGGTGAAGATGGTAGGGGCAATAAAGAAGCCACGGCCGTCACCAACATTCTTGAATGCCTCACCACCGGCGGCCAGCGTAGCTCCCTCAGACTTGCCCGCCTCGATGTAGGAGAGGACGCGCTCGTACTGAGCCTTGGTGACCTGAGGGCCCTGGAAAGTCTCGTCCTGGAAGGGATCACCGACCTTGCTAGTGTTCTTGACGACATCTTTGAAGAGTTCGACAAACTTGTCATACACAGAGTCGTGCACGAGAATACGCGACGTGGAGGTACAGACCTGACCTTGGTTATACATGATACCGATGTGAGCCCACTTGGCGGCCTGCTCCAGGTCGGCATCCTCAAACACAACCAAAGGAGACTTGCCGCCAGTCTCGAGCGTGATGTTCTTCAAAGTGCCGGCGGCCATCTTCATGATCTCACGACCGGTTGCGGTAGATCCAGTAAAGGCAACCTTATCTACGCCAGGGTGCTGAACCAGGGCGGCACCGGCCACGCGACCGTAGCCGTTGATAATGTTGATCACACCAGCAGGGAAGCCGGCTTCCTTGATGAGTGTGGCCAAGTACAGAATGCTGAGAGGAGTTTGCTCGGCGGCCTTCATCACGATCGTGTTACCGCACGCGAGGGCAGGTCCCAACTTCCAGGCCGCCATAGCAAGAGGGAAATTCCAAGGAATGATCTGGCCGACGACGCCAATGGGCTGACGCAAAGTATAGGCAAACTTTTGGGGGAACGTGCCGATCGTCTGGCCGTGGACCTTGTCAGCCCAGCCCGCATAGTATCGAAGGGTGTTGGTGACTTCACCGAGGTCGTCGTTGAGCGAAACTTGGTAGGGCTTGCCTAATCGAACAAAGCGTCAACTAATGAGTGCTTGCTTTCTTGAAAATGCTCAACACACGTGCGGCGTGCTTCACATACCGTTGTCCCAGGTCTCGATGGTGGCCAGAGTCTCCTTGTGCTGTTCAATCAAATCGGCAAGCTTCAACATCAAGCGACCACGATCGGTGGCCGGGAGTTCCTTCCAGGACGGGTCCTTCAACGCTTTGCGTGCAGCAGCGACGGCAGCGTCCACGTCCTCTTCGCCGGCGGCGTGTACCGAGGTGATTTCGGCCTCGTTGCTAATGCCAGGTTAGAGAGCTCCCTTCCCTCTCATTGTAGACGGGTACAGGTTTAATAGCAGGACCCACGATGGATTGATTGATGTGATCTTCTCGCCACCCTTAGCAGCCACGAATTCATTGTTGATGAAGAGGCCAATGGGCTGTGTGTAGGAGCGCCCGTTCGGAGCTGTCAATTGTACGGACAGGTTGGACATGACGGCGGAGCGATGGAATTGGCGGACCGAATGGCTCAAGGAAGACACAGCAGAAAAGGTGCGAGAATGGAAGGGGCGTGAGAATCGAGGTATAAGAGACACGAGCATCTTATGTCAGATGAGGGAAGGAGACAATGACATTTAAAAGGGAAATGCTTTGCAGCATCTGCATCGAATCGTGACAAAGCCAAGGTGCCGTACCCCGCCTGCGCGATAGCGATAGCGTGGGAGCCCGTGGAAACTCCGATCGCCGAGACCCACTGGTCCACGACCCCGCCCGCTTTGGTCTGGTCTCGTCGGCTGCACTTACTCTTCAGGGCCAGCCGGCTGCAAGAGTGTTCCCTTGAACTCCGCACCAGAGGGACCGAGGCGCTGTGATTCCGCGCGGAACGGAGTTTGAGCTCTGTGTCTGTGGGCCCGGAACCCCGTCAATCCGATCAAGTCACAGCTTGAATGGGAATTCAATGGCAGAATGACTTATTCTTCTGCCGACTACTTGATGTCGTAGGTCATCACCGAGGCTTGCTCATTGTCTCCGCTCATTCCACGCTCAATGAAATATTCATTGACCTGCTGCAGCATGTATTGAGCACGCCGTCGATGGTCAAGTGGCAAGGCTAACGAAAGCGGAGGGCAGAATACGAAGAAGGTGAAAAATGTCAGATGTCTTCCTCTCATTGCGCCGGGTTTCCTCATCCAAGAACTAAAAATAAATCACAAGCGATGCCCAATGTCAATACAGATACTCCGACTCATAATTGCCGTCACCGCGCCATCATCCCATCGCCAGCAGATACCAATGCCCACTAGCTATTAGCCCGCACTTCTTCACCCGCCATCCTGAGAATGTATCTCCACTGTGCCGGCGTGACTGAAGAGACACTCAACCGCGATTGTTTGAGAGTTTGAAGATTTTCGAGCGCCTTGCCAGGCTGGCCATGAAGTTTGAGGTCGGTGAGGGTGACCGGGTTATTGAACTTCTTGCGAAACTCGACATGTACCACCACCCACTTGGGAGCCGTCGGTGTGGACTTCGGGTCGTAGTATGGATGTTTGGAATCAAAAGCGGACTCTGTGAAATCCCAAATGGTCAATATGATGCTCGAGGACAGCCGTCACTTTGCGAGGATTCGACAAACCGTCAATTGAGTGCTCCCGCACAATCTCCATGATACCAACCACTCCAGGCACTTTACAATTAGAGTGGTAGAAGAAGGCATAGTCCCCCTGCTTCATCTCTTTCATGATATTCCGAGCTGGACACGTCGATTAATCTCAAGAGTTCTTGATCGCGACACGGACTCCCCCTGACACAGGACTTACCAACTGGATTCCGAACGCCTGTTGAGCCAAAAAAGAACACAGTCAGCAAGGCTGTTTATCAGATCTTTCCCATGCTTGACAGCACATACCATCCCAAGGTTCCGGTTCCTTTGCAGCAGCCAAATCATCGATCGAGAACTTGACATCGACCCCTTTCTCTAGACGAGATTCGGGCTCTGCCTTCATCAGCCAATACGAGCGACCGGTATCTTCCAAGGGCGAGCTTTCACGAACAGGCTGACTAGTCGCCCTGTCCTCCTCGTCGGGATCCTCAATCTTGGACTCGGTGTTGGCAACAGGTTCGTCCGTGGTAATGCTCTTGCGAGGACGTCCGCGACCTCTCTTCGGGGTTGTGGATGGTGTTGCTGCTAGCGTCAGGAGAATGTCAGTACTTGTCAGTTGGAATTATGCCTTTGCCGATGCGAAGTAATCAAGCTCAAGACTGACCGGGATTCTTGCGTGGACGACCACGGCCATCCTTCTTTTTGGGCTCTGTAGAGGGAGAATCTGTTGTCGCTACTAGAAGCCGAAATCAGAAATAGTGGTCATCCCATGATTAGTCCGAATTGAGAGCTCACCCTGTTCCTTGCGGGGGCGTCCACGGCCATCCTTCTTGGGTGTCGTGGATGGCTGAGCTGTCGTAGTACCTGCGCAGATAGCAATGCATGAGCGTGTCACCTGCCTTCATACGAGGTGCGAAAGGGGTCTCAATTTACCCGACTCCTTTCGAGGGCGACCGCGCCCCCTCTTGACTCCCGGCGAAGCGGCCGCCGCGGCGGCGGCCGCGATCTCTGTCTCGGAGAGAACTTTGCGAGGTCGTCCACGTCCACGTTTTGGTTCATCAGATGATTTTGTCACTTCATCGGGTGTCTTACGAGGTCGACCTCGCTTTCTCTTCTCTCCAGTCTGGGGGCTGGTTCCAGACTACTTCCAGAGAAGGTTTCGGGTCAGCCAATCTCTCGTCAAGTATTATAAGATGCCCTAAATCTAGACACTAAATAGAGAAATCAGATGCGCTTACTTTTGTGATTTCCTCGACGGGATGGATGGCGCCCGACATTTCTTCTTGAATCTGCTTTGAAGGGCTGCCCGTGTCATTGTCTGACATGGTGGACATGTCGGATCTGCGCTGGGGACAGATGCACTTGGCGGCGCGACTGTCGGGTAAACAGTCTTCGAATCACGCACGGTCGTACTGACACAAACCAGTATTTTCAGTCGCAACAAGTCAGATGATTAGCACTGGTTGGGATCAGTTCAAATGATTGACTTATCGAGAGAAAAGCAGAGACCACAGTAGATGGGAAATCGGACCACTGCCAGAAGCTATCGCCAGTTGAGTTGTTTGCTTGACGCGCCGGTGGGTCCATGACTTCCCCACGTGACACGAGCTTGACTGTTTGTGTTGGCTGTATGTTTCAGGGGATCAAATGGAGCAAATGTGACCACCCCCGTACCTGGATCACGGTCAAAGGACATGAAAGTGACCAAAGTGCCTTAAGTATTCTTGTGCGATCCCACAAAATATGAGAAGAATAGAGCCATAGAAGCTATATCTGTATATTCCTTGATGATGATCTTTGATTCATGGAGACGAGCGAATTACCTAGACAACTTAATAGTACTGGGTCTCCTACCTGTACCAAATGTACAAGACCCACGGGCCATGGGTCCGCGCGCGGAAATGCCCGGTGATGACGGGAAGAGGAGTCTTGGTTCAGAACGAGATTAATGAGCTGTCATCCGAGCTTGAACTCTACACTATTCGGTCAGCTCAGATCAGCCCGTGGACGGTGGTAGTGCCTATGTTACGGTCTGTGTGCCTGGTCCATGACCACTCTCCTAAACCAGCTCATCAATACTACTGCTGACTGCTGACGCTGAGTAATACCGAATTCGGTACCTGATCGGGACTATAAAAGAACATTGTTGTGAACCCAAAGAGAGATAATTCTGACCCAGGGTCATCTTTACTTAGCTTGTCAACATGAAGGTAATTCAAGGTTTAAAGGTATACTGCATGACACTGAACACAGTGAACAGCATGCCGTGAATGGGGCAAAGCCGAGTGGCATCAGGAACATCGTCAAGTATTCGCAGCCCACTTAGCCGACTGCCCAATCACGGGCCTTCTGCCCCTGGGCGGTGAGAGATTGCGTGATAGACCCATCCGCATGAGGTAAGTCGATCATCGATGAACGATGGAGGGGAAACATGCGTCCTCGCGGGGGAAGCTGGCGGGGGAGGGCTATTTGAAGTGACTGCTCTCCTCAAGCCTTGGTCTCGTATCCTCTCGTTACCTTCATTCCTGCCTCATCATCCAAAGTCCTTTTTCATTTTCTGACCTCCTCACAATGGCTACCGAGCGTGCTCCGTATGTATATCCTAGGTCCTCCCTTTCAGGCTTCCAATCTTTACCCATGCTCACACCTCCTTCCCGGCGCTCTTGGATATTCCTCCTGACACTAAGCTAACGGCGGGTCTTTGACAGCCTTCGTCTGGGCTCTACGGCCCCCAACTTCGATGCCGAGACCTCCACCGGTCCCATCAACTTCCACAACTTCATCGGCGACAAGTGGACCATCCTCTTCTCCCACCCCGATGACTTCACCCCCATCTGCACCACCGAGTTGGGCGCCTTCGCCAAGCTCGAGCCCGAGTTCACCGCTCGTGGTGTGCAGCTCATCGGTCTGAGTGCCAACCACGTCGAGTCCCACCACCGGTGGATCAAGGACATTGATGAGGTCTCTGGCTCCCAGCTCAAGTTCCCCATCATCTCCGATCCCGAGCGCAAGGTGGCCTACCTGTACGACATGGTCGACTACCAGGACACCACCAATGTGGACTCCAAGGGCATGGCCCTGACCATCCGCTCCGTCTTCATCATTGACCCCGCGAAGAAGATTCGCCTCATCATGACCTACCCTGCCTCCACCGGCCGCAACACCGCCGAGGTGCTCCGTGTCATTGATGCTCTCCAGACCACCGAGAAGCACGGTGTCACCACCCCTATCAACTGGCTGCCCGGGGACGACGTGGTCATTCCTCCTCCCGTCTCCACTGCCGATGCCAAGGCCAAATTTGGCGAGATCCGTGAGGTGAAGCCCTACCTCCGGTTCACCAAAGACCCTAACCACTAGAAGGGGCGTCCCATGGCGATTCAATTAGAGTTTTATGACGTGAAACGAATAAAGATGAGATCTCTCTGAAGCCTATATTGCTTAATCTACCTTCTGTACTCTCCGCCGGACCAACGGTCGGGAGCAATGCGATACAACGTGACATGCTTTTCCTAGCCTTCTGTTTCGCCGATTTCACCTATCTCCGTAGACCAATTGTCCGATGGCCAGAACCTCTGCTGGCATCTATACGAATCCGTGACAATGAAAAGCTACTATACGCTCCCTGGGGTTTGTTTCTGAAATTGCCTTTTCCGCTCGCCCGTGCTACTTGGTCCGCTGTCAGGACGCAACTGTAGCGGTCGAGCATGCCCCGATTTAAGCAAGTGGGCCCTGTCCCGATGAGAAGCATGTCGTGTTCCACTTGATTGGAGGTCTAACGGCCGGGGCGGGGTGAATGTCCGTTTTCTAGAACAAATTGATGAAACGGAAAGGGGCTCCGGCCAAAGTTCTTAAGAAGTTGAGGCCGGAGACAGGACGATCCAATATACAGTACCTTCACTGTTCTAGATGATCATTTTTGAGCCAGTTGCCTCAAACTTTGGTGCGACTCTGGAATCTGTGACCGAAAACTACTGATCACTCAACGTGGTGGCTCGTGATATATCGACCCGTATAAAGAGTGTACCTCGACTGCAGGGAAACCAAAGCAGATTCGGGTGCGAGTCACTTCCCCCACTTATCACCAAACCGAGGTGAGACCGCCTTTTTTTTGTGCCGATCTGATGGTCTTGTGTACACTACGCTGTCAACGTTTCCCTTCCCACCTCAAAGATCGTCGGGGTTGTCGGGCGACATTTTGGGAATTCTTATTCTCCACTACTTAATCACCAACCGGCCTCCGACTAAGCCACTCTTGCAACAGCGGAGAGAGCATCATCTGCACATTCGCATTCCCAACCTTCCCGCCTCGCGACATTATCCTCCCAGCTCCCACCAAGAGCCTGCGATTTGTGGAGGATCTTTGGCCCATTGATTGCGCGCGCACTCTGGCTAGCTCACAAAACATTTCGCTAGCGGCGCTCTTCTTCCACAGAACTATCACTGTGAGGACAAAGCGCGTCTGCTATTAAATATACGACCCCAGAGAGAGGAGAAAAAAAGGGGTCACTTCCGCAAAGCTACTAAGCACTAGGCACTTGCAGTGGTCCCTCCTACGGTAGCTGCTCGCGATCGTCATCCCCCCACCACGAGCCCTGGTGGTGTGCCACCAAACAACTCGTTCACCATGATGTCGAGAAGCCAGTCAAGTCTGGGGTACATGGATACTGTCCACGAGCCCGTGGCGCAGGGCACATCTCCCTCGTTCCAACAACAGTCCGCGACAGGCCCCATCAACTTATCCGGTCTCGTCTGCAATCTGCGCAGAACCACCGGCAAAGAACCTCCCCCACTGGTGGGTGCGACCACGACGATTCTAGGCGACAAGCTCTACGTCTTCGGCGGTCGAATCCTCTCCCGCAGTCGCCCACAGTTGACCTCGGATCTATATGAATTGTGCTTGATCCGTCGACATTGGGCTCGAGTGGAGCCGACGGGAGATGTTCCCCCAGCTCGGTACTTCCACAGCGTATGTGCGCTGGGTGACAACAAGCTGGTCTGCTATGGAGGCATGTCGCCGGCACCCAGCTCGCCCCGAGATCCTGCGAATCCTGGCGCGTCTGGTCCAGAAAGCCAATCAGAGGTCGTTGTCATGTCAGATATCCACATCTTCGACGTTCCGTCGCGAACCTGGACCCGCGTGGCCGCTCATGAGTCGCCGCAGGGCCGATACGCGCACTGCGCAACCATTCTACCGTCGAGCGCTGCGTTCACCTCGGCAAGTGCACCACTGTCGGCCATCCACCACAACCCCGAATCTACGACGCCACACCAAGGCTCGATCGGAGTCGATATTGATGGGTTTGGCGGGGCCGAGATGGTCGTGGTGGGTGGCCAGGATAGCTCCAACCGTTACATCGAGCAGATCAGCGTGTTCAATTTGCGCAGTCTGAAGTGGACAAATACTAGTCCGCTGGGACGCAGCTGTGGTGCCTATCGCAGCGTGGTGGCGCCCCTCGTGGGCATGGACGTCTCCGAAGTTGGCTCTGCGGCTCCAAATCGAGAGTCGCATGAGCCTATCGAGAAGGGGGATTTACCTGGCTGTCCAATGCTGATCTACTCGAACTACAACTTTTTGGACGTCAAACTAGAGCTGCAGGTGCGTCTGCCGGACGGGCGTCTTGTCGAGCGACCGATGCCCGTCCAAGCCTCCCCGCCCGGGCTACGATTCCCCAATGGCGGAATCATAAATGGTCACTTTGTAGTGAGCGGCACATACCTCACCTCTTCCAAGCAGGAGTATGCGCTTTGGGCGCTTGATCTGAGGACCCTGACATGGGGCCGTATCGACGCAGGCGGGTCAGTCTTTGGTCACGGCAGCTGGAACCGTGGTATTCTGTGGCCACGTCGCAGCACTTTTGTCGTTCTCGGACACCGCAAGCGCAGCTTAGTGGAAGACTACAATCATCGACGGATAAATTTCTCGCACGTCTGTCTGGTCGAACTGGAGGCCTTTGGCCTCTACAACAACCCATCAGAGACTGCCTCCACCTCGGGATATAAATCCCACAGTGCCCCCTCGGTACCAGCGTCTTTGCAGCAGAAGCTCTCGCAGCTGACAATGAGTGGACGGCCACTATCTGCAGCATCCGATGAATTGGGTAGGCTGGCACTATCACTGCAAGAGATGTCAGATATGGAGTTGCAAGCTGTCGGGGGAGAACGCCTGCCTGTGAACTCACGAATACTTGCTCGCAGATGGGGGCCGTATTTCATCCAGCTTCTTCGAGAGTCGTCTGATAGCGGTGCTCCGGATGCCATGACTCTTCGTGCAGGCCCCATTCCACCGAATCGAAATTCGATTATTACCATCACCCCTTCAGTGGGACCTCAGAGTACCTATTCTAATGCCACGACATTGGTTAACTCCGCGGTGCCCTCAAAGGCGCTTCTTGAAAACTTGGAGGCTCCCTCCGCTCACAGCCTTGCGCCAACCTCCCGGCCACGCGTACTTTATCTACCACACACCATCCTCACCCTCCAAGTCCTTGTTCAATATCTCTATACCTCATCACTCCCTTCGCTCGGCTCATCCCTGTGTACCCCTCAAATTCTCTGTTCACTGCTTCAAATCGCCCGCCCCTACCAGATAGACGGACTCCTTGAAGCAACGGTGGAGCGTCTACATCAAGTTTTGGACGGACGCAATGCCGCAGCCATCTTCAACGCCGCTGCAATGGCGGCCGGCGGCGGTCGTGGTACTGGATTCACGGGAGGCTTGGGCGGGACCCTCGAAGCCTTGAACGGAGCCAACAGCAGCCGCAAATCCCCCAACCAAGCCGGAACGAACTCGCAGCAAAGTGTCCTCCTGGCTTCTGACTCTTCCGATACCGAGCACGGCGGCATCACAGCCCCCTCCGCATCCAGCAGCAGCAACGACCTCGCCGGTCTCACCCGCGGTTTACCCTCGCTGCGCATCAACACCAACCTCTCACGATCTCGCAGTCGCTCACGCATGCGTCGCGATCGTGACGACTCCATCAGCAATCCCAGCACAGCGACGTCCGCCTCGAGCGCGAGCTTCAGCCAATCTGATTCAGAATTCGTAAGCGACAGTGAAAGCCGGGCCGCGTCCCGTGCACACCACCGCCGTGACACCGATGCCCAGCTCCGCCCCGAGCGAGAAATCTGGACAGGTGATCTGAGCAGTGTGATCGGGTTACAAAAACGAGGTCTGCGAGGGCTCATGGAAGGAAGAAGAATGCGTGAACGTAGTGCCAAGCCTCCCAGTGTCAGCAGCGCGTCGGCGTCTGGGATGCTGCCTTCAGCCGGGTCAGATTATCATCTCCCTGCGCAGGGTGTAGCTGGCTAATGTCGAGCTTGGCCTATTTCTGTCCTTTTTTCTTGGCACTCGTGCAGCATGCTTTGTTCCCTGCATTGTCTATCTATTGGAATGTGATACCTGTTCTCAGGAGTTTTATGTTGATGATGAATGGATCTTCGTCTTACGGTAGCTGCCACTGTCCTTTTCCCGAACAACCCTTTGAATCTAGACCCTGACCTCGACCTCTCCATGTTGCGTCTTCTATCTTCTGTAAGTATTCCAATTCTCTACTTGAGTTCTAGATTTCATATGTGGATGCCCTGATTCCTCATGACGGGCAGAGTTTCGAGCCCGAGACCGGACCTGAATGATTTCCTTTTGCACCTCATCCTTCCAGTCAACCTGGGCAATCAATCAAACCTCATCTCTTCTGGTGCATCCTAACTTTCTATATATAAATACCCGACGTTACATCTGACGCCCCTATCCGGGGCCATGGAATTGAAGACCCAAGATCTCTAATCAAAGTAATGGGTCGATTGAGACAACCAGTAAAACCAAGTCAAGGACGCCATATATAATACAGGATCATATGCAAGGGAGATTGAGTGCGATCAGAACTACTGTGCTCGAATAGGCCAGAACTTAGAAGTAGGTGTCGGTCATATTTACGAAGATTCAGATTGCGAGGACTGGAACCGCTGTGCTGGCTGTGCTGGCTCCGTCATGACCAGCCTCTTGGGCTGTTTATCACCATAAACTAAGTCGAGCATTAGAAAAGGATACCCATGCCCTGAATAAGCAGGAACGACCAAGGGAAATGCTCTACAACAACAACAATAGCAACAACGAAGTCCGTATAAAGGTGCAATGGGAATATATTCATGTAGATAACTTACCACGTTCGTACAGAATCCACGAGGTATAAATCACAATTGGTAGCGCCACAATTGAAGACAGCCATCTTGAGTCAAGGATAATCGCATTAGTACCATTTCGCGTCGCATCGAATATCCGTTCTCGAATACATCACACCAGCCAAGAGACGCATGAGTATGGATCCAGATACCTATCGAGCTTGCTAGGGATACGATACGAATGACTTACCGTCGCGCCGCGACCTTGTACTCCTTAGTCTTGCGGATATCTGCTGGATTTAACGGGCGAGCTGCCGGGCGTGGTAGTGGCGGAGGTGCCGGGCGCTCGTGAACAATGGGCTTTTGCACAGGACGGAGTTTGGCATGTGGAATTGGAGCCATGTTGTACTTGTGGATCTATTTCAGAACTTGGGAAAGGGAAGGCTACGGGCAGACGAATCGATGTGAAAGAGACTCTGCCAGGTTGATGGCGGAGGACTGATAAGTGATGCCTCAGGCAGCACACAGTTATGGAGACACTTTGCTTGCCTGAGCATGGCGATAAATATGCCTGTTCATTGTCTCTTAAAAGCCATCGATTTGAGAAGCAATTTTACTAAGAAGACTGAACATTGAATGTGGTGAAGAAATGTAAGATTGCAATAATTACTTGCATTATGCTGGGTATCACAAAAACACGCTATGAAAGATGGAAATTGCCAGTCACCTCAAAGCGCCCCAAAACACCCTTCTGCAAGTCTCGTCGATCCAAGAGAGGAGACAATGCTAGCCTGTTATCTTCAACGCCCATTGGTGATCGCCGAGCCGATTATGAAAGCGGATATGGAAAGGCGAGAAGAGAGCTACGGCAGGGAACTGTTGGAAACCGGGTAGTCGAGTGTCTCGGTGAGTAACCCCAGATGATCTCTCAAATCCACCTCAGTCTGAGTTCATTCTCAAGTCAGTCCTTGCATAGAAGAGGCTCAGTCTCCCGTCAGCGACCGCGGAAATAGAGATCGCTATGGTCTACGGTCTCAAGCGTCCGCCTGGCCTTGACCACGTCCACGCGAGCTTCGTCGGGTCCCCTCCACGCTCTGCGGCTTTACCGTGATGCGAAGCCGCTGGACCTTCGATGACGGTGTTTCCACCTCTCCGGGAGAAGACGGCTGTATCTTCGCACTAGGCTTAGCCTTGTTTGATCTCAGAGCGGGAGTCTCGCGTGGGGTCTGCTTTTTTGACGCAGATTTCGACGTAGAGGCCAGACTCTCGACTGCCCGCCGCTTACTGGCTCGCTGACCCTTTTGAGAATCAGGAGTCGCAGGCGAATTCGTGAGACCATCCGCGGCTCCATCGCCAGTCTCCACCAGGCGACGCTTGCGACCACCTTTCTGGGCCTCTTTTTGGCCAGCCAGGGCTTTTGTGCCCCTGGCTGGCGCCTTTCCATACCCCTCGGACTTGTCGTCTTGTTGTGATGTCACGGTAAGGGCGAACGGTGAATTGCGCTCACCGATGAGGGGCGGGTAACCGAGTTCGAAGTCGGTCATCACCTGGATCTCTGGCCGAGCTCGAATGGGAGGATGAGGGAGCGACTGGTCCCCATAGGTGTGCGGGGCACGGTCAAGGCTGCAGTCAGCGGGCATCAAGATCAGCTCCTCGCCTTGGTCATTCACGCGACCCGTATGAGCCCAATTATCCTCGTCCACAAAAGGGGCCGTGGAAAGCTTGAGTTTGAGGATCAGTTTGTCTTTGGCTTGAGCTGCCGGGGGTTCATCGACCGAAGAATGGGGAACAACGGCTTCTGGGGCGTGGCCACTGGCGTCCTGCTCTTTGCTCAGACCAAACTTTTTACAACGGGCGGCCCGCAAATCTTTGATGAACTGCTCTGCGTTGGTTGGGCCCGTAAAATCTGGTTCCAAGGCTGCCGCAGCTGCTTCAAACAGCTTTTGGCCTGCACGGGCAATGGTAATTTGAATGCGTTGCACAGAACCCTTCAACGTATCTTTGTCCTTCTTGCCCTTGCGAGCAGCCACTTGAGGCGACGGCTTGAGGACTTTCTGGCCCTTCTTGCGGTCAGACTCGGGCTGATTTTCAAGGTCAGATTGGGTCTTTGGTGTGACTGCGGCTCTAGTGCCCCGCTTGAGCCCATTCTTGAACGTGATTTTGGAGAAGCTACCGGTACGTCCGGAAGAGACTGTTGTGGCAGACGCAGAGGAAGCGATAGAGGCGGGGACAGTGGGAGCAGTGGGAGCAGTGGGAGCAGTGGGAGCAGTGGGAGCAGTGGGAGCAGTGGGAGCAGTGGGAGCAGTGGGAGCAGTGGGAGCAGTGGGAGCAGTGGGAGCAGTGGGAGCAGAGAAATTTGAAGAAGGATCAGGAGCAGAACCCTTGTTAATAAAAAGTGGGACATCTTTCTTTTGGCTTCGCGTTTGAGTCTTTGGCTGAGTTTGCATGGCCTCTAGGGCTTTGGCCGTCGGCTTGCGAAGGCGGGTCGACGACCGAGTGCCGATAGATGAAGCAGTTGGAGAAATGCGGGGATCAGAAGCGCCTTCTATGCCCGCGCCTCCCATGTATTGGCTGTATGTCCACCCAGTTGAGCCGAACGACTCCGACAGATCATGTTCTGAATATGTGGATCGAGGAGTTTCAAACGCGGCCGTGCGCCGAGTTCGACGGCTACTCGGGACTGATTTCAGTGCCTCCGCGGAAGGAGGGAAGACGGACGAAAGTCGTGATGGTCGAGGCTTGAATGTGCTTCGGCGTGTTGACGTTACGTCGGGAGAGTGTGTAGACGACTGAGGAGGCGTGCGTGAAGGGGATTGAGGTTTTGAGTGTGGCGCAGATCGAGAAGCGGTTGAAGGAGGTTTGGGAGTTTTGGGAGGTTTGGGGGTTTTGGGTGTCTTAGGAGTGTAGAAATGTATGTTGAGAGGCGGTCCAGCAGACTCGGAAGTGTTGGAAGAAGGAACAAGTGTGGTGTCGGAGGAGTCGCTGAGAGCTTTTGTGTCTGGTCCGGCGAGCGAAATCCGTCGAGAACGACGGGAGGGCGCCGAAGATGATACTTCATGTTTGACTTGGGCAGGCATCGACTTGCGACTGGCTTTTTTGGAAGGCATTCTGAACGTGAAAACAGGTAGATACCTAACGGAGCCAGATTGCGAAGTCAGTTTTGGAAAGAGGGGAAGTATAGCAAAGGGCAGTAAGGCAACGAGCTCCAAACAGATTAAGCCCTACTCATGAATTGGAAGAGCCAAGTCTGTATGGTACAAGTGATAGTGTGCCGACCAGGCATCGATTCCAACACGACGACGTCAGAAGCTCTCCATATCTCGGAGAAGGGCCAACACCGCGCGGAGTCGGGGTTAGGTCGCGGGCAGGGTTGACCAGTAGCAGGCACTCACAGGTTCAAGTTGTCCCAGGCTGCTCGTTCAAGGCAAACTGATCCCCAGGGAATAGCAAATACACTGCTGCCGTATTCCCGCAGCCTTCAGACGCAAACCAGAATGTTCCGATGGATGCAGACTCGAGGGGACGTGAAGTCGGGGCAGAAAAGAAATTAGGGCTATTTTGGCCCAGGCTAATCGGTCCTTATCGGCCTCGGCCGTTGTCCGCCTTCATTCTGCAACCCGAGCGCATCCCCAAACAGCTCCGCGTACCTTTCTTGAAGTGATATCTCTCTACTTGTGTAATCGACAATCCTTTCTTTCTCTCTTGTTTCATAATGCATTTGTGGCAGGCCACTCTTCCAATCTGCCTGCTGGTATCAGTAGCCCTGCCGGTAGCCGCCACATCGGCTTGGGGTTTCGCAGATGCCACCGTGGCAGTTCAACCTAAAGGCGCCGGGATCAATGGGGGGTTCAAAGAGCAGTGAGTGGCCCTGGTAATTTGTACATTCGGTGTTTTGAGGCTCTGTGCTTACTGACAATTCTTTTTCCGATAGGTTTGACTCAAAGAAGCCACTCTCGAAGCCTATTGCGTTCACCGATGTCGACTCTTTGCGTGTCATCTTGACAGCTAAGGAGGGGAGCTCTTCAAAGAGACCTCACCAGGCATTCCTCTTGCTGAAAGATGAAAAGAATGGTCTGGACGTATCATATCCATTCACGGTGAAGGAAAACGGAAAGGCTCGCTTGGAGTTGGTGCGTTGGTTCACTCTTGAACTGGATGACCGTGCATTAACCAAATAAATAGACCCAGAAGGAATTGCCTATCCAATTCCTATCCCTCACCGACCCCATCGATGCTCGCGTGGTCATTGGATCATTCGGTGAATCCAAGGCTTATGACTCTTCGGTCTTCAAACTAAAGATTCAACGAGACGCCAACGTTCCCCTGCCAACTGCGGTGACTTCGCGCTATGGCAAGCTTCCTGAAATTCATCACATTTTCAAGGATTCTCCGTCAAACCCCCCCATTGTGATCACACTTGCATTCACAGCTGCTGTTGCCGCTACCCTCTCCGTCTTGGGATTTATGGTGAGTCTGTTATAAAACTGCACATGTTGGACTTGGCTGACTATTAACTCTTTGCTGCACAGTGGCTGTTCCTCGGCGCGAACCTTGGCCATCTCCCCACCGCGATCAAGAATGCGCCCCTACCTCACGCTATTTTCCTTGGGTCTTTGTTCTCATTCGAGGGCTTGTTCTTCCTCTACTACACCTCTTGGAATCTGTTCCAGCTTCTACCTGCCGCCGCCGTGGTAGGCGTGGTGGCGTTTGTGAGCGGGAGCCGCGCACTGGGTGAGGTGCAGGGGCGTCGGCTCGCTGGTCTTCGTTGAGAGGCTCAGGACATGTGAATAACAGTAAGGGCGAGCAGACTGCGACTCGAAATGTGGCACATCCACTTACTGCGGCTAGGATTTGGTGGTCGGGCTATCGCTATTATATCTCAGGAATATGATGCGAGTCATTGTGTCGTTGTCGATCAGTTAACACTGGATGTTACCCTTGAATGCCAATTGATTAAGGTTCACGCAATGTTCCATTGGCGAGTAGAAATAGACATAGACAATTGATTCATATCGCTTCTATGAGCCTCTGGAGTATTGGCGAACTCTGGCTGAGTACGCCTATGTCAGTCTGAGCCTGTACGGCCCTCTGGAGCTCAATTCTCGTATTCCCGCCAGATGCTGCGTCTGTGGTGGTAATATATGTGGATGGGAAAGACATCCCGGTTTATGGATATCACGATAGTCATCGTAGCCGCACCAAAGAGATGTACCAGGTACCTCACTGCCGTCGTCGATGTCGGTATCTTTTGTGTATGATATATTGCCGCACTCCACTCTATCCAGCGAATCTATCCATGCAATGAGTGCAATTGATGTGACCTCCATGCAACGGCGGTGAGCTGCATCAGTATTTATTGAATCAAAGTGCCGTTTTAGTGCCAGATACACCATCTTTCAAGTTCCTAGCGAGAAGTTTGGACTGTTCAAGAATACTGGCCCAGACATATACCAAATTTCCGCATTTTGACGTCACCCAATCGGCCTCATCGCAATCACGGATGCCAAGCCTGACCTCCGCATTTCTTCCGTATCTTCGCCGCAAAAACAACGAACACCGTGCCAACCCCCCATTTTCTATATTGCAATCTTCAAGAAAGTATGGGGTCTGCCGCATCAAAGCCAGCGAAATCTGCTGCAGGCGCAGCTGCACGTCGACAGTATCCTAAACAGGCACCCGTGCCGCCAAGGGTACCCTCAACCGCTGCAAAGACATCGCAAGCAACCCAAGCACCATCTCCTCCCACGCCCGAATTCGCACCCAGATCACAGAGTCAGGCTCCTCCTTCAGGGCCGAAGTATCACTCTGAGGAGCAGCCTTCCAGCCACAAGACAAGCGGTATATCCTGGACTTCCTTAACAATTACTCGCGTCACAAAACACCATACTGACTTTTGTGCGACTGCTCTAGCTATTGATCTCGACGGCCGAGATCCGCACTTTGCCGCCTCCCTCCGCAACCTCGGCCCTGTCACACCGTCGCCTACTCTATCCAACTCCAGCACTGTCAATCGTGGGCCCATGCAGTCTGTCTTCCCGTCCGCCTCAAATCCAGCCTTGCTCGCGTTGGCGGCTCGTCAACGGGTTGCGGAAGCAGCGCAGAAAGAATTCGACGAGCTCGCACACGGAAGTCAGGCAGGGAGACAATTTTTGGACGCCTTCACAATCTCACAGGCGTTGACAATGCGCGATCAGCAGAAAATGGCCAAGCGGGACATTGAACGTTCACTCAGAATGAAGGAGGGAGTCATGGACCAACTCGGAAAGGATGGGCTCGTGTCTAGAGTTTCTCTGTAGGAGGTTCTCGAGCCCCTTGAATATGAGACGAGAGGTTTGAGCCACTGGCAAGAAAAAATTGGTGATATGGTGCCCTTTTCTCCTGGAGTTCATTTTGGGATGGTGTTTGGCGTGCAAATCAAAGCTCTAGGTATCTTCCCTGTACAATACTCGTCTGCTAACAACCTCATCCATTGGTCAAACCAACTCTTGCAATTATCGACTCCCACAAATATACCGTGCGCAACTTATGCGGCATTCATGCGCTCGTAGTCACCTTCCGCTCTTGCAGTTGCTATTATATCATGCCGCGCGCCTCGGGTGCGGTGCGATAACCCAGTTGAGAACTCTGCACAGTATCAGCTCATTGATGGAATCTCTACTTGTGCATCAAACATTGATTCCGTTCGATTCATATCTTCGCATGTCTCGGTCTCATAGTTGTCGTCAAGGGAAGATGTCCATACCTAAGGTATACTTCACGCGTGCTATATCAGCTGGACGTGTCCGACCAGCGAGGATGCTCTTCTCTGGAAAACCTCTGTCGCGGATCATCCATAGGCCATCGACAGGACCCTATTCTGTGTACAGAATAGGACGAGCTCTGATATGTTCCACATCCATGGACTTCCAGTGAGACCTGGGAAAGCTGGAACGGAAAGCTGGAACTATTGAAATCCTCTCCTTCTCGATTACTCTCCCGCTCAAGTCATATTGAGAACTTCCATAGTCCGGTAGAAGTCGGAAGGAAAAAGTGCGTGGACGCGTCAAGGTATTCCCAGGAGAAGGGGTAAATCGATCAAAGAGTCAAACCCATATCTATGGGAAGAAAATAAGCTTTTGATTGAATCATAGGAATGCAACGGAACATTACGGCATGAGCCTAGAGTTGTGGTCGGAATGATGTAAAGAACATACCCACATTCAGCCTGTGACTTCAGCTGAGCCAGTAATCGCCAAAAACCCCGGCCGGAAAAGAGTAATGAATAGCCGCCCGAAGAAAATGGAATGCCCGGAGACATTGAAAACACTTGGAGTTGTGTACTTACTACTCACTACTCGGTGTACTCGGTGTACTACTGTACCTAGGTATGTACTCAGTGCTCACTGCTCACTGCCTTACCTCTCAGTGTACTCACTTCACGTACTGTAGTCGGGTAATGGGTCATTGCCAACCTTTCCGAACCGTTCAACGGAGCAATGCTAATTTAAAACATAAGCGCCCATTCTGAACAGCTTACCTAGTCCCTTCAGCAAGAAGATATCATAATGCTTGAAATGAAGTGCTATAGGGTTGGGCCAAAGGCACACAGACTTGCCCGAGGGGGCTGCATGATACTAGTAACCTAGTAAGCCTCGGTGGTACCGCTGGAAAGGTTTAAGGTTTTTAAAACGGACGCCTCAGGCAAAAGTCCTCACGGCTAACCTGCCGGCTTAGCCACTGTCATCACCTTATTCAGGAGAGGTCCGACTGATCCAGCCAAAGTCTCCAGCGCCACTTGCGACGTTGACATTGATATGGTCGGGTTGAGTTTAAATGACGTCTCTCGTATTGTATTGATGTACCTGCGTGGTCTGGAGTGGTCCCGCAAATTGTCATCAAACATTCAGGCAATGTAACATAGTGCTTCGAGTCCAGTCTAGAAGGATTGGATTGACATGCTCAAACACTTTGCTTATACATTAGCTCTTTGCCGTTTCATCCGACCAAAAGTCGCCGAGTCTCCTAAACTCCGGAGTAACTGGGGGGCCGATCGAAGAACCACGCCTCGGACTGATTTGATTCCTTCAGGTGGTCGTCCCGAGTGGAAACTCGCCGGCCTGCCGTTCGGTGACAGACTCAATGTGGCAAATGCCCTCCGTGTGGCGGCCCGAAAATTTGCTTGGAATCTTGATCCTGCAGCCGGGAGGAGCACGTCTCACGGCTCAAGGCAATTCTGGACCGAACTTGAAGTCGGGCACTTTTCTTCAACCCCTGCTTGACACGTTTTCGCAACAACCTTAATTTCTTTTGCCATGTGAAAAGGGACAGACCCACCGAGATGGGCGGGACGACGTAACGACTGCCACGCTTCATGGAATATCCACCTTTGCACTCCACTGGAACCGCACATCGGTCCTCGAGATGATGAGAAATCGAGGAGAAAAGCTTGGAGGCAGTCGGTGGCCTTCTGGGAAATCATTTAAATGAAACCCAATCCCGGCCAGAGGACATCACTTCTTTGAAATATCAATTTAATCAATCATCTTACCACCACTAATCCCCTCTCTACGATCGTCACTCCACCTCCTAACGGCTCCCAAACCCCCCCCCCCCATCTTCATAACCAACATGAGCGTTACATTCGACGTCTTCCGCGGCTCCAAGGAGGGCAAGATTGTTGCCGACAAGACCACCCGTACTCTCGGTCACAACGAAGTTTTCATCGAGACCACGCATTCTGGTCTTTGCGGCACCGACGAGCACTTCCTGCACTCCGGTCAGGTTCTCGGACACGAGGGTGTCGGTGTTGTGCGACAGGTTGGCCGTGACGTCACCAACGTCAAGGTTGGTGCGCGCGTTGGATTCGGATACACTCACTATGTGTGCGGAACTTGCGAGAAGTGCTTGAGTGGTATGCGATGCTCTGTGATCCCCGGCATTTCACTTGGGAGGTTCATGGAAGCTGACTTGACAATCAATGACAGGCTGGGATCAGTACTGTGAGAACAAGAAGGAATACGGTTCCCATGATCACGATCTGGGATCCTTTGGCCACGGTGTTGTCTGGGATGCTGGCTGTGTTGTCCCCATCCCCGACAACTACGACTCCGCCGATGCGGCTCCTCTGATGTGCGCTGGCGCCACAGTCTGGACCTGCTTGACCGAGTACGGTGTCCGCCCCACTGACCGCGTTGCTGTCATGGGTATCGGTGGTCTTGGTCACTTGGCCATCAAGTTGGCTGCTGCCATGGGCTGCCACGTCGTGGTCCTGTCCAGCTCAGAGGCCAAGCGCCAGGAGGCTATCGAGTTCGGTGCCTCTGAGTACCACGTCTTCAAGGCCGGTCAGGAGATGAAGGACTTCAAGCCCGTGAACCACCTGCTGCTCTGCGGTAGCGCCAGTGTTGACTACCAATCGTGAGTCTATCGGAAAAGTCATGACATGAGAGATGATCGTTGAACTAACATACTGCGATCTAGCCTGATCCCCCTGATGGACATTCACGGATCCATCTATCCCTTGACTGTCGACATGGCCCCTTCACCCGTTCCTCTGCTTTACATGAACATCAAGGGTGTCCGTATCCAAGGCTCCCTCGTTGCCTCTCGCCGCAGCCTGCGCTCCCTGATGAACTTTTGCGCCGAGAAGAAGATCACCCCAACTACAATGACTTTCCCTCTGGATGTTGAGGGTGTGGAAAAGGCCATGCAGACTCTCCGTGATGGCAAGATGAGATACCGCGGTGTTCTCGTTCGCCAGTAAATGATTATGATTGTGTGATATTTGAGATACCTTTCCGTTGTGTATAATTCCCTTACAAAATAGACTTTACATCGACGTCCACTACTTCTTCGCTCTCTCACCGAAATGATCCCCTCCAAGAAGAAACCTGTTGTCCATCATCGGCCAACAATAATAGCTACTACTGTAAATCAAGGAGCTTAGAGATGCTGGAGTACAGTACATTGGGAGGAGAGGTATTCTCGGAGGCAAAGAGTCCACATCAGTACAGCTCTCCAGGTATTTGATCCAATGATACAGTGAGTGGTCATCCTTCTTTCGAAAATCATGAAGAACCAATACCCGAGTAACATGTCACCTCTTGAGCAAATAGCGCCCACGCGAAGACATGAGCATTTCTCCTCTCTCCTGGCTGCGACACATTAATCCCAATCTTGGCGCGACGCAATGAAACTCCCTACCTGTCATTTACCCCGATCCGTCCTCAATGCGAGTATCGTTTACCAGCCTACCCGCCCATTCAACTGGAAGTACCCCGGTTTCCAACGTTCGGAATATTCTTTGCGGGCGGTATGTTTGCGCAATATCCTGCAGCGTCTTCAGATTGGCGGTACCGTAATTGTGCAAGACGTCCTGGAACTGGCTAGCGTAGCTCATGTACAGATAGAGTTCTTCTATACCCATTTCAGTCGCTCGTGCATTAATCACTCTGTTCAGAAAGATTGGCCGCCACCTAGACGATGCGCAGATCGTCGACGCGATTGTCCCATCGAAAGACCGAGTTCAGTAGCATAAGTGGGTACTCCCGGGTAGATATTCTAAGTGGGTTACCACCATTCTTCTTCATATGATGAAACATGTTCGTGGTGATGACCTGCATGATGCACCTTGCCTCGAGGCCGTCTAGATTACCAAGGTGGCTCGTTTCTTCCATGAAAGTCTTAGCAATAATGGCCGCAAGCTCGCGATCAAGCTTGTGAGTTGCTGTCCAATGTGTGCTACGGTGACCGTCGGGCTGATTCTGGGCATTGTCACACACAAAGCCATGCCGACCTGATGGGTAAGATATTCCCCCTTTTCATCCATACTCTTGGTCAGCATTGGCAAGGTGTCTTGCGTATAGAAGATCATCTCATCTCCGAGCGTCAATCCGCCTACGCCAACAGATCCTGTCCACCCGCCCGGAATAGTGACATGTTCCTTCTCTAGTTCTTGGAGGACACGATGCCACCGATTGCCAGCCCCGATCTGGGCAACTGAGTTGTTGTCTGTCAATTTCACGGAATTAATCCTCGCGAGGCGGATGGCCCCCTGATTTGACTGCAAAGGGACAGGGTGCTGCGGCTATTAGTTCTATTGCATGAGAAACATGACTTGCGTTTATGGGCAGGAAGAAGCAGCTTGGACGAGTTTCGGATTGTTGTCGAGTGAAGAATGATCCTTGTTGGGCCGCGTAGCCTGCGTCTTCTAGAAGGACAATAGTCCCAGGCAAGTTCGTAGAGAGTGTTTGGCACTAAAGCACAGATTGTTCAGCAGTCATTCAATCAAGATGGTTCACTCACGATTGATATGCATCGGTCTGTAACTTGTACAGTAGTCCGAGCCAAATTTGACATGGGTCTATTTGAAGATCTTTTCCCAGCGGCCTCACCAGAAGATTGGCCAAATTTGATTCATGCAGATGAGGCCCTACAGATCGCAACTCAGTTGGACCGAGAGTCGATTGTATTGCTTGAGAACCCGGGTCAAGCACTGCCTTTGGGAGAAAGCGTCCAGCGAATTGCAGTTATCGGACCATTTGCGGACGTCCTCAATGTGAGCTCCTCGGCATGAGCAATCTCTCTGGTCTCGGTTGGCGATGACAGGAAGTTTTCAAGTATGATGACTACACCTTCTCGCCGCCTCCTGGAGTCAGCCCACTGGAAGGGATTGGAAGAACTATCTCTACCAGTGTGCAGGTTTATCACGCAAGATATTGTGATGCATGGAGCAACGACGAGTCTCAGATAGCCGAAGCCTTGCGCCTTGCAAGATTCTCTGATGTCGTGGTTGTGGTTGTTGGGACCTGCGTCAGATCTCTGTTAGATCAGCAGAAGGGCCTGAAAGCAACGTGAGCTAACTAGGATCTTCGCTAGCGGAGGCAGAAATGCTAACATTATTTCAAAGCACCGGCGAGGCGTATGATACTAATGCCCTCAAGCTAGCCGGGGCGCAGTCAACGCTCTTGCGCCAATTGATAAGGACAGGCGTCAAGACCGTGGTTGTCTTCTCCGGCAAGTCGATTACCGAACCGTGGATCTCCCAGATAAACGCCGCCCTACTCCAGCCATTCTACACCTCTCGAGAACGGTGGCCAAGCACTGGGAGAGGTTCTATTCGGTCATTACAATCCGAGTGGACGGCTGCCTCTGACATTCCCACGAGACACAGGGAGTCTGCCCGTCACATACGACTACTTGAAGTCAGGCCGTGATGTCAACAGTCCTGGACACATCGAAGTGAATGGGGATTTCCATTTTGGGCGCACGTTGGGTCTATGGAATGCTGAAATCAGATATGTTGTGGAGCCAGGAGGGTGCATTGCTCATGTGGTGCGCAACGCAGGGGATTGCCGGTGAAATTTTACCTTTACAGTGGTGTAAGGGTTCTATGTGACCGAACAGACGTCAGAGCCTCATAGCTTAGTCCCGCCATCAGCAGTCGGTATCCCGTTCTTTGATTGTTTTTCACGCGGGAGGAGGGAGGGGGGGGGGGGGGGGGGGGGGGGTTTCGCCGCTTTGGTCGTGGTTTTTTTTTTCCAACCTTCTCTTCCCCGACGAATAGTCTTTCCAATGTTATGTTCTTGATTTCATGCATTTGCGTCTACAGTTCATTGACCGCCTTTCGACTCCAGGTAGCGAGGTTCAGATGCACGAGGGTAGGGTTGAACGCCGCGTGTGTATCAAGTTATCAACCCTTTATTGCCGAGGGACTTGCCGCGAGCAGGTATCAGGTACTGCACTGACACTCCATGGACAGGCGCTTCGCTTGTTGCCTCTCTTTTGGCCAAACCAACCGGCCAGGGGCATCTGAGTCGGAAGACCAACGTTGGTAGACAGGAAATTGTCCGAACGTCTGTGGGACAATTGCCTGGAGGTGATTGAGCTTCGTGGCTTGGTCCCACTGAGCGTGGCGGGTTTCTAAAGATAGCAATCTTGAGATCGTCGTCCCGAGTTCCAGCCGCATTGATGTACCCATGCATCCACTGCAGTACACTGGTACAGTGTCTGGGTATATGAGATCGTGGGGGTGGAGTCCACATGCGCAGTGATAGCGCCCTCCGTGATGAGAGATGACCATGATCCAGGACCATCTTTGATTCTGTGTTCACTACAAGTCCACATGAGGTTCAACTTTGGGTTCGGATAGCCAGGCCCATGTCATACGGGCGGCTCGACACCGTATTGTCTCACGGAGGCAAAATTATACACCAATCATATGTGTTATAGCACTTGCCTGGAAAAACTCATTCCCTTATTTTTGTATTTTTCACAATGCCCCCGTAGCGCACTGGACGAGGGTCTCCAGTCGGACATTGGCTGTCAATTGTGTGTCTTGCCAGTGCTACAGCACGGTGGAAGTGTAGAAGTGTAGACGTGTAGAGAGAGAGTCGAGAGGTAGAGAGACTAGAGAGTGGAGGCAGAATCTCAGGGGTTCGTGCTGTTATGGTGGAACCTCACCGACCGATCAACAACAGATTCACAGCAGTAGTAGTATGACTTTGATAAACCGGCCAAGCTTTAGCTGCCAAGTCCTTCCATTGCATTTCGTATTTCGGAGACGCTCGGAGAGTCAAGACTCGGAGTCTTCTGTCAGATAAACCTCCATCAAAGAGTCTTTTCCCACTGGAGGTCGCCCGCGCTCAAGTGTCGTCTTCATTGACCATTTGACAGAACCAGGTGCCCCTTATCCAGCATGTCAAGTTGAATGTCATGTCTCAGATCTTTGTGTCTTGTACGGAACGCCAGGTCTCACTCTGAAAACGTAAGCGAGCCTGGATCGAATAAGAAGCGTTCTGAGGAGAGAGTCTATGAGTCAGTGGAAAGGCTGGAAAGTGAAACTGACCTCAAGCCACCTCCGGACTGCAGACCGGAAGACCGGATGATTGTGCTTTCGAACGCTGTGCCTCTTTGGACTTTGGCCGGGAGCCTTTAATACCCGGTCCCCACGGACGCTAAGCCTCTTGGAGGCAGTGGGCAGTGGGCACTGGGCACACTCCTCGGCCTTCGGTCGGGTGACTCGATTGAGTAGTGCAGCACATGAGCACCGCACTCGTCCAGCATCCATTCGGGGCGAGTGCTACGGTCCGGCATTACTCGTATTCTCCTTCTGCATCAGACCCTGCATGGACGCTTTCTTGGCTGGGGTCCCTATTGTCGAGCACATTGCTATATGCATGCTTCTCATGGCTTGGCTGGCAGGCTTCAGGACCCCTTTTTTAGCGGATCAAGGCTTCGCCACGTCAACACCCGCAGAGTCCTCTAGGGACCCTCATCTACGACTGCGATGCTTGTGCGCTTCGACAATGGGAGGCTTGAAGCTTATCATGTGACCAGACCCTGATTCGACAACGTCTTCATGTGCACCGGGGAACCCTCTGTTGATCCTACTGCAGGACCATCTATGCCTAGAGGACGCCTCGCCAGATCGGGATGGCAAGCTCGCCTAGAGATACCGGTCTGACACGACAGTCACTGTTGACAGGTTCAAAATATGGAATCATCCAACGCACATGTGCGCTGTCGGATTTACATGTAACTTCAGCGTGAGGCTGAAGGCGTCCATAGACGAACCACGATCCTCTGACGCCACAAGACTGATTCCGCGAAGAGTTTGGTGGTGAAATCATGACCGGGGGCGGCTTAAACCCAGCAACTGTCTGGTTGTGGGATACGAGCCGCCTCCGTGGAGATGAGAGACCTCTCATGCTCACCTCGGGTCTTTGAGAGCTTGAGCGCATGAACACCTGCGATACGGCTTCACCGAAGCCATCTTGTCGTCTCTGTCAGCCATGTCCTCGACTGATGACCACCTGGGTCATGGTGTCACTACTCAATCATGGTGTGGACTCGCTCGCGAAGCTCTCCATTTGACTGGGAGGCCTCCCTCGTTTTTCGACTTTGGTCCAATCGCAAGACCACGTCGCATGGACCTGGAGGCTTGAGCACCGACGGCACTCGGACGCTCCGGGGTCAAACCTTCGCACATCTTGGCGGTCACATCCGCCAACCTCCCCCCACATGGCGTCAGACAGGCAAACCTTCCATCTGTCGCGCGACAATATTACCCGACTTGCGTCTTCTCGTCTCGCGAGGTTGGCAGTCGTGTTCCTCGGTCGCAAACTCACGTCCGACTCTCCGTAGTCCGCTTTGGGGCAAATGTAAATCACACGCATGAGATCGATCATTAGTCGTGTTACCGTTCGAGCCAGAGAGGGGGTTCTTGAGGACTTCGGAAAAGCATCGACTGCGTGGTCACTGGTCTGACCGTTATGTTTCATTCAAACTCTCTTCGCGGACGCTGTGAGGCATGCCCTTATCCTCCCATACTATGCACGTAAACAACGGGCGTCATTGTACATGCACACACGCTGGCTTTTCTTGAAAGGTGTCTTTACCCCAGCAAATCAGGTGTGTCGACATTTGTGCTAAACCGCTCTAAGACTCGGGGCGCCCTACAACAGGGTCCAGTGGTCCACAGTCCACAGTCCACAGTCCACAGTCCACAGTCCACAGTCCACAGTCCACACCCTGATGGTAAGACTAAGCAGTGAGCATCTTCGCCTCCTGAACCTTTCCTCGGTCGCATGGGACTCAAACTTAGGTGGATACCTCAGTTGCGGCTGAGCAAAGGACCCCCGTGGTATCCATCACCTCTGTCTCTTGGCCGAAGCGAGTAACGACGTGGAAGATTATGCCGATGAGCCTAGTGTCTCATAGCCCTATGAACCGATGGACTTTTAGTCTTTTACAGATTCTCCATCTTTACCATGATGATCCCTCAAGTCGACCGAAAACCCGGGCCTCCAAAAAGGGTCTCAGAAAGTGACAAGCTTTGTCGCGTGCTCCGCTTCCTATTGGAGCCCACATTCTCAATGGGGCTTTTTTTAGTGCAGTCAGGAACGGGTCTGGTTGGCGAGGAATTTCCAAGGAACGCTCGCATCCGCGCACGAGAGTATGATTGTTGTTGGCATGAATTTGTGCGTACACCGAGTACAGTAGGGGTTGCCCTTGTGTAGAGGCTTCGAGGTCACTAGTCAGTAGACTCAGTACTAGTAGTAGTACCAGCAGTTATACCCATATGGCCACAACATCATTGTTGACCGAGAAGGTATCACATTGTCCGACTCGAGGCGGACATGTCGGATTTGCAGCACATCAACAAATGCCATGGGATCATCAAGTCGAGGGCCCAATGCTCCATTCATGTCCCGCGCGGTCCAAGTCTCTTTAATTTGTATCCGACTCCGCCCTGTCTCGGTCAACTGCCACTGAGGCTCCCCAAATCTGGGACGAGTCTCCACTGTTGGGGCTGAGAGTGGCAGTAGGACGATGTACATCACAATGTCCGAAGTAATACGAGAAATCCGGGCAGCTCTAGGCCATCGCACTGTCACATCCGGATTTCTTTCACAATCTTCATCATCCTCACTTGCAACTTGCAACTCTCCCTGATCAAGCTTCCACCTTCTGCTGACTCGCACCTCTGTGCTGTCACCACATCGATTCTGCCAGCTCCGACGTGGGCCCCCCCCTCCCCTTCCAACCTGTCATCTGGTCGTCAATTCTTCTGTCTAGATCGCTGTCCATCCGCCCTTCGTTCTCCACAGTCCACACGCTCTTTTTCACTTCCCACTTGCGCAGACAGAACAATATTTTCGACACATTTCACGCTTGCTTTGAGTCCCTTCCATTCCGATCCTTCTTTGTTCCGTCATTCCACAGCACCCGCGAAACTCACTCTCGTTTCTCGTGCAAAACGTCTTCCCTTGCTCTGTCTGTTCCGCCTGATATTATGATATGATTCCGCCATGAAGCTCTTCGCCTATCTTCCCCCGGCGGTCCCCTTCCTCTTCGCTGCCCTGGTCGTCGGCGGCCTCGCGTCCAAAACGTTGCATATCGCCTTGCATTTTCATTCACTTCCGCTCCTTTATTTCGTGTTATACTCCCCGACACTGGTGCTCCAAGATATTTTCGTGATCGCCTTTGCGCGCGTGCTGCTGCTCACTCCAACCCCGGAGATCAAACTTCAATGGCTCTCGACTGTTCTTGGGGGAATACTCTCGTACGTGATTTTGATTCCACAACAATATACATCTCCGTCCAGAGGGAATCGGAGCAGGACAGTTGACTAGGTGGGATGGATATGCTAATGCGGCCAAAAAAACAACAACAGATTGATAGTATGGGGAGCGTCGTCAGTCCAATGGGGTTTCTTCATGCAGACGGGCGCAGAAGTCGACTGGGCCGCGTCAAATAGTTTCCTCAGTGACCCTGCTGCCATGAAGATTCTATTGAGCGGTATCTCCACAGTCTCCGCGGCTGGTACAATCATTGGACTGGTTGCCTGGCTGGCCAACACTAAATTCTACCACTGGACGGGACTCGGCTTGCAGGCGATTCGAGGTCTTTTCAGTAGCGGGATTCGATCGCGATACACTCTGCTCGGCGTTCCTGACAGATCGTGGCTTAGCACGTCCTGGCTCACAAAGATGGATTTCAAAACGACGTGTCGTGTCGCGATCATCGTCTCCTTGAGTTCCTCGTTGCTCTTCTTGGAGCTGACTCGGCCATCGATCCCCTACGATCACCTCTCCGGCGCCTTACCATTGACGCTATTGGATGCTTTCAGCAAGAAATCCGTCACCACAAGTGGTTGTCGTCAACCTTCGCAGAAATTCCCTCTCTGGACGAGCGTCAACCCCGGTCTGTTGGCCAACGGATGGTCGCGCCCATCGTGGCTACCCGAAAGTCCACCGTCGGGATTCAGTCGTTACGAACACTCCCCCGAGGAGCTTGCAGTGAAGGACAATCCTTCCTGGTACGGCTGCAACGAGGCTGAACCTGGCTTCTACAACCCCAAGAAAGACCCTCTGAAGATTTCCAATTTGGATGGCGAAATCTACGCCCCGCTCAAGGCCGCATTTGATAAACACAACGTCGAGATTGAACATGTGATCTTGGTGACTCTCGAAAGTGGGCGGAAGGAGGTCTTCCCCATGCAGCAAGGCACCCCCATGTTCGATGCTCTGCTTGATTCTCATCCAAAGGAGGAGCGAGAGCAGGCAATTGACAAGTTGGTCACGATGACCCCGGTGTCGCAGATGCTGACGGGCGAGTATGCCACCGATAGCAAGGGACAGCGGGTGAATTTGACTGGCGCCAACTGGCAGGATTCGGCCCCAGAGGGCATGGGAGGGCTGAACGTCCGAGGCGCCATCACCGGTAGCTCTTTGACATTCAAAAGTGTTTTGGGCAGTCATTGTGGTGTCCACCCACTTCCGGTGGACCTACTGGAGGAAACAGAGCTGGAGATTTATCAGCCCTGCTTGCCCCAGCTGTTTGAACTGTTTAACACGGTCAAGGGCTCAGACGCCGGTTCATCCAGATCAGAGCGGGACGAATCCGCACCACCGGCTTGGAAGAACCCGTGGAAGTCGGTCTTTATGCAGTCTATCACCGATGGCTATGATCGCCAAGATACCCTGAACGAGAATATGGGCTTCAAGCATAAGGTGGTGAAGAGTACTTTGACCTCGAGCGGATCCAAGTATCAGGCCCAGGGCAGCGAGATCAACTACTTTGGATACGCCGAGACGGAATTGAAGCCTTACATCAAGGATCTCTTCGAGGAGGCTGCCCACAACAAGACCCGCATGTTCCTCTCTCATATCACAAGCACCACGCATCACCCGTGGAATACCCCTGATGATTTCAGAAACGACGATTACATGGGCAGTCGGGGAAGTATTAACCACACCCCAATGAACAACTACTTGAACACCGTTCGCTTTGTGGACGGCTGGCTGGGTGAGATCATGGCTATGCTTGACCAGACTGGCATTGCCAATTCCACTCTTGTAGTAATTGTGGGCGATCACGGTCAGGCCTTTGCGGAAGACCACAAGGAGATGACGGGCACGTATGAGAACGGCCATATCAGCAATTATCGTGTTCCCATCGTTTTCCGACACCCGCACATGCCCCGCCTCAACATTGATGCAAATGCCACCTCGATTTCGATCATTCCCACCATCCTCGACCTCCTCATTCAATCGAAGTCCCTTGACCCCCGCGACTCAGAAATGGCTTCAGCTCTGCTCTCTGATTATCAAGGTCAATCTCTTATCCGCCCATTCGTTCCCTCGATCAAACAGAACCCCGACGCGAATGCTCAAGCTCCCCGCGAGACCAACAGTCGGATTTCGCGCAAACCGCACTCCAAGCCTGGCGATCACACCCAGCACAATTGGAACTTCGGAATCGTCAACGCTGGTGGATCTATGGTTGCAGTCACTGCCGCCGGCACCCCGTGGCGTCTGATTCTGCCCCTGAAAGAGAATTTCGAATACATTTTCAGTGACCTGGACAAGGACCCCGGGGAGCTACATCCGCTCAACGCCTGGACCATTAAGGAGCTGCTCAAAGAGGTCTCTTCCAAGTACGGAGACGCTGCCGCCAAATGGACCCGAGACGCAGAGCGAGTTGGGAAATGGTGGGTCAACGAACAAAGACGCAACTGGGGATATCGCGAGGCGTGATGTTTTGCAACCAAACAACCATTGCTTCAAAAAAAAATTCATGATTCCGACACGAGCGCAACATATCGTCGACATGCCTTTTCCAAGCTGCCGAAGGCATGATCTGGTCACTTTGGCGTTCTTTTACATTTCTTCTTCTTCCTCGACCCCACTCGAAACTCACCTCATATGACGCTTTACGCGAAAACAACCAGCTTGAGTCCCGCATTCTTTCCTGATTCACTATTGCTGGAAAAATGTTTCCGTTTTTCTCATTCGCGTTCGACTCGGCCAAGTGGAAGGCATTTCAAAGCCGCCGCGCTTCATATTCCCTATGACTTTTTCTGTTACCATGCATCCAGGGGCTCATGTCATGATCGATTGTTGTATATTATTCTTCATCTTTACTCGCAGGTCATCCTAGGGAACTTAACCGTACATACATAGGGCACCGGTCATTTACACCAAGAAACTTCGGTTAATCTAATGGAGCACGCAACAAAATTCACGTTCCATTCATCTTTCAAACTGTTCCTTGCACTACCCTTATGAATCCGTATTACGCGATAGTTTCTGTGGAAGTGGAATCAGTCCTTGGCTTGCACGCGGGAACTTGAATGCTTGTATATCGAGTCGAGTAAAATGGCGCGCCCACAGTCATCCCCATTGCTCAGGCTCATACGGTGTCATGTCAAAGGTCAAGTCTTCCATCCGCGGTATCTTTTCTTTTCTCTACTTCCAAACAGCCCGAAATCCTGTGCCAAGCCATTCACGGCAGTTAGACCTCTTATCAGCCCCTTCGGCAAGCAGGCTACCATGCCACGAGGAAGTCGCGATAACCTTCCACGCCTGCTCCACTTTTTCCCCGCATGCTCCCTGTCTCCTCCCCAACAACGAAACGAAAGAGGTCGTCTCACTGACCTGGACTTTGAGGTCCAACTGCATATGGTATGTCGACCCGGAGCTATCACGGCTGCTGGACTTGTAAGCGTCGGAGACGGCGCTGCGACAACGCTCGCCCCACATGCAAGAATTGCATGGACCGCGGCATTGAGTGTGAGGGATATGAGGTTCGACTACGATGGGGCTGCGGGATCGCTTCGCGCGGTCAATTTACTGGTGCTGATAAGCCTTTGAGGGAGAGTGTACCGCCGAGGCCGAGGGGGAGACGGAGGGATTGGAGTCGAGAGAGGAAGAGGGGAGCAGGTCAGGGATTGAATCCGTCTTCAAGTGAGATCTTAGGCTCGGAAGATGCAACTCAGTCGAGAATGACGGCGGTTTCTGGTAACATGGTCTGACAACCCACCTAGTGAGAGCCAGTACGTTGACGTGTTTTCTAGATCCGGGAGCTTTGCCAGAGTCGATTCGCTCCGACAGAGATGAGCTCCTATTCACCGAATGTAAGTATCATGTCTATGCGCTGCGAACCATGCACGAGGCTCGAGACGCGACTGATACGTCTGGAAGTCCTGACTACGGGGATCAATGTCCTGCATTCTACGACCGTGTCGGAAAATCTGCTTCAACCTCGACTTCCCGCGCTGTGCAAGGAGTCCAGTGCATTATACGATATCTGCCTCACGTTTCAGCTTTCCTTGACCAGCACCCAGACCACACAATTTCTGGAATACTTTGATAGATCCCTGCGGGAATTCCGTACAGAACTCGCTCAATCTACAAGACTCTCTGATGGGACCTTCACGGCGGGCCTCTTATTGTGCAGTATTGGGGTAAGTGGTGCTTACTGTATTCCGGTTCAATGAGGTTTTACAAAATCAAAAAGTGGTCTTACAATCTTCTTCTTCTACATAGCTGGTTCATGGCATGTCCTGGACAATGCATATAGAAGGGATGTACAATATCCTTCGAAGCACCGATTTTGCCCCACTCCCTGAATGGAACACACTGAGGCCATTTCGAATTCACCTTCTTGAAGTCCTGGGTGTCATGGACATACCCTGCCTTACGGTAGGCCGCCAGATAGGCTCCTTCGGCATTTGGCGTCGAATTTGCCAATCCCTCAGACCAAGAGTCGGGGTTGAGCCAGTCACCGGTTTGCCTCGCTCGTTCATGGATCTTCTAGCTGGGATAGGCATCGACACATCAGAACAAAGCTTCTGGGACTGGCCTGCAGAGCCAGGGAACTTTCTACAGTGTTATCTTTGGGAAGCGTATCGTCTTGCTGGGATTCTCTATCTTCGTCAAATTGAACGCAAAACACCGACTTCAAGTGGTCCGCAAACGCTTCCGACGTGGCGACAGCAAAACTCCTGTCCAATCGACTCGAATATGCTGGTCGCTCGAGTCCTGGCTAATGTGGACGCTCTTCGCTTGGGTTGCGCCGAGCGTCCGGACGAGGACTCTTTTATTCAGAACTCTTCACTTTTCCCACTGGTCATCGTTGGAAAAGAAGTCCATATCATGCGCCAGAACTCGCAGTGGCAGGAAGTCATCCGTCGGTGTACGCTCGAGCTGCACCGAGATGGCATTATCTTTGAGATTCTCGAGGAAATGTGGCAAGACGGCCAGAAAACCCCTGATATTGATGAGAGAGCCCGTGCGAGAGGCGTTGAAGTAGGTATTCTATAGCACTAATATGACGATGACTGCCTATCTCCACGTCCATGCAACGTCATCTTGGTTGGCATGACGAATGCTATCAAATCGTCTTGACAGGTTCAAAAACCATGGTCATTGAGACTCGATTCGGAAAATCTCTGTCTTCACGACTATGGCTTCCCTTTTCAGTATAGCCAAGATCAGCCCTCGAAGTATTCTAGTCCTCCAGACAGATTCAACCCTGCAATACGGTTGACTTGGAAGTGCAGCGAGCCACAATCGCTCAGTTCACCAGTGTACCGCTTGATTACTATGCGCGTTCGCGGATTATCTTTGTGCCTGCTTAGCCGACTGGATATCTGCTATTTGCTATGAGAACAGAAGCTGACTCGCAATGGGAATCGCGCGGCTGCCTCTTGTCTAGTTTTGTTTGAAAAAAAAAAGGGGGGGGGGGGGCAAGCGATAAGACTATCAATGTGTTCTTGAGTTTCAGCACGAATGTCAAAGACTGTCTGTCGGTGCGAGCGGGGTTCAACTCTTGCGAAACGAAATTTGGACTCGAGCAAATGAGACCGCATGCTCTCTTTATCCTAAAGTTACACTTTTGTCCTCGGCAACGGAGGAAGGATGATTTTGCGCAGCACGGCCACGAATACTTCAATCTCAATGTCAAACCCGACCACACTTTGCTTTATTCCAGTGATTAGCGAATTTGGAGTCACTCCCGACCCAAGTCAATTTGTGGTGGTATGAGAAGACGCCCTGTTTCCGGTTCGATGGAGGGTCTACCTGCCAAATTGGGAAAAGACATATGACAAACCCCGGGAAGCTGCGGCTTCCACGCTTCCCAAGACATCACTCCCCATCTCGATCCCAACCTTGCGGCATGGATACCGACCCGCGAGATCGGATCACTGGAGAATCCCAGCTGAATCTGGAAGGTGGACCCCCATCCAAGGCCTCCAGATAACGGAACAGGAGTGGCGTCGCCAAGATTCGATAAGCTAATCCGCGCCGAGACTCCAATTTGGGTGCTGGTGTGAACTGCAGACCCATTTTCCCCGCATTCTGAGGCACGATAGAAGTCGTTCGTCTAGACGAGTTGGCTGGACCTTTCTGTTGATAAGGTTCTCAACATCGAATGGCGCAGCAATATAAGGTTCGGTGTCGTTATCACACGGGCCACCCTTAGCAGGATGGAAAGACCAGCGGAGATCAATAAATATCTCGTGGTATCACGGTCAATGTGAACGCTATCACGACGCTCGCATCTATGAGCTTGCCAAACAACAAATGATGACCGATATTCGCGAGATTCAAACCACGTCGAGCTATGAAGATGGCTCCGGGACGATGCCTCCTGGAACATTTCTTTTGATAAGGGGTCTGTTTCCAAGTCCAATGGAGGAGAACCGCATCTGCAAGACGCCCTAGATTTGCCGACCGTGACGCTCTCGTCTGCGTAGAAGATGAGGCGGAAACGGGCCAACGAGCAATCATGCTCCATCCAGTGCCGACAAATGATCCTAACGAGCCATTGGTAAGTCTCGAGCCTGAAGTCGTCTCGGAATGGTGTCGAGGTGCTTGAACTCACACCGACAAATGAGCAGAATTGGAGCACGCTGCGCAAAAGTGTCAACTTTGCGATCGTGCTGGGGATGACAGCAGTAGTCTTTACAGAGTAAGCCTCAATGTCGGCCCTACACCACTAATCTCAGGCGTTAATCCGCTTATCTTTAACAGGGTCTCGGTGCAAGCTATCTTTTGGCAACAAATGGTCGTGGATCTCTCCGTCTCCTATACTGAGCTAAACCAAGCCATGTCTGTTCTGTACGTCGGGCTAAGCATGGGCTGCGTGATATTCATCCCTTTGGCCAAGAAGTTTGGTCGAAGACCCGTGTATATTGTGTCGACTGCTCTCATGCTGGCCAGTTCTTTCTGGGCAGCGAAGCTGCACACGCTCGCTGAGCTATATGCTGTCAACCTGCTGTTTGGCCTGGCTGGTGCAACCAATGAGACGATCGTGGAGATGACGGTATGACATTGCAGAGTTTCATTTTCTGTGTCCAGCGAGCAACTGCTGAGATCTTTTCTTAGATATCAGATCTGTTCTTTGTGCATCATCGTGCGAGTATGAACGGCTTGTACATGACCATGGTTATGATTGGCGTACGTTTACAATGCCCTACCCCTTGTCTGCAGTGAAGACTAATACGCCGACTGCGTTTCAAGAGTTTCTTATCACCGATAGCAGCAGGAGCACAAGCAACCCAGCAGGGCTGGCGATGGTCATACCTGACCCTCGGCATATTCAACGCATTCTTCTGCTTTTTGTTTTTCTTCATTTACGAAGAGACCAAATATGTCCCCGTTCTCGATGGGCAAGAGAGAGTCGCAAATGAGGACCAGAATACTATATCCTCGGCAACCGCAGACCGCAAGACACTTGCTGCCGTGGAGTCTATCACCAAAAACTCACCCCCAGTCCAGCCTAGTAACCTTCAGCATGAACTGAACCTGAGCATCCCGACTAGGCCGTGGCGCGCGCGCCTCGCAATTTGGACGCCAACATCGGAGCCTGTCTGGCCCTACATCTATCGACCATTTTATGTCTTGTGTACTTTTCCAACAGTGCTGTTTACCGGCATTCAGTATGCATCTGGTGTGGTCTGGCTGACTGTGGTTGCCAACATGATCGCGCTCGTCTTCCCGCTTCCTCCGTACAATTTTACACCGGAACAGGTTGGCTTGATGAGTCTTGGGCCGTTCTTGGGAAACCTGATTGGATCGCTGTATGGCGGAGTGATTGGAGACTGGTCCATTCTGCGATTCTCTCAGAAGAACAAGGGGTACTACGAGCCGGAGATGCGGCTGTATATCTTGCACCTTCCAGCGATCTGCATGGCTGGAGGCTTGATCATGTTCGGCATGACTATAGACCGGGTAAGACGGTCCTCACGAATCACGTCGAATCCTGTGCCCCGGACAGGAAAGACTCTAACGCAAATTACATCTTGTTGTGTGAATTCCGCTAACATTAACCCTTCAGGGCATGCATTGGATCTATCCCAGCGTCGGAGGCGCTCTGTTCGCCTTTGGACTGGGCAGTATTGGCGACGCAACCCTGACCTTGGTCATCGATAGTTATCGCGAGGTACGATGATCTAGCATTACTCAGAATTGTCCGAGTCGAACGCTAAAGATCCATTAAATCACAGATTACTGGCGACGCCTTCACGGGGATCGCGTTCCTTCGCAATATTGTCAGCATTGGAATCCCCTTTGCTATCACGCCCTGGATGCAGACGCAGGGACTTCAAAATATGTTCCTTGCATCGGGCTTTTTGTGTCTGGCCATTTCTTTGCTGATTCTTCCGATGATCATGTTTGGGAAGCGATCTCGGCGGTCTTGTGCGCCTCGCTATTTCCGTCTGGTGGAGCAGCAGACCGTGATACACGGGCACTAAAGTCTATGGGGTTTTGGTAGCAAAGTGTGCACACTGGACATTAGTCAAGTTCGTTGTTGACGTCACGTGAAATTTCGTGTTCAGGCCGGCCTGATGGAATGCTTGTACAGTGCGTATATTGCATGTCGAAATGTATATTCCCTTTTCTTCCCTTGGCTTGAGATCCTATCGCCGGGGGTCAAGTGCTCGGCCAGATGTTGGCGGCACAACACATAAATTCTGGCACGGAATACAGCTGGGCTCACATCTGGATTAGATAAGTCTGATCTGTATAGGTGACTCGTCTCATATAATGCAGCGCTTTATCAAAGATTACATAACCGCGATCGTGCTTCCAGAAAGTCCGTATCCCGTCACCCTCATGATATGCCATGACGATGGATGCGGATCAATTTATTACGGACGCCGGAGGCGGCATCGTGCCAATAGTCTGCCATGAAGACGGGACGTCTTGCGAATCGGGTTTATGTATGCGAGCAAAAGTGCTAGACGGCTGGCAGTCGGTGTTCAAAGCCGCGGGGAGATTCCGTTCTCATAGCTTCTCGTTCGGTCGAAATGAATCACGCTTCAATCGGCAAGGCATTACAGTAGCGGCCAGAACGATTTCCCGACTTTCCTGGCTCAACAGAGTCAACACTCATTCATACTCATATATCATTTTCCCACTATAGCTCTCTAGACGTCTTCTACCGTACCCAGCTCATGGCAGCTTTGTATCGATGTGGTCCATTACTCGAGGATGAAACGCCTTCCTTCTCCGAGGTTTCCGGCCTTCTATCAGGCTCACCATGATCTTCTACACCCCTCAGCTTGGCGCTTGTTTTACTCTGTGTCTTTCTTGACCCAGCGCACAACAGCATAGCATATCTCTACCGTCTCTCAAATCTTCAGGATCTTCCTGACTCCTCCTATCCGCTCTTCGGACCCCGCAATCCCTCAGCGGAAGTAAGCTAATTTCTCAGAGGTCCGCGATAGTCCTCTACCGTGCCGTGTATACGTATAAGGCAGCTAATTCTCAACTATCTAAGATCGTGACAAACTTAGCTTTTACCTACTACTTTAGAAGCAACGATCATAAATCTTCATCACGCTTACCCGAGCGTACGGCCATATTCTGCATCTCGTGCGCGCTTTTGTGAATTGGCACTACCGTATTTGATCCCAGTTTGAGAGCTACCATGTTTCGAAACCACCGGGCCGGAACACGCAGTAGGGGGTTTTTGGGAAGGTTAGGTCAGGGTCAACCTGCCTTAACAGGTCTCGAGAGTGAGTTCAGGAACTCCACTGCGGGGGAAGAAAGACATGCAGCTAGACGAGGGAGAAGCACGAGACTGATGTCGAACGCACCTGATGAGGTCTTTCATTTCGGAAGCTCTCTGAATTGATAAAGGAGTATTTTCCTTGATTCCAGAGAACATTGTGGGCGTCAAGCCGTCGCCTTTCCGATATAATCCGGCACTCTCCTTTTCCCGACAAACCACCATCTCCCTGTCATCATGGCGTCCAATCCATCTCCCGGTAATGGCGTCTATCCGAACGGTCCCAGCATGCGCCAGCCAAGTCTGTCATGGATGTATAGACTCGAATGCGACATATCGAAGGAAGAGTTAGATCTGGGAGCGGCGCACGATGCTGGCACAATTCGCAAGATCTCGAATATTGAGAGAGGAACCCTCAAGGGCCTGGACATCGAAGCAACCCTCTTACCACTAGGTGGCGCAGACTGGCTGACGGTCATTAAAGGAACCCATGTAAGAAATCCATCCCGGTTTCACCTGCCTTACATGCGGAATCGAGGATCTTAGGTACAGAGCAATAGCTGACTATGTCTTCACTCATTGAATCACTCAGTCCATGACATTGGATGCGCGATATACTGCCCGCACCACAGATGGACATTACATCTACTTCCGCGCACACGGTCTCTATCGTCCTGGTCCGGGCACAGACTATGCAATGGCAGTTGAGCATGATTGGGAACAGCCGCCCAAGGCAGTGGTGACTCAAGATGATGTGGAGTTCTTCTCTCATCTGCGTTTAGAGGCGGGACCTGGCCCGTATAACTGGGTGAATGGGTTGATTTGCGTGGGAGTCATGGTCTGCGAACGTGAAAAGATTTGGATTGATGCGTATCGTCTGACTAATTTTCCGGACCGGAAGCCGGAGAGTGTTGTTGCCAAATCTTGAGGAGTTCGTGTAGGTGTGGATATCCGATATACCACTCTACCATTCGAATTTGGATAGAGGATTCCATAGTCATCGATGCATCCGTGGGCTGAGTGCTTTAACACAGAGATCACCTCGCTCAGATACTCGACATGAGTTGGCCTGTATCAAATCCACCAAGATTCTCTATGATGTGTTGATTGTCACCTCAGTCCCCTGAGAGGTTGTGTGGATAGTCAATCACAGAAGAGCACACACCGCAGAGCAAGACAAGCCTCTTCATCTTGGCTTATCTCGGAAATACTTTGGCGTTCACGGCCTTTCGCTTTACCATCGCCAGCCTAATCACATCGGAACTTGGATCGCTGCAACACATTACTGAGTCCCTACAGAAGTAGATTGACAGAGAGACCTGGGTCACTGACAAGACTTGCACGAAATTGCCCTTGTAAAACCAGTCGAGTAGTATGGGTGGCTCTGACGAACCCCGAGATGGCCAGCCATGCAAGCATCTGATAAGGAACGGATCTTCTCTCTCTCGGGTCCGTGCCGTGGTTGCAAGTCCATCCATCTAAACCACATCGGGAAGGCAGACGCACCGGTGCGTCATGTGCTTCGACAGTCTCCGCTCCGTCGGGTTTACTCCTCTCCAACAGAAGCCGAGATGGAGTGAGTACGCATTTGGCATACCAGCAGAATGCCCACACACTCCGTCTGCAGTGCCGGCGAATAATTCTCCGGAACATGTTATATTGGTGTGTGCCGGAAACCTCCACATGATGGCCTACCCTCTCAGCTATCCAGCGACTAAGTGGGAACTCAGGCATTCAAGCGGGGCTGAGGGGATCTGGAAGGACTGTCCATCTTGAAATACTGTTCCCAGCACAAATACCAAGCCGTTGCTGGAAATCTCCTCTTTTTCGAAGTGGCACAAACCCAGCTGTTGATTTTTCGAAAACAAAGACTCTGCAGATTCATTGCTAAGCTTACGCTCCAATGCTGACGTCAACCAATTGGCAAGACTTGGTCGCTCGAAAGCGCCAGGAATGTCAGGATAAACTGCCCCGTGAATGGAAGCTCGGCGAAGAAGTTCTCAAGGCTGTACCCGAGCATCTCCTACAATATGATCTTCCACGTCGCAGTGGACTTTTGACAGAGGAAGAGCTCGATATCACCGAGAACTACACTGCAACCCAGCTCTTGGCCAAGCTGGCTTTGGGCCAGATTACCTCGCTTTCCGTGACTACAGCCTTCTCGAAACGTGCGGCCATCGCCCAGCAGGTGGTAAGTTGTTCTTTTTTTCCCCCTCTTTCTTCAGGAGCTGGCGCTACATTCATGTGCGAGGGATTATTGTCTGATTTGTGCGCCTTTTCAATTAGGTTTCTTGTTTGACCGAGACTTGCTTCCCCGAGGCACTTGACCGGGCACGCTACCTTGATGAGTATCTCCAGAAAGAAGGGAAACCAATGGGTCCCTTGCATGGATTGCCTATCAGTATCAAGGAGAGCTTCAATATTAAAGGCCTGCAAACGACTCTTGGCTATGTGTCATGTTTGAGCAGACCTCCATCAACTACGGAGTCGGCACTGGTCACACTCCTCCTTGACTTGGGAGCCGTGCTCTATGTCAAGACAAACGTGCCTCAGACTCTCATGGTGAGTTGCTTTTCTTTTTTTCATCTACTCGTCTCGGCTGACCGAAGTTACTGTCAGACTGCCGACTCGGAGAACAACGTCTTTGGTCGTACACTTAACCCACACAATACCTCTCTCACCGCAGGCGGGTCAAGTGGTGGTGAGGGTGCTCTGGTCGCATTCCGAGGATCCATCCTCGGCGTGGGAACCGATATTGCGGGCTCCATTCGCATCCCATCTTTGTGCTGTGGTATCTACGGGTTCAAGCCGACGACTAACCGGGTTCCATTCGGTGGTCAATTCTCCGGCGAGATGGAGGGTGTGCCGAACCTGGTCCCCTGCGCCGGGCCCCTTGGCCATAGTCTCGCTGATTTAAAGAGATTCATGGCCACAGTCGTTGGCTCTGATTCTGCCTGGAGATACGATGCAACTGCCGTTGCAGTCCCTTGGAAACAAGGAATCGAAGTTGGCAGCACTCGCAACGGAAGCCTCAACATTGGGGTTTTGGCCGAGGACAGCCATTTCCCACTCCATCCTCCCGTGAGACGTGCCTTGGAGCGCGCAGTTGACGCTTTGGCCAAAGCAGGCCATCGCATCATCAAGCTCGATAATGGCAGCAATCACGATCTCTCCCTGTCATATGCCTCGCGCTTAGCCTTCCAGTACTTTACATACGCACCTCATCCGGATCTGATCACGCCCAGTGGAGAGCCCGTTGTTAAATCTTTGGCCAACCTCTCAAGCCCAATGTTCACGGGTCCATTGCCCGTGGAGCCAGAGAAAGAGCCCTATACCAAGATCAACGATCTCCACATGGCTCGCGAGAAGTACGCTGAAAGTTGGCGTCGCGAGTGGGTCGACAAAAACCTGGACGTGATTTTGGCCCCTGGGGCACAGAGCACCGCGGTTGCCCACGACACTTATGCTTGGCCGTCGTATACGGTGATTTGGAATCTGCTTGATGTAGGTTTACCCTCGCCTGATACTTGACATAAGTATGATTATGGGAGCTTTCAAGTTAACATTGAATACCTAGTATCCTGCCTGCATCATCCCCTATGGAAAGGTGTCGCGCGAGTTGGATGGTGAGGAGATGAAGACCGGTGATAACGTACAGCCTGACTGTAAGTGTTCTGATCCCCGCTCTCAAATCTTTCGGTCAACAAGCACAGTTGACTCATTGCTGCTAGATCACCCCGAGCAAGTCGACGGTGCGCCTTGTGCCATTCAAGTGATCACGCCCCGTTTCCATGATGAACAGTGTCTGGCAGCTGCGGAGCTAATTGAACAAGCTATTCGCGAATGATTTAAGATCAGATATTTTCGAGCTCACGCCGCGATAAACAAACTCCATTAACACTGGTATTTGACTTATTGAAGAGCTAGACACAATTGAGACACCCGACATCTATTTCATCCATCGCTGCATCCATACTTCAATATACCGCTGTACCAAATGATCCGTGACAGGATCTTTCACTAGGCCCAGGCTAGGACAATCTCGCACCGTACGACACGTCTCAAACTGGAGCGTAGCCTGCGTCTGTGACAGTGCAATACTCGCTGACGACCCTTGCTTTCCCCCAAATTTTCCACGCCAGAAATCCACGAGCTTGATGCTCGGGTTCTTCTCCGGATCCTGCTCGCTAGATTCGAGTCGTTGAAGCCACTCCTGAGGTGAGACAATCTCGAAAAGTGGCAACTTGGTGCCTGTAGCCAAAACAGGAAGCAAGTCATCCTTCCAGCTAAATTTCTGGGGGTTGACCAAGTTATAAACCAACTCGGGGTCCGGGTCAAAAGCCTCGCTCTTCATGGCAAGCTCCGTAACTGCCTTCGCGCATTGATCAACGGGCAACCATGCCGGGCTCTCACTCAACTCAGGAAGAGCGCCGGTAGTCAACACACTGCGGAACATCAGCGCAACCGCCTCGGTGTCGTTCCATTGAGCATGTACAGTATCGCCGCTCAATTGTCCAATACGCAGTACACGGGCTTGTAGCCCTGTTTGGCGCATAGCGTTGTGAGTAATCAGTTCCGTGGCTAGTTTGGAGCGGCCATAACCAGTGGCTTGAGCGTAGTGTAGGTCCTTGATGACACTTTCGCGAATCACGGCAGGCTTTGGCGCATTGCATGCAGTGCTGACGCTCGAGCAGAAGAAGAAACGTGCGGGGAGAGGTAGCTTGGACCGTAAACAAAAATTGATTAGATTGTGTGTCCCACGGATATGTTGTTGCTCGAATGAGCGCACTCCGAGGTTGAAATTGACAGCCCAGGCGCTGTGAACGATACATGTCAAAGAAGATAGGAGATGCTCTAGAACATGGCTCTCCAGGCCTAGATTAGCTTGCGACAAGTCGCCGGCCACGGCTCGTAGCTTAGAAGCTTGCGCATCGGTCAAGTGAATCTTGCGATCAGCCATTGCTTGGTAGACACGGACACCCGCGGCAGCTGGCCCCGGAGCTCGCACAAGAGCCCATACTTCAGAGACGTCGGACCGCTTTAGCATCTCAGCAATGATGAATGCACCGAGGTTGCCAGTGGCTCCAGTGACAAGTACTACTTGCTTTTCTGGCTGTCGGGAAATGGTTGGGTGGTGATGCCCGAAGTGTGAATATTTTTGAATCATGTCGCGCATGATCTGTATCTCGTCTTCGCCGACAGTGTCCTGTCCAACTCGCATATGATGTAGATGTTCCGCGAGTGCGTGGACGGTGCCTTTCTCAAAGACAATATTCTGGCTCAAAGTATTTGTATTTCCTCCAAGATCCAGATCCCGCGCAATGGATCTCCAAACTTGCGTGGTCTGCAAACTGTCCACGCCTGCAGCAAAAATGTCGGCATCTGCATCTGCCAATGGAATCCCAAGATCAACGCGAAACCGAGTCAGAAGCCAGTCTTCAAGAGCCGGCGGGTCCAGCGCCAGTCCTCCTTTTCTGTTGATTTCACCATAATTGGCATAAGCTGCCTCGATTTCACCTGAAAATTGTTGATAGACTTGTGCGCGAATGAAGGTACCTTTGTCCGTCGCGGCATATTTGACACTCTCACCCAGCACGATAACCAAGTCCTTCGGGATGCGAGAGAAGGTTTCTGCTCGAGAATTGGCCGCCTCGACAGCAGGCCAGATGGCCTCAAGAAATTCGGCGTTGCTCAAATTTCTTCCATGCTCCGCTGAACGAAATACGAGAGCCCCAGGCACGGTGCGCTGGTAGCCGAAGACGACACATTCACGGACAAGAGGCTGTTCTCTGATACGGCCTTCGACGGGGATTGGTAGCACTTTTTCCCCATTGACCAAAGTGATGCGATCGTCCAGTCGGGAAAGGTATTTGTAAAAATTCTTTTTCTTCGGATCAGGATGTCGAGTAAACAAATCGGCGGTCCGAAAGCTGTTGGCAGGATTATTCTCGCTGTACGGCGGCTTTGAATTGGACGGTCCCTTGCTAGGCAAGCCAGCCAGCGCGACGCACTCAAATACCCCTGGGGAGATCTCATCCATAAGCGTAAAATCAGCCACTGGACGACGAAGTCTCATATATTGCCATTCGCTATCACCGGCTGGCCGAAATGAGGTCATGATCTGGCCCGTCTCCGTGGCTCCATAGTTGGCCACCAAATTGACACCCTGCGCAACGAGACGATCACCAAGGTCATCCGGACAACTCGAGCCACCAAATAGGACAATCTTGGGTTTGGCTAATGCTTCCACTCCTTCAGGTCTTTCCGCTAACAGTTTAATCACATAGGGAACCGCGCTGAACTGCTCAGGCTGGGCGACCTCCAAAGCATCATGCAGGTTCTGGAACGTAGTCGGAAGAGCGTGATTCCCGAAGAATGCCGTCGCCCGTGTGTACAAGGCTCGGCCAAGTTCCATCAGTGCGAAAGAATGGAAAAGAGGGCTTGTTGTAAAGAATCGGAGACCGAAGCTCTTCCGCCAGTTGGCCAGGGTCTGAAGATTGGAGAGGAATATTGGCTTCGGGTGCCCAGTGCTCCCAGACGAGTGAAGGATCCAAGCAATTTTCCGCCCTTCGCGCGATGGATTCACATTGGAACGAACAAACGGCGCCGAGTTAGGGTGGTGAGCGAACCAGTCTTGCCGTTTCAACACGGGAAAACTGACACAGTCGGGGCATTCTTCACGAATTTCTCGTACGACCTGCTCATATTGCTCTGCAACAATCAGAGTACGACAGCCTGCCAATGCAAGCAATCTTGAATATGCCGGGGCCGTCAATCGTGTCGACAAAAAGAGGACTGCGTAGCCAAGACGATTGAGAGCGAACATGGTCAATATCACCTCGAAGCTCGATCCCACCAGAACACCGATAACAGGCGCCTCTTCGAGTCTGGGTTCCTGCATTGGTAGAATAAGCACCCGATACCTTCCGAATTGGAGAAGTAAGAGTGAACTTACAGCAGGTACAAGACCACACCTCATATAGTACTGGACAACGGCATCAGTGAAACGGTCCAGATCGCCAGCGGTATGCTTTTCGAAATCTGCGGCGCCGAGAACGGGATAGCAGATCAATGGGATATCTGCTTGGTCCGGCTGAGAAGCATGGGACCTGAGTAAGCCGTCGATGGTCATGAATCTCTCAATAGGAGGATAGCTCGCATGAAGACTGCCATTTAAAAGCCGAGTCACCATATCCTGATCAAGCTGTGACGCCGCAGTGACAACTTCTGCAACAGTTTCTGTGGAGCTCGCCATGATGATGATGCTGCTGCTGCTAATTCTCATACAAAAAGATTGCTGGAATTGCAAGGTAAGTACGTAGCAAAAGCGAGCAAGCCCATAGGTATTTAAACCCCCCCCCCCCCCCCCCAGTCAAATCTGGGGGAAAAGTGAGTCCGGATTTTTATCCGAGCCTTCCCCAAGAAAGCTGAAACAAATCTGCAAAAGGCCCCCACGCATGACCGGCAAGACCATGCAATTGATGGAACATATTGAGTTGACGAAGTCTCGGATAAATATCCGCACTGCAACCCAGCAAAAGGCACACGATTTGTCGGAAACAGGACACAATCAATGTGCATGAAAAGAAGAAAAAATTAACTAAGAGGTTGTTGTACTTAACTAGCGGAATGCGGAGAAACGTGGGGGCAGCTGCATCTATCATCTGCGGGCCGACTCCCGAGTTCAGCGCCAACTTCGTTTCAATTACTAAGTAGAAGCCACATACAAGGTAAATAGCTGCTGATGAGTCTCAGTGGCCAGGGCTACTCTGATCAAGCCGCTGGTGCGCGCTGAATACTGAGTGACCCCAAATGTCTCAGGTCCTGGTCCAAGCCAGGAACTTGTATTTGCTTCGAGTGGCATCAAAATTTGTGGCAGATCAATAATCGGTTGCCAGTGAATTTCAATGATGCTGAGGGAGGGTTATGGCTCGATTAAATGGTGATTTATCGAATCAGCAGAGAAACATTTGTGACGCATCTTCCTTGGACGTTGTAGATGGCAAGCTGTCCACTACCAGCGCGGCGGACAGGTTCAGATCACTATGATTCGATCTGACACGAGGGCATGGCCAGGTGAGATATCAGTCAACAATTACCATGGTGGATTGATAGCGGCCAGCAGCTTTCATAGGGCGGTGATTACTTAAGTACATGCAAAGATTCGAACCCGACGTCAAATCCCAATTCACGGTTTTGTATCTAATACACATATCGGACAAAAGATCGGAAATGCTTGGATTCACATCCCAAGACTGAGACATGTAGGCTATCTTGACAGAATGTTAGAAATACACATATGATGAGTGAACACCGTTTTAAGGACTAGGGGTGCCGTCATCATAACGGGGACCGCCATCATCATCACCGTAGCCCGCGCCGGGTGTGGCGGGGACACCCATTGCCGGAGTTGGAGCGTCATATGCCGCAGGTGTAGGAGCATCATAGCCACCACGCTTAGGTATCGCGCCAGGGGTTGGAGCGCTGTAGGCACCGCCGGGGGTGGGTGCGCTGTCAGCCCATCCCGAAGGCGTCGGAGCGGAGGCACCGGGGGTGGGAGCACCAAAGCCATCGGGTGTAGGGGCGGAATAATTGCCGCCGGGAGTAGGGGCATCATCAAAGTCTCGTTGATCACGGTGGTGTGTCATGCCGCCACTCCAAGCAGGGGTCCTGCTGCCCGGCGCGTTCCATGCCGGCGTGCGAGATCCAGACGCAAAGGCATCGTGACCGGCACTGGGATCACGTGGAGTTCGATTTCCAGAGTGCCAGGCCGGTGTGCGGCCGCCTAGATTACCATAAGCCGTGCGGTTGCCCTCGGCATATGCAGGGTTCGGTGTTCGGCCTGATTCATTCTTCCACGCAGGCGTGCGCGCACCGATCATACCTTGCCAAGCAGGAGCTGCAGAAGGGGCATCTAGGTTAGCGACAAGAAGCCTCTCCAAAAGCAAGATCATTGACTAGGACACGCATAAAATACATACTTCGTGAGGGTGCACCGCTCCACGCAGGAGTTCTGGATGAATCTGCCATGGCCATGGGAGTACGGCTACCTTGCCAGGCACTGCTGCCCTGGGACCCAGGGCCAGTATAAGACGGAACGCGAGAAGCGGGTCTGCCTCCAATGTCCAATGTCCGTTTTGAAACCGGACTAGAGAATGCATTAGTATGAAGAGAACGGAAAAGAGAGGGGCAAGGTCACTGTACTCTTTAGGGACAAGGATGTCGCGGGGCAAATGGACGGGCTTGTTGATTGAGTAGAGCTCAACTTGGGCGGAGTCGCTGTCGGCAGATCGGACAATGCCAACGAGTCCCTTGTAGCGGCCCGAACGAACCGAAACAGTTTGGCCAGGAAGCCGGTCCCGGCCACCACGCTGAGGAGGCTGCATAGAGCCAGGGCCACCCATGGGATACTGTCTGACCAAGGCAGGGTTCATTTTGGTCAAATCAGGTCCACCGACACGGCCTCCGCGCGCGGACACTGTCACCACATTGGTTGTTCTCACAACGGAAATACCTGCGTTTTCGGTTTGAGCTTTGTTGTGCAGGAATAAAAAGGAGCGATAAATGTGAAGGATCTTTCCATTTCGCTGCTCTCCGAGTACCTCTCGCACAGTATCTCCGTTTCGAATTTCCGCCCCGTTGCGGTCGGTAGCAACAGCATCCCGGCGGGAAGGGATCTGGTTAGCGATCTGGGAGGGCAGAACATCACGAACAGATCCGTTCTGGTCCAAGACACGGAGGCTCTCGCGATCCACTTTAATCACACAGGCAACAGTTGCGGCACTGGGTTCACGTTAGTAAAAAAGTTCGTAGAAGGGGTCCGAAAATTTGGCTTACTCTAGCTGAACAAGATCATGGACATCGTGAATACCGACTTGCCCATCTTGGGCCGTTTCGGCAGAAAGTCGCAGATCCTTGCTGAACACGGTGATTTCTTGCATGCTCATGTCGCTGAGGATAGTGACTGTGTCGTCCTTGACTTGAACAACCATGCCCAGTTCGTTGAGGAATCGACTGCCGTGAATAACTTTGACGTGGTCACCCTCGCGGAAACGCTTGCGAAGAGTGCGGACCGGGGCGTCGATGGTCTGTCCTGCCAGTTCTCCCTCGGTCACCTGTAGCGAGACAATATCACGCCGGGTGGAGACAGTTCGACCGACCAACCCTTGTTGTTCACCACGGTACACTTCCACTGGATCACCTGGTTGGTAGGAGTCCTCGGCAGTGGAGTTTTTCAAAGTTTCAGCAAGAGACGCCAGGTCCAGATTGGCAACCCCGTCCTCGCCACCACGAGCGAACATGGTCACTTCCTCTAAGCGGGGATCTACATCCTTCGTGATAAGATGCTGGACACGCATATCCTTAATGAGGAATCCGTCGACGTAGGTCTCGTTGAGGTAGTTCCACGACTTCCCACCCAGCCCAGATGCAGCGGAAAGAAACTTGGAATGCTTCTTTTTCGCTTCGGCTTCACTGAAAAGTCGTTGAGGAGGTTTGTTCTTGCTGGCAGCGGTACGCTTGCGCTTGCTATCCGCGGCAGGTACGGCGGCACTGTCGTCATTCATGCCATAGTCAAGGCGAGGAACCAGTCGAACAGTCACCATTAAACCATTTGTCTCAACCTCTTCAATTTGGGCAAGGTCACCTTGATAAGGCCCACGCTTTATGCGAACCCAGCCTCCAGGCATAAGCTCTTCGGACTTGGAAACCCGTAGGAGATCTGGCATTTCCTTGACCGGGACCAAAGTCATTTTTTGGGAAGGATAATAGAAAGCGATACCTTCTAGGGCATCCGTGACGTCGGATTGTCGGCGGGCTTCGCAGTAGAACCAACCTTGCATGATGTTGCCACGCTCAAAGGCAGAAATTAGTCGGATCGGGTTACGCGAATTAGCAGGTCGCTCTTCCATGCGCTTCTGGATGGAATAAACGACTTCTCTCTCCTTTCCGGGCTTGCAGCGACAACCCCAGATACTAGGATCATTCACACTAGGAAGCAGAAGACGTTTAGGGACCACAAGAGCGTCCGCAGCGGCAGCTCGATTCCTACCATAGCGCTCCTTGAGCATCTGCGCCTGCTTCTCTGCATCCATTGTCGCATCAAGCTCGCGCTGTCGGTCGAGCTGTCGATGGCGCCGATCATCGGTCTCGGCGCCAGCGGGCAGGGCATCAAGGTCATCGGGGTGCATTTCGGTACCAAATTCGGCGAGCTCATCCTCCTCATCCTCGGCCTCGTCCTCTTCTTCGTCGACGCCTGCTTCCTCCTCGAAGAAGGAGTGGACACCGCCTCTTCGGCGCTTGCGCGGACGTTCCTAAGGAGATAGCAGTAAGAATCAAGTCGAGCGAGCATATGAAGGAAGACATACGACAGCCTGCTCGTCATCCTCTTCCTCCTCATCCTCATCTTCGTCGTCTTCGTTTTCGTTGTCTTCCTCCTCCTCTTCCTCTTCCTCTTCATCGTCATTCTTCGCGTCATCGTCATCCTGGGCAGAACCTCGGTTGTACTTCATATCGTCACTGGCGGCTTCAGGGCTTGGGCGCCTCTTCTGCGGCTGAACTCGCCATTGCCCGGTTAGCTTTTTCCCAAGACGCAGTCAATGGCTTACGTCACTGACCTTCGAGTCCTCGGCATCGGAGTCATCCACGGGCGCGGGATTGAAGTCATCATCCTCCTCTTCCGATCCGTAGTCGTGGTTCAGGAAATTAGACATAGTGAGCGTAGGGAGAAATCAGAATTGAGAACGTAAGTATGCTTGTAAGCGCTCAGAGTGTCTTCGAAAGTAAGTCTATTGGGTGCTTAAGTGTCAGTTCAAAATCGCATGAAATGCAGGACACGGAGGTGGAAATATTGCGCAGGAGCTAGGCATGAAAGAACCCGACGCAGCGTGGCAATGCAGGGAACCGTACACTCGGGAGATCAACTGTTCCGAAAGAGACGATACGGCCAGTGGAAGACAAACAAGATATTGGAAGCTTGGAAAGGCAACGCGCTCCAAGCCTGAGATTGTCACAATGAAAGCGACAATAATAGCCAAGATCTTACTTGCCTCCGCGCTGTGAGGCGGGATTCGCGCGCTGACACCGGGCGGCAGCTTTCTGAGATGATGGCCACACACGAATTTTGGCAGGAATGGAGAAACGCTCGTTGAATTTGAAGGTACCGCGTTATAGACAGCAAGACTGATCAATCTTTCAGAAGCTGTGTTTGAACTTGCGGATTACGGGGAGATTGAGAGGTTGCTCTTGGCTGCACGGTGAACTCGGGTTGGAGAGGTGCGCAAATGGTCTCTGTGTCACGCCCAACCTGATCTATTGATGTTTGGCTCCGCCGCCGTTGCCTGTGGCTAGCAGGCCGCCGCCGGTGATTGAACAACTGATAACCGTCAGGTCTCGTGTAAGACACAGCCCTCTGTTGAGACTCTTTGTAGCCTCAATATCTGTGAAAACGACAATGTGTTCGCCTCTCACGGTTATGCGCTTGTCATACGGCAAAATCGCTTGCTATCCAAATTACCAACAACATGCTCTAGCTTTGATTTCGGCAAAGCTACAGAGACAAGGTGCTTCATACAATGAATCAGGGTTCTCAACATCCTGTTGACAAACACACCAACAAGATGGATCGTCTCAAGCATTGCGGGCAAAGTAGGTTGATATCTATTACTTCGTGAAGTAATCCACATGGCATAATTTGAGAGCTACAGCAGGGGATATAGAGCGCACATGGTGATCCGATATCTTGACCAGCATCACAAGATGTTGTCTCATAGCGGAAGTCGCGAATAATGAACGCAAAAATGGGGAGTTCAATCAATATCATCTATGACTGTTGATATCGAAAGCGCACCTAAAGCGATTAGAGCTTCATGCCAAACATCTGGTGTACGCGGAGACTCTGGCGCATGCTCAAATCAAGCATAATTTCCTCGCTTCCACCAGGGATCGCATAGGCGCGCACGTCCCGGTACAGCCGCTCGATCTTGCCACCCTGACCCCCGCGGCTGTAACTCAAGCCGCCGAAAATTTGACTGGCCTCTCGGGCACAGAACTCAAAGACCTGGGTCGACTGGGCTTTCAAACCGGCGATGGCACCGCCCAACTTGAGCATGGCCTCCGTCTCCTCCATGCACTGACATTGGAAGATAATGTTCTCGAGCCAGTTGTAGGTAGCCTCGATCTGACGGGCCATGTGAGCCAACTTCATGCGAATCACTGGGTGATCGATGAGTTTCTTGCCAAAGGTGCGACGCTTGTGGGCGTATTTCATTGACTCCTCGTAACAAACGCGCGCAAATCGGACGCACTGGATGACAATGCCAATTCTTTCGTGGTTGAAGTTGGTCATGATCACTATTGATCGATTAGTATGTGCCTCTCACTTGTCAACACGCCCATTTGGACTGAGACACGTACCCTTGAAGCCCTGATTCTCTTTGCCAATAAGGTTCTCCACAGGGACCTTGACGTCCTCAAAGGTGACATAGGTAGTGCCACTGCTCCAGACGCCCTGACAATCCATACGGCGAGTGCTGACACCACCAGCCTCGCGCTCAATCAGTAGCACACTGAGGCCCTCCATGCCAGGCTTGCCAGTCCGCACGGCAGTGGTGAAGTAATCAGACCAGATACCGTTGGTGATCCACTTCTTCTCGCCGTTGACGATGTAGTGCTTACCATCCTCCGAGAGCTTTGCCTCACAGCCGAGGTTGGCAACGTCACTGCCTGCATCAGGTTCGGTAATAGCCAAGCAGATGCGCTTGTCACCCGCCAGAATCCCCGGCAGGATTCGATCTACCAGCTCCTTCTTACCGAACTTGACGAGAGGCGGACAGCCGATGCCGAAGCCACCGATGAGGTTCCAGACAAGACCGCCGCTGCCGGCGCGCGACAGCTCGTCAGTCAGAAGCATCTCATGGAACAGATCCCAGCGTTCCGGCGACACAGACTTGACTCGGTTGGGGGTGTATTTTTCAGGATACTTGACACCCAAAAGGCCGGCCAGGTAACCGCGTTCACCCATTTGCTTGTAGATGGTGTCTGGAACCTGCTTGCCCTCGTCCCATTCCGTGACGTAGGGCTCGATCTCCGTATCGACCCATTCCCGAACTTCTTCTCGAAGAGCCACGTGGGAATCATTATGGTAAGGGGAGGAGTACTGAAGTGAAAAGATTCATGCGTGTCAGCCTTTGTTCATCGCCGCAAACTTTCACCATTGTAGCGCAGAAGACTTACACCCTGGTACCAGCTCGGATCCGCGAAGGGGATAAGATCACCAAACGGATCCAAGGGCTCAGCCGTTGCTGCAGGCTGGCGGTCTGTCGAGGTTGTTTGCGCAACTGGAGCGACAGATTTCTTGGGAGGGGCGGCGGGAGCCGGTGCAGGCGCCGCGGCTTTCTTGGTGTTCAACGAGCCGACCTGCAGCTGCGCCTTATACTTCTTCAAAATTCCCTCGTTATGGTATTTCCAGAACTGCTTTGAGGCATCTTTGCCTGCGACTCGCTGGAGGACTGTTAAGAGTCGGAGTAAGTCTGTGTTCGGCCAGTGTGGGCGGCAAGCTTCCGCAGTGACGTACTTTTCTTCCCGCCTGTCCCACAATTCAGACTGTTAGTATGCGCATGTGATCAACGCGAGCAAGGTCACGGTACGGAATGGCAGCCGAGGCTTTCTGTGATATCTCTTGCTAGATGGAAGGAGCCACACTTACCAGGGTGTTCATCCTGAAAATTAGTGACATCGTAAACGTCCTCATCGACAATAATCCACAAACTATCCCCCTTACTGTGAGAAGCAACGTCTTCCTTGCTGAAAGTTTTGGACATTGTGGTTCACTGTAAGTTCGTATATCGAGAGCGACAAGGTCGGGTTGAGCGACAAGCGAGGTGGTATGGAGAATGGGCCGAAATGATAACCTGAATATGGTCTATTCACTCTACGTATCACCGAGGAACAAGGGTTGTGTGGAATAGGGAAATCGAAAACTAAGTCTGGGGTAAGATGGGGCGCATCCGCTATATAAATAAGTCCAGCGCGGGAGCGAAGGAACCATGGGCAGCCTCCGCTTTCCAACCACCTGGCAGCTGGCCTTTTCTACCTCCTCCAGAGCCCGTGCTCATACGACTTGAAGTAATCTACCCAAATAAGTCAGCAAGCCTCGGAGCATGCTATCTAGCATCCTGCATCTTGCCCTGCTCTCCAGATCTTCAGCTGCGTTCCTCGGTCATTTGAGGTGCTGGTAATTGTGATCAACATCCGTTATGCAGCCTCCCATTGGCTACGTTTGCGTCATCAGCTGCTTGACATGCCGAGGCGACCTGCTTACTAAGCTTGGAGAGAGCACCTTGTGAGCATGTGAAAATGGGGATTTGGATCACGAGCGGCTGCCGCGTTGTTGGACTTGTGAGAGAGCAAGCTCGGGGTATTTGTGATTTGTTGATGGCAGTCATGGTCTCACTTTACCTGGGCTGCACTACTCGGGTCAGTCTGATCATCTTTTGTGATACTCCTGACGTACTTCAGTCTTTAACTGTCGCTGATCACTGCTGGTTCCCAGCCCGAAGCTTCAGTATCTCAAGGTGTCACGTGAGGAGAGTGGAAAAAGCGCCAGGCGGAATGCAAGCATGGAGTATTGATATAGTCACCGAGTGTACCTATTCAACATTAAACTGGTCACCCACGCCGTGCCTTCTAGAGGATATAACAAGATCGAATCCAGTCCCAAACCACGACTACACAGCATGCGACGCCATCATTGAATAGTTTGACAAATTGTGTATAGTCTTGTCGGTTTGTGATATGAGAAGGCGCTATGAGCGGGACTCGCATTGAGCCACGTCGCTAACATTTCACAAGTGTTCATTAGAAATATAAGCTGTTTGTGCGTTTGAAGAAACATCAATAGATATCACGGCATCGTCAAGCTTCATTCAGCTTTCCCTCGAATATCGTTAAAAGTTCACCTTGAAATGCTGGACGATCCCCATTTATCGAGCCAGCCTCGACCAAGTCGCCATACTTTGAGAGTCTTGATTCGTCTACGGGAGATTCGATACCTCCTTGGAACTGAAATTGTTACGGCTCACCCGTCTTGCACCGTACACAGTAGTATACAGTTTTATCACAGGAAAGAAGATCAAGAATTGTCAACGAAATAAGAACACCCCGGCATCACGTCCTGGAACAGAGGCGACAAGGAAAAGTGGCGCAACGGGCCAGGCAGCGGGCGGCGCCTGAGTCTGGTGGAAAATCAAGCACAGCGATGGATTCACCCACCATTTTCTTCTGAATGATTGCCGTGTTTGTCTGTGGGCCCAAGGCAGAACTACTTCGAAGTTCTCACGAGCACATGCCCCACACATTTCTTCCGTGAACACTACTATATAGCGCGTAATGGGACCAGTGAGGTCCACTTACCCTGAGGTCGCTATTCAGTTTGAAACTGTGCTATACGGCTATAGTCCTAGCTGCCGCGTACTCGGGGGCTCTGCCAGTCTACTCTCTCTTTTCACTTTCATCTTCTTCGCTTCGTCAAGATCAGACGAGCGCGCGGTAAACGATCACCAGACCAGACCGCGGTCTATGAGGTGTACATAGCCGCCGAGTTAGTAGGATCTCAACGATCAAGGTGTCTTCTTCTTCTTCCTATTCTTCTTCTTCTTCTTCTTCTTCTTCTTCTACTTTATTTATATTATTACTCTATCATGACCTCTGTACGAGGATCCCTAGGACCTTAGGCAGAAAGCAGGCGCGTGATGGAGGCGCCCGAGTGCATTTTTCATCTGTTCGCTCGGCTGCCGGCTGAGTTACGGCTGGCGATCTGGCGGGAATGCCTCCCACGCCGGGTTTCCGAGCTAGACTGTCCAGTGTCCACTCCCGGCCGAGGTGTATAATTGGATCTGTTAGGACCTGTGAGGACCTGTGAGGACCTGTGAGGACCTGTGAGGACCTGTGAGGACCTGTGAGGACCTGTGAGGACCTGTGAGGACCTGTGAGGACCTGTGAGGACCTGTGAGGACCTGTGAGGACCTGTGAGGACCTGTGAGGTCCTGTGAGGTCCTGTGAGGTGATGAAGAATAAGAGTGAGAGTGAGAAGATCTGAGGTGTACTGTAGGGTACCCTTGTATTCCAGACTAATCATTAAGGAGTCTAGATTTATCTGTCCTGTCCTTCGCAGGTGTTCCCGTAGTAGGTCATGTGACCCGATTATCACGTGATCCCATGGGGGTTCAGGATCTCATCTATGTAGGCCTGTGGTGTGGAGGCCGTAACACTCTTAGGGGACGCGCCTGTATAAGTAGTCGAAATATACGAGGAAGCGAGAGTGACGGCCTTTTTTGACTTAGCCGAGGAATATAAAGGTAAAGGCGACATCAGGGCCTATTAGATATTCTACAGAGAAAGCGCAGAGGCTCTTTCGCGGGAGTTACACGACCTTGTGGTCAAGCGATTCGGCTCCCAACAACAAGCGCCAAAAATACATCCAGCACTTATGTTTCGACTTTATACCAAAATATGCAACCATTCGAATCCAGCAGATGATGAACATAGTCCTTGAAATTTCGAAATGGATAATGATGATGAAAAAGACACGGAGGAAGAGGAAGAGAGAGAGAAAGACTGAAAGAGGAAGAGAGAAAGAAAGAGAAAAAAAGAAACGAGAGGAGGGGGGAGAGGATTTATACCATATGATGGCTATTTGTTTACCGCTTGTGCGTCTGCTGGGATTGCTACCATACTCGCATACACAGGACACTTATTCCCACAATAGCGCCACAAACTGGAGCAGAAATTCCGTCTCTGCGGGCACGCACCGTGCACGTTGTGATCATTTGCAAGCGACGGTATATACCGAGCACGTCGCTTACATGAACTCGTGACATAATGACGGTGATCTAAATTCTAATGCAGCGAGCATTATCTTTAGGTACCTTAAATGCATGTAGCGCGCTCATCGATGAGCTGTACGTAATTGATTAAATGCGGCTCAAAGGCAGGATCATGTGCTTTCACAAGGCTCGGGCCGAGCCCCACTTCCCCGCGAGTCGATAAGTGTGGCTTGGACAAAGTAGCTAGCGTTTATCAAATTGAGCATACTCGGAGATGGATGAATTGAAATTTGAGTTTTTTCCGCGACTCGGTAATGTCAATCGAGTGGTCTGTGGTGCCTCAATGACCTAGGTGCAATATATAGCAGAAGTGCATCAGAGTCATAGTCAGCCGGTGTTCACGAGCTTCCCTAATATAAGCCTGCTGGCTTACATATTTTGCAAGAAAAGAACGATCGCGACAAGTTTGCCTACTTTAAGATTGACCCTAAAATGCTGCTTCTCAATGCCATTTATCTATTCGCTGATGAAAATGCGTCCTTGACCACACGGCACTCCACTGACCTAGGACTAAGGCAACATGTGTCCCAACAGCAAACGATTCTCGGCACAAGCCATCACCATATCCCCCATTTCGACCTCGCTCAATCATTCAAAACCGTCGATCCAATGTTGCTTTGTTGACGCTCAATAATTATCACCCTCTCCAGTCATCCTCATACGAAACATCGAAAGGATAATGTCCCACGAATACGATTTTGTCATCTTCGTCGCCAGAGGGTCATGCAATCGCCGCGTGTCCAGACAACAAGCCGCTGAAGAATTTCATGCTCTCCAAACTAGCCTCAAGTACACCAAAATTTGCTACGAGGACGCATACGGCCCCATCACAGGCGACTGGGAGTTTCACGAATTCTTGTGGCCATCGACTCTCGAGCTACCCGAAGTCAGCGATACGGCTCGTTTTTTTGCAGAACGTACCTCAAAGCTGGAAGATACAGACAAAGAGATGATGATTGTCCTCAACGGCTGGGATGGCTTGACGGCTCACAAGGATTCCTTGAGCATGCTTTTGAGAGAGCGTGCTTCTCAAATCACTCTCCGCATTTTTACCGACCAACCACGGGCTTTCTACCAAGTCAATGTTGCACAACTATTTTGGTTATTTGATGAAATGGTGAGAGTAGATGGAGAAGAAGAAGAGAAAGCATTAGGGGAGAAGGAGCATATGGGCCCGCTCCTCAGTTCGATTGAGGCTCACCTGGAGTATTCCACCGGCCTATTCTACCGCCACTTCACGGCAAATCGATCCGCAAGCGCTCCCTGAATCACTCAATGTTCCGCTTGATCTCGGAAGCTGTTCGTCAACATGTGGTGTGCAGGGAAGATTTAAGTCTCGGTGATACACTTTCTTTGCGAAGATTAGGCAGGATAGCGAGCGAACTAGGAGGCTTGCCTGAATCTTATGTGATGAGGATCGTTGAAAATGGGACCGTGTCTGTACCATGGCTCTGCCTGAAGTACCTCAGCTCTATCCAGTTGGTTTGAAGAACTACAGGCCTGAAATAATCCTGGGTAGTCCAGTTAACATCCATTTGACATGATTCCTGAAGCTCGAAGACTTTCGTACTGTAAAGACAAGTTCCCGCGACACTGCCTTCAGTATTGCATGTTGCGACCTGCCACCCATCGAAACGAGAGTCGGGAGATAGTCGGCTTTCGCACTTTGCTCAGCCCCGGGTATCCTCGAGCCAAAGACTGAAAGATTGTGATATGCTCATTGAAGTTCCAAGCTCTGATGAGGTGGTCCATAAACCCTGCGGTCCTTTCTTGCTGCCTTGATTAACCTTCATTAATCAACTTCCTACGAGTAGTAAGAACAAATGAGGACAAAAATTGAGAAATCGAATCCTACGACCATAAGCAAGACTTACGCATTGACCAGATACCGCTTGTTTCATTTATGTCCGGCCGGCTCCGGATCGGTATAACTTACTCCGCTCGTAACGCGATTGATTTTGCAGCATCAGACTAGTAATGATTGACGATTGCAAGAACGTTTGCTCCATACAGACAGGCACAGATCAACGCCCCTGAAGAGACGAAGAGTAAGTCTATTAATACATTGATTCTTCATCAAAGGAACTAAGTAACTCAGATCCACTACTCCTCCTCGGCATCTGTTTCATAAGTAAACTCATCTGGGACAGGTGCATCCTCGACTCCCTCATCATCTTCATCCACAGGATCCAAACAACCCACAGCGGCAATCGCAGCTTGTGCGGAATAGAACTGGGCCAGGATAGCACTAGCAGCGTCACGAGCAGTGTCACGAGTAGTGTCACGTTGAGGAGTGTCCGACCCTTCGCCCTCAATCCCAGCCCGGAGACTGTCCCGGAGTGTCTCTCCAGCAGACGCAGGGGCTTGAGGCTTCTTACGACTTGCCTCAAGCTCGATAGTCTCGCGGGGTTCCTCGGGTTGGTTGTCGAGGACAACAACAACGCCACCGGTAGGCTAGAGACGAAAGGGATGTTAGAAAATGTCTAAGCAGCGCAGTTGAAAAACAGAGGGAAACCTACCCTCTTGACAGGTTCGTATCGGGGATCAGGGAATGTGAGGTATTTGAGTTGCGGCGGAAGAACTCGTGACATGTTGTCCAGTTCGTAGCCAACCTTCTCACGCTCTGCTTTCTTTCGTTGGTTTTCAGCAACAGCCTTGTCACCATCCTTAGTCGCCTCTTCACCGTCGATAGCACCAGTTCCCTCCTCCACGTCCATCTTCTCTGGCAGCTGATCAGAAAGCTTGGGTGTCGTGGGTGTTTGATCAATATCCATGCTCTCCCGCCGAGCCTGCTTCTCCCGTCGCTGAGCGCGGCGTTTGGCCTGAGCAGTAGTAGAAAGTACCGCAGTCTTCACCTTCTCGGGGGCCTCCTCGGTCTTGACCTGCTGTTCGGGGGGATAGTCGAATAGGCTAGGGCGAGTGTTGCTGTGGAATTTGAACTTCGGAGCTTCCAGCTTCTGGTCCACTCCGATCACAGCAGTGGGGGTAAAGCTGAGAGACAAGAAGTGGGAAAGGGGGAACCAATACCAATACTGGACAAAGACAGCAGCGCCGACAATGCCCGGCATGTTGAGGTTTCCAGTTTGGGTTTGCAGGCTGATGGTACAGTTGCGACCACCAGCATCAATGATACCGAGGGCTATGGCGCAGCCAAACTTGGCCATGGCGTCTTCATGACGATCACCAATCATCTTCAGCATGGCCTTTCGAAGGCTGGTGACACGAGGATTCATGGCCTCGTTCTGTTGGACAAGGACCATGGACAAGGCAATTAGGGCGCCTTGACGCACAAAGTCAGTCGAATCTTTGAGCATTGGCTCGAGTAAATCAATCGCTTCATCCAAGCCGGTTCCGGCACAAGAGATACCCAACGCCATAGCAGCACCATATCGGACATGGGGATTATAAGACTCGGAGAGTAGCTCAACCATACGCGGAACGCTTTGATGCTTTCGGAACAAAATGAAACCCAAACTGAGAACAGCGACACGGCGCACATCATCGTTCACATCGCTGACTGCAACATGAAGAAGCTTCCGTACTGCCTTGTTGCTGCCACTACCGCAGTATGCGAGCGCAATCGTCATGATACCGCCATAACGGAGTGTTGGATCGGGATCACCCAAGAGCCCATTGATCAGCTCATCGGCAGCTTCCTGTCGACCGTACATGATCAAAGCCATACCCATTGCCAGACCGCGGACGATCTTCTCATGTTGAGTATCGTGTGCATACTGAATCATGTCTTCGAGCGCCTTCATATTGCCAGTGCCCAGCATAACAAGACCCATTGCGAGACCCACGGCTTCGCCATTCAGAGCGGAGTCGGTGTACAGCACGTTTCTCAGATCTTCATAAATGCCTTCGTCGCCTGTGGCCATACCTGCAACGCCAAGGCCGAGCGCACCACCATGCTGGACAACTTCTTCCGTTGCTTTCTTGAAGTAGTCTCGGATGATGTCGACAGCCATGCCACCATGATTAGCATAAATCAGACCATATGCATACAGTGAACCACCCTGGCTGTAGACAGAGTTGGAACCGCCTCCAACTCCAGCGATTTGATCTCTGGGCAAATACGGCTCCAACAGAGTCTGGCCCTGGTTCAAATTTCCACGATGAATCACACCTAAAGCAGCCGTGGCAGTGAACTTTGACCAGTTGACTGCTTTGCCCAACCACTCCAAATTGTCACGGAAGAACTTGTCTCGTGTGGTACCAGCGTGCATGAAGGCATTCGATATAGTGACTGCAGTGTGGAAAATAGAGTTGCGAGCTTCTAGGCTGTCTCGCACCTTATCTAAGATCGCCATATCCGTTCGGTTGTTTTGGTAAAGGAATTCCAAATTGAGCTCGATGGTCTTCAAGCCGTCCAGAATTGTGAGGATATTCTTGAAAGCAAGCGTTGATTCTTCAGACAGCTTGCTCTGTTCTCCTGATGGCCGCGTAGAACTCGATTGCTCATCAAGGAGCTTGTCAGACTCCTTAGGCTCGGCATTCGCATCATTTGACGTATCAGGCTGCGCTTCGGGAAGCAGGTCGTCAATTTCCTGGCGGACCTTTTGCAGGAATTCCTGGGTGCTGTTGTCGTAAAGGTCAAAGGATATTTGATAGGCTACTGCCAGGGAGCGTGAATCACCCTTATCGACGAGCTGACGGAGAATGTTGGTTGCCATCGAGTGTTCGTTGAGATAAACAACACATTTGGCGATCGAAAAGTAATCAGGCGCGGGGATTTCGTTGAGTAGGTCAAGAATGAGTTTGAGAATCTACTCGCATGTCGTTAGAGATCTGCATCCAATACGGGCAAGAAATTACCAACCTCACTGCGGAAGGCCCGCTCCTGAATGATTCCCATGCAAATGTCCAAAACATATTCCATGAGCTCCTCGCTCCTGCGATACTCCCCTTGTTGTTGCTTCTTCCCGTCTTGACTGGCACGCAAGATGGCCATGCGAAGCACCTCAAGGCTCTTGGCCTCCACGGCAATACCAATTACCTGGCGATAACGTTTCTGGCGGAAGCACTCCTCGAAGAGGCGCTCGATTACAGCCTGCAGTTGTCCTTGCACCCCACGCTTCAAAACCAGGGACGTCTCATCTTGTTGAACGCTAGACTGGTCGCCGCTGGGTCGAGCGGCATCAGTACCCGAAGTCTCTTCACGCGACAGCAAGGATTTCGACGGCAGGGCGGACTTGGAGAAAGGCGTAATTGGCGACGTCAAGCTCGCAGATGTGCTTGTCGCGCCGTCACCAGAGGCAGGGAAAGAAGTGTTCAAATTGGCAGACTGATCCCCAGGGTTTCGACGTTGGGCAGCGGACAAGGCAATGAAGGTATCGACACATTTGGCTGCGTTGACATTTAGTAAATCCACCAGACACGCTCCGAGTGGCGCTTGACAACTCACCAATGATAGTCTCCTCATACTCGCCACCGCTATCAAGCTTGAACAAGTTTCCTGCGCCGAGCGCCAACACCATGCTTTCATTGTATTCCTGCAGGTGATAGTACACCTTCGAGGCAACCAGGGCAGCGAGTTCACGTTCGGGGAATGATTCATCTTCGTAGAGTGCCTCGCTGTGAATGTGCCTGTTAGCTTCGTCTGCAGAGCCAAGGCACGGTGATGGAACCACAAGGATGCTAGATGGGATTGCTGGAGATAGTCGATTCGGCGAGTAATATGGCGAAACAGCTTTGTGGCTTGAACTTACATGTCCGGGACCGCTTTAACAACCTCTGTCCATAGGAGGTCAATTTGCGAATCTAGTGACTTTAAGGCGAAGACCTTGAGCTCCGAATCAGGCTCTGAAAGAAAGCCGACCAGACCGGCGGCCGAAGCAACTCCAACCATCTTTCAATGCAAAGTGGCCGTTGTTCCTATGACCGTGATGAACTGAGTTATGAACGACAGTGTCAGGGTGCAGTGTTGACCGAGAGAAGCTCGGGGAAAGGGTAGCAGATCAGCTCCCAGCAGCGATACCGTGAGAGTAGGGAAGCAAAGAATGCTGGGGGAAAGTTCGCAGGTGGCGATGAAGGAAGTTCAATAGATGAATCAGATGTCGCAATGTGTTGGATGGGTGGAAGCTGGGAGCAGGCAGCAGAAGCTTTGCCGGCGCGAGTCAACGTCAACGGAGCTGACTGTATGATCACGTGACATAATGACGCCCATGTGGTCAGAGAGAGTCAGGTGGTCAGGAAAGGTCTTGTGGTCGCCATTTTTCAACTTAAGAGACAGCGATGGGGATTTGAAGGGAACTGGGCATCCTCTCAAATACTCTCAGAGGTCCATGGCCGTCTACTTCTTCTAGCATTTACCCGTACCCTTTCCTTGCGCAAAATGTCCACACTACTGCCACTACGAGGCCAGCGGGCCGCGGCGCTACCGGACGTCTCTCCAGTCTCACTCCGTGATCCGTTATTACAGATCGAGCGGCAAGCCAGTCTAATCCAACGCATACTTCAAGATCTCATTGACGCCCAAAGCGAGGGTCTAGCAGGAGGGCTTGGTCAGCCATCGCTGGACAGTACGTCGACTGTGAGTCTCACAAATGGTTCGGTTGCATTGGGTCGAGCGCCGTCTCCAGCAACGCCTGCGCGACGACAATCTTCAACGCGTATCAGCCTGGAAAAAGCAAGGCAAGCCATTTCTCGATCGATACTAGATCTCCTTAAACTTCGCGAGACTGAGAGCGCTGTGTTGTCCCTTCACGAAGAAGAGCGAGATAACGCGCTTGGGGAGATCCGCGACTTCTTGGCGAGAAAAAGAGGACTGCAGGAGGCTATATCGTCCGTCCGCAATGACCAACAAAGTCAGGAAGCTCATCGCCTCCGGCAAGAAGCCGCAAGCCTTGAGACTGAGATTGGTGATCTTGAAACCAGATTGTACGAAATGAAAGCTCATCATCGAAACCTGATCGTTCAAATATCGAGCATTGAGAACTCTATCGACGCGAAACGGTCCTCTTACACAGAGTCTTTATCTCTTCTCCAGTCCGATGTAGATACTTACCTCCGTAACCCACCAGTCCAGCAACTAGCCGGATTCTCGAATGAGTCTTCAATCTACACTTTGAAACCAGACCGACGCACACTCGAGTTGGCAGAGGAGCAATGGAAACTTGAGCGCGAGCACTTGCACACAAGGCATCTGGCAGTCGATGCAGAGATCGTTGCCCTCGAAGAAGGGGGTGATATCTGGAAACAGGCTGTCGCCGATCTCTCCACCTTCGAGAGTCTTCTTCGAACCCAAATGCGCTTGTACATAGAACGTCAATCCTCACTGGTCATTTCTGAGGATGAGCCGCTGCCCTTGCCTCTGAGGGAAATCGCAGCCAAGGTCTCGACAGAACTGGACAAGACAGCTTCCCGACTTGAGAACTTTCTGGAGCTTGCCAATAAGCGGGAGTGGAAATTACTTGTCTGTTGTCTGTCTGCGGAAGTTGAAGCACTCCACGAAGCTCGAGGGATCCTTCTGCCGGCGTTTGGAATACCCGTTCGCCTCGAGGCGGCTTCTTCAAATGGAGCATCGTCGGATGATGACTCCCCAGCTGGACCCAAGACAACGCAGGATGGGTTGTCTCGCCAGAAAGAAGACCGGGAGAGGGAGAACAGTGACTCGGAGCCTCCGGCGGATCTTTTGCAAGATGATTCTAACCACACAACCCACCCCATCTTACGATCAGACGATGATGAGCCAGATCCTGCCTGGCTTTGATTTTATCGTCCAGTGTTCACTATATCTTAGATAGCGTTTTGTAGATCAGGACTGGGAAATCCTACAACTCTTCACTTAAGCTTCACTCAAGAGAGGTGGGATGAGTAAATCACAATGGCTACCCGACCTTCAAGTCGCTTGATCAATGTGAGCAAAATTCTCATGCCAACTCATCTCCATTCAGGTGAGATGGAAGGCCAGTCCATATCTCTCGATCGCCGCTGAAACCGATCAATACGAAGACCTTCCCCCATATGATGTACCTCCACCTCAGGGTCGGTTCAGCCGTTCATTTGGCATGAATCAGTAGTAAATGAATATGATGATATCTTGAACGATTGGAGTAGCAATTCAGTCACTTTCATCTCCTGGATATACATATAAATGCCCGGTAGCGTCAAGGAATCTTTACGCGTGCCGTGAGCACTGGAAATAATCTATCATTATCCGCCCTATCGTCGCTTCCTCTTCATCTCCCCCGCCACCTCTCCGGGTTGGACTCATTGTTCAATACGGCCGCAGCGATGACTGTCCCATATGTATTAACGTTCCAGATACCATCCGTGCACGATGATTGCCAACTAGAATGTCGCCTTCGTCTGCCTGATTCGCTAAGAAGCGCGGAGCATCGGCATCATTCGTCCTTCACCATTCGAGGTGCTATCATTGCGCATCCGTACGCTCCTCTTGGTGGCTGCTATGATGATCCCGTCGTGACGTTTTTGAGCATGGAGCTGCTCCAAGCTGGATGCATCGTAGCAACGTTCAATTTCCGGTGGGTGTGTGAACTGAAATATTGCTATCACAATGTCCACGTCCTCCACTTTTTCTCGGCCGTGAGCCTTTCAGCTCGCTTCAACTTACTGACAAGATCTGATTCTTCAGGGGTGCAGGTGGCTCGGAAGGGCGTACGAGCTGGACAGGCAAACCCGAGCTGGGGGACTATGTTGCAGTCTACGGGTTTATGCTGAATTATCTCCATCACCTGCGCACAGTATTGTGCGTCGGCCCAAGGTCTGGGCCACGTGAAGCTGTCCACCTAATTCTTGGTGGCTACTCGTTTGGATCTCTCATCGCTTCACATGTGCCGGCTCTTGATGTCATGCTGGATCTATTCGGCACCAGGGGGACCGAGACTCCGCAAACCGCTATCAATAGGATTGGTAATGCCGCAAGGAGGATCGCTGACGAATGTCTACAATATCTCCTCCCCCCAGCCAAGGAATATCCGATCGGCACAAATGATGGGACCGACCAATCCCAACCTCATGCGTCCACCCAGATCTCATATCTGCTAGTGTCACCACTACTACCGCCTGTCAGTCAGCTTCTGACTGCTTTTACAGCGCTCACGGTAAACGTCGGGGGTCGAGCGTCTGCAAAAGTCCTGCCCGCCGGTCGGCCCACCGATCGGCTCAGTGCACATAGAACGCTGGCTCTCTTCGGAGATCAGGACACCTTTACATCTGCGCGAAAGCTCCGGCGATGGGTCGAAGAAATGAGTCGCATCTCCCAGAGCAAATTCCAACATTGTGAAATCGACGGCGCGGGGCACTTCTGGCGAGAGCCGGGGGTGGAGGCTTGCGCGCGACATGCTCTCCAAGAATGGCTTCAGTAGTAGTCATGGGACTCACTTGTTGCTTGCATGTGATTCCAGTGGCTCTTCGGACGTATCCCAACAAGTCTGCCGAGCTGAGTGTTGCAGACCTCTGCAATGTACGATGATTGCTGCGTGACTCGATACCTGGACAAAACTCTCAAACATCCGTTCGACAAAAAATTGTCTGCTATGATACTATTATCGATTGCTTCAAGGCCCAACTATGATTCCTAGCTGCCTACGAATTCAGACCAAAATTAGCTGCCGATCCATATCGCAATCCCGGTCTACAGTCAGAGCCCAAGAGCCAACATTCTTTCGGCAGAGCGCCTGGTCACGAGTGTCTCACATGCAAACACGTGCGAAATTTATAACTTGATCATCGCCAAGCATTGTAACTAGGCCAACCCACTTAGGTCCACAGTAGCCAAGATTGTTAGGAGGAAGTATCCAGGGATTCCAGGCATAGCGACAAGAGGAAGTAGTCAATAGTAAATTCATACTGTATGTCAGTCCAATGTGATCTATTGCGATCATCGGGCACCCAAAAACTGCCGAATTGAGGCTGGGCCGTTGCCTAACTCTCGAGGTCAGTAGGTGGTACTAATCGCAGCGAGAGTACCTACATTTCTTGATCAGATCGAGCGACCAGCCAAGCTTGATGACATACTGTAGCCATTCCTGGTGTAACAATTCGGGCGGAGTAATGCGAACGTCCCATGCGTGTTGTGATCAGCTTGTCAAGTCTGGCGCAGTTGTAGTAGATTACTAGATGCAACAGGATCCATCGAATTTCCTTGCAGGCGTATCCATGCACAGGTACCGATGCAGTGGCGGGCTGAGCGGCTCACCGAGGAGCAGGGGGCAAAATAAGGTCATCCGTCATAACGCGAATCGAGAGTCTATCCCACTTTTTCGGTCATTTTTCCCGGCAAGTGAGGCATCTCTCCCCCAGTTTTTGGATTGCAATCCACAGGGCTCCCCATGTGTCTTCATCAGCGACCCGCTCTGGGGAGAACGGAAAAGTTGGGGTCACCAAGTGGGTTCTAAGCGGTCCGCGTGACGTTTGTCCTCCTTCAGACCGCCAGGTTCCGCATTTCCTCCATATCCTTTGAGTCGTTCTTTCGATCTCTCTCGTCGAAACCCCGACCATCATATTCCCAAATTCGCCGGGAATATTGGTCGTTGTTGGAATCCTTACCGCGGATCTTGCTCTCACGTTTGCGCGAGGAGAATCACACTTATTCCCTGAAGTGGGCCCAATGACCCCGGCTGTATGGCTTGGCTCAAATGCGCACGTCTGCGATGTCGATGCTGGGCGACTCCACCATAATTCAACCACCATGTCAGAAGTCGGACTCCGATAGCGTGATTTCGTTCGCCTCACCGCCGAGCCGGTCTTTGACAAAGTCGATATCGATTCCGAGCATCTCGTCTGTGGTGAAAGGGTCCTTAAATTGGGCCGGGCAAACCCTTCATTCGTTTCGCGATGGACTGTCGGCCGAAGAACGAAGACGAAAAGCAGACATCGAGAATCGCAAGGAAGTACTGTACTTGCAAATAAAACACGTGAGTAACGGGCGTTCCATACCCTGCGACGGACGGCTGCATCTGTGGAGTTACCCGGCTGATCGTACCTGGGGGAACCGAAGGCTGTGTCGTACGAGGAATGGTCTGCCACCGCAAGCGAACTCGATCGGTTAGAAGACAACATCGCATGGAAGCGTACAACGGAATGTACGGAATATAACGCTGAGTTGGTCCAAGGACGCTTACGCCAGTTGGACGAGGCACGGATCAGCTGTGATGTGAGCCGTATGTTGTTTCTCGTCCGAACCGCGCTGAGTCGTGATTTGGGAAACATGAACAACGCGTCTTTATACCGCCATTCGCATACCGGAACAAAAGACCTCATAGACCAATATATAACAGCGGCACTTGACACTATCGACACATTGGTGGATCTGTCCGCCCATGGCCGTTGCGACGGACTGGAGCTAAAGTACATTCTGGACCAACTCCTCGCTGCACGCCAGGCCTTCGGTCGAAGTGCGCTCCTGTTCTCTGGTGGTGCGACCTTTGGCATGACCCATATAGGTGTGCTCAAGGCTCTATACGAGTCGAAACTCATTCCGCGCATCATCTCAGGCGCGTCAGCCGGCAGCATTGTGTGCGCGGTGTTTTGCACTCGGACCGATGATGAGCTGCCAGCTTTGCTAGAGACGTATGCGCACGGAAACTTTGCAGTTTTCAACGAGCAGGGCCAGGAGGAAAATATTTTCCAAAAGACAGCTCGATTCTTCAAGTACGGTTCTTTCCTTGAGATCGACCATCTGGCCAACACGATGCGTGCTTGGCTGGGGGATATTACATTTCAAGAAGCATACAACCGAACCCGACGGATTCTCAACATATGTGTTTCAAGCGCGGGTACATATGAACTACCGCGGCTCCTCAATTACATCTCGGCACCTAATGTTCTGATCTGGTCGGCAGTGTAAGTTGTTGTCTTGCTTCCATAGAAGGCTAAACTTACTAATCTCACCTAGCGCGGTTTCTTGCTCTGTTCCCTTCGTCTTTCGTCCTTACACCCTAATGGCTAAAGATCCACTGACCGGAGAAGCCACCCCGTGGAATGATCTACACAGACAGTACATCGATGGATCAGTCGATGGCGATCTACCGATGACACGGCTATCTGAAATGTTCAACGTCAATCATTTTATCGTGTCACAAGTGAACCCTCACGTTGTACCCTTTTTGCCAAAAGAGAACGGCCCGATTATCTCCTCGGAGCCGAGCAAATCCTTTATTCCGCAATGGATGAACACGATGACGCACCTCGCGAAAGATGAGGTGCTTCATCGAATGACGGTTCTGTCAGAGATGGGTGTCTTTTCTACTTCGATGACGAAAGCTGCATCAATCATTAATCAGAAATACAGTGGTGATATCAACATCTACCCGGAATTGATATCCTCCAATTTCCCACGCATTCTTGAGAACCCTACCACCGACTTCATGCTTCAAGCCTGTTTGAATGGGGAACGTGCAACGTGGCCCCGGTTGAGTAGGATCAGGAATGCATGCGCGATTGAGTTAGCGCTCGACCGCGCGGTTCAGCAGATGCGAGCCCGAGTCACTTTCTGTCCTAGTCGAGCAGGACTGTACACCGACAGCTACATCCGGCAGTCAGTCCAATCGCTGGATAATGGAAATGGCAGGGGGCGCCTCACAGACAGGAGACTGGGCTCGTCTAAAACAGAGCTTCACAAGAGACGCATGAAACTCCTGCCTCGCAGTGTGACTGCACCGGCATTACGAAAAGCGCGCAGCACTGTATCCCTTGAACATGCAGCTCCCCCCACGAGTGCACTAGCGCGGCCTCCGACTCAACGACGTCGATCGTCCACTGCAATCACCAATCGTGCTTTCACCTTTGATTCAAGTAGCGAGGAAGAAGACGAGGATGGCGGCCTTCACCGTCATTATTCTCCTTACCGGCGTGGGGAGCATTCAACGAACGGCACGGAGTCCAAAAATGAGAGACGCAGTTCTGTCCAAACGCGGCGGCCATCGATATCGTCCACGAGGCGGCGACGGTCTGCCTCGGACCGGCAAGCTTCGCCGACAGCTGTCTACTCGGCTATGGCGCGAGAGGTGTCGCTAGCCTTGTCTCCTTCCTCTCGCCATCAACTGAACATGACCCCGTCTATGAAAATTAGCTCGTCTGAGCAGCTCCAACCAAGAGTCAATATCTAAACGTGGTACACCATATTGGCACGTCTGATTCCTATTTTGTCCACTTCAGGCCAACCCGCGGAAGTGTTGTTGATACGTACACCAGGTTTCAATCCTGAATGCGAACACGCCAAGATACCCTGCACTAAACTTCATGTCACTGAATGATGATATGTTTTATCCACTTGCTCATAGCCATCTACAAACGCATGCGCCCTTAGAATGTAACCATTGCACAATTAATGCAGCTACAATTCAATCTCGCTTGTGTAAGGCTTGCTTTTCCTGACTTTTGCGTATCGAAAATTGATACCGAGCAAATGTTTCGAGATGCCCTTACGGGTTGTCTTGCGCAAGTCCGTTAGTCGACCTTGACTATACAATCTTCCGTCTGAAGTATAGAGACGACGTGTTCTGTCGACTAGAGAATGCGTTTGTATGTATGTCCTTCAGAACAATCCGCAATGTTGGCGAATTTCCTTCCTTTTGGCGGAAGGAGGAAACCGGGGAATCGACTTGTGGTGACTTAGCAGGTTCCTCGAGTTACTGAAAAGTCCTTAGTAGCTCAATCAATACAAGTGAATGGTACTGATATGTCTGACATGGCTTTTTGGCTCTGCTCAGTACAGTCCGCACTCGGACGCCTCAGAGGCACCTAAAAATAACAGACTAAATTAGCTGCATTTTCAAAGCCAGTCGCCCAAAATGGCTACACTGCTGTATAGTTTCATGCAAATTGCCGCTAATTGATTTCTATTTTGGGCTCCGCGTCAGATATATGACGTGCATAAGAGCCGAACTAGACCAACAGCGCCTTGCTAATTAATGATACTTTTCTTTTTTAGGTTTCATCTTTTCAGCTCCTTTTGTTCTTGATTCACGCAGCCTCCGCAGATCTCTCCGCTCAGCTGCAGCATTCCGGCGCCACAGCGCAGCTGCCATAGGCCCTTCTCTTTCGCGCTCGTCTCCAGCTGGCTTGAGCGTTGCTCTGCCCGGAACCTTGTCAGCTTCAGCGAGCCTCTGTGTATGCTTCGCATCATGCAAATAAGCAGAAGGATGAACATTCTAATGGAGTCACCAAGCTTTAATATCCGGACGCCTCCCGTCACCGTGCGAATTGCACGGGGATCCCCTGTGGAATCGTTCATGTTGCTCATCGCTGTCTTCGGTTGTTCGCCGTGGTGATCTCAAGAAGTAAGATTGAGGGTCATCCATCCATCTCTCCCTGTCCTGAATTCTCAGGTTCAACTCATCTCATCGGGTCTCGCCTTGTGAATCCTTTGCACCCCAGTCTAGGCTATTTTCCCCAGGAGGTACCAGGTCATTGGCTATCAACCCCTCCCGCGGAAGTTCAGATCCCTGCTTCTCTCCATTCTCAACCTGGTCCGATTCCATCTGGCGCATTGTCATTTAGGTTAATTGGTCTTGCGCCCTGCACGCGTATCGCATGGGGAGGGGGCCTGCGCTGTTCCTCCTCGAGTATCGCGCGCAGCGGACGCTGGAGCTATCCTGCATTGGCCTAGTCAGGATTGATACAATCCTACTTCAGAAGCTTACAGCACCCCGCTCTGTTCCCACGATCTCAAGCCCTTCATCAATTGTTGATCAGATTTATCGAGGACCTGCATTACTTGGCCATCATAAAGCAATTTGAAACACCGACATCAGTGTTAAGCGCAGCAGCCTCCATGGCAGGACTAGTCAACAGTCCCTTGGCGGTCTTTCGTCGCGCAGAATCTGCGAAGCCACTTCACACTCGATGGGGAGATGTGACCATCTCAGTGCCTACAGATGGATCATGGAATCAATACGAGAACCCCCACCGGGCACAAGAGAGACAGCTGTACGGTCCAGGATTCGTACCTGATTGCTCTCCGGCAGACCGAAGCCGTGAAGGATCCGTTAGACATGGCCCGACGAGGAGAACGGTCAAGAACGGAAGCGTCGATGAGTACCGCACAGGCATCATAGCGGAGAGAACATCTGATGAGTCTAACTCGCGGCGTCAGTCGCTCTCTTTGGGTGACCTACGCCCCAATAGAAATAGACTCTCTGTGCGCTTGGCGTCGCATCCATCGCAACTTCGCGGTGATTCACTGCAAACGCCAGGCGGTGAATCAAGGGAGCAGAAGAAGCCAGAGTTTGCCTACAAGCCGATCCATCAAGACTATCCTTCAGAGATCTCCGAAACTCCAGATCATTCCAAGCATCGTTATCGGTACATCCCGACCAGTGGCCGATACCTTGAGGATATCCCCTCCCCTCATGGCTCAAGAAGTCAATCGGCAATGTCTTCTGGCAAGTCCAGTGCTCGACGTGACTCATGCATCGACTCTATTAAGTTGTACGATCGAGAGCGAGGCCGAGTGTCGGCCAGGCACCATGGTCATCAAAGCTACCACTTCAGGGAAGACGATCGTCACAGCGTAGGATCAAGTGTCGGCGGTAGCTCGGACAGCTCAGGCTCGGGGCCTCTGCTCACTTCTACCATGCGACCCAGACGCAGGACCTCGCCTTTTGTTGCGGCCGGTCACAGGAGGTCAACCTCGTTAAGGCCGATGACCATGGCAATGGTTCCCGATCCCGAGGACATTTATGAATAATGGAGATGATGATCTGATGATCAAAATGACTGGGAATGACAAATGACTACTTCTCCAATTTGATTCCAGAGGATTTTTGAAACGATTATGTCGATCCTTGCCCACCGTTTGAAGATTCGACTTCTTGGCACTTCCGGCGTTTAACATTCGGGTGGCGCTTTGTTTACAGTTTAGGCACCTAGCTTTCTTTAAGCATGTGGGTAGCGATACATTGCAAGATATCTACTTGACACATCCAAGAAAGTCTTGAATTACTTCTCTACTTATGTTCAAATGTTTGTCTTATTGTTCTTAGATTTGCCTCTACACGTCTCTTCCAACCATGATCGCGGCATACATTGGTGGCCGGGCACGTTGAAAATGCTTGGCGGTTGACGTCATGACGACTGATGATTCGGTGCCAATTGAACTCCTGTCTTATCTTTCTTGATCTCGACTCAAACAGAAACAAGACAGACCTCCAACGTCTGGTTCCTGTCAGATAAAAACGACTCTTTCTTCATTGGTGGACTTCCATTCCACCTGGTGACCTGCTTCTCTCCCTTCGTCAGGGCTTTCCAACTTGTTCCGACCAGCTCGGAAGCCGAGGGAAGCCTGGTCGAGACAAGATATGTAATCAGAATAGAGCATTCACTTGATCACAATGACGGCATGGGCAAAATGGTCCCACTGGCAGCGATGGGAAATGTCGCATCTGATATCAACTTCTGTTTTTCTTTCATTTGATTTCCGAAGAGATTTTTGTTCATACACCAATTCCCTCCACTGAGACCCATTTGGACGACTTTTCAAACCCAACACAATCATTCCGAATACAAAAATGGCTGATGCGGTAGTCCAGCTGCATTGCGGCGTCAAGGTAAGCGGATTTCTCTAATCGAGATATGTCACAGGCACCCAAATATTGACGAGAGAGGTAGAATGACGGCTGGGGTAAGAAGGGCAAACAGTCAATGGCTGCCCATCTCTGGTCCAAGACACCTGGGAAAGACACCCAGGTGGACGAATCCCAATACTATTCCGAGGTAAATTTATTGCGAATATACGAGAGGGGTTTACTGGGGATTGAAAGATTGCTAAATGGATCGTCTCAGATGTGGATGGGCACTTATCCGTCAAATCCCTCCCACTTGGTATCGACCGGGGAGCCACTTGCCGACTACATTAAAAAGAACCCCCAGTTGATGGGCAAGTCGGTTCTAGATCGATACGGGGCGGAGATTCCATTCCTACCTAAGGTATGTGACTCAGACCCCGAAGCAGACCCAGGGGATAGTGTGCTGGGTTCAAAATTGACGAAAAACACGTCTAGATCCTCTCCATCGCGAAGGCCCTGCCCCTCCAGATCCACCCCGACTTGAAACTCGCCGAGAAACTCCATAAGCAAGACCCGAAGAAGTTCGGAGATACCAACCACAAGCCCGAGATTGCTGTTGCTCTCTCCAACTTTGAACTGTTCGCGGGATGGAAGCCCCTCCAGGACATTGAAGCTCTCTTCAAGCTGAAGCCGCTGGAGCAGTTTGTTCCCAAAACCGACAAATTCGATGATGAGACTCTTCGACGAGTGTGCATCAATCTACTTAGCGCTTCCGCTGATAACGTCGAAAGTATCGTCAAAGAACTCCAGACCCTACCGGAGTCCCAATTTGGCGCCGATACATACATCCCCGGTCTATTGGATCGCCTGAGCAAGCAATACTCCGTCGGTGACAACGGTAATTTGGTCGCCACCCTGTTGATGAACTATCTTACCCTGGGACCTGGTGACTCGGTCTACGTCCCCGCAGACAGTATCCATGCCTACCTTTCAGGTGATATTGTTGAATGCATGGCGCGATCCGACAACGTGATCAACACCGGATTCTGTCCCGTGGCGGAGCGTGATAGCGTCGAGCTCTTCGGCCAGGCCCTGACTTTTAGCCCGCATGATGCGCAGAGCGCGCTCTTGCCCCGGAAAAAGAGCGACAAGGGCCTTCAGGGACGGACCGATGTCTATGCGCCCCCGATCAGTGAATTTTCCGTGCTGGTCACGACCCTGGGTGCTGGCGAGACGGAGACGCATCAGGCGATCTTGGGACCGAGCTTGATGGTAGTCACCAAAGGCTGTGGGTCCATGAAGATCCCCGGCGATCAAAACGTTGAGTTGAAGGAGGGCTTTGTGTTCTTTGTCGGTCAGGGTGTGGCGCTGGACTTTACGACCGAGAAAGGTATGGCGGTTTATCGTGCGTATGCGGAGTAAGGTCCTTCTGCATTTCTCTCTTATGTGAGTCGTATAAAATCATGTCAATTATATCATAGTATACTGTACGCGACTCCTTTTTGACTCTTTTGTTTTTTTCAGTGTCCTGGTGAGGTTATACATGGACGCTTGTAATTTCGTCTACTCCTACAAGTAGTCCAGCTTTAGTCCCGGCATTACTCGGGGCCTGTTGACTTGGTCATTTTGTTTCCGAATATTCCCCGATTGATGACTACTACTCGGTGCGGCGTGCTGCGAGCACGAAGAGACAGACAATGGAATTATTACTTTGTTCTCAGGGTTGACGAAGGGAAGGTTAAGTGGTGGTAGATACCAGATCAGTGTAGTTCTCGGTGTCTGGATGGAGCCACCGAGTACAGGTAAACAGTCGAAGGACTGGCTTGTGTCTGCTGTCTAGTTCAACTACATGTCAACTGCACCTTCCAGTCACACGTATCTAGGTAGGTACATAAGGAGTAGCGTAACAGATTGACAATAAATGGGTCGCAGATATCAAGTCTGACGACCACCCATAATGTAAGGGATCAAAGACACTTGCCCGAAAGTGCTTGACGACTCGAGGGGCAATCTCTATCCAAAGACATGTAAGTTTACAGTCATAGCTGGGTACACTGCACAAAGGACCCCGGAGGATCGTACTCAGCGGCGACAACCTGCACTCCGAAATCTCCGAATCTCCGATCTTCCAAGGGCGCTTACGGCCAGCCACTAAGAGAGTTCTTGAAGTGTTGGTTTGCCAAGCAGAAGGACTTTTCTCCCCAGACTGAGATGAAGTTAATTACTTGTCAGTTTAGGGTTTAGCGGGTAAGGCAGATTTAAGTTCCAATTGCAGTATGCATAACCAAGGCACCAAGCCGCATAATACGATTCATCATCTGCCACTGCCAGGCTGGAGGGGGGGTTTGCTCTTGCATGAAACCAGGCGTAGGCCAGACTTGTGGCGATACCCAAGCAGGACTTAGTGCCATGCACGTCCTTACGCTCGATGAGCTGGCAGTCCAGATTGGACTAGAATGTGAGATAATTATGGCAGATTATGCACCTCGTTTGGGGACAGAGGGGGCACGAGCACAATCTAACTCCTGCTAACTCTTCTATCGTTTGGACCCTCATTCTATCAATAGGCCCCTAATTGAGGGGTACACCGCAGCCATGGCGCTGCCTCTTGCATTCGGAGACGGTGGCTTGGGATGTCTTGCTGTCCAAGATTGAACGCTAATTTACATTCTCTGGCTTCCGTTTGGGTCGCGATCCTCCCCGAATGAGGATCGCGTGCCCAGACGGGCTTCTTTGAAACAGAGACCGCTGGTCTGTGCGGATGAGATGGTGGAAATTGGGACAGAGGCGTCGCGCTTACACATGAACAGGGCGGCTCTGTCTGCACCGAGAGAACAAAGCACTGCAGTGTGGACAAAAGCACACAAGGCTTATATAGGACTGAGGAGAGGTGGAGGGAGTTTGGTTGGATCTCTTGTTTTTCTTCTTGGAATATGAGGAGAAGTGTGTATAGTCGGAGGGGGCTGGTGGTTAATTCCTGACCCTTCTTTTCTCGATTTCACTTGCCACCTGCAAGACTGAGTCCCCCCGAGCTATACATCAACTTTGTCTGGACAGGGGCGGTCGACCTTGAATCCGGTGTCCTCCCTCAGTACGGTGCATCCACGCGATCCTTGATTCGTCTCGAGCCATTCCTCCGGTTGGAAATTGTCGTCGTGTCTCCCAATCGCGCGCCATCGGACAGCATCATATCCGCTCCGCTTCATTTGGACCTGAAGGACCCCTGCTAGCTTCCTGTGACTGCCATCAGGTGTTTGCATGAAAAGCCTCAATCACTCCCTAAGCTAGGAAGGGCCCGCCGGGATTTGAGAGTCGTCGATCACCTGGATGCAGTCGATTGCGAGTCCTCCCCGGTTCATCTGTTGTCGTTATCGAGGAGAATCCCCAGTCCACCTGGCTGTCTCATTGAGATCTCCAATCAAAGGATACTATCGTCCCAAGAGAAAGGGGACCAACACGACCACATCGAGCAGCCTGCCTAGTGCCTAGTGCCTACTGTCCGTGAGTCGGAGGTCCTTGGACTTGCTAGAGAGCTAGCTCCGCGGGACTAGAGGAGGCTGTCTCCAGTCTTTCGTCTCCAGTCTCCACCACCAGTAGTGAGTTTCTCCACCGATTGAATTCCATGCTGGAGCCAAGACCGGCGGATGATGCAGATCGTCTCAAATGAATCACATCCACATATCCACACCACTGACCGGATGGACACGATCACAGTGACGGGTAATCTGCTGCACATCTTCTCTCGCAAGGAGCGAGCGAAGCGAAAGCGCCAATCGCACGAACCCGAGCACCTGGGCTTGCTTCCAGTGTCTGCTCATCCGGGGCCCCGCTCAACGCACCCTCGGCCACTCTCCTCCTTCGCACCCGCGCCAACCTCGCACCCACAGTCTCGACGAGGCCACGGTGGGTTCCTGTATGAGCTGGGCCTGGGCGTGGGGGATGGAGTCGGAGTTAGGGTTGGCCAGGGAGGATCCGGCGGGTATTCTGCTTCGTCGCAGGCCCGCCAGGCCAGCTCCAGCTCCAGCACCAGCACCAGCAACAGCAACAGCACCGGCACGGCATCTCAACAATACTATTATGCCCGAGAAAGGAGGAGTGGCCCGCACCAGCAAGAGTACCACCACCAACACCCATATCATCATCATGAGCACCACAATGCGATGCCACCTCCACAACAATCTTATCCGCCCTCCCGCGCATCCGTCGACTTGTCGGGAGGCTATCCAGCCCTGCCGACCTACGACCCATCCAAATACCCTCCCATTCAGCCGTCTTTCACCGACTCCACCGTCGATTCCTTTGCCTGGCACCATCACCTGCCGGGCCAATCATCCCGACTAAGCGAAGTGCACTATCACGACGCGCGCCCATCGTCCATGTACTTCCAGCCGCCGCGGGTTCCCAACCTGTGCGCGGCACCCCCGTTACCCCAACTCCAACCACCATCCCAACCCCAATCTCGAGCGGTTCGGAATCAGCCGACCGTGGCGTCGAGCCACCATCCCAATATGGGCTCCACGGAGCATCACCGCTCCTCGAGACCGGGTGATGGCAGGGAACGCAGTTTCTCGGAGCCCATGCCCGCGGCTGCCGCTGGGCAGAGCTCCCGGGGCCCGCGACGGGCCAAGCCGGTCTTGTCGAGATTGATTACCAACTTTTGAAAAATTCATGATGAGTCGATCGATCAGAATAATGTGTCAAAATCCAGACATGGTCTCACAGGCACCGACGCAAGCGTACTACTAGGCAACAGGCAAGGTTGACCCTCCAGAAGTGCTGTGGTTCAAACCCCGGTGCACTGGTACCGGGAGGCGGATAATCCCATTATGACTTATCCCTGCCCATTGAAAGTTTGGTCCGGCTCCAAGTAGGTTTGGCGGGCTCCATATGATGGGGCCCAGCCTCCCAGGGCACTGCTTGGCCGGTGGGCGTCTGTTTTTGGGGGGGGGGGGGGGGGGGGGGGGGGGCTTTTGGGCTTTTGTCTTTTTTTTTAACTCCAACATCGGAGTCTCGAACGGATTTCGGGCTTTTTCGTGAACGATTCTTCTTGACTTGTCCCAGAAGCATTGTCGTTTCGATAGATTGTGATTTTTCTTGCCCTTTTCTTTTCGGTCACGAGCAACCATGTCATGATTCATGAACTAGCGTAGGCGTTTGTTGTGCTCTATGGAGAAAAATAAACATAATCCAAACGATTCCATGCCTTGAACGGAAAGATCAAGAGGTTGGGTATAGTGTATACTGTATACTGTATACTGTATAGTAATGTTGTCAGTCTCCCACCAAGAACATAACCGAGGATGATGGTGCAGGAGTAAGGAACCTCAGTCTCCGAGTCGCTGTCAGCAGCACGGGTTCCGTGCTGCTTACAAGTATGTGCATTGTGAAGAGCTTTTTGACCTTTGGTATACTGCTCGAGAGGTGGAATTCACCTGCATCTGGGAGGACTTCAACACAATTACTACCGCTAGAACATTGGGCATGGCCACGCCACTCTACAGTCACCATTTACTGCGCCGCTGAATCAGTACTCTGTTGAGCGTGGAAGAACGAGCACAAGTACTACGTCCGTGGCAGAAGGTACTTATGCTTATTTGCTATCTACGAGTCCCCGCAAGTATCCGAATCTGGTAATCTTCTCGAGCGGGTGATGCGTCCAGTAAGTTGTAACTATTAACTAATCGGGGCCAATCTCGACGCCGGGCAACTCCAGGCTGCAGGGCTGGGACGCTGTACTTACTGCGATACTAGAGAATTACCTTGTCACTAGCCTAGTCTGCGACCTAGGTAGTCACATGAGGGTTACTTGGTACCTCTCAATGAAGGATGTCCTCCCATCCTCCACTTCTCCTGTACCGCAGTACTGACTCTACTGAGTATCTGTATACTATGAGTATGGAGTATGGAGTTATGGACCATGGAGTAGTAGAAGTATGGACTCTATGGACTTCCGGAGTATGGAGTATGGACTTGCCAAATGGGTTCGTGGCGTGCACCATCGACTCCCACTGGGCCAGCCCGCTGCGCGCTAAATCCGCCATCAGGCGTGGACGCTGCTTCGGTCGCGGATCTTCCACTTTCCTTTCTCTCTCTCTCTCTTGATGATGGACGACGGATGCGTGCGTGGCCCGTGTTTTTGCTCTCCTCCGTCGATCTTGTACGGGGGTTCCGCTTGATGCTCTCTCTTCCACTCGTTCCATGCGTATCTTGTCTCCCCTCTTTCGGCATCCGACCAGGAAATCCAGGACCCCAAAGGGCCGGAATGCAAACGATCACCTATTCAATTACACCCATTATGGATTTGTCATGGTGGCTCCCCCTTTTTTCTATTTCTTTTTCTTTTTCTTTTCTTTTCTTCTTTTTTTTTTTGGATCGTCATCAGGTTGAGGTTATCCCTTTTCCTCATTTTCCCCGATGAGTAGTGTCGCATCTCAAGTGTGGCTCCCGAGAACGGTCGAAAAGCACAGACACCTCACGTTCCTGGAGGTTGTCCTGTTTGACTCCGATAAACTCCGGAGCATGACAGTCAGACCTCTTCCCGCCACGAGGGGTCCACGGGACGATCAACCTTGTTACACTCGGAACCACAGATCATGCTCATCCACAAATTCCTCATTCGCGACCTCTGACGGGGACGCGTTCCCGAGGAGAGATTGAAGTCTCGATGCTCGCTCTCAGATACCCTCATGTACAGGCTTTGTCCACTCCTCCAAAAGGCCTGGGCTGAAGAACCACGCCTAGCGTGCCAACCGGCCATCCCACCGTCGAGTGGACAGACAGCCATTCCCCCCCCCCCGAGACTCAGAAGGGCTCCATAACAAGCGCGGCACCGCAAATCTAATCAGGATATGCTCCACTCGCGGGCGTAACATCGGCGCCGATGCAGGGATGACGAGCACTGCGGCAGATGGACACCGGACTTTCACCAGCACTGTCCTACTGCAGCCAGTCAGTAGTACGGGAGTTCTAGTATGTCGACCTGGACAATAGGACCGATAGCACTCCATGTTCCGGAGCCGTTGACAGGACTCGTTCCTTCCCTCCCCCTCTTCTAATCCCTGTCGCGGCGGCCGGTGGGCTTGTCGTGTTGTCTTTTCTCCTTCTCCTCGTCTACGCCTCTGGACCTGTATTGGAGCATTCGATGCGCCTCGCCGCGGGGATGATCATCTGGTCATGGGGTGATGTTGCAGTGTCGAAGAGAAGAGTGAGACAACCTCACGCTTCCCTTCAGACGCAAGACATATACGCCCGTGGTCATCGAATCCCAGTAGGTACTAGGCACAGCCCGGTTGATTCTCCGGGACCTGTCATTGCACCATCGTTAGCCCCGGGAGAAGATCAACGTACGTCGGCGGTACCGATTGAGTGCTGCAACTTGCGACAAAGCAAGGTTGAGAAAAAAAATAAAGCCCGACAGCATAACAGCCTAACAGTTCGACAGCGATTGGAATCGGCTGCCAAAAGACATCCATGACTCGTCTGCTATCCACTCACATCCAGTCAAGCTCAGCCGTTGACTCCATTCAAGATTTCCCGTTCGCGTTGTGCGCAGACACTAATCACGGAACAAGCGCCCTGCCAAGACCGATGGTGGACAGCCTGCAGTAGTAACTCAGTGCAACCTATACCGGGATCGTCATGCCCTCTCTATCAAGCGTTCGTCCAGGGTTGGACGCGGCAGACTGCAAACTGAGATTGTTTAGTCTTTTAGTTTTTTTTTTTTTTTCTCCTTTTCTTTTCTTTTCTCCTTGTCCCACTCTCTCCATTCTAGATGTGGACAGTGGACTTGTCTCAGATCGTGGTGGGAAGTCCAGAGGGAACATTCAGCAAATAGGGATCATCGAAGACGACGGTCAGAGAGGAGAAGCTAATGGTGAGAAGACTGGGTTCATTCTATTGTCTAAAATGGTTGAAGCTTGCCCATACCGTACTTGTCAGTTCTCTTGTCTACCTCACCGTGGGTCCCTCCCCAGTCCGGTTGATCTGCTCCCCACCAAAGCTGCCTCTGTCCACGTTCAGATCCCTGCAGGGGCCCAAGAAGAAGTCTTCGCTCCTTCGACTCTGTCCACCCGTGATTGAGCATCCCTCGTGAGATCCGGCCGGAGTGAATGCACTAGATTGCATGCAATTACCGAGTTCTGCCGTTTCCGTGACTGTGAACTGCTCGGTTGAAGCGCTGTTGACCTGTGCTGAACACGCATCGTCGTCCCTCCCAGTGGCGTCTCTGCGGACAGCGTTGAAAGGGCCATTCCCGTCCAACGGGCTTCCAACTCGAGTCTAACACTGAATTTGTATGGCCTTCTACCCCAAAAAACCAACAATAAACAGCAAAGACCGATCTAGAAGATCCTTTCCCTTTCTTGACGAAATTGCCAGACATGCGGCGGGGCCTCATTGTCCTTTCGAATCATTCACGTCAACTACGAGGTCGGACGGCCAAGCTGCTGTGGGATTGAAGATTGTGGGTGTGAACCCTCTCTGATCGCTTCATATTTATCCTTCTGCCACCTATCCATTCTATCGGACGCCAACTCGGGTCCGTCAGAAACCTATCCACCGCTTTGTCACTGTCGCGCCAGAGTCTGATACTTTGCCTTTGCGATGAGACTGGTAACAGAAACCCCCCAGGTCTCCTTGTGAATCACTGCCGCTCGTCTCTGGGCGGACCACCGCCAGGATATTCAGCTCGACGACCCCGTGGATCTTCTCTCTCTGCATCTTGATGATAGACCCTTTGAAAGCCATGGCGAGCCTGATGAAGAAGCTCAGGAGGAAGCGTCGGCTGTCATCCGAGCTTGACGCGCGCTGGGGCGATCCGTCAATTAGCTATCCCAATCAAGGATCCTGGAATCAGTGGGATCAACCTTCAGGGTTCGTTGCAAATGCCTCGATGGGGGCAGCCTCTGCCAGTTTTCAGTCGCGGGAGCGAAAAGATTATATGAGTACGGAGCCTATATCGACAGGCGACTTTGGACGTTCCAGTGACTCTCACTACCACGGCTCAGATGTACCGATGGACCAGCTTCATGCCATCTCGGTAATCCCTAAGGGTTATTTCAACGAGAACATACGACATCGGGTCGACCGGAGTCGGCGAGCACCACCCGCACGAGGGCTCGGCATCAACGGCACGTTGCGCGACACGAATCATTCTCAAAAGACCTTGGCAGGGGAGGAAGACTCGTGCGAAGACGGGGACGAAGAGAGCGATGACGACTGCTGTGAAGAGGACCACGAGGACCTTGCACCGGGCCGCTTCGGGCAGCTCAGATATGATATTTCGGTCCGCAGCCCTCTAGCGGCCGACCCTCGACAACAATCGCCCCAAGAGAATTATGACAGGGCCCATGACTATCACCGGCCTTCCAAATCACCGCCTCTGTCGGTCACTCAACGTATGCGTCGGCTCAGCCAGCAAAGTGCCGCGACAGATCCGATCTCGTCTACCGCCGGGACAGCAAGCTCCCGGTGCACCAGCTATACTGCGGCTTCGTCCGTCTCGGTCCCTACACTTCCTCCGAGTACGCCGCGCTTAGCGATTAAACTTGATCATGCTTTGCATGACAAGCGACCGATTCATCGCTCCCGACCCAAAATGGATGAGGCTCAATCCCAGCAGCGGATGGTTCCCTCGTATGACGAGCTTTATGGGTGACTTACCATTGCCGAAGGGGCAGGGATTTTTACTACGACTACTTACATTGCTTGTCTATGCGTTTTGATGTCGATAAGGTTAAGGACCCGCCGTGTTGTTTATTGGTTTCTTTGGTGGCCTTGAAATTGCTTTTCGTTTGTGTTTGGGCCGTGGCGAGGGAGGTTGTCTTCTTAGCTTCTTGTTGGTGATTGTGTCGACTTTTTCTGCAGCACGAGAAATGTCTTTTGGTGTTGGTTTTCTGTTTTTTTTTTCTTCTCCTGGCGGTCAGTTCAGGTCGTCCGTACTTTAGTTTGTGTCATCTAGTGCTGGTCGCTTCGTCCCTTGTCCCTGTCCTGCAGCGAGTACTATAAATCGGTCAGATGCTTCCTCTGCTGCATAGATCAGAGTCACGTGACCCCCAGTTCCATGGACGACATGGCGGATGGGACTGAATCTGCCGTCCGGTCCCGCCCCGCCGAGCTCCACATCCATCCGTGCCGACCCTTCTCCACAACGTATATCGGCCTGGATCGTCGCATTTGGCACTTACCCATCCATCGACAGTAGAACAGCATCGTCAACCCTGGAATCTCAACAACAAATGTCAGCCATGGCCCTTTTACTCATAGTGCCACAGCAAGTATCTTCACATTCCCCATGGGACCGTCCTCCAACCCGGATTCCGACCTGTGCGGGCTATTCTGCCGGATGGCTAATCGGCACCATCTAAAATGAGGGGCAACCCAAGTGTGGAAGACTCTCCAGACTCAGAGTCACCTCGACTCCACCCGTCCGGGGGCCCGTGCAGCTTATGCACCACGAGTCACAGTCACAAACCTATCGAGCTGCGCCCATCACCAATCACTTGTGGCTCTGCTCAAATCTCCTCGTCACACCTTCATCACGTTCTGCTGGTTGGGTTCCTCTCTCTCTCCGGCACCTTCAGCACCTTCAGCACCTCCTGCACCCTTTGCGCACCAAGATCGTCCCCATCATGCACTCCTCACCAACCATCTCCCCTCTCTCTGCGCACCAATGCAACTTGCCTCCCGCGGAGGAGCTCTAAGCGCCGAAGCTTAAGACACTGAAGCACTTGACTTGACGAAGCACTCCCGCAACTCTCGTTGAATGCTGCTCGCGGTGTGATTTTCTGCAGGTTCACCTTCGGCTGGATCGAGGACCGCTCTCCCCCCTCCGGTCAAGGTTTCTCCCCTGTCGCTTTGTCATCCCCCTCGCCGACCCGATTTCACGCTGCGCACATAGCTCCAGAGCTAACGCGGAGTAAGTGCATTGCCACTTGCGCTAGTCATGATCCTGGAACTGGTTGGTTCCATGATACGATATTTTCCCTCTTTTCCGCTTCAAACGGCAAGTCCAGCGTGATTGCCGCTAGGCGAGAGAAGAGGTCCAAGGTGACCTGATCAATATAGGCAGAAAACGAAAGCCTTAAAGGTCATTTTCTTCGTGGCCAAATAAGATACCGGGCGGTCCATCTGATGGTGTGAATCGTGAATCTCTCTCGTCGTCCCAATACTTTTGGACCCAGAAATCGATCCAACAGTCAAGAGTCAAGAGTCAACACAAAGGGGCTTTACCTCTCAAATAGCTGCCGATCACCTCCTCCGGGACCTGTGGCAATTTGTCAGTCGGTCGATGGTTGTTGATTACTAGCCGTCGACTGCAATCGGATCTCTTCGTTCATTTCTTTCCTTATATTTCGACCATCATGTTCGAATCACAACCGGGGCCATCTCGGTCGCCCAGGGGGCTTGCCCTCTTCACATTTGCATTGCTGGCTGGCAGTGGCATTCCGCTTGTCCAAGGTCTCCGGACAACCAGTGGGTCGCCATGTGCAAGCATCTGCCACAAGCTATCTCCCAATACGACAGCGTCCCAAATTGCGTGTCTTGATAGCCAGTTCAACAACGGCAAGGGCAAGGACTTTGAAGATTGTATCACCTGCCAGTTGGAAAGCACGTATGTAGATCGGTTAAGTGGGGAGACGGACGTGGACTGGGGATTGTGTAAGTCGAGGATTGCTTCTCGTCCTCTCTTTCTTCGGGAACTCTCCATCCGCTGAACCGATTGCTGATGTTGAATCCAGACAACTTGCGGTATGCGTTCACGTCGTGTGTGTTCGGATACCCAGAAATAGCAGCCAACATCTCAACACCTTGCACGGTCGGATGTGGAGGCATTCAAGCCGCCTCCGAGCTCAACCTGTTGGATCCCAGCGCCGACAACTTCCACAATTGGTGTGGTTCGACGGGGTTTGCCGACAATTCCATCAACAGCTGCGAGTTTTGTTATAATCTCACGTATTCCATGGGATACCAACAGGTGTATATTGCCAACTGTGCGTAATCTTTCACCTTTCTCTCCATCAGTCCCTCCCGAGGTCATACTGTGCTGGGACATCCTCAACTGACCATGTGAGAATCGCGTTGAAATCCAGTCCTCGAATCCATCCGGTATGATTGTCACCTGAGAACGGCCGTCGGGTACGTCTTTGGCATTGCGCCCTCGCGAATCTTCTCCGATGTCCTCCTCCCATCCACACTATCTCTCGCAACGACTTCCCCGTCCAAACCGGGCCCCAACCTAGGCATCGTGATTGCCATTCCCATCGTAGGCTTTCTCATCCTCGTCCTCGGCCTCGCAGGCTGTTGCTACTTCTTCATCCGATGGCGACGCAGAAGACGCGCCGGCCGCGGACGACGCCAGAACCCACCTTTTGATATGTGGCACGATCCCTCTCACTTGCAGCCCCAACAGGGCCCAGGCGGAGCGGGATACTCGCCCCAGATGTACAGCACGGGTTATACCGGTCAAGCCCAGAACCCCGAGTATGGACCAGGATTTGGCATCTCGTTCGCAAGTGGCCATGGTCAGGGACATTCGCCTAGTGATGAAGCCAAGAATTCATACTCGTACGAGCTTCGAGAGACCTCGCCTTCAGACCTTCATCCCACCATGCAAATAGGTGGGCATGGGTACGAAGTGGGTAGAAAGACGCCGTACATGGATCAGATCACTCAATCCCCTTCGTCCCCTTCGGCGTATGTGTCTCCGCAAGCGGGGGCGGGACACTGGCAGTTTCAGCCTGATCAAAAGCCGCCTCTTTGAGGGTCGAAGGTTGGAAAAAGTGAAAGTCGCAGAATGGTGATGAGTGCTGCTGTCCTTTGAGTCGGTGTGTCAAGTCAATTGACGATAGTATCATGAGTTGATCTCGCAAGTCGATTGACGAGTCTTGTCATCTGTGTCGTCATGGAGTATATCAGAGTCGAATGGCGTGTACATCACGATGTCTCTTTGAGCCAGATGAAATGGCTCACGTGCCTGGGAAGAGCTTGTATGTTGTGCCGTACACCGCATCCATTGCTCTGCCCAGTTATGTTTCCCAGTTTGTTCTTCTGTCAGTAGTGATACCAAATGCCATTTTGTTGTTCATCCGAGTCCATCTTCATCTTGCGTCGTAAGCACGAATTCTTCCTCCCAAACAGAACCTCAGAAGAAGAACGCCGCATCAAGGGCATTGTGATGATCACGTCTCGTGGACATGTAGAACATCCCAGCAGAAGAGGATCCCAAACCCCCATTTAATAAGAGCAGAATGTCGGCAGATCCAGATGCAGACCCGCAAAGCACAGCCCAAAAAAAAACCTCGGAAATATTCCCCGGCCCTCTTCGAACTCAAGACAAACAGGAGGAACCACAGGACAATCTCTCATTTAATAACTCCATCCTGCCCCCGGGCTCAGCTCTCTCCCCAAATCTTCAAGCCTACTCACTCGTCCCCCACCCCTTCTTCTCTAAGAATATCAAAAAAAAAACTAATAGCAATTCCCGCAAGAAAAGAAAGAGTATGACCCGGCGCCCGCCAAGCACAGAACTCGAGCTCCCGAAATAGCAACAACCCGCATATTCTGGCCCCAAAATAACTTTCCACTTGCCCGTCGGGTCAGATCTCCAGCCTTGGGACGCCCGCACCCAGAGTCAGACCGCATGAGGGAGGGGGTAAATGTAAGATGGGGGAGAGTAAGCTGGTAGAGCCAGGGAGTCGATTGGGTGAGAGCGTTCCAAGTTGTAAAGGAGCTGTCAGCTTGGTCTGTCAGCTTGTGAGGGTTTCTGGGGAACGGGGATAAGGGGGGGGGGGGGGGGGGGGATTGGAGTGGAGTAGGTTGGGCTCGAGGCGCCGGTCGCTTTGGATGTTTGAGGGATTCGGGATATTTGACTCGTGGGGTGGATGTTTTCCTGCGTAGCCGAGTGGTTATGGCTTGTATACATTGCGTTCAGTGGATGGATGGATGGATGAATGGATGGAACGGGTTGGGTTTATTTTTGGAGGCGGGATGGGATGTGCTTCTGAGATGGGACTGGCCGAGTATCTACGATGAGTATCTACGATGGATGTGGCCGTGGGAGATTGAGCGGCGTTCACGAATTAATCGTATACGGCGAGGAGGGGAAATCGTGCAGTTTTGATTTCATGGGGGTCATTCGTGAATTTTGATCGAACAGTCCGGAGAAGAGAGACTGTTGACTTTGAGGTGGCAGCATGCGTATAGATCTGCGGACTATAGTACAAAATCCACGAGTTAGGCGGTTGATGACTGCTTCATTTTCACGGTGAAAGGCCGGCACAGGAACTGACATGGGCGGAGTCGGGTGTAGATACGATGCTATAGTCTTGAGAAATATCCATTTCTCTAAATTGAGTTGCTTTGCACTCATAACTTTTCGATCGAATCGACCACCTATTGAATACTCTTGGATATAACGCTCTCAAAATACACGGTGCACTCGATTTCAAGTGGATGAAGAATTTGGATATTCGGCTTCCCCGCCAGATCGGGGTTGTAGATGACAAAATAAAAGGGGACTCTACTCAAAGGATAGCAAATACCTAGGGCCCACGGTTGACGCTGCCTCGATCATACAAATCCGCACTGTAGGCGTCTACCGTATCTTGAGAGAACTCTGCTTCTTGAGCATGATAACAACGCTTGGGTACTACTTCCAGAGCCACGGTCATCATCTGGATCACCGGGTGGAACCCTATAAATAGGGTCCCTTGGAATTTATATAGTCTAGTTGTGAAGGGTAACTTGGGGTCTGGCCAACTGGAGGTGGTGGAATGAAAGTGGCAGAAGCGCTAGGCTAATATGGCTCAAGAATATCTTGAATTTTGACTTCCTGGGTACTATCTTCGTGAAGATTGTTCATCTCGTCTGATGTTCATGGCCGGAGTGATATAGGGAATGTTGCTCTCGTGAGGAAACAGTTCCGAGCGTGAGAGACGAGCGTAAGTCTTTCAACTTTGCCTCAAGCGAGGTAATGTATGTATATTATCCAGCGAGGAGAATGCGCTTGCTGTGCCTTTCACCTATCTGTCGGGCTCAGCAGACGCTCGGTATTATCGAACACTTGCCTCGTCTTCAAGAGATTCAGCCGATGACAGGCCTGAGATACAAAGTGAGCATCTAATCGAGTGTCGTTCCCGAATCCCGATATCATGTGATGATGTGCTGATATGCTGGCTCCATAGTCTCCACAACAAAATACCCTATCCTGAGAAGTTGAAGTTGATACCTTCAGGCAAGGTATGATGATGCACACCATGCATACCAATCTTGCTGGAAACGCATGTGGACAGATTCAAAGTTGGAGATTCGTACGAGGTTGGAAGTATATCCCTGGGAGGTACGCCGCAATCGATAAGAAGCACAGCAAATGCAGGACGATCACGAGCTCATCAGAGTAAGAGGAGCGCCAGTGCGGGCCCACTCGCTATCTAATCTGTTGCTCCGACCAAAAGAACATCGCCTGCGCTCATCTTCAACTTGTGCTCCCCATCCTCATTGCTCCCTCGCCGACCGCACACCATGGCACCCCTCACTTCAGAAGACTACAAGACTCTTGAGCAGTCGCGCCAACGCCTGGTCCAGTTGACGCGATCTCTCGGATCCCTAGTGTCAAGTTTGGAGCAGGGTGATCCTCTGCCACCATGGTATGCAAACTCTCCCTCGCGAACAGACCCCCTTCTGCTGCGCTCTTCACTTTGGGAAAACTCGATCAATTGACTGAATCCCAGGTCGTCCCTCCAAGCCCAAGCAAGCATCATATCAAACAACCTCATTAGCGTGACGGAACATCTCTCCGATCACCGTGATCTGCTCGCCTCCGTTGTCGCATACCCGGGCCCCGAGTACCCAGGTCGCACACAAGAGCCTATGCTCCAACAACTGCTACGAACAAAGCTTGACCCTCGCGTAGAGGACTGGGTGGCCCGAGGTCGAGCCGCAGGCATGGCCGCCCACGCATCTTCTTCCCTCCCCTCTCAATCGACGATACCCAACCCCAGCGACGCAGCCATGACGAGTACGAAGCGGCTCAATGATGCCGAACTGACCGAACTATGGCAATGGGCGCCAATTGAGGCGAATCAAGAAGCTCGGAAACGTAACTGGGGAGGAAACTACACCTTGGAAGAGCGCGAGGCCGGCATACAGAATGTAGTGACGGGCTTGCGAAGGCAACTGGAAGACGACGACGGCAGCGATGACGAGGAGGAGGGCGAGGAAGATGACGAAGAGGATGAGATGGAAGTCGTGGGGGTGCATCGCAAGCCGAGCGGAGGTGTTGAATTTGACATTGCGCCTCACCACACACATCCTGTCCAACCCGTGGTTCCACTGGACAAGATTCTTCGCTACATGACCACGGGACATATGCCGTGATGTGCTGAATGGGTTCCCCGTTCTCCCCGGATCTCGCGCAACAAGCGTGCTCCGCAGTCGGACCTCTTCTTTACCTCTACTTGGACTGGTGGGCGCCACTTATTCCCCTCTGGATACAGATTCCTCAAAAAGCATTCATTGGGAGTGTTCTATAACGAATTTTCTACGAGAAGATCACGACTTATGATCGATTCTAGACAAATAGTATTTGTCCGACTCTTAACCCCGACGGCGGGTTGTAGGGGTCTTTGAGCCAGGCCGCGGCGAAGCACTAGAGCTCTGTGCGAAGCTTGAAGTCGGAACAGGCTTTTCCGCAATCTTTGCGGAAGAAGCCGTCTTTTGCTTGGGCGCAGGGCTGTTCCAGTAGTAAACCATTTGCGCAGCCAAGATTAGGTTGAGCGAAAAGCCCGCAATGAATCCGTACAGGATGAGCTTGTCCTCAACTTCCTGAAGTGTGGTAAAAATGCGCGAGAGAGAGCCGAAAAGGTAGTTGAAGACCTGCATGCGAGGAGCCGAAATTCATGATTAGCAGGGGATTTTAAGCAAGCAATGTCGGGCGCCAATTCAAAATAAAAGGACTTACCGCGAAAGCACTCAACTGCCCAGTGCCACCTTCCTTCCAGATCGCATAGATCTGCGGAAGCTTGCTCGCGACACCGAGCGCGCCAGCACCAGTTTGAAGATATGCCATGGTCTGGCCATCAATGAGGTTTTGGTCGAAAAGCAGTGCGTACACGGCGGCCGCAACAATCGCGACAAATGTGGCAGCTGCAACCGACCGGCCAGCAAAGGTCAGGACGAGAACGCCAATTGCAACATCTTGGATCGCAATGAGAGCGGTTTCGCCAAATGTGCTGAAGGGAAAACCATTTCGGACGCTGTAGGACAAGGTGATGAGAAGACTGGCAGTCTCGAGGGCGTAGGATGCGAAGGAAACACCGGCAGAAGAGCGAGAATTGATGAGCTTCAGAATCTGCGGCACTTTGACCACAGCGCTGGCGCCCACGATGGCGATACCTAAAGCCTTGGAGATGGCTAGTGAAGTGCAGGCGGAATCCTCGACCAGATTGAGGTCGAGTACGAGAGCTTTGTGACAAGGGGCTGAGATCAACGAGATGATCGCATCGTGGACAGGTTGAGGAAGTGCCTCGACGATGGGCTTGAGGACCGGCTGAAGCGGTGTCACGACACTCTTTTGGAGAACATCCATCTTGTGGGGATCAAGTGCGCGCGACTTCTCAAAACTGGGAGATATTCTTGAAAAGGGACAACTTTTGGAGATGACGGCTCCAAAAAAGTTGACCACTTCTGCCCGTCTTGGACATTCCGCAAGCTGAAAGGCGGCAACATGGTCTGTGCGCAATCGGGGAAGCGGTTCGTTCTTCCACTTTTCCTCCTCGCCTTCTCGCCAGCACCGACTCTCTCCGCACCATCTCCGATCGCGCCATGCTCCCGCTACGATCGGCGAGGTGGAGGCTAGCGCCTTCATCGCAGGAGGCACTTTCGTGTGCGCGATGTCTAGGTCAATCTCGGTCTCACCTGCCGTCCACCACTCGGAACTTTTGGTCTTCGTCCCACAGGCGAATGGGTGTCGCGACCTACCAGGGCAGCTCCGTCTTCCACAAGACCTACTACTTCTCGGCCAATCGTCTATATGATGCGACAGGACTGAAGGGTGGTTTTACATCTTCCTTCATCTCCACAACCTCTGAGCCATCTTCATCATCCCCCCGAAATCCGAACATCCCCTCCGACGTGCCGAATGAGATCGTCAACACGTCCCAGTCGGAGTCCTCGAACTCCACAGTCGCCGAAGACATTCACAATGAATTGCCACACAGGAGGAGGAAGCGTCTCAAGACATTGGCAGCACAGGAAACCCAAGCTGCTGAGCCGGTCATACCTCTCGATGCTTCGGCGCAACTGTCCAAGCTCTCCTCCTCTCTTCCTCAAACCTCCATTCGCCGCAAACTCGCCGCTTATCTCGCCCTCACGAAGCCCCGACTCTCCTTTCTCATCGTCTTGACAACGACCTCTGCATATGGCATGTACCCTATCTCCTCTCTCCTTGCGCTTGACCCATCAATTGCTCCCCTTCCGACTCTCTCAACATCGACCCTTACTTTCATATACTTGACGGTCGGCACCTTCTTGTCATGTTGCAGCGCCAACACGATAAACATGATGCTTGAGCCCAAATACGATGCGTTGATGTCGCGCACGCGCAATCGTCCTTTGGTACGAGGGCTTGTCTCACGTCGCGGAGCTCTGCTCTTCGCCCTCGGCACAGCAGTGACTGGCCTCGGGTTGCTCTACGTTGGAACGAACCCTACCGTGACGGCACTGTCGGCTGCAAATATCGTATTATACGGATTCGTCTATACTCCACTCAAGCGGATCAGTGTGATTAACACATGGATTGGTGCAATTGTCGGCGGTATTCCGCCTTTGATGGGATGGGTTGCAGCTGCGGGTCAGACGGCAACTACCGGGCATGATACATGGCGCGATATGCTCCTCAGTGAGGACAGCATCGGTGGCTGGCTGCTTGCTGGGATCTTGTTCGCTTGGCAGTTCCCCCACTTCAACGCCTTGTCGCATTTGATCCGTGATGAATACAAGGCCGCCGGATACCGAATGCTGTGCTGGGTCAACCCCGCGAGGAACGCTCGGGTAGCCTTGCGGTACTCTGTCCTGATGTTTCCCATCTCCATTGGCCTTTGGTGGGTTGGCGTTGTTGGACAAGGTTTCCTCGTAGGGAGCACGATAGCCAATGGCTGGCTTGTTCGTGAGGCATATCGTTTCTGGCAACATCAAGGTGCGCAAGGCTCCGCACGGGGACTGTTCTGGGCCAGTATTTGGCAACTCCCCATTCTTTTGGTCGGCGGTCTCGTCACAAAGAAGGGTCTCTGGGATGGCCTATGGCGCAAGATCTTCGGACAGCCAGAGGACGATGACGACGAGTATCTATACTACGATGACGAAGAGGAAGCTGAACTTCTTCGAAAAGAGGCGGCTACAGCCTCATCTAAGCAGAATGGTCTTTTGACAACCACTTAAAAAGGAGGCCCGACATGATGGACAATGCGGGCCGCTCCCTTCAAGTCGATTTTGGCGTTTTGGGTTACATATAAATGTCCTTTTCTATCTTTTGTTTCTGACCTCAATCTTTCGATCGATTTTGGAATAGCACCTTGAGCGGCTTCGATCGTCTTGTTTCTTGATCATTTGTACAACACTACTCATTTCATCACGGATCTATTTCATTGAAAAAGATTATAGACATGTTCTTCATGCAAGTTTATCGTTAGATTTTGTCTAACTAACACATATCATGCTTTCCTTTTTCAACCACACCGTTCCTAGGAGTTGGCCGTCTCGGCCCTTCCACTTTAAAAGGAGAGCACTTTCATCTGTCTTAACGGCAGCCCTCCCACGTCCCATCAAGACTGGTTTGGAGAAAACGCCCGACCAAGCGAAGCGATTGTATAAAATCATTGAGGAGCAAGGTTTTTGTTGACGGGCATATCTTTCATATCTTACACGACTATTGAATACATTGAAATGTTTCGCTTTTCCTTTTGACTTATCATGGCTTTCTCAGCTGCAAATGATATGTCTCCAGCGAAGCTTCAGTCATAAGACTCGGCGCACCAACCATAGCATCATCGCCACCCTTGCCCGTCTTGGGGAAAGCGATAACATCGCGTACAGACTCCTTACCAAGCATCACTGCAACAAGACGGTCAAAACCCAGCGCAAGACCGGCATGCGGGGGACATCCAGCGCGGAGCGCATCCAAGAGATGAGAGAAATCCTCCAGTCTTTCAGCGGGCATCTTCAGGATATCACGGAAGATAAACTCCTGCACTGCAGCGTCATGGATACGTCGACTGCCACCACCGAGCTCAACGCCGTTGACGACGAGATCGTAATGATCGGCCAGTGCTTTGGTGGGGTCAGTGAGAAGGAGCTCCACGTCGGCGGCGGTCTTGGGTGCTGTGAATGGGTGATGGGTAGAAGAGAAGCCTGCGGCACCGCCTTGGCCGGGCTCGGACTCGGACGATGGGGAGAACAATGGGAAGTCTACCACCCACATGAAGTCGAAGCCTGTGGGTGCGTCTTTAAATCCGGTCGATACTGCGTGGGCGTGCAAGGCGCGACGAAGATCGCCTAAGGGCGTGGATCCCCCTGCAAATGGCTCACGAGGGCGAGCCTGGAGAATGATCAGGTCACCGTGATCTGGCTCGAGGAGCTCTTCGACCTTTTCGGCAGCTTCAAAGCCAAATGGTTGTAATCCACAAAGTGGCTGCTTGCCGTTGTACACGAAGACGCCGGGTCCTCCGTGAGGATTGTTGTTGTAGGCGGCTCCAGCCGGTGAGTCCAAAAAGTCTGTGATGAATTTTTGAGTCTCAGCTGGATCATTGTTGACATTCTCCAGTTTGAAGGCCTCCACAATGGGGTTTGTCAGGGGCGAGATTTTCATGACTAGATCGACCGGCAACAAGTAGTCTAGTCGCGTGATTTCCATGCCATATCTCGTGTCTGGTTTGTCGGAGCCATACTTTGACATGGCCTCCTGATAAGAGACTCTCCGGAAAGGACCTTCTGGAGCAGCGTCGCTCATCAACGTTGACCAGAGCCGACGGATGACTCCTTCGACAGTGCGCATCACATCATCGCCCGTAGCAAAAGACATCTCCAGATCCAGCTGGGTGAACTCCGGCTGCCGATCTGCCCGAAGATCCTCATCTCGGAAGCAACGTGCGAATTGATAGTAGCGTGGAAGGCCGCTAGCCATGAGAATCTGCTTGTATTGCTGTGGGCTCTGAGGCAAAGCATACGCCAGACCGGGTCGCCTAGTCGGGACCAAAAACTCGCGAGCACCCTCGGGTGTAGACTTGAACAGAAGCGGTGTCTCGATCTCTACAAAGGCGGGCTGATTGTTTTCCTCGAGCTCCTTCTTGCAGACATTGCGCACTTCCGCCCGGAACCGCAGTGCTTCACGTAGGTCGGCATCGGACCGGAGTTGAAGATATCTTTGCTCGGGCGCAAAGACCGTTTCGGGGGTCATGATGATTTCTTTGGGAAAATCGTTGAGCACGTGAATATCCTCAAGAGCAAGCTCCCAAGAGTCCTCGGCCGTGGTTCCATTATCGGAACTCTTTTTCTTTTTCTGCTGGACTGTGCCGCGCACAGCGACAGGACTGTTGGCATTGATGGTCTTGAGCTTCTCGAATGCATCATTCTTGGCAAACCCGACTACTTGCAAGCTGTGTTTCATCGTCGGGTCGGTGAGACGAACGAATGAGAGCTTCTTCGACAGATCCGCGCGCTGACCCAGATATCCATGGAGAACGACTTCAGTATTAGGCTCGGCCTGCGAGAAGAAAGTTTCAAAGTCGTATGTGGCAGGCGGAAATTCCACTAGAACACCCCAAAAGTTATCATGAGTATGCTGTCATTCAGTACGGACGCTCATGCAATTGCGACGATCAAACTTACCCGCTTTCTTGTATGCCTCCAAGAAGCTAGGAAGCTTCACCACAGCATCTTGCTCAAGGCGGCGCCCGGTACAGGTGAAGTGCCTGTTCGTGAGCCTTTGAGCTCCCCATTTTCCTGAAACAATCCTTCTCGAGCTAGCAAGGCTCTGACGAAGGTTCAAAGACAACCTCGTGCGAACCGTATGAATCATGATTGTCTAGTATCTTCAAGGACCATCACCGCTCGCGCACCTCGCCGAGAAAGCAGCGGGCCTCCGCTCCCCCCCCCCCCCCCAAAACGGACTAGCGCGGCCCTTTTATTAGTGCGCGTCCAGCCCGCTAATTTTTTCTCTTCTTCATCCTTCCAAGTTTTATACTGGTGAGTGCTTCGTTTTGCGCTTCTCGTCAAACTGCCCTTGTAGTTTGCATACCCGCGGGAAACTCCTTTGCTAATTGCTGCTCTCTCTAGAATGATGAAAGCCTAGTGTGTTTATTGTGATTAATCTCTCCTCTCTGAGACTTGTGGCTCTCTTCTCTCTTCGGAGAGGAGCTCAAGGGCTGCTTGACTCGGGACGGAGGGAGAATGAACAATGCGTTCGGCACACCAACCTTGTTTAATTTACGGACGCGATGAAGGCATCTCTGACCCAATTCAAAACTTGAAGGTGTATACCCGCTGGCTAGGCCGCGGACTATGCATACTTGACAGTATGAGAGGACTACACGAAAAGAAGTCATGGAACGACTTGTCGAAGACGGTGTGCTATTGCGCAACTACCACTTTGACCTATCTTTATGACATGTATCCTCCTTCGCTATTTGTCTTTGTCGATTTTTAGATACTTTAGCGGGTTTAGCAGAATAGATAACCAAACTCGCGGAATTTTTCTCTCAAGAACCTACTAGTACTTTCACAATTCGTAAACAAATTTCATAACAAACCTAAACATAAAATTGAACGTTATTGTCTGCTGTTGTACTTCAACTATCTACTTTTTTGTCTTCACGTCGCATCGCTTTTGTAACAAAAAAAAAGGAAAAAAAAGGGAAGACAAACGCAAATTTGGTGGATACATTCATAGTCAATAACAAAAAGTAAGGACAGCTCATCACTCCCCACCAAAGATCATCTTCTCTACAACCGCTTTCTCTCCGCTGTTATCCACCAGATTCTTGAAGACGCCGTTCTCAATCTCGATCAGCTCTTTGGGAGGCCCAAACTCAACCGCCTTGCCAGCATCCATGACCAAAATGCGATCAAAGTCGGCAATGGTGCTGAGACGATGAGCAATGACCAGTAGCGTAGTTGCATTGCGGCCAAACTCTGCACGGATAGACTGCTGGATGAGCGCGTCTGTCTCCATGTCCACGGCGGAGGTGGCCTCATCAAGGACCATGATCTTGGGCCTAGCGACAATGGCACGCGCGAGGCAGAGAAGCTGGCGCTGACCTTGTGACAGGTTGAGACCGCCTTCTGAGATGGGAGCAGACAGGGAGGTGAAGATGTTTGAGTTGGTCTGACGAGCGGTGGCTGTATCGGGTGTGGTTGAGCCTGTACCGCCTTGGAAGGGCGTGGCCGTTTGAGAAGTCAGGGTGTTCTCGTCATCGTCATTCGGAGCAGAGATCAGATGAACTCGGGCCAATGCATCCTTGAGCTCGGAGTCACTGTACTCATCGAAGGGATCAAGATTGGTCCGCACGGTTCCCGAGAATAGCACGGGATCTTGGGGTATAATGGCCAAGCGACTTCGAAGGTCGTGAAGGGTAATCTTGGAGACATCGAGACCGTCGATGAGGATCTCACCCTCACGAGCTTCGAGGAATCGGAAGAGCGCAAGAGTCAGAGAAGACTTGCCAGCTCCGGTACGGCCCACCACGCCAACACGCTGGTTCTTCTCGACCGTGAAAGAAAGTCCCTTCAGGACCGGCGGCAGATCAGGTGCGTACCCGACAACAAGATCGTTGACTTCGAGTCGACCTTCTGTGGGCCATGCGGCGGGTGCGTCGACGCCACCCTGATTTTCTAGCTCGATGTTCGAATACTCAATGACTCGCTCGGTGGCGTTCATGTTGAGCTCGATGTTCGCGTACTGTCGCAGAACGAATGCAATGGCAGTGTTGCATTGGAGAGCAAAGCTTAGCGCGAATCCGGCAAGCGAGGCCGAAATTCCAGGTAGAGACACCACGAGTGCAGCCGTGATTGTCGAGAAGACTGCACCAACAATATTCATACGAATACCCAACCAACGATTGAAAAGCCACATTGTCCACCAGGCCTGGGCATGCGCATTGATCTTGTCGTAAATGATGTCAATAAAGGTTTCACTCTTGGTGAACGCTCTGATGGTGATCAGACCAGCCAAGCTGGATCCGAAATGTTCGAATACGGGACTCTTCGCAGTGCTTTCAAGGCGCTTCAGTTCCCGCGCGCCTGCGAGGTAGGTCATAGAGAATCGCATGCAGATGCCGAAAAGAATCGCGGCTAAAATGAGAACCATGGGGGAGACCAGCACACCAGCAAGCACAATTCCGCACACTTCGAGACTCTGACCCGCGAAGAAGGCAAACTCGTAACCTATACGGGAGTCGATCATATGGAAGTCGGACGTGAATCTGTTCAGAATTCGCCCAAGAGGCATAGTATCTAGCCATCGAAGCGGCGCGCGGAGAACAGCGTAGGTGAGGCCATTGAACAAGTGTCTTGAGGCGTGAACGCTGTTGCGGAGCATGAAATAATATCGAGCGGTGCCGAAAACACACGCGAGTACGGAGATTAAAGCGTAGATACCCAGGTACCATTGTAGGCTGCGGTCATCATCGTCGGTGGCAGTGGTTGAATTGGGCGACATGGTATACTGCAGCAATGTAGTGAACTGTTCCGGACGAACTTCCGTGTTGGACGATTCACGGGTCCAGATATTGATCCACCAAGACTAGAAAATGATGTTAGACAAGAATGATCAATTCGAGAGAAAATAGTGAAAGGTGAGGAGAACTCACGCGACCAATGGTGAGGGCCCAATAGATCAGATACACACATAATGTGACGATCCAGATCGTAGTTTGACCACCCGTCTTGAAATACCTCATGTAAACTGACAGTCGAACCGAGCCGACTTCTCGTTGTTCGTCTTCGATGAACTTCTTAGGGGGCAGCGCCTTCGCTGCAGGATCAGTTTGGGACTTGTTTGGTGGAGACGATGTGCTCGAGACGACTTTTTGAAGGGTTACTTGTTCCGAATCTTGGACGACAATCTCTTCGTTGGATGGATTTTCATCTTGCTTGATCGCTTCACGTTCCGTTTCCAACAATTCTTCAAGGTGGCCTTCCTTGCGTAGCTCGTCAATTGTGCCAGCGTACTTGACGCGGCCGTTCTCTAGCAACACAGAGTAATCGGTCTTAGGGAGGCAAAGTGCCACGTGGTGAGTGACCAGGACACGGGTCCGGCCTTGACCAAGTTCGCCCGTCAAGGCGTGCTCGAAGACGTGGCGACCGGTGTGCGCATCGAGAGCACTGAAGATATCATCCATCACCAGTATACCTGCCCGCGAGTACAGGGCACGAGCAAACGACACTCTCCATCGCTGGCCACCACTCAGATTGACACCATTTGCGCCAATGTCAGTGAGCTCACCGTCAGGCATCATCTCCAAATCCTTTGTTAGGGCGCATGCGAAGAGTGTCTTTTTATATCGCTCCTCGTTGAGAGGCAGACCAAACAAGATGTTATCCTTGATGGTAGCATTCTCAATCCAAGGTATTTGCGCAACGTACGCAATAGCCGAGTCAATGATCCAGTCCGCGCTCGTGGCATGATTATCAAAGCGTTCTTTGCCTGGGGGTGGGACAGGAACTTTGATAGTACCCTGGATCACATCGCATTCCCCCAAGACTGATGAGAGCAACAGACTCTTCCCGGATCCCGTGCGCCCAGAGACCACACTGAGACCCTTGGTTGGGAAGTTGATGGTTAAATCTCGTAAAAGGAAACGGTCCTCATCCTCCTCAGTCTCATTATCTGCCTTCTCTGCTGGCCAGCCGACAGTCGCATCCTCAAACGCAATGTGGTCCGAAGGAACCGTATTGACAATCTTTTCTGCCGAGTTCATGTGATCGTCAATACGATCGGCACTGACCTTGGCCTCCAGGCCATTGGAGATGATCTCCGGCAAGATCGCCAGCGACATTTCAAGGGAACCAAAGATGGCCATGGCAGTGAACGCAACCGAGGCGGTCAGGCCGCCGTGCATCAACGCGTAGACTGCCAGAGAAACAGCTGACAATCCCACTGGACCTAGAATCCAGATGGCAAACAGAACGACGTCGTAGAGAAATGAGATCCACAAGGCTTTGAGCTCAGCCTCTCGTGCTTGGGTGATCTTCTTCTGCCACTGATCCTCCAGCGCAGAGAACTTGATTTGCCGGATTCCCTGCAAGACTTCCGTGACAATAGCCATTTTCCCATCACGGAGTTTCATCAAAATGTCTTGGGACGCAGTGAATTTCTTCGCCGCGTAGATGTTGAGCGGAGTGATCAGCAAGGACACGGCAATGCCCGCAAAGGCACTGCGCCAGCCCAGAATATTCACCAGGAAAGAGCATCCGATGATGATTTTCAAGGTGGCGAGTGGGATCAGGTAGGCATACGATGTGAAATCGGAGATACGTCTCGCGTCCACGGCGGCGAGGTTGATGATGCTCTGTCGACTCTTCTTCATTGAAGCCTCGTCATCCTCCTCTTCCTCCTCCTCCTCTTGCCCCTGGTTTTCTTCCTCGGAGCTTCCCTTCTTCGCTGCCTCTGAATCGTCCTTACCCTTGGCTTTCTTTGCGGTCTTGGTATCCTTGCGACGCATTGATTTCGCGAAGACAACAGCCGAGAGCTCCGCGTAAATGGGCACGAAAAGCTTCGAGCAGACGCACCAGAACAACCAAGCTTCCACGGTCGAGTGAAGCAGCATCAAGCCACCCAAAGCAACGACCCAGAGAGATGTTTGAAACGGGTCGAAAAGCTCAGTTCCACGAGTCTCCAGGGAGGCTAGGATTCTGAACAGAGCCATCTGAGGCCCAAAGTTCAGAATACTGATCACGATGGTGAGAAAGAGCTGGAGAGCCAGAGAGTCCCAGTGCGCAACGACAATGGCTGTGCCAATGCTGCGATTGCCTCGAGCTTTCTCAAAGTGATCTCGAAGAGATGCTGCGCGCTTGGCTGCGCGCAGCTTTGGCAGGTCTTTGAGCTCCATTTGCCGGTGCTTCGTAGCATAATCTAACACAGCGCCCGCCCACGAAAATGTGAAACGACCGAAAGCAGACACAGTGAGCTCTCTATCCACAGCCTGACCATCATAGTAGACATTGGGTCGGCGTGGCAGGAGCAGGGTAAACAACCCACGCAGGGCTGCACTGGCAAGGAGGATTGAGACCAGAATGATCCACGGTTTGGCGTCCAGTAGAGAACGCTGCGTGACCCAAACGAGTCGCAGATGAATCGCGGTGACAGTAACGGCAGTCAAACTGCCACCAAATGCATACTGGCCGAGCTCGAAGCGACGAGTTGGACGAGGCTCGATGAAAAAAGCAATGGCTTGAACAGCCAAAAGTGTCTAGAGTGGTATAGTAAGAGCAGTGAGAAACAAATGCTTTCAAAAACGCCAGCCCCCAAACACAGCCGCTTGGGAGCCACGGCGAAGGCTCAGTAGACTGAAAACATACCCAAACTCCAAATTCCAACCATGTTAACTCCAGATAGCCCCATTCATGTCTCAGCGTGGCCAGCACGGCTAGCGCAAGGGCCACTCCAAAGCCGATGACCGAGAAAACCGCAATGGCACAACGATGCCACCAATCTGAAAAGGCCTTGAGTGATTCCTCAGTCGCTTCACCATCTTCGTCGCGATAGGCAGATTTGGCGAGATCTGCTTCCTCAAATGACGCTGACTTGCGCACCAGACGGCCCACGATACAGTTAATGGCTGGTATACTGTCGAGGGCGGCAATGGACAAGCCCACCGACCCTACGACGAGGGACGCAACTTGCACGTTGAGCGACATGCCTCGCGTCCACCACTGTACTATACGGGGAGTCCAGCGATGGGATCAAGAGAAACGAAGGGATGGAGCAGTGAGAGAACGGAAAAAAAGGCGGCTTAAGACCGATATCTGCTGACTAGGCAGACCGATTATTTGCTGCTAGTGACCTCTCCCTAGTGAATTCGTAGTCAGTACGCGCATTCATCTTATCGCCATATCATTTGGGTCAGCCGCGGTCTAGTCCCAAATTGCGGCGACATTGAACCGAGCTTTCCTCCATTCGGTATCCGCGATTATTTGGAGCTTGGAATTTGGAGTCCGGCGCCAGTGAGTGGGGGCGCTGGATGACATTTACTGCTTAGTGTCAAAGCCAAGGTGGCATCCGGACGCCGGGCGGGGAAAACCCTTCACCCCCTTTAGTAATCTCGTGTAGGGAGAGGGTGCAAAATCCTGCGGGCTGGCTGCATCCTGCGGGTTGTCGCTGATCGAATATGATCATCAAGCACTGGAAAAAAAGGAGTGAACCAGGGAGTCTTCGATCTGCTCCTCTGTTCGTGTCAGACAGACCATCTGACTTGACGTTCAACGTATGCGGGTCTACGCAACGGGAGACTTTGAATCATCGTTCATCGGTATGACTCGTTCTGGAGTTATATCCGTCCAATGTTTACCCTGATAGCAGAGACCTTTTTGTCTTTTGTAGCTCCGCTCAGCTGCTTCTGTTGAGTCGGTCGGGTTGTGCATCTCTTGCATGGGGTTGCATACTCATTGTGCATACAAATCTGCGATTTGGGAAACTCCTCGCTTGGCGGCGGTGCAGTGCGCACTGTGCAGCATAGTTCCAGCAATTCTCCCGCAAAGGAACGGTCTGCTAGTGTCAGAAAGCATGAAAATGAAGCCATTGGCGGATTAGAAAGATGACTGAGGGTGAGTCACGATCCACCAGAGTGGTGCCGCATGGCGTAAGTGCGTCTGAGACCCTCAGTCGGAGTTCCGAGGGGCCTCACACGCTATCGGCGGGCACCATTTCTGAACACAGTCGAGCGTTGCCTCTGTTGGAGAAGTGGGTGTGAGTGGAGTCAAATGGCGGATGGACGTGCTCTGGTGGCGTACACCCAAGCCTCCAGATGGCGAAAGGTCCAGAGGTCCAGACAGACCGGAGTCAAAGATTCGAAAGGAAAGATGCAAACCAGAAGCCTTGCTTGTGGGAGAGTAGAGCTCGAGTGGGGGTTGGGCGGGTAATTGTATCTGCTCGGCCAGCACGAGGCATTTGGCAGAGATGATCAATCATCGATATCGACTTCCATGCGAGGATGTCTGCAAAAGAGGTTAATGAAGCGCATGCCCACCGCATGGTCGGTCATCATCAATTTCAGTCGACTGCAACCGCCCAAATTAGCACAAGCCAAGTGTCTGCGCTGTGAGATCGGAAAAGGCAAGACCCTCAAACTCCGTGAGTCTGCTTCAAGCTTAGGAAACGTCTTGTCACTAGCCCATGATGTAAACAGCCTATGACCTATGATGAGCCATTGATGCCTAGCCAATGGACCAGCTTTCGCTGATTGTCTCCGGGTGAATGTCCAGAATCTAGATTCGCGCCAGGGTCACAGAAATTGAATCACAGTTGAGAGAAGGTTGAATGGTCAGAAGTGAGAAGGGTATTAGGAGAGAGGTGATATGGACGGAAGAGGAAGCAGTCCCGTGCTGATTTGGTACATCGATTTTTAGTACCATGACCTTCAAAGTACAAGTACTGCGGAGGCGCGAATGTGCTCCCATCTCTTGAGTTGATATGAATACCTGTTCTACTTATCCCAGTAGGACCTCACCGGACATGGCAAATCGAAGGGGTAAATTACAAGAAAAAATAAATCACCATGAATAAAGTATCTCGATCTTTGGATAATGGAGAATCGAGTGAAGATTCCTTTGGTGCTTCAATCGACAATATGCTGGGCATCACTCATCATGCGTCTTCAGTCTCTCTGTCAATTGAACTTTTGGAATGTTTTGGATTTGACAAAGTTGAAATTTTCCAGGACGATTGGAAGGGGTGGTATCCTCAAACTCATCCTGCCATGTCTGTAGTTATCCATCTACCTAATCTTCGAATTGCCTCCCTATCTCAACATGGGTGGTCTAGGCAGGGCACGAGCCCATGGAACATGCATTTCAGGCCCCCCCCTCCGTCAAACGACGTCGATGAGTAATTCACAGGAGAAACTACAAGTAGACAGAATTTTGAAACTATATGCAAAACAGGCATATGACATGACCCCCTTTCCATCTTCTATTGAATTATTCACCCGTTCATATCTTATCTACATGATCAAAACTCAGTATAGACCCTATCGCAGGACAGGCCTCCATCCCTTCCGAGCAATGAATCCTTGCACGCCCTCATCTTCGAGAACATCCTGTCCCAAACGTCCTGTGACCACACTACTTTCAACCCGAGGACCATGCACGCGAAAGGGCTCAAATCCTCGTTTTTTGGTCGATGAATCAAGTCCATTTTGAGAGCGAACCCAGAGTCTTTTGGATCGCCCATCGCCAAGGTCAATCTTTTGAGGCTCAAATCCTGAACCTGCCCGGTCCATGCTGAGGTACCATGTTCGCTGGTGTATTGATCCAACAGTATTAAAAGATCCAGGATAGGCGTTGTTTTTTCGTATTTGATAGTCGATCTCCTCCTTGGGTAAATGACTGGGATCATCTCTCCGATTCTTTGAGTCAGGTGTGGTTGCCTGTCCTTCTGTTGTCATGGCTTTCTCCTTTCTTGAGGAGGGTGATGTCGGCTGTTGCAATTCTGAATCAGAGTCCGAGGTTGACACCGGTGGTGGCGGCGATTGAGGATTCGCAGCCAGCCGTCTTCTGCGTGTGGGCCCCTTTCTGACCGGACGATGGAAGTCGGTAGATTTGTCCATCCGCAAAAGCACGGTGTACCCCTTGGGCAAGCGGGTTCCATGGAGACGAAGGCGTATTTTGCGCTTGAGAATTGGAAACTCCATGTAAGTGTCTGAGCATTTTTGTCTTCGAACTTCTAATTTTCCATACTCCCTAGTCTTCCGGATACATCGAGAGTTTTCGGGTGACTCACGCTATGAAAGGCTTGTTTTAGCTTGGCGCTATCCGAAATAGATTTTGCCTGGACATCACCATCCCCGCATAGAGACGGGGACCTATCGGACCCTGACTCATCAGTCTGGGGACCTGTCGTATTTCCCGAATTCTCATAAGGGAGAATTTCATATTCACCCGTGTCCCAAATGATGAGGCTCCCGGTCTTGGCGGATGCGGTTTCGATAAGATGATTCTAGGTATCCTCGCATTAGTATTCGCAATGAGCCTCATCTTAAGCATCGACACGACAGCATACCCGCGTCACAAACTTCGGACTATGGATGTAACCTCCAGCTTACCCATAAACAATGAACGCGCGTCTCAGTAGCATTGCGATTCAGCCTCTCGCTGTTCGGATCACCCGGTAATCCGTACATAATAGACCATGACACGGAACTCGTCTCGGAGAACTGCAGACGGAGATCATAGTGTGGTCCAGCGATGGGATGATCATGTTGATGGATCACAAAATGCCTGCCTGTTGGATGACAATTGCGTCGGTAGAGATCAACGTAATCCTCGATAGCCAACCGCGGTACTGGATGCGAGAGATTGAGCGGCCGACAATGATTGCGCAATTTGTCCGCAAGGATTTCGAGGTGGTTCTTGACTTGACAATCGCCTGCTTCGATCGCAGCCACGTTAGGATTACCCTCTGTCAAGGCTGCTTTTTTTCGCGGTGGAGGGGATACCGAGCCTCTGAGACTGGCGATGAGTGATCGAACGTTTCTTCGACGGATGTTTGTGGATTGATCTGAAACCTCGACGTCGCTGTCGCTGCTTACAAGACGCTTCATTGTAGTTGTAATGTGTCTGAGGTTCCAGGAGAACAAGGTTAGAAATCGATGGCACCAGGATTCGAGATAAGTCTGTTTAACTGGTTTAAGTTAAGACCCTGGACCCTGGCTCTGTGGAATGGATGGAACTGGCCGATCTCCCACAGAGATCTCTTTTCCAATGAACTGCATGCCCGGTCTTACTCCTGGACTCTATACGAGACCAGTTTTCGATTGGTGTATCAAATGAAGGTAATAGTTTAGCCTGCGGCTATCGAATCATGAGGTATCAATACAAAAAGAGCAGGCCATTGAGTCAAAGAAAGGTTAAGCATAAGAATTCAGTTGATGAAGAAATGACACGATGACGTCATTCTCCTCCGCTTCCCACGACTCCAGCCGGATGCTTTGCTTCGGTGGTAGATCCTACAGCTGCGCTCGAGCGGCAGGATTGACACGAACACTTTCCGGATTGTGAAAAACATCATGAGGGTCGATATCGCTCTTAATCTTTTGAAGCTTCGGCAAGTTGTCACCCCAGTACGCTTGTTGACTGTTTTCAAGCAATGGGTCGACATATCCAGGATACGCCCCGTACGAGGCACTAGGACAGGTTGCAGCAATAACTTGGTTGATGCCGCCCAGAAAGTCCTTCGTTGTCGAGGAAACCGGCCCAATCAGACTGACAGCGTAGGACTGCATCCACATGATCGTATCACGATGGGCATATGCAGTGGCATTGTTGGGCACATCGTTCGTGGCGCCCGCCTCCAAGTCGAAGATGACAAACCAAGCCGGAGTGCCTTTAGTCGCCGAGTCCAGATACGTGAATAAAGACTCCACACCTTCGGCGGAAAGAGCGTCTGTGAAAGACATGGACTTGGCGTAGAATGAGCATGGTGTGCCTCCAGCAACCTGCTGAATGAGATCCTCGGCCCCGCTCACAAGCATGCCCAGCCAGTCTGTCAGTACAATCAAGTTTCCTTTGTCTGCACCTGGAAACTTCAACTTCTTCTCCAAACTTTTCCATTCTTCGGGAGACCCGAAGAAGGTTCCCGAGATGAGAACTCCATGCTCAAACACAACAAGCTCACTAGAGACCCGACGCGTAAGATTCTGTGTATAAATGAATCGCTGCCAGTCGGCGAAAAGTCGCGCTCGCTGAGCCGTCGTGCCAATGTTCAGCGAGTAAGAGTACTGCACAGCTTGTGTCGGGGCCGGATGAGTGATGAGCTTGAACTTTGTAACAATCCCAAAGCTGGCTGCAGCTCCTTTGATGGCGAAGAGCACGTCTGGATTCTCAGTCGCCGATGCTGTAATGATCTTTCCATCCGCAAGCACAACCTCTGCCTCTTGAATATGATCGAGAGCCATCCCCCACTGGCGCGACATTGAGCCCAGGCCGCCAATGGTAGCATGGCCTCCAAGGCCAACGCTTAAGCAAGCGCCGTGTGCCACAGCTCGGTGCCCAGCATTGTAAAGCCGCGAGTGAAGATCTCCAAGGAGAGTACCGGAACCCACGGTGGCCACATGGGTGACCGGATCCATGGAGAACTCTTGGAAAGACTTCAAGTCAACTACAACCGCACCATCTTGCCCACCAAGACCTAAATGATCAAAGTCAATGAATGGAAACAACAGAGTATACTCAGATGCAGCGACCTACCATAGTTGCCGTAGCTGTGACCACCACTGCGTGATTGCACCTTGAGCGAGTGACGCGCCGCACATTGCACAATTTTGGCAATCTGCTCCGAGTTTTCGGGAAACGTCACTGCAAGTGGTTTCACTGGCGCGTCTAAATTGTACAGGGAAGGCGCCCGAAGATGGAATAGAGCATCGTTCTGAAATGTGACCAAGCTCGCTCGGTGATCAACTGCCGCGAGGAGGCAATTATGGCCAGGAAGGCTTTGCGAGTTGCCCATTCCGGCCAATCACCTCTTGTCGAGATGATCAAGTTGAAGAATGTCACTGATTTCTGTCTCAGCCTTGATGACTACTCCCAAGACTCTTTGTCGACGGGACGGGTGTGATCTGCAAAGGTCAGGTAGCTTGCGCGTGGAGAAATGTGAGATCAGGTACGCAGGCCAGAGTTGACTGGACCAAAGAGGGAACTCAGTAAGCAAGGGGGCCTTCCTCATGCGGAAATCGCGATTGCTCCTGCCACAGAATCAAAAGTGCAAGCAAATCAACCCAAAATGACCATCTTCAAGTGACGAGAACTTCCTGACGAAGCGACGTGAAGTTGTGAGCACCGCCAAGAGATCTGTTGTCGATGTCATGATCATTGTATTGCTCATTGAGACAAATCGGTACTGATGTGAATGCGGCTCCTCAATGTATGGACTATGCAGTATGGGCTGTGTTAGAGTGTCAAAATGCTCGGTATGGCACTGAGCAGTGAGGCTACAGGTCAAGCAATATTATACAGATCACCAAACACCATTCCCTCCTGTTGGGCGTCGTCGATCTGAGATGAGGTTTGCCACCATCAGAAAGGCCCTCCACAGTACCAAAGTCAGGTGCCTTTTCATGGAGTGCCATTGCCGCTGCGCGGCTATGCGGTTATATACACGAGTCACATGGGATCACGCGTCTGTCGAGGCTCTTGTCCATAGGATTATTAGGGATGTCCTCGTCAGCTTATCAGATCGTCAAATCCCGAATCGCCAAATCGCCACATTCGGACCAGAACGGCGAACCCAGCGATGGCCCGAAAGCCGGTAGCTGGTTCCCAAGGAGGTTTTCAAGTTAAAGTCCTGCGCTGCATGGCCCACTCTCCACTTCCCCGGGGACTTCTGGAAGGGATGGCCTGGGTTTTTTCGGGGACCACCCACCTGGTCCCCGAATAAGGAAACCTTCAGGATGGACTGCCGGGATGCACGGGTCTGTCCGAAAGCGATAGTTCTGGTTACAAGGGGGTGCCAGACACGAGGGGAATATAGGGAACGTCTCCGATTGTCCCCCTCATCGCCTCTTCATGATTGAGAATGAGCAACGGGGACCGGGTGGGTGGATTCGAACTCCGATAGACTTTGTTGATCGCTCTGGGTCCGGGTCGGTGTCTTCGTGGATTCGCCTTGGTCAATCGGTGTTTGACTGAAGATTCTTCTTTCTTTAAGAAAGCTCGACGACAATTGTCCCGTATCCCGTTTTATAAAAGACATTTGATTGCACTTTGCGAGCAGGCCGTCACGACACCGCGAGGAACGTCTACCCTTTCTCGATATGTTTACACCGATACATACCTCCTTAGGGGCCTTGCTGCTCTTCCAGGGCTCCTCCGGTCTACTCGTTCACAACGGAGCTGTGTTCGGCATCTCGTCTCTACTCTCTGGATCCGTCGTGAATCCAAGCCAGGAAAATGTCCCGATCATCGCGGGCTTGATATCCAGTGTGATACCAATCTCCCTTTTAGCACCTTCATTGATTCCAGAATACCCTGCTGCGCCATCGGGCCTAGCCTCTGCCGCGGCAACGCTAGGTATAGGGCTCCTGCTGGGCTGGGGAACAAAGGTATGAAATGCAATCATTCCACTATTTTACCCAGATCTGCCTGTTGTGTTAGGAAACCGCTCCTAACCTCATGTTTTCTCGTCCAGAATGGCTGCGGCTGTACCTCTGGCCACATGCTTTGCGGATTATCACGTCTATCACCGCGATCTTTCATCTCGACGGCACTGTTCTTCACAACAGCACTGATCACGGCCAGCGTCGTGGGAGGCGGCTCCCGGATTCCGGCGTGTGGCGACCTTCCATGCTACACCGCCGTCTACCCATCATCAGCTGAGATGGTCTTTATGGCGGGATCATTGATTCTTTCCACGATTCTCAACTTCATCGTCGTTCCCAAGACACTTGAACGGAAAGAAGAACATCGAACTTTGTTCGCGTACCTTGCTGGACTCGAGTTCGGACTGGGCCTCTGGATTTCGGGAATGGCGGATTCCGCCAAGGTGTTGCGTTTCTTCGCCATCGCCACCGATGTGTCTCGCTGGGATCCTTCCTTGGCACTGATCATTTTGTTTGGTATTGGTCCATCGCTTGTCACATTCTTGGCGAAGCAGCCAGGTCAGAAGTCGGACAAAGATCATGAACCAAGCCAGCCTACTCTGGCCGAGAAATGGCGACTTCCCACCAAGACGCTGGCTGATATCGACTGGCGGTTCGTGGTCGGCTCCATTGCGTTTGGTGTCGCATGGGGCTTGCAGGGAGTGTGCCCTGGTCCAGCGCTGTTGCGTTCAGTGGTGCAGCCCACGTGGGGGTTGTTGACCATGGCCGGGTACGCCATTGGCAATCTATTCTGACATGAACAGAATAGATTCAATGGGGGATAGACCATGCCGAGAGAAATGGAAAAGACGAGAGGGACATGAATAGGATTGTAAGTTTACCATATGAATGTACATAGATAGATAAGCAGCCAGTCGGTCGCGTTGCTGTATACTTGTTATCTCTTTACACACTAGATGGAGTAGACCAGATCAGACCAAAGTGAACAGACTTTGCGGCAGCAACCAACGCGTGCCCCAAGGTAATGGATGATCTTACAACTCAGTCCTCCTCTCCTCGTCCACGGTCTGCGTATCTTCCCCACGTTCAATCTTTTCCACTTGGCGCGGGGCCTCGCTATGTTCGAGGAAATCTTCCAGATCCATCCACTCTGCGGCAAACGCGGTCATCAGGACGCTCCAATCCTTGACGGTATCCATATCCAAATGCTCAGCATCATCCAAGGCAGTATGCCACACCTCAGGAAAGCCCCGGAAATGAGCGTAATCGATCAAGTGCAGGATCTCCACCCCACGAGCGAGAAATGGCAGGTGATCGTCCTGAATACCGCCCAATGATACGACCTGATGAGCATTCTTGTCTGCATCGACGAACCATGGTGTCTTTTTCGATTTCATTAGATCGAGAGACCGGAGACGCTTCTCCAAAGTGCCAAGGTTCTGATACGCCCAGTGTGTGGTAGGATAGTAGGACTGGATAGTAGGCTTCTTTGCGCCAAGCAAATCAAGAAGCACGAAGAGAGAAATGGCCGATAAGGGACTCTTGAATGTCGACATAGCCGGATTCACCTGCTTATCCCAATGCTCTGCCAGCGAACGAGCTCCATAGAGAGAGTCGGTAGCTGTCCACTCTAGGAAGGCCTCTTCGCCATCCAAGAAAAGCACCTGTACTCCCTGATGCTCGTCGGAGAGATCCATGCCCTGCTCCTGCATTGCGGCCCACTTTCTCTCCAGTGCAGAGTCGATACTGCGCACGGCATGCATAATCATAGCACAAGGCGCTGCGCTGTCGATCGCGCCGATGAAGCCCTTGGGGTCTATCTTGCTATCATAGTGGGCAACTAGTGTCAAGCGCCCAACGTCCCCCTTGGGAACTCCCGGGGGATCTCGGTATGCGATGAAGTTGACAAAGGGAACTTCTTTCCCATGGGAGATGGGAGTCTTTGAAGTGGAGTTCTGAAATTCAATCTCCCATTTGGGCAACGAAGTTCGAAAGAAGTTCGTGAGATGCTCGAGTACCGCCGTGTGACCTGGGGTTCCAGGAACACGAGTTTGAAGAATTGGCGACAAAAGCGAGCCAGTGTGAATATCAAAGTCTTCACCTGGTCGGGGCAGACCTTTTAACTTCTCATCTGATATCTTCTGATATGCTTCTCCAGGGTGTAGGAGTAGAAGCAAACCGAGGCATAAATAGAACAAGTGGCCACATAGGGCACGGAGCTCGAATCGAGCTGTCAACATGGCGTTCAAAAGCGAATGGCTAGCGGATCATGACTCGGCAAACCACATGAATGGACCAATGCGTGACCCAGGCCAGCTAGGCTCGCTGAATGCCCCTTTACACAAAGATATTGACCGAATGCTGATCTAGAAGCAGCGTTTGAATACTGATCGCAGACAAAGAGGTCCAAGGCGGTCACGGCCGGCGATTTGGCGCGCAGCTTTGGGCCCAGCGCCTGGAATCTCCGAGCTCGACATTAGCCGGCAACCATGCAGATCCTCATTCATCCACGATTACGGACGACACTCCCAAGAGCCCTTCGAAGGGATTTCCAAGCCCAGGTATGGGCGCGGCATAAGTCACAGGCTCTTCGGCCCTCCAGACGTCATGAAGCCGTGGCTCCTGCGCCCAAAGACCTTACGGCAGCAACAACTTCGCGCACATCGTCACCCGCGGGCGCAGCCGCAGCCGCTAAACTGAGCGTGCGACGAGGTACATGATATGACACCACAAGCTGATACGGGAATCTTGAACTCATCCAAGCAACAGGACCCCCTGAGCGCATCTTGGTGTATTATGGAGGAACCGGTCGGTCGATGTTTCTGGGCATACTGCGGGTTACAACAATCCTTCTCTTCGGCGGAGCCTGCTTGATCGTCGCACCGTCCTGTTATGACGATGAGAATGCGTGGTACATCACACCATTAGGTAAGGCTTACTCCCTTTGGTCCTTCTTTCAAACATACAAGCTGTCAGTTGAATTGACCCATCTCTGAACTGAGTAGTTGTCGCCGGTGGCGCATTGCCCATGCTCTTCGTCGCCTACACCTCGGCGCCCTACGTCAGCTTCATTCACCTGGCACTTCCTGCGTTCGCACGAAAGTCGCGTGAAACGGCTCTGCACTTTGCGAAAGATCTCCCACCGACAACCTCTCTGATTTTGACAACAACGAGGTTCAACGCCATTCCTCGTCAGACCGTCGTGCGTTTAGGAGATTTGATACCGGATAAGAGTGCCTTGCGGCCCGTCACATTTCGTACATTGAATCCTGCGCCACGGCCCTGGTGGATGGGCAAGCCAGTCACGCAATTCTTCGCCGCTGACAAGAGTCAGCCGGGCAGGCAATCCACCGCATTCTACCCGGAATTGTGGCCTGGCATTTACAAGCAAATTCAAAGTCAAGCCAGTAGACCTCGCCGGTGAGGCGCGGATTGAAGGTCATTGGGGCTTTGGCGTGTATCTATCCTACCATGTACCATATCTGGCTTCCGCGTATCCGACGCATGTTTTCAGCGGACACACAATTGAATAAGACGGCCAAGATATACCAGATTGCAAGAGGCGACATCAATATCTTCGAGCGATCCGGGAATTGATCACAGTCATTACACTCTTTCAATGTGACTTTCGTATCCGAACTTATACGAGACGGGAGAGGGTTATCACAGCTTTTTTTTGTCGATGCTGCCAAGACTGCGCAACATTTCATAGAGGCGCGACATGGACTACTCATGCTCAATCAAAACCTGAAAAGAGAAGCAAATAACCGGCCAACACGAGTTGAAGAATCGAATTTTGATCAGGTTCCCATTCAACCCAAAGACAGTCTCGATGGCCTGGCCAGACACGTTTGTCTCATACCTCGCATTCACCGGGCAGCTTCAAGCCCCTCGATATAATCCTCCATCGTGATATTGAGCTCCCTGTCGCTCTCTTGGTCGTCTGGAACCTCGATTTTTGCTTTAGTATCCGGCTCAGAATCTTTTCCCTTGCGACGACGACCACCCCCATTTCTTTTAGGAGTCCGAGCAGGAGTCAGTGGACCAGAAGTAGCGGGGATGGAGGAATCATTCTCCTCGCTGTCACCGCTGCCCTCCACATCACAGTTGAAGCTTGACAGCTTTCTGAAAGCTCGTCTGTATATCACAGGAGCCGAGCTAACGCTGACGTTGCTGATGGCGGCGAGCTTCTTATAATCGATCTAGAAGAGAAGTTGTTTAAGAGTTTGCTTTGTCTTGTTTCGAGGTCCGCGCATCATCTCCAGCACTCGGCGATAGTAGCACAGTGTAGCAGCTAAGTGCTCCAGGTATTCTCACCTTGCTTTCAGACTCCACGCACTTGTACGCAAGCAGCATCATGCGGACTTCAGATTGAGTCAACCCAAAGGTCCGCTCAGCAACTGGCTTCTTGGAGACTTTTGGTGATGACATTGTTGATTTCCCTCGGTCTGGGTTGAGTCAGGATACTAATAATGCCTCGATAGGATAGCGCTGATCTGGACGGCGGCGGACACTGAGCTAACCACGATAATCATCAAAGAGAGATTCGAGTCCAGAGATTCTTTCTTCTTTCTTGCTGAGAAAGACAGGGTAACTCGAGTCAAGAATCAAGGATCAGTTTTTGATACTGACGGGTATGAAGGAAGCACGAAGGTTCTGTTCTAACGCAAAGTCGTATAAAAAGGGATATTTCCAGCGGAAATTGCCAGCATAAAGTAGCAAACGCCAGTGGGCCTACTGACCTGTACCAGTCGCGAACATTATCAGCAGTTGACAAACCAAATCTAGTGAGCTTGCTTTTCTGGTGGAGTAATGAATGTAAATGAAGTCGCGCCCCGACTGAAGCTGCCAGCAGAGCCGTGCCCAATACTTCGCATGGATTGATGGCAGAGTATACCCTACGGCCCGGAATGATGAGTGAAACTAACTCAGCTATTCGGTCCTGCCAGCCTCTTTGCAGAGACTGCATACCTGTGCTCCTCGTAGCCATATTGGGGTCATGGCAGAACGAAACATGCCTACAACATTGTTTGTTACCGTACAGAAGAAAGCTTCTCACAACGTACGGTATCTCATTTGCTAAGGACCCTGCTTCTCAAAAAACAAAAGGAATCTGCTCGTAATTTAACCCTATGAAAATGGAAGATCGACCCGCAACATGGGGCGACTGGCTTCGCGCTTTCCCTTCAAGTCAACCCTCCAAACTCTCAAGCTCTGCAACACGGAGCCGATCGTAAGCATCCTCCATGTTAAAATCAGGAAGTTTTGGAACGCCAGGACTCTCAGAGCCCTCCACTTCAGCAGTCTTGGTCAGCTCAGAAGCCTGGACCTTACCACGGCCACGAGCGCGACCAGCACCACGGCCACGGCCACGGCCTCGGCCTCGTCCCCGAATTCGAACAGGGCCCGGAGACGATGGAGTCGAGAGCGCAGGAGGCGAGCTGGTGATTTCAAATGGGTTGAACTCGGTATCGGCGCCTTCCTCAGGCTCCTGGTTGAGCTTGATTAGCTTTTGTAGAGCCTTGTTGTACCCGCGGTGAGCTGACGCGCTGATCACGTTTGAGCCACTGGCTGCATTGAATCGACGTGCCAGCTTCTCGAAATCGATCTAGAAGGTATCAGCTTTGCGGTCTACGAAAGCCGAGTACTAATGAATATACGCCGAAGCCTCTCGATGTTGAAAGGGAGGGCAGTTTGACAGACGAGGAAACGTATCGTACCTTCCCAGAGTCTTTGTTCACGCAGACGTTAGCGAGAAGTAGCAAGCGAATCTCGCTTGGTGTCAGGCCCAGCATGCCATCGGTGGAGCGAGTACCATACGAGGCTGGGGTGACTGAGGTGGCAGACGGCATCCTGTGATGGGCTGAAGAGCTGACCTTAATGTGAAGGGAGTTGCTCTCGAGTGTGCAGTGCGATGACTGTAATGATCGTTGATTCAGAGTGAGGATTATGGGAATCGTTGTTTGTCGAAGGTTTGTTGGAGTTGTCGAAATGGTCGAAGGTGCCAGTGTGTGGTAAATACTGGGACGGATTTCATTAGGAAAGCCCCGTGGCGGAAGTTTCCTGAAGACCAGTTGTTTGCAGAGGGTGATGGTGAGAGATCATGTGGCCTGGTTTTGGGACTGCTAGCAGGGTGTCTCAGAGCCTTAAGGCAACGTCTCACATGGGCGTGAAACTCGATACTACAGGGTGAACGATGATCGGAAATGGAGCCAAATGACGGGAGAGGTATGGTTGTTCACATAAAAAAGGTCCAGAATAGAGTTGAACCATTAACCGCTCACTCTCAACGCAATTATAAGAGACTCCAGGAGCTAAAGATACATATGATAAACCGAGAACAACAGTATTTAATCAAACAAGATTCCAGAGCACATATACATGACTTACAAAGCTTCGATAGCTTTTCGCAGAACTTCCAACCCAAGATCAGAAACACCCTCCTCCTCGCCCTCGCCATCCGCACTCGACTCGCGCAATGCCCACGCAATATCACTCCACCAGCCCAGCCCAATCAGACCACCACCTTTGCGACGTTCAAGACTCTCCTTAAGTCGACTGGTATGCTCCCATTGTTTGGCCGCAACCTCGGCACGTTCGATGACCTTGTTTGGGATACCACACATGGCTGCACAATGCATACCAAAGCTGCCCTCTGCCACGCCGCTCTCGAGTTTGTAAAGGAAGGTGACGCGGCGCTCAACGTCGTCCACATGGATAGCCATTCGCTTCGGAGAGATTTCGGGGTGATTCTCGAACTCTGCCGCTAATGAGTGATAGTGCGTGGCGAAGAATCCCATTGCACCGATATGTGTGGCAACATGGTGTAGCACGGCTTGCGCGACTGCGACGCCATCATAGGAGCTGGTACCGCGGCCGAGCTCGTCCAGAATCACCAAAGACCGCGGCGAAGCCTCAGACAGAATCTTCTTGGTCTCCGACAATTCAACGAAGAAGGTCGATTGAGCAGCAAAAATATTGTCATTTGCGCCGAGACGAGACATGATACGATCAACAGGAGTCAAACGAGCAGATTTGCAGGGCAAGTAACATCCGATTTGAGCCATGATGACAGCCACACAGGTCTATTCTTGAGTCAGTGACATGACGAGGCAGACTAGAGGGGTTGGAACTTACCATTCGCAGAAGAGTCGACTTTCCAGCGGCGTTGGCACCAGTGAGTAGATCAATGTTTGCGTGTTTACCACCAAGTTGAACATCGTTGGGGATAAAATCTTCAACGGAGGAGAGGAGACACGGGTGCCGTAACTCGTCGAATTCAAGAACACTGCGCTCATCATCCACGAAGACTGGACGACAACTTGGTTGTCCAAGAGAAGCTGATGCCTTGGCCAGACTGATCAAACAATCCAACTGCGCAACGATGCGTACAGCAGCAAGCCAAGTCCCATAGTGTTCATCAAATCGAGCGTGGAACCGACCAGCGACTTCCTTCACGATCTGACTATGGGTTTCTTGCGCTTCTTGTAATTTTCTGATCAGACTGCGCAGCTCAGGGAAGTAGTACCGCTTCACTTGTTTTGTAGCTGACATCTGATCCCAGTTCTTTGGGATGTTCTTGACTTTGATTGGAACTTCGAGTTGATAGATCTCCTTCCCATTGTCACGGTAGCAAATGGCAGTAGACCCCAAATCACGACGCGCCTTTTTCAATAGATTATCAAGGTCTTTGTGGAGCTGTTCAATGGTGTCCTGCGAGTTGTCAAAGTCGGCCTCGACGCCTGTCTCTGGAACCAGGATGCCGTTCTCCTTTGCCTTGGGTCGGTCGAAAGCGGTCTTCCAGTACGATAGTAAGGTTGTCAAGTCTGGCATTGCTTCGATGAGTTGACCGATGATACCGTCGCCAGCGCCACTATCTTTGAGCAGGCCCATGGTGTACTCTATCTGCTCGAATCCCTCAAGAACACGAACAAAGTCTTGAGCTTTGCAGACACCAGCGTGAACTCGAGAGATCAGTCGCTCGAGGTCTGGCATTTTCGTCAATTGCGAGGAGAACTGATCACGAATGCTGGGATCGGCATTGAAAGCGTCGACGGCATCCAACCGTGCGTTGATTCGCTTTGCATCCATTAACGGATGGCAGACCCATTGTTTGAACGTACGCTTTCCGAATGGAGTGATACAGCGATTCAACAGTTGGAATAGGGTACCCTCTTGGCCGCCATCAAATGAGTTGGCAAAAATTTCCATGTTGATCAACGTCTGGCCGTCCAAGACCAGGCTGGACGCCTTCTTAATGGGATCATACCATGTGAAGTTGCCAATCGTAATGAGATCTCGGTCAATCTTGAGCACTCGAAGATATTGCGTGAGAGCGCCAAATGCAGACATCAGCAGCTCCTTTTCTCTGGCATCGCGCAGAACATCAGGCCAGGCTGTGACATTTTCATCATCTTGAGAAACGAAATATTCACAGGCATCAAGTTCCTTCAAGGTGATATCGGCTTCCCAGAACTCCCTGCCCGGCTTCAGGTAGTTCCAAATAGTTGTCGGTCCAGTGTTGTTCTTGAGAATACGCATGGCCTTCTGTGACACACAGCCCTTCTCAAGAAGCATTTCTTGAGGTCTTGTCTGCGCGACAAATGTCTCAAACTTGGTCATGTCCACATCGTCGACAAATTCAGAGATGAAGAACTGGCCCGTCGCGGTATCCACGAATGCAAGGCCAAACGCAGGGCGATCATCGATGATGGCCTCCTTGATGGCTACACAATATGTAGACATATCGTCCTGGAGCATTGATCCCTCCACGAGCGTGCCTCTGGTCAAGACGCAGGCTAGCTCTCGTTTGATGATCTTGTCTTCCTTGCCAGGCTTTTTCCCATCTCTCTCACGCATTTCCTTTCCGAGCGCCGACTCAGATTGATCAACCCTGGCAATCTTGAATCCCTTGGCAACAAATTGGTTCGCCCAGTGCGACAAACTCATCTCGGGCACGCCGACCATTCGCATGTTGACGCGATCGGTAAGTTTGAGATCAAACAGCTGATGGCCAATGGTGGCGTCATTTTCGTAAAGTTCGTAGAACTTGCCCTTCTTGAAGAAAACAACTGTATCCCAAAACTTCTGCTTTATCTCCCAGTACTGCTTCTCGAAAGGCGAGAACTTGGACCAAGCTAGTGGAGGAACATAGATTGTACGAGGATCGAAGTCAGGATGTCCTGGAGGGTTTCCATCGATGTCCTTGGGATTTGCAAGCCAAGGGTATCGTTCCTCGGGCTCCCTAGTGTACGCTCTCTCCTTCTTGGCACTCGACGTTGATTTGGGGGTTTTTTGCACGGCACGCTCTTTCCGAGGCTCAACAGTGTCAGGGTCAAACTTCCACTGCAGGGTGCCACCAGCCGAGCCTTCAGGGAGATCGAGGTCAAGGTCATCATCCGCTGGCGGAGGAGGAGGTGAAGAAGGCGCACGATTGACGTCTTTCCGCGAAGAAGTTGTGGCGGGCCTACTGCGTTTCTTTGGTGCGGCTGCTTCTTCGTCGGAATCGTCAGCGACGATAAAATCGTCCATTTCTGGAATAAGTCAGCGAGCAGGTCACAGAAGATGGGACTGGCGAACATACCATCATCTGAGTATCCAATGGCCTCAGCTCCCTCAAATTCGTCATCGCTCTCCTCGACCGTCTTCCTCCGCTTCGCGGCGCGCCCGTTTGTGCTCGCCTTCCGACTTGGCCGGAAAATGACATCGTCGTCGTCTTCGCCTTCTGAATCTGACTCCTTGTAGCTGATTTGCTTTTTCTTGGCCTGTTTGCGAAGCAGAAATGTGAGTTTTGCGAGCCATTCCCACGATAGAAGTCAGGATACATACCCGTCGCGACGGAGTCATTGTGTTCTCTTTGGAGTCGTCGGGTGTAGGCTGAACGATGGGTTGAGGATGTCAGCAGAAAGATCATCGTAGCCTTGGGGAAAACTATTACGCATACTTTCGTCTTGTCCTCGACTTCCACCTCATCTTCCTCGGGGACAGGGACATCGCTACTCGGCACCGGGGTGAGGTCCCCTGCGAAGCTTGAGAAACTCCTCTTCGGTGTTGGCTTGACAGTACTTCCTCTACGCTGTTCACCAGCACGTTGAGCCGGAGAAGACTCCGGCTCGCGAGGCTTCTTGCTTGCCGGAGTCGCTGGAGAGGACTTTTGGAAGAACCCGAGAATGGACTTCTGGTTCTTCATGTTTTGTGTGCTCGAGGTTGTCCGCTTCAATGCCGCTGGAGGTGGGGTGGCGGACGGCGATGTCGCAGACTCCTTTGCCATGTTTGGCAACTCGATTGAGACTTTTTCTGGTATCGAATTGAACAATCAACCACGACAGGCTATCTTGAAGATCATGACAAGTCCAATGTGGACACCACCAATCCGGATGACAAGGGAGAGTGGATGGGAAATGAGACATTGGACGATAACCGCCGATAAGGCGCGCATCGCGTCGACGCGTTGAGTGGTTCTGCTCCGCTTCTTGGCATTCCCGCGTGATTTACCGAAAGTCTTCAATGAGCTTGAGATTTGGAGAGAAAAGGAGAACACATTCAATCCTTGACAACATTATTCGGATTCCTGAATAGTTGGGAGAGTTTTTCTTGTAATTTTTTGAAAACTGTCTTGTCCTGCACTTGCCATGCGAAGTATTCTTTTCGACTGCCCAATTTTTAATTTGATTTCGGGAACTAGCATACCTAGGCATACCAGGTAAGGAACATGGGGTTCTGGTATACATGGCGTAAAGGCCTACACCTTGTACACTATCATCGGCATGCACAAGGAACAGCTCAGAAGCTTACTGGTCGAAATGAATGAAGAACATATTAATTTCAATGATGACGAAAAAAAAATTGAAGTCCCTAGCTATCTCATGAAGGACCGCATTGTCGACGAACAATCACGCCCAGAATGCCTTGAAGTTATCATTGAACTCCTTCTGCAACAACTTGAAAGCCTTCAAAACGGCCAAGATACGATGATCATCGTTTTGTGCGGAGGGGGATGGTGTGAATTTGCCACTCGACTCGGCAGACTGCTTGCTCTCATGCTGAGCTGCTTTCTTCTTCTTCTTCTGCTGCTGCTGCTTTGGCTGTGGTTGCGGCTCTTCGGCCTCACTTGGCGTATCACTCAAATCATCGTCCCAGTTATCGGCCACGGCGTTCGACTTGACTTTTCCGCGAGTGACAGTCGTAGAAGTAATTGGGATTGCTTTGGGTGGCTGCTTTTTTGCCGGGCGTTCAGGAAGAGTGATCTTTTCGTTAATCTCGATATCAGCGTCGTCTAAGTGAAGGTCGTGGGATTCGCCTTCACCCATAAGATCCAGCATTTCAAGGTCTGTGCCCGGTGTGAGCTTCAAGAAGTTTTCCAGACTTGTCACTATTGTTGCGAGAACAAGAGAGAAGTCATTGAGCAAGAACCACATGTCGCCTCTGCGGATGCCGTTCTCTCGTTGCAATGCCGACACGTTGCCATGCTTGAAGAAGTCGTAGAGATAGGCATTCAGCGGCGCTTCTTGTTCCAAGGAGACTTCAACATATGGCACAACGGCTTCTTCGAGCCACACTCCGCTCCTGACAGTTTGGCAAAGCTCTGAAATGCTTTTCACTTGGTCACTGTTCCCCGACAACGCGTAGAAAGGAGACGTTATCAAGATCTTCTTAGCGGAGGAGGCGAGAACTGGAATTAGATCGGACGAGGATTTCTCACCACCACATGCGATTTTAGAGAATGGAAGAAATCGGTCAGGCTCAAGGACATGCTGCTCGATGAAAGTCGACACATAAGCCGTGTATACCTTCAAAGTTGCTTTGTCATGTTTCTTAAGAATCTTTGCTGCTTTGGATGGCATTGGAGGCAACAAAACAACCGAGGTTGATTTTCTAGTTTTGTCTTTGATGTTCTCGAGGTTTGCTTGACGGATTGGTAGACGGCCGAAAAGGTGAGATAGCACAAGCATCAATTCGCGGAGTGTCGCCTTTCTCTGACGACCAACCTGCGTGCAGAGCTCATGGAAGAATCCAGCGTTTAGCAACGCGTGGAAGGCGAAACCGGATTTTTCAGTGTAGTACAAGTGACTGATGAATCCAGCATAATTTAGCGGAGCCCCATTTCGAGCCAGCAGATCGTTACGTCGGAGGTACTCGATCGAGAACCGCAAATGGTGAAGGACGGCATCCTTCATTTCCTGCCCACCGAGGTAGATTCTGGGGCAGGATAGAATGGAATTGATCGCCTTGACAGCATATGGTGCATTTCTAGACTCGTGCAAGAGAATACACAGTCGAAGCACCAGGCTCGTGGTGATTGGGAAATGGCCACTCAATCGCGGGAGCTGGGAGCTCATGAGACGTTGAACCTTCGTTTCAGGGATATTCTGGAAGACCACATTTCCGAGAACATCGAATCCACGACGCCCAGCTCGACCAGCGGCTTGACGATAGTTCAATGCAGTTAGAAAAACTGAATCTCCAGAGAATACCACAGTTTTGCAAGGCATGTTGATACCCAATGCCAATGTACCTGTGGCTATGACCACGCGCAAGTATCCTTTGCGGAAGAGCATCTCACAGACCTGGCGATACTTTCGATTCATTCCTGCGTGATGAACGCCGATTCCACGTCGTAATGCCTTGATGAGCCAATCTGGCACATCCCGGCGACTAAGCTGTTCAGCGTATTCCGCAAATTCTGAAGCCAGCAGAGTCTTGGTATTAGCCACGTGAAAGCCATCGACTGGAGCATTGAGATCGAATGAGTTGAGTGGGTTAGCTTCGTTCAAGGCAGCCTCTTGTTCGCGCTCCGCACGCGACAGTTCTTCACCCTCCTGGCTCTTCTTCGAGGGTTTGGGTGGCCGCTTCTTGGCTAGTTTTGCCTGGGCTTCTTTCATTTCGTTCCACTTTCCGAGATTGTTCTTCCAAGTCGAGCTGGTCTGCTTCCACTTCTCCTCAGCCGTCTCAAACTCATGAAGCAACCTTTTGCAAATTCCTTCACACCTGCTGCGGTCGTAGTTGAAGAACAGGGCAGGTAGTGCCTGCTGGTCGTGGAGTGCGCAGACAAGGGGAAGTGTCGTCTCCAATATGTCGTTTCGAGTGATTGGCGTCACCGAAGTCGATTCATTTGGAACTTTCATGGATGTGAATTCGTTCGATTCGGGCATTTGAGCCGGTGTTTCAGACAGCTCTTCCAACACCTTTTCAAAAGGGGATGCCTTATTTGCCATCCAGATTCTCAATGTGTCCTTGAGAACAGATTGCCACTCCGCAATGTCCGCTTTTCGAACCACGTGGGGAAGGCGTGCGTTTGGATCCATAGATGAATCCAAGATAAACCCAGGACACTCATGCTTTTTCATAGCTTTCCAAAGTGTAAGGCAGTCTCTCGGTTCGAGGCTCAAATCCTCTGGTATGCCTCTTGAACGGTCAAACAGACTAGAAACGGGATGCACAAATCTCATGCCCGGTGTTTCATCAAGTCCTAGAGGGGGGATTCTTTTCGGCTCTGAGAACCCGCCGAAAGCAAAATTGTCCGGAGGATCGTAAACAAATTTTCGCAAGTCTGAGTATCGCTGCTTGTGTTCGATCATCTTCAACTCGGTTCCGGTGGCCTTTTGGGTCATTGCGAGCCATTCACAAAATTCCTGAGGATTTCCCACGGTGGCCGAAAGAGCAATGATGGGACAAGGCGCCATCAGGAGGAGCTGCTCCCACACAACGCCGTCATCTGCTTGACCAATGCAATGCACTTCATCGAATATGATTCTTTTCACCCTTGATGACCACGAGTTTGCATTCGACGGAGCAAGCAACATAATTTGCAGAATATGGGGGACGGTGATAAGTACTTGACAGCCAGACGAGTTATTGATACGATAGTCACGGGTATGAATAGCCCACACTGACTTGCCGCTGTAAGGGTACCTCTTGGAAAATCGCGCTTGAACCTCTGCAGCGATTTGGTTAACCAGGGCTTTAGTGGGCGCGACATAAATGAGAACACCGTCGTTGTCCTCCTCCAGAACCTGCTTCATTGCATAGAAGCTGTGTTATCGATCGGGGAAAATGTCAGTATTTGTAAATGATTTCTAAGACGAAAATAAGCAGCAATGATAGCAGTCAATGATCACTTACGAGATAAAGGTTTTTCCTGAACTTGTGGGCGCAACAACAAAAATACTTCTTTTTGCGTCAATTTGGTCAAGGACATCGCGTTGCCATCTGTCAGGCTCAAAGTCGTGAACACGACTGTCGGGTCTGGCGTCAACGTCGCGCTCCATGAATGGCCCAGCATGTGAAAGCTGGAATTCAATTGAGGAATTCGAGACTTTGGCTACCTCGAGGTCCTTTTTGCTCAACTGCGCACATTGGAATGACAATCGTTGATCGCTAGCGGACTGGATTTCGACGCTCGGTAAACCCAGCAGTCCACTGATTTTTGTGACATATGCTACCGCGTCAGACGAAAGCGGGCCTTGCAATCTTGAGATTTGCCGTACTGTCTCCCAGATGAATGAATGAATGGTCGAGTTAGAATGCTTCTGTTGGCCTTTAGCAGTCTCAAGGAACAGTTTCACCAATGTATCTAATTGATAAACCAGAATTTCCGGGGTCAGGAAAACTCTCTGGTCTTTTGCAAGCCCAGAAAGGTGACTTTTCGCTTTGGCGAACCTCTTCACCAAATTAGCTTCCCTGTCGAAGCTGCCCTTGGTGAAAGACCATTGTTTCAAAGATTTCTCTCGAGCCTCGGCATGCTTTGCTAGCTTGGATTTCAATGCATCTTCCCGTACTGATGATTTCCCTTGTCTTTGGACCTTTGTCTTCGGTGGTTCTGTCGTGGGAGCTGTGCCATTGGTTGAGCTTGCCAGATGCTTGGATGTTTTCTTACTATCTTTGGCGGACTTTACCAAGACAGTCTCTGGCTCAAGCATCGCGCCAGTTGCGTTTGTCAAGCTGGCAGCGTAGTCTCTCATCTCTGCCATGAAAAAGTCGTTACGTCGCATCAATAACATCTTTTTCCGTGAATCAAGACGAGGGTTAGACTTTTCGTCGAGTGATCGCTTGGAATTGTGCCAATGGCTCAGCTCCTGAAAGGTCTTGGAGGGGCCCGACTCCGTTGACTCGTCGATAGAGTCGTCGATGGACAGGTGCACAGGTCGCAGGTGAACATCGAAAACAGAATTCTTGAAAGGAAGGACAGAATTCGCCGATTTTATGATCTCTTGCGGCTTCTTATTTGATTGAGATTGCTTGCCACCCTTAGACATCTTCGTGGCGGTTTTCTTCGATTTCGAAGAAATCCCATTCGGTACGGGGTCGGTATTACTGAGTCCAAAGTCAAGGAGCACCTTAAGCTTTGAGCAAAGCTCGGTGAATTCGGACCAAATGTACGGACTCAGTGTTTCCGTCGCGGTGTGTGTGCTCATTTTTGAGGCCAAAAAGAGGAACAGCCGCCCATCAAGTAGGTCGTGTAAGTCGAATCTTGCTTGCGAACAAGACACAAAATCTTGCCAAGCAGCAGACCTCAAGATAGTGTGGCTCAAGCTGGCAAAATTGTTCAGGAAACTTCCCTGTTCAAACTCTTGCACCGTCCCAATGGCACGATCCGCAAGCTTGCAGTCCTGCATGAGCACTATATGCAAGAACATAGCCCGTGCAGCCCCCATCTCGGACTTGTCAATGAGGTCTGACTCTACCATGATGATTAGAGTAGCAACGGTCAGATAGTCGCGTTGCGTGAAGTCCAGGGACATTGCCCTCAATTTGTCGAAGACAGAGCTTAATTGCCGCAGATCGAAAGATGTCTCAATCGAGGTGCACGTAGGAATCTCCTGAGTAGAGGAACCCTGCTGAGATTGGACGTTGTCATCCCCATGTTCAGTGTACAATGTATCGTCGTCCTCTCGTGAGCTCCCTGAATCGGTCGTGGTGTCACCTAAATCATCCTTCGGCAGGTCGATCGTCTGACCTGTAATGTGCTTGCTTCGAGGATCACTTGAGGATCTCTCAATAATCATCGCAAATATCTGCCTAAAGTCAGCAAAAACGGGCTACATGCATTGGCTGGGGAGAGCGTTACTTTTGTGTCCCGGAATTCCAATCCATTGATCAGTGCAACATTGTACCCGTGGCCCATAAATCCATAAATCATTTTTCGCAACCCCAAGCGACACTGCAGGGCTTGGGCCGCGTGATCCATGGATTCTTTATCTTTCTTTGATTGTTCCTCATCCGTCGGTTCATCTTCTGGCCCAGAAGCAGTTGTATCATCCGAGTCCATGTCACACTGCTTGAGGAAAAGCTCGGAAAAGGCGCCATCGTGACACATGAAAAAGTAAGCCCCGACTGTGTGCAGATACGAAGCAAATTCTTCAGAATTGTAGCTACTAAATTCGCAGACTGAGGGGCCCGACTTCCCGGCAGGAGTATTTTCCTTCAGGTGTCGAGTGATGATCTCGCGGGTGAGGAGGAATCGATGGCGACTTTGCGATTCTGTTCCGACAGGAACGCAAAGATTGGCATTGTCAGCCGAAAAAGCGATTTTGAATACACAGTTTCGTTTCTGTAGTTTTTGTAGGAAGTTTTCGACGAGATAAGTCGCATGGAGAATTTGGAATCCCGGGGAGAAATCGAGTTTCTTGTCGGAGAACACGTGCAATAGCAGGGAGTCACCATCGATGATAAAAAGCTCGTCGCCCGCATAATCGCCGACAAGGTCAACTGTTCTCGAAGACAGCCCGTCGTACCTAGGTATATGTTAGTGTTTGGGTGCGGCGTCAGAAGCATACGGAGATGCTAGGTGAGTGTGTTATTGAGGACGACGTACCATTTGAGAAGCCTGTGTGGATCCATCGCTTGGGTTGCTCGGTCGAACGTGAGAGCAAGTTCAGTACAGATGTAAGTAAGAAAGTGAGAGTTGGAGATATCACTTCTAGACTGGAAATCTATCAGAACTTTGAACGATGTGTGGTTCTGCGTTCACTTGGGAGGGAGAAGAGAAGGAAGGCGTGACGGAGATTCAATAGGGAGAGTCGACACCCATGTATTTTTCCCAATGCAGCCCTGCGCCTAATATGCACCGCCTAATCCTTGTCAAAAAATCCAAGATTCCTCTGTGTTAGATAGAGGGTTGTGTGCTGGCATGACGCCCGTTGGTCACGTTGCATGAATCATGATCAGGTTTGATGTGATCCAAGGGTTCAAAGTCCAGGCAGCGACTTGACTAAATGAGTGACCGAGTCCTACAGTCTAATCAAATCTCATTTCATGAGTATCTTTACCAGGTTCGATATCTTCTGTCAGTAAGCCATGACCCTTGTCACCAGGCGTAGTTGATGGCGTATACTCTTTAATTTTGGCCTGTCAATAATAAAGTTTCCGTGCCGCCCTCAAGGCTGACAGCACCAAGTTCCAACTGTATGCAAATGCCCGTTCGATTCGGAAGGGCGTCTACTGAGCCGAAAGCGGACTAGCTCAACTCCGTTGTGCCCCACATTTGGTGATGTCCATTTAATAATCTGTGACTCTGTGAGGCTTCATTGACAAGATCGACTCAGGTCTTCCAAGTGGTGAAGTGTGGCTGGGCAATCGCGGAAAAATACAAGTCAGAACACACTATGTTTTCTATTATCTCACTCCGAGCCTTCCCGTGTAAATATTATGTCTTGGGAATTTCGATGATCATCACAATGCTCCCTCTAAGGAATCCAACAGGCCATGGACTGGCCTTTAGTCAGGTCCGATGGTTCATCCCATGACGCGAAAGTGTGCTTCCTTCTCATTCCAAATATTTATTTACCGAACTAACGCCTCGATTCTGGGCTTCCACCACGTTCACTTCTTTCCAGACTCCCCAGTGAACAACTCCATCCTGGCCGTTCGGCCCTCGTGTCTTTCCACCTTCTTGATCACCATCAGATACTCCTTGCAAACTCGGGTACAGGCAGCTTCACCTGGGCAGCCAACATGTCTCCCAAAGACAACTACGATCGAAGCTAGGTCATGGGGACTGTCCAAAAGGACCTGAAATGGCTACCAGATACGAGCAATCTCGGCAAAGGCGACGTTGAGACGACGAAAGAAGAATCTTACGAACGTGAGAAAGATGTCTCGAGGTAATCAAAGCCTGTCAATAAAGGCTGTGCGCGACCGGACGCCGAAGGATGTTGTATCAATTTTCGAGATTACACAAGTCACTCCAGCAAAGGCGAAGATGAGCGACTACTGAACCTTGTCGCCCTTTGATGTTGACAGCTCGAACGACTCAAAGCTTTTCCCAAAGTCCATGTCCTTTCTCTGTGAGCAAGAGTTCTCTCCAGAGACTTTGTTCTGCTGTTGTACTGTGGCTGATTGCTCAATATTGGGCTTAGATCAAAGCCTCGAGTATCTCGACTCTGCCCGTGCTTGATCCAAGGAAAACGAAGCATGGATGCGTGCCCCGCACGCCTCGACGTCTTTCTCCACGTGGAAATAGGATTTGCGAAAGATGTCAAGATCGTGCGTGCACTACCGGTATCTTGGGTGTACGAGACGCCTTTTCCCAATGTGATACTGCTGGGCCAGAGGTAGAAGAGACCAAGAGGGCGACCAGATGACGTGGGTCTGAAGAAGACGTTGATGGTTCATCTCTAGATCTAAAGTCGCACTATTAATAGAAACCTGGCAAGGTAGCAAATCTACAACACGCACAACTTGATCATCCAAGAGCGGAATAGGTAGGAGTGAAAACCTCACGTAGTAGTCTCAGTAGTATGCAATATGTTACAAGATGCTTCAGATGACTGAAGACTAAATTTACAGTTCAATGGAGATTTTCAAAGAAACCCCAGACCAGGTATCACAGCGAGTTCACTCCTTGGACTCTGACTCTGTTGCCTGCGATACCTCCTCCCAACCAGGAGCAGTTAGGCCCTGAGCCCGGAAATCCTCATCACTGATGATCTCAACCATCTTGAACTTCCACTTTCCGAGCTTCAGCATGAGAAGGTTATCCCCGATGATATACTCCTGGGTCTTCTCAGCAGGCCAGGGGCGAATAGGGGTGAAAGCGAGGTCGTCGGACATGGGCCCACTGTCACCCGGGCGGCTGCCCACGTAGGCACCGTTGTTCACGATGACGCGGTGACCCTCGCCCTTGGATGAGACCAGGCCTGCAGACCAGAGTATCTTGTTGAAGGACTGGTTGTGGACGAGAGATTTGGGGAGGGTTACCCGCGCATTAGGCATGTTGGCAAAGTTGGTCTGCGAGGCATATGGATTGCCTGACTGGGGGGTGGTGAAGCTGGATGTGGAGGATTGGGCATGGCTCGCTGGGGGACTGGAGGTGCGAGGCATGGGTGAGGGTTCGCTTGTGGAGGAGCGGGGACGGAATAATTGGCGATGTTGGAGGGAGACGGCATTTGCTTCATCTTTGCCGTGGACCAGCTCGACAAATTCATAAGCGAGTCTGTGTTGGGCGGTACGCTTGGAAGGGTCTTGGTTTTGCTCCTCCATGATGCTGGAAATCTCAGGCAGTGGGATGAATGTGAAGAGCTTGAGGTATTTCTCAACAGTGTCGTCAGGCGTTCGGACAAAGAACTGACTCTAGTTAGCTAGATGTCGGAAGATAGGTGCGCGGACAATGAACGCATTACCTGATAAAGTTCGAACGTGGAGGTCATGTCCTTGTCAAGCCAGATAGCGTTACCCGCTGACTTTCCAAATTTCTCCCCAGACGAAGTAGTTAACAGCGGAGTCGTAAATCCAATGGGTCGATCCAGCTCGGACTCCAAGGGGTTACGGAGCTGCTCGTCAGCGGTATTGCGGCTGATAGCCTTCACGGCGTCCATCCCAAAGAGAATGTTGCCATACTGATCAGATCCGCCAACCTGGACTTGTGTGCCCTTCTGGAACATGGTCCACCAGTCCCATGCTTGAAGCAGCGGATAAGAGAACTCGGCAAAGGACATGCCATCACCCTGGCTGAGACGGTTCTTGACACTGTAATGCCAGTCAGCATAATCCCCCAGCATAGGGCTGAACCAGGCGTCACCTACGTGTCGCGTCCGAGCATAGGACCGAGTCTCATGTAAGATCCCAGATCCCTGAGAACCTCAATGAACGGCATCGAGTTCCACCACGTGTTGTTGTTGAGCAAGGCTCGCTTCCAAATAGGTTGCCTCGTGTAGCCGTGTCGCCGGCCATACTGCTCGATACTGCTGCCCAGCTTCTTCAACTGCATGTGCATGCTCGCCATGTTCGCCTTACGGATGGAAGAATGAACCTGTTCGCGACCCTTCAGTCGCCCTGTTGGGTCGCCTACTCGAGAGGTGGCACCACCGAGCTTTGTTGAATATGAGCCATTGTACCTTTCGGGACGGTGGGTATATTGAGACTGACCAAGAATGTCACCGGTAACCCCCAGACATAACCCCAGGCCAGTACCATGAAAGGCAGCATGTGCCCAACGTGCATTGAAGGTGCCGTAGGATCGATACCGACGTAGATACCCGCTCGTTTCTCGGTAAAGACTCTGTGTAGTAGTTCGCGTTCCCTAAGCATTGTGAGATCGGTCAGTTCTCGCGTATAATCACCGAGATTTCTTGAGGTGCAGAAGGGCAATAAACGACATTATCCACTTACCCAACCACATCATGAATCAAGCCGCGCTCCTCCAGATGCGCCGCAAAATTCTTCCTTTTTCCAGCCTTGATTTCCTCTGCATGACGAGCCCATTCTTCCTTTCCTTCTTGAACCCGCTGAATGTATTTTTGCGTAATGGACCGCGTTTGCTGAGATGGGCTAGAAACTTGCGGAGAGAGGATTGGACGCCGGGTTTCGCATCGGGCTGCGGTGCTTCGCGCTGTGACTCCGAAGCTACGGGTTCCGCATGGTACTAGGCTAGGTGATAGTTGAGAATTGCAACAGGCCCCTCGAGGGAGGGCTGTGGTCCGTCGCCACATTGGACCGATTAATATGAAGGAAATCGACTTGACGCTATATTCTTCACATTGACATGCGATCGCGATATGATTTGGCCGCCGCAGCTCCGAGATTCTTTCGATAACAGATCGGGTAATCGTTGATGCGCGCGCTGTGGATCCAGTCGCTAGTCCGACTCCGCGCAGTTCAATTAAACTAGGCGCGATGAGGGATTATCAACAACTGGACCTCCTACGCAGTCGAGTGAAGGAATATGATCGGAAGAAACACACACAAAATACAATTCAGTCTCTCATATGGACCTGTGATCTGCTATTGTGACATATTTACCACTCAAAATCAATCTATGTCATGAAAATCCGAACAAAAGCCTCATTGCTCCACCCACTGTCCAGTTTCATCTCCTTCCATGCGGCAAGAACATCAATTGCCAGAACATTGCTCTTCTCTCCGCCTTCTTTCCACACAGCGGCCTCCGGAATGGGCTGCCCAAGAATCGTGATCATGAAATCATCCGCAATGACACGATCGGCCAGATCAGAGATGTAGATACCCAGAGTGCCGAGTGCTTTCAAGTGCACATCGCAGCGAAGGCGTCCGTTGTCCATGATACTGGTATTCGACGATACCACAGCAGCAGCGCCCGTCATTTTGCCGACCAAGCCTAACACAGCAATGTGTGTAAGCGGCTCGGAATCTCCTTCACCACGACTTCCCTTGAGCGTAAAGGGTGTAGTAGGATGAGCTGTGAGTATCTCCCAACCCTTTGGCTCCAGAACCACCGAAGCCAGAGCATCGTTCGCGAGTGGTTTCAGCCGACCTGTGATCTTGCCGCTGGTGTGAGCGCGAACCACATATTCTCCTTGCGAGGTCTCGTTGATTCCCGGGAAATCCATCAACGAAATGATGCAAGAAGCATCAGCCGACTGAATGTTGAAAAGACCGATGATCCCACTTCCAGTCTTGGCCCGGCCTGTGTAACTCCCGACCCGCAAGACATGTCCCTCATTATAATCATGATAAATGTCAAGACTACGACCAATCACACTCGGACGCAGAATCACAGTTGTTCCTTGGACGGTCAATGCGGTCATCTGATTGATGAGATTAACGTCATGCTTGCCGGGCTCGTCAGTGATGTAGATTGGACCACCAGACACACAGCGGGCAGCAGCATGGAAAGCAGCATATGGATGGCTTGTCTGGAACATATCCCAGTCGGGCAGAGCATTCAAATGTCGTGTCAGGTGAGCATTATGCGCATTGCAGAACACGTGCCACGGGTGAGACGATGGAATCTCGGGAAAGAAGTCGTCCGAGTTGCGCAGTGTGATGGAAGGCTTGTTGGTCGGGAGTTGCGAATGAAAGATCATCTGCGGGATCAAGGACATACAAGAGATGGCTCGGTTGCTGAAATGTCTTAAAGTTGCGAGCGACCAGGCATCCTGGTACGATGTCATGTAGTTCTTGCGGTCATCCGCAGAATCGAGAAGATCGAGATAAAACTGAGCATCAGCCTTGACAGAGTCCACTCCCCACGACTTCAAGGACCCGTAAAAGTCATCATAGAATCGCTGGACATCATCCGGGTGGATGGTCAGGATTGTGCCGTCTCCGATTTCGTGCGCGATCGGTCCCCCTGCGGCAGGGTCCTTGACCTTCACTTCCTTGGTCTTGTATTTTTGCGCAAGCTCTCCGTCAGGACAAATGCCACCCCAGTAGCCTAGTAGAGCGTGCCAGACAGCGATGTGTCCAACATTCCGATGAGCTTGGCGAATGGTCTCGACTGTTCGTTGGAGACCCCGTGGAAAGGCCTCAGGATTTGCCTCGAACTGTTTCCACCTCCGTTTGAATTGAGACTTGCCTTCATTGTCGAGGCTCTGCCAATTATCGTCGATGATCAAATTGACGATATGTATGTCGTTAGTTTTCAACGAGTCCAATGCGTGAAGAATCTTCCCCTCGTTCAGATTCTGGCCAAGACCGTTCCATGTGCAGTAGGTCAAGCCGTCAATCCAGTCGGCAAGCCATTCGGTTTGCATGTCTTTCTCCGCGACAACGGTATCCTCATCGAGCGGTGGTGAGGGCAATCGCTCTATTGAATCATTCTCAGAGCTCTGGAATGGTCTGACGATTTTTCGTGATTCATACATCACGGCACACATGGCAACCTCAAAGTCCTCGGCTGTCGCTGCCACAATCTGATATTCGGCCGCCTCCCCGTTATCATTTCTCGCCTGAACTACGATCTCGCCATTATCGCTCGATTGGAACACAGTCAGCACATCGTCGATGCCCGATATCGCCAGAAGCACCAGATGTTTGCCATCTTGCCGAAGGAACGAGCAGAGAATTGCATCTTCTGTCAAGTGAAAGTGGTCCTTGCCATGTCGAGGACCGAGCCAAGGACTCCAAATACGCACTAGTGAGTAATACCTCACCATTGAGGAAGGGGTCCCCAATACTGTTCTCTTGACGCCGGATATCCCGTCTTTGGCCGGGTCGACCTCTCCTCGGATCTGCCAGAGCGTCGAGCCCAGTGCCTCTGACTTTCTCGATTCAACCTTGAGTTCAGAAGACAAATTGTCAATCAACTTGGACAGCTCATCTCTTGCCACTTCCGACTCCTGGAGGGAATACTGCGACTGCATTGTCTTGGCAGCTACCACGAGTTCTCCGTCAGTGACGTTCTGCTGCTGCTGATTGACCCAAAGCCATTCGACATCAGGACTTGTCCGGAAGCGCGCGGTAAATTTTGCATGCAGGGCGGTTGGGGGTAGACAAATTTCCCCACAGAATACATAGCGATGGTATTTGTACTCGTCTTCAATCCCATTCAGTAGTGGAGCAACAGATGACTTAGACGCTTGAAGTTGAAGGGCAGACCATTCATTATTGGTGATGTTATGCCAGATCTGAGCTTCCCACGCCTGGGTCGGAAGCGAAGTACTGGATTCAATGACCACGGTGAAATTGACCTAGCCATATGGTCAGCAATGAGTCATCATCATCACCACCCATTCCTCGTCTATTCGACCGTTTTCCAATCTGCGACGAAATCACATGCAGCACGTACTGAATCATGAGTGCCCGAATCACCTGCTTGCCGCCTCCGCCAGTTGGTGACCTGACTCAACGGCGGGTAGCAAGTCAACCGTGCAAAAAGACCCATCTGTGCTGATCGGATGAATGTAGCCTGACGAGCTTTTTGGTTCTTGCCAGGTCCGATGATGGGCAGCGTAGACGAAACGTTCTGGGTGCCGGTTGGCATGAGGGATATGTAGTTGGTAGATATAGACAAAGGTGGATACAGTATGTACTTGGCGGCCCAGTATCTACTTCAAGCAGGCTGCAGGATACCAGATGTTGTAGCCCGAAAGGTAATGCTACTTCGAGCTTGCGTTTATTCCCGTCCCTGTTTGGGACGTGACTCGATTTAGACACGGAGGCTGCAATATGTAGATGACATTATACTGAGGTTGCGAATGGTGCACGAATGGAGATGAGAGAACATCGGTAGGGCGTGGACCGGGTGAGGGGCAACATCCGGGTACTCCACGCTATGGATATGATGGCATGGACCGCGATCTACTGCCTTGTCAGGTTTGCCGACCTCGGGTCTCGTTTGACCGAGCTGGTCGACGCAGGCCCGTCGTCTAGAATAGATGGATAGAGTAAGCAGGGAAAATCGGTCTGAGCGGACAAGCAGGAGAGCGGTAAGGACTCAGGTGAAGATGCTTCTCTAAATGCCACGCTTCTCGGAGACATTGAGACACTGACCGTCTTTAGTAACAGTGAACTACCTACTTAGGTAGTTACTCCACCTCATAGTGAATACGGTCCAGGGGCCACGAGTGGAAAGTGACCTGGAGCAATCCAATACATGTCTTTAGCACCACCGGAATCTCAAAGAGACTAATGCGCTATATCAAACATGAATGACTGCTTTTTCACAGGCTGAGACTTGAGGTTTCCATGTCCTGGCTATATCCATAGCTCATGTTGGGCGGGAGGATGGAGTTCTCGACGACCTAAATCGAACCAGAGCAGCTTGCTCAGTCGGGAACATATGCATGAGTTGTCCTCTCTTTATGCCGACGAGGAAATTGTTACCAATTTAAAACGTAGGTAGTAGCTGAAAGGACCTTGGACTCTCATTATGTGCATGGACATGGCAACCCAGTTCCGTGGCCAAGTTCTCGTTCACTTCCGTGTCGGAAAAGGTAATCTACGTGAAAATAGCACGCTTTGTCAATATTCACCTCGCCTACAGAATGGATAGTTGCCAAATATGATGGCCAATTGGCTCATTTCTCTTAGATATTGACGGAGTCCGACGAGGACTGCTCAGCTCATAGGCTCTTACTGCAAGAATTCCTCGTCCATCTCGGACACGGGTACCTCTTGTCAGCAACGGAGCTGCATTATTCCTTCAATGAAGCCCTAGGTACATTGCTCAAGGCGCAAATTCTGATCTTTCCAGACCCTGGAACAGTGAGAGAAAGCATCTGCAAATTTTGCGTGTGATTATCTTCTTGGAACCTTTGCCTGATGGCCACAACGCTTCGATGTTGGTGGGAGACCTAAGTCATCTCCAAATTGATGTAGACGCGGGCAGACGGGCTTGATGTACACTGCAACTCATTGCAGTACAATTCGATCCATTCAGACAACTTTTGCTACTAATCCAATTCATTTAAAAAATGTGATCATGCGGGCCGAGATGGGAATCAAGAGGATTCTATCGAATCTGGCTTCCTACAATGCAGATTCTGTTGGTAGAAACTGATGGGGAACAGAAATAAGCTGGATGAGGGGGTGAGAACGATCCTCCCAAGTGAAGATGTGTGCTCCGACCCGCATCCGTGCCCACGCTTTCCATCAATCCGCACATCCTACTGAGCTGAAGAGCTAAGAGCACGTCTACTAGAAAATCCTGGGCCAAGCACGACCATCGAGTTCATGTGAATCAGAACCTTGTATCTATCTGTCCCGTTCTACATTTTCGAAAGCCGGGTCCCCGAACTCTGCTCGCCTCAGTTGATGATGCCTGCCACAAAAGAAGGTCGCGTCACCAAATCCAAGCGAGCTCAACGGTCCTCGGGATCTCCCGCGAGACGCGTCTCGAGTGTCGCCAAAAGTAAGTCAGAAACCCCCACTCCGCTGTATTTCTTCTCCTTGCAGTGGAGAGAATTTCTCAGAGTGAGATTGGAACATTCAGCATAGAGGGAATAAAAAGTCGCGGACAAATGCGCTTATCCCACTTCGATCCCCACATGCTCATCACGTTTGCTTGCTTCATGTAGGCCTACCACTGGTAGAGCGAACGAATGCGCTCGCGATCGGAGACTTTATCTCTCAATATGTGCCCTCGCTAGACGTGATGCGTCTTCAAGGCAAGGGGGCGGACCATGCCGAGTCGACCGCGGACAAAGACTCAAGGGAGCGTGAGAACAACATTCAGCTTGACGTATACTCGACCGCGACACTCTCTGGCGAGGATCTAGAAGCATGCCTCGATCTCGTCGAACTCACCTCCCGCGAAGATTACTCGACCTCGAGTGCTGGCTGGTCTCGCTCGAAAAAGCGCAAGGAGATGAAATTGCCCGAAATGAAGTATCTGATTCTTCGCAATACCACTGAAAAGGCAGAGTTGTCGGGCCAGAGACAATGTGAGCCTCCGGGTGAAAACAAACTTGAGAACGAGGAAGACACAAAATCGAAGATTCTTGGGTTCCTGTCATGCATGGTAACGTACGAGGACGGCAGAGAAGTGATGTACTGCTACGAGATTCACCTATCCCATGAAGCCCGCGGTCGGGGATTGGGGGGCATGTTGATGATACAGATGGAGGAGATTGGGAGACGAATTGGCTTAGAAAAGTGCATGTTGACTGTGTTCCGGTCGAATACAAGAGCACGGGAATTTTATGAAAAGGGCGGGTACCAGGTGGATGAGTACTCTCCCCAACCTCGAAGGTTGCGAAATGGGACGATTAAAGAGGCCGATTATCTCATCTTATCCAAACGATTACTGCCGTGACGTTGTTTGATGGCATTTGCCTGGTTTCATTTTATACAAGAAACAAGTCGTGTGAAGCGTAAGCTTCAAGAGAAATACAACGGATAATATGCTGGGCTAAACTTGTTTGACTTCTTCGCCCCTGCGTTCGGGGTGATCTTGCTCCCACTCATCTCGGATTGCTGCGAAGATGCTGTCCGCAAGCAGGACGGAGAGTCCAAGACTCCACACAAGAGTGATGGCATAGAAGAAGTTGGCGTTACCAGATCCGGCATAGATCCAGAGGTGGTAAAACGCAGGACCAAGTAAACTGGAGTACAGAAGCGCCGAGACAGCGAAAAATGTGTATCGCATGACTAGAAACACATTAGTCATCCCATCGGGGCAATTTATTGACAAAGGGAAGGTGCGCTCACAGGGGAAAAGATGTCGGTATAATGGCAGCGTTGCAAAGAATAGCGAGGCGTCGGAGATACTGGGATAAGGTTTGAAGATTGCAAACACGCCGAGGAGGGACGTGATGACGAAGAGAGGCTGTCGCCGAAGTCTGGTAGTCAGTCCTCCGACATAGCTGGCTAAGTGAAGCCAAAAAACGCCAAGGAAGAATTCACGGAACGAGTCGAACATCTCGATGAAGAAGTACCACCACAAGCCCACATTCGGGGTGAGATCAGGCACCAGGAGGTGAAAGCCGTAAGTGGCGGATATAAACTCCCAGAAGTTGCCCGTGACAAGTACAGACAACCCTAGGAGCCCAGCGATACTGCCAACGAAGATCCCAACATGCTGAGCCACGAAGTGAGAGATGCTGGGCGGTTGAGGAGTCTTTTCGGCTCGCTGATCATAGGAAAGCAGCACTAGCGGAACAAACAGCAAAGCTGGGTATAACGCAAGATAGGAAGCGAGTCCGAGTGCAAGCATAGCATTCAAGCTGTTCCCGCCTACAGCATTGGAGACCGCAAAGAGAATCCCAGAAGTCGTGAAGACACTCGTCGACCGCGCCAAACACGTGGCGATTGTAAACGGATTAAACAAGAACCTTTAATGGCATTCAGCAAGGAGCCTGTGAAAGTGGAAAGTGTCTCAGTGGGATATACCATGCTGCAACTGTAGTCCCGTCCCAGCGAATATTCTTTCGCATTGCGGAGTGCAACCGACTCTGGACCGACTGGCCCGACTCGGAGATTTTCGCCAACGCATGCGCATTCACCAAGTCGACAATGGCAAAAAAGATTGCGGTTGAGATTGGATGGTATCGAACATTAGGCAAGAGAGAGAAGAGAGGGAGAAGAAGCGGCGCCTTGATTTGGCCACCAAATGGTTAGTTGGTCACATTGTGAGAGTATATTGCAGCGGTCATAAGGCTTGCTCACTTGGTGGAAGACGCCCCCGTCGTAGGGGGACACATTGCGCATATAGAGATGAAGACCCTCTTGAACTGCAAAAGCAGGATTAGCCGCTCGAACAGTCGCATTTCGGTAGCCTTTGCTGGTTGGCTAATACACACGTCGCTTGAAACTGTTGACCGGAGTGGACACTTCGACACGGCCAGTGAGTAAGTCTGGCAGCGAAGGAAAGAAATAGACAAGAATCAGTCGCAGCGCAAAAGCTGTGCCAAAGACAGCAGCCTTCCGTCTGCCAACCACCATCTTGAGAACCTCGAGGCGAATTAAGGTCGCCAGCTGGTTTAAGGCCGACGCTCCTGCTGTGTTCAACTACGCAAAGGGTCCCTTTAAAGAGCCGCCGAGGGACGAAAGGCGGAGGAACCACGGACAGCCGCAACGCACGGGCCACATTGGCCAGGTCGAGGGAAAAAAAAGTTATCGAGAAATTTTCTTTCTTCTTATCAGCAAGTACTGTTTGGATCTTCACTGAACGAACTCCAACAAAATTCAACATGGCCAAAATCAAGAAGAAGGGTACGTTCAGACGAGATTTTTGCTCAGGAGGAATTGACTAACACATTTCAATTCTCCAAACAGGTACTCACGGCCAAGCCAAAAACTACATCACTCGTACCCAAGCCGTGCGAAAGCTTCAGATCTCTTTGCCCGATTTCCGTCGCCTATGCATCTTCAAGGGTAAGCGCTTTCTATAAGTCTTCTTGTGGATGTATCACTGTATCACACTGACAATCGTACGACCATCAGGAATCTACCCTCGTGAGCCCCGTAACAAGAAGAAGGCCTCCAAGACGTCGACTCCGAACACAACCTTCTACTACACCAAGGACATTCAGTATCTGCTCCATGAGCCCTTGCTCGCCAAGTTCCGTGAACAAAAGGCCCTTGCCAAGAAGATTGCTCGATCCCTCGGTCGTGGCGAAGTCAGCGATGCCGCTCGCCTTGAGAAGAACCACGCTCCTAAACTCACTCTCGATCATGTCATTAAAGAGCGCTACCCGACTTTCATTGACGCCCTGCGCGACCTCGACGATGCTCTGTCGTTGCTTTTCCTCTTTGCGACTCTCCCTTCATCCGATCATGTGCCCCACAAGACAATCGCGCTTTGCCAACGTCTCTGCCACGAGTTCCAGCACTACCTGATCATGACCAATTCGCTGCGCAAGTCTTTCCTGTCGATCAAGGGTATTTACTACCAAGCAACCATCCAGGGCCAGGATATTATGTGGCTTGTTCCATACCGATTTGTTCAGCGGGTCAATGGTGATGTCGACTACAGAATTATGGCTACATTCGTCGACTTCTACACAACTTTGCTTGGGTTTGTTAACTTCCGCCTCTACTCGTCAATTGGCTTGAGATATCCTCCCAAGTTTGACACTCGCAGCGATGAGAATGGTGCTGAGCTGGCGGCGTTCACTTTGGAAAGCCGCAATGCGACCGAGGGCATGAAGGCCATTGGTTCTAGCAAGTCCAAAGCCATTGAGAACTCGAAGACGGAAGTGTCCAAGGATGTTCAGGCTAAGGTTGACAAGGTCATCAAGTCTGCTGGTTTAGACCAGGCTGAGGACGAGCCAATGGCAGACAAGAACGACGAGGAGTCTACCGACGCAATTGATCGTTTCGAGCCTGCTGCTCCCGAGGCCGATACCCTCCCTCAACCTGACATGAGCGGAAATGAGGCTGGCGCTCTTTTCGCCCCCTTCACATTCTATATCTCTCGAGAGGCTCCCAAAGCCCCGCTCGAGTTCATTCTCCGCTCTTTTGGCTGCAAGCGCGTTGGCTGGGATGCCGTCATGGGTGATGGCGCTTTCACGCACGACGAGACGGACCCTCGCATTACTCACCAAATTGTCGATCGTCCCCAACTACCTGAGGGATCTCTTCCTGCGGTTCCCGCCGTGGCTGAGGGTTCCACACCCAAGGTCAAGCCCGGCACTCGTATTCCGGGACGTACATACGTTCAGCCACAATGGGTCTGGGATTGCATAAATGAAGGAAAGCTGCTTCGTGCCGATCTCTATGGGCCTGGTACCACCCTTCCACCCCACTTGAGTCCCTGGGTCAAGGCTTCTCGCGGTGGTTATGACCCCCGTGCTAGCCTGGCCGAGCAGGAAGCAGAGGGTGAGGCTGAGATCGCCGAGGAGGAAGAGGAGGAGGAGGAGGATGCCGATGATAGCGACGAGGAGATGGCAGACGAGTCCGTCTCCAAGAAGGCCGCTGTCGCCGAGGACTCCGAGGAGGAATCTGTCGATGGTGGTATGGACGTTGCCGGTACCGATGATGACGAGAGCGAGAGCGACGAGGAAGAGGAAGAAGAAGAGTTCCCCGGCGTTGATGAGGCCGCGTCTGAATCCGACGATGATGACGAGGCTGCCCGCAACCAGCACCAGCGCGAGCTGGAAGCTGAAGCGGCCGGTCTGCCTTTCTCTGCTGGGGCCACCGAAGAATCTTCCAAGAAGAAGTCTACCAAGTCCAAGAAGCTGGCCGCCAAGAAGCGCCAGGAGGACGAAGAGCTCGAGCGACAGAAGATGATGATGAGCCGCAAGAAGCGCAAGTTGTTGGAGAAGATGATGTACTCTAACAAGAAGACCTCAGACGAGGCCGCTAAGCTTCGCTCCAAGCGTCGCAAGCTTGAGAAGGGCGACAAGGCGGCTAAGAAGTAGAGTTGAACTGGGTTACGATAAAAGTGGGAAGAGTCATCATGTTCTTTTAATCTCGGCGTTTACGGATGGAATAGTCCCCTTGTATATGCATGTCTTGAAAATCCATTACATTTGAATCTGCCACTTCGAATTGTCTCCTTGATAAATGATAGTGCTCGCGAAAAAACAACTCCCTGTGGTGGCGGGACTCTTGGTCAAAATTGTCCCCGTGAGCCCCTTAAGGCAGGTCTCGGATCCATTCGAATGCGCAGACGAAAACCAATACATCACGTGATCATTCATGTCGATCCACCTGGTCAGAATTTGGGTGAACTCGAGCAAGTGTTTCTCATCGAGGCTGGGCTACAAATACATGAGAGTACATGTTCTCAGCTCGAAACAGAAACCTCGTGATGCGTGACTCATTTGGCAAGTCAAAGAAAATTCTGTTCGTGTAGGCCTGCACTTTCTCAGTGATATGCCGGCTTCATCACCGGGGCAATCCAATATCAACAACCCACGTGAAGCTTCGAGGCATGTCCTCCATCCCCGATAATCAGCAGCCCTCTTCGTCTCAATTTTATCCGCCTCAATCTGCACAGCCGTACAGATCAATTTTTGGTGGACCCAGCAGCGATGTCGATCCACCACCATCATCTCTTCCGGAGCCAATTCGGAGGCCTGGGGCGTCTATATTTGGAGGCCCAGCCAGCCTCGGCACTATCGCGCAGCGAAACAGTGCTTCAGATCCCATGGAAATGAGCCAGGCTGATGATGAGGATGATGCATTTGACCCGGCAGGACATGACCACTTGAACACCCGTGGTGGTTCCCACCATATCGCCTTGCCTAAGGTCGAGGGCGGCGAAGCTGAAGACGAGAACGATGAGGATTTGGCACCGATGCAATCATCTCTCCAGTATCTGGAACAGCCGAACTTTCCATCATCGCCGGAGACTATTCGGCCTGCACAGGCGCCGATCACTTACGTCCTTAATCGGGGGAGAGATCTGCCATTTGGCGTTGAACGTCCGAATCGCTGGACTGGGCCAGCCTCAACTTACAGACGACTTATAGCGGACGAAAGAGGAGCTTACGAAGGGATCACTGCTGAAAAGTCAAGGGATCTTGCTGCGCACCTTTTAATGCACATGCGTACCGTACTAAGCGAAACACGGTCCACGACAGATCCAATGGAGCACGAGAGCCGGACGTGGGAGAGAGAGTTTTTCCTCCACGACGCTGGGTTGCGTGGCCAAGGCCAGCTCGTTATGTGCCACGTCCGGACGAAGTCACTCATCGCCAGCTCTCTGGGCCTGACTCTTTACACATGCCACTTGATCTTCGTCCCAGCTACTACCTCGAGGAGTCTGTTGTTGCGGTTATGATGGAGCATGCAAAAGAAACTTTCATGGGTCGTGAATATGACCTCGAAGAAATTAGAGTCCCTCATCTTGTGAGAGGAGACGAATTTGATGATGCCAAATACGACGACCTAAAGGATGCTGCCGAGGAAAAGGATGAAGATCCAGTGCCAGACGCTGTGCCGCTCCAGCCGACGGTCCAGGCAGATGACGGCTTGTCACGAAAACAACTACGTCCACTGTCCCGTAATGTCATCGGCCAAATAAATCGTCTTCTGATGGGGCTTCATCATTCAGTGATGACACGGTTTCAAGACGACGACTCGAGCAGTGAGTCTGAGGCCGAGGCCCCCTATACAGACTATGAGGAAAAGTCGCGATCGCGATCGAGACGGGTGAGTGGTAGCCGAAGTCAGTCGCGTGGTCGGAAACGTGCGCGTCGACATTCGAGCCACTCGGAGAGATCGAGTCGTCGTTCAAGAAGTGGCCGGTCCTCCACCCCGACAAGTGCGCGGTCTGGAAGCGCGCGTAGCCCTTCTCGGTCACGAGGCAGATCACGCACTTCTCGCGTCAGCGCAGATCTGACTACGACTAAATACAGACTGGCACTACGAGATTGGAGTGAGGTTGTGGGCATCGCTGCAATGATGGGCCTTCCCGAAGCAGCGGTGGCTCGTGCCTCCCAAAGGTGTGCCGATCTCTTTAGAGAAGACATGACTTTCCGTACCCTTCATGAAGGCCGAATGGTCAAGGTTCCTCCTCCAAAAGGGGCAGCCCGAGCAGGCGATAGATGGAAGTACCATGAAAGCGAATCTGAGATCGATGAAGAGCTTGAGCCGAACTTTGAAACTGCACCCCAGAGTCCGGCTCCAGGACCGAGTTCAGTATCGTCGCCACGCAAACGGAAGCAAATGTCGCAAGTTCGATCACGGTCACCATCCCAATCTCGGCGACACCATTCAACATCTACCCCCTTTGTAGCGACCTCGACTGCTGCCGTTGTAGCCCCTAGTTCCCAACCGGGCTCTGACTTTCTTGATCAGCTCGGTGACAGTGCCGATCCTGCAGGCCAGTCTCAAGCACTGCCCACGCCCAAGAAGGGCAAAGGCAAACACCGAAAAGCCGATATCGTCTGTCCTGTCAAGCGATGCTCGCGAAACACGAATGGGTTCTCCCGAACGTGGAATCTTACCCTGCACATGCGACGAGTCCACCCGAATTATGTAGCAGGCGAGCGCGAGCGATCCCGATCTCAAAGTACGCCGGAAGGTGTTGAGATTATTGAAATTGACTGATTCTTCTTGTGTAATGATACCATATGCCGTTGTTAGTTCTGTTCATGGGAAAGGCCTGTAGCTACATCACTCAAGAATCTTTTGGCTGCAACGGCGTTAAACCCGACTGTCAGCCCTTAACGATACATTAAGCTCTTCATACTTCGGCTGGCCTTTCCTAGTAAAGTTGTCCTTGTTTAATTTAATGTAAGTTACCCGTGGGCGCATGTACGGTCGGCGTTTGTAATACAGAAACGCTATCGCGTCTTGATCTCGACAGAATCAACTTTGATTTGCTCGGAGGCCCGAGTGAGCGGTGTTTACACATGGTGACTGGTGCTCGTCGCCGACCGGTGCTCCTCTACGAAATGTCATTACACGGCGAGAGCCATGAGGCTCTCTTCTCCACATCTCAAGAATAGAAGCGCAGCACCATAATTTTACGCCTGCAATAGTGATGGCTGTTGATCTATTTCAACGCGTGTACAGCACAGAGACCTTCAGTAGATCTGTATGTGAGGCTTTCTTGAATAACGAATTTTGGGGATTGCCACTCTGTCTGTAGACATTTCCCTTGTACAGTGTGAGGAAAACCAGTTAACTGTAGGACCCCTCAGGAATGACATCAACGGGCACGAACTTCCCCAGCTTTCTTGTCCGTCCCCGCTGTACTTTCAGTTTCCTTTCCAAGTAACCAGACCAGGACAACTTCTGACACATCGCCGTGACTGAGTCTCCAGCTATACTTCTCGGCATTTCTCGGCTCGATCGAAGGATCTCCATTAAGCGCCGTCTTTTACTTAAAGCACAAGAGGCCAGACCTTTTTCCCGCGCGATAGCGACTTGTTCTCCAAACTAGCTTTCCCCATCGCACCACCCCTCGCAGACTTCCTTTTTTCTGTCTGACACCGCCAACCCTCTTGCACACAGACTACTCTTCGTTTTCTCGCCTGTATACTCGTGAACCTTTTCACTAAAACCTCACAATGGACCGCCTTGTTCGGCCAGTCGCCCGGCAATTGCTTCGGCCTCGTCTACGCTACCCTTATTCCATTCCTCCTCCTCCTGTTGCCAGGAGACTATACACGACGGGACACAATCGGCCTGAGGTAAGCTTGACCTCGCTTCATATCAATTAATTGACGTTGGACAAGTGCTCATAAGCTACATAGCTCAAAGATCAGTCCTTGTTTATCGAAAAGTGTTACATCAATGGCGAGTGGGTGAACGCCAAGTCTGGCAAGACCTTCGAGGTCCACGGTAAGGACGGTCCATGGAGACAAAGCCAATTGTGCATACGGAGTGCTAAGGTTATTTGGTTCATCCAGACCCTGCCACGGGGAAACTCATCGGCACATGCCCAGAGTTCGACACGAGCGACGTCGAAAAAGCGATCCAAGCTGCCTCGGAGGCCTTCCCGTCATTCCGCACAACCCTCGCTCGCGAGAGAGCGCGCATGCTGCGTCGATGGTACCAACTCATGATGGACAACGCGGAAGATCTGGCGAAATTGATCACATGGGAGAATGGAAAACCTCTGACAGATGCCAAGGGCGAGGTCAACTATGCCGCCAGCTTTTTCGAGTGGTTCAGTGAAGAGGCGCCTCGCACTTACGGTGACACGATCCCAGCGTCGGTGCCGGGCAACAGAGTCATTACGATCAAGCAACCTGTCGGTGTTTGTGGCCTGTTGACTCCATGGAACTTCCCCGCGGCCATGATTACGCGCAAGATTGGGCCTGCCTTGGCGGCCGGGTGCACTGTTGTCGCAAAGTCTCCAAGCGAGACTCCTTTCACTGCTAATGCGCTCGCTGAGCTGGCGCATCGAGCAGGCATTCCCAAGGGTGTCGTCAACATTGTCACTGCCTCGGAGAACACCGCCGCCGTGGGTGAGCTCATTACGACTCACCCAGAGGTGCGCAAGGTCTCATTCACAGGATCCACCAACGTCGGTCGTCTCCTTATGAAGCAGGCCTCCTCCACAATCAAGAAGGTGTCATGGGAATTGGGTGGAAACGCCCCTTTCATCGTCTTCGATGATGTTTCGGACTTGGATGCTGCCGTCAATGGTGCTATTGCTTCGAAGTTCCGTAGCTCTGGCCAGACTTGCGTTTGCGCCAACCGCATCTATGTTCAAAGCGGTATCTACGACGAATTTGCGAAGCGATTTACCGCCAAGGTTAAGGACTTCAAGCTCGGCGCGGGCTTTGGCGAAGGCGTCACCCATGGACCCGTCATTCACGAGCGGGCCGCCGCAAAGGCCCATGAACACGTTCAGGACGCCACGTCCAAGGGCGCTCAGGTGGTCGTTGGTGGACAGCGGGCGTCTGCGCTCGGACCCAACTTCTACGAGCCCACGGTTCTGACAGGCATGAACAAGGATATGCTCCTCGCCTCAGAGGAAACCTTCGGTCCCGTGGCTGGGCTCTTCCCATTTGATAGTGAGAAGGAGGTTGTCGAGCTCGCGAACAAGGCTGAAGTTGGTCTCGCGGGATACTTCTTCAGCAGCGACGTGCGTCGCATCTTCCGCGTTGCCGAGGCGTTAGAGGTTGGTATGGTTGGTGTCAACACTGGACTGATTAGTGATGTTGCATCACCATTCGGAGGTGTCAAGCAAAGTGGATTCGGGCGCGAGGGCAGCAAGTATGGTATTGATGAGTTTATGACCGTCAAGAGCGTGACCTTTGGCGGAATGGGCGAGCCTCTACAGGGGTAAGCTTTGGCCTGGACCTAGTGTCATGAAAAGGATATGATAACATGTAATATTCAAATTTGAGACGTTGTATTGTTACCATTCCCCCGTAGATATAGATGACAGTTCAGTTCGTCCGCATTGATCTTTTCCTGAATCGTAAAAATCATCGTCGCTCTCTCGTCTCGAGATGAGGCTGATCTCAGAGGACTCATGGCGTGAATCAATCAATCAGTCACGTGACAAGCAAATCATCGGCCATTCGAGAGGGTCTCGCCGCCCTCGATGACTTCATACCCTATCGCAAGCAATACTGAGAAGCTATCAAACACACAGGCTTGACCTTAAAACACCAACATATCTTGTTGGCTGTCCTAGCGTGTATCCTGAACCTCACATTGCGCTCATGCGCCCAACAATCACTCGACTGGCGGCCGTGTCCCGCGCGCCAACATCGAAGCTCAAGAAACCCGCCGTCAGTCTAGATCATGTAAGTAGACAAGCCCACAAGGTTCCGGCCTCGGATTCCAAAGTACATTCCGGATAAATCCCGCAATGCACGGAGACTAATGCGATTCTCTTTTAGTTTATCCAAAGACAAAGGGTCCTCTCATTATGGCGTGAGATTGTGAGAGCACTATACAGTAAGAAGAGATTGCTTGGCCCTGAATTTTTACTTTGTGAATATCTGATTCTGACGCTCCGAGATACCAATAGAGGCTCCACCTTCTCAAACGAGAGATGAACTGAGATTGTACGCCCGGCAGGAGTTCGAACGGAATAGACATGTCTCTGAATTGGTAGGTCTTTTCCTCTCTCTGTTTGGTTGATATGCTTCGCGGGTGCTGCGAAGGTACAGAGGACGTGAAGACTAAATAACCCGTGTTTTGCAGTCACATATACGCTATTTAATCTCAGTAAGTTTGTACTTGCGAAACGCATTTGGAATGCGAATTCTACTCGAGGGCCTGGCGGTGTGTCTACTAAAAAACTGATAGATGCTGACTGGTATGCAGACGGGAAAGGCTGAATTCGATACCATGCGACGGTATATTGATGAGCAGATTGCAAGATAGATCAGCAATTTTGTCTACTCTTGAGATCCATGTACAGTAGTTTAGAAATTATACACATGTGATGAATCCGACGCAAAGCCTAGGTAGAAAGTAGATCGCCCTTCTGCGATGATAATTAATAGACTCAGAGGAAATGATATTGAACTGCGCTATCAAGCACACTTAGTCTAGACCAGATGTTCAATGCCAAAAGCTCTTTGTTAGATCAGGATGATTCCGGCTACAGGTCCAGAAATCAATGAAGTTCCCTCAGGTGGTGAGAATCAAGTTCCCTCGGATAGTGAAAATCAAGCTCGAAAGGCCGCTCCACATATCTTGGCGGATCAGCTGAAATATGCTCGTAGGGGTAAGGTTGAGATGCGACTCGATAGTGAGAAGTATTCGCCCTGTCAGCGAGAGAATCCACCATGAATTTCTCTCGAGCAAGACGTGAGAAGCACAGCAGAAAGCAAATATATTCGATGAAAAAGCACACAAGACCAAGCATGGTCATTCCGTTGGAGATCGCGAAGCGATTAGATGGGATGCTGTGGTTCAGATACGCGACAATGCCTATGTCGATTGCCAAAACTGCATCGGCTAGATTGACCGCAAAGAACGAAAGACTTGCCGCCAGGAAATAGATTGCAGGGAGCTGCAGCAGGGTACGAGCATACTAGATCAGCCGATCGGGATCCTGAGTACTTGAATGATGGATAAGCTCTGCTGCACATACCTTCATTCGCCGATCCATTTTATAGGATCGGATGGTCACGATCACAGCCCAAATCAGGATTTCGGATGTTGCCAGCCATTGCACGAATTCGCGGGCACATTGACACCAATGATAGGCTACATACGTGACACGAAGCTTGTTTGTCACGGTCCAATAGCCTATGATTTCAGACGCAGTGTATAGTGCCCACTCCAACATGCATCCTAGGCCGATGAGGATGAGACAGACGCCGTGGATGCGACCCAGTGTGCGTGGTGACCGGCCTATGTCATGGCGTCGAAAGATCAAAACTAGCTGGTAAAGGAGATAGAAGGTGGTGCAAGTCGCGAAAAGGTATACGAATTGCTCAATAATAAGGACGGCCGAATGGATCGGACGCTCGGGATCCGAAAAGTAAAGACCGTAGTAAACCGTCGCGGTGACGTTTGTTCTATTTGACACGATATGTAGGTATAAGCATAATATTATGATAAAGTCATAGAATGAGCCGACAGTCTTCGTCGCCAAAACCCTGTTGACTTTAGAAAGATTGCCGGCCGGCCCGGATGTAGTTCACTGGCAAATTGTATCTCATACTCACAGGAAGTAGACGATGCAGGAGACAAGGTATGATCTGCGAAGAATGAGACCTTTACCAAGGCCCTGTGCTCCCCGTCTCAATATCTTGACCACAAGAACAGCAAGTAATGTCACTTGGGCCAGGGAAGCGCTCAAGCCGAGTGCGTTGGACAAGTATAATTGATCGTCTTCTTCATCCCAGCGTTTACTGAACATTTTTTTTTGAGTCTTTGAGCCTTTGAATCTTCGAGGCCTCAGGTCGGTCTGGGATGTCTGTGTCGGTAGACTTAAGGTCGACGTTGCTCAGTGCACGTAGTTGTAAGTTCGGCTTCGTTCAATAAATGTGGCTCTCCACGTCCGAAGCTTCTTCCAGTCCTTTTTGTATGTCGTCCTCTCCATCGTGACCAGCAGAGCAATGTTCTCAGTCCGTGCTTATGGATGAAGTTGTCGGTTTGACAGAAATTTGGGGGCTAAAATCTCGACAATCCACTGAAATTGTATGGGCATTCACATCGACCTCCCACTAATGTCGTCGAAGGGCGGTGCTCAGCCATGTAAGTCTTGGCGGCGTCCGTGAGTCGCATTCTGTTGGACGGGCGAAGTATTCTTAGTAGTGTCGACTCTTGGTCGAGTGCTGCTCCCCCGCCAAACAGCCTCCGCGCGTGTCATGTTGCGCCAAGGGTCTGCGAAATTACATGTTGTGTTCGCCTTGGGCTCATTCACAGCCACTTGCGCCTGGCACTTCCCAGGGAGGGTGCGTACGTGAGATCATTTGAGCGGTTCATGGTGGATTGCCATTGCCATGTGTAAGATTTGAAGATTTTCCTCTCGGTGAATCCGGAGCTTTGAGCCTTGCGGGCTCCCTAGCCTCTCATCTGGAGTGTGGCTTTTCGTTAAGGGGTTCAGACCGGAGTCGCATACCTTTGGTAGTGTTGTTGCTAAGCATCGGGTCTGCAACTGCGAGACACTGGCATATGACTGTATAGGTATGATGATCCCACTCTTCTCCTGTTTGGAAGCCAAGCTGCGGACCGCGCCTATCGTCTTGATTTGCAGCGTTCCTTCGGTCACCCATCTCGATCAAAGCGAAGTCACGTGCAGTGTGCAATATCTGAAGATCAGCTTCTCATTTGACTGGTTTACAAAGTGCGCATGTAATGTGCATGGAAATCGCTGACTATCTTGCGGCCGAGGCGTGTGTAGAACTTGGACATCGTTTAGTCAATTGCAGAAGCCTGGTCGCTGTTGGTTCTATTGACTCCATCACGAGGTGCCGCTCCCCGACGAGGTGATGAGACACCGATACGCGCTGACAGGAAGACGTTCCGCGACTGCGTACATTCCGTTCATATTCACAGTCTCAATCGATCCTTTGACGTCAGGGTCTCTCTCAAGCCGACTCGTGGCCAGTATCAACGTCCAATCACTTGCCAGAAGACAAAGAAGCGATTGCACTCGAACTGTAAACACCTCCCCTTCCGGCGTGTTCAAGTTCTCGTCAGGTAGCTAGGCGGAGCTTTCGTTCGTGTTCGCCTACGCAATGACATGTTCGTGGACGCTGTTCATGGCCGGCATCGTCCCATTACTCGTGCAGAAGGCCTGCTCAGGAGTGTCGTAGAATTGCTCGAGTCTACTGACGAAAGATTGACGCATATTTCTTGAATCAGTTTGTCTTTGATGCACAGAGAGCCTGAGCAGTCTCACCCCCAGGCTTTGTGTCAAGCGCTCCAGGCCCCCACCTCGCATTCCCGTCATGCAGCAAGTGAGCACTGAATCGAAGCTGGCTCGATCAAGGAGCCGTGGGCCTTGACAAGACCAACTCCCAGCTGCCTGCGGGGTTGACCTTGAAAAATGCGACTGACCAAGTCCTCGAGCCGGCAGTGCATGCCTCGAAGTATATGCATAATGCATGGTCAAGGGTAGGTATCTCGCGCGTACCGGTGCTGCAGAGCACGGTAGCAGAGTCTATTGAGCCGGCCTGCGGATTAGATGCACTGTGATCCTGAATACAGGATCCGGGTCTCGAGGACTTGTTTTGCACCAAAGAATCCAGATAACACCCCCGCATGGGATGTGGCAAGACCGATCAAAGGAACGATCCTTGGGAACCTGGACAATGTCCCTCTCGGGGACCGTTTCTCAGGCACGGTTGCTGGCGGGAGAAGACACTGGCGCTCAGGTCATGATGGCCTCAATGGGAAAGTTTATTTTCCAATATGACACTAGATCCTCGCAGCTACTGCCTAGTCGTCGCGGGTAATGCTGCGAATCTAGAATCATCTGTCATAGAAGCTCGACGGACTTCAAGACAAAAGTTCCCGTGGCTGCCGTCTCCACGGCAGATGCATGATAGAAAGTAGCACTCTCGGTTTTGTTCAATGAGCATCTGGATAGGTAGTAAGTTAGTAACAAGTTACGAGTAACTTAGCTTAGTAGTACTAGTACTACTCCCTTACCACCCAGGTCCTGACAATCGAAAATCCTGCCTCTGTACTTGTCAACAGATGTACTTTGGGTCCACAACAGAGGCTCCGCCACGGAAACAGTTCACGGGCATTCATTGGCCTCGGCCGGACAGCAGAAATGGAGATCATGGAGTCGTTCTCCGATAGTCTTGTTGGTCGCCGACTCGCCATGAAATCTAATAAGAAGGTTCCAGTGCCAAGTCTTTTGTGCGTCAGCGATCCAGAGGTGCAGCCGCCGTACCTGCGAGCTAACAGCGCGTCGGCACTCCGCCAATGACCTTCTCAACCATCCACGGTCAAACCGGGGAGGACATCAGGTCAACGCGTCACGATGCGACCCCCAACTGGCCGGCGCGGTGCAGACGGGTAATACATCCGCGATTGTAGATGTGGTGAGACCTCATCGACATTCGGCAAGTTAAGGTGCAACAGCGGGGATGATCTGCGTTTCAGGCGTCACTCATCCCCCATCAGGAGGAGGTTTCCTGATGTTCAGGACCGTGCGTGAAGTTGCTCCTTTCCATATCGTCATCTACCAGACTGTCGGGGCAGGGCTTTCCCTGCCGTCTCGACCTCTCGTTGCAGTGGTGGTTCTCAACGAAAAACTTTGACAGGCGTGACAGGCGCATTGATGCTTGGACAAGTGGTACAGGTATTTAAGAGCTATATGCCCGGACTGTTCAAACAAGCTTGAAACGATTTTCGTGCCCCATCCGTTTGACGACAGGTATTGCAACACCCGTGGTCCAGGTCACATCTTGTTGCTGCCGCTATCCCAAAGGGTCTTGCAACTCAACCCAGAAATTCATCTTGTGCAGGGTGAGACGAGGGATTTCGAGTCAAAGTTCATCAACAATGGCAACTTTCATGCTCGCCTCCAACCCTGACAACGTTCTACACACCTCTGCCAATGGTCCATTGCCAGCGCAGTCTATCGATCCAGCTGAGCTGCCATGGCTCTCAAGCCTGACACCTCCCTACGAAGACTCCTCGGACCAACAACATGAATCAAAATTTTTCCAAAAGCCATCTTATCAACAAGCCGAGGCGACACAATCAGGCAATCCTGATGCAGCCCCTTCACAACCACCACCACAAGCCCAACGAACCCGACGAACTCGTCGACTCTCTTCCCTCTCCTCCTCCACCGAAACCATCAGCCCAGAGAGAGCGAAACACCTGGAGCGCAATCGCATCTCCGCCAACAAATGCAGGCTGAAGAAGAAAAAGGAACACTCCCGAATGGAAAGCATCCTCAATTTCGAGACGCGAAAACGCGATGCATTGTTATCCGAAGTGGGCCTTCTCAAGGACAAACTATGGTGCCTCAAAAACATGATCTTCGAACATGCGCAATGCGACAATCCTCACATCAACTATCAACTGGCGCGGATGACGGAGCAGGTGTTGAGCAAGAGTCCCGCTTCAGCCGCAAGCATCTCGCCCGTGTTTGCCACCAAGAGCCAACCGGACGGGTCAGCATTCTTTGCGGGAGGCGGGGAAAGAAGACCTCTCGACTCCTTCGGGGCTGCTGCGGCTGGTACTGCTGGTACTGCTGGTACTGCTGGTGCTGCTCTGTCGTCTGACATGAATCTTGTGCAGGGCTATTCGGAGACCATGTTTGAAAATCTTGTTGACATTTCCTAGCGTTGCCGTCCCTGTCCATTCTGCATATTGATCCCCATCCCGGGTTGCATTGCTCCGGTTGTTGGACCTTCTTCTTCTGGCCTTGTATTGTTTGGTATCTTTTCTTCTTTCATGACTACGATTATTTATACACATTCCTTTCTTGCTTTTGGCGGCGCTGTCGAGAATTGGCTGTGATATGATGACCCTGTCCATTTACCACCAACGCAGAATATACGGAAGTTGCCCTGGGTGGCAATTTCTGATTTACTTCTTCGATCTTTTGGGGTTTGCTTGGACCCCTCCCTAGCACGACGTAGCCGTTCTCCCCAAAGAAAAACCTATGCTCATGTTGCACATATTGCTGCTCTGTGGTCCGACTAGGAGTCGGGTTTGTGTCGCCACAGTAAAGCTACCATACTGTGCAAGACACAAAAATAACAACAACTGTACCGACTTCCCTCCGAGTGCACTTTCCATTTGAAGGAGATCTTCCCCCCTCATTTTACTCTTCAAGTTTCTTCGCCCATCCGCTTTCCAGGATCTGATAAAACACCAACCTCGGCGAGTAGGAACCCTGATAGTCCACCTACAATTCCAATCTTGGCGGAGCTGTCAAATCCTTTCCAGCGCATTACGCATCCTGCACTCGCCCCATTTGGCGGAGGAAACATCCTGCCAATCAGGATGAAGTGATCATCCCACTGTCAGTGATCTCGGGCACGGCGTCATACCTTATCGAGCTTGGCGGTTATCCATTCATTTGGGAGTTGGGAGTTTGTACTGTGCTGGGAGGACTCCAAGTACGCAAAGGTACGGTAGTAGTGTAGGAACCTGACTACTAGCACGTTTTGCATATAGGTATCATACGTGACGGTAGGTTCCTTGGAACCTACTGAAGTTACTTACGTAGTATGCTGAGTCATAATGTACGATCTCCCAAGTACTGATGTAGGTAGCAGGGCCCCAGCCATTGCGGGTCACGGGATTCTGACCCGCGGTCGAGACTACTACACCCAGCCCGTGTATGAGCCGAGCTCGTCACCTTCTCTCATTTCTGCATGCCGACATGGGTGTCTACACGGATATGATATCAATCGAATTGCGCCCGACGGCATGGAGCAACTGCTGATTGGGTGGCTGGTTTGATACCTCGATCATGGACTTTGGTATCTTTTGTCTTTTGTAGTAGTCCATGTCCTGCGAGGACGCGTGGCGTGTCCGTGTGCCAAGAGGCTCCTTTGACGAGGTTCTGACCTGGGGACAGTGGAGCTCATAACACTGTTTAATGGGGTGGAAATGGTGAGTTGAGATGTTTTGGGAGGTTTCGGTTGTACCAGCTCCAGTAGACGTGTGGCTAGTAGCTACTAGCTACTAGCTAGTAGTTACCACTAAGTCAGTATCTAGGAAGCTCGGGTCCTTGTCCACAGACCGATGGTTGTCCGGGAACGCAGAGGGTGTCCCCGGTGTACCCATGGAATCGAGTCAGTGTTATTGACCTCTGATCTACTACCTAGTACCGACTGCTTGCCCATCTTTTAGGGCAACTGTTGTCATTGTAGTCGGTAAGAAGAGAGTAGTAGAGCTCATATAATGGGCCGAGGTAGGACTGAGTACTGAGCAGTATATACTCCTTCGCGCAGTTGTTCATCTGGTTTTTTTTTTGGGCTCTTCACAAGTACACTGAGTGGGCCCTGAAATCTAGAGGCTGACAGCAACAAGCAAACCGTGCTGTACGAAATCTCGTGTGTTTATGTACCTGCTCGGTAGTGGATGGAATCAACGGACTCGACCAAAGTATACACGTCAACGTACTCGGGCGACCGTAGCTCTCAATCTCCGCGGCATCTGACTTGATGAGGCAAGTCAACCTGGTACAACCCGTCTATCGCGACTCTCCCCCCAACTGTACGGTAGTAGTGTCATCATACATAATTGACAAGATATGTACTCACGCATGGACCCCATTTTCATCTATTCCAGAAAACTGTCCACTTCTACGAGGAATTCTCCCGCTGGAGAAGATTGCCAACCAGTAATGGAGCCCGCGCTGGAGAAAAGCAGATCATGGCCCATGCATCTCAGACGGGAGCGCCGGAAACGGTTTCCAGTCCCGGAACGGCTGCGGTTGGAGTGCGAAAAGTCCAGTGCTGGACCCGCTGTTGGAGTAGTCATAAACGCCACAAAGTCAAACGGGCTCGACTCAAACGGCCGGCTGCGATAGCCGCCCGCGGGCCAGAGTTTGGAGTTTGGACCATCCGACCAGTGGAGAGTGGAGACTAACAGAGCCATCGAATCTTATAGATTGTCGTGCAAGACATGATATCTTTATCGATGGATTTTTCAAACCCCGGCCAAAGGAAGAAAAAAATAAAAATAACAAAAAACCAACAAAAAAGATGACCTCCTCGGAAGCCTTATTCAGACCCAATCTCCTTCATGACCCCCAATAACCACATTTTCCTCGAAAGCGATTCTCGAAATGACACGGACGATCATGCTCCACCATGCCTCCGGTCCTGGTCCATTCAGCGATGACAGCGACGTTTGCCACAGACCTGTGGGGAAGGGACCTTCCTGCACCTTTACTAAAAGCCAAAGGTGACAAAGCAGTCGGCGAAAAGTACCCGTGCCAAACTCGATCACTGCCTTGTCAGCTGTGGTGCTGTCACTGCTGTGTCCTGTCCCGAGAAAGACTGCCCGTCCAATCACCCCCGTATGCTCTATCATCTCCGGCATGCCAGGCCATGAGGGGCCGGTCTCTCAAACAGCGCGTGAGTGAGGCTGGTCCTTGACTGGTGGAGAGCTTCAACAGGGATCAGTCTTCCACTGCGGAGAAGGACAACTTACTCGGTACGGACCAGTGACAGGTACCTTAGGTAGGAGGTACAGTAAGGAGTCAGGTCAGTAGGGACAGTACCCAGCCCTACTTCGGTGAGAGCAGTAGTTTGATAGTAAACGGTACTAGTACCGCGCAGAGAGATATTGTGCTCTTCTGCTTCCACCAAACAGACACATAGGTAAAGCTGAGGTCAGTTCGACTACTGCCTGAAGAATCATGTACCAAAGTCAATTTCTCAAGACACACTGGGTTCCAATCATAGCTCATGCTAGTAAACGTCAACCGGGGCCGTGGCGGATAATGCAGCCTCTCCGCCCGTCTCAGCCCGTGGGGCAAACCCATAAGGTTCATCCAAATGCTGGAACAATTCGTCGACAGCTTGATGAGTGGCGCTGGTATAATACTGGACCCCGGGTCCATTCGCACAAGCTTGTGGCTCATCATATTCATATACATTTCTCCTTCCACTTCCTTACCTTACGTGTTAACCACTACCAACATAACCACCTCAAGCCATACCACTTATCCAGATATCAGATCAGGAATCATCCGTAACAGTTAAAAAGTTAAAACGACAACCATCAACATCCTCAAAAGCACATACTGCTTTAGGGCCCCCCCCCCGTCCGATCTACATCATGATCATGCCTTTGGATCACTCTCCGTCCACTTCTCGAGGCCTCGCTCAATTTCAAAAAAGAGAAATCATGGGCGTCCTCTTTGAAACGACTGAGAGGTAAGGCTGTCCCCCAAAAATCCCCCCGTTCATTCAACTTCTTGACTAAATATCTGTCATCGCGCTATCAGATATCAACAACTTCAGCCAGTAGGCATGGGTGTCACTGGGCTTGTGTGGTAGGTCATTCCTGGGCAATTTCCGACTCAGGATCTAAACACCCGCATCTTCTCAGGCAGTTCTGACCAAATCATCAGCTCTGCCGGAGACCAAATCGGTCACCAAACAGTAGCAGTGAAAAAATTGCCTGAACCATTCAAGACTGCCAACATCGCCAAACATATGTACCGCGAGATCAAATTATTGAAACATCTTCAGCATGAAAATGTGAGTCGGCCTCCATTTTGATTCCAGCAGCCATTCGGGGATCGGCCAGGACTCTTGAGATGGTTGGGAATGTGACATGGAATGGTTGCTGATCTCTGAATCTAGATCATTCATTTAAAGGACATCTTCATCTCTCCCTCGGAGGAAATGTACGTATACTTCATTGTGTGACCATTCCATTAATATCCTCCGCCTTGGGACAAGGAACGCTAATGCCTTTCTCTTATTAGCTACCTTATTACCGATCTCATGGCGACAGACCTCCACACTCTCCTCAACACTAAGAGAATGGACAATCAATTCACCGAATACTTTCTATATCAAATAATGGTATCTTGTCCCCGCCATCCTCCCCTCAATTGACTCGGAAATGTCCTTCTTGCTAACCTTGCACGACCTTCAGCGCGGCCTCAAATACGTCCACTCCGCCGGTGTGGTCCATCGTGATCTGAAACCCGGCAATATCCTCGTTAATGAAAATTGCGATCTCAAAATATGCGACTTTGGCTTGGCTCGCATGCAGGAAAAAGACATGACCGGCTATGTGGCCACTCGCTACTACCGAGCTCCCGAAATCATGCTCACCTGGCGACAATACGACGAGAAAGTGGACATTTGGAGTGTCGGCTGCATTCTCGCGGAGATGTTGACGGGCAAGCCTCTGTTCCCGGGCAAAAACCACGTTCATCAATTTTGTATTATTACGGAGGTGCTGGGAAGTCCACCCGAGCATGTGGTCAAGAACATTTCAAGCCCTAATGTAAGTTCCAATATTTCCTCTTGTCTTTGGGTCGGTCTTCTGACACCCAGGCAAAACGCGCTAACACAGTCTTGAACAGACTTTAAAATTCATCGAGTCGCTCCCTGAGCGACCTCGAAAATCATTCTCCTCAATCATTCCAGACGGCAACAAAAAAGGTGGGCTCCCCTCATCCATTTCAGACATTGTCATTTCTCTTCCAAACTAACATTGATTATATCCCCAGCCACGGATCTACTAGACAAACTTCTTCGCTACGATCCCCAAGAACGAATGTCTGCTGTCGATGCTCTCCAGTCACCTTACCTGGCTACATATCACGATCCAGAGGATGAACCGGTGGCACCGTTATCCTTTGACTGGTCTGTACTAGAAGCTGACCTTCCCACGGACACATGGAAGGAGATTATGTATTCCGAGGTTTTGGCATATCATGAGCATTCACCTGGGATGAAAGAGAGGAACGACGGATCTTTTCATTTGAGTGAGCCTTTTGACGGGATGGATCTTGGTTGATATTGTTGTGTATATCAGTTCAATTGTCCTCTTTGAGATGGGGGGGACCTTTACCCAGTTGCGGTAGGTCCATGTGAGAGTTTTGAGTCAGTACCTATAATTAGTCGGAATACGATGGCGGCTGTGATATACCCCTCCAAGATCTTTCCAGTGTAAATCTACATCGTAGACTTTCACAGATAGCACTGATGAGAATCCTCTTACATGGAATTTAGACTCTGCGATCAAGGTCAAGATCGACGGGCATAACGTCAACAGCTTGGATAAAGCGCGCATGTTCGGGACTGCCGGTCAAAAAAAAATACCGTCATTATCATTAAAAGGGTCTCATTATCTTTAAACATGAACAACAAAGGAAAGAAAAGAAACAAACCCCCATGAATTCATCAGTCCGTGACCGTCCACCCGTGTCTTCCGAGCGGACCGTCCCAATGACAGCTCAAAGTGAAAAGGTGTATATTCTCCATCACGATCAATGGTGGAGATCCCTTAGTAGCGCAATTGATCGACACTGTCAAATCAGTAAGCGAAATGCCAGGACCCGACACAATGGTAAATGCATCGATGCACTCGATGTCGATCCCAAGCCATCCATTTCACTTTGACGTCAGACAACAACACTGTACCAGAGGCGCGACGTGTGCCTCGACCGCACTCGTCTCATGCGGCAGGCCCTAGGCGCCCTCGCCAGGGTTCACTTGAGAGACTGCCGGTTGCTGATGCTGATGCTGATGCTGATGCTGGTCATGGTCATGGTCATGGTCATGGTCATGACGATGGTTTTGACGTGAATTCGCAACATCCAGGAAGGCGTAGACGTTGGTGAAAGCGAAAAGTGCCCTGTGTTGAAAACGAGACCTGGGGGTCAGTTTCCAAAGGCCTGAAGATTCCGGGTACCAGACCACATGTACTCTGGATCCAGAGTGACTAAAGAGTCAAGGGGTCTTTCAAGCGAAGCATCAACAGACTTGAACGTACCATTCAACTGCCGCCACCACAATCAAGGCTTGCACCGCGTGACAGCTGCCATAATTGCAGGCACTTGGCTTGGGGATCAACACCGCCAAAGCAATCCAGCCACTCAGCCACAGGGCCATGGTCACGAACTCCATCGCGGGAATCACAACCTCATGCGAGAAGCGCGGGAGCCAGATCGGAGCCAGGCCAAGGTATGGCACTGCGACGACGAGTGTCCAACAGCCATTGAATAACATGTAGTAGATCACGTTTGAGACGGACCATCCATCGTACAGGGATGCGATAACTTTGTTGGGGAGACGAGGCTTGTTAGCAGTGGCTTAGATGTTTGGGTACATATGCTACTCAGCAAGATCCATCTGTGGAGCTTGAAGATATCGATCCGAGACCTGGTTTGTGTTGGATGGCAGCTGGGGGGGGGGGAGAGACGAACTATACGCGGTCAAGCCAATTGTTGCTAGAGCGAGAGCCGCCTGAACCAGGCGAACTGGATATACCCAATTGAGCATGTTGTATTGGAATTTGGGGGTCAACGAGACGGATCACAGCAGCAGGACTGGATGATTTGTCTTGTCAGACTTGTCAGACTTGTCAAGTATAGTTGAAGGCCTCGTGGAATCTGTTCGGTAGATTTCACCCTGGGGCCTTTCAAGTCGTCTCAAGTTGAAGCTCAAGGCTGAGAATTCTCAACAAGAAATTCAGGGGCAATATAACCGTATTTCTAACATCAATTGTTTCCCGATCTCAAGACTGCCCTTCTTTTATTGAGAGACCTCGGGCATGCTGGGCCCCGAGCAGCCTCCATCCCGTGTCCTCCTGCACTTCCAACTTCCTCACTTACAAGCCGAGGCGTCTGTTCCATGACGTGATGGGAACCTCAGATCTGGAACTATCCATCGCGACAAGCACGAACTCTTCAGCCAGTCTAGCCGACAAGAGTCTAGCTTGTCAATCTTGAGCGGAAAGAAATGTCCATGTTAGGCTTCAATCTCCACGGGAGACGGTAGATCACGGAATCCCGCCAGAGGAACTAAGTTAAGGATCTGTGGTCCGCCTGCTTGCGAGCCCTGTGCTTGCCATGTTAGCCTGCTATGATCCTGGTCGCCATGGGAGTCTGAGCGGTTCTTTCAGGGCCATTTGGGCCTGTGATGGCCTCCAGCATTTATGGACCCCAATAGCTCGCCCATCAGTACGCTCGAGCTTAGATGTTGTCTTCCCCCAGTCCACATCGCAAAGCTTGAATTCGCGGCCCAGCTCGGCTTGCAGGACACAGACACTTCAATTCTTTCGAAAAGGAAAGACTGACGGGGCATTGGCATAGAGTATGATTCAGAGTTTGTATATGCGTATGTTTGTTTGTGCGAGTTCTGCCGAGTACGTTGACTTCGGCAACTGTCGATCTCACATGGAACGAAACCGAGGCATCTCGAAAAGGGTGCCTCAACGGGCGATCACTCCACCGATTGTCGCCGGGTGCTGACCGACTTTGGATATCTTATTTCTGAGGATTCGTTGGTTTGGCTGATTGAGCTAAAGAAACATGAACATGAAGGGTGATCTTCAATTCTGGTAGTAGTAGATACTTTGTCTACGGTCAATGTTTCTGTCTGGTCTTCCCTGCATTCATATAGCTAGCTGGCAGACTCGGCACTGTCCCCATCATAGTGAAGCAAACGAGAGAGTTTGGCGGCTCGCATGGTACAAGCCAATCGAGTCAAATCCCGAGTCCAAGAGGACCGTCTTCAACATTTGTGTATAAAGGGGGTGAAAAAAAAGCCATTGACGTAGCTCACAAGCTTTGATGCGCACACGGCGGTGACTCTGTGAAGGTCTCGAGAAGCACAGCCAAGTAAGTAATGGTCAGATCAATAAAACCAGGTCATATGACCTATAAGGAGATGGGAGGGCCTATGTACAAAACGATACTCCGAAACCCCAGCGACTCCCCAAGTATTTTTACACGTGCTCTGAACTTTTTGACTCCCTCAGACAGGGAGAATTGCGGCACGCATTCGAGTTGTATACATCTTCCACTAGTCCTTCTTCGAGAGCAGAGCTCGCACAGCATCCATCACACCGATTGACTTTTGATCCGCAGGCTCGATCGCTGACCGAGCAGCGTCGGGTTCGCTGGAAGAAGGCCTCTGTCCAGCAGCTTCCTTGGCCGCTGCCTCGATAGCTGCATGACGCTCACGCCATTCCCGATCCTCCTTGTCACGGATCTCGAGCTCACGGAGCCATGCATCACGCTTCTCCTGTGCTTTTCGCTCCTCGACGGCCTGTTCGAATTCGCGGCGCTGTTGGCGCTCGGTCTTAAAGTACATTCCACCCGCGACGATAGCGACAAGTGTAAAAGCCTGAGCGTAGATACGCGCACGGAACATGCGGTTCATTTCCGCAGAGTCGCCGGCTCGCATCGATCGGTAGGCACGGTAGAGGGCGTAGCATGTTGCGGCGCATCCTGAGAGGAGGGAGAGACGGCACGGTCAGCCCTTCGATGCCGTAACACGGAGTGGATTGCGATCGAGAGCAGAGGACTCACCTAAGGGGATCAGTGGCTCTTCCTTTAGACGTCGGGTAAACTTCTGTGCACCGCTCTCCTCCTTGAATTGGCTATCGAAAGGGATCGGGATTAGCTCTTCATCTTCAAGCGGAACGATCCCAGTCCAAAAGGCATTGCGCGACCGCGCAGACTCGTGGCTCTGTAGTCCAACAAGCTGCTTCTTCCTTGTTCAAGATGAGAGGACTTACGGGCTCTCGTCAAAAGACGAAGGGACCGGTGAACGATTCATGATTTCTGTGAGTCGCGTGAGCTTGTTGGGAAAGATGAGGTCGGTACGCAGGTGGATTGCGATCGGACTACTCGGCGAGTCGGCGGCGGGTCTTCCTTATCGTCGAGGGTGGCAATGGTATGTCCGGAGGTGCTCTTCCTCGCGGGTATCTCGCGGGAATTGGTCTGAGAATGACCTTTCAGTCAAGACCCCCGTTCAAGACTCAGATCACAGGCTCACGACGAGATGTGGGATGAATAATTTTCAAGTGGTCAAGTTACATCTGCGCTATGAAGCTTTTTAGGACGGCCGGTAAAGGCAAAGGGGTGTGCAACCGGGCATACGAAGCCCGCTCTAGTACTATAGATCTGAGGAACCCCGATTTCGTCTTAGTACTGTCCCGATCTAATCAGATGACCGGAGGTGGCGAAGAGAAATCATTGATTCAAAGGATCCAATCAAGGTCAACTATCATGATAGAATACGGCATGTCTTACTCGCGAATCCTGGATTGGAAGATCTAGAATCTTTGTTCAACAAGACTCGAATTATCGCTCGTGTTGATATCTGAGCCCATCTGTAGAACCGTAATATAAGCACGTCATGCTGAGGGTAGCTTTTCGGTAGTTCACCGTCACTAATAATGAATCAGCCTGTTCAAAAGTACGCTCGATGGATTCTATCATCGAAGGAAGTGTGCCGCTCAATAGCAAATGGCAACAGCTGAATCCTTCGTTTATTCGCTCCAGTCAGAGGTCAAACCCCCAGGTCATGCAGGGTGAGAATTTAGCACAAATAAGAACTCTGTAATAATCACTTGAAGACTGTTCAATTGCAAGCTCAGGCCATCCTGTACATGAATCCATCCCCTCTCACAATCCAGAGAGGTATATACAATTCGTGAACTGGAAGCTTCATCATTGACCTCCAAGCCAACTACTACAATCAATTGATTGATCTACGAAGAACCAGCAAGGACCCGACCCTGGGTGGATGACATAAGAAGTCAAGCTCCGATTGCGGTGCCGCCTCCGCATGAAAAAGAGTCAGAGGGGCAACAATGCCGTCTGGGTCATATTTTTCTTGTGCTCCTCTCTCTCCTTCCAAAAATTTTGCCGGTGTTCAAATTCATTCCTGGAGAGAGCGCCAGAAGTCAGGAACTTTCATCATGTCTGAGGAAACTGTCACAACTCCAGTGACTCCCAAAATGAGTGGCTTGGCTTTGACCGAGTACTCCGCCGCGCCCACTCCTCCATCCGAGCGCTCTGAGCGTATCCCCGGTGTGCCTCCCAATTGGGGCATCCCGGAGGCCTTCCTGCTTCCAAACGGGTATCCAGACGTAAGTAGATATCCGCGGTCACTGAAGATCATTGATACTCCCCTCACAATCGCCAACTGATACTGTGGTGCCGACACTAATATCATATCCCCCAATTTGTCATAGTATCTCAGATTGATTCTCACCTCCCGAGTATACGACGTGATCGACGAAAGCCCTCTCACTCATGCCGTCAATCTCAGCAATCGACTCGAAAGCCGAGTTCTCCTTAAGCGAGAAGACTTGCTACCCGTCTTCAGCTTCAAGCTTCGTGGCGCCTACAATAAGATGGCCCACCTGAACCAAGAACAGCGTTGGAAGGGTGTGGTGGCTTGCTCCGCTGGCAATCACGCTCAAGGAGTTGCTTATTCGGCTCGACACCTGCGCATTCCCGCGACCATTGTGATGCCCGAGGGTACACCGGCTATTAAGCACTTGAATGTCGCTCGCCTTGGAGGCAGTGTCGTCCTCCACGGCAACGACTTCGATGCTGCCAAGGAAGAGGCACACCGATTGGAGAAGCAGCACGGCTTGACCAACATCCCTCCATTCGACGACCCCTATGTTATTGCTGGTCAGGGTACCATTGGTATGGAGTTGCTGCGCCAGGCAAACTTGGAGAAGTTGGAGGCAGTATTTTGCGGCGTCGGCGGCGGCGGCCTCATCGCCGGTATCGGTGTGTACTTGAAGCGCATTGCCCCTCACGTCAGAATCATTGGAGTCGAAGCCCATGAAGCCAATGCCATGGCCCAGTCTCTGCATGGCGGTGAACGTGTCCTCCTCAAGGAAGTTGGGCTTTTTGCAGACGGTGCGGCTGTCAAGACTGTAGGCGAGGAGACTTGGCGGGTTAGCCGGGAGGTCATCGATGAAGTAGTCCAGGTCTCCACCGACGAGATCTGTGCTGCCATCAAAGATGTCTTCGAAGACACCCGGTCTGTCATCGAGCCTGCTGGGGCACTTAGTCTCGCAGGACTGAAGAAGTGGTGCTCCAGAAACCCCAGCCCTGACCCCGGCCGCGAGCTCGTCGCGGTGACGTCCGGTGCCAACATGGATTTCGACAGACTGCGTTTTGTCGCTGAGCGTGCTGCTCTTGGTGAGAAAAAGGAGGCTCTCCTGAGTGTCAATATCCCCGAAAAGCCCGGTGCCTTCTTCAAGCTTGTCGAAGTCATTCTACCTCACGCGGTGACTGCGTTCAGCTACCGCTATGCTCGTGATGAGTCGGCCGACGTGCTCATGGGAATTTCATTGTCTGCCCAAACGGGGCGCGATGATCTCATGAAGATCATGGGTGATCTGGAACATGCTGGTATGTCCGTTCGGGACTTGAGCGACGATGAATTGGCCAAGCGTCACGTCCGCTTCATGGTGGGAGGCCGTTCCGACGTCGCCGACGAGCGTCTCTTCATGTTCGAGTTCCCTGAGCGACCTGGTGCGCTCGCGAAATTCTTGACCACGCTTCGCCCCAGTCAGAACATCTCTCTCTTCCACTACCGCAATTACGGCGGTGACGTGGGTAAGGTCCTTGCGGCTATTCAGTGCCCAGCTGAGGAGAAAGACGGTTTGGAGTCTTTCTTGAGAGACTTGGGATATCCTTTCAGCGAGCATACTGACTCGCCTACATACCGCACTTTCCTCCGCTCTTAAAGAGTTTGGCGATTGGAAGAGCAGTCTCGCCACGGGTCATAGAAAACAAAAAGTAATCGGCCTTTCACATATTATGACGCATTTTTATACCTTTTTGCTTCCTTCGATGTTAGCGGTCCTCGTGCACAATGACTTGATGCCCATTTCCTTTTTTTTCGGCGTTCATCACTTATGAGATAGACTACAGGAAGGCCAATTCAAATTATCAGCTGCCTTGAGCAGTGTTCTTGAATAAATTTTCCCGTATAAAACACAGCTCGCTGTACATTCAAACCGCTCCTTTGACTATCGAGCTAGGACTCCACGATCTTATGAATGCTAAGTTGAATTCGAGAAGTTGAAAGACAATGCGTGCTGTAAACAATCTTATCACCTGTGCCTCTACACTTCTTCGATGTGGACCCGCTCTTTGGACTTGCCCGGAATTTCGGCAAAACAGAAGCCCCGGGCAACATTCTTCCCATTGTAGGCCATTGCGGAGCATAGCGACGACGTCGTTACCGGTTGACGTCCTTCTCTGTCAAAACCACCATTGCAGAGTCCTGAGGATCATTGAGCTGCAAATTCACGAGTTCAACCTACTCAGTTCACCATGTTCTCGCTCCGCACCGTCCTCGGAGCGCCGAGCGCCCTTCGCCAGCTCCTTCCGGCCGTTTCTCGCCGATCGATCCCCGGCTCCGTTTCATTTCGTCCTTTCTCACACATGGTTCAGAATGGCCTCACGAGGCTACGGAATTCGTCTGCAGGTGCTGGCAATGCTGTCGCTTCCTTAGTCGGCGCGAGTCGCCAGGTCGAGCAGATCCGCGGCATGAAGACCCGCTCCTCCGTCAAGCGGTTGTGCGATGGCTGCAAGGTACGGAATCCAGCATCCTGTTGGGGTCGAATTTGTCTCGACAGGATACCATTCCAGACCAAGATAATTGATATCTGCTTTCTAGCCTGTTCGCCGCAAGAATCGCGTCTACATCATCTGGTGAGGATACTCCGACTTATCAACGTCTACATCGCCCGGACTTCGCTAACTCGTGGACCGTTCTCTAGCTCCAAGAATGCCAAGCATAAACAACGACAAGGCAAATGAATATCGACTTCTCAATTTGCTCTCAGAATCATGACTCGCATCTACGGCGATACTCCTGGTCCGGCATTGAATCTCAGCGTCATGCGAAGCGCCCTACACTCTAAGTTTGACTAAAGTTTCCCGCACACATTGAAGTCATGAATCGCCGTCGATCTCATAAAATACCCCATTCTTATCTTCGATTCGGTCTCAATGTGGCGGACTCTCACGGCGCTCAGATGTTTTATTACTTGTACACTAGCTTCACTACGAGCATATACAGTCCTCATGATTTTTAAGAATCTCAGTGTCTTCTTACATTGACGATTTATTCACGTTTTTCTGCGCTCTAAGTGCTGTGGTTCAGGCCGAACTCTTTGGACAATCTATAAAATTTGCAATCAAAGCGTCACAGTTCATCCATAGACTAACATTCGTACGTTGTAGGCGGTCTTGTAATTCGCCGTCCCTGAGAGGCTGCATATCACGTGATCCGTTCCTGGCTTCCCCGAACTTTTTTTCCCGTCAAAACACGCTCGAGGATAAATCGTTTTGAAGTTGACCAATCTTGGTGAGAGTTGATTGTCGTCATGAGGACCCCTTGTCTTGCACGGCTTCCCTACCGTGCTGTGTCTGGTTTGACCAGCACTGCCCGTTTTCAGTCACAGAGCCTTCTCCGTCTGAGATGCGCATCCACGGCCGCCTTGCGGCCCTCCGGAGTCGCGCCGGCTTATCAGTCGGTTTTGAAGCAATGGGAACAGCGCCGCAATGCCGCATCTGCCAGTGCTGCTGCAGTGTACGTGAAACTACTCTTTCTTTGGTCTCGCCTCGTTCCAATAATTAAATCTTTCTTGTCTTTAGTCTCGAGGCTGCCGCTGCGAGTCCCGATAGCTTGTCGCAAGCCGCCATCATCGACAATTTGGATCCCATCGAGGCCGCCCGCTTGGACAAAGTTCGAAACATCGGTATTGCCGTACGTAACATGCTTGCGATGCGAATGCTCATCTGCTCGGTCTCTAACGTATATCTATCGATCGACAGGCCCACATTGACAGCGGCAAGACTACCTGTACCGAGCGAGTTCTCTTCTACACCGGTCGTATCAAGGCTATTCACGAGGTCCGCGGACGAGATGCTGTCGGCGCCAAAATGGACTCGATGGATCTTGAGCGTGAGAAGGGTATCACCATTCAGTCTGCGGCCACCTTCTGTGACTGGGTCAAGAAGGATAAACAAGGTGTTGATCAAAAGTACCATATCAACTTGATTGACACGCCTGGTCACATTGATTTCACCATCGAAGTCGAGAGAGCGCTGCGCGTTCTGGATGGTGCCGTCATGATCTTGTGTGCTGTCTCTGGTGTCCAGTCTCAGACCATTACTGTTGATCGTCAAATGCGTCGTTACAATGTTCCCCGTATCTCCTTCGTGAACAAGATGGATCGCATGGGCGCCAACCCTTTCAAGGCCATTGACCAGATCAACTCCAAGCTGAAGATGCCTGCTGCGGCAGTCCAGGTTCCCATTGGTGCCGAGGATGAGTTTGAGGGCGTCGTCGACCTGATTCGCATGAAGGCCCTCTACAACAGGGGCGAGAGTGGTGAAACTATTGTCGAGTCCGAAGAGATCCCTGACAAGGTCAAGGACATTGCCATTGAACGACGGGCTAAGCTCATTGAGACTCTCGCAGATGTTGATGATGAAATTGCCGAGATTTTCCTGGATGAGGGCGAGCCTACCGAAGACCAGCTCCGCGCCGCGATTCGCCGATCCACTATCGGTCTCAAATTCACTCCTGTCTTCATGGGATCTGCTCTGGCCAACAAGTCCGTTCAACCCATGCTTGACGGTGTCATTGATTTCTTGCCCAATCCTTCGGAGGTTGAGAACCTGGCCCTGGACCAAAAGCGCAATGAGGCTTCCGTGAAGCTTGTGCCCTACAACTCCCTGCCCTTTGTCGGTCTTGCTTTCAAGCTGGAGGAGAGTAACTTTGGCCAGTTGACATACATCCGTGTTTACCAGGGTACCCTTCGCAAGGGCTCCAACGTCTTCAATGCTCGCAACAACAAGAAAGTCAAGATCCCTCGTATTGTGCGCATGCATTCCAACGAGATGGAGGAAGTCAACGAGATTGGTGCTGGTGAAATCTGTGCCGTGTTTGGTGTTGAATGTGCTTCTGGTGATACCTTTACCGATGGCCAGCTCGGCTACAGCATGTCGTCAATGTTCGTTCCCGAACCCGTCATTTCTCTCTCCATCAAGCCCAAGCAGACCAAGGATGCCGCCAATTTCTCCAAGGCCATGGCCCGGTTCCAACGTGAGGATCCTACCTTCCGTGTGACCTATGATAGCGAAAGCGAACAAACCATCATCTCCGGTATGGGTGAGCTGCACCTTGATATCTACGTGGAGCGTATGCGCCGAGAGTACCGTGTGGACTGTGAGACTGGTCAGCCTCAGGTCGCATACCGTGAGACGATTGGTCGTCGCGTTGAGTTCGATCACTTGCTCAAGAAGCAGACTGGTGGTGCTGGTGACTATGCCCGTGTCATGGGGTGGATGGAGCCTACCGGTGCTCTTGAGGAGAACAAGTTCGAGCAGCAGGTTGTTGGTGGCAGTATCTCTGAGAAGTTCTTGTATGCTTGTGAGAAGGGTTTCAATATCTCTTGCGAGAAGGGTCCTCTTATCGGCCACAAGGTGCTCGGTACCTCGATGGTCATCAACGATGGTGCCACTCACATGACTGATTCGTCCGAAATGGCCTTCAAGAACGCTACCCAGCAAGCCTTCCGTAAGGCTTTCACTGAGAGTAACCCTGCCGTCCTGGAGCCCTTGATGAAGACTGTGGTCACTGCTCCTTCTGAGTTCCAAGGTGATGTCATTGGTCTGTTGAACAAGCGTGGTGCTACCATCAACGACACCGAGACTGGTGTTGATGAGTTCACCATCTACGCGGACTGCAGTCTAAACGGCATGTTCGGCTTCAGCTCCAACCTCCGTGCTGCTACCCAGGGCAAGGGTGAATATACGATGGAGTTCAGCCACTACGAGAAGGCTCCTCCACAAGTCCAGTAAGTTTCCATGATTCGCGGTACTGCGTTTCACTCTGTAGAAGTCGATGCTAACATAAATTCTCCCTCTTCCAGAAAGGAACTTATCGCCAAGTACCAGAAGGCCCAGGCCGACCGAAACAAGAAATAAGCTTGTTCGTCAGCATAAGCTTCGTCATGAAGTTTCCAACACTGGCCACCTCCTCCTTTTCTCCTCTTGTAAACTACTTCCTGACCTTTTATCCGCCCTCCACCATGGCCAGATGGTGCTTCTGGCTACCACTTCAGTGAACCCCATGCAAAGAAGATTTTTGTTTCATAGCAAAAGTATGGTTTCAATACTGGTGCGGCCCTTTCACGATCCGATATCTTTTTACGTCGGCTCTGGGTCACCGCACTGCATCATTTTCCGCGTCTACGTTCTGGGACATGTACTTTAGATTTGAGATATCATTTTAAGTTCCTACTCTCCTGTCTCCATAATACATTTCATGACCACATTGTGAATCATACTCCATTGCCCAATTTCAACAACACCAAAGAGCGATCTGATAAAAGCAACGTACCTCTTGGCATCTCTCACGCATGCAACCCTCCATGCCTTATACCTCGAAACCTCCCATCCAATTAATATCTATCCGGAAGAATCCAAAGAGGTGACCCATCAGAGTCCCGAATATCATAATACTGCAGCATGGCATCAGCAACCGTCTCAAGACACTCACCACCATCCACCAACGCCGTCACAACCCGATGACAAAACTCATCGCGCCTGTAAAGCAATTTTACCAGCAATTCGCCCAGCGCCCCGAAATCCATACCCGCACGAGCCACGCGTTTCAAGATATTGTAGAGAGACAACTCGTCCTCAAGATCACGAACAGATGGCTGGGGCTTGAGGGGGAAGCGGGGACTTATCTTGATCATGTCGTGCTTGCTGCGTAGGTTTCGTTGGTGGTCTCTGGGAGCACACTTGGCGAGACCTCCAGCTTGATTGCATACAGGGCAGATGGAGGTGGGATTAAATGAGACGGTTTGATCTGGGGAAAGAATTGCGGTTTGAGAATATCGGCCTAGACGGCGATCAACGGGTTTCTCAGAGTTGGGGTAGCGTCGTTGCAACATCTTTTCTGTTCGCGGAGGTTCGGGATTAATGAACTCACGGAACCTTGAGCCTTTGTAAGCTCTGATGATGGATTATGAGAGTTCGTCAGCTGGGGATTTGTCTGTTGAGGACGTTGAAGGTTTGGAAGTATATCAGGCTGATCAGTCTTTGCAGTGAATCTGCTTGTTTTCGTTATGAGTCGAGTTAGGTTCCCCGTGAATGTTCTTGAAAGATGAAATTGTCTTGTTGAATGTGATGTGATGCAGAGCCCTGAGAGTCAGCGCGAGGGCTACTTAAGTATTTCTCTGGGGCTCATCGCGCGAAGGCGAGTCTGGATGTAAATCGTTAGCCCGATTCTGACATACTGAGCTACAGAGGGAATAACGTATCTAAAATTAGGTAGTTCCTCAAGCCCAGTATGACTCTTCAATGCCATTGTCTCAGCTAAACAATCGGGCCTAGTCAGCCTGATCATCGACCATTCCTGGGGTCGAGTACAAACAAAGCCCGATTATCTTGGCACAGTATCAGTCGCCTAGTCTCAGTTCCATTCCAACGTTTTTGATACTCCCAAAGATGAATGGAGTGGCTTTGTTTCATCAACATCAAAGATTGGGTTCGTTGCTTGACCAGGGTCTTTTCCATGTTCAAATTACTTGCCCGTCTCGACGGATCCTGTCGTTTCCGAGTCTGAGTGGAGAACTAATAACATTTGTAACAATCAAAGGCTCGGCATAATCGAGAGCGCTGACTCGGGGATGATTTTGGCAAGCTAGAACGAAGCCATCTAGGTAATTGTATCACTATCGGACAGATTTTTCGTCCACGCAAACTCCTCGGCAAAGCATGGATCATGATTAAGTCTAAAGCTGAACGCGATGAAGTGAGAGAGAAGTTTCCACTGCTGTATCACCTTATAGACATGCTGAGAAAAGGCAACGGAAACGCCCTTCAAGTACTCAGAAAAGGCCATTTGTTCAATGGGCGGCCAAGTACAGGAAACAAGGGTAGGGGATTTCAATAGGGGAGTAATGATGAGGGTATAAGGATGAGGAGTATTAGCTTACAGTAGTAACAGTAGAAGAATAAGGATGGAAAAGAAAGGACTTCAAGACAGGAAAGGGCAAAGCAACAAAAACGCTGCAAGCAATAACTGGGTATCCGCTAAGAGACGGTCAACCGACTCAGTGAAAAACAATCAACGATGAAGTAAGAGACTCAAACATGAACAGTGAGAGAGAAGGACAAGTGAGATGAAAGTTGGTGGCGGCTGACCGCAGACTCAGATCCAAAGAACCCATCGCACGCCAGATATGGCCCCACGACAGACTCCGCGAAGAAACTTGAACGCCACAACAATGAGCCAAACCCACCAGAGTATGCCGACAAGCGTCCATTCTAGGACGACAAATGTAGCACGTCGTGCCCACCGGAGGCGTCTACGACGCTTCCGAATACCTTTGTCAAGAGCATCACTCAGGGACTTAACGGCGAGCGTACTCGTGGTATTCAGTTGCACGCAGAGATCTTCTGCACTATCCGCAAGCGCACGAACTCGTGGTGTAAGCGTTTCATTGACAACACTTTCCAGTTCTTTGAGCTGAGAACGGAGAGGTGCCGAAGTCGCAGTGGAAAAGTGATGCATCGAGTTTTGGAACGAATATTGGGTCATCTCGAAACGGCGAAGAAGATTCTGCACGGCAGCATCGAATTCATCGATCCGATCTACTCTCGGAATACGACCGTTTTCAATTGCAGTATCCAACAGCCAACGAGGGGGATCGCGCGAGCTATGAAACCTGCGATTAATCTCTCTTGCCTTGATACCTGAAGACAAAAGCAGGGCAAGAGTTCTTTCGACTTCAGTCTTACCTGGCAGGCCTGAGGCCTTTGAGGTACAGATGCTGCGTTCTGAAATACTCCACGATCGCCCAGTGTCCGCTTTCGCGGCATCATTCTGGTCTGCAGGTGTTGCGGATGCTCGAGCTCTTGCGAGGCCCGTCACGGGAGGGTTGGTGAGACTGAAGGGAATTGACGGGTCCTTGATAGCGTGGGAATTTCTTGTGTGATCATGATGAATCTGGCGAGCCGATGCGAAGTCAATGGTCTTGCTTCGTAGTGGAGCAAATCTTTTAGGCTCCTCGATTTCATCGCCCCGCCCTTTCGCATCAGCAAGGCCATGCGAGGCACCTCGTTCGATATCGCCATTCGCTTCCGCGTTGCTCTCTATCTGTCGTGTTGACGATGTGAAATTCGGCAGAACTGGTTTTGACGGAATCCTCTCGCTTTCCCGACGAGTCAGAATACTTGAGTCGTCAAGTGAGCCGGGGAGCCGACGCAAAAGCGCCTTCGCTCCAGATCGCTTTCCACCTCGCGACTCTTCGCCCTCGGAACCGCTATTGTCAGAGACAGCGGCTGAGGACTTACGAATATCGTGAGGCGTATCTTTCTTGAGAATGAAGTCGCCAACCTTGGACACCTCATTCCCCACCTTGCCGGCGATTCGACCGGGGCCTTTAAGAATGCCACGAAGCTTGGACTCTGGTGTCTGTAGAATCTTACGGTCTCGAGAGTCCTCACTGCCAGCTTCTGCGGTCGTATGGTGATCAATATTTCGCATGATATCTATGTCTGGAAGTGGACTTGGTTGGAGTTGCGGTAGTCGCTCGGCATGATGCTCGCTCTGTAGATTCGGCTGCTTGGATGCAACTGTACCCAAGTCTTCATCCTCGTAGATTTCCGAGGGGTCATGTTTGCTCTTACTGCGCTCATGACGTGAGGCAATCTTATGTCGAAGCCCCCTCTTAGCAGGTGATGGAGATCGGCTTGATGGCGGAGACAACTTTACAGCAATGCTTGGGAAGTAAGACGCATGAGCTGGAGAGTTAGGTGCAGTGCTGTCCATCGCCTCAAGGGAAGCCTTCGCAAGATTTCTGTTGCCCCAACTGCCAGCTGAGGATACCGAGGCTTGTCGACCAGCATGGCTAGCCTCGGAGTGAAAATACGGAACATCTGGCACCTCGGAATTTCTGCTGGGCGTACCGTCTAGGCCCCGACGAGATTTTGAGCGAGACTGGCGCGCTTCTGCAGTCTCAGTTGTATCCTTGCGCGTCATAGCTTCGGACTTCTTTCGAGAAGGACTCCAAATTCCATGACTCCTTTCCGACGACTTGCGGCGATCTCGGCTGGACTCACTCGCCGTGCTTTCAGACCGCATTTTGACCTTGTCCCACCGCGAGCGCTTTGGTGAGCTCGACGGGCTGTGACCTCGTGCGAACATGGCCTGCCCATGAAAGCGGTGTCTATGTCGGCCTCGGCCAACGCTCTTGAATCCGGCTTCTAGAGCCGCTCTTGAATATGACGAGGAAGTACCGCGCGAGTCTGGCCTTTCTCGACCCTGGGGTGCCACCTCAACAGATGGAAGCAATTCTGATCGTGTATGTTCCACCTTCGTATCTGTTACAAACAAACGAGAAGGGTCGGGATAGAGCTTGTTCCCATCTTTATCCACGATCTTGGCTCTATTAGCAACACTTTCCAGCCATAGAACGTCCGCAAGAAGCTCAGCCGGAGAAGTTGTCCAGTCAAGGCGTGGACGATTTGTCTTCAAGCTGTTCGTCCGACTGATTTGTCTCAGACCAGCAGGGGGAGAGACCGGGATATGGAAATCTCGCACACTTCCCTGGTTTCCGTCTTGTCGACCTTCTCGCAATGATGGAAGTTTGACGACCTGCATTTCGTCATGATCTAAATCACCGTATTGTGCCTCAATGGAGTCAACCCATCTGTGTATTTTGTGCACGTCTAGCCAACCAGCCGCCTCTGCATCGATGGAAGACTTTTCTCGGTAGCGCACTTTCCGATTCCTTATTGTTTGGAGAGGATTGTAGATTCTACTTCCTGATGCGCGACGGGTACCATTCGATGATGATAGTCCACCCCTAGAGTGGACGGGCGCAGATAAAGGCGGAAGCAGAGGTAGTAATCGCGTGTACTCGTGGAAAAGCTCAAAGTGTCGACGAGCCAGTTCTGCGCGCTTGAGTGTTCCTTCCGTGCACTCATAAAAATGTTCGTCGTTTCCAACCGTAAACGGTAGGAAACGCGATACCGGAGACTGCGGCGATGAAGAGTCCTCGAATCCACCGCTGCCGTAATTACCGCTGGAGACCCCTGAAGCTTGACCGATAGGCCCAGGAGCTCGCCGAGCGACATGAAAAGGGACCCGCCGATTGAAACCACGAGACTGTCCGTATGTCGCTCGCTTTCGAGATTCGCTGAGGCTCAATGCCATCTTCACCAGTTGGACCGTCTCAGGGTCCATAGCAGGAGAAGCATTTCGCCTGCCATCCTGAGTTCCCGACTCCCGGCGTAGTGGTGATGCGTTTCCTCCTTGGCCGGCGCCTGACGGCACAATGTTTCCATCGGTGGGTGATTCAGGCGTGGGTTTTCGATCGCTTGTATCTGTGTGGGTTGCTTGCGAGGGACCATACGGAGCGCGCTGGGGCACGTTGGCCCTGCTGGCTTCTTCATTATCATGGCTATCGTGTCTGGCCTTTTCTGCCCGTGCGTATAATCTCTCGAATCCGTAGCCCCTTGGGGGTGGCAGGTAGTCTACCAAAAAACTGTTTGGAGTTTGACGGCTGCGTCGAAACTTTGTTCTGCGACCTCCCTCGCGAGAGCTGCTCTCCAGTGTGCTTCCCTCTAGCTCTCCACTTGCTCGACCAGCACTCGATGATTCCGCTGCTCGTTGATAAGATGCGCTGTCAGAGCGCTGAGTACGCGATTCGGATTCTCGGGATCTTTTCCGAACGACATGATCGATAGAAGGCCTCGAGCCCTCTTTGGCTTCGGTAACTGTGATTCCTCGATGATCTGACATCGGAACGCCGACAACAGGGAGGTGATGGGGCGGTTTGCGTGTCTGCCTTGCCTTGATGACAGACAATTTTCGTCGTCGATGAAAGTCAGATGAGCATCAGCAAAGACCGTAGCAAAAGCGACGATGGGGACAAGAGTTGCTAAGGAAGAATACAACATGTCGGGAGTGCGGGTCTGCAGGTCTGGTGCTTTCCAAGCTATGCATGTTCCCCACTTGGAAGTAGCGTCAAAGTCGTGTCCACTAGGCGCCTTCCGAAGTGGGACTGAAGTAAATCCAGTGGGCATCAATCGCGGGTCATCCACTTTGTGGCCGCGGCAATCGGCCGCGAAGCAGATGAATTATCTAAGCACCTAGTTTCGTGACCCGCCCCGGGCCGTCTGCAGACCCGGAGGTACTTGGACTGACTCCGCCTCGGCCTTGCCTCGAACAGCTACCTATGACCCATCAATACAGATGAAGGCTCCTCGTACAAAAGTACGGGAGCCAGTCCTGAAGGACCTTTGACAAGCACATGACTACGGTACAGAGAGGATTGAGTACACCTCTGGACTCAGTCAATCTGGACAACGAAGAAAAGTGCCGCGGTGTAGTCTAGCGCAAAAAGTAACTCTAAAGGTACACTTTCAGTAGACGGGAAGATGATGTACAAGATAAGGTGAAACCATAAAATCGCTGCTTTACTCGACCCGCAAACACTGGAGGCGGGCTTCAGTCTCGATGACCTGTTGCACAAAAGGAAGGTTAGCCTAGAATTTGCACTGGTCCTGATTAAGGAAGATTGCCAACTTACCTCGAGAGCCTGCTTGACCTCAAGCACGCGCCGCACATCGCCCAGCCAGTCCTTACTCAGAATCTTGGCCCAGCCCTGCAGTGTGTTCATCTCACGAGCGGCAGCATCAAGATGGCCTTCCTCCAGGAGATTCTCGGTGCGGAGAAGAATGCTCTCAACATCATCGCCATCTGCGAGGCCGTCCTTCTTGAACATAACCTTGCTCAGGACAAGGCTAGCAGCGTGACTGGCAATACCAGCGTTTTCAGGCAGCAGACTAGCCTTCCGAACCTCGCCTGCCACACGGCGGAAGCGTTCAATGATCTGACTGGGGGAGGGGATACCGCGCTGATAGGCGCTCGGGTTGATGGAGGCAATAGCAGCATCAACAACGGCGTCGTCAGCAGCAAGTTCCTTGAGAGCGACCAGCTCGCGAACGAAAGGACGAGCAGTTTCTGAACGCTCCACGACAGAGCGGACGGCATCCACAGCGACCTGCAGCTGCTGAGTCTTGAGGTTGGTATCAATGACATTGCTCCAGCCAGTGGTCAGAGATTCAAGCTCAGAGATATTTTGGGTGAGCTCGTTCAGCTTGCTGAGACGCCCTTCACGCTCTCGCTCTACGAGACCTTGAACTTCGTGGATGTACTTCCGGTTCAGCTCAATAGCCTGCTCGACCAGCTCATTTTTCAAGCGTTGCTCAGCGAGTTCCTGGGCACGCTGAAGCTCCACGTTGATCTTCTCCTGATAAGCCGTCGCCAGCTTCTCGCGCTCGGCCTCGAACTCCTCGCGGAATTGAGCAACCTCAGCAGCCCGCATTTCCTCAAAGCGACGGAGAAGCTCGCGGGCAGACTCGTCAAAGGTCTCGTGCGCCTTATCGATCTCCTCCTTAGCAGCCCGTTTAGCCTCTTCCCTTAGAGACGTGATCTTCTCGCTGATCTTCACCAACTCGTCTTTGGCTTTGGCAACCGGAGCAGAGTATTTGCTAGAGTTCTCGTCGGCGCTGATGACAGTAACAATGTCATTGAACGTTTTGACGAGCTGCTGCACAACCGGCTCATCGCCATCCTTTAACTCCAGAAGCTCGATGGTGCTAGAAGCAACCGCGGGTTGGCGAGGCGCATCCAGGGACACATCATCTTCCTTGGGTTCCGCCTTGGCAACGGGTTTCTTCTCCTCTTTGTTGGACTTAACGGCCTGCTCTTCTTTGACATGCTCCACGGCTGCGGTGCGAGTTTCAGGCTTGACTGCCTCGGTCTTCGTTTCGGCGTCGTGGACCTTGGCGCTAGTGTGAGGCCCACTCTTGGAAACATCGCTGACGGGCTCGTCTTTCGTGACTTTCCATGAAAGGCCGCTGTTACTCGCGATTGTGACTGGCTTGCCTTCATCACGTGTGATCTGGATGCGATTGGACTTCCGCGTGGCATTGGGGAAACGACGGTAGAAGTCTCGCTCCTCAAGGTATAAGACGCATTCCTCACCATATGGAACGTACTCGGTGAAGAAGTCGTGGAAGTTGTCGGATTTTAGCGCCATGAAAACACCGCCGCCGTAGGCGATGCCCGAAGTCAGGATCAAATAAAGCAGGAATCGTCGGAAACGGCCAGTCTTAGGCGGGGCAACTGGAGGAAGCTCGGCCACTACAGGGAACATTAGCTCACGATCATATCACAGTCAATTGATTCGGCGGAGCTTGAGGGCCGTGAAGTGGGAATTACCTGGCTCCGTAGGCTTCGCCGGGATTTGTGGGGGGACGACTGTCTGAGAGGAGGGGGTTGCCGGAGTTGGAGGCTCGGTGGGAGGCAACTTCGAGTCAGCAAAAAATCGCTGCAATCAACTTGTGGTTAGTGACACAATCCATCGATAGCCTTGCGCTCGGATATGGGCAATGGACCATCGTACCTGGCCCGGCGCAGCGCCGGCTTTGGACAGCCATTGAGATGGGGTCCGTTGACGAGCAGCGGCCGATAGGATGCGCCGGCTTGGGGCAACTGAAGAGCGCAGCATGACGAGCCGCACGATCGCCAAGGTTGAGTGAATACAATTGAATCACCTTGGAGTGTTGGAAAACTGGGTGGTTGATGGTCAGTCGCGGTCCGCCCCGATGATCCTGCGGGCGGTCAAGGCTGTCCCAACTGAAGCACACCACGACAGCTCCGTCGTAGTACAGCCGCTGCTCATCATAGCCTTCCTATCGTCGAGTTCCACGTCATAATTGCACAGGGAAAGTATGTAAGTACTAGGTAGTCACTAGATCAAATTACATTGCCTTTGCTGACTGTGTAGAATTTGAAGTCAACGCGCCTCTTATGCTGCAATCTCATGCGTAGTTCTGTTAATCAAGCGTCTTCATATATATGTGACCAGACCTACGCACTCAGCAAAGTCAGCCAAGACGGGTGCTAGATATACCTACAACTGCTATCCTTCATTCGCAGTCAACTACTTAGGAGATGGCCTACGGTAGCTAGGTGAGGCTGGACGAAGTTGATGGAAAGATCCTGGACAGGTTTGCAGAAAGTTGCTCTACGTCGTAGATCATCATGTATATGAATCATATTGAAGCCTTAACTCTGGCAATACATTCCATCAAGTGGTGCGAGCATAGCTCTATCGGGTACCGGGTATATGGCGACGTCTCTCCGGCAAGGTCTGACTGTCAGGTAAGATAATTTACTTAACAGAGAGGTATCTAGGTCCCTTCTATGAGGTGTTGGTGACTGTTGACGCATCCTGGACGTCCCGCAGCCGAGTCTCAGGTCTTGTCTCATGACTTAAGATCCAGTCCTACATCAAGTGAGAAGCCATTGAACAAGAAAAATCTATTGTTCTCCAAATTCTGATCACTGAATTCTCAATAATTACCACTTCGAGTGCTTCTCAAGATGCAAAGGACACGCTTCCCTGCTTAGACAGCCCGAGTAGCCTGTAACTTCTCCTACAAGCGACCCGATAACATGAACACCATACAGGCCAGGTATTAATCTCATTCACAGTGACGCCTGTGTGAATATTAAATTATTCTCTTTCGTAGGATATAGTGAGCCAAAAAGAATAACCAAAGGCAAGCACAAGTACCGTCGTCTAATTGTGATTCCAGGAGCCAGTGGCACAGAATCACTAACTAACGTTACCTGAATTGTCATATTATGTAAGTTAGTATAAATTCCGTATCGTGTTTCTAAGTGTACCTTGGTGTTCGCTGTTTACTAGATATATGTTTCTTGACAGGGGAGATGAGGAGCATATGAGCCATTAAGAGGCAATGACTTACGATCGGTAGAATTTGAGGTGGTTGTATTATCTGAGTTTAGGATACTAGGCAAGTCTGGTAGACAGCAAAATGACAATAGACAAGAAAAGTCGTAGAGGAATCGCACCGCATCGGGAGGAATCCAAAAAATGCAGGACGCCAGTAGAGAAGATACCAGAGATACGAGAGAAGCAAAAGCATAAAGGGAGCAGCCCTTGAGGAGTTGTCTAAAGCCATTCACGACATGGCTATAGAGCAAGTAGAAGCCTACCTTATGGTGCTCTTGACATATCCAGAGATTCGGATGAGGAACACACTCAGTCACATGAGGAACCGGCAGTTTCCGGAAAGACTGGAAGAGACAAGAGCAGGCCTCTTTGCACTGAAGCGGATATTGACAACCGGGTTCACGGAATAGGAGATCTCGAGGCCGACCAGTGTCCGTGAAGAGTCGTTATCAGGCTCATAGAAGAATAAATGGGGGGTAAAGTCGGGGTTGTGTATCAAGCGGAAGGGTATCTCCCAGAGTGATTAGCAGTTGCATGCGCCGGCACCTTGAGTGCCTGGGGCTTCGGGTCGGAGGTCAACGCCGGGACGTGGGGCCGCTCGCAAGTTCCGGGGTCCAGCTTGGTCCAAAGGCAGTTTCTTAGCGATTGCGGTAAACAACTCTCGCACATTTGTGGATGACTTGGCTGAAGTCTCGAAAAAGAGAAGGCCAGCTTCGCGAGCGTATGCTTCAGCGTCGGCGGTTTGGATTGCACGCTTGTCTGGACTTTCGGTGACAAGATCCAGCTTGTTGCCGGCTAACGCGATTACAATATTCTCGTTTGCTTGACGCTGTAGTTCCTTCACCCACGACTTCGCTTTATCCAACGAGGACTGTAAATGGCAACGGGCCTCATCAGCAAAATTTCCCCGGCAGCTGGGTTATGAAGCACATACGGCCTGGGTAATGTCGTAGACCACGACAGCGCAGTTTGCATTTCGGTAATACATGGGAGCCAGTGACTTGTACCTCTCCTGACCCGCAGTATCCCAAATTTCGAACTTCACCGTGGTGCTGTCATCGAGGGAGATTGTCTGTGTCAAGAAGGCGGCGCCGATAGTCGATTCACGGTAATCATCGAATTGATCCTGGTTAGAGTGGTTAGTCTATGTATATCCTGCGCATTTGAAATCATAGCAAATAGAAAACAGCCCAGATGGCTGATATCAAACGGAACGAACCTTTACAAATCTCAAGACTAGCGAACTCTGTAACCATGAGTTGATTGTTAGCGTCCAACGGATCATGCCGCATGGAATACATCTTGTACTATACCTTTCCAACTGCAGACTCTCCTATAAAGCAACGTCAGCCAACCGGTTCCTGGGGTTCTGGCAAGCCAGAACAGGTACGTACCGAGTAGAACAAGCTTGAATTGGGCAAATTTCGCCCCAGGGCGAGCGCCTGCTGCAGGTCGAGAAGCCATACCTTGCGATCAGAAGCAGATATGAGCAGAAGAAAAAGATGACAGAAGAGTCTTCAGATGTCGCAGATGTTTGATTCGAATGGGCGATCGAGGCCAAAGTCTGGATGATCAGTGTGGTCGTTGTTCACGGGGAGAGGAAGGATAAGGCAGCATTCGGAGTGGATGACGGAAGGCCCAGCCACATGATAGGCGGGGCGGTGTGGCGGGTACACTCCAGTACCTCAGCCGCTCTCTGCTGCCGGCATGTACCCAGCAGGTACTTGGAGTGCGCCCGATAAGACGTAATAATGGTCGGCGACTCGGCAGTGCTAGTAGGCACCATTGTTATCGATAAAGGGGCCCTCGACTTGTTTCTGTACGACTACAGACATCGCCAAGCACGGAGACCGCCCCTTTCTGCCGCGAACATGTGGCTTTACAGGCCGCAGACCAGGTACCAAATATGCCGATGTACCCTTAGCTAGGCTACCTTATAAGCTCTACTGGATGAGTGGATCATCACTTACTTTAGTACTGAAAAGACACTGTACGAATCTGGTAAAATCACTCTGCCTTCTGATTCCTTTGCTATCACTCCCCCCTCAGGACCTTGGTCACCCCCACTCCTTACTGTCGACTTCAGTGAGAAACGCCATTTGATCATCAACGTTTTGCCCGTCCTGTTGACCTTGTGAGACGCCATGTCACCGCAGATACTCCCATTCAGGGATATCAATCTGCACGCGTCTCCCTCCCACTATGCGTTCACTTCACCCTCGTCACCCCAGGCTCCAACTCTTGTGGTAGACAGGCCGACGGGTGACTTGCGTCTGAATGATGGTCCCCTTTCGGGCGCGAAGCGCATCTCTAGCATTGCGGGAATTCTGGGGATCATCAAATTGAAACTGGGTAAATGATGAGTGCTCTGAAAATGCGCTGAGACATGCTGATCTTTCTGGTTAGACAAGTACATCATTGTCATTACCAAAGCTCAGCCTATGGGCCGGCTTCGTGGTCATATGGTGTACAAGGTTACCTCCACCGAGTTCCTCCCAATGCGCGAACGGCCATTGCACGATAAAGATGAGGATACCTACCTCGCCCTGATCAAAGATCTGCTTCGCACAGGCCCTACGTACTTTTCCTACTCACTGGACTTGACGAACAGCTTCCAGCGACAGTCACAGAGTCCGCCTGAGATCCCCCTGTGGAAGCGCGCAGACGACCGATTCTTCTGGAACCGATTCATTCAGTCCGACCTCATCGATTTCAGCTTAGGGGAGAACAACACCAATGGTGGTCGCTATGGACCCCAGCCTGGAGCTGACCCTTACATTCTTCCTGTCATGTTTGGCATGATGCGCATCACTTCAGCTCGAGTCAAGGGAACATCATTCACATTCGCGCTCATCACACGACGATCCCGACACCGTGCAGGCACGAGATACTTCTCTCGAGGCATTGATGAGCAGGGCCACGTGTCAAACTACAATGAGACGGAACAGATTGTAATATTGAACGATGTTGCCGGGGGCCTATCAGGCTATGCTCCTGGCCAATCCATGGCGAATGGCAAGACTGGTCAAGACCTTCAGGTTTACTCCTTTGTCCAGACACGAGGCAGCGTGCCAGTCTTTTGGGCCGAGGTAAATAATCTAAAATATACGCCCAAACTACAGGTTCGGGGCGTCGAGACAGCGATTGAAGCTGCTCGCAAGCATTTCACTGAGCAGATACGCCTTTACGGGGAAAATTACATGGTCAACCTGGTCAATCAAAAAGGTCGCGAGGAACGCGTGAAGACTGCCTACGAACAATTAGTTCGTTTCTTGGTCTCTACCTCCGCAGAGAGGAGAGAAACTGACAACCGTACCTCCGAGAAGCTTCACGTGGTAGAGCCAGGTCTGAAACAGAAGGAAATGGATCGTCTCCACTACGTGTATTTCGATTTTCACAACGAGACGAAGGGACTCAAGTGGCACCGGGCTGAACTTCTGATGGGACGTTTGAACGATGGTCTGACTCAAGGCGGGTACTTCAGAGGAGTCGAGAACCCTGGTGCTCCTGGCGGACAGCTGGAAATACGATCGACGCAGACGAGTGTGGTGCGCACGAATTGTATGGACTGTCTTGATCGAACGAACGTCGTACAGAGTATGCTCGGCCGCTGGGCGTTGACCCGACAACTCATGGATGCCGGTGTTCTCAGTCCCGGTGAAAACGCGAATGATGACCCCGAATTCGAGAACTTATTCCGTAATATATGGGCGGACAATGCCGATGTTGTCTCCAAATCTTACTCTGGCACGGGCGCTCTGAAGACTGATTTCACCCGCACTGGTAAGCGCACCCGGGCTGGCGCGCTTCAGGACTTGAGAAACTCAATCACCAGATATGTTCGCAACAACTTCTTGGACGGACCACGTCAGGATGGATTTGATGTGTTCTTGGGAACATACCTTCCTTCTGATACTTCCTTCGCTAACATTCAACTGTTTATCGACCGACGGCCTCTGGTCATCCAGGCTGTGCCGTATGTTTTTGCGGCCAGTCTGTTCATGGTCCTGATTGCCACCTTCACAAGACGTTTACCGGATGCGGCCGTCTGGCCTCTTCGGATTTTCACAATGATCTGGATCCTCATCGGAGCCTACTGCTTCAACTTTATCAATCGCTACGGCATGCTCTACGTATGTATTGCTGGAAATTTCTCTGATGCTGTGCTATACTAACAGGCTGCACAGGTGAACTGGCCAAAACTGAACACTCCTGTCGCTGGTGCGGAGGGCTATCAAGATGCTCTCACTAAAGCTCGCTCGGATCCGCTCATCGGTCAGTGGCTTCCTTCTCGGCGACACCAGCGGGGTATTAGCAACGCTCGTCTTGTCTTTCTTGAGGAGGGCAAAACCAGGATTGAATAGGCCCTGTCATCATGTCTCAGTCTTCGGCCATTTTGCCACCTCTTACTTTTGTACACCTTACAGCATCTTCGTGTGTCAGACTGTTTTCAATCATCTGCCTTGACGCATGCTGCCTACTGTTCGTCTGTCTCTGTGCTGTCATGTCCAAAGGCTAATCCAGTCTGAATCCTGCGCAAGCCTTTTGCGGTCAGAACGACCACGGCCCACCCCCTTTAATATTTTGATACATTCTGACGGTAGTTCCTTATATACGGCTCCTAGACAGAATAGTCTAAATGGTGTTCTGGTCTCTGACCTCGGAGGCATGAACTGCTCATACCAGGCCAGACGATTGCTACAAACGTCTATCCAGACAGATTGTTGATCGTAGGATTCAATTCTGAACTATTCATTGCCACGTATTCTCTCGTCCGCTCCAAACGAAATCACTGCATCTTTCGAGGTCAAAGAATGATCCGTATTATTGTTGAACCCTGTCTCCGTGCCTCCATCTGCCTATGCCCAATGGAATCAATCCACTTCCAACACGATTCTCCACAAGGCGAAGGGAGCCGCATGGCGATAAGGTCATGTGATGCTCCCGATTATCGGACCCATGAGTTTCCCGTGGAGAGAAACAGTAGAGCCCGAACTCCAGTTAATTGACTTCAAAGTCTCGGGGGTTCCATTTCAAAGTGTCCGCCCCAGCATAAGCAAGACATCTGGCGAGAAAAATTTATTTCATGAAAGGGACTTGGAACTTCACCCGCTGCTTTCATTCGCAAAGGCGAGTCTCGACTTGTTCGCCCGTCATGGCTCGTTCATATGAGGTACGCTATGACTCCCCGCACTGATGATAGCCATTAGCTATGTACCGGGCAGGAAAGCTCGTCCCCGCATGCAGCTCCAATTGTACTGATGTATATTGAATTCAGGCTGCGATAGGGGCTCTGAACTCTTTGCAAACGAATTTCGCGATCGTGGAGGAGCTCAGAAAATCGACCTCGCGAGAGGACATGAACAAGCGCTCACTTCCAGAGACAATTGAATGGCTTCGTCGCATTGGATATAAAGTTTGTCTACCCTTTACCCAACACTTTTCATTGTCGGATTACTTATGCATTTGAACCACCTTGCAGCCCTCTGATTTGGACCGATTGAACTTGGTTCATGTTGCTGGCACTAAGGGCAAAGGCTCAACCTCGGCATTCATTTCATCGATTCTGTCTCAGTACACTCAGCCAGCAAACGACCCTTCGACTCGGACACTTCACAAAATTGGACTGTATACGTCACCCCACCTACGGTTTGCGCGAGAACGCATTAAAATCAACAATGAACCGCTCACCGAGGAACAGTTTGCTCGGTACTTCTTCGAGGTATGGGATCGTCTTGACGCCGCCGCGAAAGCCGCTGGCGAAGATCCCTCGTCGTTGCGTACTAAGCCACAATATTTCCGTTACCTTACTCTGATGGCATTCCACACATACTTGAGTGAAGGAGTTGACGCGGCGGTGATTGAGTGTGGAATTGGTGGAGAGTACGATTGCACCAATGTGATTGAAAAGCCAAAGGTCGCAGCAATCACCAGTCTTGGAATTGACCACACTGCTATGTTAGGCACCACCATCGAAAAGATTGCTTGGCACAAGGGCGGTATTATCAAGGAGGGCGTCAGAGCGTTTTCGGCGCCGCAAGCGCCGAGTGCAGAGGAAGTGCTCGCTGAGCGGGCGGCTGCCCGAAATACTCCATTGACTGTTGTCTCTCAGCACCCTGATCTTCGTCCTAACACAAGTCAAGTGAAACTTGGCTTGGCTGGTGACTTCCAATACACTAATGCTTCTGTCGCAGTCGCAGCAGCAGCAGAGTTTCTGAGAAAGACTGGCGTCGCCCAGATCTCAGAAAACATTATGTCCGAGCCGCTTCCTGAAAAGTTCAAGGCAGGACTTACGCAGGCTCGCCTGGGCGGGCGGTGTGAAACTCGCTTTGAAAAGAACGTGTCTTGGTACATCGATGGAGGCCACACTCTGGAGAGCATCCGTCTGGCTGGCCAATGGTTTGCTTCTCGCATCCAAGTGGACTCCTCCAGTGATGTTGCTGCAAAGAAAACACGGGTTTTGATATTCAATCAGCAAACTCGTGACAGTGAGGCCTTGGCTCGTGCTCTCCACGAAACTCTGTCAGATGCCTTACAGTCTGGTACTCCTTTCACACACGCCCTTTTCTGTACCAATGTGACATACAAACAAGCTGGATTCCGTCCTGACTTGGTCAGCATGAACACGAATGCGGATGATGTGGAACTGCTCCGCGTCCAGAAGTCTCTTGCCGCAGCATGGAACGAGATCGACCCTACTGCTCAAACTCAGGTGTTCGGTACTATTGAAGAAGCTGTGGACTTTGCCCGAGATCTCGCCGCCCAGGAACGAAAGGATATGCATCAAGACGAGGCGCCCGTAATGACCTTGGTCACTGGAAGCATCCACTTGGTGGGAGGCTTCCTTGATGTAATTGAGACCAAGCCTTACTCAGAGGCTGTATGATCACCTTTCGGGGCAATGATCGAGAACGCGAAGTGATCTAGCACAGGTCTTTCGAAGCCAACCGATCTCTTTTGAACGGGAAGTACTGTATCAACACACTGTACATATATCTCTTGCGTTAAAGCGGGCGTTTAGGAGGAATAGTTCCCTGCTAGGATTTCAACAATTCAAACTGATGATCAAATCTCATCGAACCAAATACTACTAAGAATGGCAAAGGCCGGGCCCCTTCCTGCGCTCGAGCTTCATTTGCTCAATGCTGGGACATGTGATGGTCAGTCACTTATCTTGTCACCAACTCGACATTTGCAGATTTATTTAGATAACGCTGGTGCATCTTTCAGTGCCATGCCATCTGTCTCAGACGATGGGCACGCGTACCTAGCAAATCCAAACTAACACGTGTGCTCTAACGGTTTCTATCGATTCGGCACCGCTGGCCCGTTGGCTTTGAGAACAGAGCAGGAGACGGAGCCGGTTACAGTTACCCCTCGGTCCCCCCCCCACCTACCCGCTCCACGTTTTGCTGATGTGACAAACGTGGACCCTTCCAGACGAATTCCTCCTCCTTCATGATATAGTCACTTTCGACTGAATTCCCTCAGAAAACGACAATGCCGGATCCAAAGGATAAAGACAAAGCCCCTGAACGGCGTGAAGCCGACCAGGACTCCAGCTCCAATTCCGGTAGCCACTTCCTCTTCCGTGTCCCCGCGATTGCTTCTCACGAGCTTTTCCTGACTGACGACAATCGATATAGCTCCTACCTCGGGCGGTGCGACCAAAAAACTCTCAGGAAAGATGCTGGAGTCTCTGATGGAGTCGAATCCAGCTCTGAAGAATGAGCTGGCCAGCATGGATAAAGAAACCGCAGCGAAGACACTTGCGAACCTGGACATCTCGCAGCTGCTTACCGGCATGTCGCTGGGTAACACGAAAAATCAGAAGGACATGGCTTCCTACAAGTTCTGGCAGACGCAGCCCGTTCCTCGCTTCGATGACCGCGCAAGTCAAGAAACTGTGCCACAGGGGCCGATCAAGATGATTGACCCAGAGAAGGTCTCCAAAACACCAGATGCGTTGCTCGAGGGATTCGAGTGGTGCACTTTGGACCTGACCAATGAGTCTGAACTACGGGAACTCTATGAATTGCTCAACAACCACTATGTGGAGGACGACAATGCCATGTTCCGCTTCGCTTATTCTCAATCGTTCCTGCACTGGTATGTAGACACACTCCCTCTGGAATGATATTTCGTGGTCAATGGTGTCTAATTCATCCTTGAAAAGGGCATTGATGTCTCCAGGCTGGAAGAAAGAGTGGCACGTCGGAGTCCGGGCTTCCAAGTCTCGCAAATTGGTTGCGTCGATCTGCGGTGTTCCGACGGAGCTCCGCGTTCGTGGAGACCGAATCAAGGTGACCGAGATCAATTTCCTGTGCATTCACAAGAAACTCCGATCAAAGCGGTTAGCCCCGGTCCTGATCAAGGAAATCACACGTCGCTGCTACCTTGAGGGAATCTATCAGGCTATCTACACCGCTGGTATCATTCTTCCCACCCCTGTCAGCTCCTGCCGGTACTATCACCGTGCCTTAGATTGGCTCAAGCTGTACGAAGTCGGTTTCTCTCCCTTACCTCATGGCTCGACGAAGGCCCGCCAGATCTCAAAGAATCATCTCCCCGCGGAGACATCGACCCCCGGTCTTCGGCCGATGGAAAGCAAAGACATCGATGCCGTCCACGACCTTCTGGAGCGATACCTGCTCCGCTTTGACATGAACCAAGCCTTTACTCGCGACGAGATAGACCACTGGATGGTTTACAAGCCGCAGCCTGGTAAGGAGCAAGTCGTGTGGGCTTATGTGATTGAGGATCTGGAGACCAAGAAGATCACCGACTTCGTCTCCTTCTACAACCTGGAGTCGACTGTCATCAACAACCCTAAGCACGAAGTGGTCCGAGCTGCCTATCTATATTACTACGCATCTGAAACTGCGTTCAAGGACGACAAGAGCGCCCTCAAGGCGCGCCTTCAGTTACTCATGAATGATGCTCTCATCTGCGCCCGTCAGGTCAGTTATTTCCTCCATCTCGAAGTGCGCCCCTTGTGTTCGTCTACCTTCCGCTAACATCATGCGCAGGCCAAATTCGACGTCTTCAATGCGCTCACCTCCCACGACAACCCTCTCTTCCTGGAGCAATTGAAATTCGGAGCTGGCGACGGCCAACTTCACTTCTATCTGTTCAACTATCGCACATCTGCCATTACCGGAGGCATCAACGAGAAGAATCTCCCCGATGAGAAGAAGATGGGTGGTGTTGGTGTGGTGATGTTATAGTCCAAGCGGACAGGCCGATACCCCAAACTTTTCGACCAAGTCATAGTTCAATTTTCTCGAGCCTGTAGATTCCAGGTAGAATGAATGCACATTCGTACTTTGACTCCCACTGGAGATCCAACTCTGGCTCAGCTGTTCACTGACGTGGCCGGACGAGGATTGCCCGACAACAAAGTTTCTTATTATGTGATGATGATTCGACCACCAGCTGCAGCCGAAGAGCCGATGCGGGCCTGGAACCCATGGGATCAGACACCTGAGGCATCCATGCCTGACGTCTCACCATGCAACCTCGCCCAGCTCTACTTGACCTTCACTCGGAATCACTTTTCTTCGTGTCTCGTAAGTTGAGTCTCCCCTCACTGCTTTGAGTAGAAATTCTCTCAATTCGAGTGTGAACTGCTTTGTTCCCATCATTCGTGATATCAAATCCAATCCCAATCAAAGAATCAGGCCTCCCTGAACTCGAGACCGTAGCTGCATAACAGTCCCCGCGTTTCCGCGACAATGGGCGCGGGCCAGTCAACCGATTACAGCGGAGCCTCTCCAGGTCAGTTCCTCGGTGGATGGAATAATATATGCAACGCCCGCTCAAATGGGAGTTTTTTTAAAAGAGAGTTGAAGAATTAATTCCAGGGAACCTTGCTCATCGTTGACTACGTGCGAGTTAGACTAATATTCTCTAGAGGAGTTAAGCCACTTGCTGGCTGAGCGATTCGCAACAAAGTGTTTCACCCCTTTGGAGCTCACGCACTTCAAAGACAACTTTTTCTCCCGAGCTGCAGAGCAAGGAGGTCTACGTTACTGGAATGAACAGATACTTTCGGAGTTTTTGGGCATTCCAGATGGCATCTCCTTTGGCACAGGCGAAGCTTCGCTTGACGCCGGACCAGTCCTATTCCGGATGGTCTCCTATCTTGCTGCGTTTCCGTTCCAAAATACTTTGGCCCCAAGTGTTCTGACCTTCGAGGCCATGGTCAAGGTAGTTGTACTGTTGACTGAGCGGTATGGTAAAGTGCTCCGGCGCGGGCGAAAAGACCGCACGAAGTTGCTCTTTGGAAGCCTCGCAGACGTGGGAAGAAAGCATGTTGGCCAACCTGCCGACTCAGCGGGAACCACAAAAAAGTCAACTTCTGAATATGTGGAAGAAGAACTATGTCCCGCAAAGTCACATGCAGCTGGATTCTCCATCGACGAGCCTGCCAATGACGAGTACGACGAGAATGAAGATGATGATCTTGCTCTTGCGGCCCTTGAGTCTCTTGATGCCATTGAAGTATTCAGGCATGATCATCGTGTCGACAAAACTGTATACGAGACCGGAATATCTCATGACACGTTTCGCCGTCTGCTCATGCTCCTGCTGGTGATTGCACCTTTGAAGCCCCTTGAGCGTGTCGATAAATACATGGCGTGTTCGGGTTTGGACCCTGGACGAGCGAGTGAGATTCGGAAAGAGGCAGAAACATTAATAGCCGCATTTCGACCCGACGAGAATGATGGTGGCATCTCATACAGAGCATTCGCTCGTACTGTTTCAACATCTTTACCATACCTCTTCGATCCACTCACGGCATTGTTTGAACATATGCTATTCAGCGAGAAGTTGAATCTATCACAAAAAAGAACAGCACGCGGCGAAGCCGAGGCTGAGATGTCGACTGACGAAAAGGACAACCAGCCTCTGTCTTTGTCTAAACCGATCTTGTTGCCAGGAAGTTTCGAGTCCACAATCCTTACCCCCGCGGTCATCTCACATCTCTCCTTCTTTCTTCCTTCTAGCTCGCAGTCCCAAAATCTCTATCGAAGCGGTGTTCGACTCCATCCGGTGTTTTCAACATCCGCACACGGCTCTTCCTTGACCTCCTTCTCACACAATGTTATGACCTGGCAGTCCGCCAACATCCTCCTCTTACAAGGTACAGTCAAAGGTGAAGAACAGAGCAGAGAAACAGTAACTATCGGCGCCTACGTTCCCCAGCCATGGAAGTCTTCTTCATCACACGGCTCTCCAACAACATCTGGCGCTCTCCCTTGCCTCTTCCAACTGTCTCCAAAGCACCAAGTTCTTCCGGGCAATCCATCCACCTCTATTCAAAAACAAGCAAATCTCCCAATAGCGTGGTTCTCGTCGCATACGGGCCTGGCCATTGGCTGTAAGATCCCTCCAGCCTCGCGCAGTCAACACCTACCCCCCAAGCCTCACGGAGCCGCAAGCCTCACCGTGGATACGAATCTTGAATCAGCCGAATTGTTCATCGAGCCCGTTGGCCACGACGGCGTCTTCCTCCCTCCTGGAAATTCTTCAATGGAAGACAATTCAGTCAAGTTGCGCCTGGATATATACACACTTGAGGTCTGGGGCGTGGTTCCAGACCTGGAGCTGGCGGTGTCTTCGGAGCCCAGCTCAAGTGCCGTGGAAAACCAACGATCACAATGGGAATTTGAAGCTCGTGAGGCAGAGCGGCGCCGAAATATCAATCTGAAAACGGGGGCTGGCGATTCGTCAAGGGAGAGTGCTAGATGGTTGCTGGAGACTGCAGGAGTGATTGGTGATCACGGCCAATATTCTGGTGGCAGCACCTGAGATACACGTGATCGTTGCACATGCTACGACGGTTGAAGTCTAGAAGAGAGTTCATGTACGGAGTGGCTGTGGAAGTTACCTCCTACGTCTTCATTGGCACGTCAGGTACGAGTCATGCTCTTTATGTGTTTTTGATGTCCAGGGAATTCTCCACGCTCCAAAGTCCATATCAAGTATGTTGATGAATTGGATGTCTGACATTTGATAAGAACTCTGCGACATGGTCGAGAACCGGAAAGACGTTGCAGATGTCCCCTCGATGTCCTGGGCAGTGTCTTCCCTTCTTTTTAGGAATAAATTTTCTAAGCGCCGCCTGTAGTAACGAAATGATATACTGTGCTGCCCACTCACAGGCGGTTGGTCATGCTGGGTATGCCACAATGGTCCCCTCTTGCAATATTGCGTGCAACTGAAAGGTAGTGAGGTCTCATGTCCTGTGACCCCACGTGACTTGATACCTAGGCTTGAGGAATCGACTGTGCAGTTAGCACAATATTTAACAGCAGGAGGACCCCATTTACGCGAAGAATAGACAATTATCTACAAGTGAAACAGTTGAATTTGGCACTGGGAGTAAAAGAAAGGGCTTGTCATCAGCTTCGTAGTAGGAGATTGATCTAGAGATCATAGTAAGACTGGGTATTCAACTCCTTGTACACTGTCACGACAGACCACTGAAGGCCAGGTCAATCCACACAGTTCTAGGGTCTAGACGCGCAAGGGCGGCAAACCCGTAGGGGCACCGTAGAAGTCCAGCAACTCTTCCTCCTTCTCCTCTTCCTGCTGATTCTCAGCCTCGGATTCTTCCTCGATCTTCTTGATCGAGGCCTTGGAGGGACGAGTCCGTGATGATGTACCGGTGACAGGCGTAGACACGGACATGGGAGTATTCTCAGCTTCGAATGCCTCACGCGCATCCTCGTACGGCAGTCTGAAGGCCGGGAACCCATCTGGTGCACGTTCGGCCCGGTCCATTATTTCCTTCATGTACTTGCGGACCTCGTCCGCTGGCTTGACGACACGAGTCAAAGGCTCCAGGATTCGGGGACTGGCGGCATGGATGCGGAAAGTGACCGGTTGCCAGTACTCCTTCAGGTTTGATTCAGCGCTAGACTTTTCGGCTGAAACGGCCGGTGTCTCGGCTTGACCGGGTTTGACATCGGACTTCTCGTCGCCGGGCTCTTGTTTTGGAGAAACATCGGCGGGCGCTGGCGTTGGCGTTGCTGTAGCCTTATCCGTCTTCGATGCCTTCTTCGATTTGGAGGCACCTTTACTTTTTCGCCCAGTTCCTGCATCGGGAGCAGTATCGATGGGAAAAGGCACATTGGGGTCCACCCTTTTCACGATCAGAAAAGATGCGAGGATTGTATTCTCGTTAGGAAGCCATTCCAAAATCGAATGTTCAGGGAAAAGATAGCGGTCGCCCGATCCAGCGTGGCCGGATGTGCTGCTCCCATAAGGTGTCAAAGGGGAAGTAAATTCGAAGACCACGGACTTGTAGTTTATAGGCGCAGGGGTGGGTCGAGCTGGCGGTGCTTGAGGTCTGTAATAAGGTGAAGGCGAGCTGTAAGGCAGTGGTCGTGACTGCACAGGCGTATTGGCGCCATACTGCGATTGCTGTTGTTGTTGCTGCTGTTGTTGTTGTGGATGTAGTGGCTGGGGTGGAACTGGGCGTGGCACTTGTTGCTGAACCATGCTGGAATTTGGAGGGGCATGGAAAACCGGAACCTGCACCTGAGGGATTGGTGTTGGTACTGGAGGTGGCTTGGAGTTGCCGATAGATGGGATGTTGGCAGACGGGGTTGACAAAGCAGGTTGAAGTCCAGGCGTAGCCCTCACAGCGGGACCAGTGGTCGTTACGGGCTCTTGCTTCACTGCTGGGACAGCGACCTCAATCTTGGCCGACGAAGGATTTGGTGGAGCTGCACTCAGGTGGGAAGCCTGGGTTAGCGCCGGGGCTCGAGGTGGCGCGGGAATGACCGGGCCCTGGGCGATGTCTGTCGCGGGAGTTGAAGCTGGGGGAGCAGAATTCTGTACAGGAGCCGGTGCGGGCGTTGTCACGGACGTAGATGCAGTTGTAGAAATAGAAGCAGGAGCAGGGACACCCGCAGGGACCTGGACAGAGACTGAACTAGAGACCGGAGCGGAAACGGGAGCCGTAGCAGGGGTGGAAGGAGCGGCAGACGTAGGTACAGGGCCAGGTTTTTGAGCTGATAATGGTATTGGCGTAGCTGCTGAAGGAGGCGCCGGCGCGGGTGCAGCTGGTTTTTGCGAGGGAGCTGGCAGCAATTGACCCGAGACAGGCGCAGGCTGATTCTGAACACCCTGAGCCGCAGCTGACGTGGAAGGAATTTGCTGATTCGAGTTGACAGGGCCTGGCGCTTGGACATTTGGAGGCGGACCTGGCCTCTGCGAAATCACAACCTGAGGAGACGCTGGCCTTGGAAATTGTGCAGATGCCGCAGGATGTTGAACCGTGGGGGCCCGCTGTGCTGTCGCAGCTGCAGCTGCATTTCGCTGGGCCTGTTGCTCCCTGGCCTTAATAATCGCGTTCAACTCGTCAATATGGGCCTGGAAGGCTCGAAGCTGTTCCTGGGAGGCCTGGCTCGAAGCGACCACTCTCATGAGAGCTTTCAATTCTGGATCCGCCGCGGCTCTTGTGGCAAGCATCTGGATGACGGGATCTGGGCTCGGCTTTGCCGGTTGTCCTGGCTGGGTATTTTGAGGCGGCCGTGGGTTTGGCTGCGGTGGTGTCTGAACTGGTGCACGCGGTTGGGGAGGCGCAGCATGTGTTCCTGGATATGCATGCGGAGGTCGTGCAGCGGGTGTAGGAGGATAAGCAGCCCTTTTCTGGTTCCCTGAATAGGGCTGATATTGTTGGAAATTGGGGGGATGGCTGTATTGTGCCATCTGCTTGGGTGGGGGAGCATATTGAATGGCCGGCGGGGCATTGGGATCCTTGACAGTGTATATCATCGCATCGAAAAGGTGAGGTCCAACGGTTACGTCGCAAGGGCCGACCCGAGTCATTGAATCTTTGGGTGGATTGTTCTTCTCAATCTGTTCGCGCTTCGTCTTCTTCGGCTTTGTATAATATCGAACCAGAATGCCATCGCTCAGCCACTTTTTCTTTGATCGCTCAAGGGCAGTGAGCATCACTGCGCTGTAATAGTCATTTTCAGTTTTGTTAGTGACGTTTATCCTTGGCGGAGGGGCAAAGGACAGGATGGACAAACCTTTCAGCGTATGACTGGTACTCCTTATCTGAGAGATCTGAGGATTGTCGCTCCCGCAGCACAGGCACCGGTTCGCCATCCTTAATGGAGATTGGCAAAGGCTCCACGGGCTCAGGCGGCGGCGGCGGTGATGGAGATGGAGGAGGCGACACTGCACGGGGGTCGATGCCTTTTTCCTTTGCGATGGAGTGGCTGCTTCGGAAACTCGTCTTTTCGCCGCGGGCTCACGGCCTGCACGCAGCTTACGTTTCTCTGCCATGATGTGCGAGCCTAATCAGTGCTTCCAAGGTCCCTCCGACGGGGATCCGCGATAGCTGTCAATGGAGAAGCGAAAAAGCATGTGATGATGCGGAAGGAGAAGATGTGTTTGAGGAGTGACGCGATAAAGTTGCGCGTGGCTTATCGGCGGTTCGTCTCCGTCTCCGCTCCGTTCCACCAGCGCCGTCGAGTGGTCTGAGAATTGACACGATCCGATCATCCAAACCATGGTCAAATTACAGCCGATATTCAAGAAAGCCTACTGGGCACTTGCAGCCGGTGGGCTGGTCTATGTTCTCTTCGTCACAGCTTTGACCTTCCCTGAAGTGCAGCGTTTGTATGTCCTCCTGCCTCAGTGACTACCGGAAAAGGACTGAGCATGTGCTTACTCGGCACAGCTTTTTATACGCGAACAAGGTCAACCCGGCATATTGGCAGGATGTTAATCAGGTCGAGCAATTTGGATTTTTGAGTATGTTGTGGTGAACATCAAGATCTAAATCGAGAGCTGACCGTACCAGAAACTCAGGTGCAGCCGTTCCATCTGGTAACACCAGATAATGAAACGCTCTATGGGTGGCATTTGATGCCACTGCATCTTTGTTATGAGCATGAAGAGATGCTCATGAACAGTCCACCTTCAGGGCCGGCTGAGGACTATTCTCTGACCAATGCCTTCAAGCTACTTGCAGAGAACCCTAACGCCCGAGTTGTTGTCAGCTGTAGGTCCATCAATTAGGCCCTCCCACTGCACCAAGCTCCTTTTCTAAAACCAACAATCAATGCCTAGTTCATGGAAATGCTGCTCATCTGGGCTCTGCTCAGCGACCTGCCAACTACAATGCCCTGTTGGCTCTGTCCACCCCCTCACACCCAGTCCACGTCTTCGCCATGGACTATCGTGGTTTCGGTGTTTCGACAGGCACTCCAACCGAAGAGGGATTGATCACTGATGGAGTCTCACTTCTGAACTTTTTGACGGCTGGGCCTCTCCGGATTCCACCTTCTCGCATCGTCATCATGGGCCAGAGTCTGGGTACAGCTGTTACTGCGGCCGTGGCTGAGCGATTCGCCTTTGGTTCTCCTGATCCGAAGGCTATTCAGCCTGCGATCAAAGACCCTGAGCCCTTTGCCGGAGTGATTCTGTTGGCATCTTTCAGTAATCTGGCAAGTCTCATCAAGTCCTACAGCGTCAAGGGTCTGACTCCGCCCATGCTGTCCCCCTTGATCGGGTATCCCCGTTTCCAGAAATGGGTCATGAGCCACATTGTGGACAGCTGGGACACAGCAGGACGCGTTGCTCGGTTGACCGGCGTCAACGGTACAAAGTTGGAAGACGGCAGCAGCTCTAGACATGTTCACAAGGACCTTGACCTGACTATAGTGCATGCTAAGAATGATATTGAGATCCCCTGGCGTGAAGGCCGTCGTATCTGGACCGCAGCGACTGGAGAGAACACTGGGAAGGAGCATGGTCGCGTGGTCTCCGCGATTAATACAGCCAGTGGTTCGCAAATTGAAATATGGGAGAACAGGATCCCTAGTAGCTCTCAAGGGGAAGAGGCTACGAAAAAGGTCCGGTGGGAACGTGTTCAGTATGGAGGTAAGTCGAGCCCATTGAGACTCTTTGGTTTCCAGACTTCTAGTGGTAGATCTACTACCTAAGGGCCAAGTGCTAACTTGATCTGTCGCGCTCTAGGTCACAACAAAGTAGCATCGTTCTCTGTTGCCGGCCTTGCTGCCCTGAGATCATTCGAAGAGTAAGGCCCAAGGTGTTGAACCCATGTCACCATGGATCAGGCACTTGTAGTGCCCATGCATGAATGTCAAATACGCTATCTTCCCCTTCCAATTCAACATGATCTCGAACACCCACTTCGCCCTACCCTTATCGTATTTTTACCTCATCGATAATCCCAGTAATGCCACCCCATACCAAAGCCAGCACCTACATAACCAAGATCCAACCCACCACCCATCAATGCCTCGAACACGACCTATTCCTCGACCCTGTCCTCCCCGTCCTCGGCACATCACTCGCTCGATCCCACGAGCGATACTCCGATCGCTGACGTCTTGAATGTCGTGCTGGAGCTCCCCGACTAGTCATCTGGGAGTGATCGGGTCTTTCATTCGGATCGCGGCTCTTGTCCTCGAAACTGAGGTCCAGGATGGGCGTGAGGTTCTCGGCTAGACGGTGGGGACTCATAGATCGGGACGGCATGGTAAAGTCAGGCAAGGTCAGGCAAGGTCAGGCAAGGTCAGAGCTTCCAATGGAGGTTGGAAGGTTTAAACCGATTTTGGAAGTAGTGGTGAATTCTGCTGAACGGATGTGGAGAGTTCACGGAGCTTTATTGTGTCCGGGGATTGAAGGATGTTGGTGCTTGTAGGAAGGGGGGTGTTTTGTGACTTTCGTAGAGAGATCAGCTACCTTATGCAGTGAGGTTTGCGGCAGATATAAAAGGACAGAGATAGGTAAGCGCTGTTCTCGTCGGGTGTTTTAACAACTTTGAAATGAGCGGTTATCAGGTGGTCTTTTGTGTCAATTATGAGCAAAGGTTGACGCAACTTCGCAAAGAGCTTCGTTGGTACGATATTCTAGAGGGTTAATCAATCTCGCGAATCAAGCAAGCTCGAATGTCCGTGGGCCTGTATATCAGAGGTGGATTGACTTAAACTATCTATAGATCTTGGTGTACGTAGTGATGCGGTGGCATTGATCGCCGGACCAATCTTCCATCTACATCATAGTTGAAGGTTCTCTTGAACCGACATGCGGGAGTTTCGTCCGTACCAAATTAAAGGTTGTAGTAAGGTTGTTGTCATCACTCATTTCTTCATTGAAGGTGTTTCATATCTCGTATCGCATCGCTCATTTCATGGTCATCACCATCTTGTCCGCACACAACATACAATCTCATCAAATGTAACAAACTCCCCCCAGCGCCATAATCATACATTCCCGGATCCTTCTCAACACATCAAAACATCATGGCGGGATCATTAAGCCAGGTAAATCCTGCGAAAAGAAAACCTCATACAAGCGCAAGACAAAACAACGAAAAGAAAGAGGAAAAAGGAAAATCGACCATCGACCATTGACCATTCAATGGCCCCGAATCCAACCACACAGGTCCCGAATCCCAGCCTTGACATTTAGATCGCGGCGAAGCCCCTTCAGCGTCTTTTTGTTCGGCACACCCTGACGAGGCCCGGAGTCTCTCTCAGCCCAGCTGGCATTGGCATTGAGCTTTTCGGCCTTGAGCTTTCTCCAGACCCGCCGCAGACACGAGGACTTGCCTTGGATATGATCAAAGGGATCCCTGGGCTCCCATTCATCGTCGTTCTTGCCGATGGGCCGGAACTTCTGGCAGACAGCATGAACCTTGGTGGTTTTGAAGTATTGCCGTCCCTTGAGTGACCAGTAATCCATCTCGCGGCTGACATGTACGCTCTGAACGCGCACAGGAGGCAAGACACGTCCGCCGTTGGCAGGGGTCAGGATGGTCTCGTCAGGATGTTGCTGGTATTCCCGACATCGCTTTAAAAAAGTGCCGTAATTGGCGGCGAGGGTCACCGCACACAGGGGCACAAAGCCAAAGCCAGCAAGCTTGTTGGGTGGGCCGGGGGTCCGGCCATGGTGAGGCCTACTCGTGGAAATCTCCGAGCACAGCGCCCACATGTCGCTGAAGATCTGCTCTACGACGAAAAGCTTGCCTTCTTGCAGGTCAAGCTCGTCCGAGGGCTGATCATCTCCGGTTGGGACCACATATGAGGGGTCCACCCCAATAACGAGGGATTCTTCCTCGATCAACCAGCCGTTGGGGGCGATATCGCTGCAGGGTTCAGCGCGAATATCGCGGAGAGACTTGACATAGTCGCTGTAGATGAACTTTTGCTGCAGACTTGTCTTGAAGTGCCCCAACGTCATGAGTGTAGCCCCGGTCTGAGTGCAGGGTTGACCCCGGGGGCTGTCGTCAGCGACGATGGGTGGCATCGTCTGGAAGAAGAGAGAGGAAAGGATGGTTAGTGAGATGGAATCAAAGGCCAGAAGGTCAATTGAATATACCTGTGGGTGTTCCTTTGTTTCAGGAAACAGAGGGTGGATCCCGTGGGCGTCGGGCGTCGAAAGAGGGGCGTGGAAGTCGAGTCGGTCAGACCAGGACTCGGGAGAGGCGACGGCAGTGGTGCTGGTCCCGAAGGTGAAGCAAGCTGAGCTCATGTAGCTTGCTGAGGGAGGGACGTGTGTGGGAAGAAGCTCAAACGGCTCACCCGTGAGGTCACCAGCTCGCTGCTTGGGCGAGACGAAAGGAGGAAGCAAGGTGAAGGTGCCATCACTCTTGAAGTGAGGCACAGAGGCGTTGGAATGGAGAGCACCTCCAAGGCCATTGACGCCGTGCCCGTTCTCGTAAACAGAAGTGAGAGCCTGCATGCGCATGGTTGAAGAGGCCATGCTGACGGGAGGCGATGGATGGGAGGAGCAGGAGCAGGAGCAGGAGCAGGAGCGAAGAGTGAGAGGTGAGTTTGGAGGGAGTTGAAAGTGAGGTTAGATTTGAATGTAGCAAATCGTGACAACCAAAGTGAGAGAGTGCCGAAGAAGAGAGAGAGAGAGGAAAGAAAAGGAAAGGAAAGGAAAGGAAAGGAAGAAGAGACGAGACGGGGGAATGAAATAGTCGAAAACAAGATGGCAGTTTCCGACCACCAAGAAGCAAACAGTTTACGAATGTTGCTTTTGTTATTGTCGCTATCAATATTGAAATGGGTACAAGATACCAGGGCAAACATCTCGCGGAGTGTGAACACCTGATTGCGTAGTTAAGATACAGTTGTTTAAGCAAAACCTCTTGGGAAGATTGCCAATTTTGGCTCAGGCAGACCTACGGGACGTTCGCTGCCTAAATCATGATAGCATGGACTCATTTTGCTAGATTGATGTCGGAGCATGAACGATCGTGTCAGAGAATCTGACACGATGACAGAAAATGTTACTGATCTCACGTCCACTGACCTCGAGGTACGATCTGCAGTAGAAGTTCAATCCCATTGTGTTTTTCGGAGCTAGCAATAACCTTAATTGTGCCGTGCCTTGGCTCTCGGCCGCAGGCTACCCGAGTGCCTCAGTGGACACTGGCCAGTCCGGGCCCGGGGGATCCATGCGGAAGGGCTCGTTCAGTTCCGCCCGATCAACCTCTGGCGCTGCCACGCTGCCACGCTGCCATAGTTACTGCCACGCTCAGCTTAGTCAGTACAGCCCGCCGGTTAACGTAATTCCCGGCCAAGCGAGACACCCAGCCAGGCGAGACACCCAAACTTATTAGAAAATTTCAAAATCGATTCTCTCAACCAACACCCATTAATCTAGCTAAATATAGCGATTTTTACATGAATTAATCCTGTGGCCAATCTCTCTACACCCACTACACCTAGGCGGGGCTCTCTTCGCTGGTTGGTCTGCCTGAATAGGCAATTCGCCCTGCCTATACGATTCCACCGCAGGTACTTCTGCTGGTAAATCTAGCTGCGTAACTAGCTATAGGCCCTCTTCGATAGTTAAACCCTCTTCGTAAGGTATATATCTAGTTAAACGATTACGCTTCTTTACTACCTTCTTATTCGCTACGCGTAGATTCGCGTTTTCTTACGCTAGTAGCGCGGTGTTATATAGCGCTATACAGTAGCCCTTAATAATCTGATCTAGTATAGTCTTTGATAGGCTCGGAGGGCTATTCGACCGCTGCTTTAGTAGATCTTTAAGTATCGAAGCTTGCTTTTGTAGCTAAATCACGGTTCTGGGTATTTTTAGTGTGAATTAGCTAGATCTGCTTATTAGCCGGCTGCTTAGTGGTGTAGGCGTTTGTAGAGAGATATTAAGCTTCGAAAGTAGTCTTTTAGCATCGACTAGTACTAGCCTACTAGCTACGAAGCTAGTTTGGATAATCGTTAGTTAAAAAGCCTTAAGCCGCGCGCGTTAGTAGTTATCGAGGAAATTAAACTTATCGATATAGTTATAGCCCCTACGCGTAAGATTACTTATAAAGCGACCGTACGAGCGTTTTAATACTATAAAATAGCTAATATCTAGTAGTTATAGTAGATACGATAAATACGTAGGTATACAGAGTAGTATAATATCGTTTTCGGCGTAAGTTCGATCGAATTAAGGCGTAAGATAGCTACTATAGCTATTAAGAACTAGTAGTCGAAATCGATCTTATACGCGCGAGTTTATTAAGGGGATAAATAGCTTTTATAGCTAACGTAGACTAATCTTATCGGTAGTCTAGCTATTATTCGAGACCTTAAATCGCTAATCTTATAGTAGATTATTAAACTAACTAGCGATTATAACTTTACCTTTAAAAATTATATAAGGCGGTAGCGAATAGCTATCGGCGTAAATTACTTCGATAGTAGTAACCTATTCGCGATTTCCTAGCTATAATATCGATCGCTGACCGTAGTATTTAGCTCGCGTAATAACCTTTTGTGTTGATATAAGGCCCGTTATAAACCCTATCTTATCGAAGTTATAGATATCCTACGGTTAAATACCGTTCTTATCGATCACACGTTATATAGTCGTAAACTATGCTTATAGCGATTTTAGATCTTTGTTTAGGGCGCGTTAGTAGTTATATCGCCTAGAGAAACGCGATCGAATCTCTTCGCGTCGATAAATAAAGGTTAATAGCTAATTCTTACTAATAGTAGGTCGAGGCTAGCTACCGCGGGCGGCTAGTAGAATATTAGCTATCGCTCGTATATTAGCTAGCCTTAGCGCTGCTCTACGCGTATCTAGAGAGATAATCTATTCTACTAGCGAATCCTCCTCTAGTTAAGTTAATTTATAGCTAGTTAGGCGTCTATCGACGCGTATAAGCACGCCTTTCGCGCGATCGGCTAAGGTTGTATGAGGGAGATTATATAGCCTCGCGGCTGCGCGTATAGATTAAATTCGGCCGTTTTTGATATCGTTAAGGGCTAATAAGATCTTGCCCTCCTGATCGGCCGATTTTAGCCAGGAATCAGAGCGTTTTGGTGGTATAGTAGGTAGTTGAAGTTGATATGTAGATATGGAAACGCGAATTTGGAGAGGGTGTACGGAACGGCCGGGTGTACAGAACGGCCGGGAACTACGTTACTGCCACGCTCAGCTTAGTCAGTACAGCCCGCCGGTTATTCATGAGCCGCGGCTTGCAGGAGTACCGCAGACGTTTGCGGGGAAACGCCCATAGTGGATGTCGTCGCCATATATTTCGACTTGTCCACAACTACACCCGATCCTTGTACAAGGGGAAACAGATTGTTTTGTATATCATCCAAGAATCAGAAGTTCAGAACCACCAGCTCAACTCCAACTAAAGAAAAATGTCCACTCCCAAAGTTACCCTCTACTTCGATATCATTAGTCCCTTCGCATACATTGCGTTTCATGTCCTCAAGGTCAGTCATCTCATCAATGGGGAAACCCCCAGCCCACGCCACCGCGGACTCGACCATGATCTCCGTGTTCATACATTGGAAACCCTCGCCCGCCACAGAACCTAACATCCACCGACTCTAGCACTCTCCAACCTTTTCCAAATGCGAAGTCACCTACGTGCCCATCCTTCTAGGCGGTCTATTCCAGCTCTGCGGTAATCAACCACCTCTCAATATCAAGAGTAAGTCAACCGGAGATCACCGTGCTCCTTTCACCCACATACCCCGATCTCTTCACGCACCTGATCTTCCATCCATCATCCTCCGTGACTAACTCTCTCCCCAGACAAAAACAAATGGATCGACAACGAACGCAACAGATGGGCCAGACGCTTCTCCGTCCCCATTTGCGCCACTCCCCCGCCGGGCTTCCCCCAAAGCACCGTGACCGTCCAGCGCGCCCTCAGCGTGGTCGCGCACAAGACTCCGGAAAAGCTCCCGGCTGCCATCGAGGCGATTTATCATTCGTTCTGGGTCCAGTCCAATTCGGAGATCGGTAAAGTAGAGGGCTTCAAGCCGGTGCTGGAGGGTGTGTTGGGGGAGCAGGTGACGAGAGAGGTTCTGGAAGCGGTACGTTCTCTTTTCCTTGGTGTTTTTTTATTTTCTTCCTCATTGTCATTTCAAGCGTTCTATTTTCGCCAAACCCGTGCCTGGTAGCTTAGAACGAGGGGAAAGAGGAAAGGGAATTGTGACACACATACTAATCAAGCGGATAGATCACCCAAGCTGAGATGAAGGCCCTGCTCCCAACGAATACCCAGCGGGCGTTTGACGCAGGAGCCTTTGGTCTGCCATGGTTTGAATGTACCAATGCAGCGGGGGAGCAACAGTGTTATTGGGGGGTTGACAATTTGGAGGATGTTGCGGGCTTCTTGGGATTGGAACGGGGTAGAGATCCGAAGCCGCTGCTTTGAGGTTTGCAAGACAAAAGGTTCAGAGGAGGAGATGAGGCGGGGGGAAGATGAATCATTTGTATGGGTCGTGTGCTGTGAACGTTCAACGTACTGCTTGGACCGGAAGTACTGATTACGGATCTTTACTTGAGGTGCAGGTGCCCTGGTTCCATTTGGTTCCTCAGCTCGTGGTGTCTAGTCGTCCATCACGGGCTGTATATTGTCAGTCATTTCAGGACCTGTGGCCTATTTCATACATCGATATTTTATCCAAAATAGCGGCACTCGACTGTGGTGAGTTCCATCAAAGGGGAGGGACAAAGATAACGAGGTCGCTCATTGAACTCGTATAGATAGTACAAAGTATGGACAGTACATCATCAAAAAAAGAAACGCCCTCGCATGGGCAACGCCATATACAGGTCTCGGGAAACCCCCGCAATCAACAATACCAAAAAAAAAATATTCTCACACTAGGAATCCCGTTTCAGCCTTTGCAACGGCTGCGATGCCGTGCTGCGATGCTTATGCCGGAGATAGTCACAGACTTGCTCATCATGCATCTGATCGATTTGATGGTAGTCGGGATGCGATGGATCGAGGCCTAGATAGCGCATGTCAAAAAAGAAAAACAGATATCATCATCAGTCTGAGCTACATGATGTGGTGTGTTTGCGGGAGATGTGCGTCGGGTGAATATAGTGATGGGCGGAAATGAATACTAGAGACATACCCTTTTGAGGCTCCGGTTCCGGCTCGGGATAGATCTGGTTGACAATTTCACGCACGGTCCGCTGCGATAATTGCAGCGCTTCCTGGGCAACGGGAGTGACATTTTCGTTGACTGCGCCCTTGACGTGGTCGATATGGGGGCCGACGAGGGATGAGACATTTTGCTGGATGGCGGTGACGACGGAGGAGGATGTGGAGGAAGAGGAAGAGGAGGAGGAGGTCGATGAGAATGTGGATGATGATTTCAAGGTTGATGGGTCTTGGTGATTCGGTTCGCTGGGAACAGTGGTGGTGGTTGGGCTGCGCGAGGGCGCGGAGGGTGGTGATGGGTTTGTGGTCCCCATGGTTGGGCGGTTTCGAGACAGCGTAAACAGGGGCCCTTCTCAGAACCAGCGCGAGAGATTGTATTGATGCGGGTGGATAGATGGTTGACGGATTGACGTTGAATAGATAGATCAATAGATCGATGGATCGGCAGGCAGTAGACAAGCAAAGTGGAACATAGGACTTGGGCTCAGTTTAGTAGTCTTCACCTTCGTCCAGCTAGGTGCAAGGACCAATTGATGAATTGTGGATGATGTCCAAAGAAATTGCCAGGGAGGAGTCAAACAATCAACCGACTGTCGTCTCTCGAGAAGTGATACGTTCCAAGGTGGAGGGAGGGATGAGATGAGGCAAGAAAAAAGGTCTGTCTTGGACTGCATTGAGTAAATGACAGGGCCAAGACCAGGATGACGACCGGATGGAGCAAACGATAGGGCTGATCCTTTGACGTAAGGCTGGGGGAAACCCTTTTGGGCGCACAAAACGGCGATAGGCTGGGGGTCTTTCTTAGCGGCCGAGGGAATTGGGAGGGGGGCAAAGAAGAAGAGAGAGAGAAGGAGACCCAGAGAGAGAGGTCTGAATGAAAAAGAGGAAATTACGTTCAAAAGGAAGGACAGAAAGTATGGAGAACCCCGAGAGAAACAAGCTCGTTGCAAATGACGATTGTTATGACATCTTTGGTTGCCTCTCCGAAGAAGAAGAATAAGAGGGTCATATGTCTTCCCCCTCCTCCTCTGTCCTCTCCGACATGTTCTCTCTCTCCCGGAAGACTCCCACTCTGCCGGGGTGGGACTCTCCTACTCTGCCTGCCCGGTGTGTCCTCCTCTCACGACGGAAGACGGGGTTGTGGATGTGGATTTGGCACCGAGTAGGGCCCAGGGCTCGACGAGGACAAGTCACCAGCGAGGAGGACGGGAAAAAGGGAGGCAGAGGCTGATCGTCCCGGCCGTCGGTCGGATCGCCTGTAGGGCCGTCAATCATCGTGCGACCACGCGAGTCAGGGACCCGAGTGGGTGGGGGAGGTTGTGCGCCTTCCGCGGGCGATTTGGATGAAGCCAACTGGCCTCCGACGGGTCGGATATGGAGCGGACCTGGTTTGGACGGCCACCTCTCGGGCCCTTTGTGGCCGCGCGAAGATGACGTCGTGAGGACCCATTCGGGAGGAGGAGGAGAGGGAAGATGGGTGGTCATCGAAGTAGTTAGTAGTTAACTAATAGTCCCTGTTAGTGGGGTACCCGAGTGTGAATTGATGGTCATTTGACCACGATGATTGAGGGAGAATGGAGTGAAGAGGAGGAAAGAGACAGATCAGGGATGTTGAAACCTTCGTATTCATACCAAGCCATTCGAATTGGTTGTAGGTGAAAGGAAGAGCAATGAATACCGGGTGATAGAAGACTTCGTCCACGTGATGTTGAAAAAGAGATTGAGCCTTCAGCATTACACTCTTTGCCATTCGCACTCCATCAATCGGTCAAATTGATCAAGGTACCAGAAGGAGGACCCCCCGGAGAGAGGACTACCTCGATCACCTCAGGACGATGGACTGGCCAGTAGCAGTACTACCACACTACTGGAAGCCTGAAGGTGACTCCAAAGTCAAACAGCTCCTCTCATCCAAAACGTGGAAGAACAACCCCACGTGCAGTGGCTGGCCAAGCCAAGCCACGCCAACCGGACCAACGCATGGGAACCACACGGCCGCCGGGAAAATTATGTCGGGACTCGGGACTGCAGCAGTCAATGGAACCAGTGCAGAACTCGGTGAGACAGAGTACCGAGTAACCTACTACATACTACATACACAACCTCTACTAAGCGAAATCTCTCGCCCGCTACTTTCATCATCATCGCGCCGCACCACAGTCGACGGTTACCCTCATTCAACCGGGTGTCCACCCCCACGTCAATCATGGCGCCCATCCCCATCACCATCGTCACAGGTTTCCTCGGATCCGGCAAAACCACCCTCCTCCTCAAACTGATCCCCCAACTCCCCTCCACCTACAAACTCGCCCTCCTCAAAAACGAATTCGGTGACGTCGCCGTCGACTCCCAACTGGCCGCGACCTCCTCCATCTCCGGGGTCCGCGAACTGCTCAACGGCTGCATCTGCTGCAATCTCGTCGGCCAGCTCAGCGATGCGCTCGAGCAGCTGCGCGCCACCGTCGCGCCCGATCGCATCGTGATCGAGACCTCGGGCAGCGCGTTCCCCGCCACCCTGGCCATGGAGGTGAATCGGTTGGCGCGCGAAGGCGCCGACTTCGTCCTGGATGGGGTGATCAGCGTGATTGATGTGGAGAATTGGGAAGGATACGAGGATACGAGTTATACAGCGAAGTTGCAGGCGCAGTATACGGATCTGATTGTCTTCAATAAGTGGGAGGTGGCCGGGGAGAGGAAGTTCGATGTGTGTTTGGATCGGGTCGGGGATCTGGGGATCGAGACGCCCTGGGTCAAGTCGGATCGCGGGTTGGTGGACAAGGATGTGTTGTTGGGGATCGATGGGGCATTGTTTGCGAAGGAGGGGGCGGTCCGGGATGGCGGTGCACATGATGACCACCACCGGGACCATGATCACAACAAGGAGCACCAGTCCGAGGTCGAAGTGCTCTCGGTGCAATTGAAGAACGCTGCAGGCACGGTGGTCGATGTCGAGGCCCTCGAACGACTCTTGCAATCTGCGCCCAGAGAGGAAGTCTATCGGATCAAGGGGACCCTGCGCTGTTCTGCGGCCGTGCCACCCATGGAATCATCCGATGAGCCCAACTCCAGAAAGCCCGCGGAGTCCTCCGAATCCAGGTACTATATTCTCAATTGGGCCTTTGGCCGATGGACGTGCACACCCTCGGCGGTCGTGGCGGAGTCGGCGGACGAGTCGGTGGCTGCTCGGTTGACGTTCATCCTGGCTCGTTACGAATCGGCCAAGTGGAAGAAGAAGTTGGAGGCCGGGGATCTGGTGCAAGTGGGTGGCCGTGGAGACCCCGAGTTGGTTGTGGAGAGATTGGTCTAGACTACGACGTTGGATAGGGAAGGTCAAAGAGACCCGCGAGAGGAGGGCCCCGTCTTGTTCCATGATAGACCGATAGACCGATAGACCGATAGACCGATAGAAGTATACCCATGCATGGAGTGTTTGAACAAGGACGCGGTCAGATGACCTCATTGATGATTCGCGAAGGACAGATTCAACAGGGGACGCAAGTCTATGATTTTGCTCATGTTGAACAGACAGAGAGCACCACGCAATACTTAGAAGGAAAAACGCTAAGAGCACTTTTGTTGTAACCGAAGACCCACACGGGGCAAAGAAAGGGACGGCACCGCGGATCTATTCTAAAGAATGGCTATGATCAAAATCTCAACGGGAAAAACACTCGACCATGACAGACGGCCAAATGGACAAAGTAGCGCGCAAATGGATCGACTATACTACAGCAGGACTCCCACGCAGTGAAAGTCTGTGCAGTAGTTCTCAAAGCAAAAACAAGACAATTAGGCCAACCGTGAAAGGCTGCAACAAAAACAGACGTTTGCCACAATTAATAGTTCAGGAGAGCCGAGGCGCCCGGCTCGCTGGAAATGTAAATCACCTCATGGTTGTCCGAGAATCCATTGAAGCGAGTGGCACTGCACTTGGTGTACGCGCCCATCTCCTCAAAGTACAACCAGTCTCCGGTGTTCAAGAGCCCAGGCAGATCGATGCGTTGGGTAATCACATCGATGCCATCGCAGGTTGGGCCCCAGATGGAGTACGAGTTGATCTCGCCTGCGGCAGTGGAGGGGAGTCCCGACCGAGGCGCATCGGCCGCGCACAGCAACACTTTGGCAACCGGGTGTTGGTGGTCAAAGATGATGTTGGAAAAGTTGCCGTAGACACCATCGTTGAGGTACAACATGTAGGCAGTGCGCGACGGATCCAAGGGGTCAGGAAGGTCACGACGAGCAATGACGTTGGCCGCGAGAGTGAATGCATTGGCAACGTAGTACCGACCAGGCTCGGCAATGATCCGGACACTGGGAGGGAAGTAGGTCTCGAGAGCGGTGCTAAGAATACCGGAGAACTTCTCAAAAGTGTCGTGGCAGAAACCACCACCGACATCCAGAGTGTGCAGCTCGTGACCGATCGCGGCCGCTTGGTCAAACACCAGACGGGCATCTTGCACAGCCTTCAAGAACGCACGGGGGTCCTCGGCACCGGAGCCAACGTGGAAACTGACGCCGACGACCTTGAGATCAAGCTCGCGGGCGAGCTGCAGCAACTGAGCGGCCACGTCGAGAGAGGCACCGAACTTCATGCTCAGCCGGCAGAGACTGGTAGAGTCGTCGGTGAGGATGCGCAAGTACAGCTCAGCGTCCGGGAAGTGGGCTTTGATCTTGTACAGTTCATCGGCGTTGTCAAAGGTCATTTGCTTGACGCCAACCTGGGCGGCATAGCGCAGATAAGACTTGGTCTTGCACGGTTGCGCGTAAATGATTCGGCTGGGGTCGATGCCCGTCTGGAGGGCGAGATCGATTTCCGACTTGGAGGCGCAGTCGAAACCGTTGCCCAACTGGGCCATGAGACGCAAAACCTCGGGATCGGGGTTACATTTGACAGCTGCCCGCCAAGATTCATCGAGTTAGAGAGTGATTGATGTGACGACCGAACGGCCACGCATGTATCGTGTTGTTGTGGGGCCTGACTTACCATAGAATGGTTTGACTCGGCCCAGGTTCATCTTCCAGCGCATGTGCTGGCGATATACCTCGCCCATATCCGCAACATAAAAGGCATCCTCCTCACCGGCCTCGCAGCGGTCGGTGTCCACCTCGGATGCGCGCTTCTTCAGCACATCCATCACCAGCTCCCTCGCAGTCAACTCCGATTGCAACAATTCGTCCCCAAGTTTGCCGGCCTTGCCAAGGGGATCGTGATGGATCAGATCATTCTTGACGGCACACACCTCGGCGGCCGGCATCACACACGCAGTCGGGGCCATTTTTCGTACAGCAGTGATTTCAGCACGATGTTCAGTCTTTTCTTCTGATCTTTGCGAGAAGAAAAAAAAGAGGGGGGGGGGGGGGTTTGTAAAATGAATAAGATGATTAAGTCACAGGAAATGATGCGACTGCGTTAGGGAGGACGAAAAATGTCGCAACCGTAGTTGACTGGACTAAGCCTCCTCGACCCCTCCTCCTTAAGAGGAAGAACCTTCAGAGAAGTCCTATGCGGCAGCTCAAAGACTGAGGGAATGTCGTGAGAGGGCGTCAACGGGTCGAAAAAAGGCGCACCGGACGGACTCTCAGCAGACTGTTGCAGCAGGTGGTGGAATGTTATTAAGAGTGTCGCGTTGGCGGCGAGTGGAGACAATTTGGCTGAGCAGAATCGAGGCTACGGGAGCCGTGGTGGGGGGGTTGCCTTTGGTGGTGATGACCAAAGGCAGGGGGCTTGGTGCTATCCTAGCGATTGGGAAGGTGATAGAGCTGGTCAGCAGAGAAACCAGGATGACAGCTGGACCAGCGATCACTATGAGAGGAAAAAGATGGACGGTTTAGAGGGAAGGAGAGCTGAAGGCGGGGGAGGGTTCCGAGTTTTAAAATTTTCGAAAAAGGGTTCGGGGCGGTGTTTAGGGCAAAGCGGACCTTCTCTTGGTCCAAGTCACGACAAAACGGGGGAGGAAAAGAGATCGAAAAAATGACGCACGGCGCTTGAAAATCCCGCGAGAAGTGGGTTTTGGTGGAGCGAACAGGACAACAGGTACTACACTGGACTTTTGCAGGACACAGAACTCAACTTACCGAGAAACCTTGAACTCGCGCTCAGTCTAAAGAGAGACAAGCGAAAGTCTCATGTCGAAAAAAGAAGGAGAGAGGCACAGAGCATGCAGAACAGATGAGCAGGCTGCAGAGAATGGAAGAGCGCAGGCAGGTTGACCGTTTGGGTCGAGGTCGAGATCTCGATCGAGCCCGGCCTGCACTGCTTACGGCAGCATTGGGCAGTGACAGGAGTGGTCGACAACTCGAAGGGACAGTACCTGAGGATACAGAGCGGAGCCCCCAGAGACTGTGCAGTTCTGGTATCCAAATGTACCTCCTTCATCCAGCTCTCCACAGTCCACATGTGAGTCCTGACAAGGTCGAGAGCAGTACATAAGTTACTACATAGTACATACTACATAGGCATACTGGCTACATACTACATAGTAGAAATAGATACCTTAGTAAGACTTCAAGGTTTGTAGCTATAGTCCTGTAGAACTAGGCGCAATTCAGACTCATGCCCGTGATACTATTGCCGGGGTACCTCGTCCTCCAGTCCTCTACAGACTTTGAGTGGAGATCCAGTATGGTCCGTCTCAGACTCGACAATAGTGAGATCCACGTGGATTCACAACTTATGAACACAGTGATGCTAATAACCATACGCAGTGGGTATGGTTATAAGATGCATATGCAGCGCAGCAGTATACACCATGCAGTATGCATCGGTACAGTGTGTAGACTGTAGACTGTAGATTGACTTCAGACTGAATATTGATGCTAGAATCGATAGTCTCCAAGTGTCTAGACAAACTCGATCAACCTACGCCCATCCAAGGAAAATGCCGACCATGCCAAACGATCCATACCGTTGGAAGGACGCGACGGGGCTACCTCCCGTTTTGGCCGCGCTCTCGTAGGTTTACAGAGTAGGTTGGGCAGCAGCTTAGCGTTCGACATATCGGAGGAGTCTACCTAAGTCGTTGACAGGGGCTCTTCTATACCCAAGGAAGCTAGGCAATTTCAAGCTCGAAGGTTGGTCTGGAGTGCCAAGAAAGCCCACGTACTCGACAAACACAGCAAGGGTCAAGGAGTGATATTCTCACAACTTTTGGGACATGGAGCTAGCAGTGTGGACGGAAATTACTAGCAAATTGAAATTGTACATAAGGTAACTGCATGTAGTAATTACCTCTGTAAAGTTCTTCCTGACACCCGTCTTCCGGTCGTAGGACGGAAAACGCCCCTCATTCAGAAGCCACATGTGACCTATAGTACGAATTCCATGAAACCAAGATGATTTTAAACATATTTATTTTCGCGGAGCAGAACCTCCGCGACGGGAGCCTCGATTATCAAGATACCTTCTCGAGCCAAACGTAAGTCTTCGGAGCACTTATCAGAGGTGTCGGTCGCTACGAAATACACCTATTTATCAGAATTCGAGCCTTGCCCGTCTCAGCTAAAGTGAACTGCAAACACGGTCAGTACTATGGACTAAGATACATAAAAGCCTTAGTGTCTCGGGAGTCAAGATATCGAATTGACTTTATCAACGGGAGATCACAGCCCGAGCTGTATGATGCGTCCGCAGGGATGATCACAGACACCTAGTGGTACTCTAGCTGACCAGTACCTACTAGCGAGGCCCGTCCTCAGAGGAACAATCGATATTGATCTATGGTCGGGATTTCTCAACGGACCACCAGCCAATATCAGGTCTGTTGGCCATGTGTTCCAAGCGCTCAGGACTGGAGGCGGCCGCAGGGACGGGTTGCTGATGGAACCCACGTCGCAGGGAAGGGCTACATGAGTGTGCATAGCGCATACTGCATAGCACATGTTGCATACAGGCTACTGCTAGACTCTAGTGAGTCGCAATTCAAAGTGACCAAGAAGTGCAAGGCAAAGCATCCAAATCCCTTGGCGAATCGATAGTCCCCGAGGTACTGAAGATGATCTCCTTTGGCCTTCATTCGCTGATCATGACTCGTGAGCTCGCAGCTTCAACCGACTCGACTGAATCGAGTCTCCCTGCCTGCCAGGTAGCCTGCACCGCCAGGTGTAGTTGTACTGTACCTCTGTGTACAATGTTGCTATTTACTGTATAGGACCAGCAGGTGAAACCAACCTTGTTTACTTTCTTGGTGATACAGACAGACATTGCAGTCATTGCACTTACTCACCATCTTTTGCGACCCTTGATTTTGCTTGCCATCGTAGACTCAACCTAGTTGCAACCGCGGTACTTTGCCAAAGTCACAATCGGCATTCTGGACCGCATTCTTGCAGATGGTATCCAATATATCCAAGTCCTCCCGTATTCATATGCGACGAATGATATGATAAATACGGATATGCAGTGTCACATGTAAATTTCAGCTGATATTCGGATGCTGACCCGGGCATCTTCTACGCTTTTTGATAGCAGTACATCTCAATCTGATCCATTTGATCCCACTGTGCTGGCAGGTTGACCGCTACGTGCGATGAGTGAAATCCTGCAGTCCGCATGAGATCGAAAAAGACAGCCTCGCTCTCGTGCCGTCGCTTCAGGGCTACGAGGATTAACAGTTCCGGTGATTCTTGCACAAAGCGACCAAGCACTGACACCAAAGCGGGCAGACTGTCGGCGTTATAAGTACAGTCGGATACAAGAATCAGATCAGTCGTCTCGCCGACGAGTGCAGGCGTGGGTTCATCCCAGTCAAGGGTCTGAAATGTGACCGATGTCGATGTGTGCTGGGACGAGGCCTCTTTGATATTACGACTGACAATATCAGAGACCTCCGGCAGATCGGTGAGAATCACTTCACAATTCTTGTGCATGGTGGCCACTGCAATTCCCACTATGCCGCACCCAGCGCCGAGCTCAACGACTCGGAGCGAGGCCGTGCCGGGGGCCAGTAGCTTCGTCAGACCAGACATCGTTGTCTCGCTGCCGCTCACCACTCGGTCCAGAAACACGACAGCTGCAAGAGCTGCGTCCCTGTGGTGTTCCGCGAGACGCGGGTTAGTCGCAGATTGATGGAAAAGGGTAACCGAGCCATGACTGACCAGATGTGCCGAGCGATACTATTCCCCGTTTCTTCCCAGATAGACAGAGGTCGTAGATGTCCCGGAATACACAAGTCTCGTCGAATCAAAGGCTCGGCAGGCTCCCACTGAGGACCGAAAGGTGCACTATTTGCGGATATCACCAAGGGAATGGACCCTTCTTCTAAAGTATCTCTCTCCACGTCTGCGAGCTGGATTTTCAACACGGCCGTTTGCGCGGTCACCGCGCTCAACGAGAAAGGCCCCAGCGAGACGGCTGATTGGCGAGACCCAGCTTGCCATCGGAAAGTTGTCTGGGCTCGCACTTTGTGTGAGGAGTGTTGAACCCAGCTGGCGGTCAAGTCCACCTCTTCGGCGAGGAAATCATCCCCAAGATCCGTCGAGATGCATATCAGTGCTGAAATATACGCAGACTGTTTTTGCTTCTGGAACCGTGGTGTTTTGAGAAACCGAATATAATAGACCATGTTTGATTCTGGGACTCTGTCGAATGAGCTCGTGAAAACCTTTCCACGACTAGAGATACAACTGTCTGTCTCTTGGCCCACTTCAAGTCACGGTCGACGTTTCACCCCAGAGTTCCTCAATAGGCTCAAACTAGGTACAGCACGTCTCTCCTTTTTCAGGACAATAATTCCATCTCAACTCCAGGGCATAACCAAACGTTGTACACCGTGATATCACGTGCCGTGGACGACTGACAAACAAGGCCCCCACCACGCTCAATCAACCAGTGACGGAAGACAGCTCGGACCCCGGTCGGGCCAGGATTCATGACATCGCCGTTGTGCTGGTGGTGCTTGGGCATGATCACACCTCTATCGGGTTCAGGCCATCTCGATTTCAACATTCCACGCCGTCGTCTGTGACAATGACGATCACAACGCGCTGATGTAGTCCAGCAACGTCCTTTTTTTCTGCCTCCATTCAGCCTATCTCCAGTGTTCAGTGGTCCACTGCTCCCAATATTCTCAATCCAAAGATGATGCGCCCGCGGGATCCGCGCATCCGGCAGCGGATCAATCAAATCTCGCACAATTTAGAGTCTGCCAATGAGTCTGCCCAAGAGGGAATCTACACCTTCTCACAGAATTACATTTCTCCGTGTCTGAGCGGAATCGGCCAATGTGTTCAATCATGCACAGCACCTTGCTTCCCAAGCCGTGAAGACCAGCTGCGCCGTCGTCGCCGCGGTCGTGCCGAGGCCAACTTCGACTTTTACGATGACTGGGAAACCGAGGAAGGCGAGGAAAGTTTGCTCGGTTGGGGCACCGGAGAGCTCGACCGATTGCTGGCAGGAAGTGGACTGTCTCGCGGTAGCACCAGCGAACAGCCGCGACGGCAGAGAAAGTTGAGCTATGGCACTCGGCAGACGAGGCGGCGCAGCACGGTACACACTTCCGATTCTCGCGACGACCCAACAGTCATACCAAAGTCTTCGTTTCTGGGCTTTCTCGAACGACTGCCCTGGCGCATTGGTCCCAAGGGCCTCAAGTACCGGCCCTCCGCGGCTGATTTACAGGAACACCCGGGGAGCCATCATCGTCATGTGCAGGAGGATGAGCCGTTGATGGAAGCTTCCGAAGACGAACAGGAACACGTCTCTTACCAGAATGGCGGACGACAACGGAGTGCAACTCAATCGTCCCGAGGCACCACCAACTCCCTGAGCTCCCGGGGTGACCTGTTCCCGAGCGACGAAGAGGACGCGGTACCCCTGGACGACGAGTTTGCGCTGACACTCGGTCGGCGAAACACAGGTCTTGAATCAGACGATCAGTCTGGCAACATTTCGAAGATGGCGAGGTCATCTTCAGGCACTTCCAGCCTTGGTGGCGCGTCCTCCAAGAACCCCAAACGCAGAAAGAAGAGGCGCTCGTCGACCAAGACTGCTACACACCCGGATTCAGAAGTAGCTTCTGGGAATGAGATGCCGTCTCTTGCGGATCTCAAAGTCGAGGAAGAGCAAGTGGCGCAGGAAGAGGAATCCGCCGTCGAGAGCAAGCGAATTGCTGCTCAGGACTTGGCGATAAAACGCGGCCTAGAGTCAAGCGGCGCTATTACGGTATGAATATTTAACCTCATTGCTTTGAACCTCGAAAAATTGACCTCTTCGTTGCAGTCTTCCCCCGTCTCGATCAGCAATAGTCCAGGAATCAATCCCCCATTCATATCAAATATCCAAACGGCAGATTCAACCCCAATACCCATGGACTCCACTCAATCAAGGCGCGACCCTCTGCTCCATCCTTCCTCCGAAGACGACCTCCTGGAACCCTTTCCCCCCTTCACAGCGTCGGCTAGCTCAATAATTTCTAATTCCCCAACCGCAGGTTCGGTTCCACCGCGGCCCGGCTCCGTTAAAGATGCCGGGGCCATCAATCATGTCCAGGAGCCGCGTAACGAACCTTCAGACGAACCCTAACAATGATATGAATTTGCGCCAGCTCCTGGCAAAACTCGCCATAACCGGCTTGTATGATATGATGACTATCTTTTTGCCCGAACTATCCTATACCCGCACAATAATGAAACAAGAAAGACGAGACAAAATCCCCCGTGGATGGTGATGGCTCAAACGCCGAATCTATGCGGACTGATTTCTTTGCACAATATGCTCCGCAATATTTGGTATCCCAGTCGGAGACGGGACCTATCCGTCGAGTCTGTGATCCGCGAATGTCTATGGTGTGTGCGACTATTCTTGATACACTGAGAGTTGTTCAGTCATTGCCAATGACTGGAGTGCGAGCCCAATATCATGGATAAAAGAAGTACGACTTCTGTAGTATAGAATGCCACATCTGTAGTCGTACACGTTGTAGGCTCCTTTTGTCTTGCCACATTCGGCGAGTGTGGCTCCCTCATTAGACAGGGCACATATAGTTTGTGAAGCACAGTATCCGTGAACGTCGCTCTGCTCTCCGGTCGAGGCTTATTCGTTCCCCCTTGACCGATCAATTCAATACGGACGGCATGGAATGTCGTAAATGACCCGGATCACTATCACTCCATTGGGCGCCAGAGTGTAATTGCTGGCCATTGTCGACCAGAAGCCCAGAGTCATACGTGGATCCCGATGGGACAACGGGCAGCGTCGAAGTCGAGGCTTTCTGGGGATCCGGCAGAGCCGCACTTTCCTGGTACAGCCAAGATGGGTTGGCAAGGAACATGATTTCTTGGTCGAAGATGGTCCAGGAGTCGTCGGTTATCGGACCGGGAAAGGCGAGCACGGAGCCGTGATTTGGAGGGGTGTGCATTGCTTGCATGTTTGACTCTAGTCGCCGAGACAAGACGGTGTGAATGCTCATTGTCGACGGGTGACTTCTTTCCAGACTTTGAAAATGAGCTTGGATGAGGTGAAGATCTACGGGATGCGTTAGGTCCATCATGAGAAAAATTCTGCCTGTGTCTGGAGATTCTTGATGCGACGAACCATCTTGATGCGTCATGCCGTCTTCCACGCCGCGCAATAGTAGCATTGCAGCCCATGTTATCATCTGGACTCAATTAAGTTTGACTAATCCAACTGGTTCATCTCAGGGTATATCAGAACTCACGATCAAATCCCAGTTGGACCAAATACTGGTATCATCTTGCCGTAGTCGCAGCACGGCTCTAGCCGAGACGAGCAACTCGTGCCTTTCGGCTGGGGTGATCTTTGCGGCACTCAAGTCAAACCCCCGGGCTGGGTAGTATATAGAGAGCACATAGAGCTTGTGCAAATGATATTGCAGTAAAATCAAAATTCCCTGTCGATCTGACGGACTAGGTTCTTTGAGAGAGTTAGCCATCATCCACCTTCTCAGAAACGCTCCCTTCCGAAATTGCAAAGCCCTTACGTGAGGTGCCGTTATACCGCACAAGCCAATCATCCAACTTGCGCGCCCACAGTCGAATGACATCGGAATCATGGCTTGAAAAATTCGATTCGAGTGAAGGCGTATCTGCGGCGAGGTCGGTATTGATTGCACACCAGATTGTTGGCAGTCCTTTGCCAACAAAATGACTCAGACCGTAATGCATCATATTAGCGAGATCTTGAAAAGCGTTGCCCTCATGTGTATCGAGTCGCTGAGATCTGAATCTTGGCGGCTGGCGAGGTAGCAACGGATATGTCATATGCATTGAAGCATGCTCAATGTCGATGAGCTGACGAGGTGTTAGTGGGCACACAGAGACGAAGCGATTGGGAAATCTTGATACCTGTAGGCCACAGAATAGAGCCCGCCAGTCAGAATGATTGGGATCCGCCTCAGCAGGGCAATGATCAAGCCAAAGTCTATAGGCAATTGCAATCCATGAGCCTGTGGAGTTGACAAATGCCTCAGAGCTTAGAGTGGCCATGATCAAGCCGAGAATATTATGGAAGACTTCATCTTGTTTATGAACTGACGAAACCGTTGAGTAGGCCTCCTTTGCGGTGCCTCCTGTTGATGCCGAAAGCCTCCTAGTACAAGGATTGATCAATTGGGATATTGCACAACACATGGCGTTGAAGTAACCAGATTCCGTCACTGCAAGGTCTGGTTGTTTGCTGAGCAGCGCAGAGATGTAAAGCACTGAGGCTAGAAGCAAAGGTGTGGGCAACTCAAACACTATTCTATCTTTGAGGAAGTGGAGGAGCGGTAAATTCTCGAGAAACCTACGAGACTGTCAATGTTGGGCGCTGACATCCACTGTGGACAAAGCACTTACGCGCTCCACAGACTTCTCACGACTGGTCTTGACCATATCCTTTCCTCTGGAACTGGGCGCGTTATCGTCCTCAGATCTGCCATTGCGTTCCACAGACCTTGCATGAATGCATTGTCGTCCAGACGTTCATCGTCTCCAGTTTCAGTCAAAGTGACTGACGGTGACGCAGAATTGCTAATTCCTAATGCGGCCTCGATTCGATCGAGTCGGTTAAGAATGACTTGCTGATCAAATGCTGGCCGTTGAGAATTGACGAGCTCGCCGTGGGCTTCATCAATCAATTCATGCAATGCTGATGCCTTCCAAATTTGTAAAAAAAAGTGTAAGCTCGGGTGTCTCAATGCTGTAGATACTCCACATGCTACTGTGCAATACTTACATTGGCGCGAGGTTTGAATATACAAGGTATTTGATTGTGACGACAGCGGCGGCATGGAGGTGCACCCGAGACTTCGCATTTCATCTAAGATGATCTCAGCACACTCCATCCTAGGAAATCCAAACTGGTGCAGCCATGAAGAGATTCAATCCCGCACCTTTAGTCGTCGGCAATTGACTAGTAGCAATACTGTCAGCTCAACTTGTCATTTAAAAAGATGCCATGAACTAACCGCAAGCCTTAGTCGGCTTTGGCCCTGACATGACGCCCCTGCTCTTGAACATATTGTCCTTTCTACTTAGTGTCACATTGTATGATGAGAGATAATGCTTACCTTGGCACTCCTCGCTCCGCTCTCTCTTATCAACAGCCAGTAGCCACGTGAGACGGGGCGTATAGAACCCCGATTATCCGGGGAAGGATCCGCTAAACCAGTTCAGGACTGGATTGTGCGCCAAGAACGACATTCACGCTCCTCAACCATTTTACCATTGAAAGGGACTATCCGGCAAAAGACGACACAGGGTCCGGGCGGAACAAATACATCTAATTTCGACATCAGAAGTAGTTATCGAAGCTTCAAAGATCATATAATAATCACGTACGGTTGCATTGTATACAGCAAAGACTATAGCGTACACTGTCCTCACGTTTTTAGTCCGCCCTGCGTAGGCTGAAAGTGTTTCCAGGGCGGTTCCGAGAAACGGAGACGCAAAGTGTACCTCATGAAGGGTTCACATTTGCATGGTTCTTGCGCTTGCATTCATCTTTGGTAAGATAGAATGCCACGTCACTTGATCAATGGAAATGAGTGATCAAGGACGTGAGAATAGCTCTAGTGCTGAAAGCACGTATAGATCTTGAAGCGCGGGCAATTTGGGAGGGACATTGGCGTCCGAGGGGTGGAAGGGGTTGAAAAAGGCGAGAGAAAAAACGCGCGATAAGTTTCATACACGTCATGTCAGACTAAATATTTGTACAGGTGGATGCAAAGGTGGAGGAGATGCAAGAATTGAAGAGGTGAGTAAAAGTACAAAGGGAAGTGGTTGGGGTATAGTGTGGTCACTTTCCTGGCTCAAATCAACCTGTCAAAAGAGAGGACGTTGAGCGAGTGTGCAGATCGTGGCAAAGAAGAAGGCTCAGGAAGCAGGATTGTCACCTTACTGGCCCATAGACAACTTTCGGACGTCCCAGTCAAATCCGGCCCAGTCCTTCTTCTCGCCAAGAACACAAGTTGTCTTTCGGGTGCCGTTCACCAGGAATCGATCAGCGACCTCGTTGACATCCCTGGCAGTGACATCCAAAACCTGTTCTCTCCATCGCTGGTCCATTTCATGGGTGACCCCACTCATGAAGTAGCGCGCACCTTCGTCATCAACACTGACTGGAGCATCGAGACCTTGGAAGATTCCCAACTTGGCCTCCTCGATCTCTCGTTCGGACCAGGCGCGGTCCCTGGCAAAGAGACCGCTGTTCTGGAAGACCTTCAATGAGTTCATGGGGTTGGGGTCGCGGTAACTCATAAAGGTGAAGATGCCCTTCAGGGGACCATTGCTGGCACCAGCTCCGTAAGCGCCACCCTTCTCTCGAATCTCGGGGTGCAGATAGTTGTGCGTGAGCATTTGTGACAGAACAGTGAGGGGCGCACTGGCAGAATCGGTGAATGGCACAGTCTGCATAGCTTGACCGGAATAGTAGACTTTGTAAGGAAGGTCATAGAAGGCCTTGCCGACAGATTTGAAAGACGGGGCCCCAGCTGCACGGGGAGAGGGAACACGAGGCAGACCTGACAGCCACTTCTGTAGAGTGGCCTCATTCCGTGTCGAACTTTCCGCCTCACAGACGAGACGCACACGGAGACCAGAAGTTCTTGAGATGGCGAATAATTGAATCAAACGAAGCTTGTCTATCAGCTCATGAAGCCGCTCGGGAGATGTCTCCGCATCCCGAAGAAGGTTTGCGGTAGCTTGTAACTGTTCCAGACCAGACTGTTGTTCCTGAATCCACAAGCTACGGGAAAGGTTCGCTGCTGCAGCGTTTACTGCAAACCGATGACCGGTCGACGCGACGGAATCAAGAGCTCCATTAGTTGTCAGGCGCAGCAACTCCTGGATCATAGCAGGAGCAGCGGGGCTTGAGAAGTCAGTCTCCATCACCAGAGTAGAGAGGATGTCGAGCATTTCAGGGATGTTCTGATCCAGGGCGAATCCAGAGAACTGCAGTCCTTCTTTAATCTGATCCAACTGCGTGGGGGATGAAACGAGAAAAGAGGAGGTGGAAACACCGCCTGTTTTCAACTTGATGAGATCCTCCCACTGTTCCATGGAGCGATTGGCAGTACCCAGCCTCATCACGCAGTCATTGAAAAGTGGCATTAGGAGTCGTAGGTCATCAGGCAGGTCTTCAAACGCATTCACGGCGTGGAAATAGGTCAGCCCATTGGTAGGGGCCTCGCGCCAAACAACTTCTGTGTCCTCAATTTTCGATTCGCGCACACATTTGCGTTCTTTTTCACGGGAGATATCCTTGACTCGAAGGGTGGGAAGGCAGCTCAGATCGGCATTGTGTGCATCCTCTTGAATCTTCAAGAGCTCAAACTCCGCATTGGTAAGACTTGCTACTGCTTGCTCAACGGAACCATGCTGTTCAACGAGCTTGGCAAGCTTCTGTTCTTTGCGCACCGCCTCCTTGTCGTCCAAATCCTGATTGAAAGATGGTGTGCCGACCATTGTGAACGTCATACACCGGTCGTTGAGAAGATACTTCTCTACCAATGACTCCAGATACCCAGGCTTCTCGTACCGCCTCTTGAATTCCTCGATAACGTCATTCCAAGCCAGCTCCTTCATTGGATTGGCACCGTTGAACCACGACGACAAGGTCTTTTCCATGATGCCGATTCCAAAGTTGGCAGTTTTGTGGCGCAAAGACAGTTCCAGTTGGTGAAGGATGCCACGAACCTTTTCCTCACTAAACCCAGTCGAGACGGTTTCACGGAAGGCCTTTTGTATAACATCCTTCACGGTGGCTGCATCTGCTTCACCGACGCCTGTGACACCAACGGAGAATATGGGAATTCTTCCGGACGAGTCCAAGCCTGTGTTTGGAGTGAAAGATGAGCCAAGTCCGCTCTCGATCAAAGCGCGATACATCGGCGAGCCATATCCGTCCAAGAACAAAGAAGAAATGATTCCCACAGAAAAAGTCTCGACTGTATCAGTCGAATCACCCATGTACCAGGATGTGGATGTCTTGTGCTGTTTGTCGTCGCTTGAGAATGTATCGACTGGACCGGGCACGGTTATAGTCAGTTGCTGACCCAGGTCAAGAGGCGACTTGACATCGGTATCGGCCGTGCCTTTGCTGAATCCGTCCAGGACCGCTCCAACTTGCTCGAGGTGGCGTGCCAGGGGCATATCACCGTAGGTCAAAATCTTCGAGTTGCTAGGGTGGTAGTTGCGCTTTGAGAATTCGGTCAACTGCTGGTGAGTAAGGTCTGTGATGAACTCAGGATCACCTCCAGAATTATTCAGAGCCGGGATGATGCTCTCCTTAAAACGGATATAGTATAGATAATTTGAATCCGAGATCTGCCCCTTCATTTCATTGTATACCACACCCTTGAAGACAATGTCGTCCAGACTGGCTTCCTTTTCGGGTTCTCCAGTGTTCGACAGGAGCGCACGCAGATCTTCAGGACCCAATCGCCAGCCTTCCTGTCTAAAGTCAGCCTCTTTTAGTAGAGGGTGCAAAGTAGCGTCAAGATAGACAGAAAGGAGATTTTGGAAATCCTGCGGGTTGGTCGTTGCGAAGGGATATGTGGTATGGTCCGAGGATGTGAAGGCATTCATGAAGTTTGAAAGAGACCGCGGAAGCATCTTGAAGAAAGGGTCACGAATCGGGTACCTGAAGTCGAGCAGGTCAGCAGGATGTTCAATATGAATGACCCAAGACTTGACACGGACCTTTCACTTCCGCAGAGGGTGGTGTGCTCGAGAATATGAGGTACACCGGTAGCATCAGGAGGATTTGTCTTGAAGCCGATTCCAAACACATTGTTCTTATCATCACGAGCGACGTGCAGATAATCGGCATCAGTCTTGTCATGCGTAAGACGCACTGCGGTCAAGTGTAGCTCGGGGACATGTTTTTTTTCGCGAACAGTAAACCCATGGAGTCTCTCGCCAACAGCCGGAAAGTTTTCGAGATCCGTCACAGACGACGCAAATCTGATTCCTTGAAAGCGCTGGGAGGTTACTGGGCCTAGCCCTGAGAGGCGGCTCGAATTCAATCGGCGCAAAGCTGGGACTCGGGCTTTGCCCAGACCCATCGAAGATCGCAGCATAGTATGGTAATGAGACAACCTTAACGCTCTGGCCGAGCAGAGGAAGTGAAATGTCAGGGCAGATCAATATCGCCACATCGGTCAAGCAATGTCAAGGGGCACTTCGGTGGACGTTTGGACATTTGTAAGACTCAGAGCTACCTATGGACCGATGTTAATCGGGCCGAGATCGCCGGGGGTTAGATAATCCGGCAGGGCAGGTTATCATACTGCGCGCAGTAGTGATCAGATAGTAACATCGTCATCTTCTGTACCGAGTGCGCAGACCTAACTTCTCGAAACCCCCACAGTCGTTTCCCTAGCCTTTTTCATTCCGGTCCGATCAAAACATCGATCCCGACAGTGATTCAAGCCGGTGGCTGGCCGGTGTTCCTCTCCGAGTCCGCGGCTGGTTCGATGACTAAGGGACCCCCTCGTCGAGTTCTCCGAATATCACCGCTAAAAAGAACCAGAAGTTGCGCGTGCAGGAATAGCACAATTTGCTTCAAGGTTGTTGACCCAGAGGGGACCTAGATATTGAGTCGGTGCTACCTCTGGGATCACAGTGTTGTCACTGCTGCGAGTTGAAGAAGCCTTTGCTATTTGGTGGGCTCGAGTTCCGCAAATTGGTATTGCACAAATTTTGAGCCTAGGCATGCTCACACGACCTTTTTGCGTCTTACTCATACAAAATTCTGTGACCCTGGAGCTCGAGTTAATTGATTGTGGATTTCAAATATGTCTTCAACAACAATGGCAAAAAAGAACAAGGGGAAGAAGGTAGCAGACCCGAATGAGACCTCCAAACTGCTTGCGGCCAAGATCTCTCAGCTCGAGCAAGATGCTGCTGGAGAGAAAGATCAGGAACAGGAAATTGGTAAGAAGCCCTATATGTCGGAGGTCATCATGATGCGCTTGAGGCTCATTCACTGAATGTGTTCTAACCAATCTTGCATCCTAGAGCGTGAAGTCAAGAAGGCTACCCGCGATCTCAATCAGCTTCTCAACAACATCGAGTCCCCCATGACCCGCTTGGAAACCGTTCATAAGAAGTACACTGAGCTGTTGGCGGATATGAAGAAGCTGGACCGGGACTACGCCAAATCAAAGAAACGTGCCGATCAGTTGCAGAAGGAGCAGGAAAAGGGAAAGTCTGAGCTCAACAAAACTGTGACCATGAAGGATAAATTGGAAAAGCTCTGCCGTGAGTTGACGAAAGAGAACAAAAAGGTGAAGGTAAGAGGTGTCTTGCGTGGCGTAGGCGCGCTGAGCGTTTGCTTTTCTAAACCATTGTTTGCTGCACACGGGCGTGTTCTTACAATCGCACACAACCCAGGACGAGAACAAGAAGCTTGAGGACACTGAAAAAAGAGCTCGCCTCATTGTGAACGAACGACTCGATTCTTTGCTCTACGATATTCAAGACGTGATGTCTTCTAAGGGCAGCAATCGAAACGAACAGATGGACATCGACCTTGATGACATGTACGTCCCCGCACATTTCACAACCTTAATTTTTCTCTCGCTAAAACAATCTTCAAGTGTCAAATCAAAATTGAAGGTCATCGTTGACCAGGCCGACATTCGTGACCTTCACTGGAAGGCTTTTGTTCGCAGCAAGGACGCGGAAATTCAAGCTCTCACGATCAAATTCGAGGAGCAACGCCGAACTGCCGAAAATGAAATCAGCCGCGGCCGGGCCCTGAGTGCCCAAGTCTCGACCTTTTCACAGACTGAAGCGGAGTTGCGAAGCCAACTTAACATCTACGTTGAAAAATTCAAGCAGGTGAGGGGCTTTTTTTGCGAGGTCCAGTTCCAATTTGCTGTCACTAACACAGACCAGGTTGAGGATACGCTGAACAACAGCAACGAGCTGTTCCTGACTTTCCGGAAGGAGATGGAGGAAATGTCAAAGAAAACAAAGCGTCTCGAGAAGGAGAACCACACTTTGAACCGGAAGCACGAGCAGACCAACCGCAACATCCTGGAGATGGCCGAGGAACGGACTCGCAATCAGGACGAGCTGCACAAGTGGCGACGCAAGTGTCAGCATCTGGAGGCCCTGTGTCGACGCATGCAGGCTCAAGGTCGTGGCGAAGGCCTCGCCGACGGTGAAGATCATCTGGACCATGATGATGAGGGTACTGAGAGCGAGTACGACGAGGAATACGAGGATGCCGACGACCTGAGTGAGGACGAAGGCACAGATGGACCCGAGGGAGCATCCGATGCTTTCCAAGCCGATACCGCTGCTCTCCGACCCGTCTTCGGACCACCTCCTCCCCCCAACCTCTTGGAGGCTCGAACCACGCAGGGGGCCGTTCAGAATGGATGCTACTGACTTAGGGGTGTCACTCCTTGAGTTATGTGCTGTTCTTCATTCGTTTGAGCGTTGATTACGATTACTACGACCGTTCATGCACTGTGGTCCCAGCTCGCCGATTACTGGTTCTCAGCCGTTGGCGCCCAAGCGATCAGATCACTGATACGAACGTAGAGACTGTGTAGTGGTGCTGGATTTGTTCGTTCTAATATTTGTGGTCGCAGATGAACGAAGGATGACTATCTTGTGGATTCAAGAAATACCCCATTTGGATATTCTGTTGGCTTACGAGATCACTCCATATGTCTATTTCGTCATGTGCAGTTTTCCCCAAACGCAAAGAACGCAATCCTCACACTACTGCCAACTCATTTCCAAATAACCAATCTTTCCAAGCAGTACATTCTTTATCTCGTAAACTATGATTGACCCTCTGGATACGACTGCTTCTGGCCTACAGCTTGCTTGATTTTTCCTCCCCCTAATGTAACCATGTCCAGTCTTGAGGACCTGGATAGCCTGCTGGACCATCTCCTTGACAATGTCTCCCGCGGGCTTGATTTCCTTGACACTGGCCGACACATCACCCATGAGGAAGGGCATGTCAACATCCTTGTCGTTTTCCAGGTCATGCATCATCGGTACCACTCCCTTTGCCGTCAGGGCCGCAATGTCCGCCGGACGGCTCTCCCACTCCTTGACATAGTCGTTGGGCAGCATTCGTAGCGGGCGCCCCGAGATGACCAGAGTCCGACGTGTTTCACCATACTGCGCCTTGACGACGGCCTCCTTATGCATCCGGCTCGCACCGCTCTCCTCCGACGCGACAAATCGTGTTCCCACCCAGACACCAGCTGCTCCGAGCATCAATGAGGCCGCCAAACTCCGACCGTCGTTGACTCCACCAGCGGCAACAACCATTGCCGGCTGCCCCGTCAAGGGACTGCGGTACTTGCGCGCCACATCGACAACGGCGGGGATCAACACTGAGAATGGGATATCACCTGTATGGCCACCCCCTTCTCCACCCTGCGCGCAGACAATATCGACCCCCCGTTGCAGCGCCTTTTCCGCATGTTTTGGGGCTCCGACCATGTTCATCACCAAGATGCCTGCTTCATGAAGGCGCTTGATGGTCTTCTCGGGTGGAACACCCACGGCTGAGACGAATAGCTTTGCGCCGTGCTTGATTGTCACTTCGATCAATTCGTCTAGATGGCCGTGGGTATAGTCGTGATTGGTGGCTCGGGCACCACCACCTACTTGCGGTAGGGCGAGATCCACGCCAAAGGGAAGATTGGGCTCTTTAAGAAGAGACTTGAGCTCAATAAGCATCTCCGAGAGCTGCTCGGGGGTGTAGCCCAAACCGCCCACGGTTCCAAGCCCACCGGCATTAGACACTGCCGCTGCAAGAGGTGCACTCGAGGCACGAGCCATACCTGCCAGCAGGATGGGGTGCTGAATGTTCAAGAGGTTGCATAATGGGGTTTGAATAGACATTGTGCTGGAAGGAGATCGAGCGCGGGCGGTTGTTTGGAAATGGGTGAAACACTCAGTGAGAAGGCAGCGCGTCTTGGGTATCTGCCTAAGGCTCTCGGGGTGACAGACTGCTGCGGTTCAATAAAATCACTCGAATTCGAATTCGAATTGAAGTTTCAGTCTGTTCGAGTCTGTAGTACAGGTTTCCCTGCTTGATCGTGGCTTTTACAGGTACAAAAGGCGATGCTTCTCCGCTTGTTCTTGTATGCGGGGAAACTGGCAGGGCTGTCGATCTGCCCGCCGGACCGAGGCATCCATCGCTAGCTCCAATCGGGGGCGAATTGTGAATTGGAGATCAGCTGCTTATGCGAACAATGCCCGGATGCACCATTTGTTCCCAAGTATGCTAACCACGCATGAGATTTAAGTCCGAGCAGATGAGCTTTCAACCTGCGGAGCTTGCATTTAGCTAGCTGCTTAGATTAATACGTCATTTCAATTCCCAATTTCACTTCGAGTATAACACCTGCTCAATCCACGTTCGACGTCTGTGGAACGCTTGTAGACACAGTCGGATAACATGTAGTCATGTACTGATGTACTACAAGGTCCATCAGGTACTCCACGCAAAGTATCCACCTCAGTAGCGCCCCTAGCTGAAACTTGATGCAAGAAACGAACCGGCAAGCTGGAGAGCTATTTTTCAAAATCTCTAGATCTCCGCTGCGCCATATGTTACGAAATTTCCCTGTGATTGAACTTCCAATTCAAGCTGAGGATAGCTCTCTCAAATGAAAAAGTCTGATGAAAAATGAAGCACAACAAGTTTTGATTTAGACGATAGATTTGGACCATTATTGATGTTTTCCGTCTCCGATAAGGTACTCTATGACATCTATCTGTCGCTCCACTACTACTCTGCCCTCCAAGATAATAGTTAAAGTGGGGGCCCTATTCACAGTACTAGGTCGTAAATAATACTGTACTGTTTCAGCCCAGTCTCCCGCTACTTGGGAAATAAAGAGCGTACATGAGCGTACATTACAAGGCCGAAACTGCAGTGCTAAAACAGAACAGGCCTAACACCCGCGACCCACTTTAATTATTATCTTGGAGGGCACAGTAGTGCAGTATCTACCTTCACAAGTTCACACGACGTCTCAGTACGTCTGGTACTCGACAAGAGACTCATGAAGGTGGTGATTAAAAGAAAAAGGAACAGTCCTTCCTCGCGCAGCTCTAATGTGCAACTCAGTGGAAGGGTATTTATGCACTCTCATGGCCATTTTGTGATTCCAGTGTACTTCGTTCGAGCCTTATCACAGTACCTGCAGCAATCTCAATGATCGGCGGCGGTCAGGCGCCTGTCCCCAAGGGGGAATGTAATTAGACGCGCTGAATCGTCGCGTGGAGCCTCGCGTCACCGGGCTTGTGTCCGCAACACTTTCCGAGGATTGTGAACAGTCCATCAATTCTGCCTCAGTCAGAAAGCTCGCAATGACCGCCACAGAGGATTATGGCTATTTACGGCCTCCAAGGTATGGCTGATCTGGCTGACAGTCTACAAGTCAAATTCAATCACCTGATAAACACGCAAAGGACCTACTCCCAGCTAACTCATTCCCCGGACTTCGCTGGTAGTGACGAGAAATATGATGCTGTTTATCGCCAGCCATCCTCCTACAACCCTCTCCACACATTCACTCTCCCCATGGGAAGTGACCGACACTACCAACAGCAGTATGGCGACATGTACTTTTTGCGATTGGCCAAATTGAAGCCTGCCGTCGAGAAAATTGCAACAGACGCGTGGGGTGAATTGACCGTAAGAGATTCACCAGAAGAGCTTTGGGGGAAATTCTGGCTGACGCAAAGATCGTGGGTGACGCCAGATTGCAGGGGAATCAGCAAGGCGAGTGGACCGAGTACTGGATGTGCGCCAGGGCGAGCTGTGCTGGATGGCCGGTACTGTGTATATGGACATGCCGCTGAAGCCCAATATTTTGGAGGATTTGACAAAGGAGGTGTGTTTGCTATATAACGATGCTACGGTTACTGTGTGGCGCTACTTGCTGATCATCACTTGCAGACCTTCACCTCCGCACCTCCCCCTCGCCGCACCTACACCGATCCCTCCAATCCGTCCGCGACTCAAATCATGGTGGAAGATGAATCTGGTCGAATCCGTCTGACCGGCAATTTGTTACTATCGACCCAATTGGCGACAGGTGTGATCATCGCAGCACTAGGAACCGAGACCGTTGATGGAGAGTTCGAAGTCATCGACATCAAGGTTCCCGATCTGGCTCCTCAACCTGAGCGATGGGCGCGAGGCCGCCTGCTTCCGGCTGAGTCAAAGGAAGCCGGCCAAGAGAAGTCTGGGAAGTCCGGAAAGATCGCCTTCATAAGTGGACTTGGGATCACAGGCTCCTCAAGCGATACGCTGGCTCTGGAGCTTCTGTCGGACTATTTACTTGGGTATACTGGAATTGACGACAGTGCTGATCCATCTCGAATCACCCGGCTTATCATCGCCGGTAATTCGCTGGGGGCGAGTGTTACCGCAGATGCAGCAGCAACGACCGCCGACAATGCTGTGAAGAAGAAATTGGCTCCGAAGAAGTATGGTTACGACGCGTCGGCGTACAACTCCTCGCCCATCACGCAACTTGACAATTTCTTGGCGGAACTATTACCTAGTATCCCGGTGACTTTGATGGCCGGTGAATCAGACCCGGCCAATTTCTCGCTTCCTCAGCAGGGCATCCACCGTGCCATGTTTCCTCGGTCGCGGGCGTACTGTGCACCTCCCTCTACTGGTGACAACAAGCAGGAAGTTGGATGGTTTGACAGCGTCTCCAACCCCTGGGAGGGCGACGTGGAAGGTTGGCGACTCTGGGGCTGTAGCGGCCAAAATGTGGATGATGTGCTGCGCTACCTCGACTTTCCGAGCGACGACGTAGACCCTGTTGTGGACCGCGATGACTCTGAGGCACGTCTGCGGATTATGGAGGCAATGCTCCGGTGGCGATGTGGAGTTCCAACAGCGCCGGATACAATCTGTAGGTCGTTGATCATGCAGCGAGGCCGACGCAATTTTTTACTAATCACCATTCCTATAGGGTCATATCCATTTCAAACCATCGATCCATTCATCCTCGAGTCCTCGCCCCATATCTTCTTCACCGGCAACCAACCCGTCTTCAAAACCACAGTGATCGAAGCAGAAGGGCCCTTTCGACTCGATGGCGACATGGAAATGAAGGACTCGGATGCGGACACACTCAATTCTCGTGTGCGAATCCTGTCGATTCCTCGATTCAAGGACACGGGAGAGCTGATATTGGTGGATACTGAGACTTTGGAAGTCGAAGTCATCCGCTTCGGTGCATTTGCCGGACAGGAGGAGAAGAAGTAAAAATATAGACATAGCATAGCAGTAACGGTGGGATAGTGTCATGATACCAACCAGACTACCTTTTTCAATTATTTGTTCCTCCCAAGTTACATGCTTTGGATTTCATTGCAGATGGTCATAGTAACGGTGGCGCTTGTTGGAGTCTACATATTGTCCTGGGTACTGCCAAGCCCCACTCCAGTGGCCAGGGAAGACATCGGAACAGAACTGAGACGGGATGGATTTTTGCTGGCGCTCCATACGATATTTCCAGCGAACCAGCGGATCATTCTGCCTCTGCCAGTCTCCTCTGCTTTTGAATCTGTCATCTATCAAGACTAAACGCATAAGGCTTGGTCCAAGTAGATCGGATTTCCAGTCGACAACACCCCCATCATCATCATGTTGATCAACGCTCAGACCGGTACGCACATAATATCCACGCGACGACAGGATGGTGAAAGACGAGCCGAGCTACTCGTCAGTAGTATCCATGTTTGCGTGACTGATGAATTTCGGCATCATCGATAGCCATATCAACGACCAAAGTACTTCTCGTCCCATATTCAACATGGCATGTCCCTCGCTATCATGAATGGATGCAGGACGAGGTAAGCTCGCCCACACTATTCTGAGCGAACGCTGGATGTTTGTGATCATTTGAGAAAAAGAAAAGCCTCAATTTTGCCTTATAAATCCAATCAATTGACAAATGTATTCCTGATTTACGATGCGGCTAACTTGAGGTAAAAAAAAAAACAGGACATTCAACAAGCGACTGCATCCGAGCCCCTCTCAATCGAGGAGGAATATGCAATGCAACGCAGCTGGCGACAAGACGCAGATAAATTAACATTCATCGTCTGCCGCCCCATCGGTAACCCAGATGATATCTCTGATGTCACTACGCACTTGTCTGCCGACTCCGACTCTCCCTCAAAAATGGTCGGCGACATCAATCTCTTCCTCCATGTCGATGACGGCGATGAAGGCGACGCGTCTCCAGAACTATACGGCGAAATCGAGCTCATGATCGCCGAGACAGCGAATCAAGGCCAGGGCTTCGGCAAGGCGGCTCTACTGACATTCCTGCGATACATCGTGGAGAAACAGACCGCTATTCTCGAAGAGTTCATCACGGCCGATGTCGATGCAGACACGGTGGGTAAATTGAGGGCTGCAACGCCGCGTCTGCGATTCTCGTATTTGAGTGTGAAGATTGGAGAGGCCAATTCTCGCAGTTTGGGCCTTTTCGAGAGGTTGGGGTTTGAGAAGGTCTCGAGTGAGCCGAATTACTTTGGGGAGTTCGAGTTGAGAAGGAGGGATTTCGAGCTTGCGTCTTTGGATGAGAGGCTTTTGGGTGCTGGCATTGAGGGTTATCGCGAGATGACTTATTCACGCGAGCAGTGAAGGGTGACAATCTCGAGACGAACAGGGGGAAGTCTGAAGTTGATGGTACTCTGGATGGATTTATTTGCAACATGACCAGACGGAGAATCACAAGGAGGAAATGACTCAAATCGAATCAGGACCAACGTCTAGGTGGATGGACCGAGCCAAAGAGAAAACAAACGTGCGCGAAATTGATCCCTCCCAGCGGGAACATCACGACAACAGCGAACCACCTCTCAGGCGCTGTACAAAGCCGGACCAGGAATCACATAGTTCTTCAACGAAGAATAGATGCTAATCAAGATACCGGGGTCGGTCTCCTGGTACAGTGCCTCACCCAAAGTACCCTGCGGCTCAGCACCTCCACCGCCAGTGACCTGCAAATTGAGGCACTGAGGGTAATTCTGCGCTCCATCCTTGGACCCAGCCGAATGCAGTCCGATAATCTCGTGACGCATCACATAGTTGCCCGACGCAATACTCTTCGGGATGGTCACCGTCCACCGGTTCCCAGCCGCAATCAGCTGGTCGGTGGCCCAAGTACCCGGGGGATTCGCATCGTTGATCAGACCTGCCTCGTCGATCTTGAAGAACTTCAAGGTGGTCTTGTCGACGGTGCTGCAGTCTCCGCCGCAAGATGCGAGGTATGTAATGACGGGACCGTGGTGGCTGTCCGGCCACGGGGTCCATTGGATTTCGACCTTGGAGCCGGCCGTCACGGGGGCTGAGAGAGCGGCGTTTTTACCGTCTCGGTGGCAGATGATGTTGGCGGATTGGTATTCGGTGCCGTCCTCGAAGCCCAGGTCGGTGGCTGTTGTGGCCCAGCCGACGCTCTTGGGCGGGTCGCTCATGTAGGGATAGGAGTCGGCGAGGTAGCCGGTATAGCTGGAAGGGAGTATACGTGAGTTTGTGCTCTCGTCGAATGAATCTCGTCCACGGTCGATGTTGACGTGGAACCCGGTGACTAGGTCTTGATGGAGAATTGCAACAGGATCTCGGTCCAGTTCTGTGATCAAATACAACGTACTTCTTGCCATCTGCCACAATGTTGGAAACATAACCGTGGCCTGCGACCATGGAGACATATGCCAGAAAGGCAGAGAGAGGGGTGATCTTCGAGACTACCATCATGGGCGAGTATCACAGTCAGGAGAGACCCAAACCTGTCCAAAATAAGATAGGAAGACGAGAGAAAGAGACGATGATAGCTAAGGGGAGAGCCAGAAGGATGTATTGTTCACTCCTTTATATGCCCGTCCATTATTTGGGCAAATTTCAGGGTATGATTTTGATAATACTCCTGCCACATGAGCGAGACCTACTGAAAGACTTCCCCCACGGGCTCATACTCGTGTAGATCCAAACCCAAGAAATACTGACCGGGATGGATTCAAGATTCTTCATCAATCGGCCGCAGTCTCAACCGTCCTGCAGCCACTCTATTGGAGACTCTGCAGAAACAAAAGCCGCCTCCAACTGCAGAACCTGCAGGACCTGCACACCACCACCACCTACACTCGGACATCGTTCAGACGGCAAAAGGGCTCACATCGAATCCGGCAGGGGTCTTTGTAAGATTCGAACGACTGGCCGGACGGGAAATTCACGAGCCCAGACATTCTGTGGATGACCAAATCGGGACTCATCCCTACCTCACGTTGAATGAGCGATGCAGAATTTTCCGGGGTAATGTAACGTGCCAACATGAGGCTGGCAGGGATTCGAATCAGTCTGATTGTGGCCCGAAACGGAAGAGAATACGATGTGCTGAATGATGCGAAGTAAATCGCTTTGCTGTGCAGGGGAGGCCCGTGGCCTGAATAGTAAAGATCACCGAAGATACGGCAGGCTGACATAGTTGAGGATCACCTACCCGCTGGGGAATATCCCTTTTTCGACCTGATCAGGGAAGGGGGGATGGTGAGATGTGAGATCTGGCTGGGATGGAGGGTTGTCGATTCGTGGAGTGAAATATGCGGAGAGAGCTGATTCAAGTGAATGTTTCAGCGTCGGATCTATGATACGTCAACTGTTCCAACACCCAAATCTTTACGTGACGACTACGTTTCGTGATCAGGAGTGCGACGATCGCTATTGAGGAAAAGAAAGTTTCGCTTGCATTGACTATGGAATAACAACAGGAAATCTTGGAAGAAGAGGAGGGTTCAAAAATTCCGAATCGAGTTACGTTTGCAAGGCCAAAGCCAGTCAGCCAAATCATTGAACCCGTGTTGGAAAGCGCATTGTCGCGCCTCTGTATAATTCTCGTTCACCAGCTGCGTCTCGTTCTCAGGCAGTCCCTTTGGTCCATCGGGACGAGTGTAGTCATTCGCCGCTGACGCGACCATTATATACTTGCATTTGGCAATCGTGATGGCTTCCGAGCTCACATGCCAGGAGGCGTAATTGGGATCGCTCAAGGTCTCTCGTAATCTGTGGGCTTCGGCGCACAGAGACGACAGCATGTGACGGAGTAAGATCCCACCTTGGACTGAGGTGACGGATCTGCCTGACGCGAACAGAAGCACCTTGACAATATCTGCGCTCTCGGGAGAGAACCTCTCCATGGCCACTGCGATGTCTTTGACCGTGCTCCCAGCCTCCACAGCCCGAGAAAGATCGTGTTTTGCGAACCAGTGCACAACATCGACTCTGTCACCGGCAATGGCGGCTCGCAGAGGAGTATGGGTCTGCTCGGGGGTCAACTGGGTAAGGTCCAGAGGACAAGTGACCCTCAAGTAGTCGAGTAACTCGACACTGTTCTTGACGGCACCATGCCAGATGTACCATTGTGCCATCCGATCTGTAACACGAGAGAAACAGAAACCTAGCTTTTTCAACCGCCGGGCTTGGTACGGGGCTATGTACGTACAGAGCCAATATAGATCGTCTGCATTGAACGCCCCAACGATGGCACTCGAAGGGACATTCGCCTTGGCTATAGGGCGTTCAATCAAATTCAAGACTTCATCCAGACGGTCCACATTGCGACAACGTGCCAGAATACCCAAAGGCGTTGGGGAAGGGAAGTTGATATTGGCGGGGCCAAAGAGCTGCGCGGCCAGAGGATGCGATGCGCTAGGATGGCTCAAGATGTACCGGATAATGTTGGAAGATCCGAAGGCGATGGCGAGGGCAATGAAAGACCAGCCGATATGGTTGCAATGGCTTACCATGACACCGCAGTAGTCCAAGATGTAGGCAAAGCACGCGGGACAATCGCTCTGAATCACGCGCCCAAGGAAGTCCTCGACGACTTCGATTGGGAAATCGGATGCCTCGCCTGGATACCATTGCTGACCATTGCCACCTTCAACCCATGGGAACACTTCAATATCACCAAGCTCTCGGCGAAGAAAGTGTCGCGGCAGTCGCCGGGTAACATACTGCTGAACACGTTCGTTTATCTGATGATCCACCTGAGAGAGAGCGAGAAGCAAATGGAAAGGCTCGTGCTGCAGGGAGATGTCCCCGGATTGGAAAAGACATTCGTCGAGCATGTTCCAGAAAACTTCAGGAGGCAGAACATGCAGACCGTTCACTCGTTTGGTCTCCGAAGACGATGATATGGACGACAATGGCCAAAAGGAAGAGAGAGCTTGCAGACTGTTCCACAGTCCAGTCCCTGAGGTGGATGAGGACTTGGTCGAAGATGTCCAAAGGGAAAGGCCCATAGGGAAAAGGACCGGCTTGTAGTCATCTGTCGGTCCATACTTGAAGTAGTCTGGGTCTTTTGACAGGTCCATCATCCTGGAATCACAATCCCCTCGGCAACCCATGTTGGTGTGTGAAGGAAATGAGAGAAGTTGATTTGATCTCGTGCAATTTGTTCGACCACAGGAGTGCGTATGAGAATTCCGTACTGATTGAATTGTCATGAAATTTTCCAGCCTCAAGAAGGGCTCAATTTCGCTGGACTCGGTCCTCAGACATGCCATCTATCCAGCTTAAATATTCATCGCGGGAGGAGAACAGAGCGTGCTTTGAGATCCGATCTTGGATCTGACATACTTTCCGTGCTGTCCTTGAGCCCTGGAACCAGAAACGTCCTAAAAGATCATGGCCATTGTATGTTCCATCTATTTCTGTCGAAGCCTCGTCATGCTTTGAGATGAGATGATAGTCAAAGCCATCATTGTACTGAGCACACGTGCAAGGATTTCGCATCGTGGGGCATTCAGGAACAATGAATCGCAGAGTGATCATGTGGTTGATACCAACTATACTCGCTCGGATGGTCTGTGGTCGAGGGTGGCTGTTTGTCAAAGAAAGGTGAAACTGGACTGTACCTGTGGCGACGAATAAGTAAACGACCCCCACGGGTGGATGTTCACATCCATGATCGAGCCTCGGTGTTCTTTCGATGCCCTGGGCCTGTCATACAAACATGTCCAAAATAGAACCAGTATCAAAGAGACAAGAGGCATTGCTCAACTCCCGGATAACGTTGGCGCTCGGAGTTCATGCAAGTATGTATGGACGTGGCTGGGTTTGAAGGACAAAGGACAACGGACGGGTCCGAAGTACTGGACGATTCTCGAGTTCCAAAGATATGTTCCCTTTCGCCCCAGATGCAAGTCTAATTTAAGCTGAGACAGGATCTTGCACGAGTCGATTCCGAACAACAACAACAAGGGCCATTCACTCGCGGCCCTGCCAAACTTCAGCCTGTCTGACTGTGAGTATGAAGTATGAACTCTCACGCACCCGGGTCGAAAGCCTTACATAAATACGGGCGCGCCTTGGCTCCGACATAGATAGCAGTTCAACCATCTGTTTATTCCCAAAACCAAAATACATCTCTACCAAGTCTTCATTCTCCTCACATCCTCTCGCCCCATCGCGAACAGCATAACTCCTCTTCAGAAGACCGGACGGACTTTCACCAGCCCGTGATCATCACTATCTCATCCCAACTATACCAGGTCCCACACTACAAATCTTCTCCACACAATGTCCTCATACTACTCATCCAGCAACATCCCCACACACTCGGGATCCAGATGCAAAAACGAGCAAGGAGTCTTCTCTGCCCATCTCGTCATCCCCATCTACGCGACCATTTGGCTGATCTTCTGGCTCCTAGGTGTCTTTCTCCAAATCTCCATTTTCATCGGCAGCTGTCTGGCCCAGGGTAAGTCGCCGTCCCGAGGCAGTGTGACAATCTCTCTAGACATGCCTGTCTTTGCTTTGTTTTGCATTGGGTTGTGGGGGGCGATCAAGCTCTCGACGTGGTTGCTTGTCGTCTTGTGCTCGCTCTTTACTATGGTCAGTGATGCCGACGAGGAGAATGCCCGCGCGGCTCGCCAGCGAAGAGAGCAGGTCCTGCGGCGGCGGGCTATGAGGCAAGTGCATTACCATTGAGGGTTCGATAAATATCAGTGCACGACTGTCTACGTTGGTGTGTCGATAATATTGGGATTTCGGTGAAGTGCAGCCAGGAAATATCCAGTGCGACCTCTCTGCACGAGTTTCAGCAATGACCGAGCGCCAGCTCCCAACAGCACGTGTGATAAAATACCTACTCAAGGGACATCTACGAGGCGCGACTGTGCACAGAAAACACAGCGAGCGGTACATTCAAGGCAAAGTCCAGACTTGATGATGCCAGCAGAATATAAGTCCGTGGAAGGATGTTTCAACTGTTTTTTTCATTGAAGTGTAAGGGACTGAAAAGCTCCAACAAAAAGCAATTCATTTCATTTTTCGAGTGTCCGGAAAATGCGAGTCGTGCAGCCGGTGTAGAGTATCGTAGCGGCGTACAGACGTCAAGGATGGGCGCAGAGAGAATTCATTAGATCCCCCCCTCAGTACTGAAACTTCCGCATTCGCGAAGCCTTCCCTCATGTCCACTCGCAGAGAAACCATGTCTATGCCATGCTATTCCTCCAACAGTTGTTCTTGTGATGGTTCATCAGACCCAATCGCACCGATTTCCGAGCCTCTGCCATACCATGGATATGACATTTACAGCTTCTTCTTGTCGCTCTTGGCAACATCAACGACCTTCAGGGCTGGATTCCAAGACGAGTTCGTTAGCATGAGCGACCAATTGCAAGCGTCGTGGCGCAAGGAGATGAATTCAGAAGTTCGATACGCCGAGGCACACGGGGTTGAATCATCGATTGCACTAGAGGATGCGGAGGCGAAAGACAGTGTGGTATGTCACATACAAGGAGGAAGAGACTGCTTGAGCTTCTCGGCCTTGGCGGAGTCGGTCAAGGCGAGGGTGTAGACGAAGCGCTCGCAGCGGACCTTGAACTTGGTTTGCTGGTTCTTGCGGTTGCGCTGGATGCGGGCAGCTGGGCGGGAAATTGAAGGTTAGCGCTTGCGTCCGCCTGACAAAACTTTTCTCACGGTCGGAGATTTTGTGTGGCCAATCTGGGCGGCACAAAAAGTGGCGGAACATACAGGAAGCATCCTTGCGGCGGCAGATCTCGATGAACTGCTTGATGTCGGAAACTTCGCGAGGCATGGTGACGATTTGGTGCTGATGAGGTACGATACAGTGAGGAAGGTCGCTGTCCGTTGCAAGGTGTTGTGTGGATCAATCGGATTAGGGTTTTTCGCCCACGAAGCCCTGAGGTCACGTGGCGTGGGTGGACTCCGTAGGGGGAAGAGTGAAGAGTCCGGACTGAGGGCGGGGAGCTTCTAGAGCTGCCCGACCTGACAAGGCGCTGGAGAGCGGATGCTGTCGACGCTCTGTGCTTTGCGAATGACCTTGTCACCTCGTTCCATGCGACTCGAGTCTGTGTCCCTTTTGCGTCCTTGACCACGAAGTTCTTTTCTGTTCGTAATCTTCACTCGCAGTTCGTATTTTCTCCAGAAAACGAGACTGTCCCGTTGTCCCTTTGGTCAGCTTGCCTGCGTGATGACTGTCGCAAGAGCACTGGAATTGGAGCCTCACCCGGCGATCGCAACGATACCAAGCAGAATAAACAATGTCAGCAGAGCGATAAGGAGGGAAGGATTCATCTTGACTCGCGTCTTCAAAGACCGGAGAAGTAGAACGTCGTCTTCTGGATCCCTCTCTTGTTCAACAAATTTTAGGAATGAATGAGCGTAACGATAGATATGTGAAGCAGTTGTCGGAAGAGCCGGTGGAAACGGAAGAGAATGAAGATTGGCACATTGTGTTCCATGTTAATGATATGGCATCGGAGTGTAGAAGCTAGGAAGGTACTACCCTACGACCGTTGGTTTGTTGACCTCTGTTGAACTGTCAGTCTGGCAGGTATAGATCGTTTGGCAAGTACGGCAGGAGCTTGTCTGTTCCGGAGTGGCGTCGGTGGCGGTGCAGGCAGATGCGTTCATCCCATCGCCCAGTCATACCTGGCACGGCACTTGGACAGATCGCATCATCCATCCCTTATAAAATAGTATCTAGCTTTTGCGCCCGTTGATGTTTTTAAACACTTGATCTGTCAAGTAAACATTCTTGATATTCTCAACCAAATTCGGAGGTTCTGCTGCGGAACGTTGGAAAGACTACGACCGTCCTACTGTTGTTCGTTCCATCATCGATCAATATGCCGACTCCCCTAGACCGAGCTCTCAAGTCTCAAGTAAGCTCCTGGAACTCCGGACGATACAGTGAACGCTCGTTGACAATCAATGATCTATTGACAGAATTTATTCCTTGGTGAGTCCCTGAGAGCAGCCGACGCGCAATCCCCCGACCATTATCAAAGCTAATTGAAATGCCAGGATTCGCCGGCATGGTGACAGCAGTGGCCGCCTGGTCCATCTGGGGAAGCGACGTGTTCCCAGCCGAGGCAGACCCAACAGGAAGTATGCTGGCCAAACATCCATGAATTTGCGAGAAGCATCTCGCTAATTTGGGCAGAACCCGAGGATTGGACCGAGGATGAACTCAGGCGATGGCTACGCAACGTGAGTTGACCTTTTGTTTTGTCCGTTTTGTTGCAATGAACGCAGTGAAATCAAAATGCTGATGCCGTCTGCCTCTTCACCAGAGAAATCTCTTGCCCAATGAAAGCGCAACGCGCGATGAATTGCTGGAGCGAGTCAGGGCGAACTTGCGTGTCTCACGCAGAACCAAATCGCCGGCGTCACAATCGTGATCGCGCGACCCTGCTGCTTCATATGTCTCGGAAACGAATTGACAGATTTCCCCGCTGATGGCGTTCAAGTGTTCATTTTTTTTTTCTTCAGAGAATAATCTTCATCTTTCATTCAAATTTTTTGCTGATAAATGGGCAGGCCGTTTGTCGATCTGCGTACTCGTAAGATCGTCATAGTTCATAAGTCTCTTCTTGATAACGACTTGGGATGTTTTCTGGTAGACTGGTGGGTTTGTACCACCCAAATAAAGGAAGGCGATCAAACCACAAGACGGAAATTCTGACTCTGAATAAGCCAGTCTCGCCGCCTCTTACGATCCGAGCTGGGATTGGGCACGAGCACAAAAGTCTCGCTGAATCCGCGTAGTGGCTGATCGCGACTCTCCCCATACCGCACATGTCCACTTGCCATAACAAGGATCGACATGTCCTTCACTCCCATCTCCGTGGCCGGTTTCAACCCGGCGGCAGTTGTAGTCGGGTATGCACGATTCATGATTTGACAGTCAAAAGACTGCACTTCGTATGATGCCTCGGGCATCTGATTTTGAAAAATTTCTTGGACAGCGGCACCGTCTGCGACTGTATTGCCATTGAAGAGAATGCTCGTAGGCGTAGGAAGGTAGAATGAGGCAATTGAACTGCGGTCGTTCTTGAGAGCAGGATAGAAGCTGTTGACGAGCTCAGTGGCAGCTTTCGAGAATGGATATCAGCTGAGTTCATCCCGCTTCATATTATGGCTAGCCTACCGTCAGTTGACACTTTGGTCAAGGTGTCATCGGTGACTTTGGCCATTGCGACTGAGGATTGCGAGGCCGAGATTCACGCGAGTATGTCGGGCGCGCAAAGGAAATTGAAGCTCCTGCTGAATGATGTGCAGGGTATACGAGACGTCCAGAAAATTCTTGCGGGCAAAATTGCAGGATGTGATCTTGTGGAAACGAAGTGGGATTGGATTATCGCGGGGTTTGATGGATCACTGAAGCTGGGAACCTCGTGGAAAAAAAGAGGCGCCGAGTGGAGCTCGGGCCAGCTCTGCGAAGGAGTGTATTGCGGAAGAGACCCGACCTCCGCACCCTCTGCGCATTTCCTCCGCGTAACGCGAGGCAATGGCAACTCTGCGACGGGCTCTTCGCCCATTTTCTAGCGCATCACTCTCTACTACTGCGCGGCAGTCCTGGGCATGCTCAGCTCACCGACATTTACTCACCCAACGTCTTCAACGCGGGCTTGCGTCGGCGCCGAAAGCCGCCAAGAAGCCCTACTATGTGACGACCCCAATCTTTTATGTCAATGCTGGTGAGACTCGACGAACATCTTGCTGTGGGATGAAGATACTCATTTCTTTTTGCTGTGCTATTATTCAGCTCCTCATGTCGGCCACTTTTTCACCATGGTCATCGCAGACATTCTCAAGCGGTGGCAGATCCTCCTCGGCAACGACGCAAAGCTTTTGACTGGAACCGACGAGCACGGCATGAAGGTATCGAAGGCTATACAGCATGTCTACCGAAGTCCATTAACACCGCTGTGCAGATTCAACAGGCAGCCGCCGCAGCTGGGATGGACACACAAGGCTTCTGTGATATGAATTGCAGGACATTCGAGGTACGCATGTGTTTTTGAAACACTGGATGATGGAGGCTTACTAACGAGATCCCATCACAGTCTCTGGCAAAGGCAGCAAATCTCGACAATGACCACTTCATCCGGACCACGGATGCGGCTCACCGTGACGCTGTTCAGTATTTCTGGGTTGGTAAACCCCGGTCGTCAATTTGACCCAGGCGGAGCTGACCGACTCACAGGAGATGCTAAACCACCGTGGCTACATCTATACCTCGAAGCACGAAGGGTGGTATTCCGTGAGCGACGAGGCTTTTTATCCGCAAACCCAAGTTCAGAACTCCTTGGATCCTACGACTGGACGAAAGCGCATGGTAGGCTGCCAATGACGGCTACTCCATGATCCCACGCCTAAGATTGACAACAAACTAGGTCTCAATTGAAACGGGCAAGGAAGTGGAGTGGGCTTCTGAAGTCAATTATCATTTCCGACTTTCTGCGTTCAAGGATCGCTTGCTGGAGCTTTACAACCGACCAGGCTCTTTCATCACGCCTTCAAAGTACGCGACTGCGGTGATTCAGTCGGTGTCGTCCGGTTTACAAGACCTCTCAATCTCTCGGCCGGCTGAGCGATTGTCATGGGGCATCCCAGTTCCCGGTGACAGCACACAGACCATCTATGTATGGCTGGACGCACTTGTCAACTACCTCACTTACGCAGGATATCCATTTCCGCCAGGGTCGCAGAATTCGTCTATCTGGCCTGCCGATGTACATGTCATTGGTAAAGACATCGTCCGGTAAGTTCCGTGCTGTTACATACATGAGAATTTGGGGATCGCAGCTGATCGCCGCCTTCTTGTCTGTAGCTTCCACTGCGTCTATTGGCCAGCCTTCCTGATGGCTCTGGACCTTCCTCTTCCTCGGAACGTTCTTGTCCACGGCCATTGGACCATGAATCGGGAGAAAATGTCCAAGTCGACCGGCAACGTGGTCAATCCGTTCTTTGCCATTGATCGGTTCGGAGTTGACGGCATGCGTTTTTTCCTCGCCTATCAAGGGGGCCTGTCAGATGACGCAGACTACGATAACTCGTTCATCATCCGTGATTACAAGAAATGGCTCCAGGGTGGAATCGGCAACCTAGCGTATCGTACCATTGGGTGTGCCAAGGGAAAGCTGCCGTCGTACATTGAGAATGCCACGTCGAATAGTCTCCCTGCTGGAACCGCTGCCGACGATGAGCATCAAGCCATGCTTATCGCTACGCCGCTCAAGGTTGCCGAGCACATGACCGCACTGAACCCGCGCGCGGCATTGCAGGAGATCATGACAATCATTGAGAAGGTACGTCAGGGACTCGAAACTCAAACGAGCGTCCCACCCCCGCATGACCGGCGGAGAAAGGAATTTGCTAATCTGGAGGTTGTCTCCCTTGCGTCCCCCAGACTAACAAGTATTTCCATGCGGCGGAGCCGTGGAAAAGCGCCAGCCCCGAATGGGTCCTGTACAACACCGCCGAGTCGCTGCGCATCTCTGCCATTCTGCTGCAGCCCTTCCTGCCGGAGAAGTCGCAGGAGCTTCTCGAACTTCTTCGTGTGGATATGTCGGATCCATCGAAGCGGGCCTTCTCCGCGACCGTCTATGGCTCCGATTCAAGCTACGGCCAAGGCATCAAGAAGGGGATGCTGTTCCCTCCTTTGCTCACTGAGGAGTAAGTCCGTGGGCACGGTGTATTCGATTTGATAACAAAAACGTCCGCAAACCCAATCATGATCTACAAGGAGCCCCATCCGGGGGAAACTCTTTACATCATCTGCGTCTCGGCGCAAGGGCCCTATTTTCAGAGACTTCCCGACTTCCTCCACACGGTGCGCTATGACTTGCCAGGTTTTCCAGTGTGACCCCAGTCTGGATGATGGAGCAGCATGCACTGGGCTCTGGAGACCAGGATTGGCGATACCCACCAGGTTATCAGCGGGACGGACTCTGGAGGAGAGGGCGGTCCTATCTTCCTGCAAAAGACGGGCTGGTCGGGTCGGGAAACTTTGCCCGTTTCCCGTCGGAAAACCCACCCAGCTTATTCCGATTGTATATCAAAACATATCATTGCTACGTGCAGAGTATGCTTATATGGGGGATGGCGCTGAGAAGGGAATGTACTAAATATATCGGAGTTGTACTGCCAGGTTTGATCAGGCTGACCTTTTTTTTTTATATCCCGTCCTACCTCCATTGTCTGTGACCGAGGTCTATTCGTACATCAATCTCATCTTTCAATCTTGATACACATATACACACAAGTGTCCCTCGGGCGGACTATATCTTATCATCACCTCATCAGTGCTACAACGATTTATACGGACGAGAGCTTGTCTTCATCGATCTCGATCCATAATCTTACCAACTCTTGTCTAGGCGTTCTACTAGATTTTAGCACACCACCAATCCCGCCGCAATGGGAAGCTTCGTGCCGACAGCTGAAGACTACATGCCGACTTTCAAAACGCCATGGATTGAGACGCCCCTTGTCGAGTCCGCGGCTCTCTCCCGTGCTGCAGGATGTCGCATCTTTTTGAAGCTGGAGAATGTCCAGCCCAGTGGATCATTCAAGTCCCGTGCCATGGGCAACCAGATTCTTTCCCACCTTCGCAAACCCGAAAACGCCAACCGCCGTGTTCATTTCTTTGCGTCTTCCGGAGGCAACGCGGGTCTTGCTGCCGTTTGCGCTGCCCGCAGTCTGGGATACCCTTGCACAGTGGTGGTGCCGTTGTCCACTAAGCCCTTGATGATAGAGAAGCTTCGGGCCGCCGGCGCTGCAGATGTGATTCGCCATGGCGAGACCTTCTTCGAGGCCGGATCATACATGAAGGAGGTCATTATGCAGACTAGCACCGGTGATGATGAGGACTTGGTCAAGATCGCGCTTCATCCATTCGATAACGCACCCATCTGGGAGGGAAACAGCAGCATCATCGATGAGCTTGAAAAGCAACTTCCTGCCCCTTGCAGCACCGAAGAAGAAGACCGATACCGAGGGAAAGCACTTCCTCTGGACGCTGTGCTCTGCAGTGTGGGTGGCGGTGGTCTTCTCAATGGTCTTGTCATGGGGCTCGAGAAGCGTCGAACCCAGAAGCAAGTTGTACAAAGCGGTCTCTCCACCACTGGCCACGCATACATGGACATTGCTGCATCTGAGACGACCCCATCTCGCTCCGCTACTACCGAGCCCAGTCCCATTCACCTTCTTGCCATCGAAACCGACGGCACAGACTCACTTGCCGCTGCTATTGCTCACAATTCCCTCGTCTCTCTTCCCAAAATTACCTCCCAAGCCACATCGCTCGGCGCCATCCGCGTCTCAGAAACCACTTTCCAATATGCAGTCTCCCCTCCACCGGGCATCAAAGTCCACAGTGCTGTCCTCACCGACGCCGAGGCCGCCCGAGGTGTCCTCCGCCTTGCAGATGATGAGCGATTGCTCGTTGAGCTAGCCTGTGGTGTCTGCGTCGAAGCCGCAATTGGCGACACTGCGGTTGCCGCGGCCGAGGCAGCCTCCTCGGCACGAGCCGTTGCTGTCAAGCAGGGCGTGAAGAAGCGCAAGCTTGGCTCGACCGAAACTGGCTCTGACCGTGATGAGGGCTACGGTGATGACCGATCGGTCTCGACAGGAAACGAGACTGATCATGAAATGGAGCCGGAGATGGACACTACCATGAAGACTTCCGCACCCGCCTTCAACTCCAAGCTCAAGCAGTTGGTGCCGGACCTCAACGAGCAGAGCCGAGTTGTCATTATTGTTTGCGGCGGCAGTAACGTGACTATCGATATGGCGAGCGAGTACAGAAGACTCCTGTCGGAGGGATGGTTGTGAGCCCAAAAGGCTTGTTGTCCTCGCCCCCTTTGTTTCATCTTGGTATCCATTTTGCATGCCTATAAGTCTGGCTGGTCCTTGGTTTATTGGTAATTGACTCGGTTACTGTCTACGTTTCTTGCCTTGGCTTTTCCCTTTTCACGCTTTCCACGAAAACTTGCATTCTGTTTTGTTTGGTTGCATACTTATTTACGCCTGAGAATTCACATGAAGCACCAGCTATTGTTCCTGAATAGAGGAAGACACGACTAATTAAAATCATTTTCGTTGAAACCTTACGTTCATGTCAAGATTGGAACTTAAGCTGTCGCCCGGATAACAAGTAGAGAAAAGCCCGCCAGATTCATTGCAAATGATTCCTCCATGTCAATGCTACCCCATACTCCTAAGCGACTACCCCCAACTGTCGAATCCGGTAATCCCAAAAGTTCTTCCGGATAGGGTCATACTTCTCCTTCAACATGGTAAACATCTTCACGGCCTTCGCCTTCTCCCCCTCAGCATACACATCCGCCAACCATTCCACCGCATGACTACTCTTCGTCTGCTCCCCATCCACAAACCTCCCCGCAAACTCCTCCCACTCCTCCAACCCCCTCGACGCCGCCCGCAACACCCCGCGTGCATACCACCACGAGCTCCGATTCTCGGGCGCCCGCAGAATCTGCTTCTGCGCAAACTTCAACTCCGCATCCACCAAGTCCTCATCCACAACGGTTAGCCGGCCCTTCTCCTCGGGCGACGCAGACGAGTCACCCGCGTTGATCATGCCCGCGTCGGGCTGGTCATCGCGTGGTCCAAAGCGGAGCATGTACCTGTGGTTCCAGGCCGAGTTGTTGTAGACGTCGGACTGGATGAGAGCTTCGACGTCGTGGATTTCGCGCGGGGAATCCCAGAGCTTGAAGTGCCGGACCAGCCAGTGGCGGTATGTCCAGACGTGGTAGTTTTTGGAGTCTTGGGTGAACATTTCCATGAGGAAGTCGGGTTCTTTGGTGGGCATGGTTGGGAAGTGCTTTTTTGAGGAGATTAAAACCTGGCGATGGTGCCTGGGTGGGAGTATTAGCCTTGGATCTTAGTAGAATTGATTAGAGAGCTCTCGCGGAGGGGATGGCCAATCTACCAGATCTGGTAATTTTTGAGATATTTCAAAGAGACGCCATTCAGCCAGTCCAGCTCCTCAAGGAGGTCTTTGTCCAGGGCAAAAAGAATTCTAGCCCGATAAATCCTGTAAAATGTTAGAACATCATTCGTAAAAGTATGACTTCATTGCATCAAGTTCAAAGATTGTAAATTAAAACGCACCAAACAGTGTAATGTGCTGGGTTCATCGAGATCACATCCTTGGTCAACTTCAGAGCCCGTTCAGACATCTCGTTGGCGGCCATCACCGCACGCAGATAGGAAGTGGCTTCGAGGTAATCCGATGGATAGGCAATGGTCGCCAGCGGCATCGCTCCCGACTCTGAACCATCGTTCAGCTCGATAGGAGACACATCAGCCCATTCAGGGTCAGTGGCATAAGTTCCAGCCATATTGACAGGTGCTTGTTTGCAATCTTGGGGGTTGCGGAAGTCGACCAAGAAGCTTCTGAGCGTTCACAGCTCGTCACAGTCACAGCTTCAGACCACAAGATTTGTCCTGTTTGAAATTGCTTTCAGTCTGACTGTGGAAGGTAAATTTGCAGACAAATGATGAATTGAAAGGTTCAGAAACGTGGCAGTTCTACTCCCAGATCATCTCCTTTGATTCTCAGCGAGATGTGGGGGGGGGGGGGGGGGGGGTAGAAAACTGGTGGCCTGATGCGTGAGGCGCAAACAAAGGAACGGAGAACAATCGACCCGCTCAGTATTGTTCTTTTCGATTGAAACCAGGATTACACGAACTCGATGAGCAAGACTTGGGAAGAATCGAATCTGGTTGGCTTCTTCTTTTCCATCATGTAGCTCATGAATTTCTTAAACTGGCTCACCTCTTTACCTCTCTTTCCTTGCCTGCATTCTCCACCTACTTCATGCTTGTGGACGCAGCTGCGGTACTACTCATTAGTCGGACAAACAACCTACAAGAAAGACTACGACATGAAGAGCGAGTTTTCAACCCGTGAGTTCGAATCAAATGGGGAAAAAACATTCTCTTGGAGCCTCGTTTCAGGCTGCAAGTTGCAAGTCAAAAGTGTTCGGGAATTTGATCAAGATACTACATATGTCGGTCCACTGTGTTACTTCACTTGTTTGGAGAAATCGGAAGACGTGTCTAACCGCAACTACTGCGCAAATGTCTCACCACCATTTTCTAGATATTCCACCTCCTCCGCAGTCGATGACCGACCCAAAGCCTGGTTTCGATGAGGGTACCGACCAAAGCGCTGGATGATCACTTTGTGCCGTTTCTCGAATTCCAATTGATGGGACAGCGATCCATGGACAGCCTCAGTGTTCTTTGACAAGACTTTGTGGCATTCTTTTTCATCGTCCCCCAACGTGGACGGATTTTGGGTCAAAAGATCATCGACATCTTTGGCGATGTTTTCATACTGCGCCACGGCCTTTTCATGGACACTGAGCTTTTCGGAGTGCATCAACGGCAGTTGGAACCACATTCGATAGGCGAGACGATAGCGCACCACTGAGGACATGGCAGGTATACCGGCATCAATGTCACGCAGAGCCACCGCTTCAGCAAGAGGATCGAAGCGCTCGAAGACCATCTTCGAAGCGTCTCCACGATAACAATTTCGAGGAACTTGATCAAGAAGGAGGATGACGCTGAGCCAGTCGAGCGGGGAAGAGGTATCAATCACCTCCAACATGTCTTGCGCGCTTGCCTTGGACTCCAGAATCTGGTCAAGGGCAGTCTTGAATTGTTCTCTAGGTTGAATGGTCAACGCACGTCAAGGGCGAAAGTGAGCCTATGGATCTGTGAAGAACGCACGCGCAAATCTGATCAAAACTTTCATCGCGGACAAACCACCGTTTGAAATCGTCCTGGCTCGGAAAGATCAGGCCATCCTCAGTCTTTATATGCTCGAACCAGACTTTTCGTACTTGGCCGAGAAGTGAAGGGCTTATAGTGTCCTTCAGTACAGCATTACACTCGGCAGACGTCGACATCCTTGCGTGCAGGTGGTGAGTCAGTGACTGAGAATAGATGTTTGAATGACGTCGGACAGGTGAACCACGTTCCGTGACTCCGAGCGACTGCCTTGACAGTGAATTAAAGCTTGCAACACCGATGCTTGACGAGTGTCGCACCCTTCGCAGAAGTAGTCCTTCAAGTGAAAGAGAACCAAGCTTTGCTTTTGGTCCTGCGGTCCAGGTGCGCATCAAATAGGCCATGGAGGCGGGTGCAGGTGGTCCCTTGGTTCAAGCTTAGGTGAGCTTGTTCCGAGATATCGTGCCACGAGCCCAGGCGCCTTTATTGACTTGAAGTTGACGTGAGTAGCCGAGACAAACGAGGTAATTTCAATGTTGATGACGAAACTTTTCACTGCATCTTCAGTACTCAGCAGTCGTCTAGTGTGGTGCTCAGTTCTACTCCATCCCTCTAAGAGTACTGTATGGCTCGATCAATCGCTCAGTCGGCTGCAGTAAAGTCCGAGCGCCGTCAGTTGCTGAGTCAGCATCGGTCCGGGCGGGCATGAGGTCCACCTGAACTTCAGTCAGTTGAACCCTTTCGGGGAACACGAAGTCAGCCGACGCCGACAACGAATCCTTAGTTTTCTTTGAGAAATGTGTTGCTGTTGACGATTAATGGTCTCCCAGTCTCAATTGTGACAAATGTGAATCTACCGGGCATGGAGATCCATACAGTGGGAAATTCTCGACCATAACAGCTTGGTTCGCTCGACATGCTTGCCATCGACGAAAGTCACTCGCAATGGGATGGCAGGTCATGTCTCATGAGCGACGACAAACACCACAATTGAGATCCGCATTAGGCTCGAGATACTGCACGAAAAATGATCACCAATGTTTGATGGGTGATGATAGGCTATGCAGAAGAACCTCCACGTCATGGCTTCAACCAAAGATAGTGACGATACGTCCAGCCCCACGCAAACGATGATCAAAGCTTCACCATTGGACGACCGAGACAACTCATGGCGCAGGCCAAAACGTTCGACTCGATCGGGTTCCCCGCACCCAACGGCCATTTCCCGCTCGCATTATCTTCCACTGGAATGCTGCGAGCCTGCAAGCCTGCGAATATGTAAACATCTGCTGCTCATGATCTCTGCTGCAATCATCCCGGTATGAGGCGAGTGAAAAAGTCTCGCAATGGCTGTGCCAGATGCAAAAGTAAACGGGTCAGTGCTCTCGTCCCAAAGCACGCTGTACTCTGTAGTGTACACGATTCTTAGTCCAAGCATTCTAACCGCGCAAGGTCCCAATAGGTGAAATGCGGAGAGGAACAACCTCAGTGTGGCCGCTGTGTACGCCTGGGCGTGCGATGTCCAGGCTATGCACAAAACCTTCGATGGGTCAGCCAGCAGGAGCAACAGAGCAAGGGCGCAGTGCCGGGCAGCAGAGTATCCGGGGCTGGAGAATTGTCGAATTCGCGCAGACAGTCGACCGCGTCTTATCAAGGTGACGGCGCTACCCCAGCTAGAGGATCGGGTAGTCAACATTCGCTCGATTCGAATCAGTCAGAACATGGTGCTGGTGTGGCGGTTCCAACGGATAACAATCTTTGGAATCTAGCGGATGGTGGTTCAATGTCTGAACTGTTGGATCTCTGTCCATCACCCCCAATGGCCTTGCCCATGTGCACTTTTTCGCAGAGTCACATCACGCATGACCTCAGACAATCTTCTGGCACCACGGAAGATTTGTCTCATTTGCTCTCTATGACTGACCCGGTCGAAGCGGCACAGTCCAATTGTACAGACAAGGTCAGTGCCTGGAGGCATTTCGCACCCTCTTCCATTGTGCGCAGCTATCCTCCGGCGCAGTCTGGTCTACAGGCCTCTAGCCGGGGGCTTACGACAATGTCACGACCCCTCAATAATCCTTCGTGGACACTCATCGAATACTACTTCAAAGAGGTCGCTGCTCTCTTCTCCAGCTATGACAGCCAAATGAACCCGTTTCGTACCACAGTGTCACGCCTCTGGGGCTCATCTTTAGCCATGTGTCGAACCATGCAAAGTATGGCTGCTGCGACGCTTGTCAACGACTTTCCAGAGTTTGGCCCTTTGGGGCGGAAAATGCGCGACGAGGCTATTGATTTCATCACCCGTGAGCCAGTCATGGATGACAGATCTTTGCTAGCCTTGCTCATGCTCGGTCAAACAGCAAGCTGGCATGATCCGAAAGATCTAGGCGTCTCATTTTTCAATCTCCTACGGAAACATGTCACTGCGTCGGAATTTCCTTCGGGCGGTGTTCATCCTGGCCCAGCAAGGAACACGAGCAATAATTTGCGATTCTTCAAGGAGGCTCTTATCTACTGGGAGATGTTGCTGTCATATGTGATCGATAATGATTCAACGACACCACCAGGCAGCCAACGTCCCTTGTCTCCAGACGAACCCCTTGTCCTTCAGCGAATCCCGCATCCTTGGACGGGAATTGCGAGAGATACGCAATTCACCGTACAAGAAGTCGGCCGATTGATTCGTCGCGAACGCAAACGAGTTCGTGCGCGACAGTTCACCTCCCAGGATGAGATCCACCGTGCCCAAATGGCAATTAAAGAGGCCAAAGACCTGGAGAAACGACTTCTTGGACTGGCTCATCCGTCCGAGTCCGAGATTGTTAGTCCCGGCGACGAGGACACTCCTGTCTGGCATCTACTCACCATGGCTGAAGTCTACCGCTGCACGGGACTGATGCAGCTCTATCGTGTCTTTCCAGATCTTCTTCGTAATCGCCTCTCTTCATCTGCAGAGAACATTGCACAAACCGACGCGCATCCCTCGAATGTGCACGATCCTTTCTTCCCTATCGATCTTGATAGCATGAACCTCTTTCCAGAACTGAATTACAATACTCCAACACCGGAAATGAATAACACCCGCACACGCTTATCAAACTCTCCATTCACATCCTTCTCCTCTCTTCAAGACTCCCCCTCCCTTCATCTTCACTCCCACCAGTCCACCAGACCATCCTCGCTCCCCCGCCTCCGCCTCCTCCTCCCCCTCCTACAACACTGCCGCCCACGACGAATGGCTCACAGAATTCACTATAACAACCCTCTCCCGCCTGAAAACGATCCCAATCGAGTCTCGCACCCGCTGTCTCCAACCATTTCTCCTCGTAGCATCCTGCAGCGAGCTCCGCTTGCCAGGATCTCCCTCCAACACAGATATCCCTTCCTATCCAGACGATATCAACAACGGAGACAACGGCCTCAACGATCTCTCCGCCGACACGCCCACCATTTCAATGGGGGCTATCGAGGTATCTCGCACACGACGATTCATACTAGGCCGTCTCACGTCCTTTTTACATGTTCTGCCGCCGAAACCGATCAGTGTGTGTGTGAGACTCGTGGAGGAGGTATGGAGACGCATGGATGCGGGTCGGTCGGATACGTATTGGGTGGATGTTATGATTGAGAAGGGGTGGGAGACGACGATGGGGTGAGAGGTTCGGGACTAGAGACACTTTTTGGACGATTGGATGAATAAAGACATCGATATGTAGCCAGCGTTCAAGTTGTATGGGCAATCTGGATCCTTGGACTCGGACTCGAATTAGTACGCCATGATCAGAGCTTTTACAAGACTTGCTAGTTGATTTCAGGACCCGTTTCAGAATACATGGATACTCTGAACCCGCCTCTAGCATACAATACTTGTCAACGAAATACTATGAAGGTCTTAAGGAGGGAAGACACTATTATGATTCTTTAAACCTGAAAATCGGCCAAGAACAATATCCATCAGACGCGCCCTGCGCTGATAATGCTCATGCCAAGAATAGAACCGAGCCAGAAAGCATGAAGAAAATTGTCAAGGACAAGATGAAGAAGGAGAAGTTGGGTCGAAAAGATAACAGGTCATGCACGGACAGGGTCAAAAACTCGACACAAGTGATGCGTGCTGATCCTGGACGTGCAAGCGTCGCGGGCCAACATTCGAAATAGTAAGCGTATAGTGTGTAACATGGTAAGTGTGTACAGAGAAGTGGTAATTAATGAAATGTCGTCAGAGACAAGGAGTCCGATGCTGGGATCAACATGGTGGATGAAAGTCTCAACCATGAGTGTTTGCTCAGACGATTCATCGGTACATGAGATGATAAGCCACAGGGCTAGACTAAGCCCAACGATCAGATATCATGGAAAGGGGGCTGTTTCTCCCCTGCTTAAAGATCAGAGCACGCTATAATTCTGACTCCCAATCATTGCGTCGCGCGCTTCCAGAACTTCCATCCCTCGCGCTGCTCATTGTATCCAACACCAACAAGCCGCTCGATACCTTCAGTGCCCTCGGCATTCTCGAAACTTTGCTGATCAATCTCCACGCCGCCCTCCTCATCGGAACCACTGCGCAAAACTGCAGGATACAGCACACCAATGCCATGACCGCCCAGTGTGGTCTCGTACTTTGTGAAACCTTCGGTCTCGAGCTTTTGCTCCAAGTCGCGGACCACTTCTGGCTTCACGTCGGGTCGTAAAAGGGTCATGGCGCAACCGCCGCCACCAGCGCCGGTCAACTTGGTCCAGCCCATATCGGCGTAGTCAACGAGTTCCCGAATGCGCTCCAGGCGAGGATGAGACACGCCCAGTGAAACCAGGAAGCCGTGGTTGATGCGAATGAGCGTACCGAAATGAGCGAGTGTCTCATCTGAATCGCCCACAAAATCTGGAGTTTCGAGGAGACGCTGCGCTGAGCAAGTCACCTGATCGATTGCGTTCAGGATGGACTCGGTCACCACAGGATGCGCCTTCTTGAGCTCGCCCACCTTTGCTACCTCGGTCATGGTCGAGCGAGACTGCCGTGTGTCCACTAGCAGAAGAGGCAGTTCGGGGAATTGGGGCACAGGAATGACCACTGGCGGCTTGAGATAGTCGGGACGCTTGAAGATCACTGCCTTACCCCCGGAGGCCACCGTATTATCCACACCACTAGGATTCCCATGTATACACATCTCACCCACAAAGGCCCACCGGTTAATGCGCTCAATCTGCGTCTCAGCCTCCTCGGGTGGTTGATCTGGATGGGGGCCTGCCAATGTCCGAATCTGGAGAAGCAGCGCGGCACTCAAGCAGACACACACACTGGCACTACTGCCGAGACCGGCACCGGTAGGAATCGTGGAGCGCAAAGTGTAGATGGCGCCAGGGCTTTGCGGAGACCCTAGCGAGAGGAAAAGATAGAGGAAGGATGACGCCGAGCGGATGTGGATTTTGCGCTGGTCTTCGGGGAGGTGCTTGGATACGATGTCGACGTGAGGCTGGATGGCCTCGACCAATTCAGGGTCTAAGTCGGTAACCAGATCGTAATAGAACTTCTTCTTCGACGGGTGATGAAAGACGCTCCATGGCAATGTGTCGATATCCCAGGTATGACTTAGTCCGAGATCACGGAAGTTCAGGGTCACCGTGCGATGTGACTTGGACAGTGTTGTGACGAGAAGATAGGAGCGAAGGGAGATTGCAGCAGCTAGAGCGGCCTTGCCGTGGACTACGGCATGTTCACCAAAGACAATGACCTTGCCCGGCGCCGACACCATGAAGGTGGGCGCCATAGGTGAGGATGCTTTGCGCGACATGTTTGGCCGACGAGATGTCATGCCGTTGTGGTTGTGAGAGGAAGCAGCTGCGTTGCTGCTATCGGAAGAATGGTCGAGCGAATCTGGGTCAGTACCGTGGTCGTTGACGTTGCCGTTCCCATCCACACGGGAGCGGTCTGGTAGATCGTGATCGATTTCGAAGTGCGCAACTGGCCGTGGCTGATTGTTCTGACTTTCTGTACTTTTCATACTACCATTGCGTCGGTGAACGCCGTTGGTAGACATGACCGGGAGGAACAGCAAGGCGTCTGTACTTTGCACTCTGGACTGTGGAGGGGAGAAAGAGCTAGCGGAGGGAGGGCTTCCCAGTTGAGCTGGAAGGTGGAAAGTATCGTCGAAGAATGTAAGGGGCGACCAACAAAGACGGGTTCTTAGGACTAGATCATGGTCGAACTCCACTCACCCCTCCTCAGGGAAAAAAAGGGCAATGGAGTATGGAGTCGATGGACAATGTAAAAATGTATGTAATCAAATAGAAGAGACGGGCTCGCCTCGAGAATGTGGATACGGGAGTGGGGAGAGCAGCGCGTGGAGGCTCAGGAGAAATCCAAAAGGTGCTCAGATTCGAGTTTTTAGTCCAAGCCTGCCGACGATAAGTTATCTTCTTAAGGACTGGGCCGCCAGGGCAGTGGCTGCAGGCTCATACAAAGAGTGCTCCGATATACGAAGTAGCGTCGAGCACACACGGGCTGACGCATGTTGTTTTTTCTGCCATCACACAGCCACCCAAGCCGCCTTCCGGCACCTGCTGCATCAACCATGCACCATCGTACAGTCGTGTGCCGAGTCTGCCGCCGGTGCCCGGCCTTGTTCAGGATTGAATAGCAAGTCTTGAACAAGAAGATTGTGTTTTGGGTCAATCTGGAGGGGCTCGAGAGCAGCATTTCGCACGGTTTAACCACTCAGGTGCCAATTCTCCAGTTGTGTCATCGGCCCCGGTTTTCAAGCTCACTCGCTGGTTCAGCTCCATCGAAGAGTGCCTCAGCGCCTTCTGGTTCGTTATCGACGAGCAGTATGCATCAGCCGGATTTGGTGTTGGTCTTTGGTGCCCTCCAACGTCTAAAAGTACAATCGAAAGCGTGCATGATGCTAGGCGCCGACTGCTCACAATGCTTTTTGACCGGAGGTCGAACAAAAACAGCGCCAGTGCGACCTCAGCTGTGCCACATCCGATCGGAAGGCTCGTCAGTAGGAAAAGTGAGGGAATGGCCAGTGATCATTGTGTGAGAGTCTGCAATATGCAGAATCTCATCGGTCCAGTACATGGGGATTCCAGCACGGTAATGAGCTCATGGGCTCTGACCACTCCTTCCATGCCGGCAGATGCTCCTGATTAGAGTAATTGCCCTGAAGATCCCTGCGCGACCATGGACACTAATGGTACCTGTCCCTCACTGAGGATTGCGCCATGTCGCGCTCAGTCTCCCTCGTTTCAAGAAGGCAATCCTGACGTAGAAAAAATCAAACTGAACGGCAGATCCAGAGGTTCATGGAAATATGCAATGTAGGATACCTAGCAATCCTTGAGGTAGAAAGGGAGCTCTGGTGTCTTGTCACGGGGGTTTGGGTTTAAATAAGTCAAAGTCACATGTCAACGTGAATTACCTTAGGCAGGAAGGGACAGGTCGTTGCTATTGAAATATTCACCGAATCAACAAGTCGGCTATGTTCGCTTCATCATCATTGAACCTTCTCAAGTATCTCAACGCTCAGAAGCAGAAGTATGCACTATGCACTACGCAGTATGTCCTATGCGAACGTGTCTTGACCATCCCCAAGTCATGTCCACCCATTTCATTACAGATTCATCGTCACGGTCATACTATTGCTATGCACAAGCAGACACGGTGGCAACCCCTGCCACAGCACCTCGAGATCACTGAGGTACGATGCACTCTCCTCTTCCCTTTGCAGGGTCCCATGGGTCGGAGTGGGGAGCGTGGTGAAAATGACCGCCGTCTGATCACTGTGTCGTCGCATAAGCTCATTCAAGATCAGATGCTGTGCCCGGCTGGGAAGATCATTGAATGATAGTGAAACAGAAGCCGGTCCTGGAAACCCAGACGCGCTTGCATTACTCTGCGCAACGGCAGGCACTGAAGACGCAGGCGATGAACGCCGAGCGTAGATTGAGTCAAGTTTTTGTGAAGGTCGAGGGGGAGACGCAGTGGATGCGAACATGATGGATGGTCCCGCGCCTTCTTCGGCGACAACCTGCGCCTCGGGGATAGGAGCAGAGCTGAAGCGCTTGCTGGAGGCGGACCGGCTGGCCTGGGGACGAGCTCCAGGAGTCCCGGATTTTGCGGTTGACGTGTTCCCAGACGCAACAGGTGGAGGAATGAGCTGGTCGGATTTTGGGAGGAGGCTACTTGTCAGGCTAGATCGTACTGGAGGTCGTGAAGAAGGGCTAACGCCTGGGCTACTCGAACGCCTGTCCATGCCTTCGCTTCGATCCCCGAGCGAAATCCGCGGACGTTCAGGGGACGACGCATTGCCTGCTCCGATGCTGTCGCCATCATCGCCTTCCTCCCGCTCGTCATCAGCTTCGTCAACATCAGAGTCACTGACATAGGGTTCAATGTCACTGTCGTCGCTGCTCTCGCTAGACGCATTGTCTGCGTCGTAATCGACAAAGGCATCCAGCAGATGATGGGTTTTCATACCCAGGTTGACATTGCCCAGTGTTCTAAAGCTCGAGACTGACCGTCTGCGGCGCTGGATGAGCTCTCTCAGGCCTTTGACCCGTTGCTTCAAATGTTTGTTCTCACTCTCCAGGCTTCCGGGACCTTGCCATGTCGACGTCCGATCAAATCGTGGCATTTCCTCGACATCCTGACTCTGCGCGGAGGAGTGCCGGGGCGCGTTGCGCGCCATCTGAAGACTTTGCCACCACTCCTCGTCTTTCAGGGCAGAGTAAACATGGTCGCGAGTGTCGGCCAAGTCGGGTGATGTATCACCATTCACAATCGCGCGGTAGGTCTGGATATCCCCGCAGGCGAGCCAGAACACCAGGACTTCGGCTTCAATGCGAAGCTTTTCGAGCAGCGCTTCCACACGACCTCGCTCGTCGTCGACATCTGTCTCGTACTCCACGAACACTGCGACGCGCAACCTGTAGGCTTTCTTCCATGAGGGTACAGTGTTGAGAATACACCCCAGTTGCAAGATCAGCGTATAGGTGTCAAAGTTCGTGGTGAGCACATTCTGCTTGCTCTCATTATCCGCGCCGATCTCTGCCGACATCTGTATGGGCCAGAGATCAATGAATTCTTTGGTTGGGCTTTCATTAGATCCAGGTAACTCAAGATCTTCAAAGCCTTTCGCAACTGCAACGTTGATTCGGAGATTGAAAAGGAGGTCCTCTAGAATGGTCACGTAGCTTTGGCAGGTCATCCCTTTGTTTTGCGAGTCAGACTCCCGCTGAGGTTCCTCGCGCGACCCACTCAGCGACGACCGACGTCTCGATTTCTGGGATTCTCGTCGATTCAATCCAGTCGACAAGGTCTCGACTAATGATTGGTTCTCGCGAAATTGGTCAATTACCACGATATTTGGTCTCATGCCTCCCAGCCCAGAGTTGAGAACCACGTTTCGCACACCCCACTCTGCGGCTGGGGAGATTGCAACATTGACAAATGCTTTGATCTTGGAGAATTCTACAAGCTTCGTCCAGACACTCTGCTGCCGCCGAGCTTCCGGGACTGCCGACGAAAAGTCGTCTGTAACAAGCACATGGCCAAGAACAAACAGAGCACCTTTCTTCAAGGAGTTGCAGAATGAGACCATTTTGTATTGCCGGTCAAGATCGCTGACAAACAAGAGAATCTGAGGTCGCCAGAACTTAACATGCTCTTGTTTGAGACGGAGTAAGTACTTGCGCACTTGGTGATAGATCAGGCTCTGGCTGACGTCGCCCCATGCCTTGGGTGGTGAAGAGTAGTGTATCAGGAGGAAGAGAAGGAGAAGGATACCGACGCATCCGGTGGCATACAGACCATCAACAAAGAACATACTGATGCCACTGACGAGTGTCCCCGTTGCAGCCGTGTACCAATTGAAGTAGTGAAAGGAGGGCCGGAAGTTGGGAGCGGATCCGATCTTCAGCAGGAAGCAGGCCAAGTTAGTAACGAGGAAGGTCATCAGGTATGTCATCGTCACAAAGGACGCAATCTGATTGATGTCGAACAGCATTGTGAGTTGAGCGAATACATATGTGATGACGATTGCATTTATTGGCTCGTCGTTCTTCTTGGAACCGCGGCCGAAGAAGTTGATGCCTGGGAGTAAGCTATCGCGGGCTATGGCCTGAAGGAGTTTGGCAGACCCAATGACACCCATAAGTGCGGAAAAGAAACTGGTGGCAAATTCGCCGACAAGAATAATTGTATCAGAATAGTTGACCTACATGGCATTAGACGTGTCATATTGAGAATGAGCATGTGTACTTACGATTTGAATCACGTTGGTATTATTGTAGAAGGACTGCCGACGGATTGATGCAGCCATGGTCACAATGACGAGCACGTACGAAATAAATGTCAGAGCAAGTCCAGCGAGTGTACCTTTCGGTATTGACTTGCTAGGATTCCTCAAATCTCCGGACATACTCGCTCCACTACGAAAAGTCAGCAATTGTGTCATCAGGGTTGACCCATCCACGAAGCAATATTCACTCACGCGAAGATGCCACCCGTCGCCGGATATAGAATTCCAAACAAGTCCTGGAAATTCTCTCTTCCCTTCAATTGACTTCCAGCGGCGCCTTTCGTGAATTGAGGCATAAGATTCTCCTGGAGGGTTCGCCAACTGAGGCCCGTGAACTCGATGTGATCCGCTGGAGAAGTGAAAGGTTTCAAAAACACAGCAGATAGGGGAATGCTAAATGTAGCAACAAGGAGCAACACCAGAAGGCCGTTGCTAGCTCTCGCAAATATAGAGCTGCCTGCAAGACAAATTCCAGTACAGAGGACAAGGATCACCGTCCCCCACAGATACTGCCACCAAAATCCTTCTTCCAAGAAGTGACCGAGCGTGCCGGACTGGGTCCCAAAGTTCTGAGTAAAGCAATCGATGAGACCGACCGCATTCATGCCGGTGTTGAAAACAAGTCCCAGGTAGAAGACCACCCCTATCGAGCCTCCAAACTCGGGGCCCAACGAGCGGGATATCAGGTAGTACGCGCCGCCACCGCGGACCGTGCCATTTGTTGCAATCGCTGACAGAGACATTGTAGTAACCAAATTGATCAGGTATGATATTATCAGTAGGCCTAAATATCCCAGGGGAGTCAGTTTTGCCAACTCTCATTATGGCCGGGATTATGCGTAGGGGAGAAATCACCGAGCATGCCCAACAGTCCAGCTTGCCCCAAGATAAACCCAAATCGGAGGAACATGAGAATACTGAGCACGTTCAAGCTGGTAGGTACGAACACTCCTGAGAATGTACCAAGCTTCTTTGATTCTTCAGGCGAACGATGCCGATGGGCGGATTTGTCCTTTCTATCTGCACTATTGTCTCGAAGAGGTCCACTGGAAGGGACGAAACCAGCTTGGCCACCATGATGTTGTTCCTGTTCAACCGCAGACTTCTGCGTCAACCTATTGAAAATGCCTTGTAGCGGATTTTGGAAGGTTGATCTCTGGGTGTTATTTGGCGGTTCCGCCGCGGACGTCCCAAGGGGCCGTGACCATAAAGTCCGAGGCCAAGATAAATGTCGGCCACGTTCTGGAGGTACGGTAGCCTCCGACTCGGTTGGATCAAGGCGAGCAACATCTTCTTGGGCTGTTCGAGCTGAGAAATTTGGGCCCGGGCGAGACATGGCTGACTCTCCTCTGACGATCAGGACCACTCCAGGTGCATTAAGGCCTAGAACCCACCAGTCCTTGAAACGCCCAAAGTGAGGTCAAAGTTCGAGCCTTGTGGACTTATCGGCGAGACGATTCGAGATCGAGCAGTAGACATCAAATTTGCTGTTCTGTTTGGCAACTCCAGCTCTGGCGCGTTCACCGCTTGCACTGACTTGTTATCGCCAATAGAATTCATTATCTCCAGAGAGATATGGAGAGAGCGGGCGATGACGTGGGGTTTGAGGAACAAACATTGCAAACTGCAAAGGGCCCTCAATCTGGACAAGCTCCGGGGACTCAGCGAGTCAGCAGTCAGCACTAACGCAGTCACGCATCGGAGCTAGCCGCCCACTACTGCAACGCTCTTGCCGCCCTTAACGCTCTTGACGATCAGCCGCAATACCAACACAGCCCCTACTCATCTTCTGCATACATTTCAGCCACACTGTCTTAGCCTGCAGTGTCGAAACTGCCGCACCTTTGTGGTAACAATTGTTTTCTACCGAGCAAAATTCTTGCTTGCGACCTTCCCCTCTCACACTTGCGACTGCCACTAGCCCAACCTTCAACTACGCTAGTTTGAGAGGTTCATTCGCCAGCCCCATTCCTACAATGACAGACAATGGCGAGAGCTCATCGCTGCATCCGCAGCGATCGTCGCCTATCCCAGCCTCGTCCTATCGCTCTACCTCTCCTGGGCCTGAGAGCCGACAGGCTTCCATGGCTCGTTTGGCGTCGCCGGTGCCGTCCGGGTCATTAGCTGCCTCGCTGGCCTCACGACAAGGCCCGCCTGCGACTCGGCCAATCAGTACTGCTCCGTCAAATGTTGACCGCAACTTTCAAGCTGTTGACAATATGGCCTCCCTCCCTGGACCGGGCCAGTCAATGATTGCTTCTCAGCTCCAAGCCAGCCTTGGTCGTTCGCCGCCTCGATTCGGAACCCCGCCACGAATGACTGCATCCCCATCGATTCCCCCTACAACTCAAAATCGGCCGACAGCCTCCCAATATGGCTCTTTCGACACCAACGCTGAGAACCAATACGGCCCAGACTCCAGTGTAGCAGGCGCTTATGAGGACCCAGAAGTTGTACGAAGACATCTGGTGCTTCCTCAGAACACTACCGAGGGCCGAGATACTGGCTCTGAACTTGCGTCAAGTCACGGCGACGAGGAATTCTCCAGTCTTCAGCTTCAGGGCGGTGATATTACTCGTCAGGTCTACCGCTGGGCCGAAGATGCTGATTCTTCGCGATTTGCCCGCAGTAAAAGCTTCAGCATCAGCAGACCTGCCCCTGAGGCTGAAACAGAGAACATTTCTACAATTCAGGTTCCGGGCGGATTCCGACGAGATTTCCTGCGCAGGACGGCAGGAAGTCCACATCGTGGAACTGTTCGGGGGACAAATGGTGGACCTCCTCCTGCACCGCCTCAGCTGCCAACCTCGAGCTTTTTGGAATTCTTGACGCTCTATGGTCACTTTGCCGGAGAGGAGCTTGAAGAAGATGACGAAGTCCTGGGTCCCGATGAGTACTTCTCCTCAGATGCCTGGGATGAGCACGACGAGGGTCGGGAGTCTGGCGAAGACACCGCGCTTCTAAGAGGAGAAGGGGCTGGCCGCAGAAAGCGCAAGCACAAGCAGCGTGCTCCTCCTGGTAACACCACCACCACCGGTGCTGTCATGTTGCTGCTTAAGTCTTTTGTTGGAACAGGCATTCTCTTCCTGCCTCGAGCTTTCCTCAACGGCGGAATGCTGTTCAGCTCCCTCGTCCTTCTCGGTGTTTCCATCCTGAGCTACTACGCCTTTATCCTCCTCGTGAACTCACGCATGAAAATCGAGGGCTCCTTTGGTGACATTGGCGGCATTCTGTATGGAAAGCATATGAGACGCATCATCCTTGGCTCCATTGTGCTGAGTCAATTAGGTTTTGTGTCAGCTTACATCGTCTTTGTGTCGCAGAATCTCCAGGCTTTTGTGCAAGCCGTGAGCAAATGCGCCACTTTCATCGATATCAAGTATCTGGTGCTACTGCAGCTGGTTATTTTCCTCCCGCTGTCCTTGATTCGTGACATTGGCAAGCTAGGCTTCACTGCACTGATTGCTGATGCTTTCATTCTCCTGGGACTGCTGTATATCTATTACTATGATGCTCGAACTTTGATCAGCAATGGCGGCGTCTCTGATATTCAAGCATTCAACCCCGCTACTTGGTCAATGTTCATCGGCACAGCTATTTTCACCTACGAGGGTGTTGGTCTCATCATTCCGATTCAGGAATCCATGAAGCAGCCTGGCCGTTTCCCGGGCGTTTTGGCCGGAGTGATGGTCATCATCACCTTGATCTTTTTGTCTGCAGGTGCGCTGAGTTACGCAGCCTATGGATCGGCCACCAAAACCGTCATTCTTCTCAACATGCCCCAGGACGACAAATTTGTCAATGTCGTCCAGCTCCTCTATTCACTGGCTATTCTGCTAAGCACTCCTCTGCAATTGTTCCCTGCCATCCGTATCTTGGAAAATGAGCTGTTCACTCGCAGTGGGAAGTATAACCCATATATCAAGTGGAAAAAGAACGCTTTCCGATTCTTCTTGGTTGTCGTCTGTGCTGTTGTCGCCTGGGGTGGTGCAGCTGATCTAGACAAGTTCGTTGCCTTGGTTGGCAGCTTCGCTTGTGTACCGCTGATTTATGTCTATCCGGTGAGCTCTTTTCTCTTCACTTCTCAATCAACAATGCTGTTGTGCAAAAACTGATCCATCACAGCCCCTGCTCCACCTGCGTGCTTGCGCTCAATCAAAACGCCAGGCTATCGCCGATATCACCCTTGCTATTCTCGGCGCGATCTGCTGTATCTACACTACTGCTCTGACCATTCAAAGCTGGTTCGGTGCCCAGGCTCCATCAAGCCCCGGGTACTGTGACCCCAAATAAGCTATGCGCGTGGTCGGTCTCGCGCTGACTTGATCACCTTTGACTTCTGTCTTCCCTGTTCACTGCTTCCTGAGGCTGCAGTGTGTCACGACTTGGTATTCCTTGTGTCCCCTTTTTTCAACGTCTCCTGTTTTCTTCTGTTTCGAGCGAGCATGTTTTGGTGGATGTTCTAGTAGCGACGCCACCTCTCTTGTGTACAGATAAGTTTTGAGTAGTGTCAGCATTCTTCTTTCTTGCTTCTCTGTCTCTAATTCAGGTTCTTCCTGTCACATAAATTTGTTGTTGTTGCTCTGTCCGCGCGGCGGGACGTAAGAGGCCGTAATGCTTCGGGACATTGCTATTCCAATCGACTGGTATGTATCATCCACGAAAGGTGAAAGAGCAAGGTTCGCTCCATTCGATGGAGGTAATGGATACATGTTCAATGAAGTGTTCGTCCCGCAGACGAATAGTCTACGGCTTCAACCGGACACCTGTCTAGCTCACACCCATACTCTCACCAATAACCTCTCCACTGTCTATTCCGTATCCTACTCGCTCATATGGCTTGGATTTACATGAAAAGTGGCCATTGAACAACCGAGTTGTCAAGGCATGATGGATATAGAGATGCAATGCTGTGAAGCAGGTTACAAACAAAAGATTGGATATAAACATTCACAAGACCGAACGAACCCAACTTTTTCAAACGGGCTTTCTACGCCTCGGCGGCAAGAGCACCCTCCTTGGCCTTTTCAGCAAGCTGAGCTTCCCGTCCACCCCATCTGTGAAGGAAAAGAAGACAGCGTCAGTATGCGGAAAGGCCCAGATTAGGTCGAGCGAGGAAGTAGAAGGGACGGTATGCTTCAATGAGACTGGGCTAACATACTTCCAGTATGACAGATAACGATAACCCTGGGTTGTCTGAGCGCCAAAGTTGGTCAGATGGCAGGCGAAGAGAAGGTAGTTCTTGGGGGTGACGGCGAGGGAGTAGCGCATGAAGGTGGCGGCGTAAACGACGAGCGCGGCGGTCATAGGTCCGGAGATACTGTGCCGTAGATGACCGTGTCAGCATGTCTCTTTGACCACGCATTGATCAAGACGTATCTTGATACTCGAGAGCACAGTGCCTTTGTTTGATCGGGAAGAACATACATTTCGGGGTCCTTCTGAGTATCCATTACAGCCGCAATAGGGATACCAAAGTTGGAGACGGGGCCCCAGAAGTCTGCATTAACCGACTATCAGTCCATCTGTGGTTTGTGCAGTATGATCTTGACATGACTGATGCTACGATCAACTGATCTTTGCAAGCCCGGGAGTTGCAGGCTTCGTCGTTTATTCTCCGTGTACACTTTTGCCGGGGAAAACAATGTCGTTGCCGGAGGCCGATCTCGGTCCCGGACGATTCGCGCAGGGGGATCATGCAGAGTATAGCAATCAACAATTGAGACACATACGGGTAGAGCAGACATAGTCCAGCACCTTGTTGGAGCGGATCTTCGCATTGATAGCCTTGATAGCAGCCGCCATGACGATGTTGCTGAGAGAGCTCGGAACGGGTTGAAAGGACCAAACGATATGCGACTTGCGGAATTGCCGCTCCATTTCCACCGGCCGTGGCCGCGACACCCGTCCACCATGTCACGTGCTCCTAAAGTCAACTGCTGTGGAGCAAAGGTGTCGCTCTTATCTCCGACCGAAGCCCCGTCAGGTCTAATTGATCAATCCAACTTGGTTCTATATATGTCAAGTTGTATCAGGAAATAGCGGGCATACATCAGCGTCCTTTATCGATTGTCATGAGTTCCAATTATTTTGAATGCATTCTATTCCAGTTTCACCAGTCACTACTTTGAATTCAATCACAGTGGCGTGACCCCAATCTGCCCTTCAGTTCTTAGTACATCTATGAACCCACTGCCCGACTCGGCGCTATCAATATATGTATCCATCCAAAATCCTTGGATTGGATACGGACCTACATGCCTGGATTGAATTTACCCATGCTTATACCAACGGCATAGGACTGGAGCTGGAGGCTTCCGTTGATGTTTACATTGAAGTAGACCTACCTAACAGCCTAGGCAGTGGGTGATGAATGCAAGCTAGAATACCTGTACTACCTCAGTCTGTAGATACTAAAGTTACATAGTAGATGGATACATGTTCATGCTTCCGTACGTACCTCAATGAGGGGATACCAAATACAGACAGAGCCCAATGAGACCGGACTCCCTATTGCTACCTTATACTCAGTGGATATCGTTGGAAATTGACGGGTGTCGTTCTAGGACTCCATCTCGGGCACAACCTAGACTGAGGCTGGGATCATGATTAATGCGAAGTTGCGAACCGATCAAGTTACCAACCAAATTTCTACTGGAACCTAATTTATAGTGAACCATTGGGTTGATTGTCACAGTAGGTTGTACGCCTGATCTTTTCAGTATACATCGATTCTTGGTCCAGACATTTTAGAAATATACGAGCCCGTTAGGTAGGAAACCCAGTCTTAGCAGAGACAATTAATGAGATACGCTTTGTCATGAGACAAGGTAATGGATGGAAAACTGATGTTTATTTTTGGGCTGTGTACTGCCATTTTGGCAGACAACCTCGATCCGCATGCGCCGCAACGCCTTGCCTAGTGAGAGGGACCATCTGACTTGGCCCTGAAATGGTCTCTTGCGATGAACACGAGACTGAATCCTCATCAATTCTCGATAGTCTGAATCGAGGACAGACCTAATGGGTATTTGTGACGTAATCTTCTCATTCAAAATTTCTTCAATATTTAGCGGCCGGAAAACCCGGGAGGAGGATAACCACGGCCCTGGCCAGGAGGCTGGAAACCAGGAGGGGGCTGGAAAGCGCCGGCTTCATTGAGACATATGTTAGCGTTGAACTTCACATGCGCAGTTCAAAAGGTAGGAAACTTACGAGGAGCGCCCTGAGGAGCGAAGCCAGGGGGAGGGGCAAAACCGGCTAGAAAGCAAGGAATCATGTCAGTGGGGAACAAGTCATGAGTGACGAGTTCAGTTTAATAAACTTACGAGGTCCGCCGGGGGTCCTCCGCGGCCAGCGAAACCAGGAGGAGGTGCACCTGGGAAGCCACCGGGGGGAAGCCACCAAACGCTCCAGGAGGAGGAGGAGGTCCACCGACACCAGCAGCGGGGCCACCGAGCCCGATGGGCAGGCCACGACCAGCGGGCTTGCTGATGCCGGGACCAGTGACAAGGGTAGCTGTAGCGCCGACAGGGCCAGGACCACCGGCACCGAGACGAGTAGAGGGGTCGGCAGGAGGAGGGCCATCGACGGAGCAAGAGACGACTTGAGTACCACGAACAATGGTGAGTCCAAGGGTTCGCTTCTCCTCCGCTTCGACGAGGGGCGCGTTTGAGGAACCGGCCGCGGGCTTTGACTTTCGCTTGATACGACGGAATTCTTCTGTGTCGGCCAAGACGAGGTTCATGTGCTGGACACAAAGTCAATGTTAGTCTAGAACAGAAGCAAATTGCGGAGCACTTCAACGTACCTTGTCAAAAGCCAGCATCTGACCGGTCATTTGTCGTCCATCGTTCAAAGTAACCCTCATCCGGTAATTGATCTGGAGCTCAAGTCAGGAGTTGTAGAGATTGGAAAGGGGTTGCGATCTGAGTGACGTACGAGGTTTTGCTAAAGAGTACATAGGTCAGCAATGGTTCAACGATTGACTCGTCGACAGACCTCTCCGGAACTCTGGGTTACACATACCATCTTGCCCTTGTTGTTGGCGGCCATCGTTGCCAAGAGCGAGTGCGCACGAATGCGACTTGGTGTTTCCAAAGAGAAAGGAGAGAAGTGAATGAGCGACGAAGCTTTATTCACGGCGTTAGGGATCTAGCAGATTGAACGATCCTTGGGGTCAAGCTTAAGCTCTTTGCGATGCTGGACCAGGTTCAATTCTCGGAGTGCCCCATATTGGATGACTCAGCTGTACAGAATCCACGTGATCCAATCGAGCAGGACTGGAACTCAAGGCTCGAACTTCCAGCCGGGACAGTCCGGTGGAGACAGTCCTTGAACAGCCAATGCGGGACGGGAACCCTCAGTCCACGCTAGTTATGGGCCACCGCCCAGGAGGCAGAACGGCTGCCACTCAGCTGACTGCAAAGACCGATCCTGACATAAGCGCCAAGCCCTGCAAACCCTCTCGCTTCCCAACTCCCGTGACTCGGCTCCCGTGACCGCCGCCCACACAAACCGCTTTTGTACTTTTTGAAGATTCTCTCCTAACTCGTCGCCAACCCATATCCACGCCACACAACAGTCGCCATGGTATGTCACCACCAAAAATTCACTACAAGCCTGGATTGATAGACTGCGAAAATATACAAGGAATTCGATTCTAACGATCAATCATGCAGTCTGACGCCAAGGACAAGACCGCCAACCCCATGCGCGAGCTGCGCATTCAGAAGCTCGTGCTCAACATCTCCGTCGGCGAGTCTGGTGACAGACTTACTCGTGCCGCCAAGGTGCTCGAGCAGCTTTCTGGTCAGACCCCCGTCTACTCCAAGGCCCGCTACACTGTCCGTACCTTCGGTATTCGTCGTAACGAGAAGATCGCCGTTCACGTTACCGTCCGTGGCCCCAAGGCCGAGGAGATCCTCGAGCGTGGCCTCAAGGTCAAGGAGTACGAGCTCCGCAAGCGCAACTTCTCCGAGACCGGCAACTTCGGTTTCGGTATCTCCGAGCACATCGATCTGGGTATCAAGTACGACCCCGGTATTGGTATCTACGGCATGGACTTCTACTGCTGCATGTGAGTGGTTCCTCTCGGCAAACGTTTTACCAACCTGAGTCTATGGACGAGGCTCGGGGAAATCCTCTTTTCACCCCGGAATACTGGACTGGAGGCGCTGACTATCTATTTAATATAGGACCCGCCCCGGTGAGCGTGTCTCCAAGCGTCGCCGTGCGAAGGCCTCCATCGGCTCCAACCACAAGATCCACCAGACCGAGACCATGAAGTGGTTCAAGAACCGCTTCGACGGTATCATCCGGTAAATGTCTTGACTGACATATTGGGGAAGCGGGGATGGCCGGTTGGAAACTTGTGATTTACGATGCATCGAAGGGAGCCACAAAAAAAGCTTTTTCTCCGCCCGAACAAAACAAAAGAAAACAAAAACTCGGCCCACTGACAAGACCCGAAGGCAACCGGCCGGGCTCCTGCTCTTTGCGTCGGATATGGTGTTCTGAAACTCCCTTTTTTGATTCTCTCACGGCAACCAGGATTAGGCGTGTTAGAGACATGAATTTATTACCACCTTGCAATACCATTGCAATCACCTCTTTTCCTTTTCACAATGAAGGCTGCACGAAAGGTGTATGTTTTTCCGCATAATCATTGTTGAAAAGGTTGGACTGGGCACGGGACTTGATTGTCTTGATATGCTTCCACGTCCAATGGCTCGGTTGACATGTGGTCTCTATGACCTTGTCAAAGAGTCAACTTTTATTTTTTGAGATCACTTGGCTTCGCATGTTCTGGCCGCAAGGCTGGCCCGTGTGGATGTCCAGAGACTCATCTGGCCTCTCTTCCTCTTGTCTGTTACTGTCTACACCTGGTGCCGTTCCTCTGTGTAGTTGATGTAGACTGTAGATTGGTAGGGTTTGTAGCCTCGTTCTCGCACTCGGACGTGGAAGCCTTCGACGTCGCGATTCGCATTGTGCAAGAGTGGTGCAGTCACCAACTATACGTGTTGCTGCTGTCCAGCCAATGTTGATCACGCTGGCAAGTCTCGGCGTGACCACCCCGTATGCCATCAAGCAGACACCACACACCACACACCACACATGTTTGAGAGCGCAAGGAAATGCACCTACATATGGGCATAGGCCTTCACCATACACGGCCCGTCTCCATGGTCGAGATAACCCTATTGTGGGCGTACTTTCAACTCTCAACAGCTGCTCAATATAACCATCCCATTGCGCTCCACCACCCTTTGATATTGCACCTGGTCAACTCACAGCACAATCAACACGCTTCCAAACAACAGCGACGATTTCTCATCCTCATGACCCAAGTCCCTAAACCCAACCCATCCTGTCCATGATCAGACATCCTACATGCATATAAAAGCATGTATCCTTCAACGTACAGAACTACAACCTTATCACGGCCAAGAAGTTATAAAGACGCCTCAATGGACTGAGCTGCTGTCTGCGCCGATGCACTGCCCATCAATCCCTCAGAAAGGATGCAAGGCAACTATGACTACAGATTTGGAACATGTTCTATCACTGGTCAGGACTCATCTATCTACTCGGCCCAGGAGCAGAGCTTAGCCTTGTGCTTGTACTCCCAGGCATAGATGCGGATTGCGGGAGTCGCCCCCAATAGCACCGCACGGTTCAGCCGTATAGGAGTCAGGACTGGGTGTTAGCTAGGCATTCTTGAAGAGAATGTCTTGCAAATCACATGTAATTGATGGTGCGGGCTCGGCGACGTCCCATCGACATGTAGAGCTGGGAGTATCGTAGGTAGGTCAGGAATGTGTTTGCTCTGAACACCAAAGTAATTTTGTGTTCAGACTATGGAGAGAAGGTTCGACGCAACTAGTCGTACGGATCGTGTTCATACACGTTTGAAGTGGCAGGAGTCACTAATCTATGGACAAGGTACTTATGTCAAGATGGAACCTGGTTTTGGATCCACCAGGAAATGATAAAAGTTCCAAGAGTTGATTGAATAAACACCTCCTGAGCGCTTCCAAGTGATGTAGTGATAGAATGATTGATCGTCGAACATAATTCATGAATAAGTGTACCGTTGACGATAAATAACCGCGCAAGAGTACATACAACCTCCACGAGGAAAGTAACTCCTATACGACCAGACACCCGAAAAATAAAATTAACCAAAGATGACTGAACAAGCATCATATAACCTCATGTCAATATTCAATACGAAATTCACTTTCCCCGGGTATATCCCTCCCACAACTTGGAGAAGAAACCTCCGGGCTGCTGCTGCTCGTTCCAGCTCGCCCGACGAGCCGACATATTAGCATCGGTGGAATCACGCTTCACCGACTGCAGGCCCGCGAACATGGGGCCGGACTTGGAGCTCGCGCTAGAACGGCGGCGATCGTTCATAGTGGAAGGGGGACTTCCGCTGCTGGAAGCGGCGGAGCTCTAAGCAAACAAAAAACAAAGATAGAGAGTATTAGTACATCAGGACCTTTCACGAATGAATGTGGAGTGATGGGTTTCTAGGAGTATCACGTACTCGGCGAGATGAGTCGGCAGCCATTGTTTGTTCAGGAGTTAGAGCCCAGGGAGCACGATTTGCAGGACCTTTGGCACCGCCGTGAGTCCAGACGTTTTGATGTTCGTAGCGGTTCCCTGCTTCACCGTGCCAGTGGCGCTTTGGAGGGTCAGTCACGTTGTCAGACATGTTGTGGTTTGAGGATGTCGAAGATAAGATTCTTGGAGACAAGGGGTGGAAATACTCGGACTAGTAGCAAGCTGTATCTGAGATTGAGGAGGCGGTGGTCAGCAACGACTGTTTGAAAGTCGCAATTTGTGTTGGAAGTGATGGATGATTTGCAATGGGTGATATTCAATACAGATGGAGAAAGAAACACAGTGGTCCATGTAGCTTATATATACAGACTGGATAACCCACAATCGAGATGATATCAAGTCAAAGACGTCATGGGCCATGAGGGAGGATAACGGCTACCTGATCCGTGGAAAAGCGCCGCAGTGCAAGGGGGCGGGGGGCAAACGCAGGCATCGAAGGAGAAAGACGATCGCAGTGGAGACGAGCAATGGAATGGACCAGATCGAATCTCTTCCACTGGAGTGTATAGACATACCTTAGCTAGTCCAGAGGATGATGATCAAAGTTAGATCTGAGGGTGTGAGACGATCGATGCAAGATCGAGAAGCCAGAGTGGGGGAGACCCGTCTTATAAGACACGGCATTTTCATTTCTTCGGAAAAAGAGCAGTAGTACTAGGGCTGTCCTTTGGCAGGGACCCGACATACTGGCTATCATCGTTTATAGGGCCAGTCAAGGCGAATCATTGCTTGAGCTGTGCAGGTTAGCCACAAGGATATGGAGGTAGAGCAGGAGGTATCCTCTACAATGGTTGCCGAGAGGGCCGGACGCAAGTCACGGGGTGTCTACGCTAGTAGGAAAACTGGAAGCGAATGGATAGTTCAACGTATGTGATGACCTGCAAAGAGATTGAATCGTATACTAGGCATTCTCAACCCTTCATTAGATTCTAGGTAGACGCGAGCAGAATCCTCGTCTCGGTGTGGCGAGAATAATCTTCGACTCTCGAGCCTTGAAGAATGCAGACACTCACAGACGGAATATGCATCTGTTCCATAAATATCACTTGATATGTTCAACGCTAGAAGAGCTAAGTTGATCAAAGCCTACTACTACTCGGCAGTCCAGTCTCCCCTCCACTCAATTACCAAAGGCCATAACCCAAGTATCAAGTACACCCAAAGTACTCCTGACCTCATCATCGACTGCGTAATAGACGGAGGGCTTTGACGTAGGTGCAGATTGCGGGGAAAGCTCCCACAACTAATCAGACCAAGTCAATCCTTGGGGGTACCCAGTACTTGTCCAGCAGTCATCAAGCCCACTTTTACCCGCGCAAATCTTCCACAAAAGGATGTACCCAGTACTCACTACGTCTTTCTTCAATGACCAGCCTCCACAGAAGGCAATTCGATCGGACCCAAAATCCCCATCGATCGGGCCATATGATCCGAATGATGTTACAAAGATTGTTTATGCAGTACCGAGTTAAGAAAAAAGGTGGATAAGCAGAGCCTTTCTGACTTTTAAATGGTCAAATCAGATTGGAGTTTCTCACAACTGCTGTACGAGAGGTTATGCTGCCCATCTGCAGGAGTGGAAGGGGGTGGTGCTCGGATCGAACTTTATCGATCGGAATCGGTCGATGAAAGGTCTGATCGCATCGACCACCGTTCCCAGAGGTCCTGATGGAGGTCTGTTGGGAGCCAAGCGTAGCCCATATGCTTGTCTTTATTGAGAGGCGAATGGAGGAGTGAGCGAGAGGTCGCGGAAATTAGGAAAATGTACTTGTCTTTCCAGTTGAAAATCCCCTTGAGCGCTCAGGTCGTCTTTAAGTCTCCACGCAAGTATGGCCAGTGCCGTTGTCGTATGGACGTACAGCTGTAGAAAGACCGCGACAATAGGAACAATTCTTGACTATTCACCGAGGAGAGGGAATGAGTGTGGTATCAGTAGAATGACCCCCCCCCCCAAGAGGATTACAGATATACGTTCCGAATGGAAAATATCACCTTCTCACTTCCGCAATTGCACGACTTGAAGTGCTACGGTGAGCATGCGCTGGATGAGTCCAAGTCTGGTCGCCAACTCACCGAGCATGGAATCTACCGTAGGCACGTTGAATTTATTTCAATTCAATTCGAGATATTCAAGAATCCGGTTGAACAAGTAATCGACCCACGCTAGAGTTTATCATTCACATCGCATCGCGGCCTCTCTCTCTCGCGAGGGGGCATACACCAATTCTGGGGTTCTTACTATCCCGACCTGGAAAAAGGAGACCGCAGAGAGAGAAAAAAAAGCCAAAAAAAAAGAACATTACTTGAAAAAAACGCAAGCCAAATCATTTTCAACACGTCGTCAAAGATGAAAACGTTCCACAGTTATTACCCATCATATACGCGACGCCTCCTTCAATCCAAAGCTCAATTAAGCCTTGGTGATGCGGCAGATCAAATCTTGACCATCGACAGAGTCACCCTCCTTGACCAGCAAGCCAGAGACCTTGCCGCTGTGAGGAGCAGAGATGACCATTTCCTGCAAAGTAAAATAACGGGTTAGCACAATGTACCTTGGAACAGAATACAAAAGTCGAAAGATCCAGGGCTTACCATCTTCATGGCGCTCAGCACCGCGATAGGGTCACCCTTCTTGCACTCATGGCCATCGTGCACGCGAATCTCAACCACGACACCAGACATGGGAGCACCAACTTGGCTGCTGTCACCCACATCGGCCTTGGGGCGGGCAACATTGTCCACAGAGGCCTTGTTGTCATCGACCGAGACCTGTCGGACTTCACCGTTGACCTCGTAGAAGACCTCGCGCTGACCGGTCTGCTCGGACAAGGGTCCAATGGCAAGCAGCTTCAGGATAAGCACCTTACCCTTCTCCAGCTCAACGTGGAACTCCTCGCCGATTTCGGGACGGGCCAAGAAGTAGCGAGTCGGCAGCACGGAGAGATCACCAAACTTGGACACGAACTTGCGATAGTCCTCGAACACCTTGGGGTACATGGCGTAGGAAGCAACATCGCACTCGGTCGCGGAGCCAAACTTCTCGCGAATCTGGTTCTTGATGCCTGGCAGGTCCAGGGGCTCGAGATACAGACCGGGGCGCTTGTCGAGCTTGCGACGGTTGCGCAGAGCGCGAGAGCGAAGGGGCTCGGGGAAGCCACCGAAGGGCTGACCCATCAGACCCTCCAGGAATTCAAGCACGGAACCGGGGAAGTCCAGCTCGGCCGCGCGGTCAACAACGTCCTGCTCGGAGAGCTTGTTGGACACCATGAACTGGGCCAGATCGCCAACCACCTTGGAAGTGGGGGTGACCTTGACGATATCACCGAGGAGGTCGTTGGCCGCCTCGTAAGCCTTCTTGGTCTCGGCCCACTGCTGGCCAAGACCCAGCTGGCTGGCCTGGAAGATCAGGTTGGTCAGCTGGCCACCGGGGATCTCGTGCTCATAGACCTCAGGGTCGGGGCCGGTAAGACCGGCCTCGAAGGGCGAGTAGAGCAAGCGCAGCTGAGCCCAGTAGCTGTCGAGAGCACGGACATGCGCGACGTCCAAGTGGGGATCCTGCTCGGTGCCGGACAACGAGGCGAGGATGGCACCGATGCTGGGCTGCGAGGTCATACCGGACAGGGAGTCGGTGGCAGCGTCCACGGCATCAGCACCCGCCTGGGCACAGGCAATCATGGAAGCGACACCGGTACCGGCAGAGTCGTGAGTGTGCACGTGGATGGGCAGATCGGGGTAACGCTCACGGAGGGCACCGATCAGAATACGAGCAGCCTGGGGCTTCAACACACCAGCCATGTCCTTGATGCCCAAGACGTGGGTGCCGAGAGCGACAATCTTGTCGGCCAGAGCAAGGTAGTACTCCAGGTTGTACTTCTTGTGGGGGTTCAGCATGTCACCACTGTAGCAGATGGTGGCCTCGACCACACCACCGGCCTGCTGAACGGCCTTGATGCCGACCTCAAGTTGGTCCACATCGTTGAGGGCATCGAAAACACGGAAGATGTCAACACCGTACTTCTTGGCCTGCTTACAGAAGTGGTAGATGGCGTTGTCGGGGAGAGAGGAGTAGGCCACACCGTTGGCGCCGCGCAGCAGCATCTGGAACGGAATGTTGGGCACGGCCTTGCGAAGCTTGCGCAGACGGTCCCAGGGGTCCTCGTACAGGAAGCGCATGGCGACGTCGAAGGTGGCGCCACCCCAGCACTCCAGACTGTAGGCGTTGGACAGGGCGTGACTGGTCTCGGGGGCGATGTTGAGCATGTCAATGGTACGCACACGGGTAGCGAGCAGCGACTGGTGGGCATCACGCCAGGTGGTGTCCATGATCAAGCAGCCCTTGTTGGCGCGCACCGCCTTGGCAAACGCCTCCGGGCCCTGGCTGTCGAGAATCTGCTTCCAGCCCTTCTGGCACGGAACGGAGACGTCGATGGGGGTGCCCGAAGCATCGGTGAGAACGGGCTTGATGATCTCGCCCTTGAACTTGGGCTCGCCCATCTGTCCCTTGATGCTGCTGCCGTTGACAGCCACGTCACCCAGGTAAGCCAGCAGTTTCTGAGCACGGTTCTGAGAGCCGACGAGAGCGAAGAGCTCGGGAGTGTCATCAATGAAGGTAGTCCAGCAAGTGCCATCGATGAAGGTGGGGTGGCTCAGCAGGGAAGCCAAGAAGGGGATGTTGGTCTTGACGCCGCGGATACGGAATTCGACCAGGGCACGCAGGACCTTGCGGCGAGCGATCTCGTAGGTGGAACCACGGCACGTGCACTTGACCAGCATGGAGTCGTAGTGAGGGGTGATGACCGCGCCCGCAAAGCCGTTACCACCGTCCAGACGGACGCCGTTACCACCGGCGGAGCGGTAGACCTCGATCTTACCGGTGTCGGGAGAGAAGCCCTTGGAGGGATCCTCGGTGGTGATACGACACTGGATGGCGAAACCACGGGTGGAGATGCGGTCCTGGGTCAGGCCCAGCTGCTCGAGAGTCGCACCAGCGGCAATCTGGATCTGAGCAGCGACGATATCGATGCCGGTGATCTCTTCGGTGATGGTGTGCTCGACCTGGATACGAGGGTTGATCTCGATGAAGTAGTAGCGGTTCTGCTGGTCCACCAGGAACTCGGCGGTACCCGCATTGCGATACTTGACGGACTTGGCGAGACGCACGGCGTCGGCCAAGATCTTGTCACGGACTTCGATGGGCAGGTCCTTGGCGGGGGCGATCTCGACGACCTTCTGGTGACGACGCTGGACGGAGCAGTCACGCTCGAACAGGTGCACGACGTTACCCTGGTTGTCACCCAGCAGCTGGACCTCAATGTGCTTGGGCTTGTCGAGGAAGCGCTCCACAAAGACCGTGCCGTTACCGAAGGCGGAGCGGGCCTCGGAAGTGGCACGCTCAAAGGCGTCGCGCAGGTCGGCCTGCTCACGGACGACACGCATACCACGACCACCACCACCAAAGGCGGCCTTGATGATGATGGGGAAGCCGTAGGTGTCGGTGAAGGACTTGACCTCCTCGTAGCGCTCTACGGGGCCCTCGGTACCAGGGACGACGGGGACGTTGCACTTGATGGCCAGGCGACGGGCTGAGACCTTGTCGCCGAGGGCGTCGATGGTGTCGGGGGTGGGACCGACAAAGACGATGCCGGCCTTTTCGACGTTGCGGGCAAACTCGGCGTTCTCAGACAGGAAGCCATACCCCGGGTGGATCAGATGGACGCCGTGCTCCACGGCGATCTTGATGATCTCGTCACCGGCCAAGTAAGCGCCGACGGGGGTATACTGACCGCGTTTGCCGATCATGTAGGCCTCGTCGGCCTTTTGGCGGTGCATACCATACCGATCTTCATGGGAGAAGACGGCGACCGTCTGCAAGGACAGCTCGTGGGCGGTACGGAAGATACGGATGGGAATTTCACCACGGTTGGCCACCAAGATCTTCTGGAAGTGCATGATGGTGGAATTGGCCCGGAGACGGCGGTGTACCGAGTCCTGGTGGTGCTCATTGTGGTCCTCGATGAATTCGGAGTCATCGATCGCCTCCTCGGGCTGACGGGACGAGGCAGCCATGATGTGTGAAAAGAGAGAGGAAGAGGGGGAGAGAGAGGAAAGAGGAAAAGAGGAAGGGGCGGGGAGGAAAGCGGTAGGTTAGATAGACGAGGGAGAGAGAGAAAAGCGCGGGGTGAGGTGGTGCACTTTATTCCCGTAGCTAATGGAGATGAAGAAATCGGTCAATGAGGGGGTTCTTCTTGGGTCCCCGAATTGGAGCGAGAGCATGGAATGCCATTGATTGCTCCGGAGGGAAGAAGAACGCCAAGCTGAAGCTCGCGATGAGGATGGGAGAGTGACTCACGGAATAGACACCAGCTGGAGGGGGAGGAGAGCTCCGGAACGCAGCGCGGCCGATCTCGGCAAGAGACGACAATGCAAGCGGAGTGGCACTGCGAGGGGATCTGAACGACGGCAATGGAACTTCTCCGTTGTCGAGAAGCTGGAGGGGATGGAATTCGAAGGATGGAAGACCGAGGTCTGCTGAGCTGAGCTGAGCTGAGCTGAGCTGGATGAGTTGGTCGGGAAGGGGAGAAGGGAAAGGAAGAAATGAAGAGCGACGTCCGAGTTCGAAATGATGTCGAGGGTGGATGGTTAAATGGGCGGGGGGAGGGGAGGGGCAGATAAAACCGAAATGGGTCACGGGCTGAACCAGTGGAGATGGCCGTGACACGATTCGATTATCAGAAGCCAGGGACCGTACTGTCCATTCGCTCCGTCGGTATTTCATTGCCTATGGGTGACGGTGTGAGGATTATACCGGTACATGGTCATCCGCTCGTGTGAGTGTACATGATTCAGGTAACACGTCCTTGTCGACTACTGATGGCCTTTCTGGAAGAATGCCGTTGCATTTTACCGTCCATCTGATCTTGGACCGTTGGCGATTGTCAGAAAGCTTCATGGAAAACGGCGACGCAGCTTATCGCAGGAGGTACTTGGTTACTTCCTGCCGAATGCGATTGCATCTCCTTGCGTTTAGCTCTGGACCTCAAGGCACGCACGTTCTTCTTCGAGTCCTACGAGTACGATCGTACGAGTATGACTAGGCTCATATGCTGTCTTTAGGTTTCCGACCACGACTGACACCGGACTGTGGACTGCACTCCGTGCGCTGTCAATTTGCGCAGGACAACGTGAGACTGGGCCGAGCCAAATCTTGCCCGGGGTAAAGCAGAAGATTGACTCCATCGATGAGGTAATTGCCGTGGGGTCGCCTGCGAACACTGGCAGGGCAGCCGAGTTCGACTGTCTGGGAGAGTCGAGAGTCGAGAGTCAGAGAGTCAGAGAGCCAGAGACTAGAGAGTTAGAGTGGCCGGCTGGTCGGACTTGAGGTCCCCGCCCCGCCTGGCATTTGCGATTATCAAATTCCAGTAGCCAATTTACTTCCTCCGCAGTGGGATGATAACGATTGACTTCGGCCTGGATTAGTTGGTCGACTCAAATTGTTCCATCGAATGTTGGGTTGACCGTAGTCACTGATCCTGAGGTTCTCGGTCGACCAATCCAGACAAGTCAAGGCGCTTCCTTACTTTTCATTCTCTTTCTTCTTCTTCTTCTTCTTCTTCTTCTTCTTCTTCTTCTTTTTTTCCCCCTTCCTTTTCTGTGCTTTTGCCTTTTTTTTTTTCCCTACCGACCCAAGCCCTCCTGTGAGCCATCTTTACCCGCGTGGAAGAACCAGGGCCAGTGGGTGCCAGGATGGTGGTTTTTTTGCCAAGGTGTCTGACTCTCGGCCCTCTTGCAGAGTTGGCGGCTGGCTTGCTCCAAGAGGTTCACCGGTACACCGGACGGCGATCTCATCGCCTCTTTCCCGTGAATGTGGCTGTGATGTGACCTTTTTTCCCTTTTTTCCCTTTTTTTCCTTTTTTTTTTTCTTTCTTGCTTTTTTTGTTATGACTACATTGCGCTTGCGTGATTCCAATTGCCAATCATTCTAGAAATCTTTGAACTTGCCGGGTCTCCAGGGTGGGCCATTTCGAGTTATTATTCAGACCCTGTGGTCACCAGGTGACAATCGTTGACTCTATTGAAATGAGTGATTCAATGATCGACGAGCGTCTACAAAGTACAATCTACATGGTAAACTGCCCAATCCTTTTTTTGTCTGTGAATACATACTTCTCTTGTCCGTTTGAATGGAATTCAGCTCTGGTGATTTCCCCCATATCTCACCCAGCGACCGTTGGCGAAGTCGGCGCTCGATAGATTGTCCCGTGCGATCGTCCGGTTGCCCGAGTACCCGTGCTGAAAAGAAGGAGAGAGATTGAGATATGGCGAGTCGAATGCGGACCAACAAAGTCCACCAATTGCCTGGAGAAAGGAATCTCTATAGTAGTAGTAGTAGGAGTAGGAGTAGTAGTGGTAGTAGTAGTGGTAGTAGTAGTAGTAGTAGTAGTAGTAGTAGTAGTAGTAGTAGTAGTAGTAGTAGTAGTAGTAGTAGTAGTAGTAGTAGTAGTAGTAGTAGTAGTAGTAGTAGTAGTAGTAGTAGTAGTAGTAGTAGTAGTAGTAGTAGTAGTAGTAGTAGTAGTGGTAGTAGTAGTAGTAGTAGTAGTAGTAGTAGTACCACCACCAGGCACAATGAAGTACACTGGAAAGTACCAACTGTCAATCAATGTGAAGAGACCAAAGTCACCATCACTCCTGCTCTGCTCCAGCCTGCTCCAGCCTGCTCCAGCCTGCTCCAGCGCCCCGTGCCGTTCCTCCCCTTCCCTCTCTCCCCATCCTCCGGACGGGTATCGACGGAGAACCCTCCTCTGAAGCTCTTCCCGAGGCAGATCTCGGAGAATGAAGGGTTCTCCGTATGCTTCACCCCCTCACAGTGCAACGCACGGCGAAAAGCCCAACAGACGGAGCACAAGTAAAGTCCAGCCATCCCCAGAGTCCACGCAAACTGGCTTCCCTCGGGCAAACGACGCCCGAGACGCTCGGTTGTGTCTCTCCCTCTTGTTCCTGGACGTTATCGTGTCTCTTCCGACGATCCAAGTCGATGTGACCTTCAATCTGGAAAGGTCGGAAGAAATCGAGGAAGAATACGGAATGGAGCGAGCAGTGCAATCTGAAGACACGCGCAACCTTTTTGTTATGACTCGAAAGGACACTCCTCAGTTCGAAACTTCGAGTCGCCGGACCATTCATACATACGAATGCGATCGCCGGGGAAAGCTTAAACTACAACAGTATTACAGTAGTGGGCTCTTCATCTTCAGGAAAAGGCACTTCTGCAGCCGGTAGGCACCGGGCGTGGACCAGCCACCAGCCACCAGCCAGCTGCGAGGCTCTAGCACTCTAGCACGGGGGGACCCTCTCCCTTCCTCGAGTCCCACCTCATCAGTCATGACCCCCTTGGCAAAGGGCATGATCTGCGAGTATCTGCGAGAAATCCTTGCCTTGAGCAGTCGGAGCCCGTGGTATCTGTGAGTAAACTCAAGGTCAGTTGTGGGTGTCAAGAGAGGAAGACCTGTAAACCCTGACCCGGTTTCTGTGGGCCCGTAGATGCCAAGGGCCAAGTGAGTCAGTCACGGGCTCCGACGAGTCAAGGCAAGGGTGATCTTGGGGCGTGTCTCGTGACCTGGTCGATCACCACATCAGGGTCAACTAACCCAGGCAGTGTCTGCACGTCGAGAACAATACGGTGTCCTCGATCTGCATACCTTACATACGACGAGTGTAGTTTTCTAGTAGTACATCAATTCCCCAGCCTCAACTACAAGCAGAATTTCAGGATCGTCACTCTCACGCAGCCCAATGTCGTGTCCCAGTCTTGTGCATCGACTCAATTTCTCAGACGACAACAGGAAAAGATAAGCTCGATTCGTCAGCACAACATATACTACGGGACATCACTACCTTCGGCTAGTCATGTCGGTTTGCGGACTCCAAACACCATAAGAAAAAAAAGCAAGGTATCTGCTATCTCTCGCTTCGCTTATAGGCTTCCTCTGCCCTAAGCATCAGGATGTGTAGCGGTCGATAACGATCTGACCAATCACTGGACGCCAATGGCTTATCTTGAGTTTATGGAGTCTGTCAGTTCGATAGTTGGCATTGACGTCATGCAACGGAACCCCGGACTTGTGGACTGGTCGAGATGGGGTAAAAAGGACGAGAATGACATGAATTGAATATTCCAGTGCCAGGTCTCATTCCAGCTGCTACTGTCAGCTTGATATTTGCCTGATCGCAGATTTGTCAGTACCTGTCTATATGGAGATGTACTGATCGAATTGAGATGGTCTATCACCAGTCCGCTGGATCGAGAATTTCCCCGACTCTCTCGTCTGGGGTGAGTGTGTTAGCTGCAGTGGACTCGGGAGATGAAATTTGACCCGTGATTCCATCATTGATTATTTTCTCCGTTCGAAACCTTCTAGCCCGTCCTCTCTGACTCGCCGATCGCTTTCGTCGCTCACCCAGTGCCCCTGTATCTGAGGCAGACCGCAGTCCCACACTACTACTAGTCGTCTACTACTAGTCGTCTGCTACTAGGGTATCTCCCCAAGGTACGAAATCGGTTTACTTCAACGCCACGAGAAGGAGCTACCGACGTCCAGCGCACGATCAATTCTCATCCTGAATCAGACTCACGCGCCGGCAGGTCTTCAACGGATTGTTCGCCCGTGGCGCTTCGGGCCGAAGGACCGGGTCTTCCAGTCCGAATGAATGAGGCTCGGAGTGAGATTTCGAAATACACCACCAGAAAGGTGGTACTCTCAACGACATGGGAACTTAGTGTTATACGTTGCATGTCAGCACTAATTTCAAGGTACATACTCCGTAGCACTTCGTCTGCTTCCGTCCTAACACCTGCACAAAATCCCCCCCCCCCCCCTTTTCAGTCTCATCAGCGGCAGGCTGCAGCCAAGCCCTCTCCGCCTCCAGCCCTAATGCAGATCAGTGGAATGTTGTACAAATCCTCGCTTGTCTATCCGCCAAGACAGCTGAGGCACTACGGAGGAATGGAAGGGATTCTGCATCCTGCCGAGCAATACGAGTCTCAAGTCCCGCATCCAAGATCCTACATAGATAACTTCTTACTGCCCTATCCCGCAGGATCTAGTCATACAGTAGCCTAGTACTACCTTAGTACCTACCTAGCTTCCGGCCTGAAGTCGCGCCAGTGCCCATTGTGAAGTCCCAGGCACTTTTCTCGCTCAATCATCCTCATCCTAGCATCATATGTGTAGTAGTCTGCATGCAGCTTACAGTACTTCGTCTCTGCTCATCGAGTCCGCCAGGGTGCTAGCACTGCCATACAGGCTACAGCTGCCCAGAGCTCGTCCAAGCCCTCGACTACTTAGTTCTCGCCAACGTATGTGCTGCGCCTGTCCGTGCGAAACTACACAGGGCCGAGCTAGGTAGATATCGGTCGCACTTTCCCCAGATGTTTGTTGCAAATCGCTCACCGGGATGATCTGCCTGGAAGAGAATCTACCTGAACACGGCATCTCGGTGTTTCCTTGATTGGAGGGCAACACGCGCAAGTCAACGTTCGACTGGGTGAATCACTAGCTTGTCTGCCGAGAAGCCACAGATCTCATTCGGGTCAGCAGTCAGCTACTCGGTTCGGTGGAACGGAGAGTCTGCAGGTAGATTCGACCTGGGCAGTCTGTTCGGTTTACAAGGGTCTTCTGTTGTGTGCAGTAAGCCGGCGAAACGAAACCCTGGTGTTATAGTATTTGCGTCGAACTAGGTGCTCAAAGACCCAAAGAGATAAGTGGCTTGGAAGAAATGGTATGGCGCCAGAGTGCTGGACCATACTTTGATTTTGCTTGCTAGCAGCTCGTTGTGAGGACTGCTGTTGGCCTCAAGACCCTTGAGGGTCTCACATTTGGTACTAAGAGTAGGAACTAGGACGTAAGTTTTAAGTACTGCAGTGATGCAGTCAGTGCAGTACTGTCTGCGCAGTGATCTTAGAGAGCCAGATGGGTCGAGTGATACTACTCATACCCTCGCTGTTGGAAGAGTATGCAGAGGTCCCGCTTGAAACAAAAATACATTCATCATCCTAGAACCGACGGCGACGCACTGCAAATGTAGTGGGGAATGCCTAATGAACACAAATGCATGATAAACTTAAGGGCAAAGAGTCAAGCGTAAAAAGTCAAATAAAGGGAAAATTGAAAACATTAAGAGTTCGCCATGGACATTCCCCTCCGAATGTATCTCATGGCATGTCTGCACAAGAGCCGCTCTTTCACCGGATCTCGTGCTTTTAGCTCGCACCAAGAAGGTCATCACGTCGCTGTATGTTACACATCAAAGAAGAAAACTCAAACAGGAAAAGACGTCGAGACAGAACCACCCCCCATCTCAACAACAGCCTTAGAACCCACGGTAACCAGTTGCCTGTGGGGCCAGACTAGTGGGCTGGCCATAAGGCATCGGACTAGCCGGAGCCGCGGGACCCTGTGTGAGCATCAATCGGGAGCCACCCAGGATAGGTGTGTTGTCCTCCTCAACCCGTTGACCCTTCTCACGATTCTTGCGCTCCTCGTTGTCCTTCTTGAGCATCTCAATAGTGCGAGTCTGCTCGCAAAGGAAATTAATCATGAAGGGCATAGTGAAGTCGTGCAAGCCCTTACGCCATGAAATTTCCATGATCACGTCAGGGCGGATCAGATCGTAACAAGCGTAGAGCATGCCGACATAGCACTCACGACTGCCAATATCGACGAACTAGAGTGGAAAAGAAATGTCAGTAAATGTGAGCATCGTAGGCAAAGACGCCAGGTCAGTGTTGAACTTACGTAACGAAGAAGATCCTCGACCACCTCCGACTTGGCAGAGATAGCGGCAGTCTCGATAGCGTCCTTGTAGAGCTTGTCTTGTTTGGAAAGGGCAATCGACTTCTCCCAGCGCTTGTTGTTGCGGTAGATGCTGGCAGCAATTTGGCGGAAGAAGATCAATTCATGCTTCTCGAGACGTTGAGCCAGCTCTACAGAATCGAAGTTGTCGTGGTTGTCAACAGAGTCACGGAGAGTCTTGTAATCTTCCTCTTCAATTAGAAGCTCGTTGATCGCGTCATTCACAGCCCGCTTGTTCTGGCTCTGAACGTTCAGCATGAAAGGTTTGATCAGAGGGATGTTGTCGGAAGACTTGAAGAGGCGAACGACACGGCTGACGTCAATACGTGGCGTGAGGACCTGGAGCAGGTCGGTAATTAGAAGAGGCTGTTCCTGCAGGTAGAAGCTGAGCGCGCGGTAATAGATTTCCAAGTTGGCGACCTTGACGATGATGTCCTTGAAAGAGTGGTGCTCCCAGGCATCAGCGGCACGCTCCATCATGGCAAGAGCCGCATTGTCCCACTCGTCGTAATGGCAGTACAAAAAGACGAGTTCAGGCCAGAGGTTGGCCTCCTCGCAGGCGCGAATCATCTTGGGAATGTTGATGCGCGACCAGAACAGCTTCAAGTGCTCCATCACTCGGTCCGGGTGGTACTTGGACAGAGCGATACCGAGCTCGGTGAACATGCCCATGTGAGCACGCTCCAGACCAAGACCAGCCTCAAGGACCGAGATGAGCTCATCAAAGTAACCGTTACGCTCGTATTGGCGGACAAGAGCCTGAAGCTCCTCAGCGTGAACGATGAGATTCAGACCGCAAATTTGAGCCAAGCGGAACTCCTTCTTATCCACACAGGCCGCGTTGACCTGCTTCCACACCTTGACACTGTTAGCCTTGCGCGCACACTCGACGGCAGCCTGGTACTCCTCCAGGTGAACAAGAGTGGTGGCGAGCTTAGCCCAGTTGGAGACACTGGTGTAGAAGATTTTGGCGGCCTGGTGGTATCCCTCCTCATAGGCCTTGTCACCGGAAGCTTCAATGTCGGCGACGTTGGTGGAGCGAAGGAAGTCCTCAAGTTCAGCAAGCTGGTCCAGACGGGCAAAGCAAAAGGCAAGAGCAGTGTCGATCGCGGGCTCGCGCAGAGTCTTGCGAGCCATGCGGAGGAACTTGACCAGATCCTCATCCTTGCCGGCATGAGTAGCAGTCTCAATCACTTCATTGTAGTTCGAGGGATCGTTGGCGCGAATGTAAGATTCAATCGAGTCAGTGACACGCAGACCGTCCAGCTGGGCCTTGGCAACCTTGCTCCAAACCTCGGGAAGCTCAACTCGCTCAGCAAATTCTTGGGCTCTGTCAATGCTTACGATGTTCTCAACGAGAACGTTGACGGCAGCAAGCTGGTTGTTGACCTTCTTGTAGATCTCGAAGGCTTCCTCATAGAGACCAACCTGAATACACATCTCGGCAATCTCGTCTGCAGAGAATTCGTTCAGCTGGTGAATGTAATCCATCAATCGGCTCTTGTCAGCCTTGGCAGCAGTCAGCATCAGCAAGTTCTGCAGACTAGTGTTGTCGCTGAATGGCGAGGGCTCCAAAATGATCTTCTCCAGCAGCTCAATAAGCTCGCCAGGCAGGTCGGCCTCAAGGAAGCACTTGACGGCGACGGAGACCTTGTCAGGCTCAGTGGATTCAGGAACCGCGGTTGCGATAACCTGGTCGACAAGAGAGCGACGGTGCATGTTGTTCTCGCTCAGAACAAAGTTCCAAACCTCAGTGTCGGCACGGTCAACCAGGTAACGGGCCTGCGCACGATACATGGAGTTCTCGTTGGTAATGCTGATGAGCTCCAAGTCATTCTGTCCCTTGCTGTATGCAATGAACGCCAGGTTGGGATCACGCTTCTCGCAGTATTTTCCGACCGTCAGAGTGTCGTACAAGTCGTTTTCCTTGAGGAACTTCTCCGGGTTGTTGTTGCTATCGATGTAAATCTTGGCAAGCGCGTTGTAGACAGCCTGTTGCTGATTACCACTAGCAAGGGTGGCCTCGAGGAAGGGGAGCAACAGCTTGAGACGGTTGCGGCTCTCAACCTCGGAGACAAGCTCATCGATCGGAATGACAGCTGGGTCGACGGTGGAGAGAAGGTTCTTGATGATGCTTTCCTCACAGTCAACGTCGAGCAGACCACCTACAACGGCAGGGGCCCGCGATGGGTTCACTCGTTGAACGTAAACCTCGATGGACTTGAACTGCTGATTCTGATAGAGGTAGAGAACTAAGTCGTGGATGAAGTTGAATCGGTCACAAACAATGATGAGAGGCAGCTGCTCGGTCAATCGAGCCTCCTTCAAGAAATTCTTGACCTTCTCGGGGTTGTAGTAGTTGCTCTCCCGGCAGATGCGCTCGACCTCGGTGATCTGACTCATCGCAGTAGCAGCCTCGATGTACTTGAAGTGAACCTCGGGATCCTCACTGAGGTTGACAATGCTGCCAAGGTAGTAGTAAAGACCCTCGGCGGTGCGGTACTTCTCGAAAAGATCGATAAGGCGGTTGGCACCAAGCAAATCAGAGAACTTGGTGGCGATCTGGACCACGGCCTGCAAGTTCTGGCGAATGTTGGCCTCGAGCATAAAGTCCATGCACTCCAAGGTCTGCTCGACAGAGAGACGACCGAAGTAGTTCATCAACCACTCGGTGCTCAGCTTGTCCGTCTTGACAATGTTACGCTTGATGACAGCTGGGTCATCAGAGTTCTCAAGCGCACGCTGGACGAGACCGGCGCCTTCACAAAGCTGTGAGATGCGAGGGCGATCATAGTGCGTGAAGATTTCATTGCCGAGAATGGCATCTGCAACCTGGGGTGCATTGACAAGGTTCATCTCCAATAGACGGGTCTGTAAATGTCCGTGCTCGGGCTTGTTGTCCTTAAGGGCATCAAGAAGGAAGGAAGTCGCCTGCTGAATCATGTTCTGGGACAAGAAAACATCCACAACACGATCGAGATCAACGAGTGCGCCACCCTCCTCGTTGGCGAGTTGGGTCGCAAATTCGGCACCCTTCTCGGGGTTGACCCGCACGATGTGCTGTAGAAGCTGGGTGAAGTCGGGCTGATAGCCTACCTGCTTGGAGTACGGGAGAATCTTGTCAAATTGACCCGTCTCGGCAAATCCAGCAACGACCTTGTTAGGAACATTTGACTCGAGGTACACGTTCAAGGCGAGATTCATATCATAGGGGCGAATGATATCACCAAGCTCTTCAGAAGCCTCGAGCTTCTTCTCGGTCATCCACTTCTCCAACAAATGCTTGCGGTTTTGCTGGAGGACGGGGCGAACGAGCTCCACACTCTCATGCTTGTTCAGTGAACCCTTGTCCAGCAGCATACCAAAGTATTGGAGAATGACGGACATTTGGCCAGTTTGAGGCGCATTCTTGAAGCGGCTGATTGTTTCAGGGGTGCGAAGGAAACCACGGGGGGAATTGGCGGCAACCTTGGCGGCTTCTGTGAAGTTGCCTGCGCTGAGGAGTGAATCGAACTGCTGCTGATACAGGTGATCAGCCCCAGGGAGACCGGCCCGCGAGGCAAGCTTGACCGCAAGACCAGACATGGCAGGGTTGTTCATCAGATAATCGATGATGGTGCTCTCATCAACACTAACAGAAAGCACCTGGCCTTTGCGATTGACGCCGACCAGGCCAGCGCCCTCAGTATCGGCTGCGGTAGTGAAGATGGTCTCGCTGGAGATGCGGTTCATGAAGATACAGGTGCCGGTCTCGAGGTCGTAGAGATGGATGAAGCCGTACTTGGTGACAAGGTAGACAATGTCGTACTTAGTAGAGACTTGCATAGCGACTGGGAAATCGTTCACAGCCTCTTGAGGGAAATAGACCTCCACGGCCTTCTTCTGGAATCGAGGATTGGGCTCTTGGTGGTCGATCTCAGCAATCTGTAGCTTTGCACCGGTTTGTGTTCGAACCGCGAAGGCGAAAAGATGGTGGGGGAGAGGAGAGCCTTCGACGTTGATGTCGGCAAAAGCAGCTGCGTGACCCTCAATGAATTGCGAAATACCACGTTCCTTGGAGTAGAGCTGCATTGAACCAACGACCCGTCCCTGTTGTTGACTGATGCCCACGACGACCATCCATTTCTCCTCGGCGTTGACACGGTAGTTGATAATTTGACATCCCTGGAAGCAAGTCGCACGTAAGCATTTGGTGATCAAACTTTGGAAATGAATTCTGAATACATGACGGAACTCACCGAAAGGTTGGGGAGGCGGTCAAACATCTTAACGGGATTATCCTGGGTCGCGTCGTAGACGTTCCAGTGATAGACCGCAGTCTCAGTGACCAGGCCCAGGGACTTTTCACTGAACCATTTCCAGTAGACAATATCCTCACTCATGACGGAAGACTTCAGCTTTTGCTTAGCACCGAGATCAAAGATCTGGATTGTCCTGCCCTGAGCCTTGAGCGCGATGATGTTCTTGCTCCAGTGCATGATCGCACTGTCAGCATTGATGGGTCGGCGCATCACGTCATTGTTGTTCTTCAGGTCAACGATGATGACTTGGGGTTTCTCATCCTCGTCAAGTTTCTGGCGAACGCAGACATAGTGGTCGGATTCCAGGGTCTAGTCGATTATTGTTCTGTCGTCAGCTGCTTGCCATTTACGCTCTGACCTATTCCGAGGTGATAAGGTGAGAAACTTACACATGAAGTGAAGCCAATGGATGGTTGCTAGAGACACCAAGCAAGTTAGTACACGTATGGCCCAGATGAAGCATGTTTGCCCAATGCGCCAGGCTGGTCGCGATACAAGCTCGCCATGTCAAGGTGAGGTGAGGTCGGACATACCGCAATGCCAACATTGGTCAGCTGATTAGAAAATTCAAAGGTCAGTAAGGTCCAAGTGAAGCCAGAGATCAACATTGAGCAAGGTAGCAACGTACGTTGATGAGTTCCGTGAACTTGATGGGTAGAGGTGCCATATTTACTTAGGCCGCTGCACGACCTGGTGCTCCCGAATAAACGCCTTGCAAGGAAACCAGAACGAGTGAAAGAAAAGGGGGAATCTTGGTAATTGGAAGAAGCAGAAGTTAGGTGGAAAGGAGAGTCAAGAGAGATGAGGGACTAGGTAGAGGGGATAGAGGGAGGGGGAGATCTGGAGATAGGTACACGAGTGACCTCAGGAGGTCCGCTGTTGTCGTTGCTGAGGTGTCGCTTATGGGGGAGCCTGATCACGTGAAACAGGGGCACGGCGGTGCAAGGCGGAAGGACAGCATGTGGAGGTTCGGGAAGCTGGCAACCTACGCAAGGTCCACGATAGCCCGGAACGAGGCGGTGTACGTCATCGATAGCGTTCTGGCCGGGCGCTGTAGTGCCGTTGTTGACCGCCCTATTCTTGATCCGGCTGGACGCTTGATAGCATGCGTACTTGGTAGGTAAACTTGAATGGCTAATTCAATCCAAGGTGAGCTACTGTAAGCCTTGCCTGCAACAGCATGTATCTTTGAATGAAGAATCAATGACCAGATTCTCCTGGCTCCTCTGCTGTACTTGGTGGGTAAGGAGACACTCAGTCAGAACTTTCAAATATCACACCTCTCTTCTGAGGCTTCTTTTGGAGCGGTTTGCTGAGGGCGTGCGTGCAAAATATACCTCAACGATGCCGGTGCGCCGAGGTTGTTCAACGGGCAGAGGATCAATGCTGGGATCGCTAACAGAAGCCTCACGGACATCATCGAAAGAACTTCGCGCTGATTTACATGACTGCCATTTGTGAAGAGAAAAACAACAGGAAATAAAGCCCGGCCTCCATCTGATTTCTTGGTACCTAGCTGGAGGGAAGATGATCCTAATCAGTAAGACATCTCAGAGTTCCAGAGGAGTTCCAATTCCATTAGGTTGAGGGAAGACCTCTTTTGGTAATTCCATGACTGCACAGGACGCATGAGGTAGGTTTGCTGTACGGATCAATCTCTTTACATGCATGGGATATCATGACTAGATGACTGAATGGACAGCACAGCCATCGAGCCACCGCCAGGCCATTTACCCCGAACGGAATCTCACATGCGTTCAAAGTACTGTCCAGGTACACCGAACGTGACTCCATTGAGAGAAAGACCTCAAGCATACATCGGGACCCATTTCCATGACTGGGGGAAATTGGAATGTCCCTGGTATCAGAATATTGCTGATATATCCGAGGCAATTTTGCAAAGGTCCAGACACTGAGCACCGCATACATGTCCGAATTATAGTCCAGCGGGCCCTCCTCGGCCATCTTCCGAAGAAGTAAGGTATCAAGAGGTGGCGCAAACATGGGAAATGGGCCTGTCATCGGCCTTCCCGTCGAGTCTGCCCTAAAAGCCCGTCGTGCTTACTTGGCCACCATTGGGTTGCTACCGCCGAGTATCGGATCCCAACAGCAAGATGGAGTTCATCTCCAAGTCGGCCAAGGCCCGAAAGGATTGTGAGGTCGGAGTTGTTTCTGAACTAAGGCGACGGGCGAGAAGTCAACAAAGGAGATATACCATATCAAGCCTTCGCATTGGAGAGCATGCCAGGCCAAGATGCTTGGCGGGGTCTTGGCTTGCCAGCGGAGTTGCATCGCGATTGGGAATCCCGCGGATTCCCCGCAAGAACTTCCTGGGGTAGATGATCTGTCGGTCCTTGACAAGCAAGGGGTTGCAGGGCAAAACTACAGTTAGCTGGATCATGATCAGATGCTCGAGCGCCATGAGCACGGGGGTATAAATGGGAGCGATGTCAGTCGATAGAACAGGAAAGACACCAACAAAATCAACTTTGTTTTGGCTCATTCTTTCAAAAGGCCCTACTTCACTTTTCTATTTCGACGGTTGAGCTACAGATTGTGCGATGACATCCAATGAGCCCGCTGAGCCCATCCCCAAGGGCGTCATTGCGACCGCACGTCAGTCTCTCGGGGACCTGTTTGTCTGGAAACAGCGCGTGGAAATCATCAACGAATATGGAGAGACCCGTGCAGAATGGCAGGCTCCTGAGCCTATCCAAAATCCCATCAGTCTGATGGCACAGCTTTCCGCTCGAGACTGGGTCTTCTTTCTTGTTGGTCTTGCAGCGTGGACAGCCGATGCCTTTGATTTCCATGCCCTGTCCATCCAGACGAAGAAACTGTCGGACTATTATGGGCGCTCAAAGACTGACATCTCCACGGCAATCACGTTGACGCTACTTCTGCGCAGTGTAGGCGCCGCGTTCTTCGGGTTTGCGGGTGATAAATACGGTCGCAAATGGCCAATGGTGCTGAACATGATCATCCTTGGCATCTTGCAAATTGCCACCATTTACAGTCAAACTTTCCAGCAGTTCCTGGCAGTCCGCAGCCTCTTCGGTCTTTTTATGGGTGGAGTGTACGGTAATGCCATTGCCATGGCTTTGGAGCACTGCCCGTGAGTGTTCACTAAGCCCCCATCACTCGACCTATGGTCAAATACTTAGCCTTGACTAATTCTAAGGATCTGCCTCTTACCTCAAAAGGGTGAATGCTCGAGGACTGATGTCTGGAATACTTCAACAAGGATACTCATTGGGATATGTGCTCGCGGCATGTGCCAACCTTGGAGTCGGCGGCGCGACTGATAGTTGGAAAACCGTCTTCTGGGCTGCGGGTAAGGAACACGAGCGATATTACCAATTGAGCTGCTGCTGATACCAAAAAGCGGGCATTTCTATCGGTATCGGTGTCATTCGAATCTTCTTCCCCGAGTCAAAGCAATTCATCGAGGCAAAGAAGGCGGGAAAGAGGAACATGAGCGCTGGCGAGTTCGGCAAAGAGATCAAGCTCATGTTGGCGAAAGAGTGGAAGATGTGCGTCTATTGTGTCTTCTTAATGACTTGGGTGAGTATCGGATTGCTCCTTCGCCTCGTGCCGGCCCTCAAGAGCTAATCAGCTGACCTTGACGCATTGCTACTCTTCTAGTTCAACTATTACTCGCACACCTCGCAAGATTCGTACACCACCTTCATGCTCACGCAAAAGAAACTGAACAACGCGGGTGCCTCCAGAGCGTCCATTCTGATGAAGACAGGGGCTTGCGTAGGCGGAACAATCATAGGATACCTGTCACAATTCGTGGGGCGGCGTCGTGCCATCATTGTCGCAGCTATGATGTCGGCATTTCTGATCCCCGCCTGGATTCTGCCCACAGACGAAGCGTCCCTGAGTGCCAGTGGCTTTTTCATGCAATTTTTTGTTCAGGGAGCCTGGGGCGTGATTCCTATTCACTTGAACGAACTGTCTCCGCCAGCCTTCCGATCTTCGTTTCCAGGTTTGACGTACCAGCTTGGAAACATGATCAGCTCACCCTCGGCGCAGATCGTGAATGCTATTGCGGAATCTACCTGGGTCAGTATTCCATCTGGTGGCAGGGCATCTGCTTACGGTCCAGTGATGGGTATTGCGACGGCAATCATTGCCATTGGGATCGTCATCACCACTGCTGTCGGTCCCGAGAAGCGCGGCCGTGGATTCGAACTGGTCGTTGCTGCAGTTGACGAGCACGCAGCCGCAAAGAATCTGGATCTGGAACAGGGTGAAGATAACAAAAACAAGGACGAAGTCATTGAGATGGCCGATCGAAAGCAATAAGAGTCCCATAATTCGGCTGTTGAGCAATTCCAGTCTCATTTTCGAGCATACACACTGATCATGTCTGTTCCTTTGGCTACCTCGTACGAGCGCGGGGGCTTGATATACAAGATCCTTTGGAAGTGACCACCCCGTGCATCGCAACTCCCACTTTCTTTCCCATCACCGCCAACCTCTTGGGTGATTATCCCGTCACCACCTCGAGCAAGCAAGTTCCAATGGACACCTTTCAATCCCCATGGTGGACCTGGCAGCTTTGGGTCCTTGTACATAGGAAACTCCAAGCAAACGAGCAAGCCCTGTGGCTTGATCACTCGAGCCATACTTTCTGCCCATTTTTTACGCTGTTGCGGATGCAGTGCACATAGAAACTATCCTTGCAATCAGATAATTGAACAGCCATCGCCAGGTAGCGCGTCGAGATTGACGCGAAATGTGCCAGACTTACAGTATAGTCATACACAAGATCGAATCCATCAATCTGGTCGGACTCGTCTCCACGAGGCCAACGAGGGTTCAAAAAATCGCCCAGTTCAAACCGGACCGAACCTTTGCTCGAGGGTGCACAATACCCCTCTCCAAAGTGACACGAAGAAGGACGAGACAGTTCGCCCGCGGCATATATCTCGGCCTCCCTGACAGCCGTCTCGGAGACCTCCAACCCTACCACGTCGAAGCCATGCAGCGCAAGCATCACCGCATCATATCCACGACCACAGCCCTATGATATCCGCAATATGCGCCAGTCCAGTCAGTTTTCAATACGGTTCACACCAATCACAACCCTTCTCCTGGATCTTTGGACGAAGACCAATTTGATGTGACGTACAGGTACCAGTGCCTTCTTACGTCTGCCATCCTGAGTGAATGGATCAAAAAAAGAAGACGTATCCTCCCGTTCGATCAGATCGACCAGCGCCGGCGAAGCCTTGCCTCGATCCCACAGGCCACTTTCTCCGGAATCCCAGAGATCCGACCATCCGGATATGTGATTTTCAATTGGGCTGATATTGTCAGCACGAATGACTATCGAAAAACGGCTTCTTCGGTTTCGTCCACATTGCATGTGAAGGTACGTTGATGTTCCGAGTGTGCTTGTGCTCACCGGTTGAGAAAAGTATTCAGTAATCGTCCGCCGGTACTAGCCTGGGCTGGTGGTTGGTCCATTTTCCGGACACTCGGCCGAGTGAGAAGTGGAGATCAACTCTAACTGCCAGCTCTGGGAACTAGCGAGTCCTTCGGACCGAATCTGATCCTTGTTGGAGATGAGTATGCAGGTAGGTTGTCTGCAGTTCACATCGAATGTGAACAGATGATCGTGTCAATTGGAAAGGGGAATCCATGGAAGCTTTGGGCCACACGCTAGCACTGGAGGAGGTGGATACGGTGGTGATCTACCTCCAATGATACGTGTACTCCTTAAAATCCTATTGAAGGTCTCGAACCAGGGCTGGTCAAATCGACAATTGCGGGGGAGGGTCCCCACTTGGACAATTGAGGTCGTCCTAAAGTGCAAAAGAGGCCGCCCGGTCCAAAAGGTAAATCAATCGACTCAACTTGCATAGTTGAATGATTTCTGCTCCATGATCTTTGTAGGCGCTTAAAGAACCTCTAGAAATCAAACATTAAGCAACTTCTCTCAAGAGACAATGTGACTCTAGAGGGAGAACAGATTCTCCCACGTGGAGTATGAGTCAGCTTGGAGTCTTCCATCATTCCATGGACTACATCAGTCATACGCCGGTCAACCTAGAGAAGGTGAACACTGCGCGAACAGTATCCATTTGGCAAGTTTTGATGATGTTGGTGATTCAACATTTGACTCGAGCGTGACACAAGTCCAGATGTACAGGAGTGACACTGATGAAACTCACACCCTCGGAGCACATATGGGGAATTGACGATCTGCTAGGTACTTACCCCCTTGAACCTTGTGTCTTTTTGGTGATCTCTTCGCATTGGGGTCTCGCAGTAAAAGTCCCGGGTGCCTGTCCTGCGAAATGTGGTTATGAATCTGCATGCCACTTTTAGACGTTGTTTTTTTTGAGATGAGAGACAGAGTAATCCACCTAGTCTGTCTTTGAGACAAGATCATCGACTTCGACTGTCGTGATACTGCAGATTCTCGAACTATTCATTGGTCCGTTGTGCAAGGTAGCTGCAGCAAGGTCATAAACGTCCATGATCGGCATGGAGTAACACGGTGATGTCGAGAAAATCGCGGCAATCAGCAATATTGGATTCCATTCCATGAAGGCACCGAGTCTTCCTCTTTCTCAGCCGAGAGTGAGCTCTATTGAGGGTCTTTTTTCCGATCTGGTTGGTTTAACACAGACCAATCTTTCACACCCGATCGTGTGCGAATATTACTGCCAGATGAATAGATCTACGGTCCGACCCCCGGACTTGAAAGAGCAAGCCAGGTGTACCAATCAAGCAACAAAAGTCTCGACGTGCCCTGAGCTTGACCACAGAATGTTTGAACCCGAAAGATAGAACAGTAGATCCAACGCTCGCGAGGTGGGCTGGAGTCGGCCATTCCTCAAGGCAACACCACTGTTCACCCCAGCAGCTAGCGTGTTCATGAAACGTGCCTACTACACATTACAGGTAGGGATTATAGAGTGTTGAGATGACTCTACTGTCCGTGATGCTGTGGGCCCGTGATCAATGTTTCATCACCTTCTCCGCCTCATGTAAACTAAACGCATCGGGTCGCCCGTGCAGTGGAGGAAAGGAAAGAGTCTAGAAGAGGGTCTTTGGGAATGCTGGATCTCACATAGCCTCTTTCGACAACACCTACGCCATGCTTGGGCGAAGTGCAACCAATAGCCACTGCGATTGCTGCTCTGGAAACCTGGAATTCCAGTCCTCCGTCGTTCTTACCTGCAAAGTTGGGGAACTACTGCGATCGAGGTAGAACTGAGAACGCAGCCCCTCTACATTCAGGAGGGAGCATGAAGGGACAACATGCCGCAGAGCTGCACGTGAGCTGAGATGAGGGGATTTTTAGGCTTTGGCTCAATTGGCTTTGCGACTCTGCTGGCCAAAGTTCACCAGACCAGGTTGATCCTTGGAACCCTGGGGCAGGTACTTGGAGCCTTGCCACCAAAATGTACACGTACAACGCGATCAACGATCAACCCACGAGTCCACGAGTGGTGTGATTTGCGGATGGCCCGGGCTGGTCGCTGGTCGCTGGTCGCTGGTCGTCCTACGCAAGCCTCAAAACTTGAGACACGCGGATGAGGGCCCGTCAAGGCAGACGGAGCGTGTCTCGTCGGAGTCGTACGTTCCATTTTCTCAACAGAGTCGAGCGTCTTCTTGGGCGGAATTCTCTTCATTCTTGACCGACTTGAACCTCCACCGGGCTCTCGAGTTTCCGCGCATACCGATATCCCCCCCCCCAACCTGGGCCGATCGAGTGCCCCCGTCGTCGATGATTGACAAGACTAGTCAATCGATGATGCACCTCCCCCGCAAAATTGAGCGAATCCGACAAGTGACAGTCACGCGTGTACTGTACTTAGAAGCATGTACCCAGCCTGCCATTCCACGGAACGGGCCCCATGATTGGCCAATGGTGAGCTGTGGCTGCAAGGAAGCGGGGTCGCAGAGTGGGTCATGCGCGAGTGGCCGAGTGGCAGTTGGTCGGGAAGCGCACGGCAGCAGCAGAGCCATCGGATGTACGAGTCATCATCACACGACCACAACGATTACCGGGCCACCTCCTTTGCTCACCATCAGCTCATGCCAGCTGGAGCGTCCCAGCTGGAGGAGTCCAGTGGGAAGGGATCTCAACCTCAGACGGGCCTTACCCCGCATTCTGGCTCCTCTATATAAACGGGCAGATTGAGCATCATGGTAAATCTTTCAACCTCATTGATCTTTGGATCTTTGATCAAGTGTCTCACCTATCCACACACACACTCATAACTCATTCCCAGCCATCACCATGGAAGAGGAGTTGAACAACTATAACTCCCAATGGGTCGCATTCCATATCCGCGACCATCTCAAGGATGGCGAGATCACTGTCCAGAACACCGTTATTGAAGGGTACTGTAGTCCGCCGCCTTGCATGATCGAAACATCTCCTACCATGTCGCATGTGTCAGTCTTTCACAGCTTTACTAACACTCTTCTCCTCTCTTGTTAGTGGTGAATTCCAGGACCCCAACAACCGCCGCAAGTCTCTCACTGAAGATGAGATTGACTACATGACCATCGAGTCCGAGGGCGTCGGAGAGATCTGTGCCCGTGGCCGCCGTGGCAGCGAAGGTCGCCTGGACTTGTTCCACGGCAACACCAAGATCTGCGAGCTCCACTGGGAGAATCGGGGAGGAGAGTACCACAACCTCGTGGAGGTGCTTGATGATAATTCCAAGTATCGCATCGAGCATGGGGGATGGAGTCCACAGGCAGGTCCTCTAGGACATGTCTTCGTGGACATCCGTGAGAAGAATGCGAAGAAGTAGGTGGGCTTCTTCGCCTGTACAGCATGAGGAGGATAGAATTAGAGTGTACGGGACACACGGGATTGCATTGATAGAGCCGGGTCTCTCGTCTTTCACCGCCCTGCATTTCTTGCGCACTTCTTCCCCTCGCGTCTTTCTCTTCTGGCCAGGACACTGCGTGTGTACCGAAGCCGTTGAGACTTTTGGGTTCTGCCCTAGGGCTTGGCGTTTCATGATTGATTAATATTATAGCCCCAGAAACTACTTGGCTTCCGAACCAAGATGAGGAATGAATGAATGATATTGACAAACATTGCCGGTCATCTTGCATTTTGCGCTCTTCATCTTGGACCATGTCGTCCCCCAACCCCAGAGGCTGGTCTTTGTCACGTGGCATTGCTCGCTCGGTGGCTGGCTCTTTCCAGGTAACACATGCCCAACCCGGAACACGCAAACAGTCGACTGTCGTAGATCCGGTTCTTCAGACTGGATTAGAGTTTCAGGTGAATCGTTGGCTTGTCAGAAAGTAAACAGGAGCCGTGGGACAAAACAGTAGGGGGTTTCCAATGTCGCTGCTTGGCTATGTTTGAATCAGAGGACTAGCCAATCAAGTCAGTCTCTACCCCCGACATCCAAGATACACTAGCGCCTGGAACTAGTTCCTAGATCTGAGGTTATCCAGTGCTATGTGCTCCCGATATGGACGAACATATTCCATAGAAGCAGGATTCAGGTTAGAGCTGTGTGTCTCTTAGACATCGCTGTCGGGGCTCTTAAAATTGGTTCAACACGGAACGCTCTCTGAGCTTAGCAGCATTAAACACGTCAATCATCAGCCAGCTTTACATGCTTTTTGTTCAACTGCACGAGTCATTTTCGTGAGGTGACCATCTCAGGCTCAAAATAAGTGTCTTGGCACCACTGGAGCGAGCTCGTCAGCGGCATGCAAAACCAGACGGATTGCATGGACAAATAAGCCTGACTTCGGACCATTTTTGAGACCTACTTATCAGAATCAGAAAAGTCTTTTATATTGTTGATCTTTCCGACACACGCGTCCCGATTGACAGGCTGTGGTCGATTACCTCACCGCGTCGGCGTTTAAGGTAGGTAGTCGACCAAGCGACTGCTGAGTCCTTTCAGTGCACTATACCCGATGTGGTTAGCACCTGTCAGCCGCCTGCATTAGCGCCGCGACTCTGTTTTCCCCGTCCCAATGAGGCTGCACAAATTCCAGTCTGAGGAACCCACCAGGTGGAAGCCTCACGCTTGGCATCTGTTTCGACCTTCTGGTTCTTTCATCTCCGAAACCTAGTTCTCGGGCCTGCCTTCCGATTTATAATGTGCTGACATTCTTCCCCGGTGCTGATTGATCGAGTCGCAAGAGACGGCTGAGCTTTCAGTACAAGTGTCAGCGCAGTCAGCAGATCTTGGAGAGTCATCAATTCCATCTGCCTCTCGTGCGTCTGCAAAAACGCCATGACCTCTATCAACCCCGTTATCCCTATAGTTCGAATGCCGCAGCAGGCGTCGGCCCACACCCAGGACGAGGACTGGACGGGCATCACCGATCGGACCGAGCGCAGGAGGCTGCAGAACCGGCTCAATCAGCGAGCACTACGTATGCGAGAGTGAAAGAGCCCATCTGACCCCGTCTCAATTGTTCCACCATTAGCCAATGCATGTTCTAACGACGAGTGGGATAGGATCACGGAAACGGAATTTGAAGGCACAAGGAGCTCAGCAAACGGCATCAGTCGGACTTTTATCTTTAGGCCGAGGAGGACGAGACTCGTCATCCGCCGTCAACGCAATTACACATACTGCCAGTACCCTGTCGGATAAGAAGCTTCTCCGGTGCAGCTTCGATTCGCCGGACATGCTTCGGCTTTTTGCGCAGATGGAAGCCGCCGCCGCCTCCCTTAGCTCGGGAGTCAATTCTCTAAATCTCGACCACCTGATCACTTTACCCAAGATCAATGTCCACCGCGCCATTGTCGACAATGTCTGTAGTCTCGGGATGTCGATGGAATGGATGAAAGCAGACGAGTCCATCTCAATTTTCAACGTGACCATGCCCGCGTCCGTGTCTGGGCCGGTCAACTACCCACACATCCCGCTCGATCTGCAGCCAACCGTCGTCCAAAGACAAGTTCCGCATCATCCGTGGCTGGACTTCTTCCCCTCCCCGACATTGCGAGATAACCTCATTCTGCTGCAGGATCAGATTGATGATGATGACTTGTGTCGTGATTTGACGGCTTTTTCGGACGCGCGTATTGAGCGAGCGGGATTACTGGTCTGGGGCCCATCCTGGCAGACAAGTAGTTGGGAGGTCACCGAAACATTCTTGCGTAAATGGGGATTCTTGTTGTATGGGTGTACTGCATTGTTACAAAGTACCAATCATTGGAGGGTACAGAGGGGAGAGAGGCCCCTGGTGTGGAGAGACTACTTTTTTCCACAACATCCTTTACATCAGCTATTACGAAACAAGAGACAAGGATTTATATATCCTTCTTGATAGCACCTCCAGCTTCTACGATATCAAACACTTTCTGTCCGGGGAAATGTCCGGGGAAAAACGTACAGATACTCAAATATTAGAGCTCCTCAACAGTTTGCGCCGCCGTCAACATTCCACGCATTTCCCGTCACGAAGCTACTCTCTTCACTCAGTAGAGAAGCCACCACGTTCGCAACCTCTTGCGCTGTACCATCCCGAGCAATTGGCGTCGTCGGCGTCGTAGTAAAATCCTTAACGCGCGCCAGATTTGCCCGGTGCATCGGTGTATCGATGACGCCCCTGTATGATGGAAACTCCAGTCAGCATGCTCCTCGTACTACCACCCTCCCATCGACAATATCTTCCACCCTCCCCAATTCACTATATATCTGCTGCCACACTCACGGTAAAACATGATTCACCCTCACCCGCCCCTGCGTCTCTATCGCCGCACTCCTCACCATCCCCAGCGCAGCATATCTCGAGGCCGCAAACGCCGCCCCATTCCTGAACCCCCTCTGCGAGAAGATGCTCTCAACATGAACCACGCTCTCGCCGGAGCCGAGAAACCCCGGAACCAACGCAGTCGACAGCACGTTGAACAAGCCCCGCACATTCAAATTCATAAGATACTCATACTCATACTCATCATCGGATGTCCCAGATCGCCTGGGTACCTAATTCGTGTCCTTCAGTCCCTGCAACATTTGATAATGCCGTCCAGTTTTCCGGGGCGTTGTTTGGACGCGTGGAAGAATCCGTGGAGTGCGATCTTGTCTGTGACGTCGACGGGTTGGATGAGACATCGCCTTGATGTGGTGGGGGAGAGATTTGCGGATAGAGAGTCGAGGTTGGGACGTGAGGTGTCGCTGACGGCTACTTGGGCGCCGCGGTTCAGTAGTGTATGGACAGTTGCTAGACCCATGCCAGAGGCGCCGCCGATGACGATGTAGGATTTTGTCGTAGGGAGTGCTGATTGTGACGAGTCCATTGTGAGTCGATGAAATGAGGTATACTAGGAACGGGCCGGGGATGATTCCTTTTTGGCGGCACTGGACCTTTTGGGAGTCTACCTTCGAATGAAAAACAACCTTAATAACCTAGAGAAGACTAGGTCCTCGAGGAATACCTCGCTTATATGCTATAGTAGACGTTCGATCTTTGTTTCGGACGGATAAACGTAATTATCTCAGCTCCCCATGTCATCAAATGTACAAGGTTCCAGAAAGCCAAATGAATAAAGTGTCAGCACCTCGCATGGGATGACCAAGACGCAGCTTTAAGCGACACGGCTTCAACTTTATCCTTCTGCGTTACGCTCCTATGGTGATCACCGGGGATGCATATGTTAGATCGAACACGTCACTAACGGCCTGCATGGAATCGTGTGGTAGTCCCCCAGTCTTTTGCGATTCCCCGGTTAGGGCTGATCGGAGTTTAGTGTCCATTGACTTCTGCGACGCGGCGGAATTAAGGTCGTAACATGCCACTACAGCTCAGGTCAACTTCTCTTCGAACATCGATTCACTTAGCCTCTCTAGATGGAGTGACTTACCATACTTGAGCTGGTGGTCGCTGAGCTTGAAACATTTTGTGGATCGTAAAACACTATTTATGCAGAAGACTGAATTCGATATTTCCAAGACCACGAAAGTCAACAGATCCTGACCGCCACAGGCGAGAGCCGGAGCCAGACGATTGTGTCTATAATCTGAGGGGGCTCTGAACATTCAGCCTCAATGCCAATAGGTCTCCAGGATATCTACCAGACAGAGTTCCAAGCACAATTGTTCCGTGGGTGAGAATAAGTTGTGTTCCATCAGTGTGTATCCCCGGATTTTAGGAGGTGCGACAAGCTCGAGTTCCGTGTCCCCGGCACTACCTACTTTTGTAGTACATCCGTCTTCAATACGAATGTACCACTGCACGGAGACATCAGTCCTATTTGAGAAGACTCAACATCACAGGCGCAGTAACGTAACCTGTGTGGAAGATGTGGTCTCCCGCTAGTGAGAGTTCAGTGATAGACAGTAGCACAGGTAGTGCGTCTTCCTCTCCGGGGTCCAGGTATGCAATTTGCTTTTGTAACCTGACCAAACGAGGCACCGATAATGGAAGAGATGAGACTGGTGCTCCGTGCCATGGACAGATTCTTCTCAAATGACAACATTGGAGATTACAATTGCAGCTCATCTGAGCACAACAGTGGTAGTGTCACTTGCTCGTGCGCCTGCTTTTGATTGTGGATGTAACAGTTGCTGCTGGTTCAATGCCAGGTGGACCTGATCTTATCTCCATGGCTGCACTTTGCGTGAACTGTGTCATCGGAGCAATGCAGTATATGCATACGTGCATGAATGCCAGTCTAACCGCCCATCCTACCATGGGAAGGAAGCGAGTGTACTTACTGTGTTGAAGTCAACATCCCCCCCCCCCCCCCCGCCAGTTCCGTGCGCAGTTCGCCAACCCACAGGGTGCTGTGCCTCCTCGGTCGCTAATAGCTCTTAGGTTCATCCCCGTTGGAAGTACTACCTTGACGGAACGGAACTGATGGAATCAAATCCCACACTCGTCATGTGGATAGTTGTGTCTCATCAGGTGTGTTCATGAATCATGATCAGCTTTTCACTGCACGAGGAAACTCGTCGAGTCGGAAACCTATATCCCAACTGCTTCCAAGGCATCATCCCGCGGATAAATAGGCTACTCGTTCCTTTGGTCAATGGCTCAATCAGCTGATGAGTACCTGGTCTCGCTCTTTGATTGATTGTCAAGGACCTAATCTCTCTCCTTATTGTCTGTGCTTCTTCGTCCATCTTCATCGACAAACATGGCTTCATTCTGTATGAAGGTTCTGCTCTGCACTTTGGGTCTGACAACTCTTGGCTTGTCCGCAGCCGTTGAGTCTGTTCAAGAACATGATACGGAGGCCAGATCCTACTGTAAGTAAATTTTCGGGCAGTCTAGTCAACACTTACATTCGCGGCGGGAAAGACATTTCCGATTTTAACTTCAGACGATAGGCAACTTGCATTACACCGTTCAAGCGGGAGACACATGCTGGGACATTTGCAACAATTATGGCTACGCATTTACCATCAAGCAACTTCTCTGTTGGAATCCTGAAATCAACACTTCGTGTACCAATCTGATTCCAGGTCGCTCTGTCTGTGTTGGTGTGCGAGGAGCTGGGCCCAAATGTTGAAGTGATATACCAATTGCAATCACGCCGGTTGTGAAAGGAGGTGTGTCATAGGTTTCTTTTTTCAGAGTGTCACAGCATAGGAGAAACCGTCTCTCTTCAATGTCTATAATAACTTCGTCTCCGATCTTGGCCCCCAGCACTGCCCGAGAAATTCCTTCACTTTCATGGGTCGCACTTGAGGGAACCGATCGCTCATCCGGTTCTCCTTGGGCAGATCAAAAACTCCATTCACGGTCAGGCGACTGACTAGGGCCGTCATTTCTTCAAGCTCTTTCTGCGACATCGTGGAGTCGGGCATGTCTGGTACGGTAACATGGCCGCTATCAATCATCTCAATGCTGTCGTATGCTATCAACCACGTTCTCCCAGCTTTGATCACTTTGCTTTAGTACTTAGTTCACTGCGAATTTCCAAGAGACTGCCACTTACTTTGAACTTCCTTTGCAATCTCCAACATTTCATTATACGTAGTTTCATCGCCCACAAAGATGCTGAATTCAGGCCACTCCTCGAGCTTGAGAAGATGGATCATGTACTCTGCGAGATCGTACGTGTATGTCATGCAGATGGTGTCGTTACCACTACCAGGGATCAGAGCTTTAGCCCCAGCGATATCGATACCAAATTTGAATGGTTGAAGATGAGTTCGCGCATGAGGCATGCCCCAGTAGTCCATGAAGAATCCCGGGATCACACGGGTGTATTGCAGCGAGCTTGCCTTGAGACGGTCTGCCGCATGAAGCCAGTATTGGATACTTGGATCAATGGACAAGAGGCTTGGGGAGATGATCAGAAGTTGATACCTAGGCAGGTAAGATGTGGCTGAGCGCCGAGAGACTTACTCGGGGGTTTGGATGAAAGAGTACTCGCTCGGGATGAAGCGCTTTGTGGTGGTTGCATGTTCTGCTGCCTCAATGAGGTTGAGCTGGGACTGGCTAGTCTCCTCGGATATGAGACCGATTGTTGAGATGATGGTCTGCACATTGTAACGTTCCAGCTCCGTCGTCATGGACTGGACGTTGTCGTAGTCGATCTTGACATGGTGAATGCTGCCCTGGGAGGCTTTTTGTTCCTTAGGATCAACGCTCGTCAGATTCCGGAATCGCTTGTCTGACCAGGTGCCTTCTGCGATACACTCACGCCTCGCGACAAAATCACAAGCTTGATATCTGGCTCCTGAGCAAATCTTTCTACGAATGTCTTTCCCAGGGCGCCCGTGCCGCCTGCCACTGCAATAACAGTCATCTTTCCTAGTCTATACCGCCGGTTAGTGCTGTGAAAGCTTTGTGGTCCCTGACAAGACGCAAGTTTTTTCCGTGACGGCTCTACCTCCGACGAAGTATTCCCTCGCGTTGCGTACTTGCAAAAATGAGGTCATCACAGCACTCAGGCCCAAAGATCAATTGGGTCGGCTTTTGTCCCCACGTCGTGCCCCACCAAAGCACCTCGCGCAGCTAATATGTACATTGTATAGAGCTAAATCGAGGCTGCCATATCTAAAAGAGCAATATGATGAGTTGGCCACGATGCCAAAATTGACTCTAAGCCTTTTTGGCTCCAAGCAGCGCAAAACGTACATGGAGTTCACGATATAATGGCCGTGAGACGCCGGTCGGGCTTTCGGGGTTCATGAATCGGCGTCTTCAAGCGTGTCGGGCCTGTCGGCTATGACTAAGGCACGATGGCGGGAGTCCGACCTCAGCCAGGATTTTGGCGTATAAAGCCACTGCTTCTACTTCCCCATCTCCCGAACGCTGGCCAACTAAACCCTCCAAAACTCATTCTCCACACAAATCATCCAACATGTGTATGAAGGCTCATTGTGCCGTTTGCAGTCAGTCCCCAACAACAACCAACGTCTCCTTTGTCCGGGAAGCAGAAGAAGACAGAACTAACAATCAGATGTAGACAAGGTCAGCTGGTGGGGTTGCGGAAACCACATTCCCTCGGTTATGGACTCTATCCCCGAGAAGGACCGCTGCACTTGCACTCCTCAGGTCGAAAGAGAGGGAAAGAAGTACCCTCCCAAGGCTAGCAAGGCGGATTGACTGCAGGGATGTCTGATGATTTGAATGGGCGTTTCTTGTCCTAGGTGGTCGCAAAGATGGGCAGGGGAGCATGTACTATGACGACATGAGGTCTGGGGCAGAGTCTTGATATGTCTGTGCTAGAACGAAGAAGTGTTGAAATGACCAAATCCAATTATCCAGAGCCTTTGAACATGATGAGATCTGTTTAGAGCTACCATCTCCTTCGCAGGAGGAACCTTGTGCGATGGATGAAAGCAGCTATCTATAGCATCGCAGATCTGTGGTACTCTAGTAGGTACCCACAATGCTCTTTTACAATACGAGGCAGGTAGCAAGGGAAGAGCAACGCATAATGATTGTTCAGTCTGATGCGCATAATCTCTAGTAAGCAATGGAACAAGCACGAAACACATTGCGAGAAAATCTGGAGCAGGACGAGAAAACCTTGGTACTGGGGAATGGCTCATGGAAGAGATGAACCTCCCACTTCGAATCAACCGAAACTCCGCCCTCTATATTCTCTTGGCCACCAAAGGAGGTTGAACTCAAGGCAGCTTTTCAGATCAACAGGTCCCTTTAGACTACTTCAGTAGTCTTCATGGTCGTAACAATCACTGTCTCACGCCTTGGATTTCGAAGTTCGTGCCTTGCCTTCAGCTGTAGCTTGTTGGGCTTTCCGAGCCTCTTCATTGATGTCCCATACTTTGGAGAGCAGCACTCTAGCAGCAGGGGTTCGACCAGGATCATTGGCGTGGATAAACTTTTCAATATCGCTTTGAAACTCCGTTGGAATCTACATAGCCATACAGCCACAAAGCATTGTTAGAAGAGCGCTCAGGTTTGCGTTTCCAGCGCACTAACCTTCATGCATTGCCGGCCCTTCTTCATACAGCAACGGCATTTGTCGCCATTAGAGTTCCGCAGACAGGCGACACTGGAGTCTGAAAGCATCATCTCCAAACATTCCACACACAGTTCTCCTCGAATGGTGTAGCCATCTCGCGCACGGGCTACTTTCCGAGGAATGACTTCGGCGTTGGTGAGCTCATCATCCGTGTGTTCGTGATGGTCCTCGTGCAACCTCATCTTGCCGAACTTTTTTCCAAGGTTTGACTTGCCCATGGCGAAATTTCTAGTGAAATCAATGTGATTCTTGGGAATGCGTGATACGATGAATGAGTTGAATAATTCAGCATACTCACAGTGTCGCGAGGCTGCTTTTATACACCAGCATCCTGCTAATGATGATGATTTGCTGTCAATCCAGACTGAATCAGTTGCTCCCATGTGGTGTCTCCGATGTTGAGAACAAAGCCAAATAAGACAAGACATTCTGGATAAGACAGCGTAGGAGCTCTTCAGACGGTCTCCCGAGACAAGGACCACTATACTGAGCCAGCTAGCAGGAGACCCAATGCGGGTCTGAGCCACATGTCATATGAAGCATCTCGGTAGAATGCTTGAGTTAGGGCACTTTCTTGGCTAATATTCACCTGGCTTTGCATGAGTAAGTGAAGGACAATGTGTCTCAACTGTGAATGTGCTTGAACAAGTCAAAGAACCAGTCTGATCTTGAGTACTGATAACAGAACACGATCCCCACGTGTCTGGTAAGACCTGAGCTAAACAATACCTCCTCTGTCATTGTGACACTTGTATTCTCACATCATCGATTTCTGTCGCTTTGCTTGACACTTATTCTCCTGTCCTGCGTCCACAATCCATAGACCAGACATGTCCGTTGTAGGATGTAGACACTAGAATATTGAGGTGAACACTAGGACCAATATACTTTTGCATGTCTTTTTGCTGGTTTGTGATTTCTAAACCAAAATCGGAATCTCTCTCCTCTTCAATGATGTCTTTTGACATGTATGTAGATGGCAAGCGAAACTTCCCTTGAGCTGAGTACCATAATTGGTGCCTTATTCCACTCTGAGGCATCAGCAATGGGGGCCCCAGCGAGGAACGCACCAGCCACCGTTTGTGGCTTAGAAGGGCCTGAGGCTCACAGCCTTGATTCGGCTCCCAGGTGTTTTCGGTGCTTTCCCTCTCACGGACACTAATCCTCAATTCATACTCGCTCGAAATATTGAGCTCACTAATTTCAGACAACTTCTGAAGCTTTCAAGTGTACTTGAGCTTTACAAAGCTACAAAAATTGTGCGGCGTCAGGGTCCAGACACGTGGACAAGGCCGCCTACTTGCTTCGGCACCCGCCTCATCGTTTGGCGTGGAGCACTCGAGCGGCGGAACTAGGGTGACCTTCATCATTGTCAGCTCTATAACTCACGGTGTCTATCCTTGTCACGGACATTCGGGGTCACGAAACTTGAGACTAAGCGTCATCACCTGAAGCTCCATCTGTTGGTCCCCCGCACTGATATTGATGCAATCGGGTGTGTCACGATGGAGACATCAGCTACCATGAAAGTCGAGGACTCAATGCCCAAGACTGCGACGAGGGTTACAAGTTCCGACTCCGTGGCAATCAACTGGGATTCTGAGCTGCAGCTAGTGTCTTCCTTAGCCAAGCTTCAGGAGCTTGAACGCAGGGTATGTGGATTTGTTCTTGAGAGATGCGTCGGGGCTTGTGTGCACATGAAACACTGTTGCACAAAGCTCCCGCACTCTCGGTGCTACGACAATAAGTTTGGAAATTACAACTGACCTTTCTAGATTCATGAACTACGTCAATTGGTGCCTAGCAACGACGTCGATTCGCTCGACGCTCAGATGAATTTGCTTTTCGACAAGTCCGTTGAGCGATTTCCAGATTCCGCAGATGAAGCAAGCAGCACTTTGGACGAGTCGACGCGTACCAAGATGGAGCTTGTTGATGGCTTCATATCCGCGTGGCAAAACTCTGACATGAAGGATGTCTGGGCACATGTTGAATCGCAAATCAACGATTCGGACAGTCACGTGCTACAGCCGACTGGAATGTGGGAACGAGACTACGACGTCTTGCTTGACGATCTCCTGCGCGCAGAGAAGACCAAAGAGCACCAGCACTCGCTTGAGAAAGAAGCTGCCGAACGGTCTCAGGCACAGGCCTCAGCGGAAAGCTGGAAGAGCATCTTGGAACAATTTGAGAAGAGAAATACTCGCGGCGTCAAAGCTTCTGTCATATCACAGGTAACGCCAAAACTATTGATGGCTCTCCTGAAGACGGGAATGATTTTCTCGATCCAGTGTGTCCAATTACCTGATGCTGAGGGGAGCACCGAGTGGATGGTTTCAATAAACGCGGTGCCGAAAAGAGCACCGTCCAAGATTGAAGAAAGCATCATGCAGCACGTGAACTCGCGGCCACGAAAATGGGATCTTGCTTTTTTGATGGTAAGCTCCTCCAGGGACTTTAAAAGGCAAAGTAAATCTGAGTCTTATTTCTATTCTATAGGACATGATCTCGTCATACTCGGACCTGAAGCAGACCGTGTGCACAAAATGCAATCAGCTCACCGACACTTCCGCTCAGCTGCCAATTCTTCGGCGTGTACAGGCGATTCCGCCTGCAAAGCCAGAGGATGAGGGTTTCGTCTTTGATGCTTTGCACGCCAGTTGCGCCTGAACCCTAGACCAGCCGCCCGCTCGGTCCCACATTTCAGCCATCTTGCCTGATCGCATGGTGGAAAACCTCGGCTGCATGCTGACCGACTAGATTGCCATTCCTTCGCAACAACAACCATGGCAATGGCCATTAGGGGCGAGGGTGTGTGTGTGCAAATGCCCAGGACTCACAACGCCCGACTTATGACCATGGTGGCTGGGATGACAATGGCCGTTACATCTACCGTTCGGAACACCATCACCCCCCACGGCATCCTCGACCCTCTCCTCAATCACCTGCTCAGGCTTCTGACACCAATGCACCCTGTCATGTCGATCCCAGTATCGGATCGGTGTTGAAGGAGTCACTTTCCTTTTCCTCCATTTGCCGTTATCCCACTCGCAGTCCGCATACTCCACTGCACTCCATGTCTCATCGTCCGGCACCACATATTTGCGAGTCTTGTAATCATATTTCACATCTTTTTCGCGGCGGGCCCACGGAAATGGGGAATCATCTTCTTCTGGCTCCACGTCCCACCTCGCCCAGTTGGTGCTTGAAACCGATCTCCCGGGCATATCCTTGTTGGTGACAGTCTTGGGCTTTCTCCCGATAGTGCCGATGAAGATATCAGGTCCTTTGCCGCTGATCACATCTGAGAAGCGCTTGAAGCGAGGCCAGCTGCTGGGGTTTCCTGGCTGAGGATCTTTGGGCCAGATCCAACCGACGGGCTGGGTCTTCGGCTTGGATTCTTTGCCGGAACTGGTGGAATTTTTCTTTGGCATGACTTTGATAGAACGAGATCGAACCGACTGGGAGGAGCGCAGTCTTGACAACCCGTTGATGTAACTTCAGGGACGGAGCAATCAGGCAGATAATACAATTTGATCTCAGAAATCAACGAACGGACTCAATGCCCCCCTGGAATTGGGCCTGCCAACTGTGGGAAACATGCTTGTAGAAATAGATCTCTCGTTACTCACCTGAAAATGCCATCTCCAGCATCCAGAACTATGTGGAAGCCATGTGCTGTCTCACAGACCAACCCATGCCAAACTGCTACGGGGCTTCCTACCTATCGCCCTCCATGAGTGCATTTCTTTCATGATGCAAGCAGGACGGGTAATGGTCTTACTTCCATGGGTGGCAGTTTCCATTGCTTGTATTTGGTAGCACTGTCCTGGTATATGTACGTTGAAGGTTGGTGTCCTGGGTGCAGTAGATGATGCAGGATGCCCTCCAGCTTGCGCTTTGCCTGTCTTCCATTGAACGGGTCTCATACTGTCCCAAGCAAGGGCAACATCTTAATGAGAAAGACTATGGGATATGACTATGTCGGGCGGTCCAACATACGTTGATACCGAAGCACTTGCGCAGCCTCAGACACTTCGTCTTTGTTTAAGAGTTTTGTTCTGCGAAAACATACGGATGATTAAGTGGAACCAAGGGGGAATGTCAAATGCAAGCCATTAAAGCATGCGGGTAAACCCCAGTCCGAAAGTAGAATGATGGCTCATTGCAGTCCGGTAGACTGCAGTTGAGCCTCATACAAGGATATCACGTGAAAACCAGACAAAGAAAGGACAGAACACAAATCACAAAAGAAGACTTTGTCAGACAAAGAGACACTATTGAAGAGATGTCCCAATCAACAAACAGACGCCGGGTGCCTTGCTATTATCATGATTGTTTGAAATCGCTTTTCAAGACAGTAAAACGCCACTGGATGGTAATATTTCCATAAGAATTTCGAAAAAAAAACCAAAAGAGAATTTGGCCGTCATCGACCAAAAAATTCTTCCTAAGCAGAAAGAAGGCCAGCGCCACCGACGAACCAAGTGAAGGAGAGAACTGTAATCGCGGCCATGCCAACAGCGAACTTGATGCCTTGGCGTTGGACATCAGACAAAGCACCGCTGCAAGTCGCGCACTTGAATTCTGCAGACGCAAGATTCGTTAGCAAAGAAACTCTGCCAATGAGTCAGATACTGAAAACCCTTACCATTCAGGGGAGTATAGGGCTCCGGGCGATACATGCCAAAGGGATATCCAATGAAGCTACTGAGGTAACCTGGCTCCGGGGTGTCAGTGAGCGACTTGTTCGCATCGACTACGTACAAGGTGTACGTTGAAGTCAACAGAGAGATGGTCTGCGAAGCCTCAAAGTCACTGGTGTTCCAGATGAATGTGCCTGTAGGCTCCACGGTCATGTTGCTGGTCAAAGTGTAGGTCTCTCGGTTCAGGCTGCAGGATGCCACGACATCAATCGCAGTTGGCGTGACAGACAGCGAAGTATAATTCCACACAAATGTCGCATTGTACCCAACCTTAAAGTAGGTCGTCGACAAGGCATTGGGGGTGATCATCGAGATACCTCCAGCAGCGGCAGCGGGATCGATGGAGATTGATGTAGTTGCAGTGGTATGGGTTTTGGTCTTGGTGTTGGTGCTGTTACTGCTTCCCGTGCCAGTGGCCGTCGTGGTATGGCCCGTTCCAGTAGTCGTAGCATCGGTGTTGGTGTTGGTCCCCGTTGTCGTCTCAGAAGCCGACGATCCAGAAGAGGAGGACGAGGACGAAGAATCCGCAGTGGATGTCGGGCCTGTCGTCGTAGAATCGGTAGCTGATGAATATGGATGTGGTCAGCGAGTTGGAAAGACTGGACCTGATCGAGTAAATATGACATACTTGCTCGTCTGCTTAGACCATCACCCCTCTCAACCAGCAAGCCGTCCCATGGCCAAGCGGAGCCTAGTATACCAAAGAAGAAGACGGCGTACAGCACAGCGGAGAAGAAAAGACGCATGGTGTATATCAAGCCCTGTCAGGAAAGGCGTGGCTGTGAGACAGGTGAATGTCGAGGATTTCGTCAATGGACGAAAGTTCCCCTGGTCGGAGAAAAGAGCCGAGTCAAAAACCCCTTGCCTCGGGCGAATGGGCTGGATAAGATGAGCTCAAAGAGACTGAGCTGCTCCCACTGTGACTGGTGGTGAACTCTTCCTGCAATGGCCGACCGAGATGTCTAGCCACTGAAGTTGGCCAGCGAGAGAGATCAGGATGTCCAAATTGCACTCAACACCTGCTGATCAAGTTTGTGTAGAATGCGGATCACGGGTAACGCGGGATCCGAAGAAGTCGACGAGTCTGAAGGGTCGGTAAGCACGACCGCAGAGGCAGCGTGAGCGAGAGATGCTGTCAAACGAGGGGCAAGGTAAGAAGCGACAGTGTCAAAAGTGAACACAAATTGCAGCGAGCGGCGTCGTGGCGTGGGAGATAAGTCAACCAAGCAGTTGAGAAGCGATGGGTATTCTGGAGAGTTGTTCTGCGGGACTAAACCTAAAGGGGCGATCGATCGGTGAGACCAGCATCGCTATAAATAGGCGGGATCTTTGATTTACGGGTTCTCTGAGACAAAGTTGACCCTCCCTCTCACAAATAATGAGCCACAGGGTACCATGAGATAGTGAATCCTATGATAGTTGATATGCGAGCATCTTGGCCAAGCTCTTTCTGCCACTGTCCTAGTTTTCGTTCCACAAGGATTCGATAGTCTCTACCTTGGTCCTAGCGACAAAATTCTTTTGTTTATTTGGCATCGAGATACGATCCAGCGATAGGCTCAGGCTGGTTCCGCACGGGCCAGAGCCAGAGGGGGTGACAAATCACATGATCTGAGCAAGCTGATGGAGTCACGGGTTCATCCGGGAGTGAACAGTCTCAATCACATGATACAACCACATGCCCAGATGGACTGCACGCCTGGCTTCTTGCTTCATGTATTCTTGTCAGTTGTTTGTAGGCCATGCTCACATTCTCACAACCCTGCAGTCGCAAAACTTTAGACACCCTCCAGGTTCACTTCATTTACTCAAAGTGACTAGAGACAAACAGGATAATAGGTGCTCATCTACATAACTGCTCACTCCACAGGCGTCGCACGCCAAATCGCATTTGAATTTGACATCCAGCCCTCTCTGACCATCCGAAAGCGTAGAAGACTTCTTGTGAATTGGGCTTCATTATATGGTGCCAAGACGAATGATGTCAATCCCTGAAGATAGGCTATTCTAGTCAGAAGAGTAGCAGGTATCCGTGTCCAGGGCTTACGATCCCATAGTGGTGTACATCTGGAAGTAGGTGAACTAAGCCTCTTGGTCTTGAGGCAGCCTTGCATGCAATGGAAAAACAGTGTTTTGTTGAAACACATGTTCTTTATTATGGGTCAGGAAATCAACGAAAGTCGGTTGACAAGAGAGCTTTCGAGTATGTCAAGGCATAGGTCTGCATGATCACGCGACTCGGGTCACTTTTGAGTCGCACTTATTTCGGTCTCTTCGGGTTGGTCGAAGTCGTGTGCTATACGTTTGCCACAATCAGCTGGACTTGACCACACCCATTAGGAATGTCACGGTCCACGGTGATGTTCTGGTAAAATAGCTCCAACAGCGATGTCTGTTGTCCAGCACATACTGATATCACAGACAACCCAGGTCAGCATTGTCTTCTAGGTATAGTGAGTCGTGGATTCGGCAATTGCTTACCCAGCCAGCTTCCCCAGCTTTTGTCCTCACTTTCAAGCTGCCTGCCATGGCTGACGTGGAATCCGGTGCTGGTCGCAACGGTCGCGCTCGGGCTCACACTGACTTCAACATTTTCCTGCGCACTACCTCCGTGTACCAAGGCCAGCACCCATGGAGCTTTGTTGGGAGCGATGTAGTTCACCGAAGAGTTGGTCACATAAAAGCTTGCAGCGTGTGCTGGGTCACGGAATACAGGGATGCTGTTCAATGGACCCGTTGATTGTGTAGACAGGTAGAGGTTGTCAAACTGCGGTTCAGGACTGGAAGAGAACAGGTGAAATTCATCTGGCGTTTTTGTGGCATATGTGAACGGCAGACCTGTCACTAAGAGCAACGAGCCTGTGGCAATTTGGAGCAAATTCATTGTATGGACAAATGTTGACCTTGCAAACGCGCTGCTGTATGGAGGATGGTCGCTCGGGTGCCTTGATTCGTATACTCAGCCTTTTGCAAGGGGTGAACAGAACGTGGCTTTTGGGAATGATATACCTATGTGAAGAGAGGTCGATGGAAAAGGACAATTGAGGGGCAAACCTTCAAACCTTCGGATGGAGTGAATGACGAGCACATGATCCCATAATCAGTGAGGCCACACTTACTACATCTCCACATTACTTTGTGTTTACCACCCTGATCGACAATAACAGACGCAGGATGGATCAGGTTCAGATCAAAATGGAAATTATGAACTGTCATGCATGTCAGAGCTCCAGTTGATCCACGATACGCAGATCTTGCAGGACTCCTGTTCTGAGTGGAAGTGGCAAACCCGGTAGCATATCCTTGATCCAACCAGGAGACTGCCCGTTGCAGATCACTGGAGACCGACGATCAACGGGTCAGTGTGCGACGGTGCGTATCCAAGACCTTGGAGAGGTTTGGCAGGAATAGAGAAGATAATGGGCATTTCTACGTCTGGTGACGTGGGGGTATCCAGCGGCAGGAAACCGCAGATTTGAATGCTGATATGCCTCATGAAAGACAGAAGCAATCAGATGAATTGCTCGGGATATTCAGGTCGATTACGGACCGGAGGAGAAGTGAAAAACACTTCGAGTCCCATGAACGATGCGATTCATCAATAGAGAATGACTGTGCTTCAGCATCTCACTGAGCGTTCAGCATGGTCGGGATTCAAAGAGGCTTTCCAAGTGCTCCCCAGTCTTTCGAGTATATATAGCACGTGATGCATACTCGACATCAGACCCCCGAGGGATGTCAAGTATGATCCGATCTCCGAGGCTCCATCTCCTGTTCATCTGAAATCAGGTTAACCATTCTCTGTCACTACAACAGCTGCTGCCTCCTCGAGGGTGAGCATCCACTGCTCAAAACGTCTCAATTGCTCTTGAAGAGCAGAAATCTCTATCTGGTAGAGAAAAGAACAAAGCAACAGATTCTTTGAGGCGCCTCGATCTTCCCCCATTGGATACGGAACTCACGGTCACTGCTGTCTCGGGCACCTAAATTGTCTGCCTCGCCGGTCATAGGTGGAATGACGACGGTAAGGCCTAGACACTCGAGCTTGGATCCTTGCGTTTGCTTCCGGAAGAAACTAGCTTCCAGTCAGGTACTTCCCACGATGTAAAGGCTCAGCATACGGGTAACCTTATGGATGCGGCAAATATAGGCCGACTTGCTCGAGAGACCACAACCACTCATCCGACTGACAGTTCGCCATATCCACACTACTCTTCTGTCTCTCACATCTCGCATCACAACTGTCTTTGTGGATATTCTAACCTCTCCCAAAGCTACCAAAATCACTGCAGCTGAATAGAAGGCTGCTCCGAATCATGTCGGTCCCAAGACTGCCATGTGGCAATCTTCAACCCAAGAGTTTGGAATCGGGGGTAGTGGACGACAGCTCGGTCGAGCCCTGCCCTAATGAAGGAAAGTTGCTTTGTGCTGGTTGTACCCTCGTTAGGGTAAGTTCTTTGCCCAGGATGACCCTTTGAATTTTTCACAGCGTTTTAGCTAATGATTCCGCAATGCAGTACTGTAGCAAGGAATGCCAAGTTGCCCACCGGCCTTACCACAAGGAAGAGTGCAGAAGCAAAGTGGGCCAAGACTATTGGCAGCCTCTTTGGGTTCAACAAGGGCGAATCCCTGCATTCGTTTATGAGGACAAGGAATCAAATGGGCCTTGGGGGGTGCAGAGGAATGTATGGCCTCGACATCCAGCCTTTGACATCCTCAAGCTCGCCGAGAATGAAGGACAAGATCACCCAGAAGATCTCAATTTACTGTTTGCAGGTCTGTTGTTGATACTCCCAGTCATCTGCTCAACCGGATCAATGCTCACTGTATTGATTATACTCTAGCCTGCGGTGATCTTGGCAACGTTGTCCAAACCGTCGTAAATCTCCCAGACGAATGGAACCACCGCCTCCAGCTTACAGTAAATGATGGTGATGCAGAAATTATCGTACGCAGCGTGATTCTGCTGCTCATCGCCGTTTTTGTTGATGACATTGACCAGGCAATCGAATGCATGATTCACGTCTGGTATTCGGCCTTCATCAGAGAGTCCGACAGTGAGCTGCTTCAATCACTAATCAAGCCCATGATTGACCGCGTCTGCAATACTATCAAGGACAAAGACCCGGAGAGTCTACGTGCCAAGACTTGGACTCGGGGCAATCGTTCGATCAAAGTTGTCCTCAAACAGAGAACCTGGATGACATTGCCTCGTATGCTGGACCGAGTCAGGCAGATCAAACCAATAGAGGCCTTTGCATCTCGTCGTGCAACTGTCCTTTGTCGGTATCGCTGGGACCATCGTGATGGTTTTATGATGAAATTGCCGCCAAAACAGCGAACAGCTCACCTCAGATATCTTCTGCATGGCCTGTTGCTGCCATTTGGACATAATCGAGTCGAATTTGTAGTGCCAAATCCGTAAGATCACAAGGGAAGTTTCCTATCTATAATGATTTTCAGCTGACTGATGTCCCAGTTTTCTGTACCGCATGCCTGCTCAATGGCAGGGTAATGATGCGGTCAATCCAGTCTTCGCATGGCCGTTGCATGACGTTCTCGAAGCTCCCGGCGCTGCCTCTGAGAACGATGTTTACGGGAAATTATTCAACTACCTCTATGACCATCTTCGAGCCTTCATTGATCGGATCAACAAATCGCCAACGTTCTTTTGCCTGCTTCAAGTCAATCCCTTCGAACTCGATAAATGTCTGCCGCATGGATCCTATGACCGAATCGACGTAAGTCACCATTTACAGGCAGTATCTCTATACGAACACGTATACTTAGCGTCCTAGGCTCACGCAAGTGGGATGATGAGTTGGGACCGAACCCACACCTCAAATTTTAAAAGACTAACACAGGCGAGTCTAACAGGCAACTGCTATCACTGACAAACATCGCGGGTTTCCTATTCACGCCCTCGAAACCTTGATGCCGATCTTGAAGAACAACAAGCAGAACCCTCACGCGACGATGATTCAATTCTTCGAAACAGCAGTCGAATCCCGCCTTCCGAAAAGTGGCGAATTGTCAAAATTGGATCAAGATTCGGCAGAACTGAAACATGTGAAGAAAATTATTGCGGTAACTCCTAGTTCTTCATCCATTTGTTCTTGGAGCCCGGAGGTCCTGATCTATCCTCCCTTGATTGACCTGTATGCTTCCCACTGGGAAGTCTTTGACCAGTGAGTTCCCATTCTTGATCTATAAAGCTACTGTCATTTCGCAACACAGCTCCACCGAGTATTGTCTCGCCTACTGATCATCCGTTTAGATATCTCGCAAATGAGAAGTTTAATGAACGCGTCCGACCAGGGACGGTCATGAAACAAGTCAACACCATTGTTCCTAAGTTCCGATACCAATTGAAGTTCCAAGAGCCTCTCGATGCCGAATATCGGAGGACGGTGTGGCGCCGTTTCAGAGAGCCCGTGGACGGCAAGTCCGTCTACCTAGAATGGCAGAAGGAGGACGAGGAAGAGAAAGTCAAGGCCGAGAGATAGTCGAGCGAACTCAGATTCACTAGTGCATCCTTAAAGCCACATTTGCTAAGATTCAGCATGAAAGAACTCGTAGCCATCTCCTCGGCCGTCCCAAGGGGGCATCCAGAAATACCAGCTAATCTTAAATACAATTGAACGCGTGCGTGCGAGATACTCTCAGAACACTGTAGCTCATGGGTTGTCGGGCAAATCTGGCAGTTCTCACGAAAAAGTTAAACATTGTACATGTCTAGCTTGGCTTAAGATAGGAACTGAGAAGCTCGTGCTAACACATAAAATTACACTTTCTTATTTTCGTCTGCTCATGGCAGATCGTCGCATCGTGACCTCTCGTCATATCGTACATATCGACAGGACTAATAACAGCCAGAAAGAGAGATGAATTGCGCAATTCATAGACCACACAATTTCCCAGAGAAAGCGGTCTGTCTCGTTCTGCTTCCTGTGGCTATCCCCTTGACACACAGACCTGCTGCATTATCATTCGATCTCTTCAAGCGGCGGGCTTCGCAAATTCAGGCTTCAATGTCCACCGACCCCGACCTCCACGATCTCGGTCCAAGCGAGCCACCGTCTTCAGCATTTCTTGAAACTCGGCTACTCGCTGAGGATTGGTACAGTAGTGATTGAATTGATCCACAATCACTTGCGTGAAAACAGGGCCGCGGCGCGAGAGCAAGAAATCCCGAATGAGAGGTAGGAAGTCCTTGCCGCGAGGCATCCGGTTTGGCGGCACTGTTGTTGGGGTAGGAGTTCTTGCTGGCGAGGCGTTAGGGTTGAGGTTGAAGAGTAGAGCCGAAGAGGACGGGCCTCGAGCCGCCGGTCTCGACGAAGAGCCACCAGCATTGCCAAGGTCAGTGCGACCACCGACGCCGAAAGAGCCCGTCCAAGTGGGGAGGCCGATGGGAGTGTTGCGAGCAACTTCCTCTGCGCGACGAAGTTCGCGAGCAGCTTCGGCAGCGACGCGACGTGCTTCTTCCTCAATCAGCTTCGGGTCAGCTCGGACATTACGTTTGCCATTGACGATATGATCATGCTCAAGCGCGGCATGAACGCCAGATCGAGCAAAGATGCCATGCATGATACGATCTTCTGCTGATTTGGATGATTCCTCGTCTTCTGCGTCGTTGCGGAATTGCTCAACATTGGCGACTCCTTGAACAGCGCTGATATCTTCCTCGTCAGGCTTGACAGGCTGGGTGACGACTTTTTTCTCTGTAGCACCAAGCCGTCGGCTGCCCGGGGTTGGCTGGACTTCTTCCTTATATGTGACGTCTGCATTCTTGAAGAGTTTCGTGGTTTCAAGCTCATTGTCATTTTCCTCCGTCAAAGAGAAGAGATCATATAGATCACTCGGCTGGAAGCTCTCCCGCTGCTGGGGATCACGAGTGATCTTGTTGGTTAGGAACTGTTTGAAGATCTGCCGGTGATAGATCTTCTCTTCGATGGTGCCCTTGGTCATGAGACGGAAGATTGTCACATCACGCTTTTGACCAAGTCGCCAAGCTCGCTCGCGTGCCTGCATATCAGTGGAAGGATTCCAGTCCGGGTCATAGATAATGACTCGATCAGCTCCGGTCAGATTCACTCCAATGCCTCCGACACGGGTGGTGAGAAGAAACACGTGAAGGTCAGGGTCCTTGTTGAATTCGTCAACCATGGTCTGCCGATCTTTGATCGGGGTATTGCCGTCCATGCGACGAAAGTTGAAGCCGTCGAGCGACCCGAGGAACTTCTCAATGATGTCCAGCATCTGTCGAGTCTGGGCAAATAAAAGTGTCTTGTGCCCAGTGTCCTTCCATACCTCCAAGAGGCCCTTCAGAACCTTCATCTTGCCCGAGCGCTCACTGTTGCCAAAGTCGGAGTCTTGGTTTTGGATCTGACGATTTACCAAGTCTGGATGGTTACAGACTTTACGGAGAATGTCAATCCCGAAGAGCGAGTTCCTCCTTCCTCTGATGATGGAGCTCATCTCTTCAGAGCCCAAGAACCGCTTGTACACTGTCCGTTGCTCTTGCGTGAGCTTACAGAAGATCACCTGCTCAGTCTTCTTTGGGAGGTCAGATGTCACATCCGCCTTAAACCGCTGAAGGAGGTAGGGACTAATGGCGTCTTTCAGTGTAGCAGCGCACTTTGCAGCAGTCTGGACCTGAAGATTCGTGGCGGAAGCGTACCCTCCTTGCCGGATCGGGATCTCGAATTGATTCTTGAAAGTCACCAACGTACCCAGCCGCATAGGGAAGACAAAGTCGAAGAGGGACCATAGATCGACCAAGCTATTCTGCATCGGAGTGCCGGACAAAATGATGCGATGAGGCGTGCGCAACTCTTTGCAACTGAAGGTGATTCCAGCATCGGGATTGCGAATCTTGTGCCCTTCATCTAAAATAGCACAGCCCCATTCGACATCAACGAGAGAATCGGCATAGGATTGAAGCCCGGAATAAGTGGTCACAAGGACGTGTCCTTCCTCGTTGACTCGCTTGATAATCTTTTTGGCCGCTTTTTGGCCTGCTGAAAGATGCCGCGAGTATTGACTACCCATCATCTCCGATGCAAGTGCCACCTCACGACTGTTCTCACGGCCCAGATTCATCATCCCACTGCCAGACGAATGGAGGATTGAGACGCGAAATGGAGGCCACCAACGATGGAACTCGTTGACCCACTGCTTCATCAGCGTTGCAGGGCAGACAATGATCGCAGGCTTGGTGAACATGTTGCTGTAGTGCAACGATGCGAGATAAGCAATCGCCTGGATGGTCTTGCCTAGTCCCATCTCGTCACCGATAATTCCCCCGACCGACTGCTGATGGAGTTCCCAGAGCCACTGAACGCCAGTGCGTTGGTAGGGAAAGAGATACCTGCCGATGTCACCTGGGACGCGTAGACCGTTTGAAAGATCTAGGTCGGGTTCCGATGGGTGTGGCTTCAACCACTCCTCTCTCGTGTCATCCTCGGTCTCCTCCTCGGCCAGATCTCCTTGGGCACGGGCGCGGGCAGCACTACGTCGACTGATCCATTTCTGGAGGCGTGTCTGATAGACTTTCTCGTTACCGTCATCCACGCCACTCAGGTCCTCCAGCTCTGCACTCGTCTTGTCTTTCTTGGATTTCCGCACGCTGACCTCGGGAGCAGTGTCTGGCATGAACTCTTCATCCTCAGACAATGAGCTCTCCTCGGACGCGACGTAGCTGGCCTCCGAATCCGCCTCGGTGGAGTCGAGTCGGGCAGGCCGCGAAACCTCTGACCCCTTCTTGACGGCCGGCGACGATTCCAGCTTTCGTCGCTTAGTGCTGCGAGGTTCCTGGCTATCGCTGGTGGTATCGTCGAAGTCGAGCTCTGGGCGAAGCAAATTTCGATGAGAGGCCTGGGGTTCCTCGTGGGCTCTTTTGCGCTCTGCCTCCTCTTGCTGCTGATCCTCGGTGTCTACCAGTGCGTCTTGAAGAGTCGACAGCGTGCCGTTTACGCCAGGCTGGCTCATGAGCTCAAACGGCGTGATCTTTCCTGTTCGGAGAAGATAATCACGCCGAGACTCGTTCGGCAGTCGTCCCGAGCCATGGATATCGCTGGCCTTTTCTTGCGCCTCGCGGCGGTCATCGATCCGCTGCTGGATCTCTGCGATATCCGTAACTAGTCCGGTACGACGAGTTTCCAGGCGCCTCAGTTCGGTTTCAACCCGAGTGCGTGCGCCAGGTCCGACGCTCTTGCTTAGGCGGTTTTTGGCCTGCTGCATCTGACGATCGACCTTGCTTTAATCCAGAATAAGCCCTACATCCCTGCAAATGATTGAAAGGTAGAAGGCAGTCAATCAAAGCTTACCTTTTTTCGGTCAAGGCCTTCTCCAACCGCTTGGTCTCATTTTCCTCGGCCCTTTCGGCGAGAAACTTGTCCGCCTACGTAGAATGTGAGTTGACGGTTGATTTGGGGAAAATAAACGAAGTGAGAGGCAAGTCACATACCTGTCGAGTGATGTCTCGCTCCAAGTCGTCCTGATTACGGACATCTGCGTTGAGCTCTTGGAGTCGAGTCGCCTCCATGGCGGCGCTTGTTGAGTCTGGTGACGCCATATCGTCACCGCCGGGCACTCTGGCAAGTCCGAACTGAGGGCACGCAGAGTGGTGTAGCCGTCAGGTCAGATCAGAAGAATGCACGCTGTCTGAATTCTGGTGAACCTGAAGTCATAGTTCATTTGAGCAGAGGATCTGACAAAAGCGAACGTGCCAGTGAAGGATTCACCCCAGAACAATGCGATTGTAGCCAGGGCCCTTGAATAATCTTGATCGGTCTAGAAGCGTTATCGCGAGGCAATGACGGGCAGTTTGCGCTGACCGCCTGCAGGAGCCGCACCTCGATCGAGACCCACCAGGCATCGACTGGAGCCCCGACATCATCACTTCCGAAATTTAGTTCAAATCTGCCTTCGGTTCAATAGGCAGCACTGCACGACAAGGCTTGAAGGCACAGATTCAGGCAGCGCTTGGACTTGACTTCCCATTTCGGCATATATTCACTGGGCTACCGGTAGATGCCTTGGACTCTCTTGAGGTCCTAGTCGTCCCGCTGGTGGCTTGACTTATGTTGAGACCCATTATTAATTTATTACAAGTCGCTTAATACGTACCTGAGCGAGGATGTCTCCGACGGGTCGGTGCCCAATTTGATTGTGTCAGACTAGCACTACCGTCACTGCCCAGGTGAAGCCGGTGCTCTAATGATGTACTGTACACTTGTACAGTGTATGTATCTGGCCTCGACCGAGGTGATATGGAGCGCGCAAGAATACTCAATCAGGACCAGAACTTCTTTTTTGTCCGCCTATCACCCTTTCAACAGATGAGCTGCTCTTCAGCAAGAGATATATGAGAGTCCTACCCCTTGATTCCTTGATAATGACAAAGAATACGTAGCTTATTCAGGCAATACCCATCCATCCGCAGGCCGGTCCGCCTGACATATTTTGACCGGCCGACCTCAGTTGACACCAGCGCGCCCGGATGGTTTAACTTTGATGGCCAGATGCCGTGAACTAGGAGCTTTCCATGGAGTTCTGACCTCAGATGCATCACTGGAAATCGACGATGATGAATCTTGGCCTGTGTGATTTGATTTTGACAGGCCATCGATGAGCTTGATTTCCAATCAGAAAATGTCAGGACATGCCCAGCTTAGCCCGTCGGGTTGGGTATACAACCATGACGCCATAATGCACTGAGACGACTCTCACAGTAACTTCGAGAATTGAACGTTGGGACTGGTGGTAGTAGTAGGTACCGTACACCTGAGTACAACTATACTATCCACTGCACTGCTACATACTGCTAGGTACTAGTAGACTACGAAGTACTAACAGTGCTACTAAAAGTAAGCACCGGCAGAGGTACACCTTGGTATGGAAGCAGCAACTTCCGATCAAGATCCAAGGCTGGTTTTTGATGGGTACCAATTCGCTCGTTGACAATGATATTGGAAGCGATACCGTGTCCAGTTACGTGCTCTAGTTGGGTCCCTGAATAGGTACCCTGGTGTTCTTCACATCAATTTCCAGTCGCAAAAAAGGGTCAATGTGAAGTGGTCCAAATCCAATCATCCCTCTATACAACTACACCTACAGGCCACACGTAGTCCATCTCAACTCCATATGCTGGCAACGCCTTGAGGTTTTGTGGTCTGAGTGCTAAGCAAACGGGATGCTTTATGTTTGCCAAGTTGAGATTTTCTCTCTTTCTCAAGCGTTGGCGAGAATAATGCACTCGAGATTCAAATTCGCAAGAGGTATCGCCGAGCCGTACCTACTCAATAGCCCCGATGGGCTATATCACACACTCACAGACAAAGCTCCTTGAGGTTATAGTACAATCCTCCTCTTTTCTTGGTAATCGCCCCGGAGCATATCTAAAGTAACTGGAGCCCGATACTCAGATATGAAGGCAGTGAGGCGGATGGATGTCGACATGAGTGTAAGACACCAGAGTGACCAGACTCAGAGCACATCCACCTTCGTGTGGCTAGGCATCTACACTGCTGTTCGCTAGCTCGTCTCTTTCCATCCCTGTCCAGTCCAAAGGTCGCACCAATCTGCTCCCTTTCCAAAACTCGCCTCGTCAGACCTCATTGCGCTGATCTCTTCCATTGCTTGCCCACCTGCACTCCGCTATCTTCGGAGCTCTTCGAGTGTGCATCCCGGTCGGAAGAAGTGCTACGTCGGTGTCATCTCCGTTGTCCATTGCGACCGCCCGCCCCCAGAAAAACGCCCTTCCCGAACGTCAGGTCTGGTCTCCTTCCCAACCCCCACTAGAAAGTGCAACTGCTTGACTGTTTCGAGTGATTGACCCGTGGACGTGCACGACTGCGAATGTGAGCGAGTCCACCTCTCTCGCTCGCCGACCCAACCCAACCGCAGCCTCGCACTGCAGCACTGCACCACCCACACCCCCAACCCACCACCACATCGAGCATCATCCATACCCGCTTTTCCGTAGAGGATGCGTCACTACACAGCTCTGAATTAGCCTTTTCCTCCGTTTGATCATCTCGACAATTTCATCCAAATTGTCCTGGATCTTGCCTCATTCCTCTCTTTCAACGTGCTGCACCCTCCCATCTGTCGTTCGCAGCTCGTGTCCAGTGAGCGAGGCCCCAATTGAGTGTGTTGTTCTCCCCGCCCGCTTCAAGCCCACGCACGAACCCCCCTCGAGATCGCAGGCGCGCTCTGCGCAGGAGACGGCATTGGTAGCAAGTTCCTAAGCTTCGCTTCCTGTTGCACTTGCGACCGTCCTGGATCTTGCTGTCTACCATCCCCAATCATTCGCAACGATGGACCATTCCGGTTGGCAGCCGTACCAAGATCCCATGATGGGCCAGCCCCCCGCGCAGTTCAACGGCTTGGCGAGTCACCCTCCCCAGCAGCTGAGTACCAAGTATGGTCAGCCGCCAGCCCAGGCACAACCGCCCATGGGATACACGTACGAGCACTATCAGACTCTCGGCACATCCTCCAAACCTCTCTCTGCCCACGCTGCTCATCCCGGGTCAAAACCTGCCTCGATGGCCTCCTCCCCCACAGCCACGCCACGCTCTCGGGATTATGTGACCGACACGGACACCACCATGGAGGATGCAGATCCATACAACCGGGCCAAGTATCCGTCGCGACCAGCTCATCAGAGTCGGGCATCCTCGCAATTCCTCAGCCAGGCTGAGGAATCGTCGGCTGCACGCAGGTATTCCCCGATGAACGTGCTGTCGCCGCCCATGTCGTATCCCACCAGCCCCGGAAAGACCCAAGGCACGTACGATTCGTCTCCATCGGCCTCTGCGCAAGCTCGGCGCTCGCCCGCTCGCGCGGTCAACTATGTCTCTCCGCCTCACAGCTACCAGTCCCCTCCATGTGAGCGACTCCTCTGTCAATGCTGCCATCGCGTTCACCCTACCCTGTTCCTGCGTTGCTGACCATTCCCTCTTCCCCACTACAGCTGCTGGTCGAGTCCCTCGTCTTCCCCCGCTCCAAGCAGGCGACTTGAATACAGACCACTTCTTCCCCTCGTCCGCCTCTAGCCACATGAGTCCAGCATATGGAGCAGGATCGCGGTCGCCACGGTCGGCCGCGGCGCCAGCGCCCTACCCTGGCCGTGGTCCAGTGCCCAAGTTCCAGAAGATCAAGAGCGTACAGGAATTGCAACCCCGAGTTCACACGCAGCCTGCGTATCGACGAGCTAATCCCGAGGGTGGCTTCATTAGCGTAAGTGTCACATTGAATGCAAGCGCATTTGGAGCCCTTGCTAACCACTGTTCCTCTGCGCAGCCTCTTCAAGCATTGACGACTCACCTCCCATCAACGTACCGCATCTGCAATCCCAACTTCAATTACGAATCCTCGCGAAATCCTCGCCGTGTGTTGACAAAGCCGAGCAAGGGAGTGAAGAACGACGGTTATGATAACGAGGACAGCGACTATATTCTATATGTCAACGATATCCTGGGGAGCGAAGAAGCCGGTCACAAGTGCGTCGCCGAGGACAGTTCCGGAGACTGGACATTGGCTAACGACTGTTGCTCTTAGAAATCGGTATCTCATTCTCGATGTTCTAGGCCAAGGTACTTTCGGCCAGGTGGTCAAATGCCAGAATCTGAAAACCCAAGAGGTAGTGGCTGTCAAGGTCATCAAGAACAAGACGGCATATTTCAACCAGAGCATGATGGAAGTGTCTGTTCTGGACCTCGTACGTTGATAACCTCCGCCTCACCCACAGATCGCGAAATCACCGGTCAAATCAGCTAATGGGAGGCTTTACTTATCTCTTGCAGCTAAACAGCAAATACGACAAGAACGATGACCATCATCTTCTTCGCCTCAAGGATACTTTCATTCACCGGCAACATCTGTGCCTTGCGTTTGAGCTTCTGAGTGTCAATCTCTATGAGTTGATCAAGCAGAACCAATTCCGAGGCCTCAGCACAACGCTAGTTCGGGTGTTTGCTCAGCAACTGCTGAACGCCTTGAGCCTGTTGAACAAGGCTCATCTTATTCACTGCGACTTGAAGCCTGAGAATATTCTTCTCAAAAAGTAGGTGCTCCCGGATCGAAACAGACTCTGCGCTCCAACTTGTATGGATACTGACCATGCGCTCTTTCAGCCTCGAGAGCCCCATCATCAAAGTCATTGATTTTGGCTCAGCATGTGATGAGCGTCAGACTGTGTATACTTACATTCAATCCCGGTTCTACCGCTCACCTGAAGTATTGCTTGGTTTGCCGTATGTCGCGAGACTTATCATCCATATTGCACGAGATGAACTCTAGTCTAACAACACTACAGGTACTCCTCTGCGATCGATATGTGGTCACTTGGCTGCATTGTCGTTGAACTTTTCCTCGGATTGCCTCTTTTTCCCGGTTCCTCCGAGTATAATCAGGTCTGCCGAATTGTTGAGATGCTTGGTCTTCCCCCAACATGGATGTTGGAGATGGGCAAGCAATCAAAGGAGTTCTTCGAAAAGGGTCAGGACGAATACGGTCGCACGACCTACCGCCTCAAAACCTTGGAGCAGTATTCACGAGAGCACAACACCAAGGAACAGCCCAGCAAGAAGTACTTTTCGGCGTCAACTCTGGAAGAAATCATTCGGAGCTACCCCATGCCGAGGAAGAATATGAAGCAGGCTGAGATTGATCGAGGTATGCTGAAATTCTTGAATGATCCTATCTCTGCAAATTCATATCTAATGTCTTCCTGGAAACAGAACTCAACAATCGGGTAGCCTTCATCGACTTTGTTCGTGGTCTTCTCACGATCAACCCGCTCGAGCGCTGGTCGCCGCAGCAAGCCAAGTTGCACCCCTTCATTACCCAGCAAAAGTTCACTGGGCCGTTCATGCCGCCCATGAACTTGAAGTACTCGGCTCCAAACAAGACTGTAGCCCCAGGTGTTCAGCAGCAGCAACAAGCCGAGGCTGCTAGCAAACAGCGAGCCGCCCAAGTTGCGCATGCGCAGTCGGCATATAACATGCAGATGAATCAATTCCACACGCCGCCCGCCCATAATGCGCAGGCCCCGCCGGTTTACAATGGAATGTATCAACAGGGCGCGCCCCCGCCGTACCCAACGCAGCCGCCCGGCTATGGTCATCAGGTGGGAATGGCCCAGGGCCAGGTTCCTCAGCAAGGTCAATACGCCCCATCTCAAAGTCTTTACGCCCAGGCCACAACCAGGGCTGGGCGTCAACGTGCCTCAACAATGGATGTACAAGGAGGCGGTGTCCCCACAACTATTCAACGTGTGGCAAGTCACTTGGATCCCAACGCACCCATTCGCCTGCAACCCAGTCCTGCATACTACCCGCCTCCGCCTGATGGATACGTCGACCCAAACAACGCTAATCAGCGACGGCGTGGTAGCCGTGCCACTGGGCAAGGAAACCAACGGAATCGAGACTTTATCCGCACCCTTGAGGATGGCGTACTAGGTGACACTTACATGAGTCAGAATCAGTGGCACTAGAAGATGTCATAATAACGGTATCCAGTTGACTTTGGCTACAATCGCGACATTCAAGTCTGACGAGACATCACTATTGCGATGGGATCGAGCAACCTCGCGGGAGGCAATGCTGACCTTGCAAAGATGTTCACGAGCAGACTTCAGTTGGGCCGCTTTCATTCATGGGGCCATCCCAACGCCAGATCAATCTGCCCGACGCCGCTGGCATTTTTTACATCATCGGCTGCTGGCACCTCAGCTCGCTGTAACGTCCATCTCATTAGCTGAGCTATAGGGGGAAATGGGCACTGTCTCCTATATATTAGCTTCGGCATCGGCCTACGCGGCCCCGAGCGACCCATCGCTTTCTCATGGTCTTGTGCTTGTGGATACGGGCTTCTTGCTGTCTGCAAAATGTAGCTTGACTGGATTCACTACTCATCTGCCCTTTCCTTCATCTAATCCCGGGAACGTGCAATTTTCCACGCTCATGGCGTTGCCCTCGCGGAGCCCTCGTCTCCCCCTGTTACTCCTCCGACCGAGTTTGCTTCCAGCATTATCCTTTTTTTAACTGAGACCCTTGTCTTTCCAGAAGGCAACTTCTTCGTTCCTTTTTTCTTCCATTTCTGCTCTAGAATTGAATACGTGTGACTTCCTTACGATGACTTCGTCTTGTTTTTTGATATCGTTTTCTTACTTGCTTCTACATTTTGGCATAGCCTGGAGTATCGAAGAACGATATTATCCCCCATCTGATCAGTAAAATACGCCCCTTTTTCTGAGCTTTTTTGTTCCTTGCAAGCTTGGACTCGCCTTGCTTTTGCCATCGAAGAAGCCTCCAGGCATCTGGCTCATACTACTCAGATGTTCGAGGTTTTTTTTTGGTTTGGTGTTTGTGATGTCTATTATGATAGTGTTCTGACCGGCCTTGGTGGAGCTTGTAACCGAGGCTTACAATCTCACAATGTCAAGGCGGGCGGCATAACAATGTTAATGGATTTTGGTAGTGATTACCTCTCAGATGCTTTCACGAATCTTCAATCAAACTCCTTAATTAATGGTACGTGGATTAAAATTGTTTGTATTAGGTCTATCGCCCAAAGCAACGCGTCAAAGAAGTTGAGATGGCGCTAGTCCTAATTTGGAATAGTGAACCCCTCGCTTAAATTTCGTGTGTGGCTCTCGCCCGCCATTCAACTCCAAGTTTTGAGAAGGTCAACCTGCCCTGCAGCAACGGATTCAACAGACCCGCAAATATGTCTCGATTCTTCTACCGCGGTGGTAGCGACAGCGAGTCCAGCTCTTCGGACGAGGAGGATGAGCTCTACGAGCGCTCCGAGGAGGAACCGAGCGACGATGAATCTTCCGACCAGTCCGACTCCGGCTCTGATTCCGACGAGTCCGATGACGAGGCGACCGCGAAGGGTGGTGCCGCCGCTTTCCTGAAGGATGATTCCGATAGTGAGGAGGAGGAAGAGGAGGAGAAGGTCACAGTCGTGAAGAGTGCCAAGGATAAGCGCTTGGAGGGTCTGGAGGCCACCATCAAATTGATCGAGAATGCCGAGAAGATCAACGACTGGGCTGTCATCTCGACTGGTGAGTGCTTATCCACGCATCGATATCATTTTTCAGGCTACGTTTGAAGGGCTGGTGCATCTCCAATGCGGCGCATGATTCGGAAGAATTTGATGCGCCCTTTTCAAAGCCAAGTGGCTACAGTCATATTCCGTGGCAGAGATGGTGCTGACACTTCGGACACTACAGAGTTCGACAACCTGAACCGCCAGATCATTAAGATCACCCAGACAGGCCCCGTTCCTAAGATCTACGTCCAGGCCGTTGCCGATCTTGAGGACTTCGTCAACGAGTCCGCTACCAAGCAAAAGGCTTCCAACAAGAAGATGAATCCCACCAACCAAAAGGGTTTCAATGCCGTCAAGCAGCGTATCAAGAAGAACAACAAAGAATACGCTGCTCAGATCGAGAAGTACCGTGCCAACAAGGATGAGTTCATGGAGAGCGATGAGGAGGTTGAGAAACCTGTCGTTGCTGCCCCCAAGCCCACCAAGGTCGAGAAGATCCAGAACCTCGCCGCCGCCGCTGCCGCTGCTGCCGCCGACGATGAAGAGTTCACCACTGTCAGCCGTGGAGGAAAGACTCACTACACCCCCGAGAGCATCCTCAAGCACCTCCGAGTTATCGTTGAGTCTCGCGGAAAGAAGAACACCGACCGCCTCGACCAGATCAAGACCATGGAGAAGCTCCTTGCTGTTTCAACCACTCCTTACCAGCGTATCCGTGTCTATCTGACTTTGATCTCCACACGCTTCGACCTTACGTCCTCTTCCGCCAACTACATGAGCCCTGAGCAGTGGAAGTCTGCTGATAAGGAGTTCGGCTCCCTTCTGTCCGTTCTGGAGGAGAACCGCAATCTGATTGTGAGCGAGGGAGCTGAAGAGTGGGAGGATGACGAGAAGCAGCCCCAGATCTCCGAGGGCGAGACTTTCTTCATTCCTGGCAGCATTGTCTCATACATTGAGCGCCTCGATGATGAGCTTACCCGCTCTTTGCAGCAGATCGACCCCCACACTGCTGAATACATTGAGCGCTTGAGCGACGAGCAGCAGCTGTACAACAACATTGTCCGAGCCCAGCTCTATCTCGAGAACCAGAATGCTGACGACAAAACCGAGACCCGTCAAGACAGCGTGAACCGCACCATCATCCGCCGTCTGGAGCACGTCTACTTCAAGCCCTCGCAGGTTGTTTCCATTTTGGAAGAGGCTACCTGGAAGGCCCTTCCTGAGAAGCTTGACTCCACCATCACCCCTCGCAAGAATGTCGGCGACGTCAACACACTTCTCCAGACTCTCTGTCACTATCTGTTCCAGAACAGCGATGGCATTATCCGCGCTCGTTCGATGCTTTGTCAGATATACTTCCTCGCCTTGCACGACCAGTACTACCGCTCTCGTGACCTAATGCTCATGTCTCACTTGTCTGAGAACATCTCCAACTTCGACGTCAGCACCCAGATTCTTTTCAACCGAACCCTCGTCCAGATTGGTCTGTGCGCTTTCCGCGCTGGTCTGATCTATGAGGCCCAGAATACCCTCGGTGAAATCTGCGGATCTGGCCGTCAAAAGGAGTTGTTGGCTCAGGGTATTATCATGCAACGGTACTCTACCGTTTCCCCCGAGCAGGAGCGTCTTGAGCGCCAGCGCCAGCTGCCCTTCCACATGCACATCAACCTCGAGCTGCTTGAGTGCATCTACCTCACTTCCAGCATGTTCCTCGAAGTTCCTCTCATGGCCCAGACCTCGTCCTCCCCCGAGATGCGCCGCCGCATGATCTCCAAGACGTTCCGTCGTATGCTTGACTACAATGAGCGCCAAGTGTTCACCGGTCCTCCTGAGAACACCCGTGACGGTGTGATCATGTCCGCCAAGTTCCTTGCTGCTGGCGACTGGAAGCAGGCTGCCTCCATGCTTTCTTCCATCAAGATCTGGGATTTGATGCCCCAGCCAGAGAAGGTCAAGGAGATGCTCTCTGCTCAGACACAAGAGGAGGGTCTCCGCACCTACCTCTTCACCTACGCTCCCTTCTATGACAGTCTCTCCATCTCCTCGCTGGCCGACATGTTCGAGCTGCCTGCCAAGAAGGTCACCGCTATCATCAGCCGCATGATTTCCCACGAGGAGCTTGCTGCTGCCCTCGACCAGGTCAACAACGCCATTGTCTTCCGCAAGGGTGTTGAGTTGTCTCGTCTGCAGTCCCAGATTGTCACTCTTGCCGACAAGTCCATGGGTCTGCTTGAGTCTAACGAGAAGACTCTTGAGCAGCGTACCCAGGGCATGGCCAACGCTTTCCAGCGTGAGCAGGGCCCCGGTAACCGTGGCCGTGGTGGTGGTCGTGGCGGCGGTGGTCAAGGCCGTGGCGGTGCTCGCATTCCTGGCCAGCAGGGTCGGAGACCTGGTGGGCAGCAATTCGGCGGCGGTGCATTGGGCGGTGCAATTAAGGCTTAAAATGTGGGATGTTTTTGTCTTTTCCTCTTGATCTAATGGTAGCCTTGTTTCTTCCATCTTCCTTTTCCCTTCCTTCTCTAAACCAAATCCTCCGATCCCGCCTCTTGTCCCCCCATCTTCCCCTCTATCTTCTTTTGATTATTTTGCTGCCACGGTCTCTTTTTTTCGTACCCGTCTCTCTATCCTTCCCACCCCTTTCTCATGCCGTTTCTGATCACGAGTGAAATCCGCTCGTGGCACTTCCATGATCCAAAATGAATGAACATAAATGGTTAGAAAGTTCAATGACCCCTGCGTATGAGCTAGGAACCACTTCTCCTGTGTCCTGTCAAATATCGTCATATGGTGACACGTGCTGTAGTCCGAGCGAACTAATGCGTACTCTCACTAATCTACAAGAAGCAATTCAGTCACCGTGCCGCGCCGGTCTTTACGGGGAGTCGGGACTAAGTATCCACAACTCAATCTCTTCCAGTCTCTGACTTATATATGAATCCTGCTCCCATGGAAGCCACTACCTTACATTGGCAAAGAGGTCCTTGAGAATACCGCCCTGACTCTGTGAAATGGGAATGTCCTTCCGCTACTGTGTCTCACACAAGTCTATCTAGACTAGAAAGGACTGGACCTCACGAGAGGTCGAGGCATGTCGGATCTGAGCATGAAACGAATTTGGCCTGACTCTCAATGCCAGGTCTCATATCGGTGCGTTGGACGAATGTGAACCTTATACCCAGGTGTAGGAGCACAGTGGAGTGTGAGAGATCCTTTTAATTACTGGACGAGTCCTTCTATTCTTCGCGGCATCTATCGGAGGCTTGGGATGGGGAGGAAGTTGCTATTTGGAAATTTACTGAAGTTCATTCAGTTCGATGTACCTTGGGAATCTGAATGTGAGGTTGTTGAGTAGGTGGTGTACTGAGTACTGACTACTGAGGTCTTGATTGATCGTGTATGTTATTTGACTACCATCATTCAGTCGTTCAGTCGTTCAGTCACGAAGAAACGCTAGAATGGAAAGACGCTCAGGGCTCAAGAAGAATTGCATAGAGGAGAAGAGTCGAAGACGTAATAGTATCATGTTATCCGTCAAACCGTGAGAGAAAAAGAGCTCAAAAACGACACCGTCTGGGACGGATGCAAATGCAAAGCAAAAAGCTCCCATGTCATCTATCTACTGCCTATCATGCCCGTCTTCCAAGTGCCGTCGACCACGCAAAAAAGTGCTAATAGGGGATCATGAAAGAGTTCAAGATGTTTTCGTGCAGGTTTCCATCTGCACTTCACGTCTCCTCGATAACAATGATATGCTCCGCGATCCAGTTCACGAATCGCTGGCCTTCAAGCTTCCAGCGCCCGTCTACCCACACATCATCCAGCCAGTAACGCCATGGTCTTCCCGTTGGATTTAGGTCCCATCGACCACTGGTGTGCGGTGGCCCGGAAGAGCGGCTGCTGGACCCTGCGGAGAGATCCGCGTTGACGCTGAATAATGGCATCTCTGAGGCCGCGCCATTGGCGCTAGATTGTCTCTGACGAAGGTGCCACTCCCGCTCGGCTCGTTCACCGGCACGCCGGGCAACAGCTTCTTCGTCTTCGGCCTTGTACAGCTCGCACTTTGTGCAGGCGGAGCATTGAGAGCCAGGGTTGAGGCGGAAGTGCTGACAGAAGTGCTCATATCCATCCGGTTCCTCAAATTCATCGTCTTCGATCCCGCCAGCAAGAGCATCTTCGCCCGGATGACGGTCACCAGGTCCGTCCACTACGTCTGGGCCGTACTGGTCATTGGAAGCGGGCCATCCTCGAGCTTGTGCAAGTTGAGCTTTCGGGCCGAGTCGTTTCCGGCAGAGATAGCACATCGAGTACCCACACACGCAAGTGAGCTTGTTACAGCCCGAAGACTTGACGAAGGAGAGGCCACAGCGCGGACAAGTCCGCTTGACGGCGGCCGTCCGAGCAGCCTCTACGGTAGCTCGGAGGCTTGTCAGAAGGGGTTCATAACAGACGTGAGGATCGCGCCAGGCCCTTTGACATGTGTTGCAGCTCACGCGTTGACAAGACGGGTTGGCACAAATGAATCGTTTGGAACGTGCTTTGAGGCAAAGATGCCGGATTGCGTTTTCATAGACAGCCGGGATAGCAGGTGAGTTCACGAGGAGAATGATGAGACAAGGAATTAATAGCAGGGGTATTAAAATAATCATAAAGAGGGTGACAAGAATGGAGGAGATCAGGCTCCTGCTGCGACGAACCTGCCAGCGGACGTCACGGAGATATGGGTAATAAATCGGGTCTGCCTCTGCGTAGGAACAGAACGGACAGCGAACAAGCCTCATTCGAGATTTTATCAAGACTTCCGAAGCCACGCGAGCTTCAAACTTGGCGTATGTTTCGTTGCCAGCCTTGTCCTGAAGAACAGCTTGTTTGACTAGTACCGCGGGTAGACTGCCATCGCATACGCCGTGAGTCAAAGGAGCGAGACATTTCAGCGTTGACCGAGCCATATCGACAGACTTGGCCCATCCCTGCCCGAACACAGCCTCGTGGACCGTCCGCTGAATGCAATTATAGCAGATCGCATGGACATTAGATGTGCAGGTCGCAATTTGCTCAAAAGGCACCTCGACGCAGCAGCACTCGCATTCATAAAGGTAATCCAGAGCTTTGGCTTCTAGCTCGTTCAGATCAGATGCAAAGCGGAAGTCGGCACTTTCCTGCTCATTGCGCCTTTGACTCATTACAGGCGTAATGAACATCGCTGCCAGTTCGGCATCTAGCTCGGCGCATCCGGTCTCTTTGAGTACAGGTGTTGACTCGTTGTCCGTTCGACGATGCCACGCTATGTTCGGATGCTCTTCTCGATCTTTTTTGCGACGGAATGGCAAGATGCTGTTAAAAGTTGCCCGCCAAGTGCGCCGCGAAAGATCTTGCAACGTGGGCCGGGCACGTCGATAACTGAAATTCGCTTCGGCCAACACCGCATCAATTGCGCTCTTACTCAGACTGCCGAATTCTTTGATGCAAGTCGTCTGGACTGCCGCTTTGTACTCCTTGGAGCGGAAGCGCTCCTCGACTGGGACAACAGTCTCACCTGCAGGGCCGACCGTCTCAGCGTTCGAGCTGGCTTTCTGGTCTGACTCGGTTCCATCATGACCCTCAGGAATGATTCGTCGACCCTGAACCCATTTGTCCTCGTGCCGAAGCAACTGATCCACACAAACATGAAGCCTGCTTTCTCCATCGAAGCGCAACAATAACTCCCGAAAAACTTCAATCCGTATATCCGGGAATGTAGATGCTAATGTTTCCAGGGCAGCATTGCATTCATCCTGCTCTTGTTTTGCATTCTCCAGGCATTGTTGAGGAACTTGAAGGGAGCGAGACCGTGATGTACTACCGAACGGGTTGTTCCTGAGCGCTTCACTCAGCGTAATAGATGAATGGCTTGACGCTGTCGACGCGCCTGAACTGTGAGATCCAAGTAGAGGCAATTTCCACGTACTTCGACCGGAGGAAGAGCTCGCGGACGAGGCTGAGCCGCGTTGTCGGCGATCTTGGGATGCAGACGTGTCATCGGCGGGGCGTGGCGGGGAGGATCTGGAGAAGCTCGGGACCGGCAGCGAAAGTACCATATTGGCAACTGGGAAAATGCTGCTACATCGTCGATCAGTAAGGAGATGGCTGATGAGATGGACTGTGAAACAGCTTCTCCGTTGTTCTCGTTTAAAGAATGTAAGGCAAAAAGTAGGAAGGATATGCAAATTTCAGATAAACGGCGTTGAAGAATGCAGGATCGTGACCTAGGCAGGCGAATTACGGGTTTACATAATATCAAGTCCGGTCCGAGTCGGGTGCTCCCAGCGCCGTCACCATATCGGTGGGAATGGGTCCTTCCCGAGGACGGGTTTGATTGTCTCTCTCTCGCTTTATCTGGGGCGAGGTCCGCAACCCATTGTTTTTTTTTTTTTCAAGAATCTCGGGATTCGATAGTCTACTGGGTCGTACTGAGTACTGGCACTTACGCTGATCTTGTCCGTTCAGCCTGCTACAGCCGAATAGCGGCTAGGGAGCTTTTTAAGTAGATCTTTCATGAACTTAGTCCATCGGCACAGAATCATAACATCCAAATCAAAGTTTAATTCAAAACAAGCAGGTATCAACATGATCGAATCAATGAAAGGAACGAAAAGGCTATGTATGTACAAATAAAGAAGCTACAGTCTGACCGGAGTTTTTCCGGCGGATATCGCCTGGATCTTTCGAAAGTGGGAGAATTTTACAGCTTGGCCTTCGCGCCGTCGAGTAGCTCGGCACCGGCGCCAGTGATGGCAGGCTTGCCAGTCTCAACGACAGTAGTTTGGAAGAGAACAGTATTGCCCTCCTTCCACATCTCAGTCTTGAGAGTCTGGCCGGGAAGAACGACGCCGGCGAATCGGACCTTCAGGTTCTTGAAGGCACCGAATTTGGTGAAGACGTGCTTGGCGGAGACACCAAGCGAGCACAGGCCGTGAAGAATGGGGGTCTTGAAGCCACCAACCTTGCTGAACTCGGGGTCAATGTGCAGGGGGTTGCGGTCGCCGTTCAGGCGGTAGAGAGCAGCCTGATCCTCGGACGTCTTTTCCTCGACGATGACATCGGCAGCACGCTTAGGAGGCTTGTAAGCGGCGGTGGCGCCCTTGGCACGGGCAACAGTGGGCTTGGAGGACCCACCGAAGCCACCGCTGCCACGGACAAACACTGTGGACTCGTTATAGAACAGATCCTCGCCGGTCTTGGCATCCTTGGTGGTGAAGCCCGCGACGACAATAGCAGCATTGCCCTTGTCGATGACATCAATGAGCTTGGGGTAGGTGAGAGTGTTGGCTGACGTGGGGATGGGGAACTTGCGGACCTCCATGTACTGTTCGCCGTGGAGCAGCATCATGGGCGAGAAGTTCTTGACAATGTCATCCATGTTCCAGGGAGTGTTGGTGTTGAACCACGGAACGACACCGAATGAAGGGAGAGCCTGGAAGTGCTCGTTGTTCTCATACACCAGAGGCAAGTCTGTGCGCTTGGCACCCAAGCTGAGATTGTACAGAATAATGTCACGGTCGGTGTAGTCAAACGCAGTGCCCTCGGCGGTGGTGGACTTGGCTTTCTCGATGTTGGCAAGGGTCTCGTTCTCGCCACTGCCACCAGCACGGTTGGACATGTTAGCCATAATGCGCTCAGTGCCAGCTTGACCGTCCTCGGGATGGTCAGCGCGGCCATCATCGAAGTTGGTGATCTGCTTCCACTTGGAGACAACAGCCTCAGGAGTCAGCTTGACGTCCACGGGGAAGCCGTGGCCGCCGGAGCGCTGCCAACGAGTGCGGCCGAACCAACCGCTGCCGCACTCAAAGAGACCCTTTGTAGAGGGCTCGGGAGTGGCGTCAGAACAAAGGAGAACAACCAGGGGAGCAACATAGTCAGGCTTGAAGGCCTGGACCATCTCCTCGGGCATGATGGTGCGGGTCATGTTGGTGCCAGCATTGGGAGCAATGGTGTTGACCTTGATGTTGTACTTGGCGCCCTCCATGGCGAGAGTGCGAGAGAGTCCGAGGATACCCAACTTGGCAGCGGCGTAGTTGGCCTGGCCAAAGTTACCGTAGATACCACTGGTCGAGGCGGTGTTGACCACACGACCATACTTCTGCTTGAGGAAGTAGGGCCAGGCAGCCTTGGTAACCTTGTAGGTACCACGAAGGTGAACATTGACAACGGAGTTCCACAGGTCATCAGTCATGTTGGTGAAAGCCTTGTCACGCAGAATGCCTGCGTTGTTGACAAGGATATCAATGCGGCCAAAGGCGTCAATGGCAGACTTGATCACAGCATCACCATCCTCGCAGTTAGCCTTGTTGCCAACGGCCTCTCCGCCCATTTTCTTGATCTCCTGAACAACGGGCTCAGGGTCCATCAGGTCGTTGACCACAACCTTGGCACCGTACTTGGCGAACAGCAAGCAGTAGGCGCGGCCAAGACCAGCACCACCACCAGTGATAAGGGCAACACGGCCCTTGAAGTCAGGCTCCTGGGCCTGGGGCGCGCTGGGAAGCTTCACAGCTTCCTCGAGCAAGCCCATGAAGTCGGCAGGACCAGTCGGGTGGTCTGGCTTTGAGAAGTCATTGACGTCGTTCCACTTGGCAGCAATAGCGCCGGGGGTCAGAGAGTGGTCAGTCTTCAGGAGAGCACCCTTGGCCCGCTCCCAGCGGAGCTTAGCGACGTGACCGCCACCGACCTCAAAGATGCTACCGCTCTCAGTGGTGTTGGAGGAGTGGACCAGGGCGGCGACAAGAGGAACCACCCATTCGGGCTTGAGGTTCTCAAGAACATCTGGGGGCATCACGGTGGCGGTCATACGGCTAGCAGCGATGGGAGCAATGACGTTGGCGATGATGTTGTATTTCGCACCCTCCTTGGCGAGGGTCTCGGTGAAACCGACCTGGCCAAGCTTGGCGGCGGAATAGTTGGCCTGACCGAAGCTGCCGAAAAGACCGGCAGCCGAGGCAGTGTTGATGACACGGCCATACTTTTGCTTGCGGAAGTGAGGCCAAGCGGCGCGGGCACACTGTAGAGATTCCGGGTGCTGTTAGTGTCTCTCCCAGCACTAGCCGAGGATGGCCGGGAAGGAAGAGGGGGCACATGTGACTTACCTTGTAGGCACCATATGTGTGAACGCGGTTGATGAGATCCCAGTCGGAATCCTTCATGTTCTTGAAGCTGATGTCCCGAAGGATACCAGCATTGTTAATGAGGATATCGATGCGGCCAAAGTTCTTAATGGCGGTCTCGATGATAGCATCACCATTCTCCACGCTGTCGTAGTTGGCGACAGCCTTACCGCCAGCGGCACGGATCTCCTCAACCACGACATCTGCGGCCTATATAGAAGTATTGATAAGCAGGTGAAGGAGAGGAGGTACATGGAAAACTGCATACTTTTGATGACTTGCCCTCGCCGGAATGAGAGCCACCGAGGTCGTTGACAACGACGTTGGCACCCCTTGAGGCGAAGAAGAGAGCATATGCCTTGCCGAGACCACCGCCAGCGCCAGTGACGACGACCGTCTGGTTATCGAAGCGTAGTTCAGCCATCTCGATACTTGCGTGTAAAATTAATGCAGTTGAGCTGGCTCAGTCAACAAGATAGAACCAGAACTTGGGGAAAGAAAATGGAAAAGCTGGAGAGAATGGGGAGATGTTTAAAGGGCCCAAGAAGCTCGGCCGGTCAAACCTGGGGGACCTCGGCACATCGAGCAGGTGGACACGGCGGTAAGAAACGAGGCGTGTAATGTTACATGGCAGATGTCTGGAACTTCACATGCCGGCAGTCGGCCTTTTAGCAACACAATCCATGTTTTTCGACCATCGTAGTCGTACAAGTCACATATTCGTACATACCTAGATGTGTTGTGAAAGGGGTAAGTGATCGCTTTCAGAGGCATTCATTTGCAAGGTCATGTTTCCATGGGGCATTCTGAGGCTACTTCGTAGCGCCATGCGATACCATCGACGCCCCAAGTTAACCTTTTACCCCATAAATAATGTAGTCATGTACGACTACAGGGGTACAATGTACACTACGAGTCTGATATGTTTTATGTAATTATAGGAATTTATGAACAGGTAACAATCCGAAGCGTCTGCCAAAGTCGTTCATTACGACCACTAAGGTACTACCGTACTTATGCTCTACCCTCCGCTGGCCTCGATTCGCAGTAGGTCCCTCATCCATGGAAACTACCACCAACTCACCTCCAGACGGGAAGCCTTGATGCTGACTCAGACATGTGACGGCCATGCCCGGTGGTGAATGGGACGGAACTAGACTCGTGACCCGAAAGAATGTCCGAGTGTCTGAGCCTCTGAAAACGTCATGGCCACGTGCATCTGGACGGGATCTTATCGACGTGCAAGAAGGTGTAGGCTTCAAGCGTTCACCCGTCGATGCCCAGACTTCGAATATATCTCTGGACTGGCTGAGTAAATTGTAAAAGGGACTTTGATCCTCAATTCGCTCGGCGGCCGAGATCCTTCACTACTCGCGCGAGAGGGAGAAAGTGGTGCCGACGTGTCGCGTAAGTGACCCCCCGGCGGGGCATTTCAAAAACCCCAGGTTTCCCCGACCGGAGAAGACGCTGCCGAGCATCCCATCCGAGAAAAAGAAGAATACCAGCACCATGATAGAGATCGTGGACGATAAGTCGAAGTACTGCATCCCATTTCTGCTGGAGCGTTTGCGTATCCACACAGCACGGCATCCCTATAATACCCCGCCATTCTTTCTGGGGCTCAATGGCGTGCAAGGCGCCGGCAAGACTGTGTTAGTAAGTTGCTCCGTCTTGGCTCAGAATGAGCGTGCCTCGGAAGTTAGAATAGCTCGGTCACCGTGCTTCCTCGGGTCAAACAAGTTAATGTTGCTATGCTGTGCAGGTCTCAACACTACAAGACCTACTTCGCTCCGAGCCATACTCGCTGTCTGTAATCACATTGTCGCTGGACGACATTTATTTAACCCACGCCGACCAGCTCGCCCTCGCGAGAGCCCATCCAACAAACCCACTGCTGCAGCACCGCGGTCAGCCTTCCACACATGACCTTGATCTCGGTGTCCAAGTTTTCAATTCTCTCGCTTCAGAGCAGCCCACAGCCATCCCGCAATATGACAAATCTGCCTTTTCCGGTCAGGGCGACCGCGTTCCCGACTCGCAATGGACTGTTGTGAATCGTGAAGGTCAAAAGAAAGTTAAGGTGATCATATTCGAAGGGTGGTGTGTCGGATTCCGGGCATGCGATGAGCAGACCCTCCACACCAAATGGGAGAGCGCGGTTCGAGCAAAGGAGAGCGGCAACTATCAAGGAAGGCTGGGACACCTCAAGTACGAGGATATTCAAGCAGTGAATGAGGCATTGAAACGGTACAATGTTCTGACCGAGTATGTGCAAAAAATCTTCCCATGGCCCCGCGAGACTTCTGGACTGACTGAGATGATAGCAAACTCGACGCGCTGATTCACATGTATGCTTTGAAAAGCGACGACCGCATGCTCTTACATCCTGCTAACATCCTGTCCACAGCGATGCCCAAGACCCCAGATTCGTCTATGAATGGCGACAGGAGCAAGAGCGTACCTTGCGCGCCGCAACAGGTAACGGGATGTCTGAGGATCAGGTCAAGGACTTTGTTGACGGTTGTAAGTCTTCCTCGGCCCTTTTTATCCTTCTTGTGCCAGGCCTCACATCACTTTAGACTATCCCTCCTACGAAATTTTCACGGAATCGCTCCGTGAGGGCGTTTTCAGGCCCCAAACAGGGGCCGCAAATTCGCTTGATTGGCAGGGAAGACAGCTTCGCCTGGTGGTTAATCGCGACCGACGAGTCGAGGAGATAATTCAGATTTGAGTTGCGCACCGAATGGGTTTTGCCCAGTGAGCCGAGCCCACCACTGCAACAAGGAGAGCAGAGCATTGCGCGCGCGGTATGGATGCGCTTGACAAACACCTGACGAATCAGTATAGAATTGTTTTTCAACACCAATTAAAGCCCCTCAACCAAAGGTCCTGATCAAGTTTCTCTACTTTTGCCAATATATCGCCTGTAGATATGTCAAAGTATACCCTGGTTTAACATTGCAAAACTATCGGCCAGTAATGATAGCCCTGGTAAGTTACCTACCATTTAACAAGTAGATAGGTCGCGCGATACGCTCCACTCCGCTCCCGTCCCGTCGGCCGGGGGATAATGGGCGTGCGCGGGCCAAATGTAAAATATATAGCTGAGCCTGACAATGTATTCGGGCAGGTGCTCGGTGAAATTGGTGAATTTTCCGTTGGACGTTGATCAAAATGTTCCATCATCAGACGAATATGGTTAGTCCAGTTCCTCCGCCTCCGAAGTCACGTTCCAGTAAAAAAGCTGTCCTTGGTCGAAAAGTTCTCATGAGTGTGTATGCATACAACATGCATTTCATGAAATTGCCTACCTATGTCCATCAGGTCAAACCTACAATCAAGACTGGTAAGGTATGTAGGGTACGAGGAGACAAATTTCGGACGCAATATTTTTGGAGGCAGCCCGCCCACCTGTCAATGGTATCACTTCTAGTCTTTTAGAGATTGTACATACCAAGGTCACTGCACGGGCGCCTACTCGGGCCGATGGCCGCAATCCATTGTTGGACAATGATGTAATTTTGAAGGTCAAGACATCTATCAGTTCCCGCTGAGCAGATTGACCTATCTCTTTACCGGACATGACAGGACAGGACACACCAAGGACCGGACAGGGAACGATATCAGACATTACATTGGATTCTTGATGTATATTCTAATTAACGGAGCAAAAAGGCAAAACTCGTTTCATGACTTTTGCTACTGAAACAGAATTGATTTACGAAACCTTATATGCCGTCAGCACACCTGACTGCTCTGTTCAGGACCAGGCACACTGCGTAGCCTTTAAGACTCAAACGATGTTAGTATCGAGCAGGCCCGAGAAGGAGTGCGGAAGACATGGCAGGAGGGCATCTGATGGCCAGAATTTCTGATATCTCCGTGATCATCAGTCAGCCGAGTGCTTCCGCAGCACAAGCATACGGCCTAGGGGATGGCCAATGGTGCATGCAAGCAACACAGACTGCATCAAAGTCCTTGTTCTTGTTGCTGAAAGGCTCGGCGAGGTGTTTGGGTGATAAATGGTAAATCCTACGTTCGTTGAAATGACAGATGACGTGGTTGATCATCCACTATCGTCCAAGAGATTCTGAGGGGACCAGTATTCATTCTCAGGTCCTTGAGCATCGAGCCAAACGAGACCATCAGCGAGCAGGTCATCGATGACCGTTTGCGCTCTTGCCTTTTCCCAATTCAGATTTAGCTTCAGCATTGATACGCTCACGTAACCAAGCACTTGAATCACTTCGAGTACGGTAGCTTGATCAGTATTCAGCTCCTTTGGTATCGAACGAATGTATTTCTTGCTGCCGACATGCACGATAGAGAAGCCGGAGCCAAGTGGCTCTAAGGACTTCACTGCGCGAAGAATGTCGTCCCTGCGAAAAGTGTCAGTATGAACTTGATGGTTGCAGTTGCGCTTCCACCCGAGCAAAGCGTACTCTGAGACCTCCAACCCACTACCGATGGCTTTCCCCTTGCGTACGCGCTTTTGGCACTCTTCCACCCCGATCAATCCACCATTCTCATCTCGGGTGTCTCGACACAGCTCCACAACTCGGACTGCAACCTCGAAGTAAAAGTCATTCATGTCGCCGCCCATGATCTGCGTCCAGAAGCTCCCTCCTTCGCCGACTCCACGCCGCCCATTCTTTCCTTTCACATTACTCGCGGCCAGTGGATCAACACCAATGGTATTACACATGCGTGCGAACTCCGCGCGAAATGTCGGATTGGACTTGATGGTGGAGCTGTGCTCAAGTGCAAAGGTGTGGAGCAAGGATTGGAACACGGACAGCTGCGTTTGAAGAGACGCCAGATGGGTGGAGCGCAAGTTGGCGCCATGAGTGGCAAAGGACTGCGAGGCTTGGGTTCTGTTGGCGAAGGTCCCGAGACCAACGCCACGACGAGACATGTCGGGAAGAAGATGAAGTGATAGAAATATTATGCGTGACCTGCGCTATCCTTTAAAAGTTGGTTCAAGATACCCAGCCCGAACACAGGTGCTGAGATGAGTACCAGCTTGCCCAGGCGGGGGCGTGCACGCGGGCGATGACCGAGGTCCAAGTCATCTGACCGTGATCTAGCCCTTATCCGCTTATCGTGTCGATAAGGGTACAGGATCAAAAGGGGCTTAGTGGGTTTTGGATAGTGGCTAGTCTAGAACAGGTTAGTGGACCCATAACCCACACAAGCGAATCTACCCTTCTTGTTCTTCAATCTTTTTCCTTCACGGAACTTTTCTACGACAACCTTCGACAATCGACCTTGCCGGATCTTCAAAATGGCCCCTACTCCTACGTATGATACCCTTTGATTCCAATCTGACTGACGCAGTCCATCCGAGATTGTGAGGTTCCAGTATAGTCGTCCTTTTCTCGCTGGAAATGCTACGGTCATCCTCTGCTGTCGCAAGTGACCGATAGGCACCAGCTCGATCCTTCCTGCGCCCTTTTCCCGCTCGATCAACCACCAAGATATGTTCGACACATTTTGAAGTGGACTCGGTTGAGGAAATTGGGATCGGAGTCTTGAGGTTGAAGATGTCGAGACATCTTCTCTTCCAAAATCATTGTTGTCAGCTCTCGTACGTAGTGCACCTGATGTGGCAAAAGCAGATGGTGCACTGTGGGAACGGAAAGCGTCAACAAATACTTCCTGAACTTTGGTTTAGGGTCTTGTCGGATGAGGAATTGCACGGCAGCATGTGAGAAGAGAAGTCCATCGCGAACGTTGCGCTGAAATATGCCAACAAGTACCCGATGACTTGTCAACTTTGACCCCTGCGCTGTGTCTTCCTCACTGATTAAAATTATTCGTCGAGTTTTTTATCATGTTTCTACGTTTCCAGTTGAGAATGTGGCGCTCAATGCTGCAGTTCTTTACACTCGACGGGTTGTTTCATGTCATACATGATCGCGTGGACGCACTATACTAACCGAACACCAGCTCCGTCCCCTCCCAGGACCAGGTCCTCGTCCCCGAGACCCTCCTCAAGAAGCGCAAGAGCCAAGAGGCTGCCCGCGCTGAGCGTCGCGCCGAGGTTGAGGCCAAGAAGAAGGTAGGCAATATCCCCCTTCCCTCATTTCCCCCTCTATCATGACACACCTTCCAACAATATGATGAAAACACCAACCACGCGACTAGACCACTGGTCAATGTTGTCGCCTGTTAACCATCTTTCGGGGCTGATACTTTGTTGATGTCACCTGGAATTCCGCAATCATCAAACGAACCGTCAAGAATTCCTTGCTAATCTGATTTCTTCGACTCAGGCCAACAAGGAGAAGCGTGGTGTCATCTTCAAGCGCGCCGAGTCCTACGTCAAGGAGTACCGTGACGCAGAGCGCGAGAAGATCCGCCTGGCCCGCGTTGCCCGCCAGGAGGGTAACTTCTACGTTGACGATGAGCCCAAGTTGGTCTTCGTTGTCCGTATCAAGGGGTAAGCTAATTCTGCTCGTTATCCTCCACCTGTCGCTCGACACTGACCTGTCCCATATAGTATCAACAAGATTGCCCCCAAGCCCCGCAAGATCCTGCAGCTCCTTCGTCTGCTCCAGATCAACAGCGGTGTCTTCATCCGCCTGACCAAGGCCACCCAGGAGATGTTGACCATCGTCAACCCCTACATCGCCTACGGTTACCCCAACCTGAAGTCCGTCCGCGAGCTCATGTACAAGCGCGGTTACGGCAAGGTCGACAAGCAGCGTGTTGCTCTTACCGACAACCAGATCATCGAGGAGAACCTCGGCAAGTACGGCATTGTCTGTATGGAGGATTTGATCCACGAGATCTACACCGTTGGCCCCAACTTCAAGCAGGCCAACAACTTCCTGTGGCCCTTCAAGCTCTCCAACCCCACTGGTGGTTTCCGCACTCGCAAGTTCAAGCACTACATCGAGGGTGGTGACCTGGGTAACCGTGAGGAGAACATCAACGCTCTCATCCGCCAGATGAACTAGATTATCTCTCTCATGAGCAGATGTCGAGGTTGAGTCGCAACATGTAAATTGAAGTGCCTCAGCTACCAAAAAATTCCACGATTAGTTTACGGGTTGTTTGTTTTGCACACGGGCTGTGTTTATCATCTTGTCAATTAGCGATACAATGGTCTAGGATTTCCGGTAATTCAATGCTTCAGACAACCCGCAATACTCGTCTTCTTGTAGATCATGGTGCGATGTAAGTCCTGTTCTGTCTGCATCACTCTGACTAGGTCTTCCTGGGTGCCGGAAAAATTGGGATTTCGGACGTCAATCTTGAAGCTCGTGTGAGAGCCTTTCCTCGCCCTATCATTTACAGTAAGGTTTCCCGACGCTTAGTATTTCCATTCGGCTACGGCCGAGTCAGTACTTCCTTCGGCTGAGCCTGTCCGTCCTCGATTAGGCACTGCGTATTCTTCACTCAAGCCCTCCAGATCAATATCGATTTTCCGAATGACCTTGGCTTTCCAAGCCACGCAGCCGACGATAAGCCGTGGTGTTGCTCATCGTCGGGTCTCCTTGGTTCTATGCCCAATTCTCTCTACTACTGGGACATGGATCTCTCTTTTTGTGTATCCTGTCAATACTACACCAGTGAAATTAAAAGCCCCAAAGCGAGATGACGTGGGTTCGCCCTCTCGCTCGTGTTCCCTTGGATCCCTCGAGACCTACGTTCCTCGACTTGCCTTAGCAAGTTCGGGAGCGAGTTTACGCCTTTATCGGCCTGTCGCAAAACTGCCTGCTTCATTTGGAGACCTGGGAAGATGATTAAAAAGATGAGGCCGAGTCTGCGAGCCGTTCTTTCCAGGGTGAATGGCTCTGTGTCTGCCTTGACAGCAGCCAACTTCCGAGGCTATATCGTGACTGCTTCGTATTTGGCAGTTCCGAACGTCGTTGCCCTACTCAGCTGTTTCGCATTGCTAGAGAGGTTTCCCGGGAAGTGAAAGATTAATTCTGTTCTCGCAACCGCTTCCATCTTTCCTTTGTTTTCCCATGGCCACTCGAAACACTCTGTCAAATCGGATTCAAGGACCGAGATACCTGAAACCTCTAAGACTCAGCCTTCATTATGAGCGATTGAGAACTGATAATCCTTGAAGACATGGATGTTGGTGGCTGCTGTATGCACATTGAAGCAGAACTTGAATGCCGATCCACGCCTCAGGGCTTGACTCCAGATGTAGCCAGGAGTTCTCATTGCTGAGTGAAAAGATTCAGGAGGGAACCTTGAAATTTTCTCTCCTTTGGTCCATTTACAAAAAAAAAAAAAAACCCGTGGCGCCGGTAGCCGACTTGATTCGAAGCCTACCGTTTGTGTAAGAAGTGTCCACTTGAATAATGAGCGAGCTGGCAGATGAGTTGGCGAGTCATCTCACAAATAAGGGAGCGTTTGATACACTAGCCCGCAGTTGCCAAGGCGATGAGTTTTCGATACCTTGATCTACCGGAAGAAATTTGCATAATGATTCTCGAACAAAGCGATCTTGTTGCTGCCCGACGCTGCAGGTGCTGGCGCTTTCTCCTGTCCACTTTCTTGGTTACTCGTATGTTCAACCAAAGAGCCACGCAGATCTTCTATTCGCAGAATCACATTAAAATTATGGTCCTGGGATATAGAGACAAGGTTCAAATGTCGTGGGATGAATCGAAATGTCTGCTTCCACGTTTTTCATCAATTGCCTTAGACTCTCGGTGCGCAAGCTCACCTGCTACCTTCCTGCGAAGGTTTTAAAGCCTGAGATCAGAGCCGCTTCCAGCTATAATCCCTTTGGTTGCACACCCAGAGAGGAATGGCAAGGATGGGCGCGGGAGTGGGACTTTGACAAGACATTGCGCGTTTTGGAAGACAATGCTATTCTTAGTCAACTTCAACTGACACTGTGCTGTCACGTTCCTGACAAGAGCCACATCTGGGATGATCTCGAGAGTCCAGGACGGTGGAGCCAATTCTATCTCGCAGTGCACGCAAAACGCTTGCGTGGGATGCAGGAAGATGGGCTGAAGGACTTTTCGATTATGCTGCTGAAGAACGACGGATGGTGCGAATATTCCAGGCCGTCAGAGAATCCTGACAGTGAGGACCGTCTCTGAAGAAACATGTTGAAAGAAGGATATCGTAGCATGACTTGTGGCAGAGAGGCATATGACCGACTTTATGCAGCTGACGGGCTATATAGACAAGGACAGAGATCTTTGGAGAGATTTCTATTAATGAAGCGAAATGCATCGGATTTAAGCCGTTCACCGAGCTGGATCATTTGCGAATTGCTCCGTCGTTCCAGCGCGCAGGCCTGGGCATGGTATACGACGAGAAACACAGTGAATTCATCTCGCTGGGCGATTACTGTGTCTTTGAGCAGCCTTTGTACCGAGTCCCACTTATTTCAATGTATCTCGTTGGATGCAGGCAGAAATCAGTCAAGTCCTCATTGCTTCGTATGGAAATCCATTGGCAGTCTCGCCCTGATTTTTACCGCAGATACCTTAAGTCCATTCTGTCGTAGACTGATGCTCATGCGTCTCGCATTGCGGAAATAGTGTCATTGTGCTAGAATCACACGAGATGCTGTGACTAGATGGGCCAAGCTGTTCCGTACACGATTGGACTAGGAGCTCGTGAATCAAACATAGGGTCGACCTACTGACGCCAAAGTAGTTTGTGTGATTCTGCAAGGATGCACCATCACTCGACACTAGAGCTGGAGAGGTGCTGCCGGGGCTCAATTAATACACACTCCATAGAGGTGACAAGAAACCTTCCATGAAGTAATCATTCAGGGCGTCTCACATCAGACGTGATGTCTCAAACACCTCCGAACTGCTTGAAGTCGATGCTGTTTCTCGCACGACCCGACGAAATTTAAAGTTTGACTGGCTACCCTTTGTGATTGGCGGACAAAATCTCCATGCGGGGCTGCTCTCGTATTCGAGACAGCTGCCTGATGCGGTCAAAGTGGATTCACTCTTGACGCCTGCAGGCTGCAAGTACTTGTGCTCTCGATCTCGCTCGTTTCTTGGTTTATTTTTCTCGTGAGCCTCCTCATTTCGTATTTGAGTGTCAAACCCTGACACGAGTACGACAGATCTGCAGCCACAGCTTTACCACTTGAAGGAAGATTGACTGCGGACAGGAGTCGTGGATTTTCGTGATGCGCACACGCCGCTCCCATCAGAAGTCACGGCTCGGCTGCAGCAACTGCAAGAAGAGAAGAGTCAAGGTGAGATGGTCCCCGCTTTCTACGAGTATCAATAACAAAAAAAATTGATGGAGTAGTTTTTTGAAAGCTCACTTGTAATAGTGCGATGAGGGCCGGCCCGCGTGTGTAAATTGCACACAACGCCATGACACCTGTGTTTACGTGACGGCATCGCCGTTTATCTTGACGACAGGTAGATCGAGGAGATCAGAAACTGCTTCAAGAACGCCACCGCAGGTCGCAAACTCCTCAACGAGAAATAACAGCCCACAACCCTCAACTCCCGATCTTACTCATTACGCCCCTTCCGCGAATGCCACCACTGGAGTCGCTCCTCTCAATTTCGATCATCTGGCCCTGGAGCTCCAATGGGTGATGCATACGCATAAGCTATGCGCACGAAACGAGGAGTCGCGGCGGGTGTGGCAGATCTCAGCTCTCCAAGAGGCACTTCACGCGCCGTTCCTAATGCACGGCATCCTGGCCATGTCCGCCTTGCATTTTGTCCACCTGCGGCAAGATGGCCGCCAGGCAGAGTGGCTCGATCTCGCGATCTCGCACAAAAGCGAGGCTTTGGCTCTTTTCCACGAGCAATTGCAGCAGATCGACGAGTCCAACGCCAAGGCGATGATGAGCTTCGCGGGCATCGCAGTGGTCTTCAGCTTTGCAAGCGCCCTGCACTGCTCAAATACCGATGACGGGCCCAGTGTGAACGCTTTGATCGATCTACTGATTCTGACACGTGGAGTCCATACGATCATCACTCATGCGTCGGACTTCCTTCGCAAAAGCAATTTTGCGCCTATCTTTGATATTAGTGACGACGGCACTGTGCTACCGAACGACTTTGGCGAGGCGCTGGCCCGTCTCGACAAGCTGAATGCTCAATATGGTCGCGATTTCCCAGCCCACAAAAAGGACCTGTACGAATCATCGATAAATAGCTTGAGATCTCTAGGTCGCTTCGCGTTCACGGAGCCAGGCTCGCTCACTTTCGTTGGTGGCTGGGCCATTGGATCTTCAAAATACTACTTGGACGAATTGAGGAACCGTGAGCCTCTTGCGCTGGTGATTCTGGCCCATTTCTGCGTACTACTTCACCACGTCCGGCATAATTGGTGTATCGGACCATGGGGGCGGATTGTGCTCGGAGAAATCGTGCAAATACTTCATTCCGACTGGCAGTGTCACATTACATGGCCTATAGTGCAAGTTTTGAGATAAATAAGCTTTGTCAACCTTTTTACCGTATATGTTATCTATGCCGATATGCCACTTTCATCATGACCATGTCATTTTCAATTTGGAATCATCACTCAAAACTGTCGGTTGTCCCTGAAACATTCATGTGCTTTTTCACACATCAGTTGAGCGATCCATCTCAAGTACCGAAGTCGGAGTATACACATGGATCCGAACAGCCTTCTCAGAATACTTCGTACCTCTCCCAATCAAGACATTGATCTGGCTTGGGTGCACATAGATCAGGGCAAGCACAGTGATGAACATGAGAAGGGCATCAAACACATATATAAAGACCTCATGCTTCATCAAATATCCATCGTAACCCTCAAGGTATTCGACCACACGGACGACGGATCGAATCAGGATCAAGATGCTAGCCACGTAGAGAGCCATCATGTGGCGTGTCCAGATGTGCTTCAGTTCGATCGATCGGCCTGTTGGCGCTTTGTTCACTCGTGTCTGAAAAATGACTGCACTGATGGCGAACAGGCCGAAAAAGACTATTTGAACGAACAGACCACCGATGATAATGTGCTCGCCAGTAGAGGGGCCATTCGAGCTGCTGACGAGAATCCCGGCACCTGGAGATAGAGCTGTCAATACCTGTCACTCGACGAGAGAGAATCTGGCAAATGCGAAGTAACTTGGAAGTACGAAGAATGAACCGTACCGGAGGCTTGCATCAAGAAAGAAAGAACATCACCGCCGACAAAAATCTTCGTGAGCCAGCCGACTCTGATCAGGGAGATCTTCTCTGCATCAAGCATGTGAATGATGCGTCCGAGAGTCATGTAAATGCTGGCAGCGAGGAAAGCCGGCGCGATCAGGATCAAGGCGCTTTGCATGATATAAGGACCCTTGGTGAAGTCCGGTGCTTCTTTTGAAGACAATATACGTCCAATGTAACCAATTGTTTCCACTGTAAGCCAAAGACATTAGTTCCATGAACTACCGGAACGAGGATTTCAGATTTCAACTTACACACGGCGCCGACACAGAAAGGAATCATAAACCATGTCCTTGTTCGAACAAGTTGATAGAGGTGTAGAAGACTAGAGGAGGCGAATAGCAGGGTGAAGATGACTGCCGCTGCCATTGAGGGCGTGAAGTAATAGAAGACGAACTCCATTGCAGCGTAAACCTGAGTCGGCACTGAATATGCGAGAGGAGATTGTAATCAAAATAGGACTGGGGCCGAGTGATTCACAAAAACCCTTGATCTAGTTTCCTAGGAGTGAATCATCAATCTGACAGGGGACAATCGAGGTTCTTATAACTCGCCCATTCCGCCTTGCGTGGAAAATCCTTCAAGTTTATCAACGCTAAAAGGGAAAACAGAAGCCTTGGAATTATCCATTTGCGGAAGGTCGCCTCATACTCTTGGACAAGGCTGTGTCTTGCCAAACGGTTGCCTATGTACCTGCATGTTGAGTTTAAAAAAAGACATTCTACCTCGTACTCTTGTTTATTTCCTATTCGGGAACATCCAAAGTGGATCTTCATCTCGACTTTTTGACGGGGCGAGTGCTCAAGGTGGAGGCTCTTTCTGCCCCGTTCCCAATCAAACTTTGTCGTTGCCGCCATCATCGTATTCGTGCTCGATTTCCAAGATGAGAAAGACTTGCACAAGACAAGACGGTGTCATCTCACGGATTTCAGGAGCCAAGACACATTATTTCATGGATTCCATCCGCAGGTCTTTCTTAGCACAAGAAATGCGAGGTATTTCCCGAGCGCTCAAAATCAGAAGGCCATTCTTGCTAAGATCCATGCCACTCAGTTCACGTTTCAGAATGCCACTGGACGAGGATTACCATGGCCCAATGCAAATCTATGGAGCGGCTCCCTCTTCAGATCGGCAGGGCAACCAGCTAGCTTCCATGACAGGAATAGATCAAGTCAAGCTCGACTCTCGAGGCTCCACTGCCCACGAGAAATGAAAATGACCATTCCGCGACTCTATAAGACCGTGTCTGCGGCGACAGACTGTCCGACTTTGCAACCCATCCATTCTTTTCATCCCTTATAATGACCTACAAGCTATACAACTACGACCCGTCAGAGGCCTCGGCCATTCCTTTCTGTGCCGTTTTTGGGCTTGCAACTCTCATTCATTTGGTCCAATTGATTCGGGCTCGAAGTTGGTTCATGATTTCATTTACCATCGGGGTTACATGTAAGTCTCTGAAGCCTCGTACATGTCGTTTCACCCTTGCAAACCATGCGGTCTTTTGGCGAAACTGACCATCGATCGCACGAATCTACCGTAGTCGAAGCTATCGGTTACCTATGCAGATACATCAACTCGACCGAAACACCTGACTGGCAGTTGAAGCCCTACATCGGCCAGAGTCTCTTCCTCCTACTCGCTCCGGCCCTTTTTGCGGCCTCTATCTATATGATTCTCGGTCGACTGATTGTTGCCTTGAATGCTGGCTCGAGCTCCATTATACGACCGTCCTGGTTGACGAAAATATTTGTCATCGGTGATGTTCTGTCGTTCATGATGCAGTCTGGAGGTATGTTAGCAGCATCCCCCTGCAGTAAGGTGTCGGGTGAGATGCGAGATGACTGAAGAACGCGAATCGTCTAGGCGGAGGCTTTCTTGCTAGTGCCAAAACGCCCGATCAAGTCAACATGGGCGAACACATGATCCTCGGCGGTCTGTTTGTTCAATTATTCTTCTTCGGGTTCTTCATCCTCGCCTCGGTCATCTTCCATCGTCGCATGGCCGCCTCGCCGCTTCGTTACATGGGAGACAGCACTATTCCTTGGATTCGCTGCATGAAGGTTCTTTATGCCGTCAGTGGCTTGATTATGGTCCGATCGATTTACCGTGTGGTTGAATATGCCCAGGGAAGTGATGGTGCTCTTCAGAGCAAGGAGGCGTTTCTCTATGTGTTTGATGGTACTTTAATGCTGATATGTTGTCTGGTACTCGTCGTTTTCCATCCGAGCAAGTTGCTGGGGGGACATACTTATCAGAAGGCCGACGAAGTTGAGATGTTGACAGGTGGTCGTGAGGAGAGATTGACTTATCCATGAGTAATGTCTATTGCTTGAGCGCACAAATACCCGGGATCGATTGGTTGCGCAGTTAAGCTGCTATGACTGATATTGTTGTATTCTCTTGTCTACAATTCAGAAACTGCTTTTCTACGATAGAAGCAGGTGCAGCTTCTAGGTCGACACAGTAAGGCTCTTGCCGACCAACATTGTTCCAATACCGCGGTCTATCTCAATATGCCAGAAGAGTCGAATGATTCCATTCTTTCCCCGTTTTCCGTCTGTGGACTTCCTGTAAATAGCGTGTGTTGGCGTGTTTGAGCGTCTTGGAAATCACCAGCATAAGTGTGCAAGTCAGTATCACGTTATTCATTGACGCCAAGCTCCTACTGTATCTTCATTGTACCGCTGATCAATACTTCATGTCCAATGATTCAAACCTAGTGCACTGCCGAGTCATTCAGTGTAAACAACCCTTCTCATAATTGCTCGAGCGATTGGTTCGTTTCTGTATTACACCCCATGTCCATTGTCAATAGAGCAGGAACACAGATTAAATGGAAATTTATGAGCAGCTGATTCTTCTCATATACCCAAGTTCAACTTGAGAGGACTCGGCAAGTACATCGCATGTAGAACGTAAATCAGTAACTAACTACCTAAACTCCAGCCCCAACTTACCCACCTTCCAGGGCTGATGACTGCAGGTGGATCCCAACACCAATTCTATGAGCTCCAAAATCTTCAGACCGACTCGTAGGATGCATGATGTAGACAGATAGTCATTCAAAATTGGCACCCAGACAATAATTCAATATGAACGTCTTACATGAAGTTGCGGCCGCTACCGGCCGCTGAGAAGATACCCTATTCATGGGGGGGCGGGCTTATTCCGCGCCTCAATCTCACCATGCGTTTGGCCCTTGCCCAGCGACTGCTGGGATAGGTTACTCTTCCAGGATCGAATGTGTACCCTGCAAAACGAACCTGTTTAGGCCTATAATGGCTTTTGAAATCAAAGTGAGGATACCATTCAAGATGAGTGATATTCTGGAGAGAAAGCGGCTGGAGGTCTATCTAATATTACTCATCCCTCACAGACTGCGTTAACGGAGCTTCGTAGTAGTAGGGAGACGCCTCGTGGGAATTTAACCTTCCAGGATCCCAAGCTCGTTGAAGCATACATGTAGGGCACTGTGATTCAACCCCATTACAGGGAAACATGTAGATGTGACGATGCGTGATCAAGTAGGCGTATTCAACAGGATCCGGAACCGTCGTCAAGTCTAGCAAGAAAATCTAGATACAGGTACACCGCAAGATGCGCAACACATCATAATCAATGTCAATGTGGACGTTAACTAATTGAGGAGCGCCCAAGCCAAAGGGCAATAGAAAGACTTCATTATGAAAATGCAAAGATGGACAGTGGTGTCTATATCATTAGAAGCTCGACAGCCCGAGAACGCCAGATCGATACCCAGTTCGCAACCGAACAATATGTCTATAAATGGGGAAAGGGGAGATGGTCAGAAATCCAAGAGACATAGCATCGTAGCCCTCTTGGCTGAGAGATTAAAACAGAAGGAAAACCGGCGGTGAAAATGTTCATGTACTTTATCAGCTGCAGCCGACCAAAATCAAATCTTCTGCTCGAGTCGCTCCATCAAAGTCGCTCTCATCCGAACATTGACAACACCTCCAATCCCGTAAGCGGGCACGATTTTGCCCATGCGAGCGAAGCTGCTGGAAATATAGTCTCGGCGGATGCGCCCCAGACGATCAGTCCAGGGCAGACCACCTAGCGGCTGCCGATTGTACAAATCCAGTCCAAGCAGATGCATCGGCGTGCTGAAGAACTGCATCAGAGCCGGACACGCGAATTGGGCCGTCGCAGCCTTCATGCTCGGCGTTGCGGCAATAAAGTCCGGTATTGAGGGTGCGATCAATGTGGGAACGTTGAAGGAGGCGAAAATGGTCACGCTATCACGGAGACAGAATAAGGAATATGAGACTTTAGGGATGGTGGGCGCTGCAGGGGATGCAGAGGGCATGGGATGGCAAACGGCTGGACGTGGAGTTGTGGTCGAGCCAGATTTTTGTGAAGGGGTCGTTGAAGGGGGTGGTGAGGCGCCGAAGATCTTTGCGAATCGCGCATCTTTGTACACGCAGATGGCCATATTGACTGCTGTCGTGGAGAGGAATTTCGTTGGACCCGCCGTCACTGTCGAGTATGACTGGTTGCGCAGAGTGGAAGACACGGTGTCGATTGCGTTTGCAGTCAAGTATGTCGACGTGTACAGGGTATAAATGAGGAGGAAAGGCGTGCCGAGGAAGAAGCCAGCTGGTTTGGTGACCATGGATTTGAGGCACTTCGTGATGGTTTCGCGAATGGGGAAGCCTTTGGAAGCCTTTTCGATAATAGCTCTTTGAAAGGATTAAATGTTGTCAGCATGATCGTTCATGACGAGTCCATCACGAGATGAATTGACTTCCTTCGTTCGTAGCTGGACTCACCGGTCAATTATTGTAATCAACGGACATGTCAACGCGCCAGCGGAGGCCGCACTGACGACGTCGATGCCGAGTCGCATCCCCAAATTTGAGGTATTCCATGTTGAGAGTGGGACGGGAGATTGGAGCGCCTGGGTGGAAGCTCCAGAAAGCTTTGGCAGGTGTTCTGAGCCTGGTATTATAGGCGATGATGTATCTTGCGCGACAGCGCTGCGAGTCATACTCATATGGAGAATGGGACTGCGGAATGATTCCCAAGAACCGAGGTATAGCACATTCAATGGTCAATGTCGCACTGGTCAGTTCACAATGCCAGAATTCTCTCCAGAAATATGTCGACAGTATACAAGCTGCGCTGGTTCAGGACTCTGGATTCACCAAAATAAATGGAAATCAGCAATGTGATCGCTCGAGCTGGACACCGTCAGCATGCAGCTCGGCGGGAAGATAATTGCCCGGGCGGCTGACTCCGATGCCGGCTCCGCTCCGGGACCGAGTGTTTGCTTGGGTTGGATCAATACTCTCGTACAATGCAATCAAGGAGATAAAGAATCAAGGAAGACCCGTTAAACCCGAACAGAAGAACAGAATCAGAACGATGGTAAAATGTGCTCGTAGCATTTTCAGATGATTCCCCGGTACGCCTTTATATACAATCAAATATTTCCAAGCCCCAATCCTGAAGGATATGGGGGAAAAAAACCAAATCCGAAATCCCTCACGACGATTCAACTGACGCCGCGTGAATACCATCCAAAGTGACCTTGACGGCTCCAGCCTCAACAAGCTAATGAGAAGAACGTCGTTAGAAATGACCAGTTTCAAGGCAGGGAGAGGCAAGGCAAGGCGCCGAAAGGGTAGAGGGAACACTTACTGCACGTTGAAGATCTTCAATCAAGTCATCCACATCCTCAATGCCAACACACAGACGGATGAGATCCTCCGGCATCGCGCGTTCCGCCCGCGTCTTCGCGTCAATGCTGGCATGGCTCATACGGCAGGGCATACTGATCAGACTGTTCACACAGCCGAAACTGACACTGATAGCCCAGATCTTGGCGCTCTCAACGATACGCTCACTGACGTTCACATCGCCAGTCTCGAACGAGAGCACGGCTCCGGCGCCCCGCGCCATCGAATTGTGTAGCTCATACTGAGGATGCGACCGAAGACCGGGGTATCGTACCTTGAAGCCATGCGACTCGAGGAACTCGGCAATTTGTTGAGCGTTGCTCTGCTGTTGGTCCATGCGCACCTTCAAAGTCTTTACACCGCGCAGGAGCAGCCACGAATCGAATGGCGACAAACCGCAGCCGGATGCGTTGATAGGGAAGTACAGACGCTCGCCGAGAGCCAGATCATTCACCGCAATCACACCCGCCATCAGATCATGATGGCCAGACAAATATTTGGTGCCACTCTCATACACGATATCGGCCCCCAACTCGAGAGGATTCAGAAGGAGTGGCGACATCATGGTGTTATCTACCGAAACGAGACAGTTCGGGTTCGCTTCGTGCGCAGCGGTGGCAATCTGAGGAATATCGACGATCTTGATAAGCGGGTTGGTAGGCGTTTCCAGCAAGACCATGGCTGTTTTGGAGTTCAAGACTCCCAGGACTTTCTCAGGATTGGTAGTGTCGACGTGATGAACAATGATGCCGCCGTTTGTGGAGAGATACTTCAGCAAACGATGCGAACCACCGTAGAGATCATCGCCAGTCACGACCTCGTCTCCGGGTCGAAGGAGCCGTGTGATGACATCCAACGCCGCCATTCCAGATGATACGACAAGTGCACGCTGCGCAGACATGATCTTGGCCAAGTGTCGCTCGAGATGAGTCCGAGTAGGATTGCCGGATCGAGTGTAGTCATACTCTCCACCGCCACTGCCGGAAGTTTGCTTGAAGGTTGCGCTCTGGAAAATGATTGTCAACAAACACGTGCTCTTTGCCAATGAGATTGCTAGTCCAAACTGCAGAGACGCGATAACCTTACCTGATAGATGGGGACGCTGCTCGCATTGTACTGATCGTTGCCTTCCGTGAAGACCAACTCGGTGGCAATGTTGTAACGGCGACCGGGATGAGGGCTAGAGGGTGCAGGTGAAGGAGGGAGGTCATTGCCATGCAAGTCAACACGAGGCAATGACTTCTTCGCTGCGCTCGCCGACTCTGAAGCTCCATGAGCTGCTCCGGATCCTGACGCCGACATCGCTGCAGGGCGGGGCAGAGACGGATAGACTGAAGATGGGGAAGTAAGGTAGGCGGGTAAGTGTGTACGATTCCTCAAAATTGCTCAATGGGTCCCGAAACTGGCCAGAGAAGCTATTGTCAAAGTTCAATGGGGAGAGAGACGGGAGAAAGTCGCAGGAATGGACAGGAAAGAATAATAATAATGTTAACCTCCCGCCATTCTTTACTCCCCCGGATAACTTAATCCATCTCGCTATGACTCCCCTTGACCGGTCCCATGACTGAGCCAATGACATCCCGATGTGATTCCGTCATCCACGACTTCTGATTAGATAAGGTCCGCTCATGTGACTTGTCCACTGTGATTCGTCTGAGGGTACGGCAAAGGATCCAAGGCCTTTCGAGAAGAGCAGAGATCAGACCGCGAGGCACGCAATTGAGCCCGAGACAACGCTACAGTATATGGCAGGAATGCCCCTCGCCGAAATTAGGATAGCCCAGACAGTTCATGAATCTCAGTAGCGCAGTCTTAGTTGCCCGGGGGTTGCAAGGCTGGCAGACTTGAGTTGTGAAGGGAAAGCTAACTATGTACATCCGTGTCAATCCGAAGCAGGCGTGCATCATGAATTAGTCTATTCAAGGTAAAGATTTTGCAGAAGATATCCCGCTTTCTATGTGGAATACATCGAAATTAAATTAAAACACTCAGCAAAGACAAAAGCCCCATCACTGGGACTTGATCGCCTCCTTCTGATCTGCGGAGTTCTTGTCGGGACTTCGTTGCGGTTCAACAGATCCCTCATGACCGCATGTGATGGAGTCTGTCACAGCCTGCACGGCAGCAGCCCCTAGCCCTTGAGTCTTGTCAGTGAAGTCAACTCCGCTGACAAACTGTTCGCTGAGAAACTCCAACCCTGCAACAAAAGTGCAGAGTGCACTGGCGATACAGAAGTGACTGATGGTCATGCCAATGTCCAACCACGAGCCCTCATCTCGCACCATATAAAAGAAATTGAGGGTCATCACGTCTGAAATGGACATGACGACCATGAAGAGGGCACTGGGCGCAACCTCAAGACGACGATTGAGAATTCCCAGATTGGCACTGATGATGGCAAAAGGTATTAGGATTTGCAAAAGCAACAGCGCTCCCTGGGCAAACGGATCGAAGATAGGAATCAGACGGCGGACACTGTCAAGTGAGAAAGTAGAAATTGAGGCCACATTCCCGGTGCTGAAGAAGCCTGACTGAAGCAAGAAGAAAAAGAATAATGCGACACGAGTGTCAGACAGTGTCAATGCGCGGTAGCTGTACGACTGACCGTCGACTGTGGTGGTGGCTGTAGCAGTATTCGGTACCGAAGGTGAAGTACCTGCGGAGCCGTTGATAGCAAAGTTTAAGGGCCTGGAAGCTGAACCTGAGCTATGCACGTATATCGCGTGCTCGAGACGGACCCATGTGACAAGAGTCATGCAAAAGACAAAGTAAAAGAGACCCTCCCATGAGATCGTCAATATAATGAAAGTTGGCGAGAAAGTCAGGAAGATGACCATGAGCCTATGGAGGTAGTTTTTGTTTGGATAGATTCGGTGGAAGAATGGCAAAGATAGCGACGCAACTGGCGAAACATATCAGCGAAAGTTGATGATGAAGACACAAAGGGGGCCTTACCAAGCACGAACCAGCCTACCACCTGGTTGCCTAAGGGAAGACCTTCACGAGCTTGCAATGCTACTACGCTTGACCGAGTTACGACTAGGGCAAGAAGCACCATACCGACCTGCAAGAAGTGGAAGGTAAGTGGGAGCACTTGATTTGGAGACCCTGAGAAGGGATCCTACCTGCAGCCCCATGATAATGCGGGAGCCAATCGTGGTACGCTTTGAGACTTGTGAGACATTACTGCCATGGTCGAGGATTGAGTCTTCGAACAGAAGATAAAGCACGCCGGTCAAGAACATGATGAGACCGCCGTAGGTGCTGCAGCGAGGTTAGCGAAGAGTAAACCTAGATCGCCATCTTGCCAGTCACTTACATCGTGTCCAAGTTTTCGACCTTCAAAACAGGGAGAAGCGTGAAGATACTCATCAAAGAGCATCCAAGAGCCCACGTCACGGTCAAGAAGGCATGTTCACGGACGAACTTAAGGCCATAGAACAAGGGCCACAACGCCCCCAGACCGAACCCGATAGTGAAAATTTCACGACGGAAATAAGATTGAACCTAGCACAGTGTTAGCAGCGTTCTTGCATTGGGGCGGGGGCGAGTTTCGTGCAATCACATACGAGGGCTTCTAGGACTCCAATGAACGCCAATGCTTGGATACTGAAGACAAGATATCCAGAGAACGAGTGCACATGACCAAGTAGAATCTGACGACCTGCAATCAGCGCCTTGCGTCGGGCGAAGACTTCCTCCCAGAAAAATACAGGGAAGAAAGCGTAAAAGTAGTATCTCCAGGAGGACCCTTGGTAAAAGAAGACCGAGAATAGGGCCGTTAGGACTGCTGAGAAGAATGAGATACTGGCAATAGTACGGTTGGAGTCGGTCGCGCCATGCAAGACATGAAGATCGATAACTGTGGTCATGGCGTATGCGATCCATCCCAAGTATCCAAAGGTGACCACGGTTCGCAAGAAGAGCCAATCGTATGTTTGTAGGTAACGCAGGCCCTCAAGACCAAGCGTCAGAAGCTCCGAAGACAGGGCAATGGAGTCTTCATAGGCTTCGTTCGAGATGAGTGCTTCCAGATTGGCGAATCGTCCCTCGATTGAAGTCTCACCGTCCCCAGAAAGAGGTTCGAAGGGAACGTAACGAAGTACTGCATGTCTCTTTTGCTCTTCCTTGACCCGATACATCTCAAGCACTGCTTTCGTGTTTGCAAGTGCAGCCTGTGCCTTCTCTTGAGGGCTGGCGTCAATGTAACCCAACGGCAATTGGCCGACTGAATTGACAGGATAATCGACGCCTATCAGGTACGCCATCAGAGCTGCCACATCTGCCTGTGCGACGTCGTGGCGTTGGACCTGATTGAGCCCCCAGTCTGACGAGAATCCATCTTCATGCCCCGGAGCAACTCCATTCATGGTGATCTCAGGCTTTGCGACACCTGACCCCCACACGACGAGAGGGGTCCGCGTATTGTCAGGGTGCCCGTCTCCGTGACTGCCCATGTCGTTCATGCCATGGTCTGCTGTGAACACGAACGCCGTCTTTTCGTCGCCGTAAAAGTCATCCATCAGCTTATTGACAGCTTGGATTCCCTTGTCCACAACCTTGATGTTATTGAGATACTCTTTTGAGTAAGGTCTGAAAGCATGACCTGTTGTGTCCAATCCGAGAAGGTGGAGGAAAAAAACAATTTTATCCTCTCGCAACTTTCGATCAAGAGCCGGGTCGCTTTTCGCAGCTTCAAAAAGCTCGTGAACTTTGTCGAAAACCCAAGTATCCAGATGCGTGGCGTCTTGACTGAAGTCCTCCGCTTCCTCCGCGTACATCTCCGCATCAACACGACCGGGTTCTGCGCCCTCCTTGAACATGGGAAGAATATCCGGACTCCCCCAGCTCCATGTATGGCGACTGCGATTGAAAACACTGTCGAAATTCACAGGATTCAGCTTCCAGCCCGTTGTTACTGCGGAAACATCCTCGTATAGGCCTGCAATCAGAGCAACATGACCCGGCCGAGATTCCGTGGGCACCCGAGTGTGGGAGACACCGAATGTTCCATGTGACTGGACTTTTGATCGAATAAATGGTGCCAATCGGATCAGATCTTCGGAGGACTGCGCCTGGGCATCTGGGGACGGGTCGGGGAATGCTTGGAAGGCTTTGTCGGCGCGCAGGCCGTCGGCGACGAAGAGAACAAGTCGTTGAGCGGGTGCACTTTTTCCAGTTGAACGCTCGACACCATAAGAGCGCATACCACTCACAATAGGACTGACGAAATAGATATCGAAAATCGAGTATGTATAGATGAGGTGAAATACCACTGCGAGGGCCAAGAACCCAACGCGGCCGAGACGCGCCATGATTCTGTAGCGTGAATCGCAGTCTTTCCAACTGAAGCCAGGAAAGAACAAACAAGAAACGCAGAGATCCGATACCCCTCTGCAGCGGTAAAGGAGCGAGAAACAGATAATTAAAAGGGGGTCGACATGGCCCTCGACGACATCCAACTATAATCGATCGCAATTACACCACTTCTGGAAACGCATCGGGGAACTTGCGGACGGGGGGCGGTGAGGGCCAATCAAGGGCCTGGAACCAGGCACGGCAGAACGCTGAGCGGGACCCACTTGGCAGCTGCTTTGATTATTTCCATCCACGGGTGGAGTGTTTCAGCGAGGCCGAAGTACCTGGCCACCCAATTTACAATGGCAATGTACCTACGTCCCACTAGCACTAACACTCATACTGTACTATGTCATCTCACTTTTGCGAAGTGTAGTATGGCTGGGGTTCTCAATTCTCGAGTAAGGCCCGTGCTAGATCGGTTTAATGACATTATGGAGAATCACATTCGCTATGCGCAAAGTATGGCTATTTTATACAACATTACCGAGTGCGCAATGTGCGCAAACTGATGACCTTGGACTGGACACAAAGTTCAGATAGTACAGTAAATACACTAACCACACATCAGACTACTAGGTAAGGGGGCGGCATCCGAACTAGATCCAGATTCTTTGAAGTTGGGAAATGTCTTCAATGTACACGTCAAACACGAATTCTTCATGGGTATATAGAAGCACGGCGCAGATTAGGAAGTACTGGTTCGGCGTTTGGTGAGAGCATCAATCACGCGAGTATAGAACTTGGAGGCCTGCTCTCGCTTAAAGGTGATATCCACAGTGAGGAAGTCGGGTAAGATGTTGATGAGCTCGCGGTCACGGCTTGCGTCCAGCAAAGGCAGGTACTGGAATTCTGCCTGCTCGTACTCTGAGCTAGCAACCTTGGGAATAGCGAGTTTGAAATGCAGAGCTAGAAAGCGACAAATTAGTTACCGTTCAGTCCGCAAGTTTTGAAGATCAGGGAAACACTGACTGCCATTGACACCGGTCTGGATACAATCGTAGAGATGATCGGCCTCCCGATTTTTCACGTCACGGATGATCAGCCCAGTGAAATCTGTGTACAAGTCCTCCTTCAATTGCGCAAGTTGAGCGACCTGGGCAGCCTCGGCAGTGGCAGCTGCCGTGGCACGGTTGGCGATCCCACCCTTGATGGCGCTTCCCGGGACCTTGCTCGCCTCGAGACTCGCAGCTGTGTTCCGGGCAGCGGCGAGTTTCGTCTGCAATGCCTTGATTTCGGACTGAGATGAGGCGAGTTGAGAGCGTGCTTCGTCTGCCTGCGACTGAAGTTCAGCCATTTCAGCGTCTCGATCTTTGAGTTGTTGTTGTAGATTGCGACTTCGGAGACCGAGAGCCCGCTGTGCCTCCAGCTCCGCCCTGAGGGATGCGACAAGGTCATTCGATGCTAGAATTGATCATGAGTCATCTGGACAATAAACTGTGCATGTGATCAGAGCAACATACCTGCAGTTACGGTCTCGCATTGTTTGCGAAGCTTCTCCATGTTCGAGTTGGCTTCTACGAGCCCGATTTCACGCAGGTTGCGATACCTTGACTCCAATGCATCGTGTTTCTTCGTGATTTCACCGATCTTACGCCTCAATTCCGGATCGCCACTATGCTCACTGAAAGTCCCCAACTTGAGCTTACTCGGGGAAGTATCACGATTTTTTAAGGAATTGAGCCGGGCCCTAGCTTTCTTCACCACTGATGATGGCATATGGGTGTTGGATTGCTGGTCGCTCTCCAGCACAGATTCCTCGATCAATCCATCAGCTGGACCGTCGGTCTGTCGTGCACCATCACTGACATGCGTCCTCCCGTTACGGGCGAGTGCGCGGGTGGGTGTGTATTCGAACTCTCCGTCCATCTGCAAAGGCTTTGCGACGCTTGCACTTCGGCCCCTTCCTCTCCCGCGTGTAGCTGCTGTAGCAGTCCTGCTAGCTCTCGTTGTCTTCGCAACTGGCTCTTCTTCGGAGAGTCTTGATTCGTCGACTTTCTCGCCCTCGTAAGCCACTTCTGTAACGATTGGTTTCATCGCAGCTCGTTTCTGCGATGCGACCATTTCGGGGTCGCGACTGGCCGCACGAGGTCGTCCACGGCGACCAGCCGTTTTTTGAGGGACTGAAGGGTCATCGCCTTGGTCTTCTGTGGTCAACTCAGACAAAATTTGACGTTTTGCTGGCGCTGATGGGCCTTTGGCTTGTACATTGTCATCGGAAGAAGTTCGCGGTCGGCCTCTCCGCCGCTTTGCGGGAGGCTCATCTGCGGGCGCTTGTTGAGGGACAGTTTCACGATCAGGAAGCAACATTGGATCCTCGTCGTCAGAGCCGACCAGGCCAGAAAGTTTGGAGACAGCCTTCCTTTTCGGCATTGTACAAGTTCAGCCGAGAACCATTTGTCTGATGCGAACAGGTCCTGACCACGAGACGCGCCGCTCCCGCGAACCACAACAATTCTCCGCCTCCGCCCGGATGGCAGCCATGTGACATGTGACATTCCGAGCCACAGGGTCATTTTGCGCCACACCCTTCGATGCCCGAGCCAGATCTTTGATAATTCAATGAGATTCGGCTTCTACGTTCCTGGACTTGCGGTTTGATTTTGCGTGCTGAAATCGTGACCAGTCCGACTTTATTACCAGGGCGCTTGGTTACAGTCTCAACGTTGAAGGTCGTATCCAGTACCCACCGTCATCACTATGGCATCATCAGGCGGCCGCCGCTGGCAAAGCTTCCTGCAAGAGCTGGTTATGGTCGCTGGAACTGTAAGTGTCTTAACCTCGGAGATTCACTCCGATATCATGAATTTTGACTTATTGGTGCTCATAACAGTCGGCATCGGCCTATTTCCTTATCCGCTACCTTCTCTCCCGCCTCGAATTCGACCCAGAGAGCCAGAAAAAGGAGGAGCAAAGGCAAAAGTCTGCCGCAATTCTCCGCCGTCTTGATGGCGGAGATCAGTCTGACGATGAGACAAGTCGTGGTGGAAGCTCCAAAAAGAGTCGTCGCCAGCGCAGGGGTGAGCTGAGTCTGAACCAATATGAACAAGCAGTTGCTATGGACGTGGTTGCGCCAGAGGACATCAATGTGTCCTTCGAAGACATCGGCGGTCTTGATCACATCATTGAAGAACTGAAGGAGTCTGTGATATATCCTTTGACAATGCCTCATCTCTATTCCTCGACCTCCTCACTCCTGACAGCACCCTCCGGTGTCCTTCTATATGGTCCGCCTGGATGTGGCAAGACCATGCTCGCGAAGGCACTGGCCTCGGAGAGCGGAGCTTGTTTTATCAACTTGCACATCTCCACGTTAACTGAGAAGTGGTACGGAGATTCAAATAAGTTGGTGAACGCGGTATTCTCACTAGCTCGCAAGCTCCAGCCAGCCATCGTCTTCATCGATGAGATTGACGCTGTCCTGGGAACACGGAGAAGTGGTGAACACGAGGCCAGCGGTATGGTGAAAGCCGAATTTATGACCCATTGGGATGGCCTCACCTCCGCCAATTCGACAGGCGAGCCGCAACGTATTGTCGTGCTAGGAGCCACAAACCGCATGCAGGACATTGACGAGGCGATTCTTCGTCGTATGCCAAAGAAGTTCCCGGTTACACTCCCGCCTGCACAGCAGCGTCTTCGCATCCTCAGCCTCATTCTGAAGAATACCAAGATTGACAGAGACAATTTTGATCTCCACTTCTTAGTGAAGTCTATGGCTGGTATGTCCGGAAGTGACATCAAGGAAGCTTGTCGCGATGCTGCCATGGGGCCGGTGCGAGAGCTCATAAGACAGAAAAAGGCCGAGGGCACGCAAATAACAGCCGTTGATCCGAGTGAAGTTCGTGGCTTGCGAACCGAGGATTTCTTTGCTCGCGCTGGCGGTGTCGGTGTGATTCCACAGGCATCTCAAATACCGACAACTCCGACCGGTAAAGTGATCGAAAGGGAGGACGAAGAGTGGGCCACTGAAGATAAGGCTTCTTCAAATTCTGGAGCTCGTCCTGCTGGGATGGCCGAGCCGCCAGAATAATACACTGCGAATTCTGCCGCTTGGCTTTTCGAGTGATTTCGCGACCTTTGCCCCTCTCACAGCTCCTCCCACAGCTTCTCGTTGTCATCTTTATACCTTTTCGCTCAATTTCTAGAAGCATGTGATGCACCCCCAGATATTCAATGTCGGATCCTTGAGTGAAATCTTGCACCTTCTTCCAATGTATTCACTTTACATCTGTCGCGGAGACTGCGTCTGGCTAGTCGACACTCTTAATGTGAATAATTGCACTCGGTTCGCAGCCTCTCTACAAACCAAGTTGCGCACGTTGTGTCCTTCTAAACGTATATAACTCAATTCGGATCTCAGAGTTGACTTGATTAAAATGAAACACGAGAATTCAAATTTCTTGTTCTTCCTACGATTAGGTATAGTGACAATAGTGCCTGCATCAAAGCTTCAGTGAAGTGACGTACCACTACTTCCTGTGGCGGCAAGGTCACCTGCCGATCTGTCGACTAGTATTTCCTACCAGAATTCCGGCCGCACTCCTTGGCGATAACCAGCTTTTGAGTTCTGTCATCTGTGTAGAAAAGTCGAGCCCCTTGTCCGCTTATAGTCCTTGCATGGCAGACCATTTTGCTAGCGCTAGCTGCCAGATCTCTTCCTCGCAGCTACATTGACTACGGCTGAATTGTTGCCAGCCGCGATACTCTGAAGTGGGTCGCAATCGCTTTCTACGCTCTCCCCGACTCCAACGGTCTGCGATTGTCCCCTTTCGCAGTTTCGAGGGGCTATACCCACCTCAAGATTACTCAATACCTCCAGGCTTGCTGTGCATAGCGCCTATCCATTTCATCTAGCACGGATCTCGGGGGGAACTCTTGTTCATGATCAACCTTATCGTCTCGGCTCAGCGCTGAGGCCACGCATGCGATACGCCCAGTGGATGACGCCTAGGGTCACTGCTACGATCCTAAGACACTACTGATGGCAATCATTTCCTTGGCAACACCCACAACTCCAGCCGGAGATTCTGCTTCGTGTCTTTGGAAGGTTGCTTCCACAAGACCGTACTGACAGGAATGAGTTCTCAAAACAGCTACGTCAACGCTTCCCTGAGCTCCCAACCTCTCAGCGCAGGCACTTCATCCACCTCCACGGTCCGATCACGGCCTCGCCGACTTGTCTCCTTTATTGAAGATGGGGACGTCGAGTCCAGCCTCCATGACGATAATTATTCTCACAATGAGTCCCAGCCGTTCACTTCAGGCTTGTCCACAACACTTTCAGCTAACGTGGGGAGCACACGATCACGAGGCCCAAGTCCCTCGTCGCTTTTGTCCCGTGGCAGCTCCCCGCTGCCGATGAAACATCCCTCTCGCGCAACACAACCGGCCAATAGAAGCTATAATGAAGGATCCTCTCCATCCTTGACCGCGAGTCAGTTCGCAAAGACGTCGTCCTCAAAGGGCGCTTCGGATTTTCTGGACTCTTCATGGTCTTCGCTCCAGAATTTGGCGTCATCGGTGCTGGGTAGTGACACGGGGCGCAGTGTGAGTCAGTCTGGGTCGAAGGGCCATTCGCGCAGGAAGCCATCGCGCTCAGACATATACATTCGAAGCATTCCACGTTCGTCGCCGGCGGCATGGGGTCCTTCAGCACCAGCCCATTCTGGAATTGGGACTGGAACTAAGGAGGAACGCCAGGCTTTAGTGCAAGCCAAAAAGCGAGAAGCGCTTTTGCTTGCAGAATCCGATCCTATCACAAGTGGCGCTATGCGTCACAAACGGCGAGACTCGGGAGATTACTTTGATCAGCCCATTGATCATGTTCATGAGGATGATGCTCTCGCCTACATACACCAAGTGCAAGCAAGTGACAGCATTACCGGAGTCACTATTAAATACGGATGTCAGCCTGCGATTTTCCGCAAGGCAAACGGCTTTTGGCCGAACGACAACATTCAAAGCAGAAAGACGGTTCTGCTCCCAGTTGATGCCTGTAGTGTGAAAGGCAGGCCTATAGCGCCTCCGCAGGTAGATCTCTTGACCCTCGATTCTGAGGATGCAAGTGGAAGCTCCCTCACACCGATCGGCGACACGCCAGTAGTCTCTGTGCTCAATTCAGAAGCACCGGAGTCGTCGGAAACAGATCGAAATCAAGTCTGGAAGCATGAGACTTGGGTCACCATAGAGGGGTTTCAATCACCTGTGCAAATCGGTCGAGTGCCACGGAAAGCCTTGGGGTTTTTCCCCCGCACCCGCCGGAAATCTGTGTCATACACTGACGAGGAGTCTTTGCAAGACGACTTGCTCGGAGATCTAACAGGTACCCAGTCCCTGAAAGCTTCGCGGGCTGTGCCGGTGGATGGCACCCCACCCCAATCGCAGCGTCAAGTAGGGCAGTCGAAACCAGTCCGACCTCAGCACCGTCGCAGGAATAGTAGCGTGCACTTGATTGGCACTGGAGTTGGTACACTTGACAGGAGCTCTACCGCCCCAGGTCCCGCCTTGGATGGCTTGAGCAAGTTTGTCTCTCAGCATATGCCAAACTTGATGCCGCCTCCGATGCCCGAAACCCTTCGAGGGTCGTCATTTGGATCTGAATCTACGACTGTATCGAATGCGTCGACTGGGTTGGAGAACATCGGCGGGGCCATTGGAGGTGCCGTCGAGGGCTGGATTCGGAAGGTTGCAACTCGCACCAAGGCCGGTATCAATGAGCTTCAACAAGTATCGGGGTCCCCGGGTGACCGAACGACGACTGGGCGCAGTCGTGCTCTCTGGGGGCTTGGAGACCTGATAGAGTTGGATGACGCCTCTGAAGATCATTCTCCGTCCATGCCTCGAGGCAACTCCTCTCGACGAGAGGAGCCAGCGTCGAAGTCCACATCATCATCCATTCGATTAATGGGATCCTCTGCCTCTGCGATGAGCAGGTCTCGCGCACCAGGCCTTGAGAGTGACTCGAGCGTATATCGTGGTCGAACCAAGGACACTTGATCTGTGAAGGTTACCAGGTTCTTTTGGCCAGAGTTGCCCTTTCTGTATGGGATTCTATGAATTGCCCACATGAACTGCCCTCTTCTTCTTCTTTCCCCCAGCCCCCTTTTCTTGTGCCATTTAGCCTCCTTATTGGATTGTTCGTGTTTCTCTCCGGGTGACTGGCGTGTCCTGCTCAGTCCAATAGCTCATGCGGTCTTTCCATTTTCTCAATGAGGTATGGCGCTCAGCGTCGGACCCTGTTCGTACATGATGAGGCCGAACCTCGTCCACTGTTTGATATTGGAGGTTCCGCGGGTTGTACAAGGCGAATATAGATTTTTTGAAAAAAACGGAAACACATCGGCTTGGTTGTAGTCTGCGTCACCTGATGTGCTTGCCCTTTGCATTAGCCATGTCCAGCAGATGTGATTAAGCTCTTGCGATTTCGCCGGACCTCTTTGAACTTCAAAGGCTTTAGCCGATAAATCATGTTCTTGTAGCAGCACTCATCCAAGCGCTTTGCAACCCTTGGAAATCCACATAGGCCAGCTGAGCTATGCTAATGCTCAATGAGAGTTGGAACATATTCAAGTCCAGTCTTTCTGATCAAGTTCCATCCATCTTTCAACTTCGGTCTTCACAAGGGACAACTGGAGGGGCCGAGGCACGACAAGAGCCTTTGACGCAGTCTAGCCAAACCATGCAACTTCTCCCACTCCCTCGCACTCCATCCTACAAATAGCCTTGTTCAACTTGGGATCTTGGCCCTGCACAACAAAGCCAGTTTCCTAAAGAAGCCATGAAGCAGTCTATCACCCCAGTCCCCGCCATTTGAACCCTGAAGTACTACCTGGGCAATGGGCTGTGGGCACTTACCCCACGTTATTTAATCCACCTATAAGCGCACTGGTTCCCCCACACTTTGCATGTTAGTTTCTTAGTTTGAGTCCCGCATTTAGGCTGCTTCAGTTCATCGTCCAGGTTGAATTGGTATTGGATGAATCCCGGTGGACGAGCTTCCCTTGGTCCGTATGTACTCGAGTGTACTTCACTTGACAATTGGTTTGGAGTGGATTGTGACCTTACTGACCTTGTCTGTGTCAGCTTATTGGGGCAATTCTGGGCAGAATTCTTCCGTCGGCATGAGCGTTTCTCTACATGTGAGGTTGCAGGATACTTTCGTGAAGAGATGGATCGTCATGCGGAGCATGGCTCAGCAGGAGAGAGACTTCAGGTGGTGGATTTTCCCTACATATAAGGTCGTGGTATGGTCAACTGGTTAGAAGCCCTTTGATCGTTGTGTATCCACGACATCATTCAGACAGAAGAAGAAGAAGAAGAAGAAGAAGAAGAAGAAGAAGAAGAAGAAGAAGAAGCACGAAGCTACACAGCTCCACTGGACCGTCAATATGCTTCCACGAGCTACATTATGGCTTACTCTGGCGACGACAGTCTATTCCAGCCCGCTCTCCCTACATGGCACAGAATCATCTCCTCATCCACCAACAGCGACCTTGCCACTTACAAACCATAAAGAACCGAAGACGATCTTCGTAGGTCGCACGGTACCCGAGTTCGACCAGGATGTTTTTCTGGGCATCAAGTACGCGGATCAACCCGCTCGCTTCACTCCCTCTCGATTGAAACATTTATATGTCTCGCAGGACAGTGACTCGGGTCTTTGCGATGCCTCGACAGTTGCATCAGATTCTCGACACGGATCATCGGACGTTTACTACAATGCAACGCAATACGGCTATGACTGTCCGGGCTATGGATCCGATACAACCGAGCTGGTTGATCGAGGCCTGATCAAATTGGATGAGAACTGCCTGAATTTGAATGTGATTCGGCCTCGAGACACTAGGGGTGAAGAATTGCCGGTTATGCTATGGATCTTTGGTGGTGGATGGACGCAGGGTGCGACTGCGGACCCTCGGTGAGTCGTGCACAGAAACTGAGGAAGTCATTGGGGGCCATCTGCGAGGGACTCGCTCATAGAAAACCGCCTCTTCTCACAGATACAACATGAGTTATGTTGTGCAGCAAAGCGTGTTGAACGGGAAGCCTGTCCTCGGCGTGTCGATCAATTATCGCTTGTCGGCATTCGGCTTTCTGGATTCGAAAGAAGTCAGGGTAGGTGATTGTTGAGAAATGGCGTCTTGGGTCTCATGAAATGGCACAACAATATCAATGTTGACCTTTGTGACAGGCAGAAGGAAACACCAATCTTGCCCTTCGAGATCAACGGGTTGCCATGCGATGGGTGAAGAAGTATATCAGATCCTTCGGTGGTGACCCGGACCGAATCACGATCTGGGGAGAATCAGCGTGAGTGCAATCACCTCCAGATCCAGTCGTCAGAGTGAAGAAACGAGCACTCAAAATCGTCGTGATTAGTGGCGCATACAGTGTGGGAGCACACCTTGTGACGAACAATGGGAACAACGAGGGTCTCTTCAGAGCTGGTACGATTCCAATGATCTCCAAATGATTGGGCGCCACATACGAGTCATCTCACATTACGGGAATCTAGCAATTATGGAATCGGGAAACGCAGTAGGTCCTCCATACAACGGCACTGAGTGGCATCAGCCTATGTATGATCGGATTGTGCAGAGAACGGGGTGAGTTTGACGCTTGAGCAATCGATCAAAGCGACAACACAATCTGTTGTCTGTGGACTTTTGTTCTTTCCTCTCGGTGGTCCACGCTCAATGGCAATTTCTAGATGTACCAACTCTACAAACACCCTGAAATGTCTTCGAGATCTCCCCTATGAAAAGTTCTACAGCAACGCCTTTGAGGGGCTCGAGTGGTTTGCTACCATTGACGACAACTTCATCACCCAATATCCCCAGATCAGTTATCGCGAGGGCAAGATAGCCAAGGTGCCGATTCTGCTCGGCACAAATACAGACGAAGGGACCAGCTTCGGCACAACGGGTGTAAACACAGATCAAGACTGCATCGCTGAATTGACCTGTATGTTTCAGCTTCACCACTTTCAAGCCTCCCCTTTCCGTCTCCCAGGACGGCTAACCAAAATTCGTCTTCTTATCAGCCTCAAAACGCTGGGTTCTTACTCGCGACGAAGCCACAACTTTACTGTCATACTATCCCAATATTTCTGCCCTGGGCTGTCCCTACGGCTGGGGAAATACGACCTGGCCCGGTAAAGGACTGCAATACAAACGCTACTCGTCCATGGCAGGAGACTTGACCATGATTGCACCGCGCCGGATGTTGGCCGAAGTGATGTCTCGGGTCAACAAGCGGGTGTATTCATATCGCTGGGATGTTTCTGCGCTCAACTCGACGACGAACATTGGGGTACAGCACTTTGCCGAGGTGCGTCCTGCTTTGAGATACAATGGGCACAGAGGAGAGAACCACAAGCTAACAAGATTGGTGTATGGTGATGAAGATCCCCTTTGTCTTTGCGAACCCGGTCCAGAATATCACCGCATTGGGATCTGATCCAGCTCGCTTGTCCTTGGGCCAGATGGCCGCTCGCATGTGGACTTCTTTTGTTGCAGATCTGGATCCAAATGGGCATGGAGGTAATGTTGCTCTTTCCTGTATAACTGGTCATTATCCGTAGACGGTTCGACGGTCTCAAATCCCATGGTGCCTGGATTTCGCTGTTGGTGTGCCATGTTGGATCCCATTTTCGCTGACAACAACTCTATGGAACAGTTCCCCATCTACCTGCTTGGCCTCGATATTCGTCCCACGCCTCCAATTTTGTGTTTCGTTTGCCGCGCAATGAGAGTTATGTGGAAGCCGACACCTATCGCGCATCGGGAATTGAGTACATCAATGGCATTGCTCGATGAGAAGATCAGGATCTCTAGATGGGTAAGCTATCAAGAGCATTGGTGATACATGATCGAGAGTACAGCATAAATAGCTTGTCATCCGCTATCATGATTCTTCAGGTCTCTACCTCTGATTGTTCTTAAAGATACAGTAGGTCTAACCGTCTTCTTATCCATGAAGTATCTTTTGAAAATAAGCGAGATATAAACAGACTCAGCATGTCACTCACAGGGCGGGGGGGGGGGGGAAGCTAAAAATTCAATCGGCCCGAAGCCCCAAGCCACTTGTCAGCGGGGATGACAACAGGCGGAGTCGAGTTAATGAATTCTACCCCAACTGGGCATTTTTGGAGAAGTCCTCATGCGCTTTCGGTCCTTCAACTTTCCACGCCGCTCTTTCTCTATCCCATCACTTCACCACCCTGATCTGATTGATCTTTTTGACTCCTTTCCCACTCCCTCGTGCATCTAGATCACCCATTGTTCGAGTGCCGTATTGTTTGTCCTCTCATCTCCCCAAATGACTACTTCTACTTCTACTTCATCTCCTCCTGCCTCCACCAGCTCCCCCACCTACCTTGCCTATCAACACGATGCCAAACTCCTCCACCTCCAAACGACCATTCAATCCCTCGAACGAGTCTCCGATCTCACAGAAGCCAACCAGGCCCTCTTCAAATCCCCCGGCGAGAATGACTACATCCTCGTGACCAAGGAGACCATCTTCCATCCTCAGGGTGGAGGTCAACCCTCTGACGAAGGCTACATCTTCCCCGCACAATCCACTCCGTCCAAAACTCCAGACCACGACCCATCCACCGCGCTCTTCCAAGTCCTCGCCGCTCGCATGGACGCATCCAACAACGGCCAAGTCCTCCACCTGGTCCGCCCTCTAGCATCGTCCGAGTCCCTCCTCCCCCGGCCCAACACCCCCATTCTCCTCCAAGTCGACTCCGCCAAACGCCTCCTCTATTCGCGCCTGCACACAGCCGGCCACGTCCTGGGCTCCGCCGTCCGCCATCTCCTCGAATCGATCGTCCCGGACTTTGACGAGCTCAAGGCCTCGCATTTCCCCGACAGCGCCTCGTGCGAGTTCCGCGGCAGTATCGGCGGGGAGTGGAAGGGGGCGATTCAGGCCAAGGTGACGGAGTACGTGGGACGGGCGATGCCGGTGGAGATTGAATTCTGGGGCGAGGAGGACTTTGCGAGGGAAGGCGTGTCGCATTTGTTGCCGGATCGGGGGTTGTTGGCGCCGGGGGAGGACAAGTTTCGGGTGGTGAGGATTGTGGGCGCGGAGGTTTATCCGTGTGGAGGGACACATGTGGACTCGACGGATTTGTGCGGGGAGACGGTGGTGAAGAAGATTTCGAGGAGTAAGGGGAATAGTCGGGTGAGTTATACGGTTGTCTAGGTCGAGGCGTGAAGAACCAAAAGAGTCTAGACTTTATAGAGTGGGTGTAGAGCAGGGCAGCTGGCGCTGGGGCGGGACCGGCCTCGACAAGACATGTTGTATATAGATCCGGACAGTGTAGATGTAATGAAGCCTTCTCGGAGAGAAATGCAATAGACACCTGCAGTTTACCTGGTCCGTTGCAGATGTCATCTAGACAAGAGGCGGCTTGCTGGTTGCAGAAGCGGAATACATGTCCATGGGTGTCTAAGAACAAGAAGTTGAAGACTACTCTTTTCTTCAGGGAGATTTCATTGTCTGCCAATGCCAATCCCCAATTCCTGGTTTTGGTCTAAGTATCGATCCACTTTGCGTGAGAGGTTTGGAAAGAGGTAGTAGATGATTTAGATTGTTGTACTTGCAGCTAGCCCAGGGGAAAATAAATCATAAGGGAGTAGAGCTAAGCACCATCATCGCTCGGAGCCCCTAAGATTCAAAGATCAAATCTCGAAATAGATCTAAGCAGACTTGTTGTTGATCTTGACAAGTTCAACGTCGCTGCAGACCAAGAAATTTTTTTTTTGAATTAGCACTCATCCTACACAAAACAAACGGAGCCGGCATAGGGTCATAGATACTCACAAGACCAGACGGGAGTTGGGGGGGATCAGGCCGGGGAAACCGCTGGAAGCAAGTGAAAAACGTTAGTAAATTGGTGCGATCTGGTTCCGAGAGCCCCGAATTTTCCGAGTCTTGAGGATGGTTGTCAAGTGCGTCACGTCACATACTTGGGTCCGTAGCCAAAGTCACTATCCGGGATGATTTCAGTTAGCCGATATTCTCTTTACTGTTCACGCGCATCATGCAGAAGAAGAAGAAGAAGAAGAAGAAGAAGAAGAAGAAGAAGAAGAAGAAGAAGAAGAAGAAGAAGAAGAAGAAGAAGAAGAAGAAGAAGAAGTAGATATCAAGCAAAACGCTCTGCGACAGAAGAAACACTCACGGGGAGATGTCGAGGATGGCACGCTCGCCGAGGCTCATCTGGGGAACACCCTCATCCCAGCCTATTGTCGGGCAAGAGAGTTAGTCGGTGGTTCAGTGTCAATTGGTCTGGAAAAGCACGTCTGAAGTCCATCGATGGCACGATCCGCCATTGTACCCATAGCACAGTGGTACATCATCATACATACCCTTGATCAGACGGCCGACGGCAATAGGGCTGGCCAGAGGGGTACCGCGGTCGCGGGAGCTGTCGAACCTGCAGATCAGAAGCAAAGTATGTCAGAGAAGGTCCTTGTGTACAGCAAGAAGTCGCGACAGTTTGGCCGGACGAGAGCCCGGCCAGCTGGAGAATACTGACTTCTGACCCATGTAGTGGTTAGCCGCAGCGGAGGCATCGTAGAGGCAACCAGTGTAGTGCATCGCAACGTTGTCGCCCTTCTGGGGGAAGTCAACGCCGTTGCCGGGCTTCAGGACAGTCTTTTCAACACCCATTGTGAATGATGTGATTCGATTGGAAGGAATGTAACTTGGAAGAGGTAAACAAAAGGAAGGTCTGGAGGTCTGGAGGTCTGTGGAAAGAGGAAAAGATGGAAGATGGGAAAAAGAAGAAGACTCTCGCAAGTGAGGCTTTGCCCGAAGAGAACGAGGGGCCAATCTTCCGCGGGGTTCCACCCGGCGCTTTGGCGTGTCGCAGTGGGGGGGGGGGGGGGAGGGGATAAACGCTTCCAATGAACTTTGGCCGAAGGTGAAGCTGCGGACTCGAGGCGGTTTAAGGCTTTAAGCTATACTCATGACTGGACTCGACCGTCGGCCATCCATAAGAGGGTCCACGGTCAACTGTTCCTGATCGGTTGCAGTGCATGACTGCATGCTGTAAGATACTGCATGCCACATGTCAGGTAGCCGCCGTGGAGGAGTGTACCAAGGTAGTGTTACCACGACCAACTGCAGTACTTTACGGTTTCCAGTACATACTGGCGGATGACACTGCCGCCTGTTCTGCTTAATTCTCGATCTCTTTCAGACTATGTGGTGTTCACATTTAGTCGGCGGCTAATTCCCATACAACAACGCTCATGTCTGACAGAAGTCACGGAACGATGTGTTTTGGAGTAAACTTTGCCTTTTTCATGTCGCATCAAGTCTCGTAGTTACTATCGAGGTAGGTGCAACTTGACTCTATCTTTTCTCTGGCCGGGACTCAGGAGAGCCCATGGATGACACGACTTGTATGTCTTGGGGACCATCGTCATCGTCGCATATTCAGCGTCACTCCGGTGACTGCTGGTTGACTGGTCACAAAGAATTGTAGATCCCGTCACTGGTAGCTATCGTCTACATGCGACATGGGAGCCATTCATCAGAACTCGTTCCATTGAGATCAAGTGGGAAATTATGACATCTTATGAAGTGACCATTGTCTCACCTCTTGTTTCTAACTCACAAACACTCGATGCCTGACTCGGTAATACAGTACCTTGTAGAGACAGTTTGTAATCTTAGTCCACGCCAAGGGTCCGCAAGCATGTGAAGGTACAGCGCTTCCAGTAAAAGCACTGCCATCTGCTCAGAAACTCACCCTCTCCCGTTGTGGATGTCTGTGCACGCAGTGGCAAATGACGCCACAGCCAACGTACTGTACTCCGGAGCACCAGGTAATGTCCTCCACTGCATCTCTTGCTATAGGCAAGGATCCCCGGATCAGAGCTCAGCGGTTTGGTGGTATATGTGTAAATGATATCATAGCACGACGTACATGCTGCGCTATCAGGTACTGGCGTTGAAGCTTACCAAATGGATGTATATTTGACTGTAACTAGTACTGACTAGTACCGGATTGATCGTTTGAGGTACATGCTCGACCAGGGTTGGCAAGCAACCGTCGGGTATTACCGTGACAAACACAATTATGTATATGTATATCCAGGTCGCATAGAATGTGGAGACGTTAGATGTAGATTCTGTATCAACAGATTTATTGTCAACGCTTATATACTCCGATTCGGGAGTTGCCCCGATTGAACAAACACCTTCATTCATCATCCATCATCCACTAGCAATGAGACCTGCGTTCAACTCGTCTATACCGCGTCATCTCTGGCTAATATCCGTGATTCTCCCTCACGCCTGCCAGAAAGCCATCTGTTTGACCTCTTCCATCGACACCGCAGCAATTCTCGTGCGAGGGAATCGATCGTCTGGTGCAGAGGTCAAGTCTCCTCCCTCTTCGCCCACAAGCGACAAGTAATGCAACTCCTTGACGCCAACCTCGTTCAAAAAGCCCAGCACGAGATGGAAATTCAGACTCACTTGATCTATCCCGTGACTGTCGTCCGAGAGACAGAACCGTCCACCTCGGGCCAGCAATTCCTGGTTCGAAAAAAGGAAATGATCAGCTTCGTCGCACCTTTGACAACCCCAACCAGAGAGGACGATATGGAGCCCTTGCTGACGGGAGGATTGCAATTGACATCAATCGTCAAGATAGCCACTATTCATGGAGTGAGATCCGGTGACGTACCTGACAAATCTCCTTGTTGGGATAAGGCTCGCTCATCCCCTTCCTCAATGCCGCGCCATTCACCTCAACCAACCCCCCCATACTCCACGACAAAATCCAGATTTCTCAAGATCCGACTCCAAACCCCCGGCCAGGCCTTGAAACTCCGCTCGGCATCATCACTCTTCAATCGAATCAGATCCAGATGCCCCACCACCGGCGGCTTCAACGCCCGCAGCATCTCCAGCTGTGCGTCAAAGTAGTCCTCAAACAGACGCTGGTCAGAGCCTCCGGCGATTTCGCGAGCACGGAGGTACATGTCGCGATCATAGTCGATCGGAATCGTGTGCATGTGATGCACGGAGCCGATGAAGAATTCAAAAGGTAAGCGTGAGAGGGAGCGGTTGATGAGGGTTTGCGAAGAAGGTCGAATCCAATCGCATTCGAAGCCGATGACAATGGAGATTTGAGGGGCGTATTTCGTGCGTAGACGAAGGGCTTCGGTGAAATACGCTGCTTCGTTGGCGAGGTGGTGGGCTTCTGTTTCACCGGCTTCGATCTGGATACGAAGGAGAAGGGGAAGATTTTACGTTAGTTCGGAGATATCATTTGGGGAGTTCGTCAGATCGGATCAAAGACGTGAAACCCCAAGTAGTCAAGAAACTAGGTCGTCATATTAGGAGGTGGTGTAGATACCTCTTCGGGGTAAAAGTCAATGGCTTCGCGGGGCATGTGCTCTGTCAGACAAAACACTTGCATCTTCTTTGCGATGGCGGTCTGAATGACGTCCTCGAGCGAGTCTTTGGCATGACCAGGGCAGAATTGGCCCGAGTGGCTGTGATGGGAGAAAGGCATTGTGATACTGAGCCCAGTGCTCCAGGTTCCGAGTTTCTACATTGCAGTTAGCAGCATTCTTGCGGGCCATGGAAGATAGGCGTCACACGGGCTATCGAGAGCTCAATGCAGATAGTGCAGACAGACAATCGATGTTCTACCCTGCGGGGCTCCTTTCCGGAACCGGGAGATCTTACTCTTTGGGAGTGATTCCCCTATGCCTTTCGTGATCTTGACTTGGCTTGGAATGAATTCACTCGGCGCGCTTGAGGCTGGTTAAAGGGAGTGGTGGGAGGTCACAACGGTCGAAGATGTTCGGATAAGCAGAGCTAAGTACCTCATAAGCTACGAGTAGCCCGTTGTCTTCGGTGTGGGTACCCGTCTCCACGATGCACGATGGAGGGGCGGAACTTTAAGTGGTACGGGATCACAAAGCCCTTCATTATTGCTCCACGGCAGATCAGCGGTTCTTGCGAGCTTGATCTTCCCAAAGTAGATGCAAAGAGCTCTCGACGACTACAATAATAGGAGGGGAGGATTTGATCTGACTTGTGTAAAGTCTTCTTGATGCACGAAAGTTGAGATTGCTCTCGGCAATTTATCCCGCGGAACAGTATGGTATGTAGAAGCCACACTGAGTGAATCAAGTCGCGATTAAGACTATCATCGCTTCACTGCACTTGAACCGCCCTGAAACAGCAGAGGTGCCAATCCGACCTCCGGTGAGAGTGAATGGCTCCTCATACCTTCACGATCCTAATGACCCCAAGATCTGGTCTGCCTCACTGTCGCAGATGAAGTGAACATCACACACACACCATGCGCCGAATCAGACGAGCTTGCGCCTCGTGGATACCTGATCGCGCGTGACGATGGCATAGCAGTGCACCAACCTTCGAGGTCCCATGTAGCTGCCGAAGAGCCCTTCTGGACGTGTTCAAATCCAGTGGGTAGTACTTCTTCCCTGCCGCATCATAAGAGTAGGAAAGCAAATGCAGATTGAGTAGTGGAACCGTCCCTCTCATCTGAAGCACTAGCATGGTCATCCGGCAGCCAACACCGTCGCGACCACATAGTCACCGTCATGCGAAATGGACAACTGCCCCAGTCGATCCGGTTGATCCATCCCATCTCCCAAAAACACAATCTCGGGCCTCCGACTCGTGCCGTCGTCCTGCTGTTGCTGTCTTTGCTGGCGTGAAGTACTCCCATCTACGCCCGCATCCACTCTCTCACCCTCGGCTTCATCGCCCAGCTCCGGCACACGAATAACCACGTCTTTCCAGCTCAGCGCCGCAGCTCCCCCCGGCGCGGCTTTGCGCGCGGCTTCTTTGGCGGCAAAGCGACCTGCAAGCCAGCGAGTCATCTCCGGTGTGATCGTTGGTTGTGTGGATGACGCGTGACTCGGCGTTTGCGGCTGGGATATATGTTGAAAACGTTTGCGAAAGTCAATGTGTTCTTGGTCGCTGAGGATACGGCGCGTGAAACGGCCGAGGTAATTGGTTTGTTGGAGGAGGCGCGTTATTCGGGGGATGTGGACGATGTCAGTGCCAATGTTGAGTGCGAGGGGAAAGGGGAGCGGTTTCATGGTGATGTGATGCGTTGTACAATACGAGACGGAAGAGAGAATTGGATTTGACGCAGTCAACGAGTTGATCAGGCTCTGGCCGGGATGTCGATTGGACTTTGGCGTGATACACTATTGCAGGTTGCAGGTGGACGGGCCGCGGGACACGGGACCGACGACCGAAGTCAATGTCAGCCCTTGAACCCTTTCAACACGTGCCGCATTGTTTACAGTTGGGAAAACCCTCCTTCCTTCGTCCTTGTAGGGAGTGAGATTTTTGCAACAATCATCTGAGAATGCTTTGGTACGTACTGTCTACGCTATTCAAGTAAGATGAGATGCTACCAAGTGCGTGCCTACCAGGCTGGACGAGTCCAGATGCACATCACGTAAGTCTATCGCACCGAGGCGCCCACGGCCTCTACTAGCATGTACTCCCGATCGCCACTACGCGAGTCACTACGATCCCCAAGCATCAGAACATGCTGGACGTGTCCATGCAAGGATAGAGCATGTGCAATGCGAAGGCGGACGCCCCAAGTTCGTGATACCGAGAAGCGGAGAGGAGTAGAACGCGTGTTCCTACTATGCAGCGTACATGCCTTGCTATGTACAAACCAGATAGACCGGATTCATTGACTGCACCCAGAGCATTCGAATTGGAGATCGTCCGACCCTGCAAAGTGACGACCAGTCTACCGTGACCGCCGAGATCATGGATATCAAATCGAGGGTAAACCCGCATTGCGAATTGTTAAAAAGATTTGCGCCCCCATTTATCGTGCAAAGCCATGCAAGAATGTCATCGCATAGCGAGGTCAATGGCTATAGCGTCTGCGCTTTCAAGTCGAGAAGGTCTAGTGTTTCTGAGACTTGTCTCCGCCGTCCATTTCCTTGAGGAATTGTCTGTGGGCAAGGAGTTAGCTCTGTATTGTCTATCAAAGAGCCCCGACCGCTTGCAACACCAAGCTTCTGGACAGTCGGACTCTTGCGCAATCTTCGCGTGACCTCGGAGATTCATCCTGTCAATACATACTGGACAAAGTCGCCCTCTTCCTTGGACGCGGCGTTGATGGGAGGACCATCAGCAGTCTTGGGCTTGGAGCCACCACCCATGGCGAGGTAGGAGCCGGCGAACATGGAGCCGAGAACAGCCATGGAGAGCTAAAGAAGGAGTCAAGATGTCAGAGCCAAGCAGCTTTTCCATGGGAGCCTTTAAGCTGTCGCGGGTGTCATGGGCGGAGGAAAAGGGATGGATCGGAGCTTGAGGGGAGCGTCGGTGAGAACATGAGCCTGAAGAACGTGTACTTACGACGTGAGAGCCGACCTTCTTGCCGGCGACCTGGTAGTAGACAACCATTTTGACGGATTGGGGTTGTGAGAATGGAGGGGAGGTCTAGTACAACGATGTGGAAATCGGAATCCTCAGGCTTGGAATCAGAGACGAAGTCGGGCTTTGAGGTCGCCTTGCCTGATGGGGTTAGCTCATCAAGAGGTGGATGAGTCAGCAGACGGCGGCCGGCACAAGTCCAGCACAACAGCAGCCAATAACAAATGTGCTCTGCTGATCAGGTGATGTCCCGAGTGTGTCCGAGCTCATGTGACTTGAAGTCCGAAGAAAAAGAGAACCACAGCTGCCGAACTGCGGATTTGCTCAGCTTGAGCAATCATGCTTTCTGGGCTACACACATACATGTCTGCAAGGTCACCCAGCCACTGCTAGCTGCTATCCTTTGAGTATCATTTGGAAGCCAAAATAAATCAAGAAAATTCGTTACAATGACCAAAGATGACCGAAACTCTTTTCTCATTCTCACACGCAAAGAGTATTTTTTCTAATTCCCAAGGTCCAAGTGAGAGAGCCACACAGCCACCCGAGTATCATCCGAGCATCATACCGGCTGTATGCAACAAACGCCGACCGGGACTGCCGTATGTGGCTGATGTGGTACTGACTACTGAGACAATACTTCACATGATATTATAGTACTTTGGGTGTATAACTATACGTGGGGCTTATCTGTCTGCTTCTTCATCCTCTTGTTCTTCTTCTTCTCCTCCTCCTTCCTCCTCTTCTCTGCCTCAATGATGTCATCGATGGCCTACATGCAACTGTGCTACTAGCCTCGGGTGCCAACTCCGATCCACGTTTCACTGTTCCTCCATACCAGCATTCATTATCTTGGACTTGTCGCTCTTGTCACTTGAGCCATCATCTTGATTCTAAACCCCGCAAGACCGTGCATCATGTTCTGGGGTAGCCAACCGTCCAAAGATCCCAGCAGTTCTTCGCCTGATGCGGACAAGCCCATCCCGAGAGCAAAGCTGCCCGCAGAACTGCAGCAGATTGTCGACCGAGATGATTACTACGATGACCTCTACTCTCCATAGTATGTTCCATGCACTGCTTTGATTATCACAGCGACGTGTTTCGAACCGCATGAGGTGACTCGACACGTGGACCTAGGCCCAGCTCTCTTTACTACTGTGATACTTTCTCCAGTTGTCGAGGGTCTGGCCCGCCATGCTGCTCCACTTCTCGGAGGTTCCACGATGTTGGCTGGCAAATGACCTACTTAGCTCAACAAGTTGACAAGGCCAATATCGCTTGCATCGTGGGCATACTACGCCGCGCATTCCTTTTGACTTTCCCATATCGCATCATTGTTCCCACTCTCTGCTGGGAATCGATCACTGACCATGAGCGACAAATCCGATTCTAGCTCCGTTGATTCAACAGAATCCCCAGTCCGTTACGCCGCCTATGCGCAGCGCATCCGCACTATCCTCCTCTCCGCCCACCGCTATGTCGCCTACACCTCCGACATTGGCGAGTCATTCCGGCCCGTCGCGCATCCCTGGCTGGTTCGGTCCGCCTACGGCATTTCATGGGCCTATCTGATTGGCGACGTCAGCCATGAAGGCTACAAAGCGTATCTGCGCAATCGTCGCGCGCTGACACCCCCGGGGGATGCCCACAAAGATGCCAGTGACATTCCATCCGAGCAAGTCATCCGGGGTATGGCGACGGGAAACATTCGCGGACCCTTGTCGACCGAAGAGGTAGTCTCGCGCGACAAGGATTCCTTTACAGTGCCCTGGTCTGAAACCCAGATCTCTTTGGCGGAGGATTATCGTATGGTCATGGCAAAGCGGGCGATCTTCCAGAGTATCGCCAGTATGGGCTTGCCCGCTTTTACCATCCACAGCGTGGTGCGATATTCCGGGCGCGCCGTGAAGAATGCGAAGAACCCGATGTTCCGCACGTGGTTCCCCATCGGTGTATGTCTCTCCTCGATTCTGTGATTGCCGCTGTCGTGGCCGAAGGAACATAATTTCCCACTGACATCTTTCTGGATCTGCGTTCTAGCTCGGTCTTGCCGTCGTCCCATTCCTCCCATACCTCTTCGACCACCCGGTTGAAGAAGCCGTTGATTGGGCCTTTGGCACCGGTCTTCGCATGTATGGCGGCGAGGATGCAGTCCGTCCTCTTCCCAGCCACGCCCTGCCTTCTCCACCCGCCACCCAAGAACCCGAAAGCGTCTCGACCGCCGCTCAGCTGTCATGGGAACAACACAAGGAGGAACGCGAAAATAACGGGAGCAGCGGTTCCATCTCACGCTGGCTCGGAGGCTGGTCCTCGGGCTCCGGGTCGGAGAAGTCGAAGAAGGACTAGTGGACTGAAACCGGGTGGAAATAGCCTTTTGAGCCGAGGGTTGGCTCTGGCTCCAACTCTTCCTTTTTGGCTGGAGCGGACTCTATGTCCTCCGAGATACTCGATCTTGAAGCCTCAACTCTCGCGCGTGCATCTCTCTGCTTCACTTCCTTTACATGTTGTACAGTGATAATTGCGATATAATCAACTGAGCTCCATAGGCTCAACGTCCGACCTAGTCTAGTTCCAATACTCTCACAACCTACATTCCTGTCTCACGAAGCAGACTAGAACCCCAATCTTCATCCAAGCTTGAAACTGCAAAAAAGTCCCGGTTTGATCCGCTCCAAGTACGAACCTACCTAGCTCATTCTAGACCAACGGAGTCGTCTTACAACTTGACCCTTCCCCTTAACACAAAGAAAAATCTAATCTAGCCTAGCCTAGCCTAGCCTAGCCTATTCGAACCCGATCTACCTAGGTAGGTACCGTAGGGAGATACCTAACCACCCGGCGTATGTCCACACGACCGGAATACCAAGACGAGTATTCGCCCTAGGGCTCATCTCTCGACTCTCGAGACGATTCCTGCATCCAGGACAACGGAGCAACAAAAACAGAATTTTCTTTCCTATCTACATGGATCTGACACACCCACCACAGAACAACAGACAAACTACTCGCAGGACGTCACACAATCACACAATACATCTGAGCAATGACTTGCACATGATCAAGTCCAGGTTCGACATCTGTACATGTAGAAGAAAGAGGGGGAACAAGAACAAGAACAAGAACAAGAACAAGAACAAGGGGGAGGAACGAGGCAGAATAAGGGAAACTTTCAGAAAGGTGGGATGTAATAATTCAAAACATAGTCAGAGAAGGGGAATCTTATGCTGCGGCGCATCGAATGGTTCTCGAGTCCGGCGAGATGGGGAAGATCTCGTGTTAGAGGTCGGCGGGGTTGTTACCAGATGAGCAGCGACAAGATTCTATCATACACTCGCGGTGATCAGGGGAAGAGAGCATGAGGGTGAAATAAGGGGCGGGGGGGGAAGGATAATTGTATCACTCAGCAGGAATTCAATGTCTCATTTGTGTTTTAACAGTGTCAATGACATGACAGATATCAAGACAGCGGCATTGAAGGATGGAGTTTTCAACAATGAAAAGAATATGGAGTACGATGGGAACAAAAGGGGGAATAATCTTCAAAGGAAGAGAAATTGAGAATGAAGAAACAAACAGACATCGAATTGAGAAAAGTTGGGTTGGGTCGAGGGGTATCTCGACGCAACTTCACCCTCAACTCAAATGGCAAATAGATTCAGACAGAGAAGAAAAGATAAGCAGTTCAAAGAATTTGACAGTGAAAAAAAAGGGGCGTGACATATTTATGACATGGAGGTCCTGGTTTCGAGGGATGATAAACATAGAAAGAGAAAAAAAAGTTGTTTTGTGCAGTCTCAACGCTGATCTCCATCATATGCACTCTTGGCCCTAAGCCAGCAGCCAGAATGTCGGGAACCGGAGCTTCAGAGATCTCAAGAGATCGTGTGGCGTGCCGTCAAGGACTGATTCATAGAATCGAATCGTCCGAGTGAAAGAGGAGGCAACAGCGAGGTCCGAGAGAGAAATGAGGGAATGGAGGGATGAAGAGCTAAGCAAAGACTAGGAGCGGGATCGATGAACCTGGTACACGATTTCTCTTCAAGCGATCTAATTCCAGCCCAAAGAGTTTTCAGCCATGACGGGAGCGCTAATCACCTGCCCAGAACGAACAGTGCGTTGACTGCCAGACATACGACCACCGGCGCCAAAGACAGAGCCAGCACCGATGCCCTGGCTCATCTGCTCCACCGTAGAGCTGGAACGCTTGTGCAACTGCTTTCTCTTACGGTATCGGCGCGCAACCCAGAACATACCAGCACCGTAGGCGGCAGCACCGGCAACAACACCAACACCAATACCAACAGAGCTGGCCTTGGCCTTGGACGTGTTGCCGGAGCCGTCAACGTTGCCACCATTTCCGCCGTTGCCCTGGCTGTTGTTGCCATCGCTGCTTCCGGTGCTGCTGGAGTCTGACGAAGAGGCGCCGCTGGAGGCAGGGTAATTGCCAGCAAATTCCAAGGGGACCGAGGGATCGATCATGGACATCAGTGTCGCGACAGAATTATCAGCGTTGCGGTACAGAGCGGAGATGGGGTTACGCTTCAGATCGGCGAGAGCTTGAACGTACTCCCGGGGGAAGTAGAAGATAGCAAGAGTGGCATTGTACCCAGTGGTCTGCCATGAGTAGTAAGGCTCAAGAGCCCACATAGTCGAATTGACGGTGGGCAAAGCGTTCTTCAAGGCCTGAGGGATGTACTCAAAGATCTGCGAGGAGGACAGAGGAGTCGTGGCGACAAAGGTCCAAGGAAGATGCTTGTCGAATCCGAGTTGAAGCAAGACCGAGTCGGAAGGCGCCTCGGTCACACCTTGGGACGGGGTGATGGAACCCGGAAGAGTGGTTGGCTTGGCTTGGGCAGTACTCTGCGTTCCAGTGTTGGGGTCCGCGGAGGTGGTAGTGGTTGGTAGCACAAGAATGGTGGAAGGAATCCAATTCTGAGTGTTGCTGGAGCTTGTCTCCACGGAAGGAGGAGCAACCGTCGTTTGAGGCGGGTATGTCTGGATAGTTGAGGATTCAGATGCGGTCGAGGTAGTGTGAGTAGGCAACTCAGAAGGCGTCGATACCACAGTCGCGGAAGTCGCGCTAGGGGTGGAAGGGGAAGAAGTGGAGCTGGAGCTGATGACGGTCGCATGGGGGGTGGGAACCACGCCCAATGAGGTGGGCAGCGAGGTTGGCAGGGAGGTTCCACTCGAGGCGGTTGCAGAGCTGATCAATGGAATAGACGTTTGAGGCAGACCGGTTGTGGCCGCCGCGGTCGTGCTCGCACCAGGGGTGGGAATCGCGCCAATACCGGTGCCAGTGCTAATGGTGGGGAGAACAGAGGACGCCTCCGTAGCATTAGGAAGGATGGAACCGACAGCACTGGTAGCACCGCCAATGATTGAGCTCAATAGACCCCCGGTGGTGGCTGAAACAACAGAGGAAGAGCCAGTGGGGACGCTCACGGGGATGGTTGATAAAGCTTCAGAAGTGCTGGTCGCGGTCTCAAGCAAGGGAATGGACAGACCGGCGCTGCTGAGGAGGCCACCAGCGGAGGTGGGAATGCCGGTGGGGGTGGGAATACCCGTGGCTGTCTGGAGCTCACCAGTCAAGTTACCTGAGCTGGGCGAGTCTGTCGCAGTGGCGCTAACAACAGTGTTGCTAGAGGATCCAAGCAGACCGGGAATGAGACCGATGAGGGAATCGCTCGTAGTCGTGGGAACCGCCGAGGCGGTCGTTGGCGTACTCATAGCCTCATTAGTGATTGTGGCGGTTGGAGACTTGGATTCAGGTGCCGACAGGTTGGCGCTGTTGCTGCTAGAAGATCCAAGAAGACCTGGAATGATCCCGACTAGGGGATCGGTCGAGGTTGTCGGAGCTGCCGAGGCGCTCGTTGTCGTGGTCATAGCCTCGTTAGTGATGGTCGCGTTCGGGGCCTTGGACTCTGGCACAGACACGCTGGTGCTGCTGCTGGAAGATCCAAGGAGACCTGGAATGAGCCCGATGACGGGATCGCTTGTGGTCGTTGGGGCAATCGAGCTGCTGACCACAGTACGGGAGGCCTCGACTTCAGGAGCGGAAGTGCTCGCAGCGCTCGCGGAGGTTGTAGTGCTTCCACCCAAAAGGTTCGAAATAACACCACCCAGAAGAGGCGCGGCGGTGGTGGTCGTGGTGGTGGTTGGGGCCGACGAACTGCTGGGCATCAATCGAGAAGCTTCGCTAGTGGCGGCACCGCTGGAGGCAACACTTTCAGGGGTGACGGTACTCATGCTTTGAGCGGTGGTACTGCTACCAAAGAGATTGGGGATAAGACCACCCAGAAGACCATCGGTGGTGGTGCTGCTGGGTGCGGCCGTGCTGCTGGTTGCAATCTTGGGAGCATCGCTGCTAGCGACAGAGCTGGACACTTCGGGGACGAAGACGGGAATCATGGAGCTACTGGCGCTGGCGGTGGGGGCAGTAGTGCTGCTGCCGAGCATCTCAGAAATGACTCCCAGAAGAGGCTCCGACGTCGAGGTCGGGAGAGCCGGACTGCTGGTGGAGAGGCTCGGGCCTTTGGACTCGGAAGCAGGCGCAGTGGAGCTGACGATCGAAGGCGCGGTACGGGTGCTTCCGCCAGCGAGACTGGAGATGACGCCAAGCAAAGGGTCGGCAGTAGTGACCGGGGCAGCTGAACTGGTTAAAGGAGCCGAGATGACCGAGGCAGCTGAGGTGGTATGCACCGCCTCGGGCGCTTTGCTGCTGACCACAACGATGGGAGGCTGCGATTCGGAGGCAGCAGTGCTGGCGGAAGTGCTAGGGCTGCTGCTGCTTGTCGCGACGTTGTTGGGAGCTCCAACCTCAGGAAGGCTGGACACGACAGACCCCACAGCGGCGATGACTGGGTTCGTCGAAGATGTCGAGGACGTCGAGGATGCCGACGGAAGGACTGAATTGGGCAGCACCGGGATGCTCTCGCTGTGGGGAACCGAGCTAGTCGTGTCTGTGGCGATCACAACGGAGGTCAGAATTGGATCTGAGTGGACGGGGGGGATGGTGGATGTAATCGCTGTCGGCTGTCCAGCAGTCAAGAACTCCGTCGTGGTGGTGAGGGTGTGCAGATTGCCATTGGCATCGGAAGAAACAATAACAATGATCTTCTTTGCAGGATCGGTAGGAGCTGGCGCCAGAGGAATGCTGGTGGTGGTGGGCTGGCCGTAGGTTCCATCCTGGATACTGTCCCAGATAGAACTCCAGATATTGCCGGGGCTTCGACCCTGCAAATGGTTATTTCTCACGAAGCGCTTCACATCACGGGCCATGTAGCGGGGGCGTTCAACATGTTCGGCAGCGGCCAATTCGAACCCTCCCACGGCGACGGCCGTGAGCAGAGAGAGCGCGTTGACGCGCATGTTGTTCAACGATGTCCTACTCCAATCAGATAAATAATTGAGCGGGGACAAGAATGGCGGGTACAGAACGAGTGCGGACTATACTCGTCTGTCGGACCCTCTTGGATCAGGAAAGAGTGTAGATGACAATGCGCAGCAAATCTCGTTCACGAAGTGGCATACAATATGTGAGCACCGCTGATGAAGAGAGATTCCGACGGTTCGTCGATAAATTAGTACGAGAGATCTGAGAACCAGTCACAAAAACAAACTCGTCTTTTTCCCTGATAGGAATGGAGTGGAGGCTTCGTTTCTTCTGTTTTTGTTTTGAAAGTTCGTGGACGATGTAGAGCGCAAGGATGGACGGCGTCTAGGCAGACCAACGAAGGTGAGACAGAAACGAAGGCGTTGTCAAGCACGATGGATAGGATTGAAAATGAGTGGATTTAGGGGGGGGGGGAGGTTTCGATGATGAATCCGAAACGGGCCCGAAGATAGTTGCAAGAACGAGTGACTGTGAGCTTGATGAAGCTGTAAGGGAGCGAGTGACGGCCTACTGGTCGAGGCGAAACAGACAACAATGACCGGGCAACGGCGAGACAGCGATCACGAAAACCGGCGAGAGAGGGATCTCGAGATGAGGGCTCGTCTCATCCAGCGCGACCGGGGACGAGAGAAGCAAGGGGATAATGATTGTCGGGACGATTCCCAAGTCCACAAGGGCGCCAGGTCGAGGGGAAGGTTAAGAAGAAAGCATACGCACGCAACAGACAATGTAGAAAAAAGAGTGAATAGAGTCAGTGACAGTGAAGGAGAGGCGTAGAGATTAAAGATGGAGAGCCATAGAAGGTTTAGGGGGCGGGCGTCAGCACTTGGGCAAAAGAGAAATGGAGAATGGAGAAGGGGGGGGGGGGGAGAAGAGTGGAACACGTGTGGGAACGTCGGGATAGAGTGTATCGGCCGTCTCAAAGGTACATCACACGCGGGAACAGCCCAACAGGTACCTCCAGAGTTCCAACTCCGACGTACCTGAGGTACCACTGTAGCTGCGTTCCAGTAGTAGTAGTAAGGTACTAGTATTCCCCCACTGGCGACTTTGGCAATCGCACCGCCCGCGCGAACACACTCCGCGCCGTGCGAGCTCACGGATTCCAGACTCCCGACCCAAACGAGGATGGTAATCTGACGGTAAATGAAGTTGGTAAAGTACGCGGATTCGCCAACTGGCCAGGGTCTTAGCCTTCCAAAGAGGATTCCGAGGTGAGGTTAACGAGATGTACGACAGGACAGGCACGATGAGTTACACTAGCAGATCCAAACTACCCCCGAATAGGCAAAAGACAGACAAAAGTGCCCGTGGACGTCCTCCCGTCCGCTTTGAAGGCCAGTCCATAAGTCGACCCAATTCGGATCCTTTTTGGGTGGAGTCCCCACTTGTAAGTACGTCTACGGCCGCTGTGGCGCCCTGGCCGCTCTGTGACTCGCTCAAATGCGACCAGCCAGTCTGTCAGCCCGCCAGGGGTAAATGAGGCCAAATTTGCTCATCGGGGGATACCACAGCCGTCTTAACGGCCACGCACTCTACCTGCAGGACTGCAGTCCTGCACTACGGTACTACGAGACCAGATCCAGGTAACGTTCTTCCCTAGTCCTACTGCACTGGAGGAGGGCATCATGACTTTTCTCGAGTACCGTTCCGACTGATCTCGAAGAGTCCGGTGATACGTCAACTCTGAGCTACACGGCCACGAATTGAGCTCTATCTGAGACGGCCATGGGTGAAAAAGAGGGTTGGATGGATCAATGATATTGCTTGCGTTCCAAGTCCCGAAGCTTTCAAATAGCTGAGCGTCACTTATTGTACAGTGTACCCTAGTACAGTCGTAAGACTGAGATGTGGGGAGTATTGAGCAGATGTACAGTCACGGCAGTGAGCCTGCGACGGCCAGCCTTGCGGCCGAGTCCCTTCGATCCGATCCCATGACTGGCACCTGATGGACGAGCGCATGCCTACATAATATCGCATGTATCGAATCCAGCAACACTCCTCGGTCGGCGTGGAATTCCCCAGTAGTGCGTGGCCCCAAGTGTCTGGGCCCATCCATGGAACCCTCCCGGAGACGATCGATACAAAGCCAACGGTGGGGACTTCCCAACTCTGTCGGGTACACACAAGTCACAGGGAAAGTCCACCCACCAGAAGGTACCGAGCCGGTTCCACCGGCAGGTAAAAATAATCTCCAGCTGCGCGAGGTCCACCACGCTAAGGCCCGTTTTGTCTACGCGCTCGTCGCGCTCGTTGTGCAACTCGGGCAGCGATCAACAAGCCCGGTCATTGCACGTTGACAGAGAAAGATGGCCGTGCTTGACCACCCAAGTACAAGCTCGGCGGAGTTTGGCACTTTGCACTGCTGCAGATCGAACAACGACCTCCGGCTGCGAAGAGTTTGGCCCCTGGATCCCCTCGGCCCCCAGGATCTCCTGTTTCCAAATCTCTCCCGTTCTGTGCTAGCGCTCCTGCTGCTCCGCCAGCGAATGCGACGGTCATGGCCTGGGCTGACCTGGTGTCGGTCCAGGATCCTGCACTGGCATCTCTCTGCTCCTAAAGTAGTGGATGTGCTGCAGATGGCGTGGGTTGACTCGGGATGAGCAGATTCGCAGTAGGTAACTACCTAACCGAACCTAAGCCTGATACACAACATCGGCGGAGTTGGCGTGAGCGGTTGAGCACTCAACTGTGACAGCCCCACGAGCACGGACAACGGTACCCCTAAGTACTGTACTGTAGATCTCGGGCTCGCAGGTGACTATTGCATCCGCTATTGACTTCCACTCGCTCGGCGAGTCCCCCTCGTTCTGAGCAAAGCAACCATGCAACGTGCCTGATCAGCACGACTTTCGCCATCCCGGAGAATCGAGAGTGATAACAATTCAGGGGATTTCCCTGAATGGTAGGCTCAGGTACACCTCGGCCCGTCCTTGTCTTCTATCCTGACCCCCACGAGGAATGAGCGATCGCAAGTCACGTCAAACTCACATACCCGACACATCATACCGCTGGATGTCCCTTACAATCGCAAGCCCACGTGTAAAAGACTAAACACTGTGTCCCGGCACAACTCGGAATGAAGGAGTCCGCCGGCCCCGCGTCTTGGTGACGGCTCTTTCGTGAGGGTCTTGGAGGATTGACGGGTCATCTTTTTGCTACAGGATTATCTACATTCCGATGGTGTTTGAGGTTGATGGAGAATCTTTCTTTGGACGAACCGATGAATTGAGCGATCCAACTCCCATCGTCAAGACCATTGTTGCTCGCACCGCCTTTTCTGAACCCTGGAGATGATAATATGTCTCCAGACTTGCCTCGATGCTTCTCAGTACCTGATCATTGAACATTGAGGTTGGAGTCCCGAGTGTATAGTACAGCCGGGGGTTTCGTGTGCCAAAGGACCAGGTGTAATGTCCTCCCGTCAGTGTCCCTGTGTCCCCACTCCCGAGAGCCGTGACGACCGTGGAGAAATGAAGACCAGCCGTGTTTGAGAAATCCCCGCACGGCCCCGTCGAGAGACGGGGATTGTGAAACTCCCAAGGGGGGAAAGGCACGCTAGGGAGCCGCAGGGCGCCCGCCGGCGATTCCAGTCACGCTTGCCGAGACCTATTTCTGTTGTGTGCGGTGGTTCGATGGGCAAGTTCTTCGGTCAACAGACCGTGGAAGAGAACTGGCAGCGAGGGGTGGTCAAAGAAAGGAGCTGGAGTTCTTTTTGCCAAGGTCGTAGTTCGTCTAGCGCTGCAGCAGACAGAACGATGTATCTAAGTAGTAGTAGGTACTACAGTAGTACTACGAGGAAGGTACTAGCAGTCGTTCGAACCATTAGGGTCTAGTGTCTACGGTCTCATGTCTAGTGTCACTGTCTCCCCTCTACAGTCTAGTTCTACAGTATCAACTTCCACCAACACCCAACCTCTAAGCGGATCTGAAAAGATGCTCTCCACCCGACTCGACTCTGCTGTGCCTGCCGGACAGCATTGCGGACCTCTCATCTCAGCGATTCAAACCATCGGACCTAAAAATTAGACCCGGAACGCTTTGCTCACCTCTTGTCCCTTGCATCCATCCACAAGGCTCAGTTCCGAGCTCGAGCTCGAGCTCGAGAGTCCACGACTCCATCGTAGTATCCAGTGATCCACTATCCACCTCCATCGTGTATCAGCCCCTTCTTTCGTACGGAGTTGGGACCGCCTGCATAGTCCTGTAGACGCCGATGGGGTCCGATGAAAGGGTCTGCCTCAGTGCCGTCCAAGAGGCCCCAAGTTCCTCAGTCTAGTACTCAAGTCCTGGATGACGGGAGTGTGGGAGACTACGCGCAAGGTGACTAAGAGTCAGAGAAAGGTGAACTTGGGACCTTCGGGTGACCGTATGACCGTACTGCCGTCGGTTGTCTGATGCGTTTCCATGGGACCCCGAGTTCGACGCTAGTCCTGTTCCTGGCACACAAGGACCCCCCAACTGGTCCGTCGTTTCGTAAGGTTCAACGCTGGGCGGGTGAAAGAGGCGGTAAAAGTCCCGTGATAAGGTACCAGTTGCCAGTGCCTGGGACAGGCTGGTAGCAGGGGACCTCGGGGTACCTACTACCTACTACCTACTACCTACTACCTACTACCTACTACCTACTACCTACTACCTACTACCTACTACCTACTACAGGTACTACCTACTACCTACTACCTACTACAGGTACTACCTACTACTTTAGGTACCTGCTACCTTTGTACCCACTACCTAGTCCTACTACCTGGGTGACTTGGGTTCCATCAGGGCCACTGCAGACCCGCTTATCGTGCTGAGAAAATCAGATTGTGACGACTCGAAACTCGGGCCCGACCGACCATCCCAGTGCTTCCCGAGTCACTTCTTGATAGAAACATGGAAAGCGCTGATAAAACGATAGACGAGGAATTGAAGACTCGATTTTTCCACCGAGATTTATTTTTTTTTCTTTCTTTCCCACACGTCTCAAGTTGCCGATGACAATTTTTCACCTTCTTCACTCTGCAAGAAGTCATGTCTCCGGTGTAAAACACATTCCGCTTGGACGGACTCGTCACATCCAGTCATGTGACATGGTCTGGCCGCTCTGCACTCGCAGAGGCAAATGAAGGTGGAGCCCACCGACCGAGTCTGACGCAGTCTGGGCTTTGGACTCGCCGGTCCTTGAATGAGATATGCCTGGCCCTGCAGACACCCGCTGCAGGGGAAGCAGGAAAGATGTGCATGACTGCATTCAGCATGATTGTGGAAGCCGTTGATCAGACATGATTATCAAATCACTTGTATCTGAATGGATTGTCTGAAAGGGTCGTCGGGATCAACCCTTGTGGACTTGAGTGGTGAGGGGATGACTGATGCTGGGTCAAACATTCATGACAAAGTTGATCTTTCCTCTTTCCCGCTAGGCATCCTTGAACAACTGGATGTAAACACCAAACAGTCCATTCTGATGCTAATGTACAGTTGTACACTATGCACTGTACTGAAGAGGACTCTGTCAACGGGATCTTATGATTCTCATCTCTTCATCACAAATTCGGTCGTGGGAAGCCAACAGTTCACCCGTCTGCTGCTCTTGCGTACAGTGTGCACTGGAGAGAAGATAAGTTACTGTTAGTAGGCGTCATACTGATCGTGTTCCCCGTCTGTCAGTGGAGTCCGCAGCAGATATCGTCGCCGCAACTCTCGTCATGGCTGGATTCTCTTCCACAAAATGCGCATGATCTGTTCACATCGCGTCGAGATCCCATCTTCGTAGCCCAGAGGATAGCTGCAGGCCTATTCCATCTAAACCTTCGCTATCCGGACGCTTCGAATAACAAGGTTCCCCATTATTCCGGCTGCTGGTTCTGAGTCGAGAACATGAAATCCCTAGGTGAAAGTACATATGTACGATTACGCACAGCCCGAACTTGAATGCTGTCATCTCACTACCAGGCAGACTTGAATGTAGCAATCACGTATATAGATCTTAGTTCAACAATGTGCCGGTGACGCGTCAACTTGATATTTTAATAATCATGACTTGCTTTACAGAATTCTATTGTGTCCCTCACGCTTTACTTTCTACCTCCCCCTAGGTAGGTGTCCGAGTAAAAACTCCTCGTACTCATTACACTTGGCTTAACAGCTTGATACCTCCAGTCTAACCTCCTCGAGAATGGGTGTGGTATCAACATGGATAGAGGTAGAGGTGGGAAGTATTCAAGGTATACCTGCGAATGCTGAAGAAGGATATCGCATCATCACTAAGCGTATCGGGCTTGAAATGGCTCATCCTTGAAAGATAACATAATACCGTGTAGAGTGACTCGTGACCTATTCGGTAAAGCCGTCGTCTATTGCTAGCTACAAGGCAACGTCCTTGATCGAGAAGGAAATTGCAAGCAAACAACCTTTTGAAAATACTCAAACCCAAATCATCATGAAATTTTCCGTGCTTTAAAAAGGAAGCTGCTCAGTATCTTTTGCTCAGTGCAAGGCAGTTTCCATGAGATTCAAACGCTATTCTGTCTATTCTGTACATTCTGTCATACGGTCGTCACTGACCTTTTTCTCTTGATATCAATGGACTGTCTGACTCACCAACGCAGACTTGGACTTATGCCTATGATGGAATATCCTAGGTGGGTGTAGTTCAATATCCTTATCTGGAGGCGGAGGAAGCTGAATCTGTCCAGTTCTAGATAGACCACCAATGTAAGACGGTAATCGGAAAGTGTGCATGTGTCTAGAGACTCGATTTATTGGGAAAAGCCTTCTGATTTGCTCTATATCAAAGGTTCCAAGGTCCATGCGAGAACTTGCTGGTCTACTAGTCGGCTGTTCATAGTTCCAAGTTTCTATCCGATTAGGGCCCCAAACCATTCAGCAAATGAAATCCCGGATCAATTAAATCCTGGACAACAGGCACCCTCTGGAATCTCATGGAATGCTCTTTCTGCCTAGAGAACGATGTTGTTGATCTCGTGTCTTCACTCCGTCGACCGAATCGGTCAAATGGAATGTTTGACTCAATGAGCTCTGACATTGAGCTACACAAACACGATTGGGTTCAGGGATCTCAGGTACATCCCAACTCAATGCCGTGTTGCGCAGTGAGAAACCATGGAACGGCCAAAGTGCACATGTTGACTCCCACCGCGGTTTCCTAATTGGGAGCGGCCCTGGGAAGTCGTCGACGTGAATGTTTGCTCCCTTACAACTGATTGCTTGTCGTTCAGAGAATACTTAAAGCGGCTTGGTGAGGCGTTCTATCCATCGTTCTCTTCCCACTGCGTCTTCCTATCGTTTGGTCCCAAGACACACCCGATATCAGTCTCAGCCTCACTTGCGCATTTCCATTCTGTCCTCTCCAACCGTTTGCCTTTCTCTGCGCCCGCCAACATGGTACTCCTCACCAAAAACAAAGATCGCGCCTACCCTTTCTCGCTGGACTTCAGTTCCCGTGAGGAGGACGAGCCGCGTGAGGTCAACGTGAAGGATATCAAAGCGCAGTTCTTCTTTGAACAGCCTGAAGAGAAGCTGATTCCGACTCGCTTCCTCGAGATGGCTGAAGCGTCAAGTGAGTGGATTTGCGCTCACGTTCTCCACAACTTCATGCATGAAGACAAAGACGTAGACGAAATGAGACTGATGTTTTTGTCTTTTCCAGAGACCATTCGTGAAATACCGTGGATCTTTCGCACGACCCCCAAAACGCCCAGAAGGTTGACTTCTGGAAATGGCCTATCTTCGATCTCAGATGGCGCGAAACATTTCGATCGCTTATCGAGGTTCCGAAATTGAAGCTAGGCGCATGGGAAGGGGGTGTTGAGCAGTGCTTCCTCGCCCTGGCCGAGGGAAACCGCGATGCACAAGCCGATGTGCTCTACCACCTGATGGAGGACATCTGGGTGGGAATGACGCTCAACGATGACCCCTCTCAGGGGATGTGCAGCCTTGAGCTAAAGTAATTCTCTATCTATCTTCCCAGGTGGTGTTGACATACTGACATGGTGCGGTCATTCAGACCTCGCCTCTTTGAATCGACATTCTCCTACCTGACCGGCTATCGGGAGAAGCACCGAGATGGGCCACAAACAGAAGGCATGATGAGCACAAGTTATACCGACGCCAAATCTCCGACTCCGATCGCGCCCTTCTGTATCGTACGTTACACGTATTCCATCTGACCTGGGTGCCCATCACTGGCGATCACGAGACTGACTTGATTCTCACAGACAAATTACGAAGAGCCCATGGACACTGCCCTCTCAGATAGATTCAAAGTTATCCTTGGTCAGCTGTCAAAACATGCAAGGATACTCCCCGTTCCAGGGGACAGGATCCCCGACCAAGAAGTGTTTGTCCTGGGCCAGCATGGCTCAAAGGTTCACCTGATGCGTGCTTTCTTTCCTGGCTGGAAGCTGTCCAGTATATGGTGCGGCCGGGAACTTCGCAGGCCTGCAGCACGCAACGAAACTCCTTCCCCGTCCTCTTCAAGAGGCTCGTCGCCATCAAACAAGTCGTCCCCACCGCAATCCTCCTCATCTCCAGCCGCCTCATCTACCTGGAAACCCGAAGACGAGCCAGCGAAGCCCGAGGCTATTCACCCCTCCAAAGCTCAGCGCGCCGCCAGTAAGTTGAAGCGATTCTACTCAGCAAGCAATATCAGGCGCGTGCTACAACGCTTTGAAGCTACCAAGCGCAAGGTCGACGACAGTGAATTCAACATCCGCTCCTTCAGAGTAGATTGTACTCACGAGTATGACTTGTGGAAGAAGGAGGATTTTACGGCTGCAGTAAGAGTCCTTCTTGCTCTGTACTACTATCTGCAAAGTGGCGACGCACGATGTGGCATTCTCATGGTAAAGAATCGCGAAAAGTTTGACTTTGGACCGGAGTCAAGTTCCCCTGACCGTGACACTGTCGATGAGACCAAGACTGAGAAAAGCCCGCCTGACAAAGACGCAAATGAACCCAATCACAAAGACGCTGCCAGCTGTGACGACAAAGGTTCAAAAGAGCAGCCTGGCGTCAAGACCCCTCCCAGTGGCCTTTCAGAGGAGCTGGAGATGCTGCGGCTCAAGGCAAGCAAAAGCCCTAGTGCTTTCGAGAAGAGACCTGAAGCGAACTCACCCTCACAAGACGACTCTGAGCAGTCCGCCTGCCCTTGGTTCACAACCTTGAAGAGAAGCCCTAGAGGAAGCAAGCGGACCTGAGTTGTTGGAGTGCGCGTTACCCACTACGCAAGAGCCATGGGTTTGTGCAAAATCTGGTCGAATGCGAATTGATGGTCACGCACATGCAGCTTCATGTCAATTCCTTAGGGATCTACAAATTGCTGAGAGATAATTCATAGGATCTGTTGGAAATGGATGGAGAACATGATCTAGTAGTCCCTTTGTTGTCTCAGTGTTTCGTTGCTTTGTTGCTTCAAGATTTCACTGACTGGCTTGGTACAGTGGGACTCTTTGTACATATACTAGATTCAGACAGTTCTTTTAAAATGAAGCCAGTGAATTTGAAATTAAGATATGAAAAAAAAAAAAAAAAAAGAACGTATTGTGCAAGAACCAAAGAAAGACATCAGAGCCGTGGTATACCAGACCAACACCAAGCATGACATAACAAAGCAGTCTTGTGCAAAGGCTCAAACAAAGCTCGCGACGGAAGATCATCATCCCTCATAAACGCACACGCTACCGCTTGTCCCTCCCATTCAAGAATCTTGACTAGCCGTGTATCCTGTATAGTATAGTGTGTCCGCATATGTGCCCAACCGCACAAGAACTCATGACCCGTGACGTCTTTCAGATTCAAACGCGGTGAACCCGTCGGCTCCACGTCCATCCGTGCCACCTGTGCGGAAGTATTCAACCAATACACCCATTGCATAGCATGATGCTGCAGTGATGGTACCAGTGAGGAACATTCTGCGGAGGATTTTGCGAAAGGTAGATTTTGGTATTGATTTTGATTTTGATTCTGAGTGAGAATGTTGCTGTTGTTCTGACGGGGTGGGGGCGCTCATTTGGGCAAAGGAGGCCTGGTTTGATGAAGAATCGGGATCCGGGGGTGAAGAAGGACGTGAAGAATAGGTGGTTTCAGGTTGATTCCTGTTGGGAGGGGGGCTGTTCCGTGGAAGTGGAGGGGCCGATCCGGATGTCGATGGCTAAGTCGACCAGTTAGGGAGGGTGGGGATGAGAGGCCCGGGAATAGACAGTCCTACTGCCTACTCACCTTGATGGTGGAAGACGAGGGGTCGTAATGGTGAACGTAGCGGGACATGTCAAATGCGTCCTCGGGCATTTGGTAGTTTTTCAAGTCGGCCTGGACATCTGCTGGGATGGTAGGGTCTTTGAAACCAGTGGCGGGGCCCTGGACTGGACTTTTCCCTGGACCATTGAATGTTCGCTTGAAGACCAAGATATCACCACCGCCGGTGGCGATTTCGTAGCCATCTTCTTGCATTTTACCAAAATAGCGCACGAAATTCGCGGGATTGTGCAGACGCGACAGGATCTCGTGAGTCGGGGCCTGCTCTGATGTTCCAAAGAAAGTGTCCGCTTCGGTGGTTGTGACTGAGGCGGTGCTGGAATCAAAGGCCAGGATTCGATAGGTAGCCTCGGGGCGAGGGACAGCCGATCTGTGATGCTGCCGGCTTTGGAGAGCTTCGTAGATTGGGTCTTCTTGAAACTTGGCAGCAAGACTCTCATTGCTAGTGGGGGACTCGCAACGAGCCCGAATGTCGCTTGCATTGAGAGGCTGTACTTTCTCGTCCGTGGTGCGATTCCCGCCTACGGAGGTCGCGAAAGATGCGTCGTCAGGAACATTGTCAACCAGATCGTGAGTCCTGGTCACTGTGGCGTCTGACGTCCTTGTAGCTGTTGTATAATGTGTTGCTTCGACTTTGGCTGGTGATGCCTTGAAAAAGGCTTCTAATTCACTTCCAGGGCCACAGTCGACCACTGGGTCGGAAAGTTGAGCTCGAGTCGCCTCTGCGACTAATCTTGCCTCGAGCTGGTTGTCAGGCTGGGCGTTGTATTCTGCATGCGCGGATTGCTGTGACTGGGCGCTTTGAGTCGTGGAAGGAGACACGGGGGTGACGGTTTGCGTTGCAGGTGTCGCACGGGTCATTCTCCCACTGATTGGGTCGTATTCAAGGTTTCCCCGGGACAGAAGTGGCTCGTGAGAGCTGGCGCTGCCACTAGGACTATCACTTTGGAACCGCGTCTTGGAGTTAGTTCCTTCTGTCCTCTTGTTCGCCTCGGCGGGAAGAGAGGGGTCGTAATGGGCAAAGAATGCTTGATTCCCAAAAGGTAGCTCGTACGGATCTCGGGCAATGAGATTGCTGAGCTTGGCCATCCGTCGATTCATTTGCTCGAGCTCTGCATCCCAGTAAGTCTTCTCTCGACCGGCGAGTTCAGAGATCCGGGACTGCTTCCACTTCTTTGTCCATGGGGTTGTCCCATGAGGCTTTCGAGGGGCTGTGGTGGGCCAGCTGGACTCGATTACGGAACGGATTTTGGCTTCGTGGTGGCGGTGGAATGCATCGAAGGATCGTTCCGCACGCTCCATTCTATCGCGAAGACCTTGGCCATTGCTAGCGCATTGCCAGATTCTCCGGGTCGAGCGCGGACTTTGCGTGGTAAGCGGTGATATAATAGTTGTTCTCGTAGCTGGCCGTACCGCAGCAACGGAAGAGCAGGTAATTGAAAAACTCATGATAAGTGAGGCGCGTCGAGATGCCGCGTACAGGACAATGTTTCTTTTCTAGATAGGGTCGCAGTACGTGGAATCACCATGAGGTGTTCAAGAATGTAGAATACAGAAACGGAGCTGCTGTCGACCACGACCTGGTCCCGACGGTGTTCAAGCCAGTCCGAGCTCACGCGAGCTTGAGGTATGGCGTCAGAGTGGAAGTATGGAGATAGCTTGAGAAATGGAATTCAAGAATGTGCCAGTCAATGATCATGGGCTGAGTTTGTGCACGACAATGAGCGTGATGTGAGAGGGATCTTGCGAACGTGTAATATGAAGAGTCGAAGAAAAAGAGGCGGATGCATCCAGCTAAAAAAGGGTGCCCAAGAGTCGCTGATGGTGATGCCCATCGGTACCGCCTGATTCCGCCGGCGGTTCAAGGACCAGAGCACTCCGATGCGGGGATGCGATGCACACTGATGGTCTCGGTATTCAAGGTACATTCGACTACACATTTTTGCATAGTAAGAACATGACTAGGTGCAGTAGTCTCTGGTCACTGAGAGGAGCACAGACTGAGCGACTTACTGACGGACCAGGCGGGTCCGATCGGTGATCCGGGGTGCGATTTCAGCCAATCAACATGGCTGTTCATCTTGCATCCCCGCAATAACCTTGTCACTTGGCAGCTGACATCAGCGAATCAGACGTCATCGAGTCCTCTTTTGGGGTGTGGTGCCTTAGTTAAGTTAACTTAACCTAATGAGGAGTCGACTGAGTAAGCATTCTGCCTACTGCCAGGCAGTCACGAGATTGCGGAAGACAGGGTTGCCTTCGCCCTTCGTACCAGGTGGTAGTATGGTTGACGGTATGTGTCGTCGTATTATTGCCTCAGCGGTGCCCTTACCTTGAAGAATGCGACCTGGTGACGGATCTCAAAGCCATGCGGACTTGCTCGCATGAGACGTACCAAGGTAGTACTGCTGTACCCACACTGCACCGACTACCGGTTCTACTTTCGACCCTCTCATACTACTATATACGAATGATGAAGGTTAATTCTTTTAGCGGTCCGCTCTATGAAACAAGGTGATTGCTCCAAAACCTCAATCCCTCGATACCTTCTTCCCGACAAAGGATTCCGCGATCCTCGGCCATTTCAAGCTCTTCGGCAGCCACACCCACACTCCATTTGAACCTTTGAGCCGCCTCCTGTGCCGTAATAGCCCGACCAAATAATGACCAGTCCCAAGGTACGGATTCGTCGGGCGGCACGCGACGTAATTCCTCCATCCAGTCTTGAAATTGGCGGATAGTCTTCTCGTCACTCCAGTCGTAACGCTGCACCACGAGAAGACCACTTTTGAAGCGCCGCAGTCGGATAGGAAGCTTGAGCTTTTCCCAGAGCTCGGCCGCTCGCTGGAAGTCAGATGGGCTGATGAGTTCAACTCCGTTTCGAGATCGATTGAAGACCGCCCAAAGATCGATCAGACTCATAATGCCCCCTTCACGCTGGAGGATTCCTTTACGATCGTCGGTCAAGTACTCAGCCAGGTCACGGGACAATTCTGAAAGATAAAGACTTTCGGACCCGGAACTCAGCATGTCCTTCGTGGTGACCATGCCCAGAGCGGCGACAGACTCGGAGAGAACTGTAGTGGTTTCTGTTGAAGCTCCGCCGTTGCTGTTCATTCCTGACTCCCGCGCGAGACTCTCCGCTAAAGCAACGATTTGTTTTGCAGAAGCCATCAACGCCTCCAGATCTTCAAACGCGTTACCAATCACTAATTGATTGTTGATACGAGTTTCAAGCCCTCGTTGCTCCAAGCCTGCGATTCCTACCAAGGTACTTCGGGGCGCTGGAGATTGCGGACTCTCCACGGCAGCAGCACCAGGGTTGTTGGGCGATTCAGTACGTTGTGAAGGCGCTGGCACGGGTGGCGCATTCTGTAAAAGCCATTTTCTCTGTACGAGAGCACCTTTGAGTCTATCATGAAAGGTCTTGTCTCCCCCATTGCGGAATGACAGTTTAATGCTGTCAGTCACTTCAGAGTTCACGATGCGAGATTGCGCAAAGAATGGAGCAGGCGAATCTGTGCGGCTTGTACCATGGAGCTGAGGAAAAGCCGCCGAGGCTCCCAAGGAGGCCCCGCAGATCTCACATTCAACAAGCGAAGGATGATTCATAAATGTGCATCGAGGACATGGCACTGGTTTTGCAGCGGTCGACAGGCTAGATACACCATTCTTGTCTGGTACAGAAACCCTCCCCGTTTCAGGGGGTTCGGCAGTTGGCAAGGAAGACTCTCGGTTTGAGGCGGCATTGATCGCTGCTTTGAGCACGGTAGCCAGAGGGGGCTTGATGCCGCAGGCTAAACATGGAGGTAAAGGCGTGTTTCCAGTAGCTGTGGCCGGGTCGAAATTGGACGGCACTGGATTAGAAAAGGAGCAGATTGGGCAAACCCAGGTTGCATTGATCGGTTTTGGCGAGGCAGCTGGTTGATCGCCAGTGAATGCAGGTCGAGGTGAAGACGGCTGAACACTGAGCTGGCCGGCGTGGGCAGTGGTCGAGACAGTGGCGCCAATATTGGTTCGAGTATCGAGCTTTGTCTTCTGAGGCTTTGGATATATTGTGATCTTTGGCGATGATCTAAAGAAGCCCGCCTGTGATGCAATCTCTTTAGCCAAATGAACACGCCCATTGTTAACGGAATCGTACACCCCTCACCTGGTATTCAGCTCGGTCAACCTCCTTCAGATCGATGCCCACGCAATATTTACGCGACTCTTCAGCAGACACATAACACACCCGATGCGATGTCAAGTAGGCGTGCCCATTCTGGTAATCGGGGATTTTGTACTTTCTGCTTGCATCGCCGTCATGTGAATATAAAGTCGATCCGCGGGCTCCATGATAGGCGGGGAGGCATCTTACCCCTCATATAACCCCACCGCATCCTGCACAAAAAGAAGCGTCTCGTCTGGCAGCAGTAGCGGTCGCAATGCAGTAGTCAAATCTAGGGGCTTGAAAAACATCTAGTAAGAAATGTACACGACGAAACCCCCGCTTTGAAGCTGCCCCGATCATCCATCCACTTGGTCGATTGCGTCGCCGATAAGATGATAATCCGGGGCAAGAAGCGGAGAAATAAAAGTCCGAGGGGCCCGCAATGTAAGCGAGTCGGTCGGGCTCACACGGGCGAGTTACCTGAGGTGTCTTGACCGCTCATGACGGTACCGCTTTTTTCCAACAACCCGACCACCAATTCGCTTGATCAACCGTCGTCCTTGTTATCAATATCACAACATTATCATCTTTGACTATCTTATTTGGTCCAGTGAAAAGCATTACTTTGAAACTACGATCTCATTCGTAGCCTACTCTCTCTTCTCCTTATCTGTGGCTCTCGCCGGTCTGCCCTTCCTGCCTCGCATCTCTGTCTCTCTCGCTCTCTCTCGCTTCTCCCCCCTTTTGCTTTGAGAAAGAAAAGCCTCTTTCTTTTTCAGAATTCGTACTTCTAGAAATTCGGCATGAGCTCAAGCGTTCCCCCTTGGCGCGCAACCGCGTCTGCGCCGTCATCGACGCCTGTCGCCTACCAAGCTCCCGGTCAGTGCCCGCGACTTTTAACACTCGTGCCCCTCCTTCCCGCCCTCCCTGCCTCTCTCTTCCAGCCGTACTAACGCTTCAATAGCAACTCCCGCATACATTCCAGTCCAAGCACGTCGTAGCCTCACTTCTAACCAGAGTTCATCAATTTCGTCCGCTGGAACCACTACCACACATCCAACCACGACTCCTGCCGCGGAACCGGCTCGGCCGCGAATCGAATTCTCCCAGGCGGTGCGCAACTACGTGCAACGCTGCTTTGATGCCAAGAACCAGATCCCCAGTGTCAGTCACGCCGAAATTCAAGAGAAGCTGCGACAGGTCATCACAGAGGCCGCTGATCGCAATAAGCTTCACATCATCGACTGGGATCGCACGGCCCTACCCCAGCACATGATTCAAAATGAACGTAATAGAGTCCTGGCCAATCCGGCTGTTTCGACTTGGGCTAAAGCAAGTCCACTCACTTCTCCCGTCGACCCCAATCGGAAGAGAAAGTCGACCGACTTTGGTCAACAGCAACGAGGAGACGATTCGCCACCATGGAAAAAAGCTAACAATCGCAACCGACTCGAAGACCGCACTACTCACCCGTCCACAGATAAAAAGTCACGGATGACACTGGATGATTCTAGTAAGTCAAAAGCTAATTTGGAGATGAGGCGCAGACGTTTTGAGGGCGCCGGCGTCAATTATGGCACTTCCGGTACTTCGTCCCCAGTGGATCCGCCCATTGCGCGCAGTACGGTACAAGATCAGGGACCTGTGGTTGGACGCTGCCAGACTTTGGAGAAGAACTACTTCCGCCTGACCTCTGCGCCCAACCCTGACACCGTTCGGCCGTTGCCAGTGCTCCAGCAAACCCTGGACCTGTTGAAGAAGAAGTGGAAACGAGAGGCCAACTACACCTACATCTGCGATCAGTTCAAGTCCCTTCGCCAAGATTTGACGGTGCAGCACATCCGTAACGAGTTCACTGTCCATGTGTACGAGATCCACGCCCGCATAGCCTTAGAGAAAGGGGATCTTGGTGAGTACAATCAGTGTCAAACTCAGCTTCGAGTTTTGTACGAACAGAAGCTCGGTGGGCATCCAACCGAGTTTAAGGCCTATCGTATTCTTTATTTCATTTACACTCGGAACTGGACCGCCATGAACGATGCGCTAGCCGATGTTAGTGCAGAAGACAAGAAGTCGAGTGCTGTGAAGCATGCACTTGAGGTTCGCTCCACCCTTGCTCTCGGAAACTATCACCGTTTCTTCCAGCTTTACCTGGATACGCCGAACATGGGCGCCTACCTCATGGACATGTTCGTTGGACGGGAGCGATTGACTGCTCTATCGTCAATGTGTAGAGCGTGAGTTTCCGTTCCCTACGTCTCATGGCTCCCCCCCCTTCTTTTCTTCGTGCTGACCTGATTTCATTAGGTACAAACCGGATGTCAAGCTCCGATTCATCACAGAAGAGCTTGGCTTCGAGTCGGACGAGCAAGCCGCTCGCTTCATTCTCGACCACGCGTCGGCGGAGGCTCTGCAAGAGATAGAGGGGACTGTGAGGCTCTTGACCAGCAAAGCTGGTCCTCTGTTCGAGACGGCTAAAGCCGAGGCCCATCGGGTCGTTGATATCAAGGGTCAAATCTAGTCGAATCAGTCCCTTTCTAGTCGTCAAGCTGAGCCTCCGCAGTCCGTAGTTCTGACTGCCCTTCGTCTGTGCGATGATCAGGACGCCGAAGCATGCTGGCTCCGTTCTCCATCACTTTCGTATCACTTCCTCGTTGTGTAGCGGTCGGTCACTCACCTCTCGCATCTCCCGATCAAACGAGAGTGTGGCGCTTCGCGTGCTGACTCACTTCGAAGTTGTGATTGCGAGATGTGACAAGTGACAGATGGACGTCCACCCTCTCGCGCGTGCTGTTGATCCTCTCCCCATGCATCATTTCCTCCGGATTTGCAAAGGCGGGGTAAACTGACAGCATACTAATGATACCCCCGTCTTTTCCGTTCCTCTCATTCTCGTCTTTCCGCGTCCTTGCCTTTCGTTTTTCGGCCTGATTTTTCCCGGAGCAACACTGGCTGCGCGACATGGGCGCTTTGTGATTGAAGTTCTTTTCCCCCTTGGACAAACCAAGGCGCACCCCTAGTAGACCTAGTCCCACCTACTCTGCGTATCTATTTTCGCATCCACTGCATTGAAAACAAAATAACCCTTTCACTATCGCAAGCGTAAACTTCCTCCATATTACTTTCCACAAACGATATATATATATACATATTTTACATGCCTTCGAAGCATGCACAGGTATGTTGGGCGTTGCCCGTTCACGAGACCGTTTCTGCCCTTCAACTTGGCAGGCCACCTGAATCACTCAGTACTAGGCCCCGGCGCGGAATGCCAAGGCCTCTACCATCATACCACAACGGTCCAGCCCTCTTTTCTCATCGTCAAAAGGCGTACTCGAGATCGCTCTCACTCTCTCGAGACTCCCATTTTTTTTTTCGATGGAGTTCCTCAGCCTCGTCTCTATCTAGAGGGTTTGGGGGTTTGCCAATTTGAACTCACAGGTCGCTTCGTCTTATCTCTACATCCTCCTCGCAAGACCCATTTTCCTCAACGCCCATGGAAATAAACCTCATCTGCTCCACCACGTGGGTCCCACGTGCCCACCACCAGGCGGCACCCACGGGGACTCTCAGTAAGGAACTGGGACACCCCGACACGCAATGTCCCGCCCAACAGGTTCGGCGATCGTACAAGCCCGCCTTGAATTACACTGGAAGACCTCCTGGAAGGTTTTGTGTGTAGAGTGTAGAGTGTAGACTGTCAAGAGATGGACTTTGTGTGGTCGTTTTTGGGTATTCAAGGAGTTCTGAGTTCTTGACATAGACATTGTCCATGTGATGATGTATGGATAGTGATACGTGGTATATACCTATTAGTCTGATAGTCTAATAGTCTACTGAGCCGGTGTGACCAACCGCACAAACAAAGACCTCGAGCTAAGGTTGAAAAAGCGGTTTTTCCCAGTTGAGTTATCGAGGGGTCCTCTAGCTGATACGTCGAGTAATTGCGTCTTTATGTAGAATGCAGACGGAGGTGCTCCGATGTTGTTGAATGTCTAGGTAGTGGTACCCAAGCATGATCTCGTCAAGCGGTCTTCAAGTCTGGTCCAGAGGTCTGGAGGTTGACTTGATCGATCGCAGCGGAAACAAGATTACCGCAATCCATGTATACGCCTTCGCTGCTCCACTAGAGCCCGAAAGTGAGTTGGACCGGTTTCCTCCTCTCTTTTCTTCTCCTGTCTTTTGCAAATGCTATCCATCTTTTTTTTCTGCCGATTTCAACTTTATGGTGTGGTTAGTCGTTACCCTATAGTGCTGTCTGAGCCACGGGCGTCAGTGGTCAGTGGCACTGGTCACAACTACAGCCAGCGGTCTGCGGTATAACCGTGGAACAGTAAAACTTCGAGATCATTTCTTTGTCCTTTTTCCAGTTTTTGAGCTTTTTGTCCAGCGGATTTTATTCTTCCGTCTAGTCGAGATTGCCTCGAGAAGGTCCTCGAGATGTGCCACTGTAGCAGTCACCAGTCTCGCGGAGGTACTTTGTTACAACATTACTACTGCGGCGGTCACGGGATAGAGGCATCAATGCTCTCATGCTGGGTCCTATCGGGGAGCTGCAGTTGCCCGGGTCATGTTGTAAATTGGACTGATTCCTTACTGAACGCAATTTCGGAGAATTATCCGTCTCTCACCATGGGTATGTCTTGCAGTGAGTGTTCGAGTCATTTCAATCGTGGATGGATTGGAACTGACTCGGTGATCTCAATGCGAGCGTGGCCGAGAGAAGAGACGACCACAGGAGGTCCACCCGTGGACGGGAGTGTCGTACCTCTGATTAGACCAGCAGACCATGTGACTGCCCCCAGATCATGTGCGATCTGTCTACGGTAGTACAGTAGTAGGAGTCCCGTGTTTGCGGCTCCCGTGCCGCGTCAGATCAGAACAGACTCAACAGAGTATGTGTCTCGAGTCTCGGCTCTTTCACGGAGAAATACGAACCCTCCCAAGGTACAATCCAGGGACTCCAGTCGGTGGTCCATGGCACATGAAATACAGTGCGTCGACTTTCAGCCGGGACCGGAGACGCCCCCGGCTCAAGTGGAGATTGCCTTTACTATTCTCACACGAGTGTTCGTCAACTGAAGACCCCGCCGGGGTATTCGAGAACGCTTGGAACAAAGGAACGTGTACGTCTCCCGTCCCCTGTGATCGCTACTTTCACACACATATCCTTTAGTGGCTCATTGACTCTTTGAGTCCCTGGAGGCTGATCTGCTACTGGTACCGGCACTGATACTACTGTCCTACTGTCTCGGGCTCGTCTGCAGCCCGCTTCGTCCACGGGCGGCTCCATCCATTCTGACCTTCGGGGACCACTTCTTGATCGGTCGCTCACCATTGAGAATTCATGTCCGGTCCTGTCTGGCCACTGGAGTACGATGGTTGTTGCCACGGGTCTCTCAGGTTGATGTGGGTGATGTGGGTGATTAAAATTTGACAGTCATTGGCTTCAGACTTTTGCGAGTTCATCGCCAGACTTTCATTGACTGTCAAGTGACCCGGGGTATAGTTACTTTGGAGTATGGACTACGGACTCACGGAGTATGTGTTATGGAGTCACTTATGGACTATGGACCAAGCTCACTTGATTAGAGAGTATTGTATAATGTATATTGTACCAATGTACCTTAATTCTTATAAACCCTTGGAGGACCCCATCACAGACAATCGTCACCATCACGCCCCTCGCATAGCAACAGCAGTGCGTCACTGGCTTCCCGGCCCCATTTCCAGGGGAACTTTGTTTAATGCATGGTCCTGCCCAATTGCCTACAACGAATCTGCAAATAATCAATGTCATTCCCTGAATCGAGAAACAAGACCCAGAGACGGTATTCAGTCTCTTAGGTAAGAATCCAGATATGACCCTTTTTCCTGGCGGTCTTGTCCTCATGTAGCTCATAGGGGAGCTCCTCCTTGTGTACGATATTGAGGAGTGAACTACAGTCTACACTCCTCCTCGTAGAAGCCACTTTTTACCCGCCTTGGAATCTCCGGGCCTTCCACCCTCAAAGGGGCAATTTCCCCCGCAGGATCTGGATCCAGTCCACGATTGCCATTCCAACCATCTGCCGCCTCTGCGGTGCTCCCCATTCACACCATTTACCATTCACGGACTCGACCTCTTGATCCGTGGGTCTCCCCGTCCAAGCATCCTCGGCACCATCACATTGATCTCCTGCGATCCTCAGGTGGCTGGAGGTGCATATTCTTGCATGGGACTCGGGGACTTGGTATTATTGTTGTCACGCTGAGCGTGTGCCTGGCAGGGTGTTCCGCTGCAGTTGCACTAAGTTTCTACTAGTCAATGTCCGTTCTATTAGTTCAATTACTACACTGTTACTACTACTACTACTGCTGCTGCTGCTGCTGCTGCTGCTGCTGCTGCTGTACCACTGCACTGATTATGTGAATTCGGAACGACCGCATTCTCTCCAATTCTGTCCCTTCCACTTACCTACGGTCTTGCTGTCTTTCTCCAGACCGATTATTATTCTCTGCGACAAACATCCATCTACCGTACTTTGTTCCATTGACGGACTGGACTGGTGTACTTGATCGGGAAGGACTTGATACAGGTCCTAAATTACACTCACCTACAGTCATTCTTCCTTCCAGTGACTGTCTGCTGTCAATCGCAATCCGCGCGACCAGTCTGCCCCCTCCCATCTGCTCTTCAACCACTCTCTCTACTTCTTGATGGCGTCGGTCCGAACGTTATACTGCTGATCTTCGAGGCAACCCGCCCCAAGAAAAAAAAAAAACCAGAACTGTGACGGCCTGCCTCTCTTTCTTTCGAGCCGGTCACTCCCCTGCTTCCTCTTGCTCTTCCTCTTCCTCCTCTTCTTCCTTTCCTTCTTTCACGAAGCAAGTCGAGATTTCTTACCGACCCTTGTTCCATCTCTTTTTCCCCCGCAATCGAATTCATATCCGACGAACTCTCTTAATCCCTTTCTCTTCCCTTCCGGTCGCGATGAAGGTACGCTATGAACCCATTCTCTCTCCCCTTCTGCACTGACTCCGATGACATACCTCCATTTTGAGTCTTGCCTCCTTCGGATCTTTTGAGCTCGTGGCTGGACGTGTCACAACTGGCATGGACGGTATCACTCGGATTGAGCTTCTCCGACTGATTCACTCCGCTTTTTTTCTTGAACAGGCCATCCGACGCTCCTTGAAGGGGGAGAAAGATCCTAGACATCACCAACATCACGTCTCTATCACCCCCAAATCTGCAATCGCAATCTTGCCGCCCAAAAAAGTGAGTGTCTTCTTTGCGACAACGTTGCGCATTCAGATGCCGCCTTTGCCCCGCCGGTCAAATGCTTGCTACGTCTATACATCAACTCTACCTCCGATCCATCTCGCTTTCTTTCTCTCCCTCTCTCTCTCTCTCTCTCTTTCTGTCGCCTTCCTTGTATAGCCGACTTGTTCTTGCTCTTGTTTCCCCTACTTATCTGCGCCTCCAATTCTTCTTATCTGGTCCGGTCAAGGTTGATCCATTCCTTTGTCCGTTGCTTTTCAAGGGCCGTGTGTCCCAGCCACCAAACTTCCACCCTGCCTCCTCCTCTTCTGCCTTTCCTGTGCCTCTGGCCGCAAAGTTCAGAGACACAAAAAGAGCAGGAACCCCGACAAGCGCCCCTCGGTTGCGACTGGAGAATTGCCCACTGCCGCCACTATCCAACTGGATGGGTTCCAGTGTTCCACCCGCCTGCCCCTCATCACATTTTCCCTCTGCCCTCCTCCACCGGTGGCCTCCCCTTCTCTCCCCCCTGGTCGTTCCTTTCGGTTCCTTGCCTGATTCACTTAAACCCACGGGCCCTTGTCCTTGGTTCAATTGCCCAGCGGGACCAATCCACTTTCCAAACACGGGCGAAATCTAAAAAGCAGTCGCAACTTCGCAACAGAGAGATTGTGACAGAGAGAGAGAGAGAGCGCACGACTCACCAAAACACCCGCAAACACAGTCACTAACATCATCCCCGAATCGGGTGGTCGCGCGCGCATAGGTCATCAAAGCCCTCTACGATTACACTCCCGAGCCCGGTGCGACCCAGGAACTCGGCTTTAGCAAGGGCGACTTCTTCCACGTTATCAGCCGCGAAGACGATCCAGACTGGTACGAGGCCTGCAATCCCCTCATCCCTAGCGCCCGAGGGCTCGTTCCCGTCTCCTTCTTTGAGGTCATCGGCAAAAACGAGAGGGACAGTGGGGGTTCCGTGGACTTGCACAAAAAGGACCACTACGACTCTGGCTTCTCCGATCGCAGTCCCACCTCGGATTCTTCCACCACCACCCACTCCCGACAAGGCGCATTCAGAATGTCCGCGCTCAAAGGTCAGGGCGCCATGGTCTATGGCATCGTCCAATATGATTTCCAGGCCGAGCGACCCGATGAATTGGATGCGCGCGCCGGTGAAGCCATCATTGTCATCGCCCAGTCCAACCCCGAATGGTTCGTCGCCAAGCCCATCGGTCGCCTCGGGGGCCCCGGCCTGATTCCGGTCTCCTTCATCGAGCTGCGCGACATGCAGAGCGGCCAGGCGGTCACCGACCCCCTGGAGGCAGTACGCCGCGCCGGTGTGCCCAAGGTGGAGGAGTGGAAGAAGATGACCGCCGAGTACAAAAACAGCAGTATCACTCTAGGCAAGCTCGACCCCGCAGGAGGCGGAATGGTCTCCGTCACGTCGGGCATGGACAAGATGTCAATGGGCGCATCGCATCCCAATGCTGGTCGTATGAGTCAGAATGGCAACAATGCGGTAAGTCGGCCAATTCTCCGATCGGGGGTGCTCTGTGATCCCACTGCGCGGCGAAACCCTCATTCTAACCACATATGAACCAATAGGGGATTCATCAGCGCAACGCCAGCAAGGGTACCCTGTCCGGTCAAGCGGTCGGGGGCCATTCGCAGCCGCAAAGCTACCAACAACTCCTGGCGCCGGTGGCCGCATCGATCCCACGGTATTGCTTCGACAATGACAAATACTGGTACATCATTGAAGCCAAGATGGAGGACGGTCGGTGTTGGGAGCTGTCTCGCTACTACCACGATTTCTACGACTTCCAAATTGCGCTGCTCACACAATTCGACGATGAAGCCGGTAACCGGGGTCGTCCTCGCACCTTGCCCTTTATGCCGGGCCCCGTCACCCATGTCACCGATGCAATTTCGAATGGGCGTCGCCAAAACCTTGACGAATACATCAAGAAACTTCTCTCCATGCCCCCGCACATCTCTCGCTGTCAACTCGTACGTCAGCTGTTCGCGCCCCGCCAGGGCGATTTCGAAATTGATCCGAATGCGTTTGGCGAGGAGGCACGCTATTCGGATCAGTCACATCACTCCTCCTCTGGACTGGAGCAGTCGCGCAGTGCTTCTCGACAATCCTCCCAGGCGCCAATCAGTACGGGGCCTGACAGGGCATCGCAGCAGCGCACCCCCGGCGGCGTTGCTCCGGGGGGGTTTGCGGTTCCGCCTCCCATGAACCGACAAGGAAGTTCTTTGACGCAGGTGTCGACCAACTCCAACGCGTCCGCCATGAAGGTCAAGGTCTTCTTCCAGGATGATCTGATTGCCATTCGGATACCCGCTGGTGTAAGCCTTGCGCATCTTAAGGACAAACTTTGCGATCGACTCAAGATCCAAGAGGATATTATCGTGCAGTATCGCGATGAAGCTTCGGGGAGCTACATTGATCTGGCGTCAGATGCCGATTTGGAGCAAGCCATGCAACGGAACACCAAGTTGACACTGTTTGTCAACATTGCATGATTGAGTTCGGGCCACTGCTGGCCAACTCACTCTTGCCTGTTTGTGTGTCTCTCCGGCTTCGATAATCGTCTTCGGTCCTATTTCGACTTATTTGCCTTGACCTCTTTGTGGTGCTTCCTCATACCCGCTACTGGGTGTTTTGGCGTTCCGGCACCCTTCAACCTGCGAGGGCTTGTGCCGCGGCTCATGCACTCTCTTCTCTGTTGACTAATGCTTTCCCGAGCGATGACTTTTCGATCTTTCCATTGAGTGAACGTTGACTTGTCGCGATGCTACGATAATGATGTGTGATGTTTGGGCATGGCTTTCCTATTCCTTTTACCCTTCAGATGATCCCCTTTTATACCTCGTTTTATTTTCCCTTGTGTCTCCAATCTATTTTTTTCTTGTTTCTTCGCCTGACGCCATTTTACCTTGATCGTGCTCGCTCCCTATCTTATTGAGGAACTTTGTGGTCCCATTTTTCGCCGCGTTTCCCCTAGCAGCGGTACCTGTTGATTTTCATACTCTTATGAAGTCGTTTTTCCTTTTCATTTGAAAATCTCTTTTCATCTTTCCGAGTTTCAAGATCTCTTTGCGCATTATACATCTGTACATATGCTTTTTCTTGTTTTTGCATACATGGATAAAGCTATCTGCTTGTCAATTTCTGGGCATATTTGCCAAATACCATACATGTCTCCTATTCTCACTGCACATACTGTACGCTGTACGCACATTCCATACACTTTGTGGTTGGTTGACAAATAATGTTGTCTACGGCACTCTCGCTCAGGTCACTCTGACTCAAAAGTCAACAGTCAACACACGAGTAGACGTCACGTGACTCGGATCGTCGGCCGGGACGTTTTCGCTTGCCGCCTCAGGAACCGCGCCACCCGTCGGAGCCAGATGAATTGCCGGTGTCTCGAGTTTATGTTCCAGTAACTTCCCTGTGGTTTTGTACATATTTTTGAGCCTGCTCACATGGTGGGGGAGTAGCGCTGCACTTCTCTCAATCAGTTTCATCTCGTGAGCCCACTTGGCGAAAATTAGGCATAGAGTATCTTATTTCCAGATATTCCCCTGCCCTACGGTACCTGGCGCACGTCAACCGCCTTCCCCGGAGAAAACAAGCCCTGCGGCGATACCTCGGCTACAAATTTCACCTGCCCGCCGCTATTGTTTCTCTCGATCTTCCGCACCCCCGCAAAACAACCGCTCGTCTCTTCGTGCCCACAGGCTTGCAGCTTTTCTCAAAAGTTGGCAAGCCCATACACTACTCTGTAGCCATGAGACGAGCACCACCCAGACTCCGTGCGGGCTGCGTCCCAAGCGCGGTGTCTCGTCCTCGTGGCGCGCTGGCCGCGCCATTGTTGCCTCATCGCGTGGGGGCAGGAAGTGCCCGCGCTGGCCGAGAGATGGCACTCTCGACCTTTGCCAGCACCCGGTCTGAGGCGCTTCGAGTGACTGATCGGTTGTGGAGTACGACTGGCTCATATGCGACTATTGTCCGTGAGCAGCAGCGAGGGTTCGCGACCCCCGCCAATGCGGCGCACAAGGGGAGCACACTCGAGACGAAGGACCCGAGTTCTTCCCAGGATGGGCCGATGAGGGAATATGACCTGCGGGTAGAGGAGGGTCGTTTACGGGATGATCCTTATCAACGAGGTGAGTGAACGTGCGTGTCGCATGTCGCATGTCGCACGTTGCATGTTTCAAGAGTCCGAGTGTAGCTCGCGCAATGCATATCTTTAGCCTCAGTTTGACTTAATATGTCTTCGCAGGCATCATTCAAAACCTTCAAAATCTCTTCGAAGCCCTCAAACATTACTCTCCACCTCCGGTTATCCACCCCAGCGTCGCATCTCTCGATCGCGCAGCCAAAAAGTCCTTCTTTGGCTCCCTCTTCGGCTCCGGCAGCAGTAAAGCCGCCAGCTCAGGAGGAGCGCACAAGGACCTCCCCAACGGCCTTTATATGTATGGGGATGTTGGTTGCGGCAAGACCATGCTGATGGATCTCTTCTACGACACGCTGCCTTCAAACATCAGGACCAAGTCCCGAATTCATTTCCACAATTTCATGCAGGATGTACATAAACGCATGCATGTGGTGAAGATGAAGCATGGCAATGACTTTGATGCGCTGCCTCTTGTCGCGGCTGATATTGCTGAGACAGCGAGTGTCTTGTGTTTTGATGAGTTTCAGTGTACGGATGTGGCGGATGCTATGATTTTGCGACGGTATGTGTTCATGATCCGATTTCGCCCAAGCGCAGCTCAACTTGTTCTTGTCATGGCTGTTGTCTGAGAGAATCATGTGGCCTTAAATGTTGACTGTGTCAGACTCCTTGCATTCCTTCAGTCCCACGGTGTCGTCCTCGTCACAACATCAAACCGTCACCCAGATGACCTATACAAGAACGGCATCCAGCGCGAGTCCTTCATCCCCTGCATCACCCTCCTCAAGACCGCTCTCAACGTCATCAACCTCAACTCGCCCACTGATTATCGCAAAATTCCCCGTCCACCCGCGGCTGTCTACCACAACCCCCTCGGCGAGGAGGCCGAACGCCATGCCCACAAATGGTTCGAATTCCTGGGCGACCCTATCGACGATCCTCCTCATGAAACTTCCCACGTCGTCTGGGGCCGCAAGATTCGTGTCCCCGAGGCCAGTGGGAAAGCGGCTCATTTCACCTTCAAGCAGTTAATTGGAGCGGCCACCGGTGCAGCGGATTACCTCGAACTAGTTCGCCATTATGATGCGTTCATCGTTACAGAAGTCCCAGCAATGAACTTGAATCAGCGAGACTTGGCACGCCGATTCATTACTTTCATCGATGCCGTCTACGAGAGCAGGGTAAGTCCTTTCACATCCTATCTCCCCACCTAAATCACGCCCCCCTCCCTTCCTCCTCCCTCGATTTATCGGCTTCACACCAAACTAACCCGTTCATCAAAACCTCCCCAGGCAAAACTCGTCCTTACCACCGAAGTTCCCCTCGAGAACCTCTTCCTCTCTCAGGCCGACATCCAAAGCTCCCTCAAGGCGAACAGCGGCGACGAAAGCTCCGCCTCCGCCTCCGATATCTCCGACGCGATGCGCAATCTCATGGACGACCTGGGCATGTCCGAGCAAACACTCAAGAACAGCTCTATTTTCAGCGGCGACGAGGAGCGCTTCGCGTTTGCGCGAGCGTTGTCACGGTTAACGGAGATGGAGAGTCGCGAGTGGGTTGAACGCGGTCTTTTGGGGGTTGGGCAGAAGACGGAGGAGGAAGGGAGGCAGGAACGGGAGGCTTGGAAGAAGACGAGAAGTCATTGGAGTGAGGATAACATGTGATTGCCTTTTGTCTGCTACATTGAAGCCTGTTCTTGGATGATCGACTTTGGGGGGTTTTGAAGCAGAAGCGGATTTTTTTGGAGGGTTTCGTCGTGATCATCGTTTTCTTTGTCTTTTTTTGTTGGTGGTTTGTGACATAGCATAGCTGATTATGATATCCCATGTAAATAGCCCTGAATAGCCACTGACATCGTTTTCTTACATGATACGTAAGGTACCTTGTCATCATATCTGCAGCTGATTCCAAGACCGAAGGAGTAACCAGGTCTTTGCTCCAGTCTGGGCAAGCTCTACGAGCCGGTTCCGATCTCACCAAAACCTAGGCTTCGGATGCATTTTCAATCCATTGAGATTGTGGTGCGCATCTTCTACATATCTAGTTTGCTTCGATGGCTGCCAAGACTGTCTTCAGACGATCTAGGTTATGTCCAACGAGATGGTTTTTCGCAGGCGCCTGTGACAGCAAGCTTCATGCACCAGACTCCCGGCGCTACATTCTCTGTAGGTAGATATTGTATTTGGTAGATGAGCACCTGTATGGGCTGGATTGCTACCTAGAGCATCCATGTCGGGAATTCGCACCCCTTTCATGAGCGCTTGATTACAATTGCCGGCGACTTCAAACTCTTCTCAGAGAGCCCCAGAGCGCCTCTCGAATCTTGGATATGTTATGAACCAGAGTGCAGGGATCTCCAGGGTAAGACGCCGAATCTGGATCTAACCAGAAGAATTACTGCCGAACAAGCACTTGAGCATCGCTCGTTCAGTTACGACGCGGACAAACATGACAATCGCTAGGAGCTCGTACCTCGCCAGATGGGAGGCATCACAGAGAGCATCCGCATCAAGCTAGTGTAAGACAGATCATAGCGCTTCTGGCGGATCTAAATCTACAATGGCGCTAGTTTCAGCGTACGGATGAAATTGTTCCAAGATCGAGACAAGCCGTGGCTACCCAATATCCACCACTCAAGCTTTTTTGGCAGTTGATGTGCAATTTCCATCTGCATTTTGAGCATCCCCTTGTAGTGTCACTGGATGGACTCTCGCCAAAGAGGGTCAAAGACTGGCTAAATGACATACGGACGAAATCAAGATGAGCGAATCAATACTTTTCAAGGGCAACTACATGCTCTGAATCACCAGGAACGTCTTCATCAGGTCGAGCTGCTGGAATTGCGAGGATGCACTGTCACTGATCAGTAGTCAGTACTACTCACGAGTCACAGTCACTAGTTGTTCAGACTTTACCGCGTTCCCACACGAGTCAGTTGCACGACTTGATAAAGTGTGGATGCGACAAGCTCCGCCCGATGCGGTCCCGAAAATGATTTGGTGCCGAACATGAATGACGTCACATTCGAGAATCAAGTTCTAGACTGCCGCTGTTGGTCGATTGTTGCCAAGGTGAACACTGTTATTCTCACTCCGCTTTGAAATGATCGTAGCTCAGTGAACTTTGAAGGGCCTCGGTAGTCATCGAGTTGATCAGTAATTGCGGCGCGTGGGCTTCCACAGCCTACCTAAGTGCTCGGCAGATGCACACGGAGAGGCAACAGGCAAGACCCTTTCTCGGCACTGAGTTGGAAAGAGCCAAATCACCAATTTCTCGGCCGGTATCCAATGGTTTCTTGAAAACGTCCGACAGATCCGGTAGGTAATTGTAAAAAGCCTGGATTAGTCTTCGTTTTGACGTCTCGCTGCGTGCAAAATGGCGGAATAATATTGCGGGGTTCACTCTAGTCTCTAGTCTCTACCACTGCTACTACATTCATACAAGTACACAGTAGTTACACAATCGTTCCGTCGCGGTTCACCAGCTGAAAACCAGTAGGCAGTGGGCAGTTGGGTGATGGAATCTGACCCACGAATCAACCTGGCCAGATTCCCAAGCGCTGTCATTCAACGCGCTGAAACAGGCACGCATTTCAACTATTCGGCAGAGTTCTGCAGAGGCGTGGGTCATGGTTTGCTCATGGTTCTATGACATTTGCTTGTGATTGGACCAGTCGAGGGCGGTGATAGTCTCTTATGGAGTCAACCGGTGATCGTCTCGTCCGTTCGTGTCGCCATACACAGAGCGTAGAATCCAACAAGATGCCCCAGATGGCAAGTTCTGGTGGCAGGTTCCCGGCCAGGTTACCCCGATCCTGACTGGGACACCGAGTCTCCGACACTCAACCGCGGAGAAGTCTAGAAGTGGGCAGCTTGGGTAAGCAGATCAAGGGAGACGCGATCGCCTACTTCTCTCGGCGGTTTGACTGGTGCGGCCCTGCTATATACCTGTCTCGGGGTTTGGCTCTGATGTGGATATTACATCATGGTCGGGGAACCGGACGGATGCAAGTGAAACTGTCTCTGTCAACGATACTTGATCTGAGGGGACATGGACAGGCCATATAATAATGGGCGCAGGGGGCTCTCGGACTCCGCTGGCCTGATTGTTTCTTTTGACTAGATCACTTGAAGAAGACAGACACTACAACACAATGTCTGCACAACAGCAAATAAACAACGCCAAGTCCGCAGATGGCAAGATCAAGGACTTGGAGAAGGATACCTATGAGTTGAACGACAAGCAACACATGACCACCGACTATGGGGTCAAGATCTCTGATCCCGACCACTGGTTGCGTGTGGTCAATGAGAAGCAGACCGGCCCCAGTCTTCTGGAAGACCAGATTGGCCGTGAGAAGGTGTGTTGAGACATCGTGAAGTCCCAGACGCTGCATGATGAGACAATGTCCATTAGTATCTAACAAACGCTTCCTCACCAGATTATGCGCTTCGACCACGAGCGTATCCCCGAGCGTGTAGTTCACGCCCGTGGCTCTGCCGCTTTTGGTACTTTCAAGCTCTTCGAGAGCGCAGAGGACGTGACCTCTGCCGGTGTTTTGACTGATACCTCGCGTGAGACCCCGCTGTTCCTGCGATTCTCCACCGTCCAGGGCAGCAAGGGTAGCGCCGACACTGTCCGTGATGTGCGCGGTTTCGCCGTCAAGATGTACACCCCCGAGGGTAACTGGGACATCGTGGGCAACAACATGCCCGTCTTCTTCATCCAGGACGCTATGAAGTTCCCCGACGTGGTTCACGCCGTCAAGCCCGAGCCTCACAATGAGGTCCCCCAGGGCCAGAGTGCGCACAACAACTTCTGGGACTTTATGTACATGCATTCGGAGGCGACGCACATGAACTACTGGGTAAGATGGTCTAACCCGATCCAGTGTTCGCTGTTCTTGGTCTGTTGCTAACATGATGATTCTTCACGCAGCAAATGTCTGACCGAGCCATTCCCCGATCATACCGTATGATGCAGGGATTCGGGGTTAACACCTACTCCCTCGTCAACAAGGAAGGAAAGCGCCATTTGGTCAAGTTCCACTTCACACCCGAGCTTGGTGTTCACTCATTCGTTTGGGATGAGGCTCTGAAGATCTGTGGCCAGGACCCCGACTTCCACCGCAAGGACCTCATGGAGGCCATTGATGCCGGTCACTTCCCCCGCTGGAAGTTCGGTCTGCAGCTGATTCCCGAGGAGAAGGCCGACAGCTTCGACTTTGATCCCCTGGACGCCACCAAGGTGTGGCCCGAGGAGCTTATCCCCATCCGCTACATTGGCCAGATGGAACTCAACCGTAACGTGGATGAGTTCTTCCCTCAAGTCGAGCAAGCCGCCTTCTGTACCAGCCACGTCGTTCCTGGTATCGACTTCTCCAACGATCCCCTGCTGCAGGGCCGTAACTTCTCCTACTTTGATACCCAGATCTCTCGTCTCGGTCCCAACTGGCAGGAGCTGCCCATCAACCGTCCCGTTTGCCCTTACATGAACTTGGTCAACCGTGACGGCGCCGGCAAGCACCGTATCACCAAGGGCACTGTGAATTACTGGCCTAACCGCTTCGGCACCAACCCTCCCGCAGAGCCCTCCCAGGGTGGCTTCACCAGCTACGCCGAGAAGATCCAGGGTACCAAGGCTCGCCTGGTGTCTGAGAAGTTCAAGGAGCACTACAACCAAGCTCAGACCTTCTACAACTCGCTTTCCGAGATTGAGAAGATGCACGTTGCCAAGGCATTCTCCTTTGAGCTGGACCACTGTGATGACCCTATCGTGTACAAGCGCATGACCGAACGGATCGCCTCCATCAGCATCGAGCTCGCCGAGACTGTCGCGACCAACGTCGGTGGCGATGTGCCTGCCAAGCCTCCTCGTTCCAACCACGGCCAGAAGGCCAAGGGTCTGAGCCAGCTGGAGTACATGCCCGAGAAGGCCGTCATCGACACTCGTCGTATTGCCATCCTCATCGCCGACGGCTTCGACTTCAACGCCTACACCACGATGAAGCAGGCTCTGACCGAGCGCGGTGCCTTCGTGTTCACCATCGGGGCCCAGCGCAAGGGTGTGACTTCCGAGTCTGGACACACCGTCGTGCCCGACCACTTCTTCGTCGGTATGCGATCCACCCTTTTCGACGCGACCTTCGTCCCCGGTGGCAAGCACGTCGCCGAGGGTTTGGCCAAGAGCGGTGTTGCCAAGCACTGGATCGCCGAGTCCTTCTCTCACCTTAAGGCCATTGGTGGTGTCAACGAGGCCGTCCCCTTTATTCAGCAGCAGATTGGCCTGGATGCCGTCGAGGTGGCTTCTGAGGGTAGTTCCTTCACCGAGTCCTACGGTGTGGTGACTGGATACGGCGATGCACCTTCCACGTTGAAGATCGCCGGTGAACCTGGTCCCAACTCGAAGAACGTGGCTGAGCAGTTCATCTGGCACATCTCGCGTCATCGTAACTGGCAGCGTGAGTTGGATGGACTGTCTGACCAGGTCGGTGCCTAAAAAAAAGGATGACAGCATGGATGCTGGCCGACGACCGGTCCACTTTTTACCAATCAAAGGGGGTCATGAGTACGAATGTCTGCAATGTTTTATAGCGAGTCTTTTCATGAATAATTAAATCCATCTATTTACCCGCAATGGTATAAAACTTGTTGTCTCCGAGCCTATTGTCCCGCGAGTAGCTTCACCACACCTGCACTGGAACTGAAATGTGTGTGCTGATGTGTTCAAGTGTTGTCAATGGTGGTACACCTACCGTGTGATCCTAGATTAAGTCCGTACAGGCACCCACCCTGTAATTTGCAGTTCAATTGTCAATGGATGCCCATCCCGAATCTCCGTATTGATTAGTCGTCTCGTGCTAGAATATAGGACGATGGCCTACTAGGTAGCTGTCGGGTGGTACTTGGAAATGGAGAAATTGTTCTGGAACTGTCGGAGTTCTATTAGATCTTGGCACATGTACTCTACTATCTAACCGATTTCCCAATTCTTGAACTAAGTTTGACGGACTCGAAGTTTACTGTTAAACTCATCAGTCACTCCAGTCTCCAAGTTGGCAGGCATTGCTCACGGCGCAAGTTTATCTCGAAATGGTTAGTTGCTACAGGTGCTCTTATCAAACAAGTCAAGCTAATCGGCTCCACCGCCAGGGTAGAATCATCACCGCGCAGAGATTGGAAAAGCGCACGACATGCTCAGTGAAAAGAACCCATCGCATCCTATAGAAACACCTCCGTACACTCCCTCGGTGTCTTCGAAATGTCGTCACACAGCCCTGTCTACGAGGAATCTCTAGTTCTCACCGATCAGCTCCCACTGCGTGAGTACCGCATCAAACCCGCGGAAACCTTTCCGCTATCTCCGAGGCATAAACAGCTATACGATAGCACTCCACACCCTCACACTCACACTCACAGTCCGCAGTGTAGCTCTGACTTGTAAAGTGCTAGGCCACTTCTCCACCTCGGCAAATATCCCGACGTTGGACAGAAGTCTATGCTGCATGGCTGTGAGACCAAAGGAAGGTCTGATAAGCGAACCATCTCCGCTTTCGACTCCCCTCGGTCTCTTATCATGCGGGGAATATACAAACGGATATCGAGGATTCCGGCAAATGCCTATCATTGCTCTACCAATTTGAAGATCAACATCTGCACATACTAAGATGAGGGGGGAGATAAGACTGAATTGCGGGGTTACCCAGGTGGCACCGGGGTGAGCGATTTATATAAAGGTAGACAGTCAAGGGAGACAAACGTCAGACTTACACGTATCCCACGCCTCCACCTAAGATCGGTCCCTTGGTGCTCTTGACTACCTGTTGGCTAGCATTGGGACTTCTTTTCTTGAGGGCCTTCCTTCTGCTTCTGCAAGAGAACTGTTGGTCCATTCGGTCCTCACACGCACGACAACAATGTCATTGAACAATTGGGAACAAAAAGCGCAAAAGGGACGAGATATTCTTCAGAACTCGATTCCCAAACAGTGGCTTTTACCCGAGTCCCGGCTACCACCCACCACGCAGAAGAATGTGATTCGTTTCATCCGGGAATCGGGTGCTCTGAGCGAGCATGAGCTCATGATCACCGATTCCTCCGCGACGGAGTTGGTACGAGAGATGGGACGGGGGAAATTGGCAGCAGAAGAGGTCGTTGTTGCGTTTTTGAAGCGAGCCGTTGTGGGACACCAGCTGGTAGGCTGTTTCACCCCCATGGACGAGGTTCATCCAGCAAGCTGACAATGATCGTATTCCAGTTGAATTTCGCGACGGAATTCTTAGCCGACGAGGCGATTGCTCAAGCTCGGGAACTTGACAGATTCTATAAGGAAACAGGGAGATTGATAGGACCGCTGGTGAGTGAGGCCCAACATCGAGTGCTCGCCGTTGTGAGACTGACGGATTTCCTTTTGTTCAAATTAGCATGGCGTTCCAATCAGTGTCAAGGAACATGTTGGAATGAAGAACAAAACATGCAACACTGGATTCGTGTCCTGGTACGCAATGCTCAATTCAGCTTCGAAAAATAAACACAGCTCGTGATGCTAATCGTTCTTCCAAGGATTGATAATATAGCCACCGAAGATGCGCATTTGCTTCGACTTTTGAAAGATGCCGGCGCAATCTTTCATGTCCGAACTAATCAACCTCAGTCATTGATGGTATGTAATCCTAGAAAGACATGGATTGGGTTTATGAAGGAGTACAGCCGGAACTGACACAAACCAGCACCTTTGCTGCAGTAACAACATCACAGGGACAACCTTGAACCCACACAACCGAACCTTGACACCGGGCGGATCCTCTGGTGGTGAGGGCGCTTCTATCGGGTTCAAATGCTCGCCTCTAGGTGTAGGTACTGATATCGGTGGTTCCATTCGCTGCCCGGCTGCTTTCTGTGGCGGATATGGGTTTCGTCCAACTGCGATGCGAAACCCGATGGCTGGAATTCAAGTTGCGTGTATTGGGCAAGAGACTATCCATGGTGTTGTCGGCCCTATGGCAAGTACGTCGGTAGATGATCTGGAATTGTTCCAGCGGGCGGTTCTCGATCAAGTGCCCTGGGAGGAGGAGACGTCCTTGATGCCCGTGCCTTGGAGCAATGTCATTCCTAGTTGGGACATCACAATTGGAATCATGTGGGATGATGGGTAAGTAAGTCTGCTGGATGAGACGGTGGAAATGGAAACTTTACATTGACATTCAACACCCAGAATTGTCCGTCCTCACCCCCCGATCACTCGGGCCTTGCGCATGGCCAAGGAGAAGCTTGTCAGAGCGGGAATCAACATCGTCGACTGGAAGCCATATGACCATGAACGCGGCTGGAAGATCATCGTAAGTAGAAAGAAAAACCCATCCTCCATCCTGCTGTCTCCGAAGACCCCGTCCAGACTAACACTATCCCCAACCAGTCCGCTCTGTACTTCCCAGACGGAGGTGCTCTCACACGCAAAACACTCGCCGAGTCAGGCGAGCCTGCTCGCCCATTAACAGAATGGGCCCTATCCTACTCTCGCCCAACACCCCTCACCCACCCAGAAGCCTGGACTCTCCAGCACGAGCGTGACACCTATCGCGACGAGTACCAGGCCGCACTTAAATGGCACCAAGTCGACTTTGTCCTGGGCCCTGCATATCCAGCCGCGGCAGCCGTGATGGGCGAATCTCAGTACTGGAACTATACGGCCATCTGGAACATGACGGACATGCCTGCCGTCACGTTCCCCTCGGGTCTTGCTGTGGATCCAGGGCTGGATGCACTCACAGAGCAGGATAAGAAGTACATCCCGCGAAACGAGATCGACAAGAGAGAATGGGAAAAGTACCAGTCACCGGCGAGGTACGAGAACGCGCCGATTGCGCTGCAACTCGCGGGAAGACATTTCAAGGATGAAGAGACCTTGGCGACTGCGAAGCTCGTTGATAAGATTATTAAAGATGGCGTGAGGGGATTGAAGCTGTGATCCTGGAGGTTGTTCTGAAACAAGAGACGGTAATTTCCGTTCTTCGAGCCCCTTTGAATGTCGCACGAGTGAGATGTCATTTTGCACGTGAGCACACCTACTTTACCATCACCGTTGATAAGTCAGCATGTCTTGTCTGCTCTCCGCCGAGGATACCCGTCTCTTCCAAGTCAGAATATCATTCCAGGATGCGGTGTCTCAAGCTCATGCGTTCAATTCAATGAGTTTCGAGCAACCTCAATGGCAGTCTCTTCCAAAAAGATAGGTATCCCGTATGGATTAAAAAAAAGATTCCTTCATTTGGTCAAACCGTGGGTGAGGATACTTCTTATGTATGCATAGATAGCATTCTCCTAGAGCACGAAACTCAATCATCAGATTCACAAAAAAGTCAACATAATCGTAAATACATGTCACAGACCCAAAAGGTCAGTGCGTGATGGCAGTGAAGGTGGGAGGTGTAACATTATCCATTGAATCCACCAACAACACGAAGACAAAATTCAAAATCCCCCTACCACAGAAAGATATTTCCATCGTAAAGAAGAAGTGACCCTCAAACCAGATAACATGATCAACAGACCACAAGATCGAAGGGCCCCGAGGTCGAAAACATAGATACCAAATCATCAACCTTTATTCAAGGCGAGAGACAAGCAAAAAAAAAAAAAAAAAAAAAAGGCCACGAGAACGATAAAAGAAAGTGATCGATTGAAAATCACTCATGGAAAGCGAGTAGTGGGTATCAGCCGACGCTGCAAAGAAAGAAGAAGAAGAAGCACACCACTTCTATTTCCGCCAGAACATGGCCTTGCCCATAGTTCGACCGATCGACCATCTCACTTCAGCAATACGATCCTTGAGACTCGGTCCGCCACTGTAGCGAATCGGTTTAGGAGCACTGCCACCACCACGCCCGTCAGAGCTACCCCCAACAGCACTTCCACCAAAGGAGCTGGGAGCAAAGTTTGAAATATTCCCAGCATCGAACTTGGTCTTTCCCTCGACGATCTTGTGAACGACGTTCAACACCGCATAAACGGTCGAACCGACTGCGCGAACAGCAGCCAAAACGGCGACAGACCACAGCACAATAGCGAGATAGATATTCGTGCCGCCGGAATCCACGCCGTAGACTTCAGACACTGCCATGCCCAGAATCACATTGGCGACCATCCAGATGGACACCATGTATGTGCGGACGGCACGGTAGTAGTCTTCTTGCATTTGGGATTCGGAGACAGGAGCCTCGGGGACTTCAAGGCGATCTCGGAGGTTGCGCAGAGCCGCATCGTATCCGCTGTCGATGTCGAGTTGTTCAGAGGGCATGTCGATGAGGACAGTTGAGCCGTTGATCGTTTTTGCCGCGCCCAGATCATTGTGGATGACGTTGTCTCCCTTGGTGCCCCATGTCACGTCGTGGGTGTTGCAGAATGCGTAGACTTGCAGAGTGCAAATGTAACTCGGCATGAGAAGGAAGTATTGCGCAGATGAAGTGAACATGTGCCAGGGATCCAGGTAGAGAAAGGAGCTGTAGAAATACAGACCGACGGTGGACAGCATGGACACCACGATATTGACGAGGAGGGAGCTGCTGACAGCCAGGCCGTCCTCCTTGCCACTGACACGTGCCATGAGCTCCTTCACCACGAGGTAGAGGGCGCAGAACACCGTGTAGAACATGATCACGGCGTAGACAACGATGCCTGAGAGGTAGAGATTTTTGGCACTGCGCAGAGCATTAGCGTTGACACTTGATTTTGGGAGGGCGGAGGACGATACTGACCCTTGTGGTCGGTTACCGAGTGAAATGATAAACTGCAAACACATGATCAAGATACAGGCGTAGCGGAGTACAATGAAGATGTATTTGCCCATGTGGTGGCCGAAGGGATCCAACTTGTCATCGGTAAGTGATCCAGCGATGAAATAAAATGCGAGGTAGAAATTGGCCTATTGTCTCACTGTTAGAATCCTCTTCAAGTCGTGCCACACTTGTTTCCAATACCAAAAAAAGAAAAAGAAAAAAATCAGAAAAAGAGGACTTGTTGACTTACCAATCCAAGGTAAGTGAAGACAAGATTGAGGAATTGATAAACAAACTCAATATGCAGCAAGATCTTTCTCGCCAACGAATGGTCGGTCTTCCAGATCTGCCTGAAATTGAAGATCGAGTAAACAGCCGCGAAGAAAGCACCATTGAGCCATCGACGACGCTGAGAGATAAACTCCGGAACCGAGTCCGGCACATCAGTCTCTCCGACGGCATTCTTGACAAATTTCAGAACCCATCTTTCTTCTCGTTTAGCGACGAGCTCCCAGCAAAGGATACGATCTTCAGCCAGATACATATTGGCAGTGAACACATCCGCGTCCTGGCCATGCAGGGTCTCACCCTTGAAATACTGGTTGAGAGGACCTTGCCCATCAGCATCGTTCTGTAGTGCAAAGAATCGGTAGGCACTCAGTGCGCCAGGAAGCACAGTGATGTATCCAAAGACTGATTCAAGCGGTTTGTCAAGAATGTTGGACATCTTGTACTCGAAGTTTTGACTGGCCACGAGGGGGTTCAATAGCCCAAGTCCGGCCTTGCCAATACCGGCTTTGATTTCGCCAGCAGCTCCAGCAACACTGGAGTCCTGGTCAAAGGCCTTCCAAAGATGGTACAGTGCCGTTGGCTCAGGCTTGGTACCCACATCGAGCAGGATACAGATGTTAGGCTGCAGGGCCCGTCCAAAAGCGTTGAAGAACCATCGATGGGAGTTCAGCTTCTTCTTGTTGTGCTCCTTGAGACAAAATATCACTTGGCATGGCACAATCCCCTTCTCCGCGCCCTTGAATTTCAGATCTGAATCAAGGGACACCTGCGTAGTGTATTCGTAAACGTGGGCTTGCACTTCCTTCTGATTGACAATGTTCTTCGCAATGCCTTCCTGATACACACCAAGGGCAGCCAACGCGTTCAAAGTCCGCGGATGCACCTTCTTGCGACCGTCGGAGATGATGCACACCACAATCTTCTTCCATCCGTCCTTGCCCCAGGTACGAGACTTGGTACGCGAGCAGAAGTGGCTGATGTTCCTCATGATGCCGTGCATGGTTCGTGTGAAGCCAATCTCGTCTTCATTGTACATGGTCACGCAGATGAACAGCTCCGTCTCACGAGTCGTACTACCGATCTGCTGCCGGAGCTTGTAGCCTCGCGCCGTGAAGTCATCCGGATCGGATGTCACCGCAGTGTATCGCATGTGTGTGAATTCACGCTCATCGCGTCGAGGCAAAAAACTGTGGAGGATGGTCGGGATTTTGCACTCGAGGATCAGCTCACCGTTGATAAGCTGGACCTCCTTCTTGGCCATTTGAGTGGGACGCACGCCACGTCGACCCTGTTTGTCGGGGGCCGGTCCGTAGTGCAAGTTGGGATCGATCATGCTCGCTTCATCGTCGTCTTCCTCCTCCAATTCAACCTTTGTCATGTCGTCCTTTTCATCTCCGAGCATGGTCGACTCGCTCATGAAGGATCTGACACTGTCGCGGGACGTATGATGAATTCTCTGGCCGCCACCGCCGAACGGATCCTCGCCTGCCAGTCCGTCTCCAATGTCGATACTGGCATCTGGGCCTGCGGACGGAGCTGGCGCTGAGAATAGCGGCGCTGGAGGTAGTGGTCTGCGCGGACTTCCGCCATATCGTGAGCTTGGAGTGCCTGGTCGAGGGCTTCCATTGAGATCAGCGCGTTCGTACCCGACACTCGAGACCGAAGGAGGCCGGACATGTCCAGGACTCCATGGACGAACGGGAGATCCTGTGCGTGGAGGTATCGATGGGTACACTGATGTGTCGGCTAGACTTGCTGTGGGTGCAGGCATTCTGGGTGGGTTTCCCATGCTGGAAGCTGGGCGCGATGGCGAGGCCGCGCTGGGAACATTGTAATAGCGGTCATCGTATGAGGGTGCCCGTGCGGTCCTGTATTCATGCCTTGTGTTAGAACGTGGTTTCCGAGTGTCATCCATGATTGTTGAGATGCATCAAATTCATGCAGTGGATGCGGGCTGTGTTCTGCCGTAATGACCGAGAAAGGAAGGTTGGGGAGCTGCAGCATGCATAATAATCAAGCCAAGCAGATCCTAAGGGCTTCCAGTCACCAGAGCGAGGCATGCACGATGACAAACAAATCTTGGGGGTGGCAAATCAAAGATACCCACGCAGTTTGCTTCACCTGTCAAGCGTACATCTGCCCCAGGCTCGCGCACCTCGGTCGTGCCCTCGTCACGACAGCAACGGCAGGAATGTAAGGAAACTCAAGCAGCTGAAGTACAAGCAAAGAAGTTCAAATGCACTCACGGGGTAGATTCAGAATAAGCAGGCTGGTAATGTACCGGCGACGCTGGGCGACGACCGCCATCTACATCTTCATTCTCGTGGCCAACACTTGTGGGGAGCAGTCGCATTGTCGCGCCGTTATGTCGAGTCGCCGCATGAGGCGAATCTGGATCGGACAGATAGGGTGCATCGGGGTCTAGATACGCTGGAGGCGCATCACCATAGGTAGACTGTGGGTATCTATCCATAGTGCGAATGCGGAATGTGTTCGATATCGACAAACTCTATGCCCTCATGGCATGAAGATTCTTTGTTGGCGACAAGCAGCGATACTATCTGTGCAATAGCACCTGAAGTCACACCACACTCGAGGTCTTGAGCGAGAAAGTTCGTAAAGACCCTGATAGGCTCTGATTCACATTAGCACGTTGATCTGGGGGCACCCGGAATGTCCATGCTCATTATGGAATGTGCACGATGATGCTTACACACCAGAGAGAGTAATTGAGCTTTGTACTGGAGAGTGTCAATCAATAACTGATGAACAGGTTGGGAGATCGAGAAATCGCAGAAATCAAGAGAGAACGAACGATCTGGTTCATTTGCAAGCGCACGTCCTCCGCAAACAAGTCCCTCCCGGTTCCTCCGCCAGCGCAGTCAACAAAGTGGAGGTGGGTGATGGTTGTCAGGGCAACTCGGCAGGTTGCAACAGGATGTACCCGCCCATCTTACTTGAGCACGGAGGTACACCCCTTGGGTAATACTGCACGGGGCTCTCGGGCTAGTAGGATATTTGTTTCATACGAGTACAGGCTGCAGAGACAGTTCCGTGCGGAGAGACTTGCTCGTGCGAGTCGCTGACACTCTGCTTCTTTGAATGAGGCGATTGCGGCCCCGTAGATCTTGTCTCCGCTAGTCTACCGTGGTCCAGTCCGGTTGTGTAAGTCTGAATGACATCGAGGGGTGCTGTGTCTCCACCTCGAATTGTGGGGTCTGCCAATGTTCATTAAGCACTCAACTTCCAATACAGAACTTGAGATCTACCTCGACCACCTGGATATTCCTCGTAGGGTCAGGTTGTATACTTGGATCCATCCCTCGGGACGGTCGTTTTCGAGTTGATCGTGTATTTGCCGAGTACTAGGTAGTAACTAGTACAGTCCTCGTAACTTGTACATCGTAGTCGAGTACCCACAGTGACCTCCTAAAGGATAATCGGCACTATATTACTGCTCGCTTGAGTATCTCTCGGTTTCGATTGTCGACTCTGATGAACTCTTACTACGAAACAAACTAGATCGATGGGGATGAAACAGCAATTGAGATAGAATAATCGTTCAGGACTAGTGACTACTGACTTCACAAAAGAAAACGTAACGTCATCCTCAAACACAACCACGGTCTGCATCTTCCCTTCTCTGCATCGAAAAAGTCGAATCTTTTCACACACAACTGCCGTTAGCCGTGGGCACAGGGTCGTTGTCCTTGGACATTGATGCCGAATTGTTCCCAAAGCCGAGGCGCTCCGTCTACCTTTAGGCCTGCTCATTAAGCAGAGGCTGGCGCTCACGGTCGGTCGATTCGGGGTGGGCCACACTCCGGAAAAGAGTGTCACGTCCATAGTATTTCGTGGTGGACACGTAGAATGAGGAGACTAGAAGGACACCGAAAATGACAAAGGCGAAGATCCACTGGAGGGCAATGATCTTGACCGCAAACTGACGGAGTGCCAGCGCTGAAAGGAAGAAAAAAAATCCCACATATTAGCCAAGGTACGATTGAGGATATGTCAGCAATCGAAAGTCACTTACACAGCATGAGGAAACTCAGGCAATGTCCAAAGATGTAGTCTTCCTGCACCACAATGTGGAAGAGACCCACAAGCATGATCACCCAGATGAAGATGTTGGCCACAATTCGGCCAGGTAGGTTGTGACTGTGCACAGCGACCGCGCCATTCCAGAAGAGGGCAGTGAGTGTCCAAGCATAGGGACCTGCAACAGCAGGTAGATGGACAAAGGCAGGAAGCCCACGGTGGCGCCAGTAGGTGATGGTCTGATTGATAAAGTGGGCCGCCAAAATGACTTCGGCACCCCAGAAGTGGTTTCGAGTCCACAGGAGGATCCAGGCAAAGACGAACAGGTTGTTCAAGATGAAGTGGGTCGCAACATTGGCCGCGGCCACCACAAGAGTAGCCTCCTTGGAGAACAAGTGGTAGACGTAGCTCAGCTGAGAGAGAAGCAGAAGAATCCTACATACAACCCCTTTAGTTCACCGATTTTGAGGTCCCGAAGCCCAGTAGTTGTGGATGTAGTTCAACACGGTGCCGCCTCAGTTTGGCCCCGCGTCATGCCACTTACCAATAGATTCCAGTAACGATTGTGCTCTGACTGAAAGGTGTGTTGTGCTTTTCGGCATTCTTCCAGAGCTTCTTGCTACCCTTGGTGTCTTCGGGGGCGTGAATGGAGTAGTAAATGCCGACTATCACCACCAAGGCCCAAGTGACTGGCACAAGGACTCGGTAAGTATTCAGAGCACTGACAGGGTGCTGCTCCCGACGAGCAAAGGGATTGTACGCCGACATGGGTCAGGAAGATTATCCGTGTGTCTTTTTACAGTGAAGAGGGGGTCTTCAAATCTGCGGGTGATGAGATCCTTCAAAAAGGTGCAGAAGGAACAGGAAGACTGAGCTGGTGGAGGGAGGAGAAAATCTGAAGAGGCAAAGAAGAGGGAAAAGAAAGGTTGGGTAACGTTTGTAAACGTCAAAAAGAAGGCAAAGTGAACCAAGGCTTGACCCCGCTTGTTGCTCTCCGGGACTGTCAGGTGAGGTTCCAGATTCAGCAATCAGCTATGGTGTAATCTGACATTCTTGCCGAACCAAATTCATAAAAAAAAAAAAAGAGAAAAACAAAATACAAGAATTCACTCTTCAATCAATCTTGGGACACTTGTCCATTCCCTCATCCCATACGTAAGGTGGTGAGTTCCAAAGAGGGTTGTTCTTCCCAGTATCTCCCAAGGTTCGTGCTTCCATGTCCTGCTGGACGACAAGCGCCTGGAAAATCTCCCCGGCATGGGCTGACGGTCGGGTGACCGAGTCCAAGCGACCATATCCAGCATAGTGGCTATGTACGCTGCCAGCTGCAGGCAAGACAGGGCAGTTTGTCCATGCTCCACCCGTCAACGAATGCTGCTGGATGGCTGGATGGCTGGATGGCTGGATGGCTGAGATGGCTGAGATGGCAGAGATGGCACCTGCAGGTATGATGCGCGGAGGGTGATGTCAGAGCAGCTTAGGTTATCTTAGCGGCTCCACTCGACTTGGTCCAACCGCCGTCAGATTTCACGGCTGTTTTGGCCAACATTACGCTTTGTAGAGGATAGATGCAACCAACTATCTAGTGTCTAATGTCTACTAGCTTGGTATCGTGCCCATCCTAGTAGATAAGAGATATGGAGTGGCTTACATGGCATCCTGGTCTCTCGGATTACACTGTAGGGTTGCAGGCGTGTCGAAGGTGTAGGAGCTCCTGATCCACACGGTCGGTGAGCGGTGTCCAGGTGCTATATATGGTAGCCGCCTGTCTATGGATGCCGCCTTGTAAGTTACAGAACCTTCCAACCAGCTACCTACCTTCGTGCTATATCTTATGGTGGAAATGTTAGCCTACCTCAGTGCACAAATAGGTCAGGAACTCACAAGGAATTATCCAGCAATATGACTTATGGGCCTCAAGGTTCAACGAATAAACCTCTGCTTCTGCATGATCACAAACAATCTGATTGGTGATCGACAAACACGGCCGCTGCAGGTCGATAAATCAGGAGAGTGTCCAAAGCATGACTTGGTGAACGTGCATCTGTAAGCATCCCAGGGGTGGCTGGAGAACGGCATTGTCAATATACAGCTTGTCTGCCGTGAACCACCTGCAGGCACAGCACCCTGCACGAGGGTTGATACTTGGTACCTACGTAGTTAGTTCTAGCAAGACTTACCTGATTCATGACTGTTGATTGTGTCTTACCAATATGACGTGGGTTCTATCTTCTTCGACTGATCAACTATGCCTACTCCAAACGTTGGGAGAGATCTGCCGGCCACCTATAACATGATCTGAGCGGCCCGGTTTAGGTTGTACCTTTCTAGCCTACGTAGATCGTGCCGTCAACCATGTCAAGACTGGAGCGAACCCAACATATACTTCACCAGTGGTGCTCTCGACACCGCCAAAGTTAAAATCAATCAATGCCGGGCACAGGCTGCTGGTGCAGCACATTTGATCGTGGATACCGTTTTTACTACTAATCAAGGATGACAGTCATCTGACCTACCTACACCACTGGGTAGCGGGCAGAGATTCAAAGCATAATAGAATCTCTACGAAAGACTTACGGGAGCAACACCAGTATAGGTAGATCTTAGCTACCTGTGCATCTTGGATATCTACTAACGTATATGTAAAGATACCTAGGTGACTGCCATGTATGAGAGTCTGCCAACAGGCGGTAGCCCATGTCATTATCATGGTTGATTCAGACGAAACGTTCATCGAATGAAGGATCGAAGTGCGAGACTCCGAGTTCACATGAGTCGATAGTTGACTGGATTATCTTCTCACCCAATGTACCTCATAAGCAACCCCAGACGACGACCAACCATGTTGGATCAATCAAAGGCTCATGCAGAGGAACAGAAGCTCAAGAGGCACGGACACCGGGGCCGACGCACGGGGTACATGAAAAATGGGGGCCATTGCATCGAAACAGAGCAAGAGATTGGTTACTTCAATCAGGTCTTTCTCTTTCTCTTTCTTTTTTTGACTAAGAGTATGTTTGTATTCCCATTTTGCAGTCAGTTTCGTTCAAAGTAGGGGGGAAGTGAAAGACGCGAGTCTAGGTTTGATGAAACCAATACTTCCCATGTAGATCGAGTGAGGCTCAGGTGCTGTGGTCGAGTAATTACCGGTAAGTGGCTTGGCGGTGTCGATCCATGGACGAAGGGTGAGTAAGTTGGCAGGTGGAATCATCTCGACATCCGTCGAGAGTTAAAAACCCTCATCAAAGAGGCTTGATTGATATTGCCAAAACTGGAGGTCTTGACCATAAGCCTTCGTGGTCTAGTTGGTTATGACGTCGGTCTCATATGGATTATATGACGACCCTGCTCTAACAGGGTGGTAATCCGAAGGTCTCCAGTTCGAACCTGGACGAGGGCAAAGTTTTTGGTGTTGTTTTTACCTCCGCCGGGAACATTGGCAGGCAAACCTGAATCCGCATGGGATGAATTAGGTGGGCAAAGTTTGTATGTCCTCCATTTTCCTGCCGGTCGAGCCGGAAACAGGTCGAATCCATTTTTGGCCAAGACAGCCTATCTATAAAACACAAGGGCCACACGTCGTTCCATAAAAGTGCGCCCTCCCATGCAACATATTTACTGTGTGAGGTAACCACAAGATACGCTGAAGAAACATAAGAGCCCCGAGGGATAATGATGACTATGTCTGTCGCACAGCTCTGACAGCATCCAAAAGTTGACTGTGAATGGAAGCAGGAGCCACGATCATCCCGTAGCATCCTCCAAGTGTTCGGCCTAACCCACAGTTCACGGGTTCTCCCTCCAAGTCGGTCACCACACAGCCCAGCTCCTGAACCAGCAGCATGCCTCCCGCGTGATCCCAGATCTTCGATCGATAGTTCTTCTCCCGAGGCACCTTGACAAAAACATTACATCCGCCCTGCACTGCGATCGCCACATATCGCATCTGCGCTGACCACACATCCACGGTGTTGGGCCATGGGCAGTCCAGCTGCTTCGCGATGCGTGCATGGGCATCCAGGTTGTGTGAGGACGCCGCCTGCGTGTCCACAAATCGGATATCACTTGTCTTTTCAACCGGGGGTATCCTCTCCAGAGGCTTCGACTCGTGTAAGGCACCCTTACCCAGGGGTGCAATGAACGCCCCATGCCCAGCAATCGCCGTGAGGAGTAGTCCGTTTCCGTCCCGATCAACCGTCTCTTCGGAGACCAGTCCCGCGTCGAGTTTCAGATTCGGGCATCCCAGCACTCCCAGTCGCTGTGTGCCGTCCTCGACCAACGAAAGACATACCACGTACTGCTGATTCCTGATGAAGGTAGCTGTCCCGTCGACGGGGTCCAGAGTCCACACTCGCCCAGGTCCACAGGCGCCTTTGGCACCGAGATCAATCAACTCGAGGAGCTCGTCCCGCGAGCTCGGGGTGTGGAGGAGTGCTTCACTAGCGGCGTCATCGAGATGCACGGCCGTGGCCAATTCCCAGGTACGTTCAAGGAGAGCGGGGTTCTCGCGCAGGGCGGTCGAGTCTTCTTCGCCGACGATCTGGTCGTCGGGGAAAGTGTGATGGATCGCGGCAATGATTGAGGCTTGAGCCGCGAAGTCGGCGATTGTCACGGGGGAGGAATCTTGCTTGTCAAAGGTGCCCTTGTCGACTTCGGAAAGGAGCCTTTTCGTCAAGAGCGCAGCTCGCTGGACCGCGAGGCTCGCGAGGTGTAATTCTCTGGCGTAAGGGGGCGTGCTCATGATGATGGGTGAATCGTGGCGTACAAAAGCGGAAAAGTGTTGATGTCGACGCAAAATGGACAGCAAAAGATGAGATGAAAGTGAAAAAAAGTTCCCAGCGACCAGGCCAAGTGCTATTATATCATAGATGACTCAATTGAGAATGGAACGAATCTCCACTATCGTGAAATGGATAATCATATCCTCCCGATAGTTTCACCGGGTGGGTCACGTGGGGTACATCAACGAAGAGGATTCGATGTACGTCATTTGTTGAAGTTTTCGCAAAAAAAAAAAAAAATTAAGGCCAATTGAGCCCTATCCTCAGGACAAATGATTGCCTTTGTTGATCTCTGGGCGAAAGGAATTGTCACGAGAAGGTTGAGCCGAAGGGGACAAAATCCTTTTGGCCATTGAAATGCTTGGGGCCGAATTTTCTCAAAGTGCCTAAATTCATTTGGTCATATGGCCGATGATCGACACGCTAATTAAGCACAGTAGTCGGCAAGCAAAATGCTGCACCAGACTGGCAGACTCAGTCCAGTAACATGCAATGGTCCCTGGTCCAGTATTAGTTCTCAACAGTGATGATCTAAAGCTACAGAGGTAAGTGCAGCTGTCGAATGTGTGAGTGGGATGAGGGTGAGATTGACTAGCGAGGAGAGATTCTATCTAGGCTATGGACTGCCGTGAGACGGCAGTATCACTTTGCCATGCGAACATTTTCAAAGACCAGAGGCAATTCTCTCCTTCAAGTTCATACCTATGGCGAGGCTTGCTGCTTGCCTGGCCTCCTCAAGGCAGAATCTCCCTATCACCGTGACTCATTCAACGCATCAACTCGAGACCTACTTGGCTCATTTGCGTGCAAGAATGGTCCACAACATAAGTCGGAGATCCCTTTCCTCAGTTATCCTCCAGCTTTCGTAACCCTTGCATGGGCCCCCAAATGCACAGGGTGAGGTTGCACAAATCACTGGGTGCATCTAGCCGCGACTCGAGGCATGATGCGCTCGGTTTCTTATCTATTTGGACAATTCTGCACTTGACCTGCACCATGAACGTAAATTTAAGGGGAGTATGATTATTTCACTGTCGAACACATAGTACTCTGTCCATAGAAGGATCATCACTCATAGACTAGTACCTAATTCGCGAGGTAGCATTACATCGGTAACGGTCTCCGATGCCGGCACCGGAAGTGGCTACTCAGATGCTGGTATCAGCGAGTCAATTAGCCCTACGACTGATACCTTAAGGTATCAAAAGGACAGTCAGTGATTCGGTCAATACTCGACATGGTACGGGGGAAATCGGTGTCTGATCTCATCCCTTGCTTGTCGATCGCTGCTCAAAGAAGATAACAGAGATCCACCAAGTCTGGGTCAAGATGTTCTAGACGAACTCGACGAACTCCGTGATCAAGAGGAGGAACAGCCGGGCCGAGCCTTACCCTGGCGTGCATCGATATGGAATGCTACGTTGTCTTTTCCTCACTAAATATATGGGCCTCTTAGAGTCGAGACGCTTATAGTTCCCGTTAGGACGAGGCTGGCGAAATATAGATACAGTAGAGCTCGGAAAACTGAAGAACGGATCGGCTGCCGCTGTGCTTGCTGTGCATCTGGGTAATCTTCTACTGCACTGTTCTTTGTCAACTACCTTTCGATCGCGAGGCGTGGAATTGTGAAGTCAGACACAGTTTGAATGTGCCCAGATACCATGACCCATGACGGGCAGCACCAAGAGAATGCCATTTTGGAAGATTTCGTGGACAAGGAGTCCACTTTGGCGGAAGAAGTCCCTGTTGTGTTTGCACCCGACATTCAAGATGTGACTCTGCACTGGGATCAGCATCCTCAAGATCCTCTCAATCTTCCTGCCAGAAAAAAGATTATCTTGATGGTTATGGTGTCACTGGCGGCTTTCATCACGTAAGTCGAGACGTTCTTGGAGAGTCGACTGAGGACACCCTGGGCTTGTCTCTGTGCTGGACCTTGCTAATAGAAAGCTGAAAACCACAGATCGGCCGCTACTTCTATCGTAACTCCTGCACAATCAGCAATTCAAAAAGCTTTCAATGTCAGCTTCACACAGTCATTGTTGCCGCTTTCTCTTTATACCTTTGCCCTCGGCTCTGGGCCCGTTATCGGCGGTCCAGTGTCAGAGACAGTAGGAAGAATGCCCGTCTATTATGTCGCATTTCCACTGGGAGCCCTCTTTACGCTCGGGGCAGGATTGACGAGCAACTTTGCTGCTCTCTGCTTTCTCCGCACTGCAGCTGGATTCTGCTGGGCGCCGATGCTGACAGTAGCAGCGGGTTCAATTGCTGAGACTTTCAGTGCTAAGGCTCGGGGCGGCATGATGGCGTTGTACATTCTGATGCCGTTTCTTGGACCTGGTTTTGGGTAAGCAGAGTGAAGGGAACCATGGTGTGACTGAATGATGAGCTGACCTTTTGCCGCTCAACCCAAACAGTCCTATTTTCGGGGCATATGCTGTCAGCCGCCATGACTGGCGATGGACTCAATGGGTTATTCTGTTCATGACGATCCCCTGTTTGATCCTGATCGCGTTCAGCCCGGAGACCTTTCCGCCAGTCCTCAAGCGCAGAATCGCCTCGAGAGAGTCGGACTATGACATACCCAAGTCGACCCTTCTGGCTAATGCCCACCAGTTCGTGACTGTTACGCTCAGTCGGCCAGTCCATATGCTTTTCACTGAACCAATTGTCTCATTCATCTGCCTGTATACGGCGATCAATTTCGGGGTCCTGTTCTGTTACTTCGCTGCAGTGCCCTATATGGTCGGGAAAGTGTACTCTTTCAGCACAGAGCAGGCTGGGCTCGTGTTTTTCTCGATAGTAATCGGCTCCACTTTAGGTTTCATCACTCTTGTTTTGTGTGATATCTTTTTCTATCGACCAAAGCTCGGAAATCTCCCTCCAGGTCAAGGTTCTCCAGAGCATCGGTTATATCCGGCCATGATCGGCAGCATTGGATTGCCCCTGGGCCTATTCTGGTTTGCATGGACATCCAAGTCGAGTATTTCCTGGGCCAGTCCCGTGGCGGCGATAGTGCCATATGCGTGGGGGAATCTGTGTGTTTTTGTCTCAACAGCGCAGTATGCCCTTGAGACATACCATGGGAATGTTCTGGCGAGCGTAGCCAGTGCGATGAGCCTGGCCAGATATGTGACTGCGGGCGCGTTTCCACTTTTTATCATGAACAGTAAGTCTCAAGGGCCTGGTTTCGAGAATTCACGATTTTTGGGCTAACAGTTTCATTCAATTGTAGTGTACCAGGCTTTGCATTTGGACTGGGCCATCAGCTTATTCGGGTTTGTCGCTGTGGCCTTGGTGCCAATTCCATTCGTCTTGTTCAAATTTGGCCCTCGCATTAGGGCCAAGAGCAAGTATGAAACGCTGTAGAACGGGATCATCTACTGCAGGCTGCTCACGAACTTTGCAGCAGCAGAATAGACCATCTCTGCTGCCAACAATGTTCATGACATGTTGGAGTTTCCAGTTTGATTGTAATCCGATGTTTTCCTGTGAATTATGTTCGTATTGAAAAGACCGACGAATGAGTCAATAATCAGGTACATTTGTCAATTAGTTCCATCATTAGGCACCAACCTAGGTCGAACACGACAGACAAGGCTTCCTCGATAATTTGCCGAGTATTCGGACAGTATACGAACCGTCTGGGCTATCGTTCTGCAGTCATGGCAGGATGCTCCGTTGCCGCCAACTGTCTCAGGGAGCGGGGACTGATCGGCATTCCAAACGTGGTCCAAAGCCGGTCAAAGACCGACGACCTAGAGTTCGATGATCGTCATCAGGCATTAACGAACCCCAAGCAAACTTCCCCTCCTCCACACCGGCCTGCTTTTAGCCTAAATCCAAAACGTGGGGGGTTCAGAAATGGCATGTTGCGGGGAACAAATTGGCATTGTTCGGTTATCGGCGAAGATCTCCGGAGAAAGGCATTCCTTTTAAAAGGACAGAATGGACGAGAGGCTTAATTGACCGTGGTCGTCTCTCAGTGAGCTCCTATCTACCAGATCCTGGCCAACCAGCCCAAAATGTCCGTTCACGCCAATGGCAAGACGCCCTCACACGCATTTAGTAAATCACCGTTCCGTACTCGTGCCGATTTTCAAGACGCTTGCTGCGGTCTTTTGAACCCACTCTTGCCTCTGTTCACGCCCGGCGGAAGTCGTGTCAAAGTAGGGACGTCAACGACTCGCTTTGACGAGGCTGGTGCTCAGATCGAAGGGTATGCTCGTCCTCTCTGGGGTCTAGCCTCGCTTCTCGCGGGCGGCTATCAATACGCCGAGGCCGCGAAATGGCGCGAAGGCATCATCAACGGCACTGACCCCGAGAGCCCGGAGTACTGGGGGGATATTGAGGATTCGGACCAGCGAATGGTCGAGATGTGTCCGATCGGATACGCTCTCGCTGTGGCTCCGCATATCTTTTGGGATCCTTTGACGGACCGACAGAAATCGAACGTGACGAAGTGGTTGAATAGTATCAATGCGCGTGAGATGCCCAATACTAATTGGTCAGTTGTGCAAATTGAAATCTCTCGGGATGGGAGCCTCACGCTCATTTCCAATTTCTTAGGCTATGGTTCCGCGTCTTTGCCAACTTGGGATTGAGGAGAAACGGCGCCGACTACTCTCACAGCCGAATCGAGGCTGACATGGATCACTTGGATACGTTCCACGTCGGCGGCGGGTGGAGCAATGACGGGCCCAAGACCCATCACCAAATGGACTATTACTCAGGATCCTTTGCAATTCAATTTTTACAACTGCTATATTCAAAGCTTGCAGGGGACTTTGATCCCGAGAGAGCCGAAAGATATCGGCAAAGAGCGAAGGACTTTGCCAAAGACTTTGTTTTCTATTTCAACCCGGACGGTACGCTTGATAAGATTCCATGTGGCTTTTTCCACACCAGGCCGTGAGTCTTGACTGACAACGAGCGCTCTCCTAAACAGGTCGGGCAATCCCTTTCGGTCGCTCTCTTACCTATCGATTTGCAATGGTCGGGTTCTGGGGTGCTCTCGCTTTTGCTGATGTCGAGCTCCCGGCTCCCTTAACCTGGGGCGTCGTCAAGGGACTTTTACTTCGCAACTTTCGCTGGTGGTCCACACAGCGAGACATCTTCAACAATGACGGCACTCTGAACCTGGGATACTGCTATCAGAATTCGTACCTCACGGAGAATTACAACTCCCCAGGTTCCCCTTACTGGTGTTGCCTCTCGTTCACTCCATTGGCGATCCCCGAGTCGCATCCTTTCTGGGCCGCCGAGGAAGAAGCCTACCCAGCAGCCTCTCTTCCCGAGGTCGTAGCGCTGAAGTATCCAAAGCACATCGCCATTCGCCGTGGTGGACATTCTTTCCTGCTGTCCTCTGGCCAGGCATGCCATTACTCAATGAGAGCGATCCATGCCAAGTACGGAAAATACGCATACAGTTCATCCTTCGGATACTCCGTCCCCACCGGCGGCTATGAGCTGGAACAATACGCACCAGACAGTATGCTGGCGCTCTCCGAAGACGGCGAATTCTGGAAGGCACGTCGACTGGTCGAGGAGGCGCACTTCGAAGAACCAGGTCAAGACGGCGTTCCCGTCCTGATTTCTACCTGGAAGCCCTGGTCCGACGTTGAGATCGAAACCATCCTAATTCCTCCTGCGCCCGAGACTCCGAACTGGCATATTCGCGCGCATCGCATTCGCTCCGGCCGAGCCCTGAAGAGCTCAGAGGGAGCCTTTGCCATCTACGGATGTCGGAGCGATACTGGGCGACTATTGGGACCCATGGAAGGACCTGCGAGTGAAGGCACGATGAGTGGCTCTGGAAATGCACTTGTTCTCTCCTCGGCTGGCGTCGTGGGCATTGTTGAGCTGCATGCTTCTGGCGTGCGCGAGGGCAGAATTGTTGTTGCTGATCCTAACTCCAACATTATTCACGGTCGAACTCTTCTCCCTTCCCTGGGGGTGGATATTCGAGCGGGCGAGAAACAGTGGTTCGTGACTGCCGTCTTTGCAATGCCTGAGAATGTGAAAGACTGGCAGTCTGGCTGGGAACAGAAGCCTAAAATCCCGGAGTGGTTGAATGAGAGATTGGTGACATGAGATAGCTTGTCCTTTTCTTAAACTTGATATGATATCGAGCAGCTTTTGTTCCTTTTGTACATAGCTTCGAATGCACGGCACTGATTGAATCTTCGATACTCACCGTGAACTACTTGGAGTGACCAGGCAGGGCTCAGCTGATCTGTCTACTAAGTGATCAGACGGACACAAGTCTCGCAAGACCACAAGAGAATGTAAAATTACTGTCGTACCGCAGGGTGTCGCATCCGTGAAACTTGAAGAAAGAGGGAAAATTGTGTTCTAGAGACGGTGTTTCATAATGACTAGTATAAATTGTATCAAATATCAAGCTGCCAATTGTTTCATACGAGAGTTGAAGCTTGATTGGAAGGAGAGCCATCGAGCTCCGAGACGCGCGGAGTACGTTGTTCGAGCATTGGGATGCTGGAACTCTAACCTGCATTCAGAGAACCTTGAACTGCTTGAGAACTAGGACGGTCGAAGTGTCAGTGGTGTCTTCAATGGTCGCCCTCAATTCACAGCGAACACTTACTAGTTGCATGGGCAAGATCCTCGGGCTTCGAAGCCTGGACATGGAGGCTCAGGTCATCGAGTGATCGATAGAGGTGATCTTTGTTGTGAAGGCAGTAAGTCTTGTCATGGGAATTCGCTCCCTCGGGGACCCTGTCGTTCAAAGAAACAGTTAGTCTGGGGTTTTTATTCACAAAAAAGGCCCGGCACCGCATTGGGAAACTCACCACGTGATAAAGACCAGCTTGTGTCGTTTCTCATCTCCAGTAGGGCCATCGTAGGTGAACTTGGTGACCATATAACGAGGTGCATCAGTGGTCAGAAAAGAAACTATCTCATCATGATTGTCTGATTTGCCCGACTTCGCCACAGAAATCTCTTTCTTGTGCCAATCTGGGACGAAGACGATGTAGTCCAGGGTCTTTGTTTCCTTGAGCGTGTCAAACTGCTCCTGACACTCAGGCTTGATGGTAGCGAAACCGCGAGTCATGGTTGCTGATGGGAGGCTGCTGTTGTGCTCGACAAGTTGATGGAAATGAAGCAACGCAGGGTTGGTAAGGTGAAGTGGCTGAGTGAGAGGTGCAGAGTGGAAAAAGAGTGATCGTCGGGAAGGTTACCCCAGGTTTCTTAAATGGATGTCCGAATGCGGGGAAGGTACCACTTTCCCCATAGAGCTTCTCAATGGAGATTCCTGACGTAGCCGACCAAAGACCAGGCAGCATTTGTTAGGTGGTTCCTGAAGCTTCCATGGTCTGCAATTCTGAATATGAATTAATATCTTGTGAAACTTGCTAGATGACCCGAAACAGGGTCTGTCCTAATTACATACCACACCACTTTTCAATCACCTGTCGCCGCATTCGTCGGCTGCATCCATGAACTCTCACTCAACATGGAATAGGACTCGTGTCTTGTCCATGCTTCCTCTTTACCCGCACAATACGTTCGACCCCCTCACGCAGAGATAGAATTGCCATGGACACGACAGCCGCTAAAGTAAACCAGTATCATTGATCCATGACAATGATGCTTGGATGTCGATGTAGTGTGTTCATGATCAACGCCGAGACGTCGCTGACAGGATCGGATCGTGCCCGTCGCTAATGGGATGATTTGTGTAACTCAGAAGCACAGAAAATAAGCAGGTTATGGTGCCTGCGAGAGCGTCGGAGTAGTATATTGTCCGACAGTATTTGGACTATGCTCGAATCTAGGTGTCAAGCTCCCTTTGCCCACGCCTGCTCGAGGGTGTAAGGCTTAGTGCCCTAATAATTGACCGCCTTGCATCTTCTAAAAGTTTCCTGACTCAAGGCTTCTCCATTCACGGATCAAGTCGGTCCACCAGCTTGAGCCTTTCATTCCTTGCAGCCTTGCACCACTGTATGGTACCTGATACCGCCAGCCGAATACCTGTGGACCTCGGTCCTCAGCTTCGTGGCAGTCCACCAGTTAGTTAGTTAGTAGTTAGTTAGTTGTGCTTATCTAAGCCTAGCGCTACGTGCCCCCCGACTGCAGTACCTTCCAGTACCTAACCGACCGTAAGTAACTTAAGACAAGGTACAAACGACCTGGCACCCACCGCTGCCGGTCAGGCCGGCGCCCGAAGGCTCAGCCCTGTCCCGCTAGACTGGAAGCTTCTCCGCATTAGTCACATGTTGCCATCGTATCTTTCATTTCTCAGCCTCATGATCTTCTTTCATGGATTGCTCATATTTAGCCGCTGACTCGTGCTCGCATTCTCGTCCTTTGTCCACTGCATTTCGCATCGCTTTGCGCTTCTTTCATCAGACTCTCAATACCCCCTAATCCTTCGTTATGGCTCCTCTGAGTATCTCAAAGGGGTCATCTCCCTCCCCCACGCGCGGAGAATCCTACGTCCAAATGGCCGATACCGATCTCGAATCAATCGGCCGCCACTGCCAATTTGAATACTGTGGTCAACTCGACTTTCTTCCCTTTCGATGCGAATCATGCAGGAGTACCTTCTGTCTTGATCACCGATCTGAAACAGCTCACAAGTGCCCTCACGCCGGGGAATGGGCGCGCCGGCGCAACGGCGCAACGAATCCACAAGGGAACAGCACGCCGCCTGAAAAACCCAACATCTACAACTCAGATCAATGCGCCGACGTCTCATGCAAAACGCTGATCAACACCCTCAAAGACCCCGGTGTGCGCTGTCCCAACTGCAATCGCCAGTACTGTCTCAAGCACCGATTACGAGAAGAACATGACTGCGCCAAGCTTACCCCGCTAGGCGCTCGGCAAGGCCCCAGCCCCAACGAGACCATCAAGTCGATGTTCTCGCGGATGCGAACCTGGGGCAAGGAGAAGCAAGAGGCGACGTCCAAGCTGATTCCCAAGCCCAAAGTGAAGCCCAATAGTCCTGCAGCACGCTTGGCCAGCGTGAACCAGATGAAGCGGACGGCAAAGGGCGAGGCGGCCGTACCGGCCGATAAACGCATATACCTTCACGTGGTTGGGACGGCGGATACGCAGGCTGCTGAGCCCCCCGCTGGGGACCTCTACTTTGATACGAGGTGGAAAGTTGGTCGGGTTCTCGATGACGCTGCGCGCAGGCTGAAGGTGGAGAATTTGAACAACCGTGGGGGCGGGGAGGAGGCGCGGTTGCGGATATTCCATGTTGAGTCGGGAGACTTCTTGGAATTCTCGCAAACGATCGGAGAAGGGAAACTGAAATCAGGTGATACCATTGTACTGCTGCGCGGTGCTGGGCTAGTCCTGGAGAAAGCCTGATCCAGGCACTTTTCCGCGACCTACTGTTCTCCCAAGATCTATATTTGTTTCTTCTCATCCAAGGATGACAATATCTCACTGCAGACGTGGACGCCGCCTATAAGCGTTTCTGTTACCGGCGATAGATTTTGACACCCATTTAGAGCGTGGCGTGTTGCCATTTTCCATGTGCTTCGACTTGAATCCAACTCGACTTTGTACAATGAGTGCCATTAATTCTTCCCCATGACGGGTATCATCTAAAGAACATAACAAAAAGCAATTTTGAGATATGCTTCCACGTCAACTACACACTCATCTTCATTTTGATGGTCTTGTGGGGCTTGTAACCCACAACCTCGAATTCATCTTCCTTCCAGCCGTCAATCACAGCACTGCCGCGATCATCTCGCTTGATGACCAATTCTGGGAATTCGGTCGGCTCACGGGTCAATTGCTCATTGAGCGCATCAACGTGATCCAGGTACACGTGAGCATCGCCCATGGTATGGATCAAAGTGCCCGGATGCAGGTCGGCTGCATGGGCCAGGATATGCGTTAACAAGGCGTACGAGGCAATGTTGAACGGCACCCCGAGACCCATATCACAAGACCGTTGATACAACAAGCATGACAAGGTACCCTTTTCGTTCGGCTTTCCCGTCTCCTCATCCAATTTCATACTAGGAGGGAAAGACACGTAGAACTGGGCAAACATGTGACAAGGTGGGAGCGCCATCTTTTTCAAATCGGCCGGATTCCAAGCGCTCATGATAATCCGACGATCAAAGGGCGAATTCATAATCTTGACCACAACCTCCTTGAGCTGATCAACACCCTGACCCGTATAATCGGCCTGCGCATCCACGTACTCCGCGCCGAAGTGTCGCCATTGGAAGCCGTACACGGGTCCAAGGTCGCCCTCTGCTCGATGGCCCAGACCGACCTTGTCGAGGAACTCGCGACTGCCGTTCCCGTCCCAGATTTTGATTCCGGCCTCAGATAATGGCAAAGACGACGTTGATCCGGCAATGAACCAGAGCAATTCCGCGAGGACAGCACGCAGGAAGACTCGCTTTGTAGTCAGAAGTGGCAAGACTTTGATGGGATCTCCACCATTTGGATCTGGCTTGGAGAGGGAAAAGCGCAGCTGAGGGGGTGCAAAAATGGAGCGAGTTCCTGTGCCTGTTCTATCGGGCCGGTGTTCGCCGTTGTCGAGGATTGTGCGGATCAGGTTGAGGTATTGGTGTTCTTCGTGCGACGGGTCGTGATGCGCCACAGGCTTGGAGTCGGCCAAAGGGCCTGGCTGATCTTGTGTCATGACGGCAATTGGTGTCAAATGAAACAGGCGTAGAAAATCTCAGATTGAAAACGCCTTTTGCAAGTACGAACGGTCGTTGTGGCACTGTGGTCAGTCGAATGATTGTAAGTCAGTGTTCCTTAAAGTGGTGGAGCAACCAGAGGGGCTCGACGCGGCCCTGACGCGACGCGCTTGCGTGTGTGACTCTTATCTTATCGCCAAAACCACTAGAATTTTGGCGGGGCCTAAAGCCAGCATTGGCATGTTTTTTTCAGATGAACAGCTGTGTCTCAAATAGATAGGGAAAATCAATGTACATTCGTACTCGATCAAAGTTCTTCCATGAAATCTTTAGTGATAATGAAAAAAAGGCTTATCATGTGGCCCTGAACCCGATCTCGAGAACTGATTACAATTAATCTTTCACTTTTTGCAAGATTCAAAGAAGATAGACCGCTATAGTGCATCTTTGCTATGTTCTCAAAAACACCACCCAAATGCAACATAAGTCCATTACCACTCCCTTTTTGACATGAGCAACAAGAAATCACGCTCCGGGAATCAATCCATACATGTGGTGCAAGTCTTCATTCGATGACATTTCAGTCACTCAGAAGATCCATTCCCACACCGCGTAAGGCACCAATCACCCAGGCAGGGTATTTTGTCTTGTCACCTGAATAGATATTGGAGAAGAATCGGCGGAGGAAAGCCGGATAGCGGTCTTCCAAGATAGCCTGGCGGATATCTGCCATCAACTTCAGCATGTAGTGTACATTGTGCATGGTAAGGCTTGAGTGACAACGTCAGTATGGACGAGTATGCTCCGAGAATTTAGAGGACTGCTTACAGATGCGCTCCTACTGTCTCCTTCGCGGTGATGTGATGAATATATGCCTTGGTCACCCCAAGACCCCCTTGCTCAGTGGAACGGCAGCAAGCGCATTCGCAGTTCTCTTCGATCGGGGTGAAATCGTTCGCATACTTCTGGTGGCGGAGGTTCAAGGTGCCTGCATCGACAATGGCATTTCCAAATCGCTAGGGTGATATGAGCGTTAGCCCACTGCAAAGACTTTGGCATATAGACGATTCTTCAGACTTACAGCTGTTCGCGTGGGCCACACACAGTCAAACATGTCTGCACCCAGCGCCACCGCCACAACGATATCTTCCGGATATCCCTAAGCTGGAATTAGCCGCCACTATATCAAGAACTTGCGGAAGAAACCTACCACGCCCATCACATAACGAGGCTTGTTCTCGGGGAGTAGTCCAGTACAAGTGTCGACTCTTTTTCTTGTCAGCGAGCACCCATTCTCGGCAATGTATGAGTGCCAACTTACACCTTGCAAAACTCGTCCTTGGCTTCACCACCGGAGAGACCTCCAATCGCAATACCGGGCGTATCTCGGGCGACCATCTCTTCGCAGCACTGCCGGCGGAGCTCAAGATCCAATCCACCCTGAATAATGCAGAACAAATTTTGCCTCTCCGGGTATTTGTGCGCTTCAATGCAACGATCCAACCATCGCACCGACCGGTCCATAGCTTCCTTGATACGGGCGTGATCTGGAGACGTGGTCGCAATGACGTCGTCTAGTTGCATGATAATATCCGAGCCGATGGAGTTTTGCAAGGATATGGAGTGTTCGGGTGTGAGGAGCCTGAACTGCCATTAGCTGAGTTTGCTCGCCAGGACCTGCAACGACCTGGTATGACAATGGTCCACTGAGAGGCTCTCACATGGGCGATCCGTCGTGAGGGCTGAGAAAGCGTACTCCTTCCTCAGTCACAGTGGCTAGCTTGAGGAGCGAAACCATTTGAAAGCTGTCCAAGACCAATTGGATCCTTATTAGCCTCCAATCTCAACTTCTCGACAAAAAGCCACACGAATCCCAAGTTCTTACCCGCCACTGTCGGTCAACAGGTTCCGGTCCCATCCTTGGAACTTGTGCGCGCCACCCACTGCATCCAGAACCTCCTGCCCTGGTTTCAAACCCAGATGATATGTGTTGTTCAGGCATAGCATACACCCTGTTTCACGTAGCTGGTCATATGTCAAGCCCTTTAGAGATGCTTGTGTGGCGACCGGCATGAAGATTGGAAGTGGCACGGAGCCATGAGGTAGTTTGAGAGTACTCGCACGAGCTTTGGTGGTCTGGCTTTCCAGTCAGAAAATTTTACATGAATTAATGAAGCGCCCTTGAGGTTGTACATCGCCGCAGGAACGCACATACCGAACATTTTCCGTGAAGGTCAAAAGTCAGTGCAGAAGGCATAGACTTTCGAGCTGGTTGTGCAGTCGTGGACATTGTGACGGTAAGGCTTGGCCCTGGTACTCGATTGATTAGACGAGATTGATTTCGCGCCAGCAACGAAAAGACTCGCATGGAGAGCATGCGCGGGGTGCCGTGGGGATGACTCGGAGCGTTTGCGATTGCGCTTTCAGGCACAATCGCGCCGATAAGATGTTTGTATGGTTTGCAGCAATTTCGGCGAGGCTCAAGTATACCGAGTTTATTCTTACCTTGAAGAAATCCACATTCCAGTTCCCACTAATCCTCGCGCTGTGAATGAAGCAAAAGGGTTAAGATCAGTTGGTCATACGCAGTTTCCAATCCTACGAGGCTGTTATAGGCATATACCAAGCTACCGTCGGTTTTGATCCCGCCGCGGGGTTCGCACACTCCACTAAATAAGTGAATCCACCTTACTACCTTGCAAGCTGAAGTAATTGCAAACTCAGCATTATTCGAAGCCGAGAGATGATTGTATCAGAACACTATATGCGACATTCAATTTGTCATACGCCTTTGCATTGGACCTGCAATGGTGGCCTGAACTGCCAGCTCACTCCTCGGTTCTCACATCCCTAGTACTAGTTATACACATTAACTTACCCTCTGTATAACGACTTAATACACAGCAAGAATCCAAAAAAAAGAGCTCGACTACCCAGAGTAACCACCACTGTCTCGATACGAGCTTTCATCCCTTGAACTCCCAGATTGATCGAGTCTGCCATCTACCACTGACAGGAACGTCTCTCTGTCTCGCGTATTAACATCCTGCGCCTTGTTGATTCTGTGCGCGATGGAGATGACGGTGTAGCTGGTCCATGAAGACATCTTTAGCCAAGCCCTGTATCGTTTCTGCCTTCCCTCGGTCCAATGATGAGTCTGCTTCATCCAGGATGGCAATTGGTTTACGATTGCGAATGAGAGCGTCCCTGAGGTGATCTAGTGGCTGGGCCCGAATCTGTATTTGAACCCCAGAGCCTGACCAAAAGGAACTCATAAATTGACTGAGAAAGTCGGAAGTCCCGAGGTACCGTGAAAGAGAATGTGATCCGTACTGCGGGGAGAATGGTATTGAAGCTGTGAAACTAAATTTGCTGACCACCTGCAAAGCGCAGTCTTTTCAAGAACATTCAGAACGAGGTCGTCGCCGTAGTCATGGTAAAGATCAGGATTGAATTAAACGCTTGCACGGGACAGAATGAAGGGGTCTCGAGGCACTGCAATAAAACATATTCTCCGAACAAGTTGAACCGGCAAATGGCATATGTTCACACCACCAGTCCTTGTTGCTCCAAGCTGATGATGCAACAGCCGCAGGAGTGAAATAAAGAGACGGCGCTTGCCACTGAGAAAGGTCAGCATACAGGAATAGTTGTGCGAGTTCATGGGGGGGGGGGAGATGTGCTTTGAATCGTCAGACCTTCCGGTTCGACCATTCCAAGTGATACCTTGTTTCGCTGAAACAGTCATATCGATGTCTTGCAGCACCCAAGTCTGTGAGCTGCACAGAGTTTCTCATGTTAGCATCTTTTTTTGTTGAAAAAAGCCATGCTGAGACTCACCTGTATCCTGCCGACATCTATCTGACCAACATGGATCCCTTTGTCAGCCACCATGGCGAAGGCTCCAAAAAATTCCAGTTTTTATCTTCAGAAAAAGTATCTTGACCAACAGACCGCAGTATTCAGCTAGTTCAGCCACGTATCAAGCGTAGTACAGCTTCCCATCACGCGAAACATGGAAGATCGTGTTCGTAGAAATTGTCATATTCAAAGCATTCCTATCTTCCTCTCGCACTGCCGCGAGACGACACTGTCAAGAATATCAAAAATATAGCGACTGATGCAATCAAAAGATCCAGCACGACATTAACCCCGAGCAATCTCCGCAAACGTCAGAAAATATGCTAGGCTTTTGTGATATGCCGAGTCTCTCGATGCTGTCACTTTTAGATTTTGCTTGCCATCCAAATGTCGGGATTGTAGCAAGGCCATCAAGCTGTCATGGAGACTTTCGGTTTTGCGGAGCAGTGGGTGCGGGACAATTTTCTACCCGTGTCTATTAAACTTGTACAAAATTGTGACTTTGATGCCAGATCAGTGAAACACAGCTGTCTAGAGGTCCTGGGATAGACACAAAAGGCGCATAATAGTCATGAAGCCGTCATCATTGACTGGATCAAGAAATGAACTACTGCCTCCAGAAGCAGCTTAAAAATCCCTGTGGTACACAGATGAGAATGGCGTTTGTATTGAATATCAGTTGAAGGACTTACGGTTACGGAGATTTGCAAAAGCAGGAGATAGCTGCTCGCCGACAAGCTGAGCATCTTGGACCAACCTGGGACAATCAGAGAATTGGCATATACCGATGCACTATTCAGGATTGAAATTCGTCTAGCCTATTCAAGATGGTCCCAGCTCCAAAGGTTGAAAAGTATGAAAGCGGAGAGCACTGCTGAGATCAGCCTTCGGGACTCGACAATCACGCATCTTCACTTCTGACGAACTTGCTGACTTTGCTAAGAAGCATGACATGTTGACAGGAATCCGATCGCGGAGCGGTGACTATACGTATAGACCGTTCAGGAATACCGTGCTTTCAAATTGACGAAACAAACCATGTAAGCCGAATGGAGCCTTGATCTTCCTACTTTCAAATTACCTCGTCACCGGCGCTGAACAGATCATTCAAGACCGTGATAGAGCAGCGAGAGTAGACAGCGCCAGGAGAAGCATGGAAACTCACCAGGAATGATGCAGTTGGACATTCCAATGTGAAAATTGACAATGCGATGTTCCTGTCCATCGTATAGATTAATATCCCCACTGTCAAAATCGTCATGTCTCCAGCGGCCATAGATTCGATATCGGAGTGAAGGCTGCAGATTTCTATGACAATTCGATACCACTCCATGTCTGCATCTGCAGAACCACCGCATATGACAGCACAGACTAAGCCGGATGGAAGCCAAATGGGCGAGCTGCAAAAAGCCATCTTCACGGCCGCAACGGCATGGAATGGTCCCCATGCTGAGGACTAGCTTGCCAAGCCTTGACCTTGTCAATATTGACTTTCCGCTGCCGACAGGCCCTGAAAATACGTCAACAGCCCTATTGCTTTGTAAAGAGTGACGGAGCTAGATGGTCGGACATTCTTGCGGGCAGTGTTGAGAGAAAGGTAGAGCCAAGGGCACGAAAGCCGCAAGGACAGCAAGGATAGGACCGAATTGTCAAAGAAACATTGAGATCTTAGACATTCACCGAAGTAGATCAGTCGCAAAATGCAGACGCCCACTTACAGGCCCAGAATATACTTATCTTCATAGACTCATCAGAGAGCAGCCACAATATAAAGGGGAGGAGATCTGACTATCTTGATATGACCATGAGATTAGCAACGACTCTTGTTGTTGAGCGGAGAATAGGTAATATGTATATTGAAAGAGACACAACGAAAGAAGCTTATACTCAAAAAGTGAGCCCACGCTCAGAGCCAGTCATTCTGTCCAGCATTGGTCTCGCAAGTTCCGCGACCCATTTTAGATCTTTCGTCGGAGCTGCGAGCGTGACACAGTGATAACAACACGGCAGCGTCAAAACGTGTGGTATGTTTCATGGCATCAGGCCTTCTCGGGCACGGCAGGGACCTACATCCGAGAATGATGTATAGAGCTAGAATCTATATGAGATTTGCTTATTGAGTTTGGACTCCATAGACGACGTGAAAAGAATCAGTCGAAGTTATAGGGGGCAACAAGCGAGTGTTGGACTCGAAAGGTAAATCATCCATCAACCAGATGTCCATATTCAGGAGGAGATCGCCGTGCCTAGGTAGCCGCGATGGTCCAAAAAACATGGCTGACACCGGACTGCATCATCGATAGCATGAATATCCGCACCAACTCGTTTACGATTCCAATCTGGATGGAAATTGACTCAATTGAGACGGGGACGTGTAAATTTCAAATACGGTCGACCTTGCATTTCAGACTGTTTACCTCGTCACGTACATGAACGACGCAGTAGGTATGTAATCCCCGTGTGGATGTAGATTTAACCTATTGATTGTAATTCCAGTCGCATACCTAGAGGCTGAGATAATCCGATATCAGAAGCATTATGCTGAGATGAACACTTCCTTTCCACCAAAGGCGTGATTCTCCTCTGTGCAGCGCGCGGACGGGTCCCAGTTCTCATCAGACGGCCCAGTTCAGTCGAAACTCGAAAGTCATTCGCCAGGCCGTGTCAGGCTATGTGCAACAAGCTACCTGACTCGCGTATCTCGGAGAACTCCCTCATCGATTGTGTTCAATAATCTACTTGAAACTTGTTACACCTCTTCTCTCAAAGAGACTGCATAATTGCGTCAGACTTGGAACACTGGTGCTCACATGATGACTGAGGTTAATGCCAATTCCGAAGCCAAGTCTTGAACCTCTCACCTTCTTTTCAACGTCATCTTCATGTTCATGTTTGGGCCGCGACCGGATCGGACCGCAACTCCACCGTCATCTTCGATGACCACCAGGTCAGGTCACCTAGAGCGTCGGAACGGTCGCAATCTCACGAGAAAACGAACGGGAAATGGCGGATGTGAAATTACTACAGTCTTGCCCACGTGTGTCTTTCTGACATCAACACTAGATCGGGTCGGACTGAAGCCGCTTGACGCAGAAAGGAGAGGTCGTCGTCTACGCAAGGAGTGAGTGCACCATCGATGGTAATGAGCGGAATCCTAGCTTCCCTTGTACGATGTAGGAGCAGTTGTCTTGATGGCCGCGGCCTCGAATCTGCTGATCTCGATACTTTGATGACATGGGGCGACCGACCGGCTTCTCATCACTGCGTGCATCGAAAGAATGATTGAGTGCACCTCGCATGTCCTCGAGCTTTTCCCGATGTTCAACTCAGACTCTCTCGGGACCAGCGATGATTACACTTGCGACCAGTCTATCCCGTCCTTTCCTGGATGTTCAGGCCCGTGCTCCGATTTCCGGAAGTTTCTCTTCTTCTCTTCCAGAACATGTCATATTTCTCATGGGGCTCGCTACCATCACTCCGGTAGGCGCGTTGCCCAACACACCATCTTCACCAGTCCGAACTCTAGACCCCGTTCGGCGCTCGTGCACTTCTTCCTGACTGGCTGCCTTCTTCTTATTGACCATTCTCGTCGCTCTCACGAGAAGGTGGGCTTAGAGGGGCAGACTCCGCCTGTCAACAGCACTACAGCCAGGAGAATTCTTCTCCACGATAGAAGTTTACACCTTCGACCGGCGTGGTTGCAGTTGCCTTGATCCGTCGCTGCCCAGCGCCGACCGGTCCACCTCCAGCGAATGAAGGTCAAACACACATTATCACCCTCACCGAGAGGCATGTCTCCAAAGCCGTATCTGCTTCGCCCGGCGTCGAGAGCGAAGCAGCCAATCGCGCACTTGGTGACTTTGCTATCGTTCGCTCAGCTCACGATTTAGAAGAGTCTCGCTGTATTGCGATCGAGATCTATTCATTATCTGGGGGTTTATGCTCGCCTGCGCGTCCAGTCACTGTTTGCACAATGTACAGTACCTCATTTATCAAGGTAGGCTGATAGGCTCAGTCACACAGTCAGACTGCGGATCCTTAACACCTCACAATAATGCCTCACTCTCCACCCCCGTTTGGGGTCGAACGCGCCCGTGCATGCATGCCGCGTGCACCGCGGGTCCTGGGCGGGTCCATCTTTAGGAGAGCTTGCAGTGGTGGGGGTTGGACCTGACTGTTGACACAGTCAGGCTCACTGCGGTGAGGCCTTGGGGAGAGATCCATAGACGACGTCTGAGTCAGTCACTCGACATGTGGATGCAAACACCATGGATACAGCGCTGCGCAATGTATCCAGTCTGGCTTGCATGGTAACTCAGGTCATCACATTCCACACTATTTGGGCTCGGTCGCCCGGCTGATTCGGAGCCTCTGTGCAACGTGTATCGAGCGAAGGGGAAGGCTTGTTCGAGAGTGATCCTTCGTCGGGTCTCATGCAGCCTACTCATCGTCAATAAGAGGCGGAGAGGTTGGGGGGTATACTCAGATGATTCAGTGTGAGTAATAGAGGCGATCCTCATATAGCGTGGCCTCGGACACGAAGTCATCAATAGACGGGAGAGTATATTCTATCGAGTGGGAGACGGAAGGCCTTGTACATTGAGGTACAACCCTGGAGGGATGAAAATCGGACCCATCGCACTGCAGGTGGTGACTTGGACTTGTGTACCGGTGACTCTAGTCCGCCAGAATTATAGTAGCACCGCGACTTCCAGCTGGAATGCGACCGTCTGTAGTTTGGGTTGACCAAGATCTCTGCGAGTTTTCGAGTTGGGTAAATGACCTGCCCAGCTGTTTGTTGTTTATCGGGCAGGTGTTCACAGGTCAACCCAAAATGCCAACCGCATATCACAAAAACGGGAACAGGGAACACTGGATCGACAAACGAGGTTGACCCTGATGACGAGTTAAGATCATGAGCGGCTTCCTCCATCTCACCGTAGCCTTCTCTTTGTTGCAGATGTCCTGCTACAACAATCCAACTCCTTGTCACTGGGCTGCCCGACCTTTGTTGGTCTGACCACCACCAACATTCTTCGTGTCTTCCCGATCGCCCTGATTAACCACTCGTGGGCGAGAGTGGGCGTTTTAATTCAGCCTTCCTGTCAAAAAGAAGCATGCAACGTTTCTCATTGACGGATCGACTGCTTTCAGGCCATCGACGACCCTGCAGTTCGCTCGATGGGTATGTTGGGCTTCCAAGATAACTCCTCCGCCCTCGTGTTCCTTTCCTCCCCACCCTTCTTCCCCTGTCACGCCTAAAAATCATCCGATCTACACTCGCTTCCTATTCCTACTCCGATCAGCCCCGTGTGGGTATCTGAGGTCGAAGCAGGATCATTTGTCAGAGTCTATTTCGCCCTCTTGTCAGGTAATCCGTGGCCTCATCTCGAACGCCGTGGCTTTCTGCAGTCTGGCTAGCGAGTGTACTAGCGCTTCAGGATTTCAGGATTCCCGCGGACTATAATTCCTTGTGGGGTTCCCAAGAACAAGACATCAGCGAATTTTCTGTCAGGAGCCACGAGAAATCATATGATCGCTGAGTATCCCCAGTTCTGTTTCGACCGATGCACAATCCTTTGGTCTGTGCTGCTAGAATATCTTCCTCTGCTTCTCCCGGACCTTGCTGGCGTGGGGCGAATCCACTATACAACGACCTCTAGAATCTGCGACTATTCTTTCCATGCTTGCTCTCCTCAACTTGACAGGCATACACAACAAGACTCGAAAGTTTGCCATCACCCTGTCTACAAGCCCCTTTCTCCCGGAGCTCATTGAAGATTTCCATCATTCCATGCCAATTATCACTGTGTCCGGGCTAAACACTGCGTCATGGGAATTTGATCAAAATATCATCCCTTTCTCGGTTTGGCGGGGCATCGTCAGTGTCTAATCGACAAGTCCGGATCCCCTTTATTCGATTTGAATCAAGAGTCTCAGATTGTATTTCTCTTGCCTTGCGCGACCGATCTTCTGAAACGTGGGTTCCTGCGACATCATCACGGCAAGGAATTGAATGGGCGATAATCAATTACGACATCTCCACTATCTCCTTACTTGACTGTCAACAATCAACAATCCATCGGTTCGTTGATATTTGCCTGAACCGAGGTATATTATTTCATCATTCTTACCGATTCAGCAGTCTGTGATTGTGGTTGTGTGTCTCTGTGAACCAAACAGAATCAGGGGCCAACACCTAGACCTCGGAAGATCTCGTCATACAATCCAAGTGGCTTTCCGCAGGATACAAATCAAGCTGCAGGTTTGAATACACTTCCACCATTTACTACTCTGTTTTGCATCTTTGGTCGATCCCTGTCCCATCTTATCAAGGCTATGGGTTTCTTCGCGACTTCTGAAAAACGCGCTGGCGGTGGTGGCAGCTCCAGCTCAACCGACTCCGCCGCCTCGGATCGCTCCAGAAGCACAGCTCCTACGCTTCTGAGCGATCGCGTCGTATCGGGCGGTCGTCACCCCAAATGGTCTGACTACGAATACCTGGATGGAACTCCAATTTCGGTCTCTGTGGAAGAGGATGACGAAGAAGTAGAGGAGGATTACGACGAGGGCTTTGAAGATGAAGACGATGGTCATCACCGATCTCAACAATCCGTTTCAACGTATGCCTCCTCGACACCCTCGCATGACCATGATATATCCGAGGAGCCTCTTTTTGAGGTAGAAGACAGAGATGAGCGATTCCCATCGGATGCGTTGGCATCCACCCCATCCTCCTTTGGAAGTCTCTTCCCATCGACGCGTCGCTTGCTTATTCGTCACGACGACGCAACTATCGATGGCAACATGAACCTCCGGGTCGACACAGTCGTTCCTTGCCGGGATGGCTACCAACAAGATGTCATCCTCTTTCATCTGCGCATGTACGATCTCTTCTCCCGCAAATTCTCCTTCCGTCGATACTGCCGGGACTCGGGCCGCGAGGTCTGCCACTCAACCCGCAAGGAGACCCAGTCGGCACATGATCGACGGCCTGTCTTTCGTCGATCTTTGAGTAGCATGTTTGCCAGTCTACGACCGGGTTCCAGTCACAGCAGTCATCACAACGGATGCACACAAACGAATGACCGACCCAAGCGGCGCGACTCCGGATATGGTTCAGACATGAAGCATGATCCAAAATCCCATGCCGCCGACTCCGCCAAGGCGGATCCTTCATCCTGCCTTTCATCCTCTTCACCTTCCTCTTCTTCACCTCACACACAAGACAGAAATCTCACCGACACCATCCTGCTGGAGTTCTCGAATTACGCCCACGTCGAGGTGAAGCGCCGAGGTGGGACCGGCGCCAATCGCTACGAGTACGAGTACTGGAGTACTCGGTATCAGTGGCGCTGTGGATCTCGTCGCGAGGGAGACCTGCGGGAGTTCTCATATCATCTAATTGACACGAAGACGTCCAAAACCATTGCTCATTTGGTTCCAGACATTTTGACACCAATAGAGGCGATGGAGGAAGAGAGTAAGGGAGGATGGGTGCCGCCGTCCAGTTTGTGGATCAGCGACCCCACTGTATACGGGCGAATGCCCGATATCGCGGAGTAAGTGAGAGAGACCTTTTATCTTATTCTATTTTCACAACGCAAGTGGCCTACGGCACAAGTTTGTTGAGTTGAAAAACACTGTACCTTCACCTGTCCCGCTTCTACCTCCCCTCGTCCGTAATTTTGGGGTTCCATTTGGAATGGACTGCATTACTCGCTTTGCTTTTATCTCGGTCGTCCCCCACAATTGGCGCGCTTTCCATTTTCCGGGCTTCCATGATCATGAGACGCTGACAAGTTGCTGTAGTGTCATTGTCGCAACGGGTCTCATCACACTTGTGGATGATTGCATTCGACGTCGCTGGCATCGAGAACGCCGTGCATCAACTCTCTCTTCCACCGGCGCCGCGTTATCGCGAAGTTTGGAGCGGATGGGTCCACGTCGCCTGATCGGCGAGGTTCTCCATCGGCGAGGCTCCGCATAGAGAGGATTTGAAATTCTCAAGGGGGGTCGTCCTTTGCCCCCTTTCTATGTGTTTTGACCACCGCCAGCTATTTTCACCGACAGAAATTCTTCTTCCTGCATGTAGGCAGCTTTAGACCATGATGACAGTGCATCAACACATTGGGCCGCGATCAAGATTTACACAGGACTCCAGTCGGCGCACCTTCCATTCTCCACTCGACCATCCATCCCACGGGTCAGCATTGCCTTACTGGACGTGCACAAGCGGGCATTGCAGAGCCCTCCAAACGATTTGATAACAGGATACCGGGCCCCGTGGGAATTGGGATCTTCTTTTCGTGTAAATTTTGTTTCGTTGAATATAACACTTTGCCCATCTCCACATTCATTCAATTGTTCCCTTTCATCTGTCATATGCTTTTATCTCTGATTTATGCGTTCACTATCGCTTGATGCGGAAAAGAAGAAATGTGTCTACGACTTGATGATATGAATGCCAGCACTGTTATGGTTCCTTCCTCTCTCGAATCTGGGGTTCTTTCTCCTTAGCCTCGACAAAAACAATTACTTTCTACGATTCAATCTTCCCCCTCCCCGGAACCCTTTTCGCCATTGCGGATACCTTGCACCGTCTCAATCATTCCAATAGCTAAAATCGATCCGTCCGGGATGATTCAATTTAGAACCCTCGCTTAGGCCTTGAATCAAATGCACCTTCCTGCCCAAGTCCCAAGCACATCCATTCCATGACCACCTAACCTAGCCCGGTCGATCGTTGACGCATCAAGGCGTTGCATGTGCTTGTGTAAATGATGGGTCCTCGACATTCCATTTCAAATTATCTGCCAAGGAACTAGACCTGAACATGTCAGGCACTGGCACTAGTCTCTAGCGCTCCATCCATGCAGGAGATCAATTTATCTTGCGTCATCTCCAGTACCTGACCTACACATATACGTGACGATGAGCTGGAAGGCGACATGATAGTATCAGTGGGGGGTAATGGCCGATTTGTCTGGTTTCAGCTAGCCAGCTTGTCCATCTAGAGGTGGTCATCACCATGGTTGGAATATAATTCTATGTGAGTTGCCCGAGCCGTACCTTTGATTGATGATCTGCAGGCGGAATATGCGGGGAGGGAGCTCCGGCCAGCTGTCAGGTGAAGGTCAGTATCTAATTCGATCTAATGTACTGTCTTGTGATTGTCGAGCCTGGAATACCAATATGCTTTGTCGGCAGTCGGAAACACTCAGACTCTAGGTAGCTATGGGCTATGGGACCATACCAGGGCTGCTGCGACGGTAGTACTTCCAGAAATTTGTCACAGACCTCTTATTGATTCGAGGGGGATGTTTCATGTGTGATAGCGAGAGAAGAAACAAGGTGGGGGCAAACCGGCAAGTCCTCTCTCCAGTCTCGAGAAATAACCTATCTGTTGACGGACATCAAGATCAACACCAAGAGTTATGAGAGGCGGTCCATCCTTCTCATCTGACTAACCCCAGGCACGGATACGTGTTGAAATCCCCTGATAGTCATTCTGCAACATCGACGAATATACTGTGATATATGCGTCTCGATGGAACCTGCAGTGATGTGTTTTTGTTGACGAACCTGCAGCAATGTGCGCTGTCATTGACTCGACGTGCGAGGCTTGCATGATCTATCGGTGAGCGAATAGTATTCGGCACAAGAAGATCCAAGTTCCTGTCCGGGTGCAACATGGATACCCAAGCAGATAATTGAGCTCGTTGATACGGTCTCCATTGCATCACTCGGTTGACTGTGGTACGGAGCTCGAGACGTCCAGAGCCATCCAGACCTACACGCCACCCTTTTCATCGACCCACTCGACACGAGTCAGGAATTAACGTTCCGTCGTCTTGACATGCAGATCGACAAGCCGTGCCATCTCCTACTAACGCACGTCATTTAGCAGCAGCAGCAGCCGCCGCCGCCGCCGCCGCCGCCGCCGCCGAGCGACCTTGGAACCAAGGGACAGTGATACAAGCCAGAGCCCAATCAAGTCCTTCTCATGGTTCAGTGCCAGCGAATACTACCGCATCGATTGGCTCTGGATTATTCTTGGGATCTGCCACAGGCGGGTGAATTTTTTTCTTTTTCTGGCCGGGGGTTGAAACCGAAAGCAGGGAGAACAGGCACGGCCGATATGAATTGTGGAGAGGGTTATAGATCGGAACCATGGTTCGAGAATGGCACTAAGGCGTGTGATTCCCGACTTGATCTACAGTAGTGCGCTTAGATTGGGGAGGTGGATCAAGGGATTTGTGTACTAACTGTTTCCATATGGATCGTACCACTGTTTTGACCCCGTCACAGATTATTCAACCTTTTGGGGGAATCTCCTGAAATGGTGCCTGATCTCTAATCGCAACCCTGTCAGATTCTCCGCTCTGTTGATATCCATGATTGATCATGCACCTCAGTACGCCTGCACAATGCACAATGCAATGTCAAGCACGTCAGACACATGTCATCGTCCTCGGGCTATGTACTCCTCTATACTGCTGGATCATATCAGATTTTGGCGCCCAAAAGGGTGGAACGAACCAACTTGATCGTCATTCTGAACAGTCTTTCTGCGGCGATCAACAGGTCCGACTGGTCCCCCTTGATCCAACCCGGCTAAGCAAGCGCGGGGACGGGCCAGCCCCGGAACCGGCTCGGCTCTTTATTTAGGTTTGATTTGGGGGTTCCCTCCCTTCGGGTCTGATCTTTTTGCCAGCAGTGATTTTCTTGCCTTTTCTTGTGCGTGTCTGCTTTTTTTTTTGTTGTTGTTGTTTTGTTTTCTCTTCTTGCCCTTTTTCTCGATTTTGATCTTGCCGCCCTCCATGATGCCGTTATCTTCTTGCAAAATCAACTAGTGAAAGACACTTTGTCTCGCCTCGTTTTGCCATTCGATGTCCGTAATCTGACTAGCTCCACACAGGCGAACCATGGAACTCGATCGCATTGTCGTGTCAAACGGCCAGACCCCTTTGATCTGGTCGAGTCGAGTCAAGGTAACTTTCTTCAGGTAAACCGTCTATCTCACTGCCTTTCTTTCTAAAAGCTACATTTGCTTTTTGATGTCGACCCCTTAGGCTCCCTCTTTATATTTGCTGCTTGGTATAGACAATAGTTTATAGAGCATGCCATTCCCTCCTCTGGGCTGCATGTCGGCCTTAAGTCCAGGGACGCAGATACTCATGCTATACTGCCCGACCAGGGAGGCTGAACGCAGGCGATGGAATGACGGGTTAAAAATTGTTTCAGCAATTCGTGGCACCGTTCAACTTTCAAAATGGGCATTTGGGATTTTATTTGGTGAGCTTCCATGGACACTCGTCAGAGTCATCATACGAGGCCCTCTGGTGAATAATATCCCGTAGCCACTACATGTGGAGGAGAAGCTCACTTGGATCAGGTAGACTGGATCGTCGCGTTCGCTGAAGAGTCAAGGAATCGTCACGGGCGGGAGGTGAGCCACCCCCACCCTCTATTTCTGGGCCGTTGAGATGAACAGGTGTTGATCTCGGCTGTGGGTGATGAGTGATGAGTGACTCCGGAGGCTTGGAGACTTGGACTGATTTGCGGCCTATACCTTCAAACCTTGGACCCCATGCTAACCACATCGGATCGTCCCTGCAAGGCGACCCGACATTATCATTAGGCCGAGGCTCAGTATTTGGTGCTGCTAGACTAGCGGCCTGAGGCTGGAGTTTCAACCAGTCGGACGCAAATGAACCATTGGCCTTGGTTTGAGGGAGGATGAGAAAGACAGGGGGAGAGTTCCCTGCACAGATCATGCTGCTATTCGCCTGGTGGATGGTGGTAGTGGTGGTGGTGACGGGTGACACAATCCAAAAGCAAGTGGGAACGCTGAATGGTAGCCGCATCGAACAGAGACTACGACTCTCATGGATTCCCGGCTGGAGGAAACCATGCGCTGGCACTGTGGACCACTGGACATGGTTGAATGTAGCCCAAGTCTGGGGAGTCAATGAATTGAAGCAGCGGCCCGATTCCAACGCCACCACCGTCTCTCCAGAATAGGCGGCCGTCTTGACAATCACCTGAGACTGGAGGTAAGATGGGCTTAGGTCGCCCTTGGAGATGTAGGATATTGTTGGAAATCGAGTTTCGGGAGGCGATCGAGGACTGCTTTCCAATTCACGGGTCTTCTGCCCGCAACCGAGACCAGAACTCAAAGTCTTCCAGATGGGGGGATTTGGATTCAAAGTTCCTAGGGACTTGTATCGAATCACAAAAAAAAAAAAAAAAGACTCATGGATCATGTATCTCCTCCACCGCAGGTCGAGGTAGATGGTTAGCAGTTCGCAGTTGGCACTGTGTAAAGTCAGACCCAAACCACAACTTTGGGCATCCGCAACCCCCGCTAGGCTCGACTGAGTTTAGGGCCACCGCGAGACAACGACACACATCCCTCCTCCATGTCCGCCATTCTGCAACAAATCTCTACTTTTACGTCGACGTGCGGGTCGCCGCATAGTCTTTCTTTCCAGAAGGCATATCCATCGGATGACCTCCCGCAGTCGCAGCCGTCAGGCACTTCTTTCTTCCCGTTTGGCACGCAGGCTGCCGCTTGTCCGGAACAAAGTCCACTGTCATGATAAGGCATGCCATGAGTTTGGTCCTGGTAAGAAGGGGGTACTTTTGGTCTCTTTGTGTTGGGGCGTCTCTATGTGGCTATTTGTTTTCCAGGCTTTGGTCTTTCTGTTGTTGTTGTCCCTCCGTCCTTTCCCCTTTGCGGGTTCTGGTTCCCCATCTCTTTTCCTCATTTAGCTCCCAGGACAGCACGATGCGTCAAGTGGTCCCGGGGTGGAGAGAGTATCCCTGGGCAAGGCTCCTTAGGGTTACCAGCAAATGATCCACTGAATCGTGACTGTGAATAATTTGCCTTGGTTTCTCTCTACGGGAAACCTTTTTTTTTTTTTTTTTTCTCTTTCTCTTTACTTGATAATTCAATCTCTGCGTTTCCTTGAGTGGATCCTAGAATTCTTCCTGGACACTTTTACTTCTTTTTTTCCGGCTCTCTTTATTCATTTTTCTTTTCATTTTTACTTTTTATGAATTCTCAATCCTTCCATTTAAGTCTGTTTTTTTTGTGGGAGAAATCTGCGCTGAGTTGTTCAATTTCTTGACCAATCGTCACGCTTCCTTCTCCCCCGAACGAATGGAATTGTAAGAAACCGGACGTTTAGGGTTTGCACGTCAAGCTGCAACGTGTACACGTTTTCATGCTGAACTCAATTCGGCCAGGCTTGTGCTCGTGGTCTGCACTATGAAAATCGCAGATCTGTCGCTGGCCTAGGTCTGCATCAAAGGAGCTTGGATGCAGTGATATTGTCACCTTGACAACAAATCCTCCTTTCCCTTTCGATCCTCCGGGTACAACGGGGGGACTTCCCCCTCAACCTGGTACACGACAAGGATGGTCTCGCTCGATGTGTACTTGGGGATGGAAGGAGTGTCATTCGCAGCCATTCTGTGTGACCTTTGTGCCCTGGATGTGATGATTTCCTGAACTGGCAATGTATCTTGCTTTTCTCCTGGAGTGTCTATCTTGTGATACTGAGACCGATTCTACTACCCTTTGCCTGCCGTGATCCCCTTTCTTCCTGTACTGAAGGACTGGTCCAAGTCTGGTTGCCGTGCGCCGGCCCGTTCCAGTGCGCAGCCTCAAATCGAATGATCCGCATGTCCCATCTCACCCGGATTCTCTACTGGTGGATCACTTGGTCGAGGTGCAAAAAGAACGAGAATGTCTGGCTGATGCTCTCTTGCATCTCCAGTCACTCTTCACCATCGCTGGTCCACTCTGTCGTGAGGGGTTAGGCTCCATCCTCGTAGATTGGAAGAGACCACGAATCGAATGGGGAACCAAAGGATCACAGCCAAAAGAAAAAAGCCAGGACAAACATGGGAAAAAGTCGGGAATCCGATTGAACAAAGGGAGGCCAGGGTGCAAACCATGTAAAGAAAAAACACACACAAAAAAAAGGAAAGATAATCATCACGGAAAGTTTTCCATAAAAAAAGAAAAATCCAACAACGGCTTGCAGAACTGCGCCGCAAGTGAAGGGAACGGGTATCTTTTTCTTGAGACGCTCATCATGTGCTTTAGGTTTTGATCTGGTTTTTCTTTTTCTTGGGGATTTTCTGCAGATGGTTCGGTCCTCTTTCGATCTCTACTTGTTGTCTGATAGTTTTTCTTTTATGCCATTTCTCTTTTCCCATTTCTACTTCCAGGACTGCCCCTGGCTCTCTGTACATCATCCTCGACAGAACCGCGGTCTTATATGATCCCCCCGCTTCCCATACACAACGAAGCCCTTGGAGATTTAAAAAGGTTGTGCGAGTCTTGCCAATTCGGAACCTTTTCACCAAGATCTTTTCTCATCAATCCCACCCTCGGTCGACCGCTTCTCAACCAAGGTGATAGACTCTGTTTGTCCGTCCTTGGTGCTCACGGCCAGTCTGCAGATCGTCCCTATCGTGTACCGTTTCTGTCCGCATTCCTGTTTTGTGTGTGTGTATCGGTTGGCCCTGGTCCTCGGACTATATTGTTCTTCCAGCAGACTTTCCTTCCTCCCCCACTAACGTCCCCAATCGCCGTCTCGTCGGCCACCATTCACTTCCATCCCGGCTGACACTGCCCATCGACCTTGGCCGGTGAACTCCTTTTCCGTCCATATTGTGAGGAGGTCAACATGTCTCTGCCGACGAGTCCACAAGGAAACGGCGCAGGAGCCCGCGCCAGCTGGCAAGAGCAGCTGCAAGGTGAGTTTGTACAATCTTGCTCAGGACGAGCAGATCCCTTTCGCCCCTCTTCCATTCATCCGTTCCGATCCGAGTCCAATTCTCCCGAATCAAAGACCAACGCCAGCCCGGGTTCTCATACTTACGCTTCGAGAAGAGCATTGCAGGCGCACCAAAGTACCCCCACCAGTCTTCAACATTGTCTCCGATCGGCGAGGTACAGTCCTTTTTCATTCTTCAATCTGCCCTTTGGGACCTTCTCTGCGTGTGTCAACTTTCCTGCCGCTCATGGGGTCGTCGGCAAGCACAAACTGAAATGGAAGTGGAGGGGGAGAGAGAGTGTGAGAGAGAGAGAGAGAGAGAGAGAGAGAGAGAGAGAGAGAGAGAGAGAGAGAGAGAGAGAGAGAGAGAGAGAGAGAGAGAGAGAGAGAGTATGTGTGTGTGTGTGTGTGGGTGATTCCTCGAGCGCTGCCCGCACTTCAAGACCATACCTTCCTCTCTCTTCCAAGAAGAGCCACCTCACGATGGCTCTGTGTCTCCTCCTCTTCCCCTCTTCGGCTCTAGCCTGTTGCAACTGAGCAAAAGTGGATCTCAGCGGGAATGGAGAACGTCCAGTACACCGACTTTTAGCCATAAGCTTGACAGCGCGATGCTAACGAGGTCATTATCGTCAACACAGGTGGTCGCACGGCCTGGTCCAGTACCGTCACTGTGCAGGGTCAGAATATCGCTGCGCGGTATTGGTATGATGGTCAATATATCAACAATGCCAAAGAAGACGCCGCCGAAGTTGCCCTGAAGACGTTGAATCAACAGCCTCGCTCCTCGACTGTCTACCCCGGACAACTTTTCCCTCAGCAATCTGCTTCATACGGACGGGGTACCGGGGGATTTTGAGACGACACACACACACTCTCTCTCTCTCTCTCTCTCACACATTGTTTCATTGCCGTCGCTTTTGTGTCCCCGGTTCTTCTGTGTTTGTCCGTCTCTTTCGACTTTTTTTGTCTTTTCTTCTTCTTTGCAACTGCGTGTCATGGGCGGCTGTTTGTGCTTAATTTCAGTATGGGACCTTTCTGAAGGGGCATTGTCACGGACTCTTTTTACTTGGACCGAGGATTTTGTGGATCTGAATTTTTCTTTCCCTGTTTAGTGCGCGGGCCCACAACTACAGGATCTCGCTGACGACTTGCTTTTTCCCCCTCGGATCTGGATCGACCGCTCGCAGCAATAGACGGCAGACAAAATGGGAGGGTCACAACGGCAAGCAGGATGAAATCGCGGTTTCGACGTCGACCAGTGGTAGCGGCATCAACGAGTGTTTCGCTCCACGAGCCTTGGGATGAACCAGAATGCTTCTTGTGCGGACGAATGCAGACATGAAGATCCATCGGCCCGATGGGTTACAGCTGAGGCAGATCATTTCACCAAGCTATAGCACCAGCGGGATTGGGTCGGGAGGAGTCTCGCCATATTCGCGGTCCTGGGATGGTCAACAATCCGGGTGGTAATCAGGACGCCGAACAAGGTTCGTCTTTTGCTGTGTATCCGTCCTCATACTTCCTTCTCCGCTTTCCAAGAGGCATGGACAGCGACACGACGGTCGACTCGTTCCGATAAAAAGGGTGAGGTCAGACGGAGACAATTTCAGTCTCGTGTCTGGCCTATCGCTTGTGCGACTTCATCAGTGGCGCACTGTGTTACCGTCTGCTGGGTCACGGCCAGGAACCGTGCCCCCCCCCCCCCCCCCCCGTTGAAATGTCCGCGACCACAACACGCCACCTCTTGATCCAGGCTCCGCGACATTCATGGCGGGGTCCAGCACATGTATGCAACAGCGATCAGCACTGTCTCATGCCGACACAGATTTCGATGCCCTTCCCTCGTGACAATGGAGACTCGCAGGAGGCTGCCCTTGACGCGTTTGATATCGTACCGGAGACATCCCGCACCAGCCGTCCACCTCACCCCGTGGTCCTGGTCCCTAAACTTACTTCTGTCTGATCCCTGTCCTTGGAACCATCCTCGATTGCTGCCACCGTGAACGGGTGGAGTGTTTTCTGTGGGGCTCCGCCGTGAAGATACCCGCTTCGAACCGCGGTTTTGGAAAACTCAGTTACCGCTGCTGGGGCCAACTGTCCCGCACGCCGCAATTAGGCAATGGCCTTTGCCCTCGGCCGTTGGGGTCGGGGGGTTGGTCAGAGCGTCGGCCTCTGGGGATCACCAGGACTACTGCAGAGATGCCTCAAGGCATGGGGCCCGGAGTCAAGTCATGAGAGCAGTCACTTTCACGAGAAACACTTGAGTCGGATACTTACATGCTGATTGCTCGGCCTCTGGAAATAAGCAGTCAACGGCGTTGCCCCGAAGATCTGAGTCCCGGGGCACCTACGAAGACAAGCAAGCCGATAGGTCTGCGGTGAGAGGACAAATATATCTACACTGGACCAACCGAGCTGAATCTTGTCTACACCAAAAGTCACTGCTCTTCCTACATAGGCCATAATGTCTCCCTGGTCTGTATTGTCACTCTTGTTTGAAGACGTCGTGATGCTCTTCAACGGGTGATTTCCCCCTTATGTCACCTCAGCCCACTTGAACTTACTGGTCAACCTGAATGTTTTGGATTTCTGAAGCAGGAAAACCGCTTATGCAAATCTTGTCGCTCTTCTTTGTCCCATGTGTCTCGACAAGTGAAAGTTCGTTCTGGATGCCACTTTATTTTTTTTTTCGCTCTTTTTGCTCGTTGTTTTGCCGCTTTGTCTTTTCGTTTGGTTTCAGCTTGGGTCTCTTGAGTTATACTCTGATTTGTTTAGCGAGCACGAGGCTACGGGAGCAAAGAAAGGGGCAGGTTCATTCCCGCTGAAGAAGCTGCCATGTCTGCTGTAAGGAACTTGCAGAAAGCTTTGTTGTGTCTTCTCTCTTCATTTCCGAACGAAGGATGAGCTTGATTTTATGTGGTGAGACTTTCATTTTATGTGCCAGACTAAAAAATGATCGACAGAATGATTTTGTTCAGCATGAATATCTTGACTTTATCGTGTCCATCCTTGATACTCTCGCAAACCATCAGTTCTCACACATGTGTTTATCACCTCCGTCATTATACAAGTCCTCTATTTCCAAATGGAAATCATCAAGCTTTCAGTCGTGCCAAGCCTTTCCTAAGCACAGATCAATACTTCTCCGGTCAATGGTGAGGTGGTCTATTGTCGGACATGAGTCCCGATGCCCGGAAAGCGTGGAGATCACGACAATTCCTACACTAACACCGTGGGACTTGTATATAAAAGCCTTCAGCACAACTAGGTATGCACATCTATACGACAGGGTAATTGCCTCGCCGAGCTCCAACACCCATTGAGGTTCTGTCTTCCGTACTTGGCCTGAGTACCTTGTGATTTGCGCGTGACTAAAGCCATGTGACGAGATGCTTTTTTTTTTTCCTCTCTGCTCTTCTCTTCTCATTTTTATATACTTTCGGACTGTGAAAAGCGACCGACTACGCTCTCATTCTCTCCCTGGATTTTTCAAGCTTTTTTTTTTCTCCTCGGTCAAATGTACGAGACATTCCAGCTCCAGCTCCAGGTCCGGCTCCGGCTCTAACCTTTGAGAACGGAAGATGTTGGAACGTGCCTTTCAAGAAGTATTCCGCTACCTAGGAGCCGAGGAGCTTTCCTCCTAGATTGCGGGAAATTTCGTTCGCAGGGCTTATATAGCGCGCGTATTTATTTTTCCCTCGAACTTTTCCCCCCCCTGTTTGCCAACGGAGGGGAATTTAAAGAGCTCCTGGTTCCCGTCCATTCTACCTGATGTTTGGATCTTTGCGAATATAACATTATCACATACACTACTATACGGTGGGAGCATATGCACCCGCTATCCAAGTCGCAGATCTTGTGTGACCTGTCCAGCGCACTGGAAATATCTAGATAGCCTCTCGTCCACAGTTGGATCCAGATTGGACCGGCGCTCCTCAAGCTCAAGATTGACTGAATAGACCGTTGAAAGACCCGCTATCCCCGGGCGAGGGAGTCCTAGCGTGTTCCGTCCACGTTGACCATCTGGACATATGCATGCATTTCGCTTACTTTGGACGTTAACATCGAGTCCGTGTCTAGATACTGTGCTGGGCGTGGCTGGACATACCCGAGGTGGCGCCCCGGGGGCAATCTACCTTGTTGATCCTTGATCCTGTCCGAGATATGGAGGTATCTACATGACTTAGATGGTGTTCGTTCCCAAGAGGCTAGGTTGATCGATGACTTCCAGATACCGTGGTTTCCCCTGTTCTTTCTCTTCTTTGCATTGCTTATGCGGCTGGACGACCTCTCCATCATATGAAGACCTCCAGCTACAGGGCAAGAAGTCCAACCTTGAACTCAATCCTCAAAAACCCCCCCCCCATGTGACTCCGACTCTATATAATCGAATTCGAAAATCGACTCACTCCTCCAAAAAAAAAAACACAACCACAACCCAATACTACATTGGCGGTTACCTGTGTCCCTTCTGCGACTGGAAAACCACTGGTCCGAAATGAGGCCCGGTTGTACTTGCCTGGTAGGTAGATACGGGGGAAAACTATCCATGGTGTTGAGTTGAGTTTCAGAGGGGCTTTTGGTGTTAACTACCTGGTCTAGGTCGATTGATGTAATACATGGAGGTAAGTGCGCGGTTTATCTTTCTTTTGAGATGGCGTTCACTGAGGTGTACATGTCAAGTAGAAGGTTGCTGTTTCTGGTCATTTCAAGTAGAAAGTGTTTGATATTGATTGGTACCAATCAGAGTCGTCAAGCCGCCCATGAAAGCCTCAACCGAACAAAGTCGATATTCCTTCAAGATCAACCTTTGACAAGACACTCGCCAAACAGGAGATCGCACGCTCTTGACCCTACCCCAGATCATACAAAGCACCAGGGCTAATAAGCAAACATCTTCCCCATCCCATCTCCAACGCCGCCCCGATTCCTCCACCCATAATAACCCCTCAGCAACACACAGCCAGCCGCGACACAAAGCAGTAAAGCCGCGTTCGTCCAGTGACCGGTTGGATATCCCTGCTTCGCCTCGTTCGCCTTGTAGATCCACACCCCGACAATTTGGCCCGGTGCGCCTACGGAGACGTTCAGCGCGATAGCGAGGCCTGCGCCTGCGGTGGAGCGCAGGTTGGAAGATAGCCAGCCGAGGAGGGGTGGGATGCAGGCGAAGGAGCCGCTTGCTGCGACGATGAGGCAGGCGTATCGGTGCTGGGAGGTGAGATGTGTTAGTGAGATGGATGATGTCTCTCTTTTTTTTTCTTTCTTTCTTCTTTCTTGATTTGTTGTCCCTTGTGCTCTTGTTTTCGAAGGGCACTTTCGAGAGTGGTATGTTTGTGTTTCTGACTTACCAGATATGCATCCGCTGGAAGGACCGCCGAAGCTAAAAAGCCCATGGCTCCAATGAAGGAGAAAATGGCAGAGTGTAGACCTCGACTTAAAAGGGGGGAAGTCAGTTTTCAGTGTGACTGTAAAGAATGGATTGCACCCATTCTCGTCAGAACGACACGAATACTAACCTGTTGAAATGATCTGCTGACCAGGCCACGGCAACCGTAACTACATAAGCCACTGCATAAGGCGGGACGGTCATGAGCTGAGCACGCAGGTTGGAATATCCCAAACCTGCGGTGATAGCCGGAGTAAATAGGGACAAGCTTGAGAAGGGCGTCGAGATGCCAAAGTATACCTAATCATTATCTTGGCGCATTAGCACACTTCATTGCGTCCCTCTCACCGACCCCCCACAACAGCCTTCGCTCCCCTTCCATCACAAAACTTTGACGTGGACATACCGCATAGTGAGCATACAGTCTCCAGTCCGTAAGTACACCCTTTGCATCTGCCCAGGACATAGCGTTCGCAGAACCCTGCGAACCCTCCAATCTCAACCGGTCCGCCGCCAGTTCCTTCTCCTCGACGGACAACCACCGCGTCGTCTCTGGGTAATCTGGTAAAAAGAACCAGACGAGAACAGCCGATGCACATGAGGGCGCACCTTCAATGATGAACAACCATCGCCAAGCCGATAGTCCCTGGGCACCGTTCATATGGCCCACGGCAAAGGCAATGGCGCCCCCAAAGGCGCCGGCAAGAGTAGCCGATGCGAGAATCAGAGCAACGCGCATCGATCGCTCGGAGTTGCGGTACCAGAATGTCAGATAGTAGACGAGTCCGGGGAATAGACCTGCCTCCATGGCGCCGAGCAGGAAGCGGAGTCCAGTGACTTGGGCGGAATTGTGCGCGCCGCCGAGACCCATTGTGGTTGCGCCCCAGGACAGCATGAGAAAGGCTATCCATCTCTGTAAAAAGGCTCGCGAGAATGGCTTCAGTAAGATATTTCTTTTGATAGTGATGAAGACTCGAGTAATGCTTTGCGGGCCTGACGTACACTTGGACGAAGTTTTTTCAGAAAGTAATTAGACGGGACTTCAAACAGGGCGTATGCGATGAGAAAGACCATGAGTGCGATTCTGAGTATCACAGATGGATTAGACACTGAACCCTCCAACGTGATGACTTACGTCTCCCATCGCCATCCCATGAGAGAGGTCGCTCACGTGAATTGATACGAAGTCATATTCGTCTCGGTCAGCATATCATTATGCGTATCCGCATTCAGAATCTTCGCATTTCCTAAATCATCACCGTCAGTCTTCGTTTCGCTGCAAGCCGAGAAATTCCATGCAAGATCTCGGGGAAAGAACATCACCGTATAGCGACATGCTTGTCAGTTGTCACACACCAATATTCGATCGATCCAAATAACACAGGAGATAGATCGCCGCACATAATGGGACAATCTTGCGATCTTGCCTCCAGACGAGAGCCTTTTCGCGCGCTTCTCGATCGGGGTCGAGGTCTTGCTCGGAGACCTGTGGATCTGGTGAGTTCTCTGTCTCTTTCGCACGGTAGCAGTCTCACTTACTTCCGCGGCGTCTTCGAGGTCCCGAGTCGGTACCTTTTCTTCTGCCATTGTACGTTGTCTCCAAGCGCGGATCAAGCAGCTCGTTCAGAGATGAATCGGGGAAAAAGGCGTGATGGAAGAGGAAAATTTCAGGTCAAAAGTCCGACTCAAAAGCATAACATGACAATGAAAGAATCCGTCACCATAACCCCTCGTTTGGAGTCCAGACCCAATAGGACAGACCGAGTCAATCGAACCTGCGTGGCAACGATCTGCATGCATTCTGGTAATCACACAGTCTAGTAGGAACGTGCAGGTAGAAGGTAGTAAGCCCGTGGTGTACCCTCGACCTGGAGTATCTCAGAGCGAGCCCCCGCACTTGGTTTAGTAGACAGTAAACAGTAAACACTGATTGCATGGCCCATCTCGGCAATCTTCCGAATGTCGCTTTTTTGCTTGGCCCCCACGCTTTCTTTCCACTGGTGGATCCTTCGTTTCTCCATCGGTATGGAATATGGAGTATGGACTGAGGTGAAAGACATTGTGGTCCAAGGGTGGTCCACGAACGGTGTGGAGAGCAACGAGTCACATGGGACACCGACAGCGCGAGTCATGCTTAAGACAGGATGGGGGAAAGGTAAAGCTGGAGGCATCCATCTTCTTTGAGATGTCGAACTTTTTCCGAGGCTGGTGATGATGTTTTCTGCTCGTGCCCAGGCCTGGGGGTGACTCGAATTCTGAAAGGGCTGGTCGGAGAGGTATTCGACCGACGGATTAATGGCAGACGATCCCAACGTGAAGCCCAAATCATCTTAAGCTGCAGTTGTTTCTCCATCGCATCACAGCTTGACCTGGGTACCCGACCCATTTCTTGAATTTGAGATTTCAACGTCGATGCGAACCAGCCCGATGGGTAATACACCGGTTGAAACTTCGTATGCTGCTACCGCTTCTCGAGAATGAGATTCATATGAGATAGATCAATGGCACATCCAATTTATCGGCTAATTTTGAGTGCCGGTGAAACAGAAACAGGCAGTGAGTTACGTGCTATGTTCTCAAATAGTCCTCAATCGCCACTTCGCCTGGAAGGACCAGAGATTCGGTTTCGTCAGAAACTCTCAATTCGGTACAAGAGATTCCTTGGCCTTTGGACTATAGGCAACCAGGAATGATCGGATTGAGTAAGTGGTTCAAGAAGCTGGATTAATTCGTGCAGTCGGTCTCGCCCATGTTGCCCCATCTGAAAAGGTCAATAACAGGAAGCTCCTGTCTGGGTGATCCCAATTGAATAAGAGAGGGTCTGTGTTGTATGAAATGTCTTCATTGAAAAGATTATAAACAGTCGTGAATGGAGAGAGTGCCTCATTCCGAGTCTTCCCTTCCGACCAAGGACCCAGCAGGAGAGGCCAGCCTTCACAGCGTGGCCATATATAATGTGTCCTCTTATCTTGGGAAAAAAAGAAGCTAAAACAAGCATTGAGTGAAGAGTAATTAAGGACATTCACTCGACTGATAAATCGAAAGGAGAAGAATCAGGCGTGGAAATGAAATGCCCAAGCCCACGCTTAGACCTGCGCGTACAAAGGCTGGGGAAGTTCTTCTCCCGGCTTGATCAACTCTTCAGCAAGGCAAGTCTGGTGTGTGACGAGACCGGCTCGAGTGCCCGGAGTCGGAGCACGGAAACCCACGTACGCCTCTCGTCGAGCGGGCTCTCCCACAGTGACTGACCAGGTATGAAGGCCATAGTAGGAAGCAATGGAATGAACGAGCCAGCGACTGTGGAGGGAGACACTCAAGTTAGTTTCACCTTTTTTCTTCTTTTTAATTTGAGAGAGAGAGAAAGCAGAGAAAACCATTCAACCTACCCAAAGCCAGCAGAGCGATCTTCAGCGAGACTTTCAAAGACCATCTTCTCGCCATCTCGCTCATCATGCATACTCATCTGCTCCCGCATCTGCTGCAACTTCAGCTGTCGCTCGGGAGCATCGTGCATCTGGCCGTTACGCCCCACAAAGACAATCTCATCCTCCGAGTCATCCACCTCGGTCTCGGACACGTCAGCCAGCCCTTCACTGGCTAGGAAGACCTGCCTATCATTCCACTGACGGATAAACAGGCGGATATCATCCTCCAGACCTTGCAGCATACCACGCGCAGCACGGGCATGTTTGATCTTCACGCGCAATTCTTTGGGAACGCGATGCTTTGCAGGAGTATGGGCGTTCTTGCGAGCAGAGTGGTGATCGGCCATCTTCGCGTAGTGTTTATCCCAGAGCGGAGCCAGGTAATATGGCATCGGGTCATGACGAGGATATGTAGGCTGGATCGACCAGTCATGTGGTGCAGGCGGCTCAGCCCATGGGTTGTTGAGCAGGCGGTCTTTAAAGGGTTGCGAATCGAGACAAGTCAGCTCACTTGTCAAGTATGAGTTGCCCCGTGATCAGACGCAACGGGATCCAAAATGCACACGTGAAATCCTTGGGGGTGGGAAAAGATATCGGCGGGCATACCATTTTCCCAGCGCTGGCGCCTCCGGCTGCCATCCTTTCCCTTGAGCAGAGCCTCCCGTCGCTTCAGGCTATCCCGACGTAGGGGCTCCCGTCGGCGAAAGCTGACCGTCGGTGGACGTGACTCGCCTACGCCTGCTCTTTTGCCCTCAGCCGAGGCCGTTGGAAGTTGGTCATCAATCGGAATGGACAACGACACGGTCGTTCCCCGTATACTGGGCCGAGAGGGGACGGAGGTCGGATCGGCTCGAACGGGGGTCCCCTCGGCGAGGGACAGATCTTGCAAGGAGGCGACCGCGTGTTCGGTCCACGTGGAGATGGCCAAAGTCTGCTGTGGCGACAGGCTGCCCTGTGAGGCGTCGGGATGCAATCTGGGATGAATGGCCATAATGGAAAGAGACGGGGAATTCGAGAGATCACTTTGCGATGGAGGCCCGATGATCTCAATTTGACCGAGTGCACGCGAGAGCGGACGACTAGTGGTAACAGAGAGAGAGAGAGAGAGAGAGAGAGAGAGAGAGACCGGAGGAGACGATCGGAATCTATAGGATGCCGGTCCCAATGGTTCCAAGGGTTCCCAGGATGGATCGCACCGATCGGGGGCAAGGACGCGATAACGAGATAAAGGCGCGTCAACTTCCCCCCTCTTCTCTTCTCGCGAGTGGTCATCGCACGGGACTGGCCGTGAATGCTGATTTGCGGGATGTGGGCCATGTGGGTGAGTCAGTCGACGCGGACGGACCAGGCGGAGACACGAATGATGCGCATCCGACGAGTCATCCCGTGGGAAAGATGACGAGGAGGAATGGGAGCCAACCTCAGGTTGGTCGGTGCAATCATGACCATGGCATGCTGGACGGTGGGCAGCCGAGTGGGCAACTGGACTGAGGTCCTGGGGCTGAGATGTGACTCAACTGTATTTTGCAGGAGGAGTTGTCGGTCACCCGGGATTCTCAGCCTGGACCTCACGCTAGGATTTCAGGCATGTACCTCGATCACCAGCTTAACTTGGTAGACCACCCTTGTACCTCCTATTCAGGTAGTGGAGGTCCGCTCAAGTCAGGTTCGTGAGGGGGCTGGCCGTCAGTCTTATCTAATCTCTGTTATCGCGTAGGTCTTATCTTATCACGATGCTTAAGGATAGGCACCGGGAGAGCGCAAGTTAAACGGAGCATTCCCCTTTGGAACTCCTTGGCGGATGGGTGAACTGGACAATTATTGCTCATTCCAATATTGAAATGACGGGTGGCATGTGTCATGCTCTATTTCAATGACAATAGACAATTTCTCGATCTATTCAGCTACATGGATAGACTCTACACCCATGCCTTCATGAGTCCAGTGCGTACATCGCCCTCCATGAGTTCGAGGGTCGAGGGATTCGGAGAGACTACAGCTCATACCCCTTGGCTCTGGCCGCTGAGGTAGCCCACAGAAGGACCGTTTGAATCAGTTAGAAGGTCGATTGTGTTGAAGGTATGACTATGACTATAGTCAACCTCACAGTAGTGTCTGTGCTAGGTGGCCGCCTTGACTGAATGCTACTGTACATACATACACGTTGGAAGGAACCTGGAGAGTTTCCGCATCGCAAGCCGGGACCCGAACCTAATGTGATCTTATCTGGGTGAACAATGCGTCAAGCTCAACATCGACCGTCGCGAGTCGTGACAAACCTTCACCAGATTCCAATAGAGTAAGTTAAATGAGCTACTGCTCCAACTCCATCAGAGAGTCGTTGGGTGTTGAATCTCACTCATCATTCCTACGGCAGATGAGAGAAGCTCTGCGCTCCGGTCCAGTTGGCAGCCCGTCGCAGTGTGGCGGCTCCACATCCCCGCCAAGTTGATCGATCTATGTACATGATGGGTGGTCATGCACTGACGCAGTTAGTACAGTCCATGAGGCGAATAAATGTTGACGATCATGATGCGTCGATTTTATGCCGAGTTCAGAGGACCAATGTGTACGAGAGAAGAATATCGATCCAATGCTGTAGCCTGTAGGGCTAGGCCGGACTGTGAAAATTCCTATCGTATGCTTGTGGAGGAGCTTTCAGATGAGAGACCCAACGGAACCTGGAAAGACTGCGGTCGCGATCGCTCAAGTCGACCCGCGCGCGTCATCAGGTTTCCTTCAACCGAGGCTCGATTTTATGGCGGTCAACCGAACTGACGGTCCTCCGATTCGTGGATGACTGGGCAAAGCTCACGGGGATGCCAGCAGGAGAGAAGTATACTTTAAGGAGGCACACCCTTGACCCTTCAACCCTGGGAATTTTGACCCAGATTCGGACCTTGTTTCGCAGCTTGTGAGCTACACTCATGTAAAATTAGAGCTCAGGATCCCTGAATCATAGTCAGTTAGTCACTTCTCAACACTACTCCTCCGCCGGGGTACTCATCTACTGAGAGGGGTGTCCCGGACTGCATGGTGCCTGGATCGAAATGCTTGGAGCGTGCGAGTCTAGTCCTGATCCAGCTAATCCGTCGGCCCCAGCTTGCAGTGCCATTCGCTCTGCTGCCAAAAGGGTCCCCAAAGGCGTGTGATACAAAAGCAGACTCGTTCAAATCGGGCAACTTCTGCCTCCTCTCTGCTTCTCCAAGGGTTCCTGTTTCTGCCCCCATCTTTCTTACTAACCAATCCGTTTGATCCGTGCCTGACCACGGCTGCATTAGGCCTTTCTCAAAACCCGGCCATCCATCCGCTCGTAGAGGAAGCTCGGTTGTCTTCTTTTTCCTAGTCCCACGACAATTGATGATCCGTCCTGGCTGGTTCACATCATCATTATCATCAGCTTCGCCAGGTTCCGTCATTATCGTTATCTAGTCACGTAACACTCCCACCCTCACCATGAAGTGGCTGTCTTCACTCGCGCTGAGTGCGACCGCCTTGGCCGCCGTCATCCCCCAACAAGCACCTCTGGGCTCCTCGCTCGTACACAGCGCCCAACGGACCAAGTTCTTGATCGAGCTCGCTCCGTATCAGACCCGATGGGTCACAGAGGAGGAGAAATGGGCTCTGAAATTGGTGAGTTTGGGACGAGGTCCTGTCTCCCGCCCACAGACCACGATCACCACGCAAACGTCGATCACATCGGCCCTGGGGCGTGACCTCGAGCGCCAACCCGCAAAGTGACTTTGACTTACCTCTTCCTGTGCTCTCTTCCTCTCTTTCTGTAGGACGGCGTCAATTTCATCGATGTCACCGATGAATTCCAGTCCGGGTCGTACGGTGCGCTGCACACCACGCGCGTGGTCAAATACCCGGGGAAAATGTCACGCGAGCACGAAGTGCGCCCCCTCGCCGACGACCTGAACAAAAACAATATGAAGAAGAACCTCGAGCACTTCACCTCCTTTCACACCCGCTACTACAAGTCCGACTACGGGAGACAGTCCGCCGAGTGGCTCTACGCGCAAGTGAGCGCCGTGGTGCAGGAGTCCGGTGCGACGGAGCACGGAGCTACGGTGGAGCGCTTCGCCCATCCGTGGGGGCAATTCAGCATCATCGCTCGTATCCCGGGCCAGTCAAACAACACGGTGGTATTGGGCGCTCATCAGGATAGTATTAATCTGTTCCTTCCGTCCATCCTGGCTGCTCCGGGCGCCGACGATGATGGAAGTGGCACGGTGACCATTCTCGAGACTCTCCGGGCCCTGCTGCGGTCCGAGACCATCGTGACGGGTCGGGCGGCGAACACGATCGAGTTCCACTGGTACTCGGCGGAGGAAGGTGGTCTGCTGGGCTCCCAGGCGGTCTACTCCAAGTACAAGAAGGACGCGCGCGAGGTCAAGGCCATGCTGCAGCAGGACATGACGGGCTACGTGCAGGGTACTCTCGATGCGGGCCGCGAGGAGTCGGTCGGCGTGATTGTCGACTATGTGGACCAAGGACTTACCAAGTTCATCAAGCAGGTCATTACCACCGTACGTACCTCGATCCATCTCCGTGGAATCGCCCTTGTCCTTCCCTCTGCTAACCCTGTACGCTCCTTTTTCTTTCTCTCCAATTAGTACTGTGATGTTCCCTACGTGGAGACCAAGTGTGGCTACGCCTGCTCCGACCATGCCTCGGCAAGCCGCTTCGGCTACCCGTCCGCTTTCGTGATCGAGTCGCAGTTTGAAAACTCGGACAAGAAGATTCACAGCACGGATGACCTGATCAAGTACCTCAGCTTCGACCACATGCTGCAGCATGCCAAGATGAGTCTGGCCTTTGCTTATGAATTGGCCTTTGCTCCCTTCTGAGGCTGAGCATCCCGTATACATGGTGCACATTTTTCTCTTCTTTGTTGATAATTCTGTGGCTCGGATTGGGCGTTTTGTGAAGTCATTTCTCCAGTGTAATAGCAGTGCAGACCTGTCCCATTGAGTCATGTGTCGAAGCTCTGGCGAGCAATCATCTCGATGTCACCGATCAGGTGATGGGCATGACCCCGGGGTTAAGAGACGAAACCGTTGGAATCAAACGCTCTTAGGAAATCTAGCTAGTAAACACTGAAACAGTCGTAGTGTCCGCCGCGAACTCATCATGCCGAACACGGGATCCATGTCTTGAGGTATGCAGGTAAATCATTCATGACACTGGTTCTCTTTCTCGGCGAGATCCTGAATCATTCGACTGCAAGACAACACATTCGAGCAAGCACCTAAGCATCAGGGACCTGGCTCGTATTTCTCGAGTCTTCACGCTCACTACTCAGTTCCTCACTACCCCCATCTCACTGCAAGAGTGATATGAACATGACAGGCGCTACACCGATGCATCCATCCAACCCCCCATTCTCCATTCTCCAAGTTCAACGGTACTGAAACCAGCCCACATACGGCACCAGAGTGGAAACGGAACAACCCGAACGTTACATCTGGAACTTGTACCTGGGGGCATTTCTCCGACTCAAATTGCCTGAAAAGGAAAGTCCATGACCGGATTCGATTAGGTCGAATGCCGAAAGAGTAACGTCGAGACTAACCGGCGCTGTCTGCCGATCATGGATGCGTGGAGCGCGAGGGGGGGGGGGGGGGCAAAGAAAGAGAGGGGGTTGGACGTGTGACTGCACGGGATTAGGTGCCCTTGGGGATACTACTGTAGAGTGTAGAGTGTAGAATCCCCCCTTCTTCTCTCACGCAGACTTACCAGTCTTACTGTTGGCATATACTTGGTACTTCCTCCCTGGCTACTTATACACTCATGCTATAGCTGGATTGAAGTAGTTATCTAAGCCTGAATCAATCATGGGAGCTGATTCTCGCGGGCAATCAATCACATCTACCTAACCAGATCCGCTCACTCACATCACCACACTCCAAGAACAATACCGATCTATAACCTCAACCTAGCCCACCTCAACTCAACATCCACGCTGCAAACCAAAAAAACACTACACACTACACAAACCCCAACTTTGTACAATCATGTACTCTCCCCGAATCGGCGACCGCATCGCCACCCTCGACACCCCCTCCATGATCGTCGACCTCGACCTCATGGAATCCAACATCCATACCCTCATGACCAAGCTCCTCCCCACCGGCCGCGCCATCCGCCCTCATCTGAAAACCACCAAAAGCGCCATTCTCGCTCAGAAACTTGTCCAGGCCGGCGCAACGGGCGGCTGCGTCGCCAAAGTCAGCGAGGCCGAGGCCCTTGCCGCGGCTGGATTCTCCGATCTCCATATTACTTCTCCGATCGTGGGGCCGGCCAAGGTCCGACGGCTGGTGGCTTTGTTTCGGCGGTTTCGCGAGATTCGGATCGTGGTGGATTCGGAGGTCGGGGCGAAGGCGATTGATGATGCGTTGGGGGAGATGTCCGGGGTCGATGGGGTTGATGCGGAGGAGCCGATAAGGACGCTGATTGACTTGGATGTTGGACTGCACCGGACGGGCGTGAAGCCCGGGGAGTCGGCGATGAGGTTGATTCGATATGTGGGTGGATTGAAGCATTTGAAGATCGTGGGCGTGCAGGGGTACGAAGGGCATTTGCAGCATCTGCACGATGCGCGGGAGCGACGCGCGCAGTGTCTGGAATCGATGCGTGTCCTCACCGACACGGCGGAGGCCTTTCGTGCAGCTGGATACTGCATGGACATCGTGACCACGGGAGGCACGGGCACGGCAGAGATATGCGCTTCTGTGCCCGGGGTGACGGAACTACAGCCGGGATCGTTTATCTTCATGGATACCGATTATCGCAATGCGGTGGGCTCGTTCTACGCCAACAGTTTGACGATTCTGTCGACGGTGATTAGCCAACAGGGTCCGCGAGCTGTGACGATTGACGCAGGATTGAAGTCGTTATCGACGGACAGTGGCATGTCCGAGTGCAAGGACTCACGGTATACGTATCATGAGTTTGGGGACGAGCAGGGTTCGTTGAAGTGGGAAGACGATGGTGATGGAGAGAATACGCCGGGATTGACGGTGGGAGATCGTGTCGAGATTGTCCCGAGTCATATTGACCCGACGGTGAACTTGCATGATGTTTATTATGCGCACCGAAACGGGGTCATTGAGGAGATTTGGCCGGTGGATTCGAGAGGAAAGGTTCAATGAGAGGATTTTTTTTCCCTTGAGTTCTTAGCCGCTTTGAATCAGATACCAACCTGATGTATCACGGTTGACATGCAGATTGAGTGTGAGCCAGTGCCTCTCAGGTCAAGTCAATGAAATTTCTGTATACTACCCCAGACTGACACTTCCAAGCGTCAACTACACAGGGAAAAGGCTTACGGTGTACTTGGCACCATCGATCTGCATTTCTTTCGTTTCAGCGTCCTCCTCCTGTATGCGCGGATCTTGAATCTTCGTCTCATAGACGACGTCCATTGATTCTCTTCCAAATCACTGGGGAAACACCGGAGATCAACGAAGCCTGTTTCGATCTAAAGAGAGATCCATTCAGCCCCACAAGTCTAGTTGAACCTTTCACCTTCACATCACATTCAACAGTAGAAGTTGATACCTAGACGGGAGCAGTTGCTATCCATTTTATAGATTCGCCTACTCAATACTACAGATTCTCGACCCCCATGCATTTACCAGACGTGAAAGAAATAGTAGGTCCTCCGGTCTACGCAGCCAGACCTTTCATCGCATGCTACGCAGTCCTTCCTTATCCAACACTCGATAGACACCAACTCCCAACCAGAGCCACACTTTACTCTGAAGGCTGCATAGCATCCATCTCGCACTCACACAATCCCCCAAAAAGACCATACCTGCGCAATACAAACTTGTGTTCCACAGTCCGCAGTCCGCCTACTCAGAAACCCTCGCTCAGACCGTTCCGAAGACCGAAACTAGCCCCCGTCAAGAGTTCACTCAACAAAGAAAGCCCCGTCAATTCTCTTCCTTGCCTGTCTTCCACTGCCAAACGATCACCCCTTCCAACCTGCACTGGGCAGTCCCAAGTCCTATCGTATCAAGATTCAACCACGTCCCGGTCTCAAGCTTGAAAGTTTTTGGAATTTACCGCGGCACTTTCCCGTACAAGATGACAAAAAGAGACCAGGATGGCATCCCCAAGCCGTCGTCCGAGTACCAGACCGTCAACATGACTGAAATTGTGCGCGAGTATGTTCTCCTGCCAGACTGGATCTAACCTCACTGGACTGGCATCATGGCCGGAACTAAGGTGTCGTCTAGTGCCTACGACCATCCCAACTACAGTGACCTGGTCATCGAGTGTGGCAAGCATACCTTTCCCGTCCACAAGATGATCGTCTGTCCTCAAGTAGACTTCCTGCGAGCCGCGTGCTGTGGAAATTCAAAGACAGTAAGAACAATACCGTCCAAATGCGAAAGTTTCATGCCATTGCTGCTGATCACCCGCTTGTTGCTGGGCCGGACAGGAGATTAATGGCAAGATCCGCGTTCGACACGTCGAGCCAGCCGTCATGGATAAGATGGTGCAATTCCTCTACACGACCGATTACACCATGGACCTCCTGCCGCCATCAGACGACGATGAAGTCGAAATCAAGTCTGAAACCGCCGAGAAGAGCCCTCAGCTTGTGGCGGCCAGCATTGAGACGAACCAAGCCGTCCCGGTGAATCTCCCCGAAGTGCCTATCCGGCCAGACACCCACGAGCTCCCAACCCCAGTCAACAAACCAGCCTCAATCTTCCAAGGTGCGGAAGTATTCACCCAGCGAAGCGACAACGACGACGGCAATGAAGAAGAAGAAGAAGAAGAAAAAGAAGAAGTAGAGGGAAAAGGCAGCGAAAGCGAAAGCGACGAGAACGACAACAACGACCCCGACGAATTCGTCGAGATCTGCCTAGTCAATCCCGCTTTCTTTCACGTGCGCATGTACAAATGGGCCACCAAATACAAAATCAAGCCCCTGTGCTACCTTGCCGTCGTCAAGTTCCGCGAGCAGATACGAAAGGGCATTCTCAAGGATTACCTGGAGGATCTGATCTACGAAGTCTATTCAGATGAGGACAGGGACACATATGAAGGAATGCTGAGCGGAGCGCTGGTCGCCGAGGTTGTGACGCTCGTGTTTTATTCTCGATTTAAGGGGTTGGATATCCTGTCGACTGCTTTTTTGAAGGAGAGTCCTGGATTCACGTTTGATTTGTGCTGTGCGATTATGAAGAAGATTGGTCGGCTTCCTGAGCGGTCCATGCTTGAGTTTTTGGGACTTGGACGACCGGTTGAGACTTGAGCTGTGTGGTATTCTTTATTATCAGTATCTTGTGAGGTGGGATTCCTGATCATTACTGATCAGATGTTGGATGCATGAATTGGAGTGTGGAGACCAATGTCTGATTCTAGGGTTGGCTTTCTATGAGCTTGATGAAGTAGCTTATTCCCACTCTTGCGTTGATAACATGCAGTAATCAATCGTTTCATAGGGCTACGAGTCTAAATATGGCGTGGCCCGAGAAGACACAAAAGTGATGTTTTCGAATGAGAACCGCTCTGCATATCGGTCCCGGACTAGCCCCAACCGAGTCAAGCTGACGCTTGTGTAAACATCGTCCGATTGAGATATCAGAATCAGTTGAGCGAAGTATAACATGTAATTAGTAGCTCAATGGCCTGGTTCAAAGGTGTCGTATACGTCGCCATGATCAAGGACTTTACCACTTTACTTAGCATCTAGTCGCGACACCTAAATTCCCTACAGATTCTACAGATTTTACAGAAGATAAATGGGATTACGCAGACCGCAGAGACAGCCTTGGATTTCTGTATCCTCCTCATTCCCAATATTTCGGTTCCTTTTTGCATCTGTCTTCACCTGACCAGTTCCTCGACTCTTCCACCCCATTACACATCTTCCTGAACTTCCAATTTCCCTTCTACGCTCTTCATCAAACACACAACAACCGCACCCCCCAACTCCATCCCCAACCCCATCAAAAAATCACATCCACCATATCGAAAAGAGCCCTGAATGACACCATCCAAAACAAACCCGCCAAACGGCAAAAAAAAGACCAAGTCCCCCCAGCCTATGAGCATGAAACAGATCGCACAGGAGTAATTCCTCCATCCATCACGAAAGCCAGACACAGACAAGATGGACGACAAAATCGACCCTCCCCATGCTATTCCTTCCGCCTCACCTCACACTTTTCTCCCTAGAGCATATTGTCGTCCAAGAGTACAGCGACATGACCATCATCTGCAAGTAAACGACGTTTCCCGCGCACATGGTGATCGTCTGTCCGCAATCAAACTTTTTTTCGAGAAAAGTGCTCTGGCTCTGAGGTAAGGTATGAGAAAAAGAAAGAACGGACGCAGGACGCCCGCGATGCAGTTGCTTTTATGAACAAAATAGGAAAACGAGACTAATATAATATTCGTTTTTTTTCTTTCGAGGCCGCGAACGAGCCAGATGTGGATTCGCTTGTCATGCAGAAGATTCTCCAGTATTTTTACAAAGCTGATTATGATACGGAGTCTGTGAGCCAGCGCGAGGCTGAGGAGACTGGCGATGAGATCGTCAAGCCCGGAGGCAGCGAGCGGGAGAGTAGTGACGATCAGGCCTCTGATGAAGATCGTGGTGACCAGGCCTGTTCCACATCAGCCAGCGACGCCGAGCAAGATCGCATGGACGTTTCCAACGAGACGGTCCGCCGGTCCGGCAACGACCGAGATACTAGCCCTTCCTCTGACAGTGACGCGGACGCAGCCGAGGATGCAGATGCAAATGCAAATGCCAACGCGAGCACAGAGGAGACGGACTCGGACTCGGACGAAGAAAATGACGCAGACGACCACGCAAACGACTCCAACTCCGACGATCCCTGCAACGCCAACATCCATCTCTTCCATCTCCTCGTGTCCAAGGCCGCGTCTCAACTCAAGATCCCGCCCCTTGCGCATCTTGCCACGAGGCGATTCCGACTTGAGCTCCGAACAGGCATCTCAGGGCTGAACTGGAGGAGGTGATTCGCGAGCTGTATTTCAGTGAAGACCGGTTCTGGCCTAGGGCGAGAAGAATTGCAATTCGAGAGATTGTGGAGTGAGTCCATGCCGGCGAGACGGACCACTGCGGGCTGATGTCTGCGGAGTTCTTGCGAGATAATCCGGCCTTGATGCTGGGATTGTGCACGGCGTTTATTGAGAAAGCGGCGCATCTTAAGTAGAGAGGGGTGTTTCGGTCCTGCAGTCTTGCTTGATTAGGCTTGGAATTGGGATTGGGGCAAGTCCAACTCGTTTGACTTGACTTGATGCCGTTGCAAGTATTCTTCAAGAGAAGGGTGTGTCTCGAGGATATGTGAACAATGAAAAGCTATCTTATCCATCTACACCACTTCAATATAAATATATGGGGACTTTACATTCGCATGATGCTTGTTTGGGCAGCAAAATATATGCAACAATGAAAATTGGCAATACTACGAATAGGGTATATGACACACACGCACACGCAGAGGGAAAGAAAAAACGGATCAAGCGAGACACAATCGCACACGCCTTGTCTTTCCACCCAGCCAAGAACATCACCAGAAGCTTACACACCTTCATCTTCACCTTCACGGCACGACTGAGTACCGCCCGATCCAATCATTCGCCTAGTCTAGCTCTCCTGACTCCGATTTCCAGACGGAGCAAAAGGGATATGACTGCTCGATATGAATACCGGCAGACCGTGCTTGGTCGTCCCAGATGTAGTCGTTGGAGACGTGAAGGTGTTGGCGCTGGGACCCAATGAAACCTGTGCGGTTTGAGGCAGAGGTGGCGTGTTGGCTTGAGGGTTCCAAGCAGAGCGGTATGATACGGCGGGGTTCTGGTGAGCTTCTTCGAGTGGGAAGCTCGAGGGATTGGGCGTCGTGCGAGTCTCCATGGACTCCACGGGAGGGGTTGCAGGGTACAGCCTGGCATGATCGTCTTGCTTCGCCTCAGGGCCTGCTTCAGCGGCAGCGGCAGCGGTCGCAGTAGCAGTAGCAGTAGCAGTAGCAGTAGCAGTAGCAGTATCAGACGCGGCAAGAGGGAGAGGGGGGTGCGCTTCCACTCCTGTTGAGGCGAGTTGGGACTTGCCCATGGATCTTCGGCCTGAGGATTTCCCACTAGATGTCTTGTTTCCTCCGCCCTTACGCGGAGAACGAGTGGAAGTCTTGGAAGATTTTGGCGGAGGCGTTTTACCATGCTCGGCAACTTTCTTCACTCGCTCGGCTTGTTCCTCCGGAGAAGGCACAACGAGCTTGATACGTTGGACACCAGTGGAGAGGTTTTCATCATGGTGATCCTGCGATACTGCCGGCGCCGGTTGACCAGCAAGCTTTGACGGCTGGTAATTTGCCGGTAGCTTGGGTACCGGAGGAGCCTTTTTGGGGCTTGCCATGCGCTTAGGCGTATTCGCCCCTCGAGGACCCCCATTGGCCTTGCGTGCGCCAGTGGCTTTGACGGGCACTGCTGGGATAGTGATGTCTGCGGCACTGGACTGGCTATCAAGATCGGCGACCAAGTCATCCATACTCATAGGCTCAACTGATCCACCGGCAGTGGACGTACTTTTCCTGCGCCCGGCATTCACGGTTGGGGAAACCTCAACTGGGGGTTCAGGCAAGCCATTTCCATCGATCGTGGTACGGCGATTCTTTCGCAAAGCCTGACGGCGAGGCGTCGCTGGTCGGGAAGTCGACGGGGTGGGAGATTTAGTCTTCCGTGTACGCAGCTGTCGCTTTTCGTCCGTGGAGTGGGGAACAGCTGGGCCACGACTAGGTGCCGGGGGACCATGTACCACTTCCACGCCATCTAAGGCTAGCTGGCGGTCGCGACGTTGACGAGATGCCTCGGCATTGAGTTCCTCAGGCTGGTAACTTCTCGTTTGCTGGCTTTCAGTCGGGATCAATACCTTGGCAAGCTCTTGTGCCGCGGTCGTCCAGTCTACTTCTGGAATGGGAAAAGCCACTTGATGGCCGCCGGTGTGAGAGCCTATAGACCTGCGGTCTCGGGCTGTTGGATGGACTTTCGCATCGAATGACTTGGTCGACGAGAGAAAAGTGGGTGTTGCTTTCTCCCGCTTGATTTGAGGGGGAGCTGAGCCCTCGAGCTCAGAGAGGTAGTCTGGCGACCACCACTGGCGCTCATATCCGTCCTTTGCATGGGTTGAACCTTCCAAGTCAGGGCTTGCGTCCGCCAGTCCGGCGATGTGACTAAGGACACCACTCGTGAGAGCACGGTCACTGTAGCCACCCTCCAATACACTGATCACACGGCCGTCCACGCCGAGACCTTCTTCCTGGGACATACGCACGACATCTGCAGTAAATCGTGCGTAAAACTCAGTTGGCACGTTCACCCTGTGGCGCTGCATGCCGGCACCTTCCCACTCGCTCGCATCGAAGCCCGCAGAGATGAAAATGGCGGCTCTGGGCGACGACACCGACCCGGAATTGAGCCGCTTGGCGTGAGCTCGCAGAAATTGGCGCGCCTTGTCAATCAGGATGATGTATTTTGTGTAATAGAGTTCCCAAAACTGAGACTCCGTCTCCCACGTCTCCAGGTGGACGTTCCAGATGGATTGGCCATGCGCATTATCAACGCAGACACTCGCGTTGCGCACCTTTTGAGGGTCACCCTCTTCGCAAGGGTAGGAGTTGATGTCATGAAGACTGTAATAACCAATCGCCGTCTTCTTGTACGCGGGCGCATTCCGCGGAGCCTTTGACGCCTTGTGGTTATGATTCCATACAATGTCCTGAGACCCGTCCCCGTGATGAAGGTCGAAATCCAAGATGGCCGCATGAGTCAACCCATGGTACATTGCGGCATATGAGATACCCACCAATACATTATTCACCCAGCAGAACCCAGAGGGGAAATCAGCCGAGCAGTGGTGACCGGGAGGACGGATGCAGACAAAAGCTCGCGTAGTTGAGCTGTGGTCAAAGACGGCGTCCACGCCATCGCAGACTCCACCCAGTGCGCCTTGAAAGGCGTTCAGAGATTCGGAACAGAGGTACAGATCTCCTGGATGAAGCTCATCTGCTTCAGAAGAGCCGCGTTCACGGCCTTCACTCGATGATGGTCGGGCGAGTTCCTTGCGGCCCAAGGCCAAACGGGATTCCGCCTTATCGCACATACCCGTCAAATCCGACATCCACCTCTGACCATGCACATGCGTGACGGCTTCGTCATGCAGTGGCAGCGAGCGCGACGTCTTGCGGATCTGAAACGGCGGTGGCGGTAGCAAATGCACATCGAGATCCGGTCGTGGGGCAAACTGCTCACCCCGGTATCTTCGACCCATGCGGACATAGGCCGCCGATACTCCCAGTACACAGGCCTGAATACGTTCAGGTCGCTCTACGATCGAGGCGAGGACCGCTTTTGATGCACGAGGTCGCGAGAATCGATGCCCATAACACGCGTCGTGCAGAATGACCGCGGTTGTCGACTTGAGATCGACTCCCTGGTGCAGATCCATTTCTTTGCGAAAATACTCCGCGGCGACGGAGGATGCTGTCGGTGGTTGCATATCATGGTACATGCGCGGGGCCATGGCAGGCGACAGTGAAGGGGTCGGAGACCGATTCAAATGCGCCGAGGAACGGCGCGATGACCCAGAGCCAGGACCGGGAGATGTCAGCTCCGTGGATCGAAGTGAGGCAGTTGACTGGCGTTTCTGCAGCGCAGGGATAGACTTGCGCCGCTCGTCGCGAAGAGAGGCGGAGCTCGGAGCTCGTCTCGGGACGGGGATCTGGGGAGCGTTGCTTACGGGCGCCGTTGACTGCGACACCGATCGTAATGAGGTATCTGAAATGCGCTTTTGAAGCCCAGGCGCGACGTAGATGTTCTCGACACGTTGACCACTTGGTGGAGATTGGGAGGCGGGCGCGCTCGCGTTGAGGGCGACGTGAGAGTGGGGGTATGATGCATGATGATGGATGGGGGTAAAAGTAGATGTCGCTGACGGCGCAGTGGGATTTTCCAGTGACAAACAATTCAAAGAGTCGACCAGATCCGGCTGCGAAACGGGTTCTGTCGTCTCAGGCTGCGGGACACGTTCTGTTGTGGTGTTGTTTGACTTGTGACCGATGAACTGAGAGTGCGGAACACCCCCACGAGGTCCGGAGGGGTCCATGATGCAATAGGAGCATGTAGCGGGGACCACACCCAGCTCGAGATGAATGGACGTAGAGTTCGGCTGAGAAAGACCGGGTTTAATTTTTCTTTGAGAACGTTGCGGATGAACAATGACAACCGGAGAATGGAAGAACCAAGGGACGGACAAGAACCCGTACACTTGATGAGAAGGCGGGTGACTAGTCGGTCATTGTTTGGCCTCCTTCTTTTTTCTGCCCTTTTGAATGGGGGGCAAGGGGCTCCAGTCGATCTCCCGCGGCCATACCTCAGCCCCAAGTAACATTCTTATCGACTGGTCTTTCTTTCCTTTCGATCACACCTGGTGATGATCTCACAAGCGAGACCGACTGAAGGGTGTCTGCTTTGCTCTTTGTGCCGCAAGATGTTATTGTCAAGAGACACGGAGCTCTTCCATGTTCGAGAAACTGCGCTCTTTGATTTTGGGTCCCAGTTAAGTCTGCTCAGACCCCCTATATACTTGTGGCTCCCTTTCTCGAGATGGAGTCTCTCAGGAGGCCCATTCGCACGGTTGTCAAGAGTCCCAAATACTGACGTTGATATGGAGGTATCAGGTCAGGCCCGGCTTGCTGAATCAGGCACTCAGTCAACCGTGTTGCTGTGGAGTTGGAGTTCACTCTTCGCTTGTATAGTCTTATAAACCTTTGCCCTGATTAGGCAGTTCACCTTCATCGCCCGAATAAGAATACATGGAATCACTCATCCCATTCGATAGACTGTCGGTGACCTGAGAGGACACGGATTGAGGTAGTAGTAACAACCTTACAAAACCTCGCCATCTACTTTATGAACCGCCCAGCGTTTTTTAAGATAGGTCATAGGGCTTCACCCCCCCCCCCTCCGCTCCTTAACCTTGAGGTCTCGATGCCCTTCTAAAAACTCCGGAAAAACAATCCAAACCCAACCACAAAAAGCATCAGAACTCCCACCCAACCCCCTCCCAGCAAAAACAATCAGTTGCGCCGCCCAGGAATCCGTATCGTCAAGTCATAATCCCCAATCGCCTTCCTCATCTTTTCCAAGCTGCCCCCTTCTATCGCGACCAGATTCCCTTCCATTGGTACCACTGGTACAACCGACGACCGAGCGAGGCCTTTTCGCCCAAAGAGTCCTGGGATTGGCGTCGAATCTTGCGCTCTTCCTTTCGGATCTCCTTTTGCGTCTTGAAGCCTCGGGTTGCATGTGAATTACAGAAGCAGTGCATGTGTACCGTCTCGATGCTCACGCCCCGGCAATTATTGAGACGAAGGCCGGTGCAGGGGGTGTAGCCGGCGTCTTCTTCGCAGGAGCACCAGGCGAAGAGAGTGTAGTATTGACGGCACATGGTGGGGGTCGTTGGGTTTTCGATTGAGGTTCGACTTGGCCGTTGGAAAGGGGTTGGTAAGGAAGTATAGAGGAAGGGTTTGAGCGAGTAGCGCTGAAGCGCTCCAAGTCGTATAGTGTTGTCGTATCTCTGAACACAAGCGAATGTCTCCCCACCGAAGAGTCGTTTTGCAGACTTGTCGAGAAAGTCTGGTCTCGCCGAGGGATGGAGTTGTAGGACGGGTGATTAAATATTAATCAGACCAGCTGAAGGTAAGGTCATGGGCGTAGACCAGAGGAAGCGACAGACAGGCCAAAAGCGATCGAGCACCTTTCAAAGAATGTGCTGAGAAGGAATCAGGTCCGACGGGTGACTTTGGGTCGTGACTCTCGATCTAGGAAAAGAAAAAGAGTCGAGACGAGATCACGACGTCGCGGAGATCGAGAGGTTCATGTAAGATTTATGCATCTCAGAAGCCCAGACCTCAATGAAGAGCGCCTTTGGCAGATCCACGGTCAAAGACGAGTCTGACGTCAAAGATTAAGGTGGTCTAGGACACGGTGGGGTTGGAGATAACAATGGAGAAGAGAATTAAAAAAAAAAAACAAAGAAAAAGAAAAAAAAAACACAGATTGAATGAAAACCTAACCCTGTCAAGAATAAGGTAGGCGCTCTTCACGAACAAGCCAGAGGATACGCTCACAAGATTGGCCGGAGCCCAGAGTTGAGGCTGCTAAAACAGTCCACGTCGGGAGTGCATCACGACTGGCAGGAGCCTAAATCGGATCATGATTCATTCAGCCCGCTGAAATGGCAATCGGGGGTCTGGGCCCGAGTTCTGAATGACATCTAAGTGGACATGTCTCTACCGAGCTGATACACATTTACGCGCCGGGATCACGGCCACGAGCCAAGTCCTGCGAGGGTACCCGCTGTCGAGATCACGCAGAGTAGATCAGGTAGAATAGTAGAATAGTAGGTCAACGGGATAGGTAGGGTCTCAGTTAACCACCTCGGTTGGTCAGATCGGAACTTTCTTCCATCGGCCTCGCGCCTCGTTTCCACGGTACTTGGCAGGTACGATTCTGAAGGTTACATCCTTCGTATGCTGACGCGACCCAGCAACATTTGTAGATCGAGCGTGCCGCAGTGGCACCCATCTAGCGGGAGGGTCAACGACAGGGCCAGTTACATTATGGGAGAAAAGTCTAGACCGGGTCGAGAGGTGGTCGAAAACATGAATGTGTGGTAGACGCTTCTCACTTTCAGATTATAGCACTTTTGTACTACACTCCCTTGGACAAGTACTGTGCTCTGTCGTCCAGAAAATGGTCATGGACACGAAGGATTTCATACTCATCCTCTCCACTTCTATAGACCTTCCGGGCAACACGACCTGTCGCAAGCTCGGCAGGTGGATCCAACGCATCGATCCGCTTAAGCTTGCATTCAATGGTCGTTGAACAATAAGCACCTCTCTTTAGCTACTATATCGCCCGGGTAGTGGTTGTGGGTATATGGTCAACAAAAGACACACCCTTGAAACATCTTTCTCCAGAGATTTCGGATTTCAAGCGAAGCTAAGCCTTCTGAACGGGGGTATATGGCAACGTAAGAAGTTGCAGACACCGATCGAGACGAGTCTCATCCGAGAGAAACCATCCAGCGAATTGCCTGGCGAAAAGCTCAGGGCGACTATCACCGGAAGACCACTGCCCAAAGTTCGAACCAGGGCTGGGAGAAAGTTGGTACAGTTCCAGCACTTCACCACTTGCGTAGGTGAGTCGATCTGCAAGATCTAGCCCGATCTTCAATGACAGGTCCTTGGGGTCAGGCACACAGCGCGACCGGTGAGCCGAGTACAAAGTCGACTTTGCCTTGACGACTGTACTCAGACTGGTACCCACCCATGGGCCCAACAGTAGGGTACTGTAAGTGAGCGACTGTAGACCGTGTCTGATGCTACGGATTTTTCACCATTGGAAGTTAGTCTCCCCTTTCTCGGGAGAGCGCCTCAACGCGAGTCTTTTTCTCGACATGGATGCTGGCCGTAAGAGATCGTCCACCCGGGATGAATGGGCGATCGGTGGGTCACCCGCTGTCAGGGTTGCCGCCAGGAGCCGGAGTGGATGCTCGGCATCGTCTCAGTTGGCGCTGGCTGGGGACTCGACGGCAAACTCATGCAAGGTCCGTTATGGCGGTTGTGAGTGGCCAGAGAGTTGGCGATGAGCGGTACCATCCAGCGTGTGTAAGGTAGACTAAGGTCACACTGGGCCACAGGGGATCGTGGCGTGGATCAACTTTGCGACTACCGAGTAGGAACCTCAAGAAGGAGTAAATGGCCTACTCGGTGAGATCACCGTGTCAGACACTGTGAATGCTGGTCGCCGCAAACGGACAAAGACTGGACTGGACGGGGAAAAGTCGCAAGGAAGAGAGGTGATCGGAAATGCAACGGCAAATCGGCCTGTGGCTGGGGAGGAGTGTACAGTATGTGGCTGGGTCAGTGTATGTGGCACAGGGCTACCCGTTGCGTCATGTGACCATCCTCGGTTTCCCGCGGAGGTAGGTTGCCTGAGGCGGCTTTGGCGATCAGCAATGAGCTCACGCTACACAAGTTAATGATTATGGAGGACTTTACAGAGCTTCAACTTTAAATCCCTTCGACTTGCCCCGGACAACATAACACCTTCAATCCGCTGCCTTTTCTACCTGCAGTGAATGCACTCTGTCAAACCACCTAGCGACTACCATCAACATCGTCCACCACAATTGAACCCCACAACAATTCGATCATCCTCGACTCTATTCTCCCCTCCTCAAAGTCACCGACTGCCATGACCACTCCATCCAACAACGACAACAACAACAACACCTCCTCAACACCCAACATGGCCGCCACTCCCGCGCGCACCTCCACCCTCCTCACCAACCTCTCCGCCGTAACATCGCGCATCGCCACCGCAACATCCCACTCCCCGACCCCAACCAAATCCGTCCGTCTCGTCGCCGTCTCCAAGCTCAAGCCCGCCTCCGACGTCCTCGCCCTCCACCACTCCCCCGCCGCCCACTCCCACTTCGGCGAGAACTACCTGCAAGAACTGCTCGAGAAATCCCGCCTCCTCCCCCCCCCACCATCAACTGGCACTTCATCGGCGGCCTCCAGTCCAACAAATGCGTCACGCTTGCCCGCGACGTGCGCGGGCTCTGGGCCGTCGAAAGCGTCGACACCGCAAAGAAAGCAACCCTGCTCGATAAGGGCCGCGGCGAGCGCAAACCCGACGCCGAAGAAGTCGAGGCCAAAGCCGCGGCGTCCAAGGAGTCGGGTGTCGAGGAGGGACGGCTGCGCGTCTACGTGCAGGTGAATACCTCGGGCGAGGAGAACAAGGCCGGCGTGGAACCTGCCGAGGCTCCGGCGCTGGCGAAGCATATCCGGGAGAAGTGTCCCCGGCTCAAGCTGCAGGGGGTGATGACAATTGGTGCGATTGCGAGATCGCGGGCGACGACGCCGGAGACGGAGAATGAGGATTTTGTGTGTTTGCGCGAGACGAGGGATCGGATCGTGTCGGAGCTGGGCTTGACCGGGTCGGATGCTGAGTTGGAGCTCAGTATGGGGATGAGCTCGGACTTTGAGGGCGCGATTGCTTTGGGGAGTGATCAGGTTCGCGTGGGGACGACTATCTTTGGAGATAGGCCGCCCAAGTCTGAGGCCAAGGTGGTTTGAGAGAAGTAACGGTCTCCGGCTAGGCTTGCCCGTCACTATGATCATCCATGCGCATGGGAACCCTTGGCGCGAAGTTCCGCGGGCATGGCAGCAGCAGAGGGCCTTGTTTCGCCATTCGCGTATGGACAAGCACGAATCCTGTATTTACGAAGTCCTGTCTGTTGCGAGAAGGTTTGTGGAACACGACACCAATAAGCATGATCGACGATCCGGATGGACTCGACATATAAATATCACCTGTGAACACACAGGCATAGATCCTTCGTTCTAGAATTACACGGTCCATTTGAAACGACGCCCGCTCGCTTGATTCCGCGAGCCAAGCGCACACGTTCAGAAAAGAATTCACATGTACATATTTGCATCCAATATGCTTGACAAAATGCTGCCTTGTTGAGGCCAATGAGGTGGTACTTCCAATGCGCTTTCTCCTATCAGGTTCTAGTCGACAGTATCTCTTCTCAAGCCCTGAGACAACTTTTGTTCCATCTGTCGCGCCAGTCCTTGAGGTATCCCTTCCTTGGTGGCACGGACGGTCACCCGATACATCTGAGTTAAAATGTTCTGTATTAGCATCGTTGCTCAGAGAATAGACTCCGAAGGTGATTAATTTGCCAGCACCGACTCACCGATTTTTCGTAGTTAGGCTCCAATCTCAACAAACAGCCCGTCTTACCCCCCTCGAACTGGAACACTCCGCAACCGACAATATTCCGTGGGTTGGGGTCCACTCCATCCAGAATCTTCCAGGCAAAGCCCTCCACCGTCTTGCGAGTGTAGGACTCGTTGATCATCTTGTTCTTGCCACTTAGGCCAAAGGTTTTCTGCGACTCAAGAGGGCCGTCGCCGATTTGACGCCAACGCTTGAAAAAGTCCTCTGCAGATAGAGAAGATGGTTCCATGTACCGATGCATCAAGACCGGTAGCTGTAGGGTATATGCTTGCAGTGCTCCGGCTAGATATGAAATGCGAATGGTTGGGGCATCGGAGAAGGGACCGTGTGATACGCAGAATAGCGTCTGCTGAGTTTGTCCTGCTGCCGGCACGCTGGAATCAGGCAGGTTCTTGGTATCGATCTTCAGATTGGGAGCCGCAGGGTTCTCCACTGTCGTCGTGAGTGAATTGATCGCAAAAGAAGATTTATTGGAAATGTAGATCTTCACAACACCCATGTGGCCGCGATACTCTGAGCGCAACCCAACGTGAATCTGGGCATCTTCAAAGAGCACGCCCTCGTTCGAAAAGTAAAGTCGATTGTACCCAATCTCCCAGTCCGGGCTCAGATGAGCGGCACTGGCAAGATTAGGAGCAGGGGCCGTGGGTCCATTGCTAAAGTCCAGCCCAGCCAAGTCACCCGAGGCACTCGTAGCACTGGTGGGCGTGCTTCCACCGTTGGATGTTGAGCGGGTGCCGTTGACAATTGTGGTGAAACTGCGCTTGAGACCTGTTTGCTGTGCCAAGAGAATCTCTTGCTTGTCGGCGTTGGCATCCTTACCGCCCACCACCCACGTCTTCTTCTCGCTAGTACCGGCCGTCTTTTGATGAAGTCGGGAGAGAAGAATAGATGTCCTTTCAGAAAAGGGGGGCATTTCGTCGCAGACGGTACGAAGAAGATCGTCCGTAGGTAACGTGGCCAGTGAAAGGTATTCGAATGCCCGCTGCTGCAACTCCGAGTCAGGAGAGTGGCTGTAAAGGCGGAAGATTTGCAGAAGTTGGGGCTTGATTTCGGGGAAAAGGTTGACAAATTTGACAAAGGAAGAAAGGATCATAGCACGGGCATTGTCAGATCCGGTGAACATCTTCCCTTGCAGAGCCAGGAATTGCTCAATAGGACTTGAGCCAGCGTTATCGGCGATGAGGTGACCGAATTCTCCCAGCACGTAACAACCAATCTTCACCAAGCTCTCATGGCAGTCAGTTTTCAGATAACCGAGCAGGGTGTGGGCGGCATAGGCTTGTAGCTCCTCATTATTGGTCACAATCTGAATCACACGCTGCCAGACTTCTTCGTTGACGTGTTCGCCAGCCAGCGACAGAAGTTTCAGGGTCATGTCAATGTACCATTGCGCGTCCGTGGCATACTTCTCCGTCAGAATAGCCACCTTCAGAACCATTTCTTCACGAATGGCGTAGTCGGCGGTCTGAAGATAACGTAGCAGCTCGTTGACAATTGGACCTGCGTTGGTGGTGTCACACATGCTGTAAAGGAGATCCAAGCCCTTTCGACGGACACTGATATCTCTGTCGCGCAGAGAGCCCAAAATGATGTTCTGGTGCTTTTTGATGGGATCAAGCGTCTCTGCTCGAGCAGCAAAGTGAGTCAAGGCATCCAGGCCCAGGTAGCGAACATTCGTTTCTCGGGACTGGATATATTTGCCCAACCGAGCGGAGATCTGAAGCATCAATTTATGCTCCGAGTCGAGATGAATGAGGAGGTTAATTGCCTCGAAAAGAATTGCATTCTGAGCATTGTTTTGCTGAACGTTCTTCGGCGTTTCCATAGCAGACTGCATGATCTGCGCAAGAGATTCGCGAATGATTTCGCGGACATGGCTGTCCTGTGATGGAGGGTAGTATTGCAATAGTCGCAAGAACTTGACTTGGATCCAGGGACAGGGGACACGGTAATAAAGATAGTCGGGTGCGATATCGTTGTCAATCACGATGCGCTTTAATCTTTGAGCTGCCTTCACGTAGCAGCCCTTGTATTCTTCGGGGAGGTCTTGCGCCAATGCCATCACGAGCGAAGTGACAGACAGGGTCACACCCATATCGGGGTCGTCCATGATGGAGATTATTCGCTCCGCCCATTCGTTCCGCACGATGCCCGGATGCTTGCGGTAGAGTCGGAGTAATGTGAGAGCGGCCTTTTTCTTGACGAATGCTTTTGAGGTTCTGCGCTTTCGTTAAAATCCAATCATGTCTTCCACAGGAACCACAGCGAGCACTCACGGGGAAATGAGTAACCGGTGAACCTCCGTCGCCAAGGCTTCTCCCAGTTCCCGACCACCCACATTGGCGACAGCGTGCAGCGCCAAACAGTTGAACAGTTCATTATTGTCGAGCAGGTCCTTGCGTATACTGTTCACAACCAAATGCAGCAACTCATGCCCCTCGTGCAAGAATAGAGTTACCGCGAGGTAGCCGATTTGCTTCTCGGAGTATTTGTTCGAGGAGATCAAGTTGACCGCTTCCAGATGACCAAAATCCACATCGTATCCTTGAATATAAACGTAGAGTAGCTTGCACACGTATTTCTTCTTTTGATATCCGTTGAGATTGCCGGCCTTGAACTTTTGTCGAATGTTGGCCAACTCCTTATTTACTCGCTTCTCCTCCAATTCCCGCGCCCGCGCATTCCGCAGATCTGCGATGAATTGAACGAGACCTCGCATGGAAGACATGCTGTGTGGCCGGGAAAGAGTACTTCCTCCTTAATGTTGTGGAGTTGAGCGAATGCGCGCTTCCGTTCGAAGGTGTTTTAATGGCGTCGGAGATGTGGGGTTTGATGTACAGGGTTTCGCATGCCACGCGGGGACGACCTCAGGGGGTGGGAGTCAAAAGTTTGACGTCACAAAGTCATATCCCAGTGTCGTAGATGTGAGCACGGAGGTAAAGTGCCAGGACAGACGACGGAAAGGTGTGAGGAGCGCGATTGCGAAGATCAAAGGGAAGAGCGTTCCGGGCACGGAGCTCGGAGACAGGGGGGCTGTTGATCGCGGGTACAGCTGGAGTGGAGGCAGCTTAAGGGCTGTCAGCAATGCCGAATAAATAAGGCCACAAAGGCATTTTGGGGGATTTGACTTCTCACGCGCTTTCAAAGGACTAAGTCCTATGATTTGGACGACGAACCAAGTATTTTTCGAGTCTCAAAAGGACTTCCTCTGCACCATGTGTTGCGCTTGGTCTACAATCAAATAATGGTGTCGCTCGGCCTAGTACAGCAGCTCCGCTGTGGCTCGGGCGGAACAACATTAATTCGCTGTGGCGGTGCGGTTCGTGCTCGTGGTGTTCCCGTGTCACGGCTTGGCATTCTATTTGGGTCTGGATGATGTGCAATCCCATACCTCCATGACGGCGATAGGGCTTGTAAGCCTTGTGGTGGTTGGTTCATTTGATGACTGAATTAAAAAGAACAACCTGAGCTGCAAGCTTTCCCAGACAGCAACACCTGCAGATTCCATCAGTATCTCGTCGTATCCATGATGCGATCAGCTGTTCTTCTAAAGGGATATGAGAAGCTGGGCAGCGCATGCGTACTTTCAGGTCATCCGAAGACAGATGACCAAATTGATGAGTTATTCCAGAGCCCAATACTGTGTAAATCAAGCGACACCAATGACTCTACTTTTCTATTCTTATTCTTTCCTCCTGTAATCACCGAATATTCGGGGCAACGTACACTTCCTCGTGGGGGGTTGTAGCTCGAAATCTGCTCTGCGTACGTGTAGCATATGGAAGGGAACGATGCACCAAGTTTTCTATACACGCTTCCACAGACTACAGTGCAAAATTCAAAGTCGCACATATGACAGAAACTCGAATGCGATCGGAAAATACTTCACGTGCAATGGGTTTTTGAGGTTTCATTGATAAAGACCGGAGCAAGACTCTCGCAGTGATTCCGGTTCATTATTTAATAAAATAGTAGCATGATCCCCTGTAATACCGCCAAAACGCCAACCTTCCGATCTCAATCGGTCAAATGCAAATTAATAGCAAAGCCGTACGAGGCATGTGTCATGAATCCATAAAGAGTTTCTCAAGCACGAGTGGTGAAGTCCTGCTCCAACGCAGACTCGATGGCCTCGGCCTTCTCACAGGTGCAAGAAGCTAAACGATGCGTTGTCAGTATGGCCTCTTGACATGCATCCTCGAAGACGATCGAGTTGCCATATTAAAGCACTTACTGGCAGGACGAGTGCCGCAGGCACATTTCTCACCCTCGACGGGCTTGTTCTCGGTAGCCGCACGCTCACAAGTGCACTGACCAGCGGGACGAGAACCTAACCCTTGTGTTAATATCATAGCTTGAAATACCAGAGATCCCGCAGAAGGAAAGGGTAAAACGCACGGCATGAGCAGCGGGGACCGGAAAGGTTGTTCTCGGTAGAAGCCTTGTTGCAGGAACAGTGAAGAGCAGACTCCTTGCCGCAGGAGCACTTGGCTTGGGCAGCGCAGACACAGCCTCCGTCCTGGGAGGTCTTGCAGCAGGTAGTAGAAGGGTGGACCATGTTGACGGGTGTTGTGGTTTCGAGAAGCGGTTTTGCAGAGGAGAAAATCTGAGAGTTGGTGAGGTGACAAAGTGTCAGCTGGAAGATAGAGATTTGACTTGGGCGGTCGTTGCTTCAATGCAAATTTGCAATAGTGATGAGTCGATATTATAGATTCTAATCTAGCAGGGAAGCTACTGTCTTTATACTCGTCTGCATGCGTCACAGGCCCAGCGTGATGTGTCCTGATTAGTATTATAGTAGTCCTGATTGGCGGAAGACTCGAGGTCACGTGAGCTGCGGCTCATCATCGTCCAGCTGCTAATTGGTCTGCATGCCTCTTCCCCTTCGATGTCTGCTAATGGCCGTCTTCTAACTGGTTATACTTCGCATGATGACCATTATCCTTCTTCTGATTCGACATTGCCATCATAAGCAGCCCGGAGATGTTCTTTCAAGAAGTGGGTGCAGAGCCCCTGCAGGCGGGAATGCCTGTTGAGTAATTAATCGGACAAGGGCGAAAGAGAGCGAAAGAGAGCGAAAACGGGCAAGTCGAGGACACGGCAAGGATCGCAAGGTAGAGAAAGTCCTCAACTGCGTATACGACCAAAAGACATAATGTAAGTATAAGGTAGCTAAGTACCTACGTGGGTACTACTACCAGTACCCAGTCCCTAGGTACTCAAGTTACATGCCACATGGTACCTTATAAAGTTTAAGCTTAGTGCTGCCCGGTGGAGACGACTCAAAGTGATCGAACGTGTCAAAAATATGAAGAAATCTGAAGAACTTTTGCTTGCGAGAGTACATACAGTACAGTAGAGTCTTGACGATAGAAAAGTACTACTCTAACGGCACTTATGGGAGTTTGTCGGTGACAAGAATGAGCAGTGTGTATGATTGCCAGATTGACAAAGTGACGGTGTTCCACTTTGTTGCAATGCTTGTTCTCGGTGTCCGCTTCGATGTAACGTACGGTCGAAGAACAACACAATCACATAGTCGAATCGCAGGCAAGAAGACCAGATATTCTTGTCCTGCACGGCCGAGTCCGAGTCAAACACCACCAAATGCCCTTCTCAGCACCAATCCTCGAATCAAAGCCAACAAGTAGTGAGGATGCCTAGAGTGTCGTCTCTCACTTGCTTCGCTTAGTTGCTCAATTGCCCGGTTGCTGTAGTATTGGGGCTAAGGAAACAACGATGGCGCCCGGCTTATTGCCACGGCCGCTTCCCAACTTTCTCCCTCAGGCTGAAAGTGATCAACGAACGACGAAGCAAACGCTCTATTCGTTGAATGGCTCTAGCTGACTGCATGGCTTGTATTGTGCCCGGCCGAACCCCTCCTCCTTGGGCAAAAGGTATTTGAAGCGAAGAAATCACCTTGACCGAAAGCCTGTGAAAGTGCATTCTCACACGCTGCAGCGAATGACATACAGTTTGACCCTAGAGACTGAACTTTCGCAGTGACCACTATGAGTGAGCTGGGGGATGGCACGTTGACCGATAAACCCGTAAGGCCACTCTTCCATGTATGGCATGTATTTTATTTCTCAATGCAAGCTAATGTAGCAGAGAAAATAGCGTCTCTTCAGCCCACCTTTCCAAAAGAGTCATGAACTGCAACACAGATGGCCGATCTTTGCTCCTGTCTATGGAAGTCAGGACTCTGATTCTCAATCAATCGTGTCGGATACATTGCAGTTGGAGCTCAACACACCTGCCATCGACACCATCTACCAACATCTCTGGCTAGCTGGGCTACCCAAAGCTGCTCGCCCTCTTCATCGCCAAATTCTCCTGGGGCGGACTATTGTCATCACTGAAAACCCGAATGAACATCTTGTGTGGGTCGCAACTCGCATCTTTATCAAGCCGTTGCCGGAATGCATCTTATCCCACGACTTCTGGACAACAGAAGGGGCCGTGCTGCTACAACACCAGTCCTTACATCGATCAGCCTGTGGCTTACTCCTCTCATACTGCTGGCTCATTCGAGCTAAATCCGATTTGGGCATCGCCCAAAACAAAGGACTCGTTCCCAAGTCGATTACATGGGAGGAATGGGCCAGATTTGCAACCGACATTGTGACAAATGTCGAGTTAGATTCCCTCGATGCGGTCTCGAAGCGCTACCACTTCGGAGAACTTCGTCTGACACGACTCAACCTGATATATCGGGTCCTGAACATATTCTCGGCGCGTGTGAACAGACGAGTATTCATGTCAGAACCTTTGTGGACAAAAGCATTCTTGGAGCGCAATTTCGCCTGGATCTTTTCGGTGTTTGCGTTCGTTTCGATTGTGGCAGGTTCCATGCAGGTCGGTTTGGGGACTGACTTGTTGCATGGGGATGTGTCTTTTCAACGTGCCTCTGTTGTCTTTACGGCTGGAAGTCTTCTTGCCGTAGTTTTAATCATTCTGCTCGTAGGGGCTATCTGGGTGGGCTTGGCTGCTTATCACATCATTCGAGCAAAGGAAAATCTCAAAATTGTGAGAAAGAGGCGAACTGAAGGCCAGAACAGCCGCAACAGTGTGTGAAGCATTTGCAAGGTTTATGCAGATATGAGGCATGTTACAAATGAAGAGATATCTAAATTAAATACTACGTACATGGAGTCAACGAAGCACAAAGCGAACAGATCAAGTAAGCGTAGACGAACCCATATTGGAGTGAGTGGTCCGCTTACTTTCTAAGAATACATTTCGAACTCCTCCGATGAGCGATGTACAGCTCGATCGTGCGATAGCCGCAGCTCATCGCCATTTATTTGCCTATGTTCCACCCCCGCAGAATACATCTCCTCGCTTTTGCTTCTTATTCTGCGATTGAGCCAGAGCCAGGTATCCAGAATCTTTGTCGAAAGGCCCAGTCTCTGATTCTCTCCTCTTGGAAGACGCGTACGGGGATCCAGCGTCTGATCAGCGTTTGTGGCATAAGACCATCCTCTTGACAAACGCTCCAGACTCTTGTTCGGTAGACGGGGCATTCGAGAGGTGCGAGCAATTTCTGTGGGCTTGGTGTGAAACTCGGGAATCCAGACCCATGCAAAGAACGCCACTGCAGCTAGTGGTACGGAAAGGGCCCCGAGAAGCTGGTCGAGCGAGCGAGGATTCGAGTTCAGTACAGAGCGCTCCGTTACAACCAGAATGAGAATGGCTCCTACTTTGCCGCAAGCAGCAGAGATACCGTGGCAGGTTGCTCGGAATCTAGTTGGGAATAATTCTGCCGATATCTGAGGATTGAATATGGGTAAGTATGCTGAGCGCAGCTTGATACTATAAGATTGCAAGGTGTAACTCACAATGTAGGTCAAAGTGTTTGGTCCTGAACGAGGTCAGTCATGAGAAGAGCAAAAAAGCCAACAAGGATACAAATAACAAGACCTACCCAGGTTGAAGAGAAACTGGCACAGTGCGCATAGAATAACACTGGCCAAATGTGGTTCATCGAATTCTGTTGCCACCAAAACACCTCCCAATACTGCAAATAATACACTCAGTGCACACGAATTCCACACAAGCAGAGCCTTGCGAGGGAAGTAGTCGATAACCAAAATCAAAAGACAACTGCCCGCAAGTGAGGTGATTGATATTGTGCATATATATCGGAACGCGTTGTGAGATAGTTGCTGGAACATGTTGTGCGTGGGATCCCATACGTTCTGATAATTGGGAACTTGAAGGCCGGTGGCTGTCGCCATCACCAAACTTGTAACCGTTGCTGTTGGGGGTGGTAATCTGGCAACGTAAGAGCTTACAAGGTTGTAGGTTGTGTTGCCATAAGCTACCGTGTGTGTAAATGGTATTGTCACAGTCGTGGTTGGGGATGGCAGTGCAAATGTCACATTCAGCGCAGGAATACTGTCCGCCCATAGAGCAGCGAGTGGTCGAGGAGAATTGATGCCAAGCGCATAGAAGCAAAAGTCAAGGAGGAACCAACAAAGTGATGTCGCTGCAAGGTATCTCCAATTGCCTTCTTTGAAGAGGAACGACCAGAAGGTCGGCTCATTCTTCTGGCTAGGATGAATCGAGGCTGCGAGTGCTGGAGAAGTCGGGAAACTCGCTGGATTCGATGCAGCGAGTATCCCACTTCCTTCTGAAGATCCATTTTGTGATTCTAACAATTGCACTGTTCGCCGAAATTGACGTTTTGTGGTAATAAGTGCTTGCTGCGGGTCATGTGCAACGTCCATCGTGTATCGTGGGGACTCGGGAATGGAAAACCTCCACAAAATCGCCAGCAACGCCGGGATGCAACCTGCACCCACCACCCATCTCCAGACGGTGTCTAAAGTGGCAAGTATCTCGCGCTGTGTCTCTATCGGCAAGCTGTCAAATGCAGGGCCATGGTCTGGATATCCCTGCAGATTGCGAGACTTCATCAGCCTGGTCAAGACTCCCCAGCCCACTGCTGCTGCCAATATCTGCCCTAATGGCTGCATCAGGAACACAGCAGCCATCATTCTGGCACGGTACTTAGTGCTCGCAAACTCGGCTGTGATGACAGCACTGAGCGGATATTCTGCACCGATGCCCATACCGAGAAAGAAACGATAGAACTGAATCCAGGCCAGAATGCTCATATTGTTGTACATCCCACTCGAAGCCTGAGACATCCCCAACGTTGCGAAAATGACAAGCACCAGCTCCAGACCATACAATTTCCTTCGGCCTAATCGATCGGTTAACCGTCCAAAAAGCAGCTGCCCGACAACGGATCCAGCCAAGGTTAACGCGTTGATTGACAGCTCAGGGAGCCTGTCGGCTCGATCTGGCCAATATAGAAAGGCAAGCAGCGGCAAGATCACATTGGTCGCAAACAAAGAATATGAATCGGTCAGGAATCCCGAAGCGGCCACGATGAAGACTTGCCAGTCAAACCCATTGTGGTCAAAGATGTTGATGACACCTTCTCTCCAAAGAGTTGGGTTTTCATCTTTCTCGTCCGGAGCTCGCGTTGTGCCGTCAATCCACCAAGGATGATCTCCAAGGGGAAATGGGAGCCGTCCTCTGATGGTTTTCCACGCTGATTTCGTATATTCGTTTTCGAGTGGCCAGTTCGTCGCCATTACCTTGGAAGGAGATCGGATGGATGAGACAAATATGAACATTCACCGCAGTGCCATCCTTCGAGATATACTACTTTGACGAGCACGCGGGCTTGCGATCGCGTGAGGCTTCGCCGCAGCAACACGACCGTGCCTGACGCCACTAGCGCTGGATGCCCGTCACCTGTCGTGGCATATGGCCGACCACTCAGCACTTCGAGATTAGGAACGTGCTATACAACACGAGAGCCTCCTCGCAGCGAACGCCGTGATTGGGGCGTATGAATATCGAATGTTCGAAAGTTCTCCGGAATAAGATATTAATTCCGAGTGCTTCTCCAACTCGACTCAGATCTTCCATACTTTCCATCATGTCGCAGCTTTGGAAGGATTGCATGGAGGCAGGCCCACTTGCCGCATTGCCCCCGGACAAGACCCAGAGACTTGAGAAACGCTTCTGTGAATTCTACAGCACCTTCAAATGTTTCCGCAGCGTTCTTCGAGACCAACACACAACTCTGGAGTCGTATCATGAGTTCCAAAAAACATGGGACGAGTGCGTCGATTTCCTCTATCATAGTCGGAAATGGGGCCTGGAGGGAGCAATTCCTCAAGCAACCCTGCTGCACGAGACCGCTTGCTATGTATACAACAATTCTGACCTAGACTTGCTCGAGAGACGGCTTGACTTGCAGTTGCAGATAATGCATGCAAAGCTCGATGACATATTCTTGTATGGAGCTACGAAACTTAGTTAATGACTGACATTCCTATGCCGCAGCTAACCTGACTCGCGTGAAAGGAACCTTTTCTCGGTCATAATTAGACAATCTGAGCTCCACCGCACAGCGCATGGTGCACTCAACGAAGCCGCCGATCTCTATGAAGACAAGTTTCCCGAAGCGAACAAAAGTGTTGATAGAAATACAAACCCTCTGTTTGAACACTTGATAGAGCTACATGAAGCACTCAAGAGGTCCAAAGCCCCATCACTGAAGTCAGAGCACTTGGAGAGGATATGGAGGCGCATAGTCAACCGCTTTAGTGAACATGCGCCGCCAAATTCAGAGGGTCTTCAATGGATGTCCTTGACGAGACTGAAAGAGAGCGACAGAAAGAGATTGATTGAATATTCTCGTCAGACTCTAAAACTCAGACAATCGATTTATCGATCCCAGGAGTCATCTTCGCCATTACGACGTCGTGTTTACGATTCCGGGCGTAATGATAGTTTGGCGACCATGTAAGGCCTCTGCTTCAATTTCGAGATGATGAAATCAGTGATTGCTGACCCCTCTGACAAGTCAACGTGACCTTCTTGAAGATGAACAGCAACTCTCTTCGGTAGATGTCGTCACGCATCTAGGATATTGCAGTGTCGTGAGCACCAGAATCGACAAGGAGTGGGGATTTGTCCATTACCGTGAGTGTCTCTTCGGCTATCTAGTCATTGGGATTTTATCTTGCCAACTAAAATTCTTCAAAGTTCCGATACCAAGCAACATCCATCCATACACCAAACATGCATGCTTTCACACGGCCGAGATCCGTCTCTACGAGGCCTCCACCATTGAAGAAGGGGACGGTGCGAAGACATGGTGGAGACACGAGGGACGCAAGCCCACGTACAAATTTGACTCCAAAGCCATTGACACGGCGTTTCAATGTGCGCTGCGTGGCAAACTTTTGATACACACCCTGCAAATTGATGGTATCATTTCGGAACAAGGTTCTGAAGCTACAGCTCAACCGTTAAAACTGTGGTCGGATATTGACGGCCGCAGGAGATCAATGACCTTCTTATTGCAACGAGAAAAACCATATCACCATGTCGAGATTTCATTGCGGCTCTTTGATACTTCTGTGGATATCAGGGAGAGCGGCAAGAAGGTTAAGCTACGATTCGTTCCTCTTAAATCCAGGAAAGGACGAAATTCAGGCTCGGGGACCACCCTTCTCAGACGCGTGAGCTATCGGCTTCGTCATCCATCCTCAGAAATGGAGCTGAACTCCAATCGAAGAGGCCTGCATGATAGTATGTCGTCGGTCAATGAGGAGGACGAGGAACTTCTGCAACAGGACACAGAACTCTTTGCTTCCTTTGGCTACCTTCAATTCAAATTCTCAGATGCAAAAGGTAAGCTGAGTGCTTGCTGCCCGGACAGCTCGAGATTTGAGCTTGATCACTGACATTAGATTCCCAACAAGATGCGCTTGTGTTTCAAAAATATCTGTCCAGCTATTTTTCAGAGACCCGCAGCACGAACCCTCCAATGTCAATTCCTCATGAAAGTTCAGATGGCATTGAACCTCCAACTCTGCGCACTCCGATTTATGGCTCTCCGAATCCGTCTCAATCTGAGAAAGAACAAATAAGTCCGGAGAGTTCCGACCACGCCGGTCACCAGTTGGCCTCGCAGAGTCCACTCGACCAGAGGTCCGGCAATGATCACACTCCGACAAACGGCTCATCGTCAGCCCAGAGACCAAAAACTCTTCCACTTGTCAAGGATCTCGACTACCGGGTCCGTGGTATCAAGCTCGAGCAAACAGGCACCAATATACTCTCGTATCTGAGCAGCAAACTCGGAATTGAGTCGACTATTGTTGGACGCGTCAAGGCCTTAGCTACTAGCCAGAATGGAGACAAAGTAGCGGTTGTAGCTTGGCGACCACAGCCCAAATGCCTGTCCGCGCCTGGTAAAGACGAGTGGGAATTTGGTCCGACTTCCGACGATGACACTTTACACATCACCGTCGACACTCATTTCCGCGGCGTGACGATCCTGTACAGCCCTCCACCTGAGTTACCACATACGATCGAGTAAGCAACTCTCATATCCCTTTGTTTTGTTTCGTTCATGCTTTTGGTTTGTTCAAGATGCACTAACATTAATTGTGGTAGTATATGTGCCGTGGCCGGTCTGGGAGGCCATGCCTGGGGATCATTCAAACACAAAGGTGAAGCTCAATCTTTCATGTGGGTGTTGGATGGGCTTCGAGAGAAGTTCCCCACAGCTCGACTCATGACCTATGGATCCAAAACCAAATTGGATGGCAACGAATCAACCCAGACCTTGGAAGACCTGGGCAAACTGCTACGAGATGAAATGCGTAGTGTCACGAGACGTCGAGCTCAGTCGGCCCTCAGCAAAGAGTCATGCTCGACGGGCCCATCCTTTTCCGTACCGTCCATCTTCATCGCTCATAGTCTGGGGGGTCTGACTGTCAAAGAGGTACGCGTTGTGAAATCCTTTCCAAATAAGCGTCCGCTGCGCTGAGGCGCTGACCGTGTGGTTATCATAGGCCTTACTCCAGGAGAAGACGAATCCGGACAAGGGGACCTTTATAAGTAACCTCAAGGGGGCACTCTTCTTCGGCGTGCCCAGTCACGGCATGAACATTCAAGTCCTTGAAGCTATGATCCGTGGCCAGCCTAATGAACTTCTCGTGAGGTCGATCGCAAATGATTCACCTACCTTGCAAGAGCTCAGTCGAAGGTTCAAAGCGACATTCCCGCCGGGAAAACCGAAGATTCTCTACTTTTATGAGATGGAGCTGTCAGGCTCTCCGAGGAAGGTAGTGTTTCCCTCGGTAAATAAGGAACATTCGAAATGAGCACGCAATGACTGATTTTCTTGTTGTTCTCTAGGCGGAAGATGGACAATGGAAAATGGATGGACCTAAAACCTTCCTCGTGGCACGCATCTCTGCGACAGATGGCGGTCTATGCAACTCAGATTATGTGGATACCCGCGGCCTTAATCGCAATCATTCAGATTTGGTGAAGTTTAGCAGTCCAAACGATGCGGATTATCGGCGAGTCTTGGAGGATTTGGAGAAAATGGTCAAGCACTTTCAGATACGGACAGATGTAAGTGGTTGAGCAGTGGGCCTTGGGATGAGAGGATTGGGTTGAGGAGCGTATCAAAGGTCAAGATGGGGATTGGTTGCTGAGAGTGTTGGAGTTCGAGGAGTATTTGTGCTTCGAGATCATGGATCAAGAGGCCGCCATTCAGACGTGGATATGTATGTGCATGAGAAATTGAGATTTCAAAGATGTATATCTGGGCCCTACATTGGCCTTGAAATTTGTTGGAAGATTCATGGTAAATGCGGTCAAATGCGGTCAAATGCTGGATAGGTCTGAACGTATGGCACTCCATCGCCATCTCTAGATTTCTGCACAACCATTCCTCTCTGGATACTCCAAGATCTCGCGACCAAATACCGAGATGGCTTTTTTGTCGATCATCCTTTTCGCTCGTAATCTAGATTGTTGATTCGTCCCGTACCTGGGGAGTGAGAAGTTGTACAGATCACTCGAAGTCCCGATGGTCGACCCGAAGCAGTTACTGTCAACGCAAGCGTCGGCTCGCCAATTTCCAACGCTTCACGAATTTGCCTGGTGATCAGCCCGCTGAATGTGTGGCTGAAGTTGCCGCGCGAACTGGCGAATCAGTCATAAGCGCGGTCAATCATCTCTGTGACCGTTTGGCGCATTGCGATTTCGATGGTGGTGATGGTTCTGATTCCGTGTGATTCCGCGGAATGAGCGTGTGACCTGTTCCATGCCTCGTAGCCACTTCGCCGAGCTTCGTCGCCCGGCGTATGACTGCCGGGATTTCTGGGTGTTCCGCAAGCTCGATGTGAAGATGGAAAAGGCCGAGAGCGGGTCCCCGAGGTAATCGCTTTCGCCTTTTCACGCCCCCGGGATCACTGCCTGCAGGGACTCGCCTGAGGGAAGTGGTCCACACCACCCGTAGACATCACAGCGACATTGCTCGAATCGGGGACAGCTGTTTGAGGGGAGAGACACACCAGACGTTAGCAAATAACCAATGTCTCAAAACATGCCTCTGAAGATGTGAGATGTGGTATGTGGTATGCCAGTCTTTTCCGCCCCGGATAGCCGCGTGAGACTCCGAGTGATTTCTCCGACTTACTGAGTAGACTCCATCCCGAAAACAATATGCCACAGTTTCTCCAGCACCCACCCGACCCCAAAATTATCCGTCATTTCCGTTGTCGCCATCCAGTCCAGAATCCGCTCGTAGTCCTCCCTGGGCCGCGCCCTAATCCTGTCCCTAGACACGGCAAACTGACCACAACATACGTTGCCAATCGAATCCGGGACCTGATCGGCCGATACGCCGAACATCTGCTGATAGGCCTCTGCGAAGCGGGCGCGAATATCGTTATTCTGGATGTCGCTGTCACTGGGGTTGTTGGGGTGGACGGCCGTCGGACAGCCCGGGTCATGTTTGCATCGGAGGTTGACGTAGCCGTGGGCGTCGATGGCTTGGAGGCGCAAGTTGCGGAGGGTGTCGATGGTCCGGGGACCGAAGAGGTCGTTGTGCCATTGTTCGGGGGAGGCGTGGACGAAGATGGAATATGTGGGGAGGTGGTCGTAGAAGGTGGTGATGTAGGAGAGGTAGGCGGCGGCTTCACGGCCACGCCAGGTCGTGGGTTGAAGGAAGCCTGGTTGCGGGGGTTGTTCGGTTGAGTAGACGAAGGGAGTGCCGTGGCTGTGGATGATGCGAGGGGAGTTAGGAGGGAAAGCAAAGGTTTCGGCTTCACAGATTCAAGATCCAAGATCCAAGGGCAAACGTCATGTGAAGAACGGTCCCACGCGGGTGGTCAAAAAGGTGCGCCCACCCAAACTCAAAACGATTAAGGAACAACAACAATCCAGGGGGAAAAGCGGGAGAGGCAGAGGTATGTGGAAATAGCGCGGCTTATCAGATTGATAGAGAGTCGAGAGACATGACTACTGTCAACTGTACTCGATTCAATTCCCGTACTCACCTCTCTGAACAATAATCCCACAACCACGTCAGATCGTCGGTGTGGATCGACGCTAGAACCACGCCTACGCTGGCGTTGTGCGCGTTGGACGTATACGCCTCGGTGAGGGTCGACAATTTGTAGACAATCTCTTCTCGATGGAGATTGTCGGCTATGGTTGATTCGCTTCGTTAGTTTTATGCGATCGATCAACGATGTACCGTCCTTCTGGACTTTTTAAATGCGTTGAATTCCACGGGCCTTGGGTCTTCCTCTTTCTGTGTATAAGATAAGGTAGGGTTGCCATTGTCGCGCAGATCTCAGTGCCTTATTGCTGTATGAATTTTGGATCGTGAATCATACCTTGACCGGGCAGCGCATGACCTCGATTCAGAAAATAAAGCAGTTGAAGAGTCACAATGACCACACAGCTAACGATGGCCCACTTGGCATTGATCCCAAGGGGCAATTGAGGCCTCCACATCTCTTTTCGTTCGATCGGTTTCCACGGAGGTGGGAAGAATGGTCAAAATCACAGATGCTAGGAGCTGGCGGGAACGGGGGAAGAAAAGAGCAGTTCACTCTGCCTTGATGATGTCTTGTCGAAAAGGAAAAATAAAAACAAGAGGCGAAGAGCCAAGTTTACTAGTCTGGGAGTAAGTAGCCAGGAGCCCCAGCCGAAGACTAGGTTATGCCGTTTTGAAGAGCTCCAGCACAAGCCAGCACCTGAGCACACTAGCACAGTATAAGGCTCAAGCGCCAAGCGGGGCGCCTGAATTGGAACCAGAGTCAGAGCGATGGCCGATATGGAGCTGCCAAACTGTACTGTACTACTGTAGTAGTACCGACTTTGCCGAGTCGACCGCACCAGCAGCAATTGGGAGAGAATCAACAGGGTCAGGGTTCCCCAGTGAGACGGGACCAGACCGGAGCTCGGTAGTTCATTTGGTAGGATGGTTGAGAAGACATCTGGACTGAAGACCTAGGACAGCAGGTCAACAGTAGTGACTTCAACCTCTGCTTTTTTTCCTGATCTTGGTTTTTTGGCATTTTTTGTGATGGGTCCGACTGTAGTGGGACTGAGACTGGGACTGGGAACGCGGATGTTCGACTCCCGTCTTGGATATCATCACTGCTTCAGTGCTTTCCACGTGGTAGATGGATGCATGTCATTGCAATTCTCATGGAAATTGGACAGCCACAATGGATGTATTCGTGGTAGAGAGTACTACTGGAAAAAATGTCCAGTGTACAACTGTACACTCATACACCGTACTGAATGATGGCGCTCACTCCCTCACCCTCAAACATCCGGTTCCTGGCCTTGATCGGGAAGTATCTGTGGAGACTGGGAAGTGGGAACCAATACCCAGACCCCAGTCATTGTCAATTTGTCAGTGCAACCGCGGTCATTTCAAACCCAGCATGCTTGGGTTGCTAGATGGTAGGCTGAGAGGCTCGGATCAAGGGTCCTGATTCTGCCCCAAACAACATCATGGTACATTCAAGTCCAGTCAACCCCCCGGTTGTGGACAATCCTGTCCCAGAACCAATCATGACCCAGAAACCAAACCATTCGACGTTCACAGCACGGACGGTCTGATATCAGATGGAACGCCTGAAAGCTTTGCTGGGTAGAGAGCAGCGCCCGTTGGATATAAGGGACGTGTCGGTCTTGATGGAGTTTTCAGTCCCGGGACGAGAACACATACGTTCCGAGCCATGCAATATCCTGCTCTGGGTAAGATCATGCAATACTTCCAGGTGTCTTAAAAGGATTTGTGTATGTACCTCGGTCTTTTGGGCGTTATTATCGCTAAAATGGAACTTGCAGAGTGTATCGGTGTAGTGTGTCACTGTGTACCCAGTTTGCCGTCGAAAGGCACAAACCCGGCCACGGAACTACTCTGCCGAATGATGAACCACTGGCCTTGAGCTACTGAACTAAAAACCTCAAGTTACTCAACGAGTCAACAGTCAATAGTACCTTAGTGGTAGCCAACTCACCAAACACACGAGACCTCTATGTCCTATTCGATCGAAAGCTGGGTAAGCTCTCTTCGCAATCTCCGAAACGATCCGTCCCACGGGAAAGACTCCGGTCGCACTCTAACAGGAGTTTCATGCTTGGACGGTCATGTGATAACGTGGATGTTGGATTGAATCATGTCCAATCCGATGAATAATATCTTCCTCACGTGGTTCTTCATGTGTCAAGTCATCGTCTCATTAAATTCTATGTACAGTATCAGATCTAAATCTATTCTAGACTCTATGTCATCAATATTTGTCTATGTAACCAAAGCAATTCGCCTGAACGGCGTCATGGAAGACACACACTCTCGCTCTCTTTCTCTCAGACACCTCTCGTATGCATGACGATGTCCCCTAGCGGAGTTCCTCATCACATATGATAGTAGTATGAGACGGTTCTCTCAACCCCTTGGAGCCTTCACTGGTCCCGGCCGAGAACCCCGGATGTCTGTAATCGCCCTCTTGCAGCGTCGGATCCACATAAGAAGGGAAATGGCCAGGGCCACCGGCCTGCCCATGACCGTACCCATGCGCCCCAAAGACATTCTGATGCGCAATCTTGACCAACTTGCCCAGCACCGCAATCTCCAACTTCAACTTGACACTGTACAAGGTCGCCTTCAGCGTGGTCTGGTACAGATACAGATTATTGAATTCAATCACCATCAGGGCGATGTCCATCAGGATACACGAGACGTTGACGGCGAGTAACTGCAGCACCGTCTTGCGACTGCCCGGGTCGGAATTATCGCGCAGCATGCGATTGGTCTTCCACATGTAGAAACTGGAGATGATCACCTCCTGGACGCAGAAGCCGGTGAGCTGGATTTTCTCCATGACTTTGTACCCCGCAACGGCGGTCGGGGTTTGCAGCAGATTGGCGGCAAATGTGAGCGCGGTGGTTGGGACGTGGAGCAAGAACACGTTGGCGATGATCATCCCCTTCACCATGCGGAGAATGCGTCGATTTTCCTGGACCAGATGCAGGCGCGAGTAGAGCACGAAGGACTGTCCCGTGACCATTGTCCACCAGCCGATCGTGATGAGCGTGATGGGCAGCCATGTTGCCGAGGTGAGACCGAAGAACTTGACCAGGTAGCCCACGGAGTAAGGGAGGATGCCGATCGAGGAGATCAGCATGCTCCAGAAGTAGGGTCCATGGTAGCGCTTGAAGGTGATGAAGACCAGGACGACCAGCTCGATCACGTTGTACCATGCAACGCCGATGAAGGTGGCAATGGCGATGCGCACGATATCACTGCCGCCTTCATAGGGCCCGACAATCCAGTTGTCTGAGATGTCATGGACGGACGAACTCATCCCTGCCGCTTGAAGGGCATGGAAGAGGACGGGGTGAGTCGTCCGGACCACAGGCAGTGTGCAACTGTGCGCAAGTCAGGATCAAAAAAAAAAAAAAGCCGGAGGAGGTGAGGGGAAGAAAGATGAAGAGTGAGGTCAGGTGTTTGTCAAGAATCTTGAGGTTAAAATGACGAAAGTCAAAGAGGGGGGGGGGAAAAAGTGCAATAGATCTAGCCCAGGTACCAGCACAGAGCAATGAACAAATATGGATCGCAATTGAAACTCACGGAACATGTGTCAAATTAACTTTTTGAGGCGGGGGGCGATAGGCCCGCGGGGAGTGTTATATTTGGATCCATCTTGAGGCTGGTTTCTACTCTGAGTACTCTCTACTAGAGAGTCCCGGATGAGTAACTTACCCGGTTCAAGTCAAACATCTTTCGACAGAGTAAGCAACACCTGCAATCCTGTAGATGGTGTATCTGTATCACTAGACTACTAGAGTACAGCGCACTGAATACCAATCCGAAGTGATCACTGGAAGGATATCACCGCCCATACTCGGCAGGAGTATCTTCAGCTCTTTCTACGTACTCCTGTCTGAAGACTCATCCGGCGTATAAACACAATCACTCCATGCCCAGATTGGTACCTCACTCTCCCATTCCTCCTCCCTGCTTGTCTCTTCCAAGTTCCCACAATCCCGTCTCACCCACTTATCCACCATTCCAATCGCTCCGAAGGATAGTCCTGTACCTCTTTGGCTCTGGTAAATGGAGCATTCTCTTGGCGCAGAGAGAGAGGAAAGATCCACAGTGGGGCGAGATACCGTTGCAACTTGCCGGATTGTGTGATTGTCTCGAGCTACCAGTCACCGGACGAGTTTGAAGGATGGGTACATTGGGTACTCTCTCGGAGCTTACTCGCATCGAGCCTTATTTGCCGGCTGGGTAAAGTCAGGCATACGACTATTTTGCAGTAGGCAGTTGTGCAACTGCAATGTGCATGACTGTGGAAGTGATCAGGACCCGCTGACTAGAGGATGGAGCTCAGCCTGGGGCGGCTTGTTGGAGATGAGATGGCTTTGCCGAAGGAGAGCTTGTTCTCTTTCTTTGGTGCTGTACTTCGAGCATTGGAGCAGACAGAGTTCAGCCATCGTCCAGGAACCACAAATCCATGAGACCAGTACCGGTATAACACAAAGACCGTGTCCAAACAGAGGAAGAGTGGAAGTGAAAGAGCAGTCAATAGAGAGATCTATGCCCGGAAGTGCGTCTAGACGGCTATTACAGCCGACATACTCGCCGGCACCGAGTGAGAGTCCAATTCCCTTCTTTCAAGGAGAGTCGTAATGGGAACACAGGGAGACTCCCACTCGCGTTAATGACACTTTCTGGTTCACTAGTCGAGCCTGAAGATCGCCGTCGATGCAAGCATAAACAAGGACAACATGAGCGTTCATCGGGCCAACCGACCGGGTCCTCACATGCATCGGCGATCCCGTGGCCCAGTGCGCCCGGTTGGTCTTCGGGGCGCCGGCAAACCCTCGGAGGATCCTCGCCCCGGCTATTCGGCGACGGCGGTACTACTTATACTTACGTGCTTCCGCCTTACTGAGAGGTTAAGTATGAAGCAGCATGACCACCGATCATGACGATCGATAGAGGAGTTCATAACTTGTAATTGTACACTGCGGTGGAAACAGATCTTATAGCTTGAAGAATGGTCATCAATTCGTAAAATGGGCCTGTCCAGATTGCCTCCTTTTCCCTGTCAAAACGCCTACCAGTGCTCGCAGCCGGTGTCCTTCCATAGAATCCTTGCAGGGTAATGATCTTCGTACTCTACCCTCTCTTCTTGTATCTCTCTCCTCATCCGGTGGTGCTCTCTCGATTCCGATGAAAGCAACTTCTCACCGCAGTTACTTTTTGCTACGGAGAAACGCGGCCACCTGTTCATGCCGAGTCACAAAGAACATGCGTTTTCGGTCAGATTTCCACACCAGGACGCCAATCTCCGCCGCATATTGACACGGAGCCTGGTACTCTTGCAAGGTGGTGAACTCCTTGAATAGAAACCCAGAGGTGGCTCGGAGACGATCGCGTTCTAGCTGCCACAACCGGATCTGATCCGTGACCGTTGGCGGTAGGATGGAGGGCGGAATGCCCGCGGTATTGGAGGTCGAATGGCCAGCATTATGCTTGCGCAGTTGCGGGTGCGCATGTGTATGGAGGTATGAGATGATCTGATCCGCAGTGATGCCCATGTCGATGGCGCGACGCACAGATTGACGGGTGATCTTGCCTGTGATGAGATTGGGAAAGCGGTACTTGAGGGTGGTGAAAAGGGAGATGAGCGAGATTTGCAAGGGCGACGAGGTGTAGGCGTAGAGACGGTAGTTGGTTTCAATGACAATGAATCCGGAACCGGTCCCAGAAGCACCCTGCGGACCGGCAGGTCCGTTCAATGAGCTGCCTACCGTACTGCTCAGTGCACTGGAATCAGAGGTCAAGGTCGTCGCCAGTCGTGTGGGGTAGAATCGTGGCGCGTCGGGCGATCTTTGGTAGATAATGCCAAAGTCGGCGAGATCGGCAAGGGTTCGAAGTTGTACGGGGGACAGGTATTTCTTCTCGTATGATTGTCCCAGCTCCAGACTACTCAGCAGGAACAAAAACGAGAGAACTTCGACACTGTCCATCCCAATGGCCTCGGCACTCTCGACGTAGAGAATCAGAATGTGCCAGACTTGCGTATTGACGTCCTGCAACACGAAAGCAAAGCCGTCCTTGGTAATTTCTGTCCGCCGTTCATAAATCTCGACAAGGTGACCAGCTTGCAGCAATTGCTTGACACCCTTGCTGAGGCTCACCTCTGGGTGCCCGCTGTCCTTGAGATATTCCGTGCCAACCATGTATCCCAACACCCCTTCCCATTGCCGTCGTGCGTATTCATCCAGATCGGAGATCGATTTTCGATGCTCATTTCGATGTTGGGAAAAGACTCCAAAGGATTGGGAATCTTCGGAGCCCGTGAGGGCTTTTCGGAGGGAGTCCGCGAAGGGATTTGTGACCATGTACGCGCTCACATTTTCGGATGTGAGGGTCTTGGAAAGGATATGGAGGCGACCTAGAATAGACAGAGCATTGTCTCGCTGTCTTTGAAACGTCACGAGCTTCGTTAGCGGCGATCTTGCGAGCAGCCTAGATCCTCCAGATTGATCATTCACGCGCTCACTTCTTGCTTTCTGCCTTCACCCAAAGCTCAAGATCATGAGTCGGTAAAGGATCCTTCAAATACAAAAGCGCCATAACAAAGCATTTTGCTGTGGTTGAACAGTCAGTGACCCAGATTTGTATCCGCGTATGAGAGAGCTCAAAGTACCCAAGTCAGGCAGCATTCGCCGGAAAATTGCAAGCGCGGTGGATGGCTGTTGATACAGCTTGTTAAAGGTCATCCCCGGCAGGCCTTCCAAGTACTCGAGGGGTCGAGACGTAGACGCCGCCATGATGGTGAGCCTTGAGACTTAACGTCTCTGATGTCTACCAGAAACTCAATGTCAAGAGTGAAGTCATGGTCCGGTCTCACGGGAGCTCTTTACGGTGACCTCAGCGGCTAACTTGCGCAGTTTCCGGGATAAATGGCCTTAGCCAGCTACCGAGCGCTTTGCACGCTACTGCTTGGAGTCAATACATTTATCTCTTCATCTGAGCCAAAATGACTGCTTTGAGATTTGTGAAGACTGTTAGATCAAATCTCATTTCTCGTGTTGGTTTGAGTCTGAAACTAATTGACTACTCACGCAGGTTTGGGAGTCCTTCCGGGCTACCTCGGGTTTGGAGCCTCGGTAAGCATCAAACTGAGCTATTGACTGTCATGATGGTCGTGTTGCTGACTGATGCCTTTGAAGATTGTTGAACAATGTGAGCCACTCTGGTATTCTCTGCTTATGAAAGCCTTCTAATCTCTTTCAATTTTATAGTTGAAAGTTACCGCGGCGAGGCCGGGAACAGTTAATTTTGAACTTGAGATTCAAAAGGAACATACAGTACGTCGTTCCTGTTACCTTTCTGTCTCATATACGTTAAGCAAGAGTTTCTCCAGAGATAGGCCAGTCATGATGTAAAGTCAAAGAACTAACTTTTCTCTCAGAACCGCCTGAGTATTCTTCATGGCGGAACTATTGCAAGCATGGGTATTCATTCGCAAACACCCGGCAGGTGGACTATTTCCTTGTGCTCATGACCTTTTTTAGTCGATCTCGGTGGCTCCCTAGCTGTGGCTTCTCGCGGGCTCTACGCGACTGGCGTATCTACCGATCTGAATGGTAAGTACCATTGAACAGTACCTCAAGGGCGTAGAAATCTACAATATACTGGAAAAGCACAACTAATGACATCCATGCAGTTACATACTTGAACTCTGGGGGCAGAGTAGGAGACAAGATCATGGCTGTACGTTCCCCCTTCAACATACCCCCCGAATGACGATTTAATGTTCAAGAAGCTGACATTCATGAAGGAAGTTACATGCGATAAATGTGTGAACTTACTGAAGACAAATCACCCGTCGTTGTGAAGCGCTTGCTAATCTTTACAGTCGGGAAAACCCTCGCATACACAAACATCAAGTTTACAAATGCAAAGGGCGAGGTGGTCGCTCGAGGAAGTCATACCAAGTAAGTGATACGATAGGTGCCCGACATGGAGATCACTGGTCCTGCTTGAGCTAAACCATGATGTGCCGTTTCTCTCGCAGGTATGTCAGCATCGCGTGGAAAGATCCTCAGAACATCGTGGAGGAAATCAACAAGCTACAGTGATCGATGAAGGATCAGCCCAGTCGGCAATGCTTGAGACCATGTCTGGGGATTTTTGAAACTGTGCCGCTCGTCTTGATATCAATGCTCGCTTTGTTTTTCACACCACTAGTTACGAAATCGAGCATCTACAAGAACGGTCATTGAAAGTGATTTGGCACTGAGATTTCAATAAAGTTCTTAGGTTGTCATATCTAATGTCCTCCACCTTGTCTCATCTGTGGTATTATAACGGCGCTATTCAAGATGGGAGAATGCTAAGGTCGACCCTTCACTTTAAGTGGAACAGTTACGGGGCCGGTCCACCTGTACACGGGTAGTAAGGAGTGAACAATTTCCTCGAAAAAAAAAAAAGAAAGTAATCGGTGATCGCATCTAATACGGATGGACATTCTATGCACTCTACAGAGACCAGTGATTGCTTGATCGGATACGATGTGTTCCATCATATCATCTGTTATCAGTTTCTTGGTTCCCATAGCTTCCATCAATGGTTAGGGGATGTTTGTGCTCAATTACACATAATCGCACTTCAAAATTATGCCCATCAAACAATGTCTTCGCCCTCCTCCGGTCCAGCGCCGAGCATTTCCTCGTCTTCCTCCTGGCGAGAGTTCTCGCCGCTTGTTGTAACGTCCTCGATGACCATGTGACCAGCGTCCATAGCTTTAACCTTGGCCTGTGTCATTTCAAAGACATACTGACCAAGATGTTCTAAACCTTCCATGGGCGTCCCCTCAACTGGAGCGTCCAGCGCTCGAGTAGTTGGGAACATCTCCCCGGGCGCTAGCATCAACTTATCGGGTCGTTGTAGGAGGCGGTCAAAGGCAGGTTGAAGTTCATAGCACGACTCAAAGACATCACGGCGGCCAAGGATGTAAAGACCCAAGCGCGCACGCGACAGGGCCACGGTGAGACGACGCACGTCACGAAGATAGCCCACAGTGCGAGTCCGAGTCAGGGAGAGAATGATGTCTTAAAGCATCGAGATTAGTGGAATGAACACTGTCCGCCGACAAAGGATACACTTACAATCGTTCTGCTCGCCTTGATACCTATCCACTGTCGTGACAATCTTGGGCATGCCGAACATTGGATTCTTCGCGCAGCGGTGGCCAAGAACATCTCGAACTAGAGCTGTTTGACCAGCATATGTGGCCAGAATCGAGATTTTTTCCGCAGGGTATCCCAGAAGACGCATATACTGGAACAGCGCAACAGCATACTCCGCTTCGCCCAGGTTTTGAATGAAGTGTGGCGTTGGCTCGCGTTCACCAGAACCCTGGTAATCGGGGACATTGATGAACTGGTAATCGAACTGGAATCCAGCATTCGCTTGCTTGAACTCCTCGGTAGTTTCCACGACTGAGAGATCGTCCAGTTTCTCATATCGCCACCTGAAGAGCTCAGCAATACTAGGTCGGGCGCGACCTTGTTTGTCCAGTGTGATCACGGGAACGCCGAGTCGCGCCAACCGAAGGAAGAGACTTTGGTCAAAGTGTGCATATTGACGGAAGGCAAGATTCTGAATGATGGGTGAATTTTGCAAATGATCTCCACATAGCACAACTCGCTTCAGTGGGAGTTCGCCATTCTTCATGTTTTGCATGGCAGTAGGAATGAAGCTCTCTATCTCTGTGATCTGCGCAGCTTCCTCCATTACCACATTATCGTAATGGAAGCCCAAGTCCGCAATTTCCTGGCGCCGCATTGCCGCATGCGTAGAAGTCATCGCAATTACACGAGCTTCTTTGATCAGCAAGTAATTGGCCTTGTCACGTGGTTGTCGCAGGATCTCGAATGGTCGAATGTCTTCGAGCTCGGAGAAAATCCGCTCAATGTGCCTTTGGCAGCCTGACGCGGTATCCAAAATAGATTCCCTGGGCGCACCGTCGGCGAACAATGGCTGGGGCGCGTCCGAGAAGTACGCATGGAATGGGAAAGATGTGATGATCTCCTCGTTCGTCACCTTGTCGGAATTAACATGTTCCCAGAATTTCGCCCAAGCTGGTTGAATATGGACAGTGTTAAAGTAACCTGCTGTTTCACAGGAATTTCCATGAGCACCTTCGGCGTTGATTGACGCTGCGAGTCGCATTACCTCTGAAAGATAATAGCTGCGGTTATCCAAGAAAGACTCAACACGACCATGCTTGCTGTAATTGGAATCAGTGTCTAACTCCTCTTCGCCATGGCCGAGACGAAGGAGATGCCGCTCATCGATGTCAAGTGCTGTGATCTTCTGGAATAGTTGATTGAGCGCTTGGTTACTGTGCGCGATAAGAAGGGTACGCTCCTTGGGGAAGTTGTGGTAGAGATTGTTGATTATTTGCGTTGCAACGTCCGTTTTTCCGGTACCGGGAGGCCCCACGATCACGGTGAGACCAGGCTGCACGCCAGATGCAATTGCCTCCACTTGCGCTGGGGTGAAACGGACTTGATTCATTTTGGGGGCATCCACTGGGTAAGGTCCCGGATTGGGGGGTTTGTAGGTGGACACACGGATGGTCGATGACTCGTCGCTTGTCTGCTTACTTTGATCTCGTCGACGTTTTTTCGGCGGCTCTGAAACACCGTTCTCAGATGCATTTTCAAGCCAGTTAAGGATGTAGGGTGGGCCAAAGCTGGATGTCTCGGACCCAGACGGCTCGATTGTCCTGCCGGGAAAGCTCTCCACGAGGTGATGCCAGTCGAGGAATGTGTCCAGGAAATCTACAGACTGCAGTCGATTGGCCAGTTGAGGGTGATGCGCACTTGCGGGGTCGCCATAACCGAGGAAGACGTCTTGCAACCAAGATGGAAGGGCAACATCTGAGACAATGAGATTCTGCATCGTTGCGAGGATTGACCTGAAGTTGTTCTCCCTGGCCTTTCTCCGTGCTACCACATTGAGCAAGGGGTAAATATCTGGCTTTCCATGTGCCTGACGATCTTTGTCAGCCTTGAATGCTGCAGCATCAAGATTCACGAGTAATTTTCGTATTCTCGGGCGAGAATGGTGCCCATTCATCTGAGCACCCGCCGGTTGACGCAAGGCGCGGCCTTGTTCATCGAGCACTTGCACTATCTCGGCGGTGCGTAAATGTGTCATGCAAAATCCATCAGAGACTGGAACAGATGCGTTCATGTGGGCGGGAGAAGGCGTTTGAACAGCGAGCAAGTAAATTACATCGTCAGTTCGTAGCGAGTCCCATTCCTTGCGAACATTTTCTGCTAGGCGGCCAACCTCAATCGCGATCTCCGCTCGCACAAACGCAGGGTTAGAGGATCCGACCTTGGCCGGAGCAACCTCAATGATGGCAGGTTTGGAAATAGGAATGGCCATGCGTGAGAACCCATCAAACTTGACTTGGCCGTCACGGCTTGCTTTTGGCTGCATTCGCTTGACCACCAATTCCATGTCTTTGCGTATCTGGAAGAAGGCTTCCGAGCGATACAGCAAAAATGATCGCCATAAAAAGTCTCCAATACTCAGATACTGAAGGTTCAGTTTTGGAATCGCAAGCGGTCTTGATCCGTCATAGGTCTCAGTCCTTAATAAAGCAGGATCGTACAAGGCTTCCTCTGTCGGGAGAACCTTGATTCGAGAAGCAGCCTCTTGAAAGGAGAGGCGACGTTCATAAGCAGATGACAGCACTTCCAGATAGAGCTGTCGGTTGGGTGTGACATTTGATGACTTGGGATATGTTGTACGAAAGCCAAGATGTGTGCACAACTGCTGTAGCTCTGACTCGTCGAGAGAAGACAATTGACCTTCAAGCTCAGATCGCTGTTCGATCGCACCCAAATTGGAAAGGGCAAGAATGGTCAGTTTCTCCTTGAAGTGCTTCATGGCTGTCCTTTGCAACCGGGCCAATTCCTGGCAGTGGAGGTCATAGACTGCCTGGGGAGAAAGCGCTTCCCCGGAGTAATCATCAATCGCGAAATACACAAAGTGATGCAACAAGCCGTAGAGATCCCGCAGCAGCGCATTTTCCGGGTTCCGATACAGATGCGACAAGCGAATGACCGAGAGCAGGTTCATGTCTTTTAAAAGTGTGTTGACATATCGTCGTGTGGGAAGTTGGCTCAATAAGTCCACCAGAAGTTCGATAAACCTCTCACTGTGGAGCAAATCGTCCAGCTGGTCTTTCTCCGCTCCGTTGAGCTTCTGCATAAAGATCAGAAGCATGGTGTACAGCCACGACCGCTCGAATCGCATCTTTGCCTTGGCGGCGTCATTTCCCGCTTCAAATCGCTTAGTCGACGCTCTCCAAGCTTTCTTCAATAGTGGTGATTTTGCAATTGTGTGTTCCCGAGCTTCGTCGCTGGCCAAGTTATGCCATATCGAGATTGAAACGAGGGGGGCGCATTCCTTGCGGACGAGGAGATTTTCAAGGGACTGGAAAGCGGCAATGATGAACGAGACAATGGAAATTCGAGAAGGAGTGGCCAGCGAAGGATCGATGCTCATTGACAGCACGCGATGGAATAATCCAGAGAAGTCGTCCGCGCGGTCAGAAAAAATATCTGCGTAAATTACGTTAGTGAGCCTCCAGACTTCTGCGAGAACTCTGTTCATGGCAAATCACTCACTCCATATCGGAAGATGTTCGCGGTGCTTGACACTGACAATCAAAGCGATCAAAAGGACATGGTGATTTGACGCATCTTCGGTGTACGTGGGCCAGAGGAATCTGTGCGCGGATTCAATTAGCTCTGCAGCATGGTCTTTGCAGCCTTACCAGACAATTTACCTACTTTTCTAGGACGTTCAAGTTTTCCAAGATTAACAGCGACCGAGTGGTGAAGCCTTCCGATTCCAATGGATCCCACAGTTGCTGCTTGATCACATCAGGTTTGATCTTGCGAACCTTCTTTGCATCGGACCAGTACTCTTGAGCTAGCTTCACCCAGGCATTGTCCTCGCGAAAGTCCACCACAGTAGGGCGGATATCTAGACTCTGCACCATCGCGTCTCTTGTCCCTAGCCGGGAGACGTGAGAAATTTGGGTGCGTGGTAGAGATCTGAGCGCGTCAGGGCGTTTTCATAAAGCTCCGACTGTCAGTTACTGAGATCATCTGCACTGAATACACCCAACGGCACTCGACCGGCCGGGCGGCTTGGCTCGTATCTTAGTCAGCACAGCGGCGCAGGCCATCCAGATGGGAGATCGTACTCACCACCTGCGACACCGCCTAATGTGGACTACTGACTTGGATGCTGGGGTAATCATCATCTAGGACACAATTTGCACGAAGTAGAAGTCAACAAACGTAGAACCATGTATTTAGCAAATACCACCTCAGTAGATTATTCTTAAGGTCATCAGATCCAAAAATACTTCGCCTGCTGCCTACTTGCTGCCTGCTGGCCACTAGTTAGTAGTTACCCGGGACCTACTGCAGATGTTTGTGTTTCTGCCTTCATCCACCGCATATGACTGAGCCATCCGTGAACTCAAATATTCGCAATCTTGGTGCGCGTCACTTGAGAGCTGGCAATAAAAGGTCTTGGCACTGTCTTCTCCGCCGAGCCTCAAAGCGCTTGTCCGAAACCCAGACTCTCTCTGCTTCTAGCTCATCTTGCATCTCGTCTTCAGCAGTCTCTTACAGCGCCATCGTCTCACACTCAGCCTTTGTGCTTCCTTCATAATGGCGACCTCGGATCTCCAAGTAGTGCGCGTCTACAAGGAGCTAATCGACCGCCTGTTGGAGCGCGCAGCTAAAGTCAAAGTCGACTCGCAAATCGAGCCGCCGCTCACTGAAGGACTTCTCGGAGACAATATCTGGCAACTTGGGACCGACGAAGATGAAGCAGTGAATCACCTTAATTTGCAGACGCGCCTCGCTGCTGTAGAAATTGCTTTCCGCGAAAAGTTCTACCGCATTCTCGTGAGTGACGTTTCTTTTACGCTGGGTATCTGTTTTTTATGTTGAATTTATTGAAGCATTGCTGATCGGTCATCTTGACTCCCAGGCTTCGACTTCGATCCATGACCCTCCATTCATTCAGATTTGGAACCTACTCGACATCGTCTCCATCTTCTCTGACAACGGTCAGTTGCCAGTCAACTCCGCCACTTATTTCGACAACAACCCTCTAATTCCTCTTTTCTAGAACAATGCGAGCCGGGTTTGATCTTCTGGTTGATTGAGGAGCTACTTGACAGCCAAACAATTGACGGTTGTCGTAAAGTCTTCGATTACCTTGAATCGCGCCGTGAAAGAAACATCAAGGTAAGTTATCCATTGTGATTCTGTGAAAAGGCGCGTGTTCCATTATCTAATATTCCCAGAAACACTTCAAGCAAAAGAGTCTGGTGATCCTGCGATCATGCAATGAGCTTCTACGTCGCCTATCCCGTGCAGAGGACACAGTATTCTGTGGCCGTGTCTTTATCTTCCTGTTCCAAAGCTTCCCACTCGGCGACAAAAGTTCGGTCAACCTGCGGGGCGAATTTCACACTGAGAATGTCACCACTTTCGACAATGTCTCGAACGCGACACCCAAGGCTGAGGAGGACACAGTCATGACTGATGGGGCTGACAACGCTTCCACTGCGGCTGACCAATCAGAGAACCCTTCACAGGTTCCCAAAGTGGTTGTGAGTGAGGACACGGCTGGCAAGATTGGTAATCTGAAGGAGACAGTCGATCTGGATGCCTTGTATCCAGTCTTCTGGAGCCTTCAGGCTTACTTCTCCTCACCCACCCAGCTCTTCGACTCCGAGCGGTTCGCTGCCTTCAAGACTGGTCTTGAGGCGACAGTTGCGGCCTTCAAAAATATGAAGGCTGAATTGGAGAGCAAGGCTGGGTCAAGGTCCTCAGAGGAGGCTCGTAAATCGCACAAGCGGAAGCGTGTTGCTGAGGATGCTGATGTCGGGATCAGTTTCAATCCGAAATATCTGACCAGCCGGGATCTATTTGACCTGGAAGTGAGCGACACCGCCTTCAGAAGACACGTTCTCGTTCAGGCACTCATCCTGATCGACTTTATGCTCTCGCTCACGCCCACGGCCAAATCTCGAATGAGTGACGCAACCAATAAGTCGGTCCTATATGGCTTTGATCTCAACGAAGAAGATGCCAAATGGGCCGCTGACATGAGAAAGAGCATCGAAGGGTATCTACGCCAGGGAGACGGTGGAAACTTTTACTTCCGAATGGTAGATACTGTGTTGTCTAGAGACAAAAATTGGGTTCGGTGGAAGGCTGAAGGCTGTCCACCCATTGAACGCCCACCTGTCTCAGTGGCGGACTACATGAATGCCCGCGAGCACGCGACCAAGGCCTACGCCAATAAGCGGATCCGACCATCTCCCATGGGGTCGCTCGACTTGAATTTCTTGTCCGACAGTCAGGCTTTGGCCAATATCGAGCGGCTGAAGGATTCCGACAGAGTCGCCACCCCATCTGCAGATTCCTTAATGATGGGTGTCATGGACGATGAGATGGACATTGACATGGCACAGACACCAGAGGACAAGGCAAATGCGGAAAAGGCCAAGTCGAGTAAAACCTGGCGTCTCCTGCGGTTGTCCGTCAAGACCAAACTTGACCGGTTCGACAAATTCAAAGATGGGGAGAATCTGAACGCCCTTTTCGAGACCCCAGAGGCCCCATCGGAGACTCCGCAGCCAGCTGAGGGCAGCCAACCACCCGAAGAAGGGAACGCCCCTGAGAAAACGCCTACTGCCGAGGCTCCCTCGGGTGGTGAACCTGGTGGTGACGGTGCCGGTGACACTGGCAACGAGATTGCGGAAGACACCAAGGAGAGTGCTCCCGTCATCAAGAGCGAGGAGGCCGCAGACGCTGGCCAGTCGAACGAACTTCCTTCAGATCCGACGCCCGTCAAAGAGACGCCTGTACCCACCGAAGACAGTGTGCCCGATACAGCGGGCTCAGCGGATGCCGGCACAGCTCCTGAGCAGGAGGCCCAGAGTAAGCCCGAAGCATCATCAGTCTGACGAGCAGGGGAGCCCGACTCTGTATTGGAGACCATCACTCCTTTCGTCGTGTCATGACAACACCAATTCTGGTTTTTATTCATTTTTGTTGTTTTTTTTTCCACTTTCAAGAATCGATGATACCCCTGATATATATTTTTTCTTTCACATCCGTGACCTCATGTTCATTCGGATCCTCCATGTATGCGTCATGGCCACCTGATATGTGTTCCATACTCTGATATGGGTTTTCTCCGTGTAGAGACCGGTGCCTCGTTTTCTACGCCAGTGTATCCATTGCTCCGAGACGGACGTTTATGTGGTCCTCGCTCGTACTACATGACGTGTTGAAGACGTAGCACCAAAATCTAAGTAAAGATAATCCAGCTACATGGTCCTTACCACCACAGTCCTCTGATTCGAAGCCTTGGGGCTTTCGCTGAGAGTTCGTCCGAGAACATCAAGCTCAAACACTACAGCTACGTCGCCAGAACCGGCCACAGCCACCGCGGCGGGTGTTTGATCGCGCGGTATAGTCCAACAGCAACAAAAAGGACAGTCAAAGACATGCACAAGATGAAACAATCATCCCAGGGAGCTTGGGTGGGTGGGGGTCAGGTAAGAATCATCCAGCGTAGAGAGGCACGAACCAGATGAAAACAGGGAATGACAGGGGTCGGCATGGGTCGTCTCGAACTCCTGTCCTTTGACAGCTATGGTGGAGACTTCATATGAAGTAAAAGGGGGATGTAGCCTCCTGATGATGGGCATGTTCTGCTTCGGCCAGCGTATTTCACTGCCGTTCAGTGTCTTCGTAGTAACCAGGCCCGGGCTTGATCCTGACAGACTGAAGAAGAACGCATAGCGTCCGATGTCCATGAGTGCAGAGCCCCTGCTGCCATCATGGCAACGGGAACCATATTCCCTCTAGACGGGTTTGAATTCTTCCATGGACGAAGCTGGAAGAAACGCACTGATCACAGGGTGGCAGGGCAGATAGAGTCTATTGAAACTAAGAACTCCCGGGAACCTTGGGATCCGAGGTGATTAAGGCCCACTCCACGGAGCTAGAAGCTTCCAAGGGGGAACCTCGTAGCAGATGCACGGGGGAGATCTTGACTTTGAAGACGAGTGAGAGCCGGAAAGAAAGGCGGAAGCGCGTATCATCCACATCTAGAGAAAGGTGTCAGTTTTGACCCAACGAGTCGCAGTAAAGGTAGAGCCGGGCTCTGTAGGGTAGCATTGACTGATTTATTGCGAGATCGAGGTCAGGTTACATAGCTATTAGGTAGTGACTAGTAGGTACTAGTAGGAGGTGTTCTGCGACTTGCGACTAAAGGTAGCGTACAACTGGAAGTTTGGTCACATCGAGATTATTGTAGGTAGCAAGGGGATTAACTTTGGTGGCTTTGGGCCAAGAGACTGTTGGCCTGTGAGTTTGCGGGTTCCTTTTTCCATCTTACTTGGGTGTAAAGGGACTGGGTCACGCCTACGGCCTTACCTGAATAAGTGATTATATGCCTAATTGGGCAGTCGTAGTACGAGATTAGGTTGAATGGATACAGCACATTAATGTAAGACCGAGTGGGTGACAGTCCGCACTGCATCAATCACCACGTTGCTCGAATCGGCGTCTTTTGAAAAGTAAGATTTTAGTAAGATAATATCGGACAAACCCACCCCCCGCCATGCGAGTGACAGACCTTGAATTGTATCCGTCGATCTTGTGCGATACTCATGATCGTTATCGGACACTGCTATGGAACTTTATGTTTAAGGCAGTTTATCTCTCAGATTTGCATGTAGTTTTGCAAGACATGCATATGAGTAGTACGGTGCATTGCCTATGCTCTGGCTCAATGTGGAGCAGATCTTCCGCAACCCGGTCTTGCATATCAAAGTCCTCCTCAGATGATAGAGAACATGTCCGGGGTCCACGAAAGCCTCGAATCATGAACATAAACCAGAGTCACAAAGGCAGGCATAGCTCCACCAATGAAAAATTAAATCCCATGGTCCGGTGGACTTGGAACGGCTGCGATCGTGCGGTCCTCATGTTTGACATTTCAATAGTTCAGGTCCTTAAATCAGCCACCGTCATCCTTGACATCTTGACCCAGTGCCACTTTACGTACATCGTGTACAATCTGAGCATCAATCAAAGCTAACGGCGCTCGCGTCCCCCGTTGAGGATGTTTGTGCGTCCCCTTGGAAGCACTGCCTGACTCCACCTTATCCCCCGAGAGATTTGCGCGATAACATCAATAGGCTAGGGGTCCTCTATGCACGGTCGACGGAAAACGTTTTATGCCTGTTTTGCCTTTCCTTGTGTGCTGGTGTGGCGTCAGGTTATGCACCACTCTTGGTACCTTTTGGCCCAGAATGGTGCGTGCTCCCGTTTGTGTCTGGTGTCGGTCCATGGCTCTCATGCAAGGTATCGGAGACTAAGCGCCGCATGCACCATCCTGGTGCCGAAGTTTAATCTCGCTTGGAGCAAGGAACGGCTCTGAAACCGGGGGACCATTACGGATACGAGTAGTACGTCTCAGGCCATGTGGTTTGGGACTTCCGTGAGTATTATAGAGATGAGATCAAGCGCAGATAGGATCATGTTCTGTTTACTCAAAGTCACATCGCTGGTCATCCATAAATGATGTGGCAAGGCTTGTCTTTTCATGATGTCCCCGTTCACAGTTTCCATACTCCGTAGCCTGGTACTATAACTTCCCCGCCATACAGCCTCGATCGTGTACTTCCCGGCTCAAGAGTACCGACGACTTTCAAGGACCGCACCAGACCTGTTGACCACATCTGTCATGGCGTGTCAAGTGACCATCCGGGTCCTTCTTCATATCTCCTGTGCCAAAGCTGCAGGTGAATAAGTGTGTCCTCGGGTCCTCAGGTTCTGAGGTCCTGAGAGTCAGGTGAACATCTCCACCTGTGTAGCGCGCAATAAGAGAAAGAGGGGACGTGCCCTATGGATAACGTCCCATTCGACCAACAATGCACGAATCTACATGTCGGTCTGTCCATGTCTTCCTTTCACCTCTCGTCTCTTGCCTGTTGCCTCTCTGATATCCTTGCCACTCAGAAGACGCGCGTACGGTTCACCATGGGGATTTGGGGTTTGGAAGCGCCTTTGCCAAGTGAAGAGGGGGTGATGTCGTGGGATCGAAAGGATCGCGGTTTGCGCGCGGCCGAGATTGAAGTGAACATCCGACGGGACGCGATGGAGACTGGCCCAACGGGGAATGGAGTCTGCAATACGACAAAATGGCTCTAAGACTAAGTATGATTACTTGACCTGCTCCAGTACATGCACATTTGTTATGGAAGAACGACAAGCCGTCATCCCTGGAGTTGGTAAACTGCTTGACTAATTGTGATCCGATGCATTCCCAACATTAAAAAACCACAGTTCTAAGCCCAATGTAGAAGGGCGATTCGCTCCAGAGACAACATGTCTACGCTAACAAACATCGCTGTATTAGGTTACTGGCTAGCACAGAAACAGAAACGACAGGCCATTGCTCATTGCGCTACTGTGGCACCAACGTAGCGGAATTCCCGTAAGTGATCGAATCTCGCGATCGGGTTTCCCGTTTTGAATGTTTCAGGGAAAAGGGAAACGATCATTCGTGAAGCACAGAATGATCTCCCTGTTACAACTACCCTATTCAACACGGAGAGAAGATTGAGGGTGAATGGCCAGCCGGGGGACGGTCACTAATGGCTAATCAGGGACTGCGAACGTCCAAGGTTTCATCAGTGTAGAGGCCTGTCTCGAAGGAGATCCTTGTGTCTTTGCCCCAGCCATTCCAGAACACTGTACTTTGACATGTAGCTTCAAGGTTTCGAAACGTTGCCGTTGAATCTTGTTTCCCTCTCAGAAGGCATGACGCTCGGGTTCACCCACATCGTCAAAGTCAAATCGAATAACCAACACTTCTGTATAAGTGTATACTGTGTCGTGTCTAGTTGTACTGTATGCTGCTCATATCGTATTTTGCTTAAAAAAAAAAGAAAGGTGCATAACAAGGGAACAAGAGTTGCTGCATGAACTGTCCATTAATCCCATGTCAAAGACCCTTCCAATTGATTCGTGGAAGGTCCTACACCAAATTCTCCATCCGACAATTGAACCCCCGTTCCTCCGAGTCGCCCTCGGAAGAAAGGCACCAAAAAGAGACTTGTCCCAACTCCCAACGGCACTCACGTCATGGCAACCCGACCCAAGGCTCAGAACCAGTCCGATCGGAGTCCCCCTCAGGGCCCGACAACGTACGGCCAAAGCAAGTAGCGATCGTCACAAACTTTCGGCCGTAGACCCGTGCTCTGCGCAATCTGATTCGGGACAACAGCTTACCAAATCCCGAGTTTTTTCCCCCTGCTTCAATGGAATCTCCCTTGGCGGGACCAGCCGAATACGTGGAAAGCGTGGCAAAAAAAAAAAAAAAAAAAAGGCAAACACTCAGTATTGTCGAGGACTCGACCGTCGACCGTTCGACGGTCGATCCACCCGACTCAGGGAGTGGAGTCGGGTTCAAGAGTGATTCTCAGACGGCAGTCGTGTTGGCCTGTGTTCCGCTATCTACTTTAGGAGGACTCGTTCTCGATATGGTCTAAAGACCGACATTGGGGACGATGGATCGTCTCCACTACCATTGGAATTGCCTGTGTGGGAGGAATGGAGGAGGTTTGAATTAGAATGTAGGTGCGAGATGGAGCATTGACTCCATCTGTCTATCTTGCGGCGTCAGAAGTGCAAACCTTCGGGTCAATCTCGTAGGTCGGTCAAGATGTACATTCAGATAAGAAACATGGCGATATATTGGAACCGATGCTGGGATTTCTCAACCAGAGGTGTACCTACCTGCGCAAAGTAATGGAATAGACCTCTAATACCCATTGGCAGGCACAAGTAGATGGAAGTGGAAAGAGTGGATGGCTGTATAAGGGCCCACTGAGAATGAATCAAGTATATACCGAAAACTTCACACTGAGAGCATAGATATGCATGA